AGCCTCAAAATCCATCTGCACAGTCTTATCCTCATTCTTCAAATCATCCGTGTCGATCAATATCGCCGCGATCCCCAAACACGCGAGCTCTTCATCCCATGCTTGGTTGCGCGCAGGAAACATGTTTGCCTTGCGGGCGTGTTGGATGATGAGGGATGCACATGATCCGACGCCTTCGATGGCGCGGCCTTCCCCGTGGACGGGGTCGTGAGTGAGAGGATGCTCATATTCGTTGAAGTGATGATCGATTATTCCGACCACCTTGTTGCCGAATCTGGTGCCTAGGGAGCCGGTGAGGACGTTGTGGTCGACTAGGAACCATTTGCTATCCCTCGCCAACTCAGATCCATCGTCTTTTTCAATTGGAAACGGAAGGTCAGAGAGCGTGAGTACGTCGTCAGTGTCTAAATGCGCGTGTTTGAGAACTGGGAGGAGTTCAGGTCGTAAACGTAGGTCTGCGCGCGGGATGTTGGAGAGCGGAATGTAGAATGTATCTGGGTAGTTGCGATGGGGGTGCGGCGAGTAGGTTTTTAGGTATGCGAGGAGGATGGAGGAGCAGATTGAATCGACGTCTGGCAGTTCAAGTTGTTAGTATAGCTTGGTTTGGGGGGAAGGGTAGGAACCTGCTGATTCGTTTCCGATCACAAAGGTAACTGGGGGACGAGAGGTAGAAGATGGTGCTGTGAGGATGGATTTGGCGGAGTGGAGGAAGGATTTCAGGGATGTGCGGGGTCGTGGCATGGTGTGTTGAATTGGGGCGGTTTGAACGTTGATGCTGGCAATTATCTAGATGTTTGATGGCTCATAGAATGCAGAATTACATTGGACTGCTTTAGGTGTAGCTGTCGTTGTGACGCGCAGCAAAAGGAGACGCGTCGTGAGAAACCCCTCCATCGCGTGACGTCATTGAAGCCTGAAAGAAACATCCTAACGTACCCACCTACCTAGGTAGGTCTAGGTACTTCTCATCTAAAGAACCCGATTCTAAGAATGTATTTGAAGGTCTTGAACATGTAGATCACTTTTGTCTGAGATCATGTATCTACCTCTCTACAGTACTATGCTCAAAAATTGTTCAATCTTTGTACTGGATTCAATCAACGTCTTGTGTTTGTAAATCTGTTTCCACATGTCATCTATTCTGATGAACATATCCTGCTACATCGAACTATATTTCTCAATTTCTCCTACGCTGTTACATATACTTAACTACACCACAACTCAGGCCTTACCACCTTTCATTTTCCCCTCACGTTCATCCTCCATCCACTTCCAGATATTCAGCACCAACCTCCTGTCAACCGGATTCTCCTTCCTCATAACCTCCGAAACCTTCTCAACCTCCTTAGTCGAAAACAAAATCTGTTTTGAATTCTTTCCCTCCCCATAAGCAACTCTCCAAAGCCCCAGCAATTGCTTCGCAGGATGACTCTCCAGCGCCTCGAGCTTATCCAGCCAAACTCCAGCTGGTACAATTTCAAAATCCTTAACCTCTTTCAACCAAGACAGTAAATCTGTCCAGCTAGTTTTCGCCGAATTGTTGACCACATGGAAGACTTCACATGGCGCATCTTTAGAAGGATTCTCTGAATTGGCAATATCGATGATAGCGTGAGCAGCGGAATCAAGTGGCATCCACGCCAACACTTCATTGAGATCTGGCAAGCATCCAAGTTCATGGCCGGTGCTTATCATTAATGGCCATGCTTCTTTCATATTCCAGATGCCATTGCGTCTATTGCCTGTCAGCTGGCCGATTCTGGCAATTTTGATCTTGCCTTGCAGTGATGGTTGCGAGGCGCTGAGATTACAGATACGTTCCGCAACCCATTTGCTGCGGCTGTAGCCTAGAGTGTTTGCGTCGGAAGGGTCTTCAGATATTGTTTCTGGAATGCCTTCATTTGCGTTCTCGCCAGCGAGCTTATATTGCATGACGCTTGCTGTCGAAGAGCAGAATATAAACTTTGCTGAATTCAGAAAGGACGCTGCCATGCTAATCAAGGACTCGAGTGTCTCGAATTGAGATTGAAAACTTGAAAGAGGGATGGAAAAGTTGACCGGCCATGCAGCCTGTAAGTTGTCAGCAATTTCCTCTGCCCATGGAATTAAATTTTCGTACATGGATGATAGTTATCGAGGAATGCTTTTCAATAGCTTTGAGATGGCGGGAGTTGCTCAGCATCTCAATAGGAGTGCAGATAATCTTCCCCCATAAGTTTTCTGTTTCGGGTAGCTTCAAGCTTCTGGTGAGAAGAGTATCCGCGAGTCTGCGCTTTGCCTCCTCTTCAGTAGAAGCACGAACTGGGCAAATGATTGTGTCGATTGATTCGTCCTTCATCAACTCACCAAGAATCTCAGCGCCAAGAGCGCCTGTTGTACCCGTAATGATCTACGTGTGGTTAGTTTATATGGTAATTTAACAACAAGAAAAAATAAGGTAGCTTACAAAGCTTTTGGTGTCGACCGTTTCCCACTTAAGTTCAGCAGAATGGTTGTTATCGAGCTTGGAGAATCGTTCCGCCAGTTCAACCATCTCCTTGTCATCCACCGGAGTACTCGATATCTCGCCCTTCCGTACATTTACAATGTACTGGGAGAGCCTTCCTGATCAGCATTGACCATGAAATGAGGAGAAAAACTTACTTTCGAACATTTCCACAATCATAAACGATGTTCAAAGGCAATCTCACGCCGCTCGATACCAATTTTCGATTCTTTGCATCGAGTTAGTAAGTAAACGAGCCTCGAGACGAGTTACTTACTCCTTGGATCAAGCCTCTAATCTGGGTGGCTTTTACAGAATCTATACCTGAAAGATAGAAATCTGAATCTGCTGAAATTCTCTCTTTCCGAGCTAGAATACCATCAACTATGCTCTGAACTTCAGCTTCGACATCTTCTTCTGGAATTAAGCTTGTATCTGAAGAGCTCTCGGGCTTGCCACTGTATGCTTTTCCAATATGTCCCCAGAATCTCTTCTCCACAACTCCACGCATAATCGTCCCCTTACTACTCTTCTGAAGCGGAGGATCAGCAGGATCCATCACTACAATCATATCCTTGGATATCTTGGTGTGTTCTTGCCCTTCTTTGTTCATAGGCTCTAAGAGCTCCCATACGGTATTTGTGAAGTTGTCCGGATCATCAGCTAGCTTTTTCTCGGATGGAAACACGAGAACACCAGGAAACTGCTTCTCATTGCCGAAGATTAGCACATCTTGAATAAGTGGGGAAGAATCTCGAAGCGTGTCTTCCAGAGGTGCTGGATCGAACTTCTTCCCCGTGATTAACGTGATCTGGCTGTCACTCCGAGAATGGTATCTCCAAGCATTTTCGATACTTTTATGGCGTTCAAACAGGTCACTCGTTGCAAAACTTCCATCTTCACGATTTCGTTTTGCCATATGTGGCCAACCGTCCTGAATCACCAATTCAGCGAGGTCCGAGTCGTCTTGCTTCTCAAATTTCAGTAAACTTGAATTATTTGGACTGCGGAGAAACTGCCATTCTTTATCGGTGTCATAGTTTCGATGCGATGAAAGGGTAAATCCACACTCTGCACTTCCAAAGCGTGAAATCAGACTCACACCTTCCATGACCAACATGTCGCCAGTTGTCGGCGGAAGTGCTGCACCTCCCACACCCACGATATCCATTTTCCGCAACCACGAGAGAGCCTCTTCACTATCGAGCATCTGCAAGACATATGGTACGCTAGAGAAGTACTTGATTTCTGGCACCCATTGACTAGATTCCCTGCAAATCGCTGCGTGTGAAAGACATTTCTGAATATTGACACTGGTTATAGGCAGTTCGGCAGCTGGGAACAGCCATATCATGGCATTACTTGTCCATGCTCTGAAACAGTCCGCAACACCTCCATGATAGAGAGGTGTTGTGGTAAATGCTGCCTCTTTATGACCATCAAGTGACGGAAGAACTCCTATTGCTGCTCGATGAGTTTGAGGAATTGGTTTTGGAAGACCGGAAGAAGTTCCTGATGTATGATGAATATATGCGACGTCAACTTTGGTATTTTCTTTTTGTTGTTGAGGTGTTGACTCGTTTGAATACAGACCACCAGCAATAGAGTCCAACAAGTCTGGCTTAGCCCAAGTAAGTTCTCTTGCCGTGTGGATTGCCGAAGGTTCCTCGGATGAGGCAATTGCAGATTCCTTGTATGATTTATCATAAAACAGAACTGTTGCTTTGCACTCTCGACAGAGATGTGCGATAGCCGGGGGTTGGCATTGTGGCCTATAGTTTTCAGTCTGTTGGGACAAGTATAATACAAGCAGGTGGTGCTTACGCTATCAACAACACAGAGTATCCAAGGCGAATTAAACCTAACCACATAAACAAGAAGTTCACCGAGCTCTGGCATAACAATGCAACGCAAGCCGAATCCTGTTTCCCATTTGCCAACTCCTTAATATCATCTGCGAGGAAGCGAGCTGCAGTCGAGGAGCCGTCTCTTAAAGTGGAGAAAGCTGGAAAGTGTTAGTGATTAAGCACTCCACAAACCTTGGTCCATTCCAGGCTTTTGGTTGAAAGGCAAATCTGGGAATTCGTATCATGTGCACTTACTGAATATTCTTGGTCTCCAGAACTTTTCATCCGGACCATTTGGATCTGGGAACGCAAATGCTGGCAAATCCGGTACCTCTCTAGCTTGGAAGTCAAGGAACTCACTGATTGTCCCCCATTGCCGAGCTTTGCTTGAGCGGTTGATAGCAGCAGCCACATCAAGCGTGGCCGTAAAGTAGGTAACCCCAGGATCTGAATCCATCATTTGATAGCACTCACCCAGATTCCTTTTTCTGAGATGTCAATTGAGATGGAGTAGAGGTGCAGGGGACCTGTCAAGACTCAGTTCGACGCTCGGGAGGTTTAGGAGCAATGGTTGGAGACAGCACAGTCTGTACCACAGAGTCGGGAAGGACAAGTTCGTTTGAGGTGTCCGATGGTCTACTCGACCTACTCGGAACGGTTCGTGCCTGTGTCACTCCGGCCAGGTACGACCAGGAGCTAGTGGTGGGGTACCAGAACGGCTTCGTGCTAGATCGAGAGGACAACCTGGTCGATGCAGAAGACTAAAGATACTTTGCTATTCCCTGCTAGTACATGTACCTGCGCAGTGTGTTACGAAATGGTCTCCTGCAATATATGGCTGATCAAAAGTTTTAATTGTGTACAACGTCATGAGGTATTATTGTGCTTAGCATGTGGGTACAATGAAGACATGTAATCGAGACCGCAGCGGGTCCGGCGATAGATCGCTATTGCACATAAACCCTTGTGTGTCGGATAAGTCTGATAGTGGGTTCTGAAGCTTGTGAATGAGGGGTTATGGAGGGGTCGAAGAACAACTGGTGCCATGGAAGCTTTTCGCTTTGAAATTTGATTACAACTGACGAGACCCGAGCTCATCGTGACTTCTAGTCTATCAATTCATTAAAGGAAACTTTTCGTTGTAAAATCCGACTTTACAACCCTACGCGTTACCATTGACCTTGGCAGCATTTCCTGAAGTTCCGTTGCTCAAAGCACCGTTCCCGTTGACATGTCCGTTCGTTTTGGCACTCGTCTTGTGAACGCCATTGGTGGTACCATTGACATGGCCGTTAGAGCCATTGAGTTGGCCCGCCTTCTTCGCCGCGTTCTCAATGATCTTTTCCTCCTCCATCTTAGCGTTCTCAGTGTACCCAGTATCACTTGAGTCAACATAGGCCTCTAGACCCTCACCGTTGCGTGGATACTCCTTCATCAGTTGCTTGTGTCTTCTCAAAGCTTCGTTCATCTCCTCGGCAGTGACATCGTTCAAGAAGGTGCAAGAGCCAATTGGGTTTGGCACTGCCGCACGAAGCTTACCATCCCGGGTCTTGAGAATGGCCGCTGTTGCCTTTGCCAGGATCTCCTCATCGAACTGATGATGGTCCATGGAAAGACCAGCTCTGGAGAAAAGGTTCAGGAGTCTGCGATGCTCTTCGTCTGAAATGAGCTTGCGCTGGTTTGCGAGGGTGGCTGAGTATGCCATATCGATGGATATCGCGTGACCGTGACGAAGAGGTGTTTCTGGTACCAACTCGTGAAGAGGTGACCATGTGTGACCGTAAGCGATGACACGATCCAATCCAATCTCATGAAGATTGGGGGTCTCTAACTTCAACATCTCATGGATGCCCTCTCTGTTGATTCTATCGGCAGCATCGATAAGCTCCTTTGGCGAACCCTCTGCTCGGCCGAAGCTCTGGTCAATGAGCTGCTCGCAGTACTTGTCCAGCAAGTTGAATGTATCGAGGTGTGAGCAAGTTGAGATTTTGATCAACTCTGCAAAACCATTTCGGATCTGGGCTGTAGGTAGCGTTTTGAGGAATGTGAAGTCGAGGAAGGTGTGGATAGGGGCCTATTATGTTAGTTATAGTTGATACAATCATCCGAGTGACTTACGTGGTAAGCTCCAAGTCTGTTCTTGTAATTGCCATAGTTTACGGCTACTTTAATTGACACTGATGCGTCAATCAAACCAATGACTGTTGTTGGCACACGAATGAAGTTTGTGTTTCTTCGATACGCAGCGCAGGCAAATCTGAGCCATACATATTAGCTAAAGCTCTTCCATAACACACACGGTGAAAAGAGATTGATGGGAGAGTGCCTTGATGTAATCTCTGGCTTCAGGAGCTGTGTTCTTTACCCGGCAACATCAGTGACTAGACCGCCGCCGACAACGAGGACTGGTTCCTATCATAAAGTCAGCACATGCCATTATCTGAGCGGCATTCAAGAGCCAGAGTACAAACTTTGCGGTAAATTCCAAACTCGTTCATGGAATCTACAATGCTCAGAAGAGTTGGCATAGTCTTCGCCTTCTCTCCAATCTTCGTCTTGTGGATTTTCAATTCCAGATCGTAGTGCTGGAAGTATTTCTCCATCTGCTTGCCATAAACATTGTAGATGTTCAGGTCAGTGACGGCCAAAACTCTTCCCCATTTCTTGTAGCAATCAGCCAGATTTGGGTTGTCGACATTGAAGACACCATCGATGAAGGTGAAATCATATTCGATCTTCTCATAACCCTCGACATGAAAGCCGACGTGACCTGAAGAGGTCTTGGTCTCAGACACACTGGCTTTGAGATCTGACATGTTGAAATATAGTTTAGGATTGTCTAAAAAGGAGTTGAAATGAAAAATGAATTGAGTTTGCGGGATGAGGAAAAGATGGGAAATTTGAGAGATTTATAAAACTATGCACGAGTATGCAGGGCTCGTTGACTTCATAGTCTATAGCTCATGTGCCAGAGAAGAAATCCAAATCACACCATTCTTTCGTACCTTGCCGTACGCAGCCATTGTTTACCGGTAGGTAGAATGGTAGAGGTCGGAAAGATCTCCGCCTTATTCGCTAATGTTGTTAGTCGTAGATGTGAGCAAACATAGCATAAAGGGTACCCACAGTCCCCATATTGAGATACAGATCTTGTGGAAGCATCAGAGCCAAAAGGAGATCGGCTGGGATTTAGAAAGCCTCGTCTGGAGACCGTGTTGATGAAGTGTCAGATAATTCGTAGCCGTGAACTCGTCGGCGTGCCCTGCTGTGCTCTGCTCCAACACGAACACGACATATGGGAAACACCAAAACCCATCCAGGCCGCTTGGGAATTGACAGGGGAAATGCACTAGAAATAATAGTCGACAAGATCTGGTGGGTTAGCGGCAGGACGCAAGGGCTGGGAAGGCCTGGTGCATATAAAGACCCCGCGGATCTGGATGTCCAAGATGCCAGTAGATCTGGGACGAGATCTGGTGGGGAAAGGGATGGTGGAAACTGTCCGTGAGATCGTGTTCGGTCCATGCAGGATTTGCGGCCGCCTCAAAGGGTGGTATGCTCGAGATGCTCGAGGAGTGGTCTCATCCTGCCGAAGGTTGTGGCCCCAAGTTTCCCAAGGTCGTACTAACGGTTAGGTTTCGCGGCTGCTAACCGTGTTCAGATGTACTCGGGAGACAGTTTGTTTGCGCCACGGCTACTTCCCACTTTCTGAGCGGATCCCTAGAATTAACACAACATGCAAATCAGTCAGCAGCCGTCTTGTCGGAGAAACATGAAGTCGAGAGGGAATTGTCATGACCTCAAGACCGGGTTAGCTAACGGGTAGCCCCAGGAAGGCGTCGTCAAACTTTGGCCGAGCCAGCGCTAGACCCGTAACAGCTAGCGGCTGGAGACGATTCTTCGACTCTTCCCTTTCGAATTCTTCGTTGACGTCGTCCTACCCATCCGTTGCACCGCCAGCTCTGACGGCCTCGCGACTTAAGCTCTGTCTGTACCCACGTTTCATTGTTGATAGGTCCCAGGTCCATTACGCGCACATTTACATGCAGGAAACTGGTTTCAACGCGGGTCGTCGAGGCTGGCGTGGGTCATGCTGGGAAACCAGAAGACGCGCTTTTACTACACAAATTGACACAAAAATTGACTGCTAGGTTGAATTGATGACTAACCTTGATTTTTGCTCCAAGAAGAAATCCAGCCGGTTGTTTAGGTAGGGACTACGGATCATAAATCGCTGCTGCAGGTACATGAGCAAGATGGCGAACTTTGATGACCAAAAAGCGTACGCTACACAAGAAAACACCTTCGTAAGACCTTCAATCCACACGGTTTTGCACAACAACTAATGCCTGCAGTTTGATGATGGACGCGAAGAAGAGCTCGTGGAATTTGTTACGAACCACCCAAGAAAAGATGAGATCAAAGGATCCCCAGAGAAAGTCCTGCAGGCCATCGATGAATTTGGCCGAACGAAGAAGTATCTGATGAACGTGGGCGAAGACAAGGGAAAGATTGTCACAGACACAATCAAAGAAAACAGACCTCAAGTGATGGTGGAATTAGGAGGATACGTGGGCTACTCTACTATCCTCTTTGGCGCGGCAGTACGCGAAGCTGGAGGCAAGAGATACATCTCACTCGAAAGAAGTCCGAAATTTGCAAAAGTTATTACGGACTTGGTAAAATTTGCAGGCTTAGATGGATTCGTGGTTGTTTCGGTCGGACCAAGCAGTGACGGGATCAGGAAGCTCCATGGCGCTGGGCTTGACACGATTGACATGATGTTTCTAGACCACTACAAGCCAGCTTACACCACTGATCTGAAGCTCTGTGAGCATCTGGGACTGATCAAGAAGGGTACGGTGCTTGCGGCTGATAATGTCATCAAGCCTGGAAACCCACCTTACTTGGAATACGTACGAAGTACTCCCCAAGAAAAGAGGAAGAGGTTGACGGAAGAGAGAAAATTGGATACGGACAATTTCGCAAAACGTACTGCGGAACAATACGGTCAAGTTGAAGAGTTGAGTAGAGAGGCGCAGGGCAATCCTAACATCATCTACGAGAGCAAGCTTATCAACAGCTTCGAGCCCACTGGAGAACCGGTATGTCTAGATGTCTTTCGATCAAGCTATATACTAACGAATTCGACAGGATGGGGTAGAAATTACGAAATGTGTGGGGTTTAAGGAGGAATCGCAGTGATGATGAACATATACCATTTGGCATTATGCATGTAGTAGCGTAGCAAAATGAAACTCGCTTCATCTACATTGGCAATTGGTCTTCGTTACTTTGACGCTCGTGATTTTTGTACTGTGTGCGCTCTAAAGGAATAACATCCTTAAGGGAAAGGCGAGTTTCGATAGAGTAACCCTTGATGACATCTTCAATTAGCACGGCTGTTATCGTTAGTATTGCTAAGTGCACAGGAAATGTACCCCTAGTAAATACTTAAATTTATGGCGTCGAGGTTCCTCATGTGCATTTTCGAGTGACGAGAAGTGACCTCTATCTAATGAGTCTCAGGTATCTAAGTTTGCTGAGTTTGAGGCTATCATACAGTATCATCAAGTGCACAGCAATGATTCCCAGTAGATGAAGCTTGTAATGCTGAATTCGTGGTGACCGATCTTCAAGCCTGCAATTCTAGTCTACATAAGCCGCATTTCCTTTGCGTTGTCCGTTGCATCTATTTCAAGATATCAATTATCTTTATTCGACGACATCGACATCATTCTCTCCCACGGCCAATTTATTCGACAGCAACCAAGTCAACGTTAACAAGATATTTGGGCCCCAAGTCTATCAACTTACTTCTTAGATGCCGGCTTTGATATCGTAAGTTTCTGTTGCAAACGATTCTTGTGTTGTACTAAAGAAATTCAGGTTACTACTTCACGAGCATTGTGTCACCTTACCTACCACCATGCTGCAATAGCTAGTTCGTCAAGCACCGCTTAATGCTCGGCGCTTTTGTAATAAAGTTTATATACTGGAATAAGAGTTTTTCTGCCACAATCGCACCAATAAGTGCCCGCTTGGCTGTACGTCTTCCCCCAAAAGAATTTGTACATTCACCCCAAGCTAACAATTCACCAGTAGTGGTACAGCGTCTCACTCGTACTATTCACGGCAATGAGAAGACCGACGGTTCGATTCCGTCAGTGGGCATCATGTGATTATCTTTTTGTGCTTTTTGACGCTTTTTCCAAAAGATTTCGTTGATTTTTCAACTTTTTCTAAACATTTTTGCATAAGCGAACAAATAAGGTTATGGGGTGAGCACGATGTGATAAGGTGCACGGACTAAGCTCCTCACATTCGCACATTCGTTGTGTGATTTTGCAAGCGAGCACGGTGGTGAACTTCAAATGCCAGAACAAAACTTCTAGTACCCATTCCATTTGTCCTAATCTACCTAGGTATGTATCTATGGATCTCGAACCATCCATATCGACAGCCGCCAAGCAATGCTTATACCCATGTCAACTACAATAGCCGTCCCGCCTACCACCATTGGTGCATGTGATGATGACGTGTAGTTTCAGTATCTGTTGTCCTACATGTACTCCGTCGACTAAATAGAATCGTCAAAATTCCTACGGCATCCCGCAGTATTACGATTCGTTATGTTTCCGATCTTGGACAACACCATGATATGATTTGTATATATATCATTTTACCTCTCGTTGAAACTTTCCACCTCCGCAGCTCGTGTCGCCAAGGAGGAACCAAGGACAATGCCTCTCACAGCAGCATCCCCGGAGTATTTACATGTCCTTCAAAATGTATCACTCATTCTCTTAGCGGCATTCTTTACACCTTTATGTACATTCATTGCTGTTTGCGCCTGGATCACCTCTCCATTTACCAGCATCGCAAAGCACATCAAGCATCACCGGGAATGGCGCCAGAAATCTTCACCCACCTTCAGACCACGCACGATTCTGGTCACGGGAGTGGGAATGAGTAAAGGTCTTACTCTCGCTCGAGCATTCTACCGCGCAGGTCATCGTGTTATCGGCGCGGATTTCGAACCGTATTATGTTCCTGTGTCAGGCCATTTCTCAAAGTCCATTGAGAAATTCTTTAGGCTGGAGAAACCGAGCCAGAAAACTGGTTCGGCGGGGTATATTCAGGATTTGGTGTCTGTGATCAAGAAGGAAGGAGTGGAATTGTGGGTTAGTTGTTCGGGTGTTGCGTCGGCCGTGGAAGATGGTGAAGCAGCTGAGCTCGTGGAGAAGGAAACGGGTTGCAAAGCTGTACAGTACGGCCCTACGTTGACGGAAACGCTGCATGAGAAACATTCTTTTATTGAACATACCAAGAAATTGGGTCTCAATGTGCCTACTACGAGGCTTGTTACTTCTGAGACGGAAGCACTAAGTGCGTTGTATCCATCAGCACGTTCGTCTCCTCGACTAGAGAAACCGCAATTCATCGCAGCGGAGAAATATATTATGAAGCCTGTTGGAATGGACGACACACTTCGAGCCGACATGACGTTACTCCCACTCCCCACGATCAAAGAAACAGAAGCTCATGTCAGACGTATGAACCCAACGCCCTTCCGACCATTTGTCCTCCAACAATTCATCTCCGGTCCAGAATACTGCACCCACACCCTCGTCATCAACGGCGAAATAAAGTGTTTCGTCGCCTGTCCCTCTTCGGATCTTCTAATGCACTACATCGCGCTCCCTACCAACTCCGCTCTATCTCAGGCTATGTACGCCTACACCGTCGAATACACCCAGAAGACTACCCCCAAAATGACCGGGCACTTCTCTCTTGATTTCCTCGTCCCAGGCCCCATCGCCAGGAACGCCGAACAAACCTTCGGAGCCTCGGACGAGGAGATTCAGGGCCTCATGAAACATTTATATCCCATTGAATGTAACCCCCGCGCTCACACCGCCGTCGTCCTTTTCTCAGACGAGAGCGAAGACCTAGCCGACGCATACGTAGAATACCTACCCGACCACGAACCCAAAGGGATTTCCACCACTCACTCCGACCCGCATGAACTCATCGTCCCCGCGCCATCCATCCCAGGATACTACTGGATAAACCACGACATCGTCTCACTCCTGCTATTTCCCATTTTACGACTTCTCAGAGGCGAAATCGGGATTACAGAGGTAGTTGAGAGGTGGACGACGTTCGTGGAACACGTGTTGTTCTGGCGAGATGGGAATTTTGTGGTGTGGGATCCGTGGCCGTGGTGGTGGAGTATTGTGGGGTATTGGCCTGCTATGTTTTTGGTCTGTTTGTGGGAGAGGAGGTGGTGGAGTAGGTGTAATGTTAGTACGGGGAAGTTGTTTGAGTGCTGATGGATGAGGGATGGAGAAGGCTGTGGGAAGGGGATGAGACGTTGAGAGATTGAGAGATTAGAGGTTGGGATTTATCGGGGTGCTTAAAAGTTTGGATGAGCAGATAGCTGGTCAAAAGTTATCTGTCGGAAGTGGAGACTACGGTCTATTAAGTATATATATGAGGCGATGAAGAAAACATATAAAGATGTCATAACACAAGACCATCAGGAATGAAGGCAGAATCACAAGCCGTAAACACTAGGGCCTCTCATAATGATATAATCATATGACTCTAAAATCTCCCCTGAAGACTGGATGGCTCACAAGATAAGACATACGCAATGAGGACTTCGAATTTACAACCGAATTTCAATCAAACCATGGTATTCAATAACACTCTAGATCTACACCATCCATACAAGGTATCCACAAACTGTCTACTCCAAACATCCATCCCATCGCCAAACGCTACACAATCACCACCAGTAAACATACAAGAAACGCCAATAATCTCGCGCTTCCTCGCCAAAACCACAAATCTACTAAACCTGGAAAACAAAGGTCCCACCATACATAGATGCACATTCATTAGTTACTCAAACACATAATTTATCTCTATATCTGACTCCTAGTCACGTCGCCTCCTTCATATTTCCAACTTGGAAACCGACTCTACGGACCCCCCTCACTCGTGCTGGACGGCTTCGGACCCGCCGGTAAATACAAACTTGGGACTCTAGGAACCCTCGGGCTACGAGGCGGTTGACTCATGCCTCGTCGGTCTGCACGAAGATTTTCTCGAAAGCGCTCGTTGTCTCTAGTTCTGCCACCCGTGAGTCGTCTAACAACACTGCTTCGCGTGCCTTGGCTAAGTGGCTTGATCATATTTTCAAGGAAGAATGATCCTTGTCCGGATTGTGCTGTCTTCTCCTCATCACCATCCGAGAATACCTCTTCCGTATAATCCTCGTCAGATAAATAGTTCGTCCCGCTCGCTTGTATGCTGGAAGGTGCCGATGGCGAAGTGACGGATCTTGCATGCAACGAGGGACGGGGGACAGAGGTGCTGACCTTAAAAGCGCCTGGGTTCATGGCGTTCGAGGTGACCTGGCTGCCAGGAACGGCTCGGTCGGTAAAACCATTCTGGAAAGAAGCACTGCTCGAGGTTCGCGCGAGAGATTGGTGAAGAATAGGAAGAGTCTGCTCATCGTACAATGTACGGTCGTCAGATTCGCGAAACGCTGACTCTGCAAAACCTGCTTCGGTGATCGTCCTTGATGAGCGCCCATCACTTGTCGGGCTTGCTAGACTATCTTCAAAGAAGTCATCCAGGCTGTCTAGTTTTAGCACGAGACTCTCGATGTGGCCATCTCCGCGAGCTTCATCGGACATCATCGTCTCTGTTCGCTCCGGCGCGGGGAAGTAACCATATTGGAAGTCGTCTACATGAAATTCGACCTCTGGAGTAGGCGCTGGCTCTTCATCCATATTCTCTGTGCTCTGACACATATAAAATGCGGCGTGAACATTGGCTCTCGTTGTTTCCGCATGTTTAGCTGGGACCGGGATTGACCACCCCGATTCTTCAGGAATACCGAAAAGACTTGGAGTGCGGCCGTACTCTTTCCGAATTGCCTTTGATGATGAACGAGTCATACTCATTCTCAGATGATGCTTATCCATGGGTGTCTGCGCCATCGTCATAATTCTATCCAGAACCTCCAAGGCTTGCATGCAAAATCCCGTCTGTAATAATCGTAGGAGCGGGGAGATTAGATCGGGGCCATGTGAAGCGATTTTAGGGGTTTCCATATCGATATCAGGGATAATTGAACATAGTATGCGCATGGTCTTCAATTTAAACCAAGGAATACTGTTCGTCAATAAACCCATAAGGAAAGTCAAGCTTCCAAAGTCCCACTGCGGGAAGAATGTTTCTCTAAGAGCAGAGACGAGTTGAGAGAGGAAGTCTTTGCTTGACCGATATCGTGACGCAGCAAAGCCACTTAAAGCCCGAGAGATAGTGCTATAACCAGAGGCTTCTGCGACCTCGGCGAGAATTTCAGCAGTCTTGATGCTCTTAGCGTCGATATTGCTTTGATCCATAGCATTTAAAAATCCTGGAAAATTGCCCAAGATGGCGAAAAGCAAGCGACTATCGTCCCCAATAAGCTCATCGTCTGGAAGTTGTACCAAATTATTGAGGACTCTGAGCGTCAAATCTGAGCAAACAGATGATCGAAGACCTTTATAAACAAGAGCTTGAAGACCACCGAAATGTCCTTCCCATCTAGGAGGTCGCCCATCCAAGAGGAGACACCGCACCGCTGGATCTGAGAAGTCGAGTCTAACCATTAATTCCTCTAACATGCCAAGAGCCTCCAAAAATTCTCGCTCGTTAATAGTGTCCAAACAAGCACAAGTAGTCCAGAAAAGCTGTGGAAAATTCAGCAAATCCGAGGGCTCGAGCTTGCAGATAAGGGTCTTGAGTGTTGTCAGAATTTCCATAGAAAAGGTTTGTACATCTTTGTCATCATCTGCAATAGTATTCGACAATCGAGCAAGCATATCTGCAAGCATAGGTTGGTCAAGAGAGGTGAGAATGCAGCGGAATATTTGAAAAGACCGACAAGCAAGATGTCGCACTGGGCAAGACGTCGCCCAAGTCAAAGATAGCTTGCCCCACCGCTCTTGAACACCTGGATACGAAACTTCGAAGAACTTGACCACTTCAGTAGTGAGATTCTCCATGCTAGCTGGGACTTTGTTATCTTGATCATCGACTTTGCCATTGTTATCTTCGTAAGCCCAAACCACGTTCACATCATGCCGGCGAATGGACTCAATGAAATCTTCAATAGATTTCTTCGCGTGCAATGAAAATTCATCATCAGTCTTTGATAAGACTAGCTCATGCATGAGATGAATGAGCATCTCCCGAGCTTGTTCTTGAACGAGTGGAATATAATGGTCCCAAAGCACAGTAACGACCTGAAGCAAAAGTGGTACATTCTCTGCCACTAGCTGATCTGGAGAAACCATTAAGTCGACAAGAAGTATGAGCGACAGTTGTCCCAAGGAAAACCCAGACTGCTTGTTGGCTCCCATTGGAAGCGCGTCAGAAAGCTCTGCCACATACGGCAATTTCACGGAGTCTGGTGGTGGCGGGATAAGTTCTCGCTTTTCATTCGGTATCATCGCTTTTGGTGTGATCTGCATCAAAAGAAACTCCACAACTTTCACTCCAGCCGGAGTACTGGAGAGGAAAACAACTATCTGTTTTGCATATTCAACAAAGTTCTGTTCCCGACGATCGAGGCAGAGCGACATGATGAAGTCCAGCACAAGTTGCACGTTTCCAGCGTGAGGTCCCGTGGCGAGTGCTTGCCATAAAGCTTGGACTTCATGATGGAGTCCGCTGCTTGACTTTATAGTGATTTCGAATAAATTGGCTAGAAGAACATAAGAGTAAGCTGTTGGACCCCCATTAGGGTCAAGCTGCAACTCGATGATTTGAATCCAAGGAAGGATCACCGCTACCATGTTGCGTTGGGCATCAGGCTGGAGGTCCTTAAAGTATGCTGTAAATTCCGAGAAGATAAGGAATGCTAATTCCGAGTGTTTTTGCGAAAGGCGTTTGGAGATCTCGAATTGTGCAAGCTTGTAAACAGCCTTCGTTTTGTCTGATATACTGATATCGTAATCTTGGATCTTGGAGCTTTTTGCTTGTCTTTCCTCAAGTGCACGTAGAACCCGAGCTGATTTAGAGCGAATTTCACTGAGCTCGCTGCCAAGAGTATACAACCCTACTGCCAACAGCCTCCAAAAAGGCATTGGATAGTCTGGATGTTCAAGCAGTACCTCGGTTACAACCTGAAAGTAACTCTCGAGAACTTTGGGTACGTCAGCTAGATAGCACCTCGATATCGAATGTTCTAACAGATACGGAAAATCCTTGTTGTGGATGATAAGATTTTTCAGGGCTCTTCTACCAATGGCGTGCATTCTATCACTGCCAACGCTAAATATCGTATCAATCCAGGAGAGCATACGCCGGATATCAAATTGCAAGTTAGCTTTACTTTCAGTAGTTACGCTGACGGGACCGCCACATAGGGCAGCCATGGCACTCAAAGCAGCTGTTTTGAGATTCCGCTTCTCGATTTCCATTGCAGCCGTCACGGTGCCACGTTCGCCGAGACTTTGTTGGTCAATCATTGATTGCCTCATACTATCTTCTCTCTGGCGAATTTGGGTTTGGTTTGGAGAATATCCACACCAATCTTCCATCAACGCAAATGAAGATTTTCGAGATTCGAAGGTCATCCATCGGGAGGTGTCTTTGGTACGATTTATACCCTCAAATAGTTCTTCCATCAAACCACAATAGTGCCTGCGGAGTTTTTGAAACTCCCAATCCATTTGAACCTCGCCATCCATCAAGAAAAGTTTGAGGTCTTTTGTGTAGGCTACCAAGTTGTTAAGAATCCAGTCGTCTTCGTATATGTCTGGTTCCTTTAGGAAATGAGACGTTAATCTATAAACGTGGGTAATTTCTGTCCTCAGGAGGTCGATCTTGCGGTTTCTTCTCGGACTGCTAACAGTCCGCTGGTGCATACGCGCCCTGGCATCCTCGTTACACCGTGCTACCGCACTAGATAGCTCTTCTAGCAGTGTTTTATAGATGTTGACATTTATCGATCCGAGTGCCACGACAACTGCATCTCTGATTGAAGCGGGGCTAACGGACAGCAGCGGGATAATATACTTGAACAAGGACCGAGCAGAAGTTATTTTTTCTTGAGTCTGAACTGGTTTGGAGCCTTTGCGGAGATGCTGCATTTGTGGCGCAATGGGCTGCTGCCCTCCTTTATCAGACAGTGTTGTACAGGCAACTATCAGGTATAGCTTCCACTGTTCAATCAGAACTTCAGGCGGCGTAGTCGATGATCTGGATAGAAAGCGACCACTTCCTGGCTCTATACGATCGAAGGATCCGTAGTGTGGTCCCCGAGTGGCCTCTGAGAGGGACACAATTCCCTTGTACATTTGCAAAATGCGGTTACAGATAAGTTCCCTCCCCAGGGTGACAGCGAACGGGCAACGGTCGTAGCTGATTCTTATCAAATTTGGAAAGATCTTGAACCAGAGCGTGGTATCATAAGATATTTCGCTACTACACAGCTCAATTAACGCATTCTGAGAATTGCTCTTCCGCATGCCTCTTTGCAACCTGCTACGCTCAGCAACAGAGAGATGTTCATCATTGAAATCCATGACCCGCATAGAGTCGCCCTCGAGAATGTGTATGATTCGGCCATTATCTTTACCTAACGCGGTGTCGAACTCGGTAATCAGGCGAAGCACGGTAACAGCGAACGCCCTCACTTGTCGAGATTGAGAGCAAAGAAAGAACAAGCCGTGGGACTCAAGCTCGTCAATCTGCGCCCAGATCCCCGAGAGATCTAATTTGATGCCCCGCATATCTGGATTGCCATCCTCGCTATCATCGTCAACTGCTCCTCTTGTCTTTTGCTTGATCTCTTCGATCCATATCTGTAACAACTCTATATAAAGTTTCAGCGTACTATCAATATGACTAGCTCCAAGCATGCCGCCGTCAGACATCGTAGAATATCTGTCATCGAAATTAAAGATGAACCTAGCAAAGCCGATGGTAACTTGTTGCGCTTGTGACTGCCGAGCGATGGATTTGAGAGACTGTGCTGATGATTCGGCAATATTGTATTGCACATGTGCAGTTCCAGTACATAAAAGGTTGACTAGTGACTTGATGGGGATATCGGTTGATAAGCATCTGGGCAGAGCTTGCACCGCAACGTGAAGGAGCTCGTAAAACCCTTGCTTCATTTCTGAAGGACTCAGATGGTCATCCCTACGTCCAAAGTTGAACGTTTCCGCGATGGGAGTTTTGGGAATGGGACTGTTGAACTTCTCGTCAAGCACGGCTTGTCCACCAAAGGTGTTGTCGCAAATAATAGTGATTTTTCCAAGAATCTCGCAAAACCTTGCGTAATATTCCCGAGCAACGTCGCCGAGCGAATTCGTCAGTACGGGGCGAGACAAGCGATCTTCTCCTCTGGATGTCGACGTCATGGGCAGTACTGGACTTCGTGGCGCCGTCATTACGGGCGAAGTTGGAAGCCTGTCAAAGAGATGTCCAGAGTGGTAATGCTGAGGGAATGGCGGCCTGCCTTGGTCACCCTTTTCTAGATCCGACATGATAGCAAGGAAGGCACGAATTCCGATGACCACCTTTTCTGGTTCAAGCTGCTCTATCTTGAAATCTTTGAGCTCCCGACTAGAAGCAAAGAGATCCGCGTTGATAAGTGGGAATACGATTGTTCGAAAGCAGTAATCCTGATGCTTAAACCCAATGATTCGGATTATCTGAATCAATGGTTCTGCAATGGAAGGATCTGTTGAAACGTACGACCTTCTACCCGGCGGAAGGACAAGCTTCATAACTTCTTCAAGTTTTTTGATCGTAACGTTTTGAGAATCAGAACAAGAGCGATAGAGATATGTCCATAGCAGGCGAGAGATGACCTGTAAACATATAGGACGAGAGTATCTATCCTTGAACTTAGGCTGTAATGGCAGCACCAGCTGAAGCCACTGCGCAGAAAAGGTCTCTATTGGAGAAACACAAAGAAGTGTGGCTGTCATTGGAAATGCAATAGACCAATGCCGTGGTTTGATGAACATGGAAGCAAGGCGCGGGCCAATAGTAGAAAGAACCTCTGTCCACTTAGGCACATTCAGTTCTGTATTTGCTGTGGCCGCTACTGGGAGGAGGAGGATTTCTAGCGCTTGGCAATATGCGTATTTAAGGCGGTGACCTGAAGAACGGGCAAAGAAGCGACCAAGAGAAATCATGAAATCGCAGGACTGATCCCAAATGTCTTCTGGGTAGGTTTTGAGGCGTAGATGCTTCATTCCACCCAAGACAAGCTCCATCCTTCCCTCCATTTCCCTATTCGCTGGTCCTTTGCCTATGAGATCCTTCTGCGACTTTTCGAGGTCGGCAATAAAGCGATCCGTAACACTTTCAAAATTAATTTCGCTCATGACTCCGAGTAGTTGACTGAAAAGAAACCAATTTGCCATCTTCAGAGAAGAATTGCTGAGCTGATCTGCGTCCGCGATTTTCAACTGGCCGAAAATAATACCTTCTAATTTCTCTTCCATCTCGGGTGTGATACATGTCAGTGTGCTTTGTCCAATCACCTCTATCAGCACACGACAGAGGATGTAGATTGATGCTGTAGATCGACGTTCTGCTTGGGCAACGAATTCTTGTCGTGCAGCAATGGAAAGCGGGTTGCCAGAAGCATCTGATTCAGAAAGAGCGTGATGGGGTTCCGTATTTCTTCGCGGAAGCGGAGCAGAGGGGAGGCCGACACTTCGAGACTGGTAAAAAGTAAGTCTAATCTGTTCATTGAGTCTGTGATAATCGTGTTTGTGTTAATTCTAACGCGAGAACGGGAGCGCCTTTCCCCTACCCAAACATATCGAAGCAAGAGAAAAAAACACAGACAATAGACATCTCTCATAGGTAAGGACTTAAACACGAAAAGGGTCAAAGCAAAATGAAATTTGCACCGCTTTTAATTCAAGGTAACACGTACCTGCTGTAGTTGACTTCTAGCATCGTTTGCTGCATCACTCTTATTCCTGCGCCACAACATCATCGAGTCAATAAGTGGTTTAGGCTTCTGGCTTGCGATATGGCCAAGCGCTGAGATCAGCTGGTCGAACGTAGGGTCCACGCCAGGTCCGCATATTTGTTCGATGTGCGGTTCAGGATCAAGTGGAACCGTTATACACAGGTTTATCTTCTCTTCCGCTTGCGCAATGAACTGAGCAAATGTTATTAAAGATCAAATAAGTACAAGTCGAGGAACTGACGGATGTAAAAAGTACATGCAACGCATATTCGCCAACAGTCTTTACATCTTCCTTATGCCGCGAATGCGAATGATTATGACCGACGCCTCTGCGACTCCTTCCGCTTGACACTCTCTCCACTCTGCGCTGTGTTAAGGTGTGGTTGCTTTGCTCCGTCGGCGGTCGGTCAGGTACCAAAGTTGAACTGGAGCTGAACGATGTATTGGAACTCATGGTCGACAACGATGAAGCATAGGCCGATTCGGCCATGCTTGATACATTAGATCCAACACCAACAGCAGCGATCATCTGCGGACTGAGTGGACCTGATGAAGAGCTCGCAAGACTTCCATTCCTCGAGTGCTGCGAATGCTGAATGCCATGTACGATGCTCGTTTGACGGTTGTGTGTCTTAGAGTCGGTCGCTACTCGAGGAGATAAGCTGGCGACGAAGTTTTGATAACTTTGGATCTGTAGAGGTTCGCGGTCGCCGTTCGAGGTCTGTATGGACGATGGTGGAGAGGCGGGTTTCAAGGTTGTGTTCCACACGTCCACGGCAGTTGGATGATAACCACTTGTCAATCTCTCGTTGCCCTCTGGGGAATGACCTTAAGCACAGAAGTGTCAGCGTGTACTTGCATGCAGTCGTAATAACCTGGATGTGCAACGGGTTTGCAGTAGAAGACGGGGATGTGGTGTCGGAGCCCTCGAAAGACTAGATAGACAGAGGCCAAGAAGGTCTCATATGGTAGGGAGCTAAAATAAAAGAAGCACTAGGAGAGGCACCGTGCCAACGACTTACTCATTGTTTCGCAAGGTGTATTCGCGATACTTCATGGTCCATTGCAAATACAAGACTTTCCTAGAGAATCTGCAAATGTAACGAGCATCGCAAATTGAAGCTCGTCACCGCATCTGCAAAATATTGATGCCCAGGTGGTCCGGAGTCGAGCATCAATATCGAGCAGCCAATAAGCGCACAGCTGCCCCTGGATTGGGGTCCAAGTCAGCTGCAACGAGGATCCTGGCCGAGGGGTACGACTCTTCGGGTCTTTCAAGATATCTTGGATCTCGAATCTTTTGTTGGTCAAATGAAATAGAATGGGCATGATTTTAGGCAGTTTTGAATGATCCAAACTGTTCTTCTAATCAAGATTGAGCAAATCTGTTAGTTATGCTAGATTTTGTCTCTAATTGTGGCGGACAAACATGATCCATAAAATCTTGCATATATATATATATATACCCATTTTAAAACCATGTTTCGAAAGTGAAAGAAGAGAACTACATACGGGAGAGACGCTAATGAAGCTTGTAACAAAACAACAAATGCCGTTGAGAACCCCTACGTTCAGCTATTTTTGATTGATAAATGTCTATAGCGGAAAGAGTAATATTTACAGACTGCATACTTATCACACATTGAAGTGATTATACTAAATAATTTGACACGAGAATAGCGAGACGGCCAAACATGTGCTTTACCTCGTCTTAATATTCCGATGGACTGTCCTCCTTTTCAAGAATAATACATATCTGCCAGCTATTGGGAATATCGAGCACCAAGATCCACAGCCCTAGCGATTCCAAGCTTCCAGAAACACTAAATTAGGCAAAGAAGCATTTTGTAGGGCTGACTACCTTTATGCAAATGCAATATGATGTTTACCTGCTTTGGGTACCATATTGCGGAAATTTGCAAGACTTTGTTGAAGCGTGGGTTACGGTGTAGACAGATTTCTCAAAGAACCACGTTCTCTGAGCCAACTGATGCGACGAATCCATGAAAGGTGTTTTCATCGGGACAGATAGGAGCCTTTCTGCATCGTTGTCAAGTACAAAGAGAAAAGACAATCAAGAAAAACGATGTTTGAAGAATCAATGATCCGAATACGAATTCTTTCGTCACATGCAAGAAAGAGCGCGGAACCAGTCCGCAATTTACGACAATTTGTATCTGTACCAGAATGGAAGAACATGCTCTAGGAAGGAAAATGAAGGATGCAAGATCATATATACCATGCGGAACAGTAAGTGAGCTGAGATCTAGATAACCTTAAAAATACATCATATGTTGAAATCCCTCTGTGCTTATGTTGCGAGATAATCTTCCACTCTTCCTGCACGACCCCTGAATTGTAAGAATCATCGCCGGACCGGCTTCGAGGACGTCCGATTATCCTTAGCGTATATTTCACCACATCCAACAATATTTGTTGTGGCCACGAACTTGCAGTCTAATCTCTCACTCAGGTATTCCTGCGCCTGCCGTTCGCCTTTCCTATTTGCCGGTATAGACTTGTTGGTCGCTTTCTCTTTGCCTCTTTAATTTTACGTCAACAAGGTATTCGCATTCATCTCAATATCTGGCCACAATTCTCCGACGTTCAACTCCATAATCAACATGGCTCAACTCGACACGCTGGACATTATTGTCCTGGCAGCCATCTGCCTGGGAACGGTCGCATACTTTACAAAGGGCACATATTGGGGAATTACTCAAGATCCATATGCCTCGACTTACTCCGCTGCTAACAGCAGCAAGGCGGGGAAGACCAGGAACATTCTTGAGAAGATGGAGGAATCGAACAAGAACTGCGTAGTATTTTACGGCTCGCAGACAGGTACCGCCGAGGATTACGCTTCCAGGTTAGCGAAGGAGGGCAAAAGTAGATACGGGTTGGAGACAATGGTTGCGGATCTCGAGGACTACGATTACGAGAATCTAGACTCTTTCCCTGAAGATAAGATAGCCATGTTTGTTCTAGCTACCTATGGCGAGGGAGAACCTACCGATAATGCCGTGGATTTCTACGAGTTCATCACTGGAGAGTCGCCTTCATTCTCGAACGAATCTGAGCCGCCGCTAGGAAATCTCAAGTTTGTCGCATTCGGTCTTGGAAACAATACCTACGAGCATTACAACTCTATGGTTCGAGATGTAACTAAGGCGCTTGAGAAATTGGGTGCCACCAAGATTGGCGCTGCTGGCGAAGGGGATGATGGGGCTGGTACAATGGAGGAAGATTTCCTTGCCTGGAAGGATCCTATGTGGGTTGATCTGGCCGAGAAGATGGGACTCGAGGAGCGCGAAGCTGTCTACGAGCCAGTATTTGCCATCACAGAAAGAGAAGGCTTAACCAAAGACTCCCCCGAAGTCTATCTGGGCGAGCCTAACAAGATGCATCTCGAAGGTGCTTCCAAGGGTCCTTACAACGCTCACAACCCTTACATCGCCCCTATTGCCGAATCTCGCGAGATATTCACGGTCAAGGACCGAAACTGTCTCCATATGGAAATAGATATCAGCGGCTCAAACCTCAGCTACCAGACTGGTGATCACGTTGCAGTATGGCCCACAAATGCTGGACGGGAAGTCGATAGATTCCTTAAAGTGACCGGGCTTCTACCAAAGAGGGACACCGTTGTTGGGGTCAAAGCTCTGGATCCAACAGCGAAGGTTCCATTTCCCACACCGACAACTTATGACGCTATCGTAAGATATCATATGGAAATTGGAGCTCCTGTTTCTCGTCAATTCCTTGCCACCCTCGCCCCTTTCGCACCGACCGAAGCTGCAAAAGCAGAAATGGCCAAGCTTGGTAGCGACAAAGACTACTTCCACGAAAAGATCAGCAACCAGTACCTGAACATCGCACAAGTTCTCCAGGCCGTTGCTGGCGACGAGAAGTGGACTTCAATTCCATTCTCTGCGTTTATTGAAGGTGTTAACAAGGTTCAACCTCGCTACTACTCTATCTCATCTTCCTCCCTCGTCCAGAAAAAGAAGATTTCAGTTACTGCCATTGTCGAATCAATGCATATCCCCGGCCGTGAAGATGCTCTCAAGGGTGTCACAACGAATTATCTCTTGGCATTGAAGCAAAAACAAAATGGCGATCCGAGCCCAGATCCACATGGCTTGACATACGACATCACCGGGCCTCGAAACAAGTACGATGGTGTTCACGTCCCCGTTCATGTACGACACTCAAACTTCAAGCTTCCTTCCGATCCATCAAAGCCAATTATCATGGTTGGACCAGGAACTGGAGTTGCACCCTTCCGAGCATTCGTCCAGGAGCGAGCGCAACAAGCGAAGAATGGAGAAAATGTTGGTCGAACGCTTCTTTTCTTTGGATGCAGAAAATCAACGGAAGATTTCTTGTACTCTGATGAGTGGGAAACATACAAGAAGGACCTCGGGGACAAGTTTGAATTGATTACTGCATTTTCTAGAGAGACCCCGGGTAAGAAAGTGTACGTCCAACATCGCTTAAGTGAGCGTGCGAAAGAAGTCAACGAGCTGCTCCAACAGAAGGCATATTTCTACGTGTGCGGTGACGCGGCGAACATGGCGAGGGAAGTTAATACAATCCTTGGCAAAATCATTGCTGAGCAGCGTGGCATTCCCGAAACCAAAGCCGAAGATATCGTGAAGGGAATGCGTTCCGCTAATCAATACCAAGTAAGTTCCCTCAACTCCACTTCGTTTGAACCAACCTCCACACTGCTCACGGCTCCCGGCTCCTCTGTTCGGGACTTTGATTGCGACATCATGTTCCCGATGTATCACCGGTCGTGGATTGGCCCTTGCACGATTCCAGCTTATACAAGCCAAACAGATGCTGACTTTAACTTTCTAGGAGGATGTGTGGTCATGAACACAAAGAGTTTGCTCTTGCGATACGACGACTCGACTTTCATATTTTGGGGGTGAGATCTCAGCACTAACGCGCCTGGTATTCCGCGAGGGATCTACAGCGCACCACGAGCCGCATTTTAGCGGAACTGTTGCCCAGCGTTTGCAAATTACGAGTTCTCCGGAGTTTTCACGCATTTACACTTCGCGGGTCTGCTGCTGCTGGGTAGCGATTATCGGGTCCTCTGCTTTGCCTTTGGTGGAAGGATTGCTGTTTAATATAAGAACGCAGGTGGGGGCGCAATGGGTGGATTATCTCAGATAGATGGATATTCGCCTTTTAGGATTCCCTATTCATTACATAGATTCCTGTTACATTGTTTGTTGGTATGAAGTTGTAGTTAGGTAGTCATCATGAGCTGATAATTCAACACAAAAACTCGATACTCTGCTCTCTTATTGTTAGAGGAAATGTTTAGATTCATGGTGCTTGGCGAATGTCTCTCGATGGTTAGAAGGATTGATTGAGACACTACTCCACAAACGTCTCAACAACATGCCATCGTGCAACACTCCCTTACACACGCGTTTGATGTCTAACTCAGAATAAATCTGTCCAGCTTCATTCGTAGGTTAGTAGTAGATAAGCTCGAGGTGACCGAATCCCAGTAATCCGGAGAAGACACATTGATGTTCCACTGCATTTGTAGTGTGGCTTTCACGCTCTTGCACGCGACGGTCTTCGATGGTTTGTGCCTACTGTTATTTACCCCTCGTCAGAATATCTGGCAAACATCCCTGGGTGTTTGGAGACGAAAGGCGGAAGCGATGGCAAGTGGCGTTATGCGGCCCTTGTTCCCATGTACCCCGATTTTCTAGTAACGACATCTCTTGGACTTACAAACGGAATATACAGGATCTTTGATTTCTCAGATTGAAAAATATCAACTTTCTATTAAACTTAAGTAGAAAGCATTCACAAAGTTCCATTCTTTCATTGGGCTGTTGCGATTTGCCATCTTGCTGGTTGCTGATCGTCTTTGCTTTTTCCAACCCCTCGGATTGTGCATCTTATTCGAAGAACAAACATGAATACGCAGGGAGATTCCATGTCTGAAGCTGTATCGGGGTTATGAGTCTTTAAATCTGATGGATTTGGTTCAGTCTTCTGTGGAAGAATGACTAGAACTATCCACGTTGATACTCAAGACGTAGGGTTGTTGAAGAAAAATACTTAAAAATTACTCTGACAGTTCAGTATTTATTCTTTGCTCAGTCCAGGCCTACGATTCATGGAGTGTTGAGTCCCAGATTTTGTCATAATGATGAGCTTCTAAGGGTTCATGATCAGGTCAAAACAGATAAGGTGATGGCTTGTGGCTGCTGAAGCGACGAACGACTGAGTAAGACATCTAAAGGACCAGAATACATCTTGACGACAATTCATCACATATCATAATTCAAGAGAGGGCTATTGGAAGAATCTTTGGGTGCTCTATGGAAATAAAGTATGATAGGACTCAGTTTGCCATCGTCTTGCAGAAGCAATCACTTACCAGATAGAAGACGATGCAGGACATCTTTCCCTCAGTGGGCCTGTCTTAGTCGTCTTCCTTGCGCTTCACAGAATTACTTGCAGTCTCAGAAGCAGCAGTGTCATGCGTGCATGGCGAAAGCATAGATCGACCATAAAGAAGACCTTCTCCTCTTCCTTTTTCTCATATGTACGTCTTTATGCAGCATTATCCAGTACCTGATATCAATAACCTCAAATCGGCAGATATTGTTATTAACACGGAGATAGAGAGTGAAAGTCGGACGATTCTCATTCTTACCGGATCAATTCCCAGCCGGATGCTTCATCCTGAACTTCGTCATCTACTCCCATCGCGCCTCCATTGTTTACTTACCACGGCACTCGATTCGAGGTGGTGCCTCCTACCAAATTTGGCGCTAGACATCGCACCTTCCCATCACCTCAGCATCGGGAGAGGTGAACAAAATCTCTGTCCCTCTCCTTCTCTGCATCATCTTCTTTCTTCTTCTTCTCTCCAACCCATTCGACAACTCTCTCTTTTCACAACTTCTACAACCAAATCAATTCTGGCACGATAGCTTCCTATCTTAAATAAAGACACCACTCGCTACCCGAACATCGAAATCACAGCCTTCTTGTCTTTCAAAAAGTTAGCGTCGACTTCACAAGTTGACTGCTTCTTGATCTTTTTTGCAATAGAGTGTTAGATTTCCCCTGGCAAAGGTACGTTTACAGATTCGATTAATCATGGAAGATGCTGATGAGATAGCAGGCCATTGCTTCCAGGAAGCCAAAATCGACGGACTACTGTTTTAACAAAAAAGCTTGTGATCGTGAGTCTACAACTTTCGCAACCTCACCTTCACTTCCCAGCCATTTTTTCCAACATCACCTGTTTTCTCCACACCCGCAACTCGGGACTGTTGTATTCACCAAACTTTGTGGTGTCATGACTTCTGGTGCTCAACTATATTTCTGCTGCGCCATCTCATTTCTACTTTCCCTTCAACATCTACCTCCAGCATTTTTTCCTCCGCATATAATCGTTCGATTCGTTTCATCAACACCATCGATAATTGCATAGATAGCAAGCTAAATCTTTCTGATTAGATTACCATGTCTTACCAACAAACTGCGAGCCATCCGGAGGCTAATTTCCCTCCTCGTCCAACATCCGCCATGTATAACCAAAATCAGATCCGCACTCCGCGTGAGTCTCAATCTCAAGCAAATGCTTCAACCCCATCGACCGACGCAATGACCGCCATGATGAGCCAATTTGCCGGTCTAAGCATCCCAGCTGCCAATCTGACCGCCGGTGCAGCTCCCATGGGACCGCAATTGCAATACTACTTCAATCAAGATGGACAACCATTTATCGGTCCTGCCGCAGCTGCTGCCGGCATGTATACTCAACAACAGATGGCACCTGCGCAACTTTCGGAACTTTACAATCCATACCAAACTGCCGCCGCCGTTCAGCAGGCATCCTATCTGACCCAAGCTTCTTATGCTGGGTTCCCTGGGTACACCATGATGCCATACCCCTCAGCTCGTGCCGGTTACTATGCAGATCGTACTGAGCATCACAAAGACGTTCCAGGTCTTGAGAATCGACGAGGCTCCTACTCCACCACCAACGAGTCCGCCCCAAGCACTCCATATTACGGCGCTCTCCAACGCGAGCAAGGTGGAACTCACATCGCTGCCGTTGATCGATCTGTCTTTGGATCTACGCCTTCTCCACAGCAATTGGCTACTCAGCACGCTGACCAGCATGTCACCAAGCCTCTGCCATACAAGACCATTCCAATCAATGTTGATCTCGACGCTTTGCTTGTTCAACACCCAATCATTCCCCGGGCAATTCCTGCAATCTTCACACCTCGTGAGAACATTCGAACTCTCGACCAGAGCTTATCCAACCCAATCCCCAACAATCGAAACGTCTACATCCGTGGCCTCCACCCAAATACCGATGACGAGACACTCGCAGCTTACGCTTCTCGTTTCGGAGCAGTCGAGACATCCAAGGCCATTATTGATACATCCACTGGGGCTTGTAAAGGGTCAGTTTTGCACATCGAGTCCAAAAATATTCTCGTCACTAACGCTCCCATAGATTTGGGTTTGCAAAGTACCATAACGTTCGTGATTCGGAGCTCTGTATTCGTGGATTTTACAAGCTTGGATATGAAGTTGGCTTTGCTAGGGTAGATTCCCCTCATTCCTTGAGCCGCGGTGGAAGTACTAAATTCTTTCAGGAATCTTTCAACTCGCGCCTCAAGGCTGAGGGTGATGAGTCTTCCACGAACCTCTACGTGTCCAACCTGCCAAAAAACATGACTGAGTCGGTCAGTTTGACACCCAAATGATAAATGAAGGGTCGCTAACAGTATTGCAGGAACTTGGTGCTATTTTCATGGATTACACTGTCAGCTCCAGCAGAATCCTTCGAAATTCCAATAACGAAAGCCGTGGCGTTGGCTTTGCCAGGTAGAATAACCTTGAATGCCCCTCCAACGACCTCTACCTGACTGTTGTCTAGATTCGAGACTCGCGAAATCTGTGATGAGATCATCCGCAAGTTTCACGGTCAGCCAATTGGTGAAGAAGGTCTCCTCCTCCAAGTTCGTTTCGCCGACACCCCAGCTCAAAAGGACCTCAAGCGCATCACTACGGAGCGTCGTCAATTCAGAACCAACGAGTACAATGTCGGTGCTTATGGTGCTGGATCGGACATCATGACCTTGTCACCACCGATTTCATCTCCAGTCCTTCCTCGCACCGGCATGATTGCCCAACACCTTCCAGCTTCTCGTGCAAGCGGTTCTTGGAAGCGGGATGGTTCTGCTAGCGGGTAAGCACAACTCCTGAGTTTGATTCGGAATGAACTGACCTCTTCACAGATCATCTATTGGAATTGCTACGTTCAAAGATATTGATCGCCAACCCAAGGTGGAGTTGATCGAGGCGACTCCAAACAAGTCGAAGGACAAGTAAGAGCTCGACATGGTTCTTGCACTGGCAGCAGTCTAATTGTCATACAGGAAATCTTATGCCTCCACTCCAACCGTCTCGGAGTCTGATGAGGGTTCTGTCGATGAGGCTGTTAATTGTGATGCTCCAGCCGTTGCTCATGGCGGACAAGTCTCTCCAACGGCTCGCAAATCTTAGTCACCCCATCGTCTTTATTAAAACTCAAGCTCTGCGTCGGCATCTTGATCGCTGTCAGTTTTTCATTACTCTCTTTATATCCGAACTCGAGTCGAACTTTCTTTCCTTTTTTTTGTAATCAACACCATTACGGAGTCATATGCAGCAACGCCTTTTACGACATAATACAACTTACCATACATGCATAATCGCCAAGCAGATATACATATTGGTCAACATACTCTATGTCGCCTCGTACTGGTATTGTCAACATAATTTCTACCAGATCACGGCATGTGGAATACATTTTTCAGAAAGGGTGGGGCATATTGACATTGATGGCATAAAACATTTTCTTATGTCAACATCAAAAATCGGATATCAAAAGCCCCGCGCATTCATTGTACCTAATAATTTTTTCGGCTGTCATGTTATGGCTCATTACTGCAAATTGGTAGTATCCTGTAGCATAGTTGAGTGTAACAATTTTACAATCAAATATTTTGCTATCAATCTGGATTTCTACATGACCGAGCCTAACTTGGTAGCTTTCAATTGTATTGTCCTCAAAAAAACGATTCCAAGTTGACTGCGTGACATGACAAATAAAGCCCGATTGAATCCAAGACAAGCAAGCTACAAACCTAGAACCACAAGCCCTGTTCTATACCAGGTGACAACGCAAGATACGCCCACAGACTTTTGACGCAAATGTCTAGGTATGAGCTCAGATCGATGACTGACCAGTATGTATATATCTAAGATATAAGATACGTCCAATTTAGACCTCAAGTGACAAATCTCAGCGAATCGACAAGCCCGTTCCTCAACAGCCTCTACCATTGAACCGAACCCTCCGTATGGCCGTTCTTTGATTGTAACCACGCGATACTGCTGCTTGAACAGGACAATCGCTTATGGGAGCTGTTTCACAGAGCCCACGAAATGTGTTTGTAAGGTCGTTCGTCAATCCTTTCAGCGTCATAATTCCTACAGCTCAAGTCTGATCCTTGATCTGGAGACGAGCTAACGATGCGATATCACTTGAATCCACAGCAGGCTCAGTACTTGTCGCTTCGTCGCCTTCCTCTTCTTCACCACTTTCTTCTTCCTCTTCTTCGTCATTATCGTCTTCCTCATCGCCACGCTCGCCATTTGGATCTCCATCTCCGTCTACTCCCACTTCTTTCATGTATGCTTCCAATTCCTTGGCCATCTTTTTGGAAAACCCAGAAGCCGCAACGGAGACGTCAAGCCTGACGGCACCATCTCTTCCTACCATTTTCTTTGCCTCTGCTAGATATGGTCCCTTCTCGTCGGCTGTGAAGCCAAAGCGTCGCTGGAAGAATCTCTTGATGCAGTTTACGTCGCGATCGAAATAATACTCGGCATTTGCGTGGTCTATAGAAACCATTTGGGGGAAATCGATTAGGATTGGAGTCAGAGTGAGCTTCTCTACTTCTTTCTCATCGACAATTTCTTTCGTGGTGTCCTCTTTGATCAGGATGTTGAATTCATTGAAATCTCCATGTATCAATCCGTACTGGGCAAGTCGCATGATCATCTGGATGAGCTCGGCGTATAAGGAAGCTGGGTCGGGAACGGATGAGATTTGTCGCATAGGAAATGCATCTATCAGCGACATGACGATGGTATGTCTTGATTGCGCAAGAGGTACTGGTACTGGGAAACCATTGTCGCGGAGCGCAGTCATAAATGTAAATTCCTTCAACGCTGCCAAACGCGACATGTACATCCAAGATCCCGATGATCTATTTCTTAGGTAATCTCGATTCGCTTTTACGGTTCGGAATGATATGCGACCCAATCTGTGTATCTTCAAAACTCTTTGCACTCCTTGCTCGTCTGCGACTACGAAAATGTCACTTTCCTTTCCAACACCAATCTGGTTTCCAACACTGTACACATCTTTGCGTTTTCGGTAAGTATTGAGGGCTAGGTAGTCCAGACCGCCGTAAGTTAACCGATAACCATCGTATTTCGCATTCTTAAGTCGCGCAATCAATCCTACTTTCGCCAAAGCAGATATATTTTTGTGAACTTGACCCCGCAGCCCACTCAATTTCTCAATTAATGGTGTAGGAACGACTTCGTGGTTTTTTGACCCATTTTCGACCGCTGTAAGGGCTCGCCAATCATCGCCAGTCAGATATCGCATATGTTTCGTATCGAGACGCATGTTGGCGAACAGTTCATTGAATTTGAGAAAATGGCTGGCATGCGGCTCCTCACGAAATAAATTTCTGGAGTCGGAGGTCATTGCCAAGGATCGCATCCCCGGTCACCGCTAGCGTGGCGGATCGCGCTTAGTGGCTGGAGCTTTTGGACGCGGAAGCTCGATGTGCCTGGCTGGTCAACACCGAAAGATTCCATCAAGATCTATCGACGCTGCAAATCCACCACCGTTTCATTTTCTTCCAAACAACTGCGGCACCACGGTCTCTGATAACTGTGCCTTCAGTCCCCTACAGAGAAAGCGACTGCAAATAAACCTCCTCTTCGAAAGTCACCATGGCGCAGGATGGCGAGCCTCCAAAGTCCGTTGACAAGGGCAAGGGAAAAGCAGTAGAAGGCGAGCCAAGTAAAGCCGAGGAGGTCAAGAAGGATAAAGATGGAAAGCCAATAGTAAATGGAAAGAAGGAAGATGGAGTAATTGGCGGTAAGGCTGAAGCTGTGATTTAAGATGGTCGGTTCTAATGTGTTTATTCAGCAGCAGAAGAGCTTAGTGAAGAAGACCAACAGCTCAAAAGCGAGCTGGATATGCTGGTGGAACGTCTGACGGTATGTCAATCATTGTTGTATAGGAGAATGAGTATTGACATGTGGAACTTAGGAGTCAGATAAGTCTCTCTACAAGGCCGCTCTGGAAGCAATCAAAGAGTCTATCAAAAACTCAACTTCGTCGATGACCGCCGTCCCGAAACCATTAAAATTCCTTCGACCGCATTACGAGCCTATGATCAAGCTATATGAGGAATGGCCGGAGTCAGACGATAGGACCTCGTTAGCAGATGTTCTTTCGGTGATTGGAATGACGTTTTCAGATGAAGACCGACAGGATACCCTCAAATTCCGCCTGCTAGCACCAACATCAGATATTGGCTCATGGGGCCATGAATACACACGGCATCTTGCGCTAGAGCTTGGAGAGGTCTACACTAAGAGGTTAACAGCCGATCAACCATATCAAGATCTCATCGATCTTGCTCTTATCCTAGTACCTCTATTTCTCAAGAGCAACGCCGAAGCCGATGCTGTGGACCTCATGAGCGAACTTGAGATCATCGAGGATCTCCCTAAATTCCTCGACAAAGAGACATACCCCAGAGTCTGCCTGTACATGGTCAGCATGGTGAACTTGTTGACATACCCAGAAGACCAACAGTTCCTGAAAACCGCGCACGGTATCTACAAGCACTATGGGCAACTTACACAGGCAATTGTTCTCGCTATCCGATTGAACGATATTGAGATGATCCAGGAGGATTTCCATTCAACGAGCGATGTAGCTCTGAAAAAGCAAATGGCTTTCTTGATTGCTCGGCAACAAATCGTCCTCGACTTTGAGCCACAAACAGAGGAGGAACAAGAGATTGCGGAGTGTCTGAACAACACAAAACTTCCAGAGCATTTCAAGGCGCTAGGAAAAGAATTGAATATCCTCGACCCAAAGTCGACAGAAGATATTTACAAGAGCCATCTCGAGAGCAACCGAGTTGCTGGGCTGACCAACCTCGATTCGGCACGACACAATTTAGCAGCGGCATTCGTTAACGCTTTTGTAAATGCTGGATATGGTAACGATAAGATGATGATGGTCGAGGACGATAAAGCGAGTTGGGTATGGAAGACAAAGGAGGAAGGCATGATGTCGACTGTCGCATCTCTTGGAACGTTGCAGTTGTGGGATGTTGAGGGTGGCCTTGACAAGATCGATAAATACACATACTCTGATGAAGAAACCATTCAGGCCGGTGCCATGCTGGCGATTGGCATCATGAACTCTGGAGTACGGATGGATTCCGACCCTGCATTGGCGCTTCTAGGAGATGAAGACAAGTTAAACCACAAGAGCCCTCAAGTCCGTGTTGCAGCCATTATGGGTCTTGGTTTGGCATATGCTGGCTCAAACAGAGAGTCACTGTTGGAATTGCTCTTACCTATCGTTGGAGATACCAGCCAAGACATGCAAATGTCGGCTATGGCCGCACTCTCGCTCGGAATGATCTTTGTTGGTTCGTCAAACAGTGATGTCAGCGAGGCAATTGTGCAGACTTTCCTCGACGATGACCGAAAGTCACAACTTAAGGACAAATGGACACGATTTATGGCTCTTGGTTTGGGTCTCTTATACTTCGGACGACAGGAAGATGTTGATGTCATCCTCGAGACTCTGAAGGCCATTGACCATCCAATGTCGAAACCAACCTCTGTGCTTGCAGAGATCTGCGCTTGGGCGGGAACTGGTACGGTCTTGAAGATGCAAGAACTACTGCATATCTGCAATGACCACATTGAAGACACTGATGACAAGAAGGGCGACGAGTTATTACAAGCGTATGCTGTTATTGGTCTCGGTCTCGTTGCTATGGGAGAAGACGTTGGACAAGAGATGGTTCTTCGTCAATTCGGCCACTTGATGCATTATGGAGAGGCTAACATCCGAAGAGCCGTGCCTTTGGCAATGGGTCTTTTGAGTCCTAGCAACCCACAGATGAAGGTTTATGATACCCTGTCAAGATACTCTCACGACAACGATAACGATGTAGCGATCAACGCCATCTTCGCTATGGGTCTTCTCGGTGCTGGAACCAACAATGCAAGATTAGCGCAGCTTCTGAGGCAGCTTGCTAGCTACTACCACAGGGATCAGGAATCACTCTTCATGGTCCGTATTGCCCAAGGTCTTCTGCACATGGGTAAAGGTACGCTTTCGATCAGTCCATTCCATACCGACCGCCAGGTTCTTTCGCGCGTCTCGGCAGCTGGTCTTCTCGCAGTCTTGGTCGCCATGATTGATGCCAAGCAATTCGTCACCGACAAGTCACATTATCTCCTCTACTATCTCGTCACAGCCATGCACCCACGTTTCCTTGTCACTCTCGATGAGGATCTCAAACCCCTCACAGTCAACGTACGGGTGGGTCAGGCTGTTGATGTCGTCGGACAAGCAGGTCGACCAAAGACCATTACAGGTTGGCAGACACAGAGTACGCCGGTGTTACTGGCATATGGAGAGCGAGCAGAGCTGGAGGACGAGCAGTACATCCCATTAACAAATACCCTTGAAGGCTTGGTGATCTTGAGAAAGGTATGTACACCCCTAACTCGAGATGCTGACAAATAACATTGCTAACATGTTTGTCAGAATCCGGAATGGGATGATGGGAAGAGTTAAAAGGTTATTGCGAGCGAATTGAAAATAAACTGTATAATAGCCCGTAGATCATGAGCTCATCTATTGAGAGCCTCTTTAACTTATGATATGATATAGAATAGCGGAATATGTGGGTGTTTCTGTAATGATGCATGAATTGCAACGCAACTTACTCAGCTGTGCCGGTATCCGTCAGTGAGGCACGGTTTGGTCTATAACTGCCATGTAGGTTCATTCCTCCAAACTACAACCATAATACATCATTATGTCTCCAGCAAGCAGAGTATATAAGACTCCTTGAACATTGCAAAGTACACCAGCATAAGCAACACCGTAATCCAGCACATATGCCCAAATACCAGCCAAACTCCATATAGTCCCATTTACAGCTAACACCGCTCAAATACCCGATACAATCCCTTCAAATTAGCAATCTCAACAACACTTCCTTTCATCAATTTACTCGTCGCAATAAGCCTCGCCCTAAAAGCCGGAAACAAGATATCCTCCAATACCTTCACAACCTCTCTCCTCCGCTCCTTCAAGCTCTCGGGAATATTCTCCACATCCTCCGGACCAGGCTCCGGCGGCAAAGACTCCGGCGTGTAGAAATCAGCAAGTTCACGCAGAAATGTCTCGAAACATTCTTTTTCGGACGTCCAGTTCACGTGGGGCCCGACACGGAGGAGGAAGCGAGGGAGTTTAGCGAGGGACGGCATGTAGCCTTTTAGGAGGAGGGGGAGGGTGGAGAGGTCGCCGGTGGGGGAGATGGTTAGGGAGAAGTATTCGAGGAGCATGTCGCGGCGGGAGATCAGTTGGTTGGTTATTAGGTCTACTGCTTCTGTGATGTCGAAATCGTCTTCTTCGTTCTCAGGGGGGTGGAGCTCTTTTTCTTTAGTGGCGGCGATGGTGAGGAGATCACGGAGGGGTAGAGGAGGGTCGAATTGGATGATTCCGAAGTTGCCAAAGTCGGTGAGGCCGACTTGGTAGAAGTATTCGGAGCAGGCCATGCCGTAGTCGACGAGGAAGAGCTTCACGCCGCCTTGGATTGCGGCTAAGCGACGACGAGTGTCTACGATTCCAACGAATGTGTGACTAGCAAAGATCTCGGTGAGCTCGTTGTGCATGGAGTCGCGAACTTCAGTTCGAAGCTCTTTGATGGTCATGAGACGACATGTCACCGGCTCACGGTCTGATACTTCGTACTCTGGTTCGCCGACTGAGCCGCTGGGAATGGATGCTTCGGTAGCGCTTCGTGCCATGCTAGGTGGAAGCATACTAGTGATCTTTCGGACTTTGGCATCGGTACGAACGAGATTGTTCTCGTATGGTTTGGGTTTCTGAGTAGAAGCTGCAACGGTCGTGTTGGAAGAGCTGTCATCCACGTCTGAACTAGCAGTTGCCAGTGGTATCCGAACGCCAGGCAGAAGTGTTTGGGTCATGAATGTCCTGCTAACATCGACACTTGCAAGTTTGACCCTAATATCACTACAAATCTTTTCGATAATCTCATCTTCGTTGAGGAAGTTGACCTCTCGCTTGGTTGGGTGGACATTGACATCCACTCGTTGAGGGTCGATGTCCAGGCTAAGGTACGTGAACGGATGACCTCCTTTGGGAAGAAAAGTAGAATATGTCTGCTCGATTGCTTTGCGTATATTGCTAGAGTCGACAGAACGGTGGTTAATGAAGAGGAGTAAAGATGTCTTCTTGACATGATAGTTTGCGTTTGTGGTCAGCCCAGAAGCCCTGTATCCGTACTGCTCGTCTGATGATGTGAACTCAACAAGCTCGTTTGCCACAGAACTTCCATGGATCTGTCGAATTTTGTCTATCGTTGAGGCATTTGACTGGGTCGATATCGTGGTACCGGATTCCCCATGTTTTTTACAACTAAAAGCCACTCCATCGCAATGGATAGCGTATCTCCCAACGCATTCAAGAATCTTGTTGTACTCATCGGACGCTGAGCGAAATGCCCTTCGACGAGTAGGAACATTGTAGAAGAGGTCTTCCACAGTTATCTGCGTCCCTTGACGACCTGCTGTAGGCTTTGGCTCAGCAGCTTGCCCAGGCTTTGCTGGAATTAACTTTCCGCTGTCATAATAAGCTCTCCAGGCACAATTTGACTCCTTAGTCTTGGTAGTGACCTGTAAGTGCGCAATATGGCTTATGGAAGCCAGAGCCTCCCCACGAAAGCCATAAGTACCGATAAACGTCAAATCCTCAAATGATTTAAGCTTTGATGTTGTGAATCTTTCACATAATATAGATAAATCTTCTTTCTAAGACAGTGTCAGGCAAAGTGCTAGCTAGGTCATGATTTGTTGACTTTACCGCAATCCCATGTCCATTGTCTGTAATCTGTAGCAGCTTTAGACCTCCTTCCTTGACCAGCACTTCAAGGTTAGTGGAGCCAGCATCGACCGCATTCTCTATAAGTTCTTTAAGCGCGTGTACCGGCGCGACGATAATCTCCCCAGCGGCAATCTTGTTTACAACGTCTGGGTCGAGAGCGCGGATTCTCCGTGGCGCTGATACCTCAAGTGCGTCATCGGCCTTCCTTTTGACTCCTCGGGGACTCGACTGGTCGACGTCCATCGGCTCCATGCGTGTGGTGTTAATTATACGGGTGTTTGCATGAGTATGAGCTGGAGTTGTATGCTAGAGCTATTTGAGGGAGCGAAACTGGGGACAGGCGCGGTGGGGCGCGGTCGCCAACTAGAGTGTTCGCACTTGACAACTGGTTTACCATGCTGAGGATCCGAGGTGTATTATTGAACGGACCCAAGTATCAGCGTAAATGAGATGCTTTCACTGTATTGCATTTTTGGCAGTTTAGAATCTGCCGTATCTGCAATTCCTTCTACAGTCTATGCGACTTGAAGATGGTGCCCCACAAATTTCGCTCTTCATGAGTTGTCGCGAGATCACGTACGGGAAAACATTTTGTGGGGACAGAAACCGACCCGACGTCAAACCTGAGATGACTTCTCAAGTTCTCATCTCTCTGCGCATGATTTTGGGACACGACTACCTGCCGCAGGAGTTTAAAATATGAGGCATAGAGTTTTCAAGCTCAGTGTACTATTTGCTGCGAGAATTCACTGGGAGACGTCGAATTCGGGCTTCCAAGCTGTTGTGAAAACACGTTGTCGACAGCTAATAGACTCAACTTTGTAGCTAAGTGGCTTCCAAAGGACAATGGAAATTCCCCGAAAAGACAAAGGATAGCTCCGATTGCATACGTGCAAATGCTGAAGATTTGTAAATCTGAAAGAGAGTGCACAATATGTTTTCCATGAACCTAGCCATCTCGACAAATTGCCGAATGAGGGGAAGAGCCAAAGCGTCAAGTGCTGTGAGATTTGGAGAAGGTAATGAAGATGTCTTCTTGGAGAAGCCGTTAGTCAAGAGCATTACTCAGATAGGGAAGTCCAAATAAAGTCTGCGCCGTGAGGCAGTACATGGGAAGTGCACTCCATGGGTTAATGTCTACGGCGCTCTGTGTTGACATGTAGGTGTAACTCAATGTTCCCACCGAACCTAGGTCCAAGACCATAAACATCATAATTGACCAACATTGCGAGGTTCAGCTGTCGACCAGACATTGATCTTGTTGGCCAGCCTCGCCGTCCTCGCTGTCTTCTTCAATACACAAGCTCATCGACAACATTGGGGATGCTCGGATGAGCTTGGCGAATGTCTGGGGAAGGAGCCACCAAGGTGCTGCGACTCCATGATCTCGAATTGTTTATGAAACTACCTAATTCATCATCACGCGATTTTGTTCTTTGGAAGACTTTGGTCTTTTTTGTTGCCTTTTGTCTTGCGGCTTTTTCTTCGCCATGCCCATACTTTGGGTCGCCTTCTCTTTTTTGGTACTTTACATTGTCGAGCTCGCCTCTTCGGTTCATCTCAGAGGTCGTAGTATTGATGCTAGATTCCTGGATTGTTATGATTATATCGTTGTTGGAGGTGGCATTTCAGGCTTAGTTGTTGCAAACAGACTTACAGAAGATCCGACTGGTGGGCACAACATCCAAAAATGCACTCTGCTGCTTACAATATCTCTAGTTAGTGTACTGATTCTCGAAGCTGGCCATCTGTACGTACCTCAACCTTAGAACTGAATGTGTCTCTGTCTAAGGAGTAACGTAGTGACGATTACGAGGAAATCATCCTTAACCCAAACGATGACGGCGATGGACTTGGAACGAACTACGATTGGAATCTCTGGACGGCTCCACAGACATTTCTTGATGGTCAATCACGACCTTACGATATGGGTCGGGGAGTTGGAGGCGGAAGCTTGATAAATGGTATGTGCTGGACTCGAGGTGGAAGTGCAGATTATGATGCCTGGGAGACACTTGGTAACGCGGGATAGGGTTGGAAGGACTTGCTCCCGTATTTCAAGAAGGTCAGTCGGTACTATCATAGTAGAAGATTCATTTGGTATCTGAGAATAGAGCGGCTTAGGATGTTTAGTCGGAGAATTACACAGACAATGTTGATGCCGAGTTCGGCCGGGAGCTATACATAAAATCAGAACCAGATACGCACGGCACCGACGGTTACGTCCATGTGAGCTATCCCAAGTTCTTCTACAATCAATCTCGTAAGTAAGTGCGGATCTGTGTGTGGGTAAAGGACCAACTGACCGCCTGAGTTTAGGTATTGTGCTAGAAGGCTTGAGAGAACTCGGAATCCCAATTCTCACATACCCAAATAACGGAACTGCCGCGGGTGGTATGCTAATACCCAGCAGTATTTCTCCTGAAAATCAAACTCGATCCGATGCCCGTCTGGCTTATTTTGATAACATTGTAAACTCGCGGCCCAACTTTCATGTAGCCACAGGCAAACATGTCTATCGACTCATACTTGAAACGCCACAGAGCAATTCGCCGAGCGGTAACCCAGGAGACATCGTGGTTAAAGGGGTAGAGGTAAGAGCACTTATCTAAAGCCCTTACAGAAGTCAGGCTGACAGTTGAGAAGTTCGTTCCTGATGGTACACTTTCCATTCTCAACGTTACATGTTCGCGTGAAGTTATTCTTGCAGCAGGAGCAGTGCATACCCCTCAGATTCTTGAACTTTCAGGTATCGGAGATGCCAAAGTCTTGGAAACCTTCGATATTCCGGTCAAGCTCAATTTACCAGGTATTGGAAATAACTTTCAAGACCACCCTTACGTTGGTGTCGTTTACTATGGTAAGCGATTTTGGATGGTTATGACCCTCAAGACGATGGACTGATATCAGTAGTCTCTAACTTGGCGTATCTTACGAAAACGATGATCAATAACAATCCAAATCTTCTTGCACAGGCGGAACAAGAATACTATGTGAACAAGACAGGTAGGTCAAACTTCTCGGAACCCTTTTTATCTTGAACTTATATCTATCTTAGGGCCATGGACTGCCGGAGCGATAAACACGGTTGCATTCCCATCACTACTCTCCATATCCAAGAACGCAATCAACATGGTTCAAGATGCTACAAGCCAGACTACTACGCAGTACCTCCTTCCGGATCTTGATCCGACTATCCTAGCTGGCTATGCTGCGCAGAAAGAAATCCTAGTTTCTCTTCTGAATCGAACAGACGTGGGGGCGTATGAGGTATTGAGTGACAATATTGGCCTGTTATCTGTAGCTGCTATGCACCCACTCTCCCGGGGAAGTGTTCATATCAAATCACAGAACCCTTTCATTCAGCCACTGATAGATCCCCGCTACTGCTCGAATCCTATAGATTGCCAAATTTTGGTAGAGGCATTACTCTTCAATAATAGATTGGTCAATACAAGGCATGTTCCAACATTCTGTGAAAACACCATTTCGTTGGAATAAGAATCCAAACGTAATACTGACCTATCTCTCTAGTTCCATGCGGCAATTAGCTCCAGTCCCTTATTACCCCTTCCTTCAAGACGCTACCCCTGAAACCTTGATTCCAGCGATATTCAGTGGTCTAAGAACCGAATTCCACGGTACAGGCACAACTTCCATGATGCCTCTCGAACGTGGTGGTGTAGTAGATACCCATCTGCGAGTCTATGGTACAAAGAACCTTCGCATTGTGGACGCTGGAATATTTCCACTGGTTCCCGCAGCTCATTTGCAAGCACCAGTCTATGCGGTAGCAGAAAAAGTACGGACTTGAATCCTACCTTAGTTCCTGTCTAACCATTTCACAGGCAGCGGACATAATCAAGGCCGATAATGCTGGTATCGGATCTAGATCTTGCCCTTATAAATCATCATTCTCTAGGATTTTCGCTCCCGATTCCGGCAGTTCATCCACTACCAGCTCGTCGAAAGATTCTGATTTAAGCCCTCCTAAGCCTAATGTTGAGCCATCCACTCAGAATACTCCAAACGCAAATGCCAAAAATCCTATCCTCGCAGTCTTATCGCTGTTTTTAGGCGGTCTCCTAGTAATGCCAACAGGAAAGGTACATTTGGAAGTCCCATCAATCACTCACATGGAAGCGACAAAAGCAGCCCGTAGTTTCGAGACCAAGTATACGGAATCTGCGTTAACGAAAGATGTTGTTATTCAGGTCGTCAAGGTTGCCCTTGCTGTGACGGAGGAGAATGATTCAATTGGATGATCTGGGGCCGGGTTTTGTGAAAGTTGCTATTAGGTTTTGCTGGGAGGAATCATGGTTTCATACGAACGGTTTGATTTTGTAAGACTTGTGGGAGATTTTGGAGCGGGACGCATAAGGTGCTAATGTGCTGCCATTTTGGTCGAAGAAGTAGAAGTAGTTTAACGTTAGGTAAACAAGACAAAAACTGAGAGTATTGTCTTGACTTTAATGACACGCACGATACATACAGAAGTTTTCATACAAGACGGTTTAGCTAGACTACACATCCTCCAAGCATGTATTTCTGTCCGAATGATAATCCGCGCCTCCCCCTTTCTTGACACGAGCTAAGCGAGAATTTCCAATAACCGTATTTCTGAGCAAAATTGAGTTGAGAAACTAATTCATCTATGTTTCTTCTAAACCTGTGCGATCTAGGTTATCTACAACGCAAAAGCCCAATTTCTGTATGCAAGATATCTCCTTGCCATATCAAACCATAAATGCCGCAAAATCCAGATCTTTACGCCTAAATATCACCACACAAACATAAATCATGACTCATTTATCCAGCATTATTCCTACTCTTCGCTGCCTCAACAGCATCTTGCCAGTTAGTTCTGGCCAAAAACCACGCCTCGATCCCGGCTACAAGCCCAAGTGCCAGAGCAACACCACTCCATAACCCTTCCAACTCCCATCCCCAACCAAATGCCGTACCGAAACTGATTGGCATGGCGATAACATAGTAGCAGAATAAATTTACATAACCGCCTATTTCCTGTCGACCGAGACCACGCAGTAATCCGTTCGCGTTGGCGGCGAGCGCGTCGAAGAGTTGAAAGGCGGCACAGATTGGGAGGACGGTTGCGACGAGGTGGACGACCTCTTTGTCATTGGTGAAGAGTTGGGGGATGTAGTTTCGTGCTGCGGAGAGGAGGACTACATTCAGGAGGCCGACTAGGGAGGCGATTACAAATGCCTGTGGTGGGTTAGTAGTGAGATGATGTGATGGGGAGACAGTTAGACTTACGACTTTAGCACTTGTTTTGGCGGCGTCGGTGAGAGTTGCGCCTATCAAATTTGCCACTCGAGTTGATGCAGCTATGGAAATTGGGAATGGAATCTGGAATGTGATACCGGTGATTGTTGCAAGTACACTTTGGGCTGCTAGATGAGTCGTCGAGAAATAGCTGGATGCCAGTGTAAGGATTTCGAAAGCTAGAAACTCGGCTTCAACCATCAGAAGACCCGGAATCGCAAGTCTCACCATAGGACCTAGTATTGTTAGTACTGTCAACTCAGATTCAGACCTTGCAACTCACCCCAGTTACGAAAGGCCTTCCTCGTAAACCCATTCCAGCATTGATGCCCATCAACAAAGTATACATAGAGGAATAGGAGAAGTGGCAACAAATTGTCGGTGATGGCGACTGCAATTGGAGCTCCGATAAATCCCCAACCAAAATGCCAGACGAATAGCCAATTCATAAATGCGTTCAACGGTGCACCGATCAGAAGAACATAAGTCGTTGCAGAGAAGAGACCCTGAGCTTGAACGAAACGTTTCCCAGCTTCAAAACAAGAATAACCTGGTGCTCCAGCTAACAGAACACGAAGATATAGGCCAGCAAGTTCCGCAGATCTCTTTTCAGGAACAATGTATTCCAGAACCTTTTCTGCTGATAACCAGAAGATGCCAATTGGAATAGTTAAGCACCATAGAAACCAAACCATACGCTGCAATTGTAAACCGACCAACTGTTTCCTTCCGGAACCATACGCTTGAGCGCATAGAGTGTCAAGACTAGTAGCCAGACCCTGATAAATTGCATATCCGGTGATGTTCGCCGTCATACTAGCAAGACTGACAGCTCCAAGCTCGATTGTACCTAGTCGACCAACAGTGAAGATGCTAGCAACCGTAAGGGAATATTGAAGCAAGAAAGTGATAGTCAGAGGTCCGGCATATCCAAATATGGTCTTTGCTTCTCTTTGCCATGTCGTTTTGATCAATCCTGAAGCCACTGCTTCCTCCCATTGCTTGTTCAATCGCTCCTTTTGGTTTCGATGCGACTCCGGTACGCCATTGGGCAACAATAGAGAGGTTTCTGATGGCTCTGCAGTAAAAGATGGGTCCATTGGTGGATTCTCTGCATCTCCTTCCTCCACTGGTCTTCTGGTGCCAAAGACTCGTTTGTATAGTTGCCCAAGCGCTCCTCGTTTCGCCGGTTGTCCATGCTTTGGAGGAGCCAGGTTGTTGTCTCTCAGCAAACTCCTTTCTTCGGCTCTTGACTGTTTTCTTTCCTTCTTCGATAGATAGGTAGCTTCATGTGGATGGGGAGCAATTGCAGGCCTAGTTCCACCAAACGCCACAAAACTTGGTCGTCGATATGAACTTGCCATCGAATGATTTCGCTCTCCCGGTTTTACGGTCGATGCCTCAGAAGACTCGTCATCGGAACTATCGTCTTCCCCATTTTCCGCGGTCTCTATTTCGTCCTCAGAATACTCGGCCAGATCGCGTGCCAGCGATGCTTGTGCAATTGGTGAGCTCGAAAGATAGGAACTGCTGAACGGAGATCGTGCAATGGAGCTTGACCTCGAGGCCTGGCGCGCGATTGGCTTCGAGGGCGTAGACATCTTGATGTGGTTGGGAAAATTTAAAGCTGGAGTTTTTGACAAGATTTATCTTTAAAATGACCCCGCAATAAGCTATAGCTATCAGTACTTCACACCGTTAGTCCTACCACGTGGAATCCACGAGCGGATAGTATCACAGACTCGGTATGAAAATGTTTTGGACTCCCTTCTTCTCGTCGTGAAATCTCGGTATATATAAAAGAGAAATGACCATAAGAAAAGAGATGATTAAATTCTAGAAGCTCCATCCCCACCTAAGCTGGTCACTATGTTAGTCAGACCGCACCGCAGTCGGCCGTCAAAAGTCTGTTTGTATTAGGAAGTTTTGTGTATCCAATCGATAAGCTTTACCGGTACCCCACCCCTGCCACGATAGGAAGCTCTATCCATTATCCCTGACAATTAAACCCTGCAAGCATTTCCCCATCTCCATCTTTGTTGAAACTGTGTGCGACAACAACCAGAACCGCAGTTTACATCACAAGGACCCTTGATTCCGCGATAGCTTCATTTTCTCAACGTCGAAAGATCAATTGTTCAAATTAATTGTTCCGATTGATTTTTTTTCTGTTCGCTCCATAAATCAAACATGCCACAACCGGGCGACGAAGAAGAAGCAGTCATCGTCAATACATACAGTCCATTAGGTCTTCCAATCCATCCTGTACCAATAGATGTAACAGCGTAAGTACCTTCCATCAAATGGTTTCATCATGTTTTTACTGCAATTTGCACGTCGCACATGAGATGCATAAGTTGTCAGATTCGAAGCTCTGGGGTGTGTTATAAGGAGCATATTTTATCTGCCTCACTGCCTCCCACAATACCACCATATACACAACTAACATCTCCCCAGGTACGGCCACCGCACGCCCAACTCCTCTATATTCTGTCTCCCACCTCTCCTCGGCGCCCTACTCTTCGACAACACCGACAGCGACGCACGAGACCACTGTGCCAATGAACGAACCTTCCTGTCATACCTCAGACTGTCGGTCTACATGTCCGTAGTTGCCGTCGCCATCGTCGTATCCTTCCATCTGAAGCATGAACCATCAGAGCTAGAATTGAAAATGGCAAGGCCTCTGGGGATAATGTTCTGGTCTCTGGCAGTATGTTGTTTAGCGCTGGGATCGGGAAATTATATAAAGACGGTTACGAAATATTCGAGGAGGGCGGCCATTGTGCAGACAGGGTGGAAAACCCAGTCGGTATGTTTATTTTGTTGTTTTCCGGACGGAGGCCATGTGCGGGCAGTGTCGCTGTGTAGTAAAATGCTATGCTTGTGGAAAGGATGCTGATTTGAACCATATAGGTGTTGACAATAATTGCCCTATCTATTGTGGGTGTCTGTATATTGTTTCTCGCAACGAATGCGAATCGCATATGAAGAAGACAGCCTCCCTCTGGTCAAAACCTACCTTGGCCTTGGGGTACTTTGGACGATAGGACTGTCGAATATCTATTGATCCAATTGCAAGAGAACAAGTATGCTCTGCCACCAAGAGTGACTGGAACCCAAGTACGTTCTCACTCCGGGCTCAAGCCACCCCAATTTCAAAGACCGTTGTTCCACGGGACCTACATTTGGCTTCTAGGCCCGTTGACATTGGGAGTACAAAAAGCGGAACAACGGGAGTAATCGCGCTACACAGCATAGAGAGCGTGTCATCTCACCCGTTTGACGTCAAGGTCACCAGTGGCTGGAGTCATACACACCCGAAGATACGTGCTACAGGAAAAAGCTAAGAAGCGATGACGCTTGGAGTATTACAGAACACAGAATTTATGGTCATACGGATCATGAGAAGGATATGCGAATTGAAGGAGACGGTCTAGAAATGCTGGTAGAGTTGATACTGTGATGCACAGGACGCTGACTGTCATCAAGAGATTACAATCAGTCTTCGTTTTCAAGTTCTTCCGCTGGCAAGAAGTGGGTTGACAGTACATAGTCACATAATACCGGCGTGTCACAGAATACCATTAGTAAATGGCTGTTACTGATCTCAGACCTGTTACATGTCTCTTAGAATTACCTGAAAGACCGAATTCTTCAATGCCAAAACAACAATCACCACTCGTGTCCACTCCTCGGAACTAAATGCTCTGCCCTGTGGAAAAATCGTTTGACTGAGGGACCCAAATTCTTGAAATGACTAATCTAGGTATATTCATACATGTAGTTGCTATCGCTCCAGGATAGCATAGCAGACAATCAGGGATGTCGGTTACATTTTTCTCAGATCTTCAGATTATAGGTAAATAAACTATTAAAATAAATGAGCGGAAACGACTTTGTTGGTATATGACTGGGGGAAGGACTTGTGAGTTGAACAGAAGGTTTAGAGGGTTTGTTACTATTCAGGGAATTTCATATAGTGGAATATATCAGGAAATGATAACGAACTAGGAGAAAACCTATGGGATATGATTCAAGTTCGGTCGACATGACTTCAAACATTACTGAGTAGCGACACTCAAACGCAATGCCACTCAGCTCGGAACCTGTCAAGCATTGAGCAATAAGCTTCTGTATCTTGTCCATTCAGGTCTTCTCTTACGCAGTCATTGACCGGATACATGGTTGTCTTTCATCTGACTGCCATGAAGTGGCTTCACCACTCAAGCTAAGTAGCCATAAACGCATACACACATCTTTCGCTTGACCGCCAAGCGCTGCGGGGAGAAGTGACGGTGCGTTGAGGTGTGTTTGGAACTTCGCTCTGACATCCATCATTTGTGATGTGTTGAAGCAAGGACCTCTTTTGCGTCATTCTCTCCACGTCTGTACCGCAATGGTCGTTGAATTGGCAGGGTAGACCGTTGAAGATCTAGAATTTCCTGGAGAGCGATATGTTATCTCGCCACATGGTCTCTAGAAAGTGTTTTTCGAATGATCGAGTGATAAAATGGTAGGATGAAAGGCTTCACTAGAGCAGTTATTCTGTCTATTAGGACTTCCATTTCTTCTGGGGAAGATTACAGAAGAGACGGTTGGTGGGTTATACAATCAGACCTTGTCTGTCATACCATATATGATGTGATAATCGGGAAATTCATCTCGGGAACAAAAAGATGTTGTTTCAGCGAACCATTACTCATGGCAGCTCGGATCACATTACCTTCCTCCAATGGTAGATCGATCATCCTCAACGGTAAGTCATAGCGAAGTTGGGGTTTTAGCTCCCGTACGCTCGAACACCACCGGGACTTGATGGTGTTGATGTTCGGGAAAGAGACGATCCGCGTGCATGAATCTGTTACAGGACGGAAATAAAGAATTGGCTACCAGGACGTAGGTCTGTGACACCCTTGCGATTAGCCTTATCGATAATTGATTGGTGGGGAAAGACGACAATTGCTTCTGGAAGGGCCTTTGAAGATGGCATTCTTGAGGAAGGATAAAATGCATTGATCTGGAAAGGAACTGATGACGAAGTTTTCAGGCTGTGTGATACAACAATACAACCGTTGGCGTACATTGTACAGGCGTAAACATGAAGGGTAAAAAGCAGCGATGGGAAGCCAACAGTAGGGTTGGCTTGAGGTTAGAACTTTAGGTTCTTCTACCACTGGCAGAATGCGATTTGAGTTGATATTACATCAACTTCATGGTATAAAGTACACACCCAGACTCGAAACCACGGAAGCTGATCGAAGTATTCGGCGGCCGTTTTTGTTCTGGGTCTATATTTGAAATGATGATTGTTGCGAAGATCATCGGAGGGGTAATAAAATTCCCGTCGACGTTTCACGGATGAGCCGCGACGGCGAGATACGGAATGGGGACATCTTTAGGATGTACTTCCGCAGAAGAGTGGCCATGAACCTGGAAAGGGCATGAGCAATGTAATGGACCAGTCCTCCTACGGAACATTGCAATGAAAAGAGCAAGGCTGTTACTGGTAGAAACTACCGTTGGCATATGCACGGAGCAAGGAGTGATCCAGATTTAAGGTTCACCATGGTTCTCCCACATGAAACTCATCTATCTGTTGCTTTTGACGAATTGTTGCATCTGCGAAAGTCCTCACAATATGATTTTGGTGCCCGATTTTGGGTCGTGAGCGGTTCCATGAACCACCAACCCGGTGGCGATAGAGTTGCTGGCAATGCTGACTGTGGAAATGCAGCAGCAGACTCAGGCGTCTATCCTGGCAGGAGTGTAATTCGCTACTCTTTTGTTCAGGCTGAAAAGTCTTGTTGCTCTTTGGAAATTTCTTTGGTTTGCTCGGTGAGGGTGTCCATTGATACGCTCAGAACGCGTCGTTACAGCCGCTCGACTAAACACCTGGCGGCAAATACGACTTCCAGTACCACTGTAGAGTGTCCTCTGAGGCGGCCACGGACTCAGCTCAGTAAGCCGTGTGCGACCGGGAGGAAGAGATTGGACGCCGAGAGGGCTGGGTTCATGAGGGACCTGCAGATGCAGCATTGGGTGCATTAAGTCGGCATAGCGCGTGTGGTAGTGACAGGGCCGGGACGTTGGGAGATACAGTGGCTGATATATTCATGGTCGTTCCCGGCAGGCTCTGAGAGGAATGAAAGCACGAGTGCTGGATGTAGTTCGGCGAGTCGAGGTGTAGGAAGAGCGTGAAGAGGAAGGAGAGGTATCCGGGTGTGAAAGGAAAGGTACGACCGTTCGAGAAAGAAAGAGGGCCGTCTGGAACTCAACCTCGATAGTTTGCGATAGTGCTGTAAAAGTGGTATCGGAGAGAGGCGCCGGTGGAAAATTGATGTTGGTGACGGGTGGTGATAGGTGACAGGATGAAGTTAAAACAAATTGATGGCTTCGGCAAGGGAAGCGAGGGGTATTTTCTCCATGCGGCGAGCGAGTAGTGCGATCTTCATGATGAGCCAAAACATGCGAGTGCAGCTGTTGTTTTATTATTGTGCGTTATGAATAATACAATAGTCATAGATACATTAAGTCAAAGTGCCGAATCATATTTTATTATTTCCAGTCCGTCATAATCATTATTCGTAACTTTGCATGAATAATGGCCTGCCTCTGTAATCGATAGAAGATAAGGCCGGAAGCAGAAGCAGGGGAGAAGACAGTAGAAACGTCGCAGGGCCCGTCCGGCGCACAAAGAGCCATATCATTGAAAGGCTCTGCCTCTGCCTCTCTGTCTCCAGCCTCAATCCATCCCAGCCCAGCCCGGAACCCCAGCTAGCAGATCTTTTCGCCCAACGTGTGGACTCTGTGGAGCGCATTATTCACAGCGACAAACCCCCAAAGTTCCAAGGCCCCAGGATCGAGAAGTGGCTGCAATCCTGCATCTGCATCCGCCCCTGAATCAAAAGATAAACTTCTGCTCTGCCTGCTCTGCTCTTCTGCTCTCCTCCATCCCACTCACTGCTTCGTGCTTCGCGACCAAACAAAGAGCTCTCGAGCCCTCGCCGAAACTTGCTGCCCTCCCATTCGCCTCGCTCCCAGCATCCACCCCCCGTCTCACAAAGGCCTGTGCCGCCGTTCTAGCGGCGCCAATCCAGAGCAAAGCACTCCTCCGTAGTCACAATAATCCACCCTCACTTAACTTTCTCCACTTCAAAGGGATCTCACTGCGCGCCGCAACGTGCAAAGTACAGCAAAGAAATTCGCATCCTCTACCAGATTCATCGTGATCTCGGCTTGGTATCGCCAAATTCCTACAGCACGACATAGTTGCCTGTCATCCATCTGTTCAAACCGCAGCCTCGAACACCGCGTCGCCTGAACCTGCCAAGAAGACCCGAAGTTGTCCGTTCCCGTTCGCCGTCGATCTCGTTTTCTACACTAAACAGAGGGGTCGTCGTCGGAGGGAGACGAATATTATCCTTCCCAGTCCTGGAGCGAGGTGCCGTGAAGCACAAGGAAAATTCACAATATGAAGGTGCGTGGTTCTGTCCGTGAGGAATGAGGGGTTGTAGAGAAAGCAATCAGACTGACACTCTTATCGTTCAGGCGCTCAGGCGAAGCATAAAGGGAGAGAAGGAAAACAAGGCCCAACATATATCAATTGCTCCCAAGCAAGCCATATCTATTGTTCCTCCGAAAAAGGTGCGTTTCTCGTCTGTCGAGCTCCAAATCTCAGCTGATCAAATTTTCTAGGTAATCCGCGCACTCTACGACTACGAGGCGCAGTCAAACCAGGAATTAGGATTTCAAAAGGGCGACTTTTTCCACGTTATCGGCCGCGAAAATGATACAGATTGGTACGAAGCATGTAATCCTGCATTGCCAGATGCCCGAGGATTGGTGCCAGTAGCTTTTTTCCAGGCTCTGGGTAAAACTGAGAGAGACAGCGGACAATCCGACACGTCGCCGCAGCTTGTGAGATTACCTGATCATGACTCTGGATACTCCGATACCTCTGGCTCGGGCACTTTGGTCGGGGTAGACTCGCAACGCGCGTCGAAATCAAGTCCTAAAGGGCAAGGCGCGATGGTATATGGAATTGTAATGTACGATTTTGCCGCGGAGCGTCCGGACGAGCTCGATGCAAAGGCGGGAGAAGCAATTATTGTCATTGCACAATCGAACCCTGAGTGGTTTGTTGCTAAGCCTATTGGAAGGTTGGGAGGTCCCGGACTCATCCCAGTGTCGTTCATCGAAATCAGAGACATGACGTCTGGCCAGGCCGTACCAGATGCGCATGAGGCCGTCCAGCGAGCGGGTGTTCCAAAGGTAGAGGAGTGGAAGAAGATGGCCGCGGACTACAAAAATAGCAGCATCACCCTTGGGAAATTTGAGGTACCCAATTCTCAGCAGCAGGGATTGGAGCAAGGCATGGATAGATTGAGTCTTCAGCAACAGCAGAACAGTCGGCAAAGCCAGCAAAATGGCCAGGGCTATGTAAGTACAAAGTTTCTGTCACATATGAATGAAATGCTAATGGTGCCCAGACTCAACCAGCAGCTCGACAGTCGCAGCAAGCTAGACCTCCCCAACAAGCCCAACAACAACAACCACAGCAGGCATTGTATGCCGCGAAATCAAGCTCACAACTCTATGCCCCAATATCGGCGCGAATACCTCGATACTGTTTTGCTGAGGATAAATACTGGTTCACAATTGAGGCGGCCCTTGAGGATGGGCGACATTGGGAGCTTTCCCGATACTATGAAGATTTCTACGATTTCCAGATTGCTCTTCTAACGGAATTCCCGGCAGAGGCAGGCAACACCGGTACCCAGAAGCGGACGCTGCCATACATGCCAGGGCCAGTTAACTATGTCACGGATGCTATTACCGAGGGAAGACAGCACAATTTGGATGCATATGTCAAGAACCTCCTGACCCAGCCACCATACATTTCAAGGTGTACGCTCGTGAAGCAATTCTTCGCGCCACGGGAAGGCGATTATGAGATTGATCCAAATGCTGCTAACGAAGAGTATCGATTATCTGGAGGATCGCAACACTCATCAAATGCTCCAAGCAATGGGGCATCACGACAGTCATCACGTGGAAATTTGAACCATCAGCGCAACCAGCCTTCGCTCTCGGTCAATGGAGCGGGTCAAGGACAACCACGCCAGGTATCATCTCTTTCGCAGCCATCTAGCACATCGCTGTCCCCCGGTGTCAATGGTGGCCAGCCCCCATCTGCGATGAAAGTCAAGATTTACTTTGGGGATGATCTTATCGCTATCCGCGTGCCCACAGACATTCAATACCCACAACTTCATGACAAGATCCGGGATCGTTTAAAGATTCCACCAGGCGAGGAGATCGTGCTATCCTACAAGGATGAAGCAAGCGGAGAAAGACCTACTTTGATGAGCAACAACGATCTTGATGTTGCCCTTACACGGAATGACAAGCTCGTTATCTATGTGGAATATAGTTGAAAGGATTTTCTAGATTCAGAGCTTCTCCAATCGATTCGAAACTAGAATTATTGCAAATAACGGAACGGAGTATCTTACCCCCAGGTGCGCAGGATAGGCATTCGCTGGAAAGCGAGATACACTCACTCGGATCATCACCGCATTTCATCATCACACACAACTTATAACATTCTTAATCTGCTTTCAGATGTACAGACCTTTTCGAGAGGTAATAGCTGAGCTCATTTATCATTGCAAGGACTTGGCCAGCGAAACCACACTCATTCGAGTCGCATTTTGCAGCGGACTCACCTTTTGAACTTATTACAAATGGAGCTACCTTTACAGGGTGGAGGTGGAGGTGGAAGAAAACATAGGGACCTATCTGGCGTTCATACGGCTGGGATTTTTGGTTTTTTCGAACGAGCTCTTTCTTCTCAAATATTTGGCCACGAAGCTATTGAAGGACGGCAATGATGCATTTTTGGACGATAAGCGGACATACCACGGATTCTCATTTGTTTACTGCGGATGGGTGAAGGATTGCAGAAGGAATGGTTGGCAATGGATGTAACGAGCGTTCATGCCGAGCATTAGGACGAACACGGCAGCTGATTGTTGGAAGAACTGCGCAGGCGGGACCACGAGAGCATGTAGCTAAGAGAGCTTGAAAAGCAGGGGCAAGAGATATTGTGGCTTCAATCATAACATTTCTACTATGCTCTCTCGATATGCAATTGCAACGTGATTTCTTTCTGATTTATCCAGCCTTGTCAGTTGAGCATTTTTGTGTTATTTACGACCCATGTTTACCAAGTTCCGTCCATATCTTCTTCTTGATGCCCCAAAAATAGCCCATCATCAGTCATCTGGAAGGCCACGCTCCACTAAAATTGGCTGGCTGTGCCTCTCCACCGCAGGCCCAAGATTACCCGAATACACACCCTCTCCCATCTTGACTGCCCTCGCAACCTTCTTTCCTGCCCTTCAGCAACGGTCTCCCTCACTCTTCCGCGAAACTGCCACGACCTCTCTCCACTTTGGCACCCACGGACGTTTTATATATACTTTTTGTTTTTCAACGACGCGACTTTTTTTGCCTGTGCCTCGTCTTCTTTTTTTCTCGCGCCCGAGAAGCGGGGTTCGCCCGCGAAAGAGGCCCTCTGCCTACGTTCTTCCGTCGCGGGACAGGAATCGGGTTTCGCGAAGAAGAGAGAAGTCGGAGTCGGGTTTACAGCCAGCAAAGATAGGAAAGGGCAGAGTGAAGAGGGAAAATGCCACCGCTTCATCTCCGACAGGAATTCCCGACGCTGAAAGCTTTCAAGGAGGCGCTACATGCGTGGGCGATCGAGTCGCATTTCGAGCCTCGCATCCTAAAATCGGATACGGGACGGGTAAGGGTCGGTTGTAAACGCGACGCGAATTGTCCTTTCGTAATAAGGTGCAATTGGGAGCGGAAGAATGGGCGGGAGCCTCTCGCGCGGGTTACGGTGTTGAGGGATAGACATACCTGTCTTGATAATTTGGATTTGGGGGTTGGGGGCAATCTTGGTGGTGCGAATGATGGAGGGGTTAATGGAGGGAATGGCAATGCTAATGTGGGCACGGCGAATATGACGAGCGGTTTAGGGATGGGGATGGGCGGTATGGGTATGGCGGGAGGCATAGGGATGAACATGAACATGGCGAATGGAATGGGCATGAATATGGGTGGGAACGGTCAAGTTGAGATACGTCAGGATGGTGATGGGAATATTATGGGCGGCGCGAGGGTCTTAGGACCTATCGAGCGACAGAATAATGAGGTCACTAATGCACCAGCTATCGCTGCTTTGCCTAAAGTCCAGAGGAATAGCGCGTCGAGACTGCCTTTCCTAATGGACATCCTTCCGCGCATGATGAATATCCAAAAAGAAACTACCCCGATGGAGATTAGGGAATGCTTGCTAAGAGAATATGGAGCAGAGGTTCATCTACAACAATGTAGACGAGCCAAAACCGAGATACTGAAGAAGAGGGCGAGTGAAGGGGAACAGGGAAACCCAGGAAGCGAACATCAAGGCAGCCTTGATGGAATGGGTGGCAGTGAAGGCGCAAATGAAGCTACGCAGCAGCTTTTCGCCGACATGAACGGTTCTTCGAACATGAACAGTACACCTCAAATGAACGGCACGCCTCAGATGAATGGAACGCCACAGATGAATGGGACGCCGCAAATGAACGGCTCGTCCCAGATGAACGGAGTACCTCAGATGAATGGCAGTTCAAACATGAACACCAATGGGAATGTTGCGACAACGCCTAGTAACCCTCAACCAAGCCCTCATCCCTTTACTCTGCATACCGCGACTGGAGTTGTGACTCCAGTGGTTCCTGATCGAGGAACAGCGGCGTTGAGAGCGGTTGGAGAGCAGCCGATCAAGTGTCCTTATTGTATTAATCATCGCTGGATGAAGAGTATTCAGGATGCGGTGGAGCATATGAGTATGCATGTTACTGTGTGAAGTGGAATATTTTTGGATATGTTTTGGAGATTAAACACAAAACCATAACGCGTCGACTCAACTCTGATGTTGATGATTCGACGTATTGGTCGCGCCAATGATTAGGCGCGACGAATTTGAGTCTGGGAAGTATGAAATCTGCCATATACTGGCAAGCACCCCCAGCAATCAGCACTCGCGTCAGGTTCTGAGAAGGTAAGATACTCAACACCATTTTGTCTCTTGCAGACCCGCTAATTGATGTATAGAATCATAGACTCTTAGCCTCACGGCATACTATTCTAGTAACCAGTCTTTGGAGATGTCTTCCGTCGTATGGCCTGAATACGTATTGAGTATTGTACTTGGGTTATCGATATATATTTGTTTTGGGTAATGTTTATACGAATTATGACCTAGCTACATGTTCTATAGACTAAGAATGAATTACTGTCAAATCCGAAGCTGGCAAATCTAGTGCGCCCGCTCTAAAATATTCCTGTTCAGAAGAGCTTTGATGCACAACTAGACCTGCACAATGCTGCCGACGGTATTGTGAGAGTAGTCAGAATGAGCTTCTGGGATCATGATAGTTTAAGATTTGGCTCCTTTGTTTTCATTTTCTTTGTAATAATCAAAGGATCTTTCTTCGTAGTCCATGGCTGACCTATTCATAGAGAATCTGACAAAATGAAATATTCAGGTCTCCAAGCAACAACTCCTGAATTCCGAACCACCAGATTTCCAGACTACAATCGCATGCGAGCTTGCAAGCTACTAATAGTCAGCAACCGACTATTACCCAACTCACCCAAACAAAATTGCCTCTTTATAATTTCGCATCAAAAGCAAATACTTTCCTCCGTCCCATCTCCGAAAATCGTGGGGAGTCAACTATATAAACGAAACGCCAAGACCCGACATTGAAATTCCGTTTCACGTTTCAAGGCCCACGCTTGACTCCACAATTTTAATATAAATTTACAGTTTTACGAGATTTCCGACTTGCCCAGGCGTAGATTTATATGTTGAGAGATTGAGGTAAAGCGTTATTGAGATCTGAGATCTTGCTTGGCAGTTTCGAAATGTAAGTACTAGGAGATCAAATTACAGAATCAGGCTGGTTTATAAGGGAGAGGAAGAAGCTCAAATGTCCTCTTCAGTAACTTTCTTCGTTCTCTTCACACTCTTTTCTAACATTCCTTTCGGGTATACCTTTTAGACATATCCAGGTGATTGTGTCATTCTTTCCACAATCTACCATTCCATTCGTTTTAACAATATCCAAATTACCTACCGACAAGATGCAAGCCATCACTCTTCTTTTAGCAGCCAGCACGGCAACTGCTTATACCATCGTTGAAGCCGACCTTTTGATGTATAAGAACATCGATCCGGTAGTCATGCCCGGACAATACAAAAGTCATCTCCATACTTTCTTCGGCTCGGACAGCGTGACTGCGAATACCACCACCTCTGCAGAATTACAGAAAGGTTGTATAACCGCTTACAACCCGAATGACTTTTCCTCATACTGTAAGTCCTCCCTCAACCGTCTCCATAACCTCGAACTAACGGACCCAAAGGGGTCCCAACCCTCTTCACAACAACCTCCAACACCTACACCCCCGTCCCCCTAAACCGCTTCTCAGCCTACTACGTCTCCATCGAAAACGCCGAGATAGCCATCCCACAAAACTACAAATCCGTCGTCGGCAACGCAGCCGCCACATCCCAAGCCGCCGTCGAGCCCCTCGCCGGAATCCAATGGTTCTGCGAAGGCGACGCTACCGAGACCAAAGACCTCGCCGCCTTCCCAACAAAGACCTGCTCTACCCATCTCCAAACCCTACTGCTCTTCCATGACTGCGTCAACCCAACTACCTTGGAATCTACGTACTCCGGCACGCAGCACTGGACAACCACATTCAAGCCCGCGAACCGCTGTCCCGCAGGCATGAAACGCATGCCCCAACTCCGTTTCTCCATCCGCTACGACCTGCGCAACGCCCTTCCTAACGGGTGGTCTGGCGCCGCGCCCCTCGCACTCGCCTGCGGCTCGTCGTATTGCTCGCACGGCGATTTCATCAACGGGTGGTTACCCGAGGCGGCTGAGAACATGCTGTTGGCGAACGACAAGCGGGAGTTTGCGGCTGTGACGGGGCCGAATGGAGGGGATGCTGATGCTGCGGTGTGTAAGACGGCAAAGGATAAGGAGCCGACGAAGGGGACGTCGGATTATCTTACTAGTGTGAAGATGATGGGGAAGAGGGCTTTGGGGAGGTTTGATAGGAGGTTTGCGTAGGTGAGGGGGGAGGGGGTTGGTTATGTTCTTGTATATATTTCAAGTTGGGAGCGGTGTGGCTACTGCAAGTAGTAAGCTTATTCAAAGTGTCGAGTGTTTGACAGAAAAGCGCTCATCGCTGGATGGTGGCGATTTCTACTTGAAAAAGAAGAGGAACATCGCCAATCGCTGTATATAAAATAGTTTAGCGCAGTATAGAATATCGTGCCACGAGACTTTTACACGACGAGTTGACAGGTACCCATTGCTTTCATGGTGTCTCAAATCCAATTTCTTTCTTTGCTGTCTTTTTGCCCTCCAGATGAAGTCGGCGGTTCACTCCAACTTGACGAGGAAGCGAATGTTGATAACCAAATTGCGTGAGCTGCTGACTATGGAGATCCTGCTATATTCCGGTCGAAGGTAGACTATCGCTTGATAGCCTGGAGCTAAGTGGGAATATAAATCAAGAAGTCTGCTTCACATATGATAAACTTGAGAACGGCAAAGAGAGTAATCAGAAGTGAAAGAATGCAGATCCAATATGACTTTCTTCACGAGCTTAAAGTGCACCATGAAAGATCGCACTAGAGACCCTATTTGGCCGAGACGACCGACTCGCTTGAACAATCTCCAGCATTAAACATAAAATGGAAGCGAAGCCACATTGATTCTTTTGGAATAATACTAATAGATGATATTCGTGTAAAGTAGGTAGATGATGTTTTCCAATACCTTCAGCGTAGTGGCTGGATTACTCATGAGATACACCGGCTCCAACCATACGCCGTTTGTTCCTTCATATGCCCATTCCCGATATGCTGGTAAATGCCCACAAGATGTATAGCACTCCAACAACCCATGCACAAAGCCCCAATGACGCCCATATGATTAGCAAGCTCGCCCAGGACGCAAGAAGGGGTATAAACAAGAAATCTTAGAAGAATCCAACAAGACAAGAAGTGTCGACATTGCTGTCGCACATCTTAATCTGGAAGCCGACGAATATCATTTCGGACTAGATGATCCGCATCCTAGTCTCATCGATCTTATCGTGAACAACCAACAGAACAACTATGATTCGAAAACATCATAGTTCTATCTCAACCACGTGAGGAGGCAGGCTGCCAACTGATTGTAAAGTGAAGGAAGATGGACGAAAAAGACCCAAGTTGAGTCTATGACTGAATCTAGAGCTTCACGGAAGGGACGACTGGTACGAAAGATGTTAGATCTGGCCTTTGATGTCGACTTTTGAAAACGCGGCAACTTTGGCAGTCTCAAATATCTGTTTGGCATCCCCAGTAAGGAAAACGAGGCCAGACTCCCTTTCTTCGAGGAGGAACTGTCCATTGTGATCATAAATAAATTGGGCAGCATCTCCATCGGATTCGAATCCAAGCTCTTCAGTAACAAATCTGAGCTTGACGTTGGGCTTGTAACTAGTAACAATTAGCGGGTATCTAAGGGACAGGGCCAGGCTGTAACATACGCTTTGCACATATTTGATAAAGCCGCTAATCTCTCTCGGACTACGAACATGTCCATCAGGTAGGCACCCATGTTGGGCGTGTCGAGGTAAAGTCTGAAAAACCTGTGGTAGTTGCCCAAAGCTAGTGCCGACCGTACATTAAGAGCATGCTTAATAGCTGGCTCTCCTTTCTCTGCTGTAGTTAGATCCGCCAAAACGTCATTCAACGAAGTGCGGTTAGAAGTGTGAATGAAATATAAAATACGATACGCCTTAAACTCCACTGGATTTCCGCCCAGATTTTGGTCGTATAGAGCCTTCAACTGGGTTTGACATTGATTATACTCACCGAGATCCCCCTTTTCTAGAGCGATCCTGGCATGAATCTCGTAGACAGTGACAGTGAACTCGTTCTTAATACGTTGCACGGTAAGATCTTGTCGCATGGATTTGAACTGATCGCAGATATAGGAATAGTTTCCTTCCTTTTTCCACTTTTTCTTCAAAAGATCTAGGGTTTGTCTTAAAATATGCTCAGGACGAACTTGAGAAGGGATAGGAGGGGCCGTGAGCCGGAAATATTGCTTTTCAAGGGTTTGGCATGTGCCGATAACGGGTCCGGAAGAGGGCTCTGGTGACGGAGAGGCTTTGTATGTAGACTTATAGCCGCCATCGAAGCGCTTTTGTCGCTTCTCGAGGGCCTTATTGAACTTACTTGTACCTTTGAGGGCGTCGTCTTGCAAGGGTTGTTGCCGTTTATCGAACCGGTCCGCTGGGTAGGTGATGCGATCTTCGAATCCGTTTCGGGGGTTAGTTGCACGCCAGGGTGGGATAGATTTTGATTCATCATCGGCTGCATCACCAATATCTTGAGATTTTCTCTTCTTGGATTTCAGCATTTGCTCTCGGGCAGGGTTCATGAAGCTACTCCCAGCCATCTGTTGCATATTGACCGATTCTCGTTGCCATGCAATCGCAGCAGCGGCAGTCGCTCTCTCTTGGCGAATGACATGTTGCGGAAGAGGGAGATTGGCCCAGTCAATAGTATGCAGGGTGTTGTTATCAGTGGCTTCGGATATCGTAACCTTTAACTTGTCTTCCATATCCTTACGGTCCACATCTGCGAGAACATTGCTTGGGTCAAAAGATCGCTGGACATAATCGCGAACGGGTTGGGGCCAGTCGATTTTCTTTTTCTGAGCAGGTTGTTCCGTCGGTTTAGGCTGGATCGGGGCCGTGATCTGGTAGGAAATGGCAGGCTGATTAAAAGACTGTCGGACTTGTACGGGATGGTATGCTGGCGCTGTTTACATCGATTAGCATCCATCACTGGCAAGGCACGAGGAAGGGGATTCTGCACTCACCATGCGCATATCCATACGACTCTGTACCGGGCGGTGGCGGGTGGCTCCAAGAAGCATTCATCGCGCTAGATGTCCAGGAATTCTGGTTCGTGTTTGCTTGTATATCAATGTAGTGGTTAGCGGCGCGATATATAGATCGCGAACAGGTAGAGATCAGGTGGTGCACAAATGTTGTTGAGCAGAAAGGGTCGAGGGGTTCCTGGTGTGAAGGAGAGTTGAATGAAAGTGTTGTGTGGACTTGGAAATGATGGACGAGACCGGGAATTTAGCATGAGCGTCAGGCTTCGCTAGGGAGACGCTTAGCGTGCTGAGTTATTCGTTCTACCGGAGGCTGGGCGTAGGCTGAGTCACCCGCGTTTCCACGATAGGCGACTGATAGCTCGAAGAACTTGGAATGCGCAACGCTTAGGAATGTAGCTCGTGAGCCACTCACTCATTGCTCGCGATTGCAACTACACGACAGCACATGGCACGACCGGATGTTTTTGCAGAACATCGACCTCACAACTGCGTTGAGGCCGGCTTACTTGCCAGATGAAGTCCTGCTCTTCGTTCAAGACAATGTGGGGTTGTATGAGGGGTGAGTTCCGACGCATGCAACATATTGCCAAACGGATGTATACTGAGAGCATTTAGAAAATTCAAGATCCCGGATCACCAGAACGGCCATGTCTACTTGACGTCGCATAGGATTTGCTACGTCGACAATGAGAATCCAAGGAAGCATTCGGTCGCCATTGACCTGAAGGACGTCGATCGTTATGAGTTCTATGTACACATTCCACATTGCTAGATGAGAAGCGGGAACTGATGCATCCTAGGCAGGCCTCTTCAAGTCTTCTGCTAAGATCACTCTCTTCCCAAAGCCTTCGAAACGGTCCTCGTTGCAAAGTAGAGCGGTTTCCGATTTGAATACTCCTTCAAGAAGTGCGACGTCGACACCACTCTCCCGAGCCGAAAGTCCCTTCCACCTACCCACTCCCGAATTACCTCCAACGAGTAGTGCGACTTGGATATGCACCATATGCAGTCACTCAAATCCTGTTCCATCAAACTTCGATCCCAAAACAGCAAGCGATCGTACGCCTATACCACCGTGTTTGCTTTGTGGGATTAAGCCTGCCCTGGCACACGTGCTCAAGGCTTCGATTTTAAGTACAACAAACAGGCCCTCTTCACATTCCCCAGCGGCCCTCAGAACCCCCGTCCCTATTCGAGGCCGTCCCGAAATACCGCGGCCACAGTCGGAAGCATGGGGAGAACCACCATCACAAAATGCCAGTCAAGCAACGACAGGCGAAGCCACTTTCCCCTGTCCAAGGTGTACCTTCCTCAATCACCCATCATTACCTTCTTGCGAGATATGTGGTGCTTCTCTTGTATCCCAGGATTTGCCGACAGGTTTAAACAGACCTTCGCTGCGTCCTGAATCTCCTGGACCTACGCTGAACCATCTTCCGCATTTAGAAACACAAACGAATGAGAGCATCAAGCTGTCCTTCCGTGGCGGAGGGGAGAAGATTATGTATGAACGTCTCAAAGGTTCTATGACACAGCGCAAGTGGCTTCTACAAGGTGCGCCACCTGTTCCGAAACTCAGTAGGCCAAACAATGAGTCCGGTTCCTCGATGCCAACCAGCTCGAGCCCTTCTGGAGAAAGGGTCAAAGCGATGGGGATAGCAGGGCTTGAACAGAGGCGCCGGGACGTTCAGAAAAACAATGAGCTAGTCATCGGAGGTGCATTTGAGGACCTTGAAGCTTTAATGGCTTCTGCGAAAGAGATAGTCGCCCTTGCTGAGTCTTTTTCGCAGAATGGGGGGCCAGGCAGTATTTCTGACTCAAACACTGTTGCTGATGCACTCGGCTTGGTTACCACCAAAGACATGCTGGGAGGGGGAAGTAACTCAGAAACACTTTATATATCCGAGCTCTCGCGGAATCTAGCGGAGTTTCTAACCGATGATGCTAGAGGAGTACTGCGAAAAGCAGGTGGGATTGTTTCCCTTGTTGACCTGTGGGCTATGTTCAACCGTGCTAGGGGGGGTGTTGAACTTGTCAGTCCTCTAGACTTCGAAAAGGCAGCAAGACTTTGGGGAAAGCTCAGACTACCAGTACGCCTGCGACAATTCAAAAGCGGGGTACTGGTAGTGCAGGGAAGTGACCGTACCGATGAGAAAACTATTAAGACACTACTCGCCTGGCTTCAAGATTTACATTCGTTCCCGCCCGATAAGGAAGTCGCCTGGGATTGGCAATTCTTTGGGCGAGGTGTTACCGCACAAGATGCTGCGGAGCGCTTTGGTTGGAGTATTGGTGTAGCTGAAGAGGAGCTAGAGATGGCTGAAGAGAAGGGGGCTCTTTGCAGAGAAGAAAGCATTGAGGGTCTCAAATTCTGGGAGAATTGGATCATAGAGGATCGTTGGGCTCAAGCGAGCCTTACTGTATAGTATGAGATACAGAGTCTGCATGATGACAATCACCTATTGACCCAAAAACAAGGTCACAAGCTTCAACACTGTTACACTTTTCTTGTCTGAAGAGTTCCAGTCGGTACACGACATTGTCTCCGGCAACGAATCAGGTGAGTGAACGTGGTCAGGATTGAGTAGGATTGAGTCTCTTTTTATTGTGATTGTCTCTTAATATTTTTTTCTGACACGCTCACTATTCTCTCCTAGTGGATATGCGATTCACTTCTTTGAGACTTGCCCGAGCTTATTGTCTCCAACTTCTTGGTTGTGACGACGACAAGCGACTGAGGCTATAAAACCGTCTGAGCAAGCTTCTATGCTATGCCAGATCCTTCTTCCAAGCATATGTTCGTCGCAATGCCTCGCGCTCGACCTCCTGATGACTTCTGGGTGTGTTGCCAGCTAGTCCTTCGACAGTATGGTAGGGCATCTATGAGAATATCGGTAAATATACCAGATTTGACCTTTACTGGGAAACTGAATATCATTATCATAGCTGAATAGATTACTAACAACGTTTAGTGCGGCGCACAAGTAGATCTTGATCATGATGTGTGCACTGAGTGCGGTCACCAAAAGTGCGATGCTTGCCAGATCTGGAGTCGGCAAATTTGAGCATGATTGGCAGCAGAGGAAAGGAAGGCCTAGGTGGAAGAGCATGTTAAACGTTCATGGTTGAAAGCAAAATGGCTGAATATGGAGACGGTGTGGGGATTGGTTTAGCTCCTGCAAGGACGGGCAAGAAGAGCTTGACTCTGGCCTGATTCTACCATGGAAAGATAGTTGATCTACTTATTTTTTGAGTCTGGGATTATTCGACCTCTTTCGTGAAAGTGACTCAAAGAAGCCGATGTAAGGAGTCTGCGAGCTGCTTGGTCGAGAACAACAAGAAGGCGCTCTGAAATGGGAAGGTGCCAATGAATGGTCCTCAGGTCACACCGAGATGAAGTTAAACTTTTGGATCACTTGTGAATGTTTCCCTCATCAATCATCAAAGAGATAAACAGGCAGCGTCCTTCTTCAAACCTGTTCGTCCACTAATAACGTTATTTATCATTCACGGCCCAACTCGGGCCAGTGCGGAGCCAGATTTGTCAATGAATCACAGGTAAAAATGGCACTACACACTATCGCTACTTCAATGGGCTTTATACCACCAGCTATTACGCTTGAGAATTTGAACGTCCTTCAAATGCCCGACACCATTTGTAAACTCTCACGCTCGCTGTCGAGTTTCACATCCCATCCTTCACCGGCATCAGAGAGCGGTCCTTATATTGGGTTTTACTGGTTCTGTTGCCATAGAAGGCTTAGAGAAATTATCACGCGAGTGAAAGGTCCGGTAGGTATTAAGTTCTAAATATATGTTGTCGCAGGGTTTGGAAAATGGTTGAGAACCTAATACTTGAGAAGGTAACTAATCGTTGATCCTCTGTAGTGCAATACCCGCAACACGCTACTTTCGGAAGTCTGCCGGATCTGTGGACATGTCAAGTGTAAAGACTGCTTGATGAAAGCTCAAGAAGCAGAGGATCTGAGCAAACCTAGTATCACTGAGACATCAGAGAATGAACCCAAACCGACTGCTGAGGATTCGCGCAATTCTCAGGGTTTGAGGATGGTACCAAGAAAGAGAAGAGGAAACAGAAGAAAACTCAACCCAAAAGCAAAGAGCAAGCCCACAGAGACGGTAAAGGCTATCGCAGAAGAAGATGCGGAGCCAACTACCCCCCAGGAGGTAGTAAACACTACCACGACCGAGGCGTTCGATGAAGCTATCTTATGTTGAAAGATGAGCAGGAGTCGAAATATGAGATGAGCGCATAATTAATGAAAATCAGCTATCCAAAGATCCGGGAGAATCAGATTGCAATCCGTCTACTGTTAGAACATCGTACGAAAGGTACTTCGTACAAAGTTCAGTCGAAAGTCACGAGCTTATTGGCATCACTCCATATTCACATCATAATTGGGCTGACACCAGTCATTCACTCCGGTCGCCCATTTGCGACGTAAGACCAAATTCTTTCACTTCTTCACAAGTTGGGGGCTGTACGTGCAGAGTTGAAGTTTGCTATTACGGATTTTCTTGCAGCAGAGAAACGACGAGCTGTTATATAGGTAGCGGTAAATGATATATTTCAGAAGGAGTAGGATTCAAAACCCTGCCAATCAGTCTTGTAAATGTATGTTCAAGTGTTGAAACATATAGAGCATCCAAGTGTCGAAACCCTAATTCTAGTAGAATCCATGGAGTGTAGATTTCCGCTATCAGATGACCTTTCTAACGTGATAGCAAAGTCGGGAGTCAGTTGAAGCGATTGAATAAAGGTGAATAAAACTTGATAAGTAATGTATTCACTAACAGTAGCAGCTTATTACGCTAGCAACGATTGTAGGTCATGCCCCTCAATTCGCTCTAATCAGAGCAAGAATACACGCCAGTATTGAGTCGTTAATCCCATGTCTACACTTCTGCAGTGTTCGATTCTGGATCGTGGAATATCACTACTGGTATACCTGCTCCAAGAATTGTTCTAAGCTCAGGAAGATCGACATTCTGCAAGCTTTAAGAAAACTCTACATACTCCACAATCTAAGCTATAACACCTGTTGATCTTCCTAGGATTCTAACCCTCTCGAATATACTCCGCCTTTTGAATCCACTCTGACAATCACCTCGGAATGTCGTTTACAACGAAATCCAAACGCGAATCCCAAGTCGCACCACCTCCAGAATCATACGAAGAACAGCTCACTACGACTCACAACGGTACACATATCGCTTCAAGTAAATCGCACAAGGCAGAGCTCGAGTTTGCTGCCATAGCCGTCGTCATCGGTCTCGTTGTCTTCGTTGTCGTTCTTGGTCTTCTTGCGCAGAAAGCCTTCGCTCGAAGGAATAAACGTCGTTCGAACGTAGAAGGGAAGGGACCTGGAATTTGAGACAACCGCTTGATCTTCAATATCTTGTCTCGAACACACTTTCTGTTAACCTCTCGCGTCATTACTCGTCAACGTCTTGACAACCAAATACACACTCACGACTCTGCCGAAAAACACCATCGAATATCCGTCCTCCTCCTTCCAAGTAACAAACAAATTTAGTTTGACTACATTCGACATATGATATTTCTTCTCGCTACAACAATATTTACTACACCTTCTCAGTAGTCAGACTGCTTCCCAAAAGCGACAAAGACGTTTGAGGTGGATAGTGCAAAGTCTCAATCACAACTTGGTCATAGATCTCCCATGACACAAAACCTTTTATTTTGTTCACAACCTCGACTGAAAGGAATTTCCCACACTTGCTGGTCAAGTGAATATGTCATTAACACTTCACCCCATTCACAGCTTCAACCACATTCAAAATCGTCCACAATGTATTCCACTTCTTCGAATCTTCAAGTACTTTACCCATCCCTACAACAAAGAGCACACCTAAACAGCCACAACGAAAAGCTCATCTTGGTAGCAAGTCTTTGCGGACCAGCCTTCCTACTCATAATTCTCGGCATCTATCTAAAGAACAGGAGCGCACAACGCAGTACCAACGAAGCCAAACAAGCAGAAGACGCAATCGAGCTCACGGGCATACCTCAGACTCCAGCTTTGATTGATCTCAGTCCCATTAGTCCTCGTTCTCAATCTCAGATCATACTTCCGATTTCTTCACCTTTACCATCAGATATTGCTCGAGCCAACTGCTCACTGTTCGAGGAGTCCAAATCTACACTAACTTCTTACGTATTTGACCCTTTTGCTTCGAGTGCTTCGACACCGGGAACCATCAGCAGATCTTCAAGTTACATGAAGTTGCTTTGAATCTTTTGCATTTTCATTTGAAAAGATGCATTTTTCAGTACCCAAATACTTTCGACGCAAGACTATCACGCAAAATTCAGAAGGTAGACCGGAAGTCAGACCTCTTCTTCGAAATTCAGTCGAATCCCCAAACGCATCTGCCCAGGATAAATCAAAGCCAATCTCTCATACTTCCCGCCGTAATACAATTGCGAGTTTTCTTACTGCTTCTCCTGTTCAAGATATGTCTTCAACTAGCCCAGCAGAGATATCAGACTCACAGGACAAGCGAAATCTAACTAGTATGTCGAGCATCCGGCGGAGATTTTCTCTAAGGCGACTAACACAAAGACCTACAAACATTTCGAACACCTATGCCGACCCGATTTCAGAATTAGCTAGCTCAGCTGCACCCATTGATACTGCACCAAACGACAGACTTGGACGAATGACAAGTCTCCGACGAACATTTCCAACCGCTGGTCGACGGGAAATGCCAACTCTGGAAGAAGGTGATGATCAATGGTGGATCTGCTGTCAAGAGCCTGATGACGAGGATCCTTCGCCGGCCGTCAGTATACCAAATCTCATCTAACAAATACTCATCTGGAGACTTGCTAACTTTCGATTTTAGTGCAAGAAAAGGAATGGCCAGAGCAACCATAACTGTGAACGCTGTGGCCATCCAATCTGCGGAGAATGCAAAATCAAATCGAACAGTCGAGAGGGGAAGCGTCGTGCTGCCGCTCAGGAACTCGAGGAGTCTATCAGAGAGCTTACCAGTTCCCCGCGTAGTCCTTCACATGCCATAAAGCGGAAGATGAATGATTCATAGTCATATATAGAATAAATTACGGGTATCGTTGCAAGCCTTCTAAACCAATCGCAAGAACCATGACCCTTTGACCACTAAACATTACACATTCCCACCCTTGTAACGCCGTGTACCCTATCTTTCAAACTCCAGGCCTAGCCCTCCCGTCTATATGCGTCTATTTTGTCGCAACGCCAAAGAGTTTGTACATTAGTGAGAAGGAAAAGTGATTCCAGTTATCCAGCCGTGTCCGAGCGGTATCCCTATACCATTGCTGCATCTGGCCGTATCAAGCTTCAAGTTTGTCTATTCCAACTTTCCAATCAAGGTCTTTCTTAGCTTAGCATTAACAACTCCACCAACCCCAAAAGCAGGAACAATCCTACAGATTCTGGCCGCAGCACTGACTGCCCAGTTCTTCTTGACAATATTCCAACGTTCATCCCATGTAATTGATTTCGAACCCCTGTTGTACAAGTCCAAGCCCAGTAAATGCATTGGCGTGCTGAGGATTTGTACGGCGGCAGGGGCCGCGAATTGAGCGACCGTCTGGCCGCTGACCCTCTTCTCGAGCTCCGCACTCATATTAGAGCTGATTATGGGGCCGAGTAGTGGTGGAATATTGAAGGACGCGAATATGGTGAGACAGTCGCGGAGAGTAAAGAGGACGTAGGATGGGAGAGGGACAGGTCGCGGTGGGCCCCCGGGTCCGTACAGTCTGGCAAAGGCCTGATCTTTGAAAAGACAAAGCCCGATATTCGCAGTCGAAGATGCAGCAAACTTCATCGTCCCAGAAGTAACGTGTGTGGAGGGCTTATCTTGTATGGTTGAAGTAATCGTGTCGAGAGAGTTCGCTGTGACATAAGTTCCGCCGTACAACATGCAGATAAGGGCGAATGGCTTTGAGAAGACGAGGTTATGAGGACGAAGAAGGAAGTTCTTGAAAGAGTCTTGGAGAGAATGTTTGAGGGTTGCTTGGCCGGATGCATTTTGCATGATTCCTCTGCGGTATGTTAGCCTCTGGCACAAAATGAACTGATGGAAATTTGGGAGCTCTGACTTATCGATCATGACAATTATGGGAGCAACCATCGATGCTGCAGTAGCACCAGAAACCCAATCCGAAGCGAGTCGTAAACCTAGGTTTTTCGTGTTCCATACTTTCGGTTCCGCCAGCGATTCGGGTACTTTGGGAGCTCGAGGCATGATCTTTTGAGATACATCCAATTGAGGTGCTGCTGAGTTGATCCCGGAGGTTTGCGAGCTCATCACGTGTGCATTGAGGTTAACAGATCTTCAAACATATATATAAAAACCCTCCAAGAATATAGGACGGTGAGGAACCCGTAGCAAGTAAAGGCTGATGGTGCTAGATTTTTTTTTGAAGCGTTCTGTAAACTGATTGTAACACCGACATTAACATTGGCCGATCTCGCTCGACCAAGACATGAAGACCGTGCGCACACCCTAGGGGCTAAGAGACACGTGACCGACGCCCCTATCTTGCAGACCTCTCGCTCGTCTAATTGGATTCCCTCTACTCTGTGTTTACCATCCAAGGCACATCCAGGCTAATTGTTCTGACAAAAGGGACTTTATCGAGACCAGAAAATGAGGCTTTGGTGATCAAAGCATGATCCATCGCGAATATGAGTATCAACAAGATCTGTACATGGCGCTATTGGTTACAAAGTTAACAGGGAATTCATTCGAGCAACAAATTGAACCGCACAGCTATTGGCGCAAACTTCCAACCAACACTTTCATGTATTTCAAGCTGTGAGCAATTATCCGCACGTATTATCGCATGTATCATCTCATTAGGATTCTAGTGTGTGTTGGCATCTTATTACGCTCGAGAACGGGATGAGATGTAACAATTTTAGAGGCTGACTTTTGACGCTGTCTCAGTTAATCCCTGTCGTGGCTCAAAGATAGCCAAATTTCCTTTCCTTCAGCTTGTATTCTCCTCCTCGGATTGTAGGACGGCTTCTAAAAACCTTGCTATTATCACAGTCTTCTATTTTCCATTTTTCAGTTCGTTTTTTTACTTCTCCTTCCACTAGCTTCAGCTTCAGCACACTCCAATCTCAAACGCTTTTGAACTTAGTAAAAAAGGCACAAATTATGGCCTCGATACAGGAGAGAAAGAACGGAAATCTCCCCGAGTATTTTCCAGGGAAGAAAGATATGCTCAACAACATCGTAACGTTCATGGCTAAGAAACATCCGCAAGCCCTCTTTGCAGAATTCCCTGTCTCGCCAACTTCTTACGATCAGGGGTATCGCAAAATTACCTACGAGAAGCTCGCAAATGCTGTCAATGCAGCAGCTTGGTGGATTCATGAGGCACTTGGGGGCCCAGGAAAAGACTTCGAGACACTTGCTTACATTGGTATCAATGATCCACGTTACAATATTCTTGTCTTGGCGGCTGTGCAAGCTGGATACAAGGTAAATTATCTTGAATTGTAATAGACCGGAGACAACGCTAAGAAAAATCACAGCTGTTCCTTTCCTCTCCACGTAACAGTATTGCAGCTCATGCCCATTTGTTCAGGTCCTTGGATTGCAAAGTGCTAATAACCCCCGATCCAACATCGCCGTTGCTTGGGGGTGTACTTTCTTCCCATACACTGAAGGTATTAAAAGTTCCCAGTATACATGATTTGTTAGATGGAAAGGCCGACCCATATCCATTCACGAAAACCTTTGAAGAGGCGAAGCATGAACCGTTTCTTGTGCTTCACACATCGGGATCAACGGGAATGCCAAAACCAATTCTGTGGACGCATGAATGGATTGCTGCATACTACAACATGTCCCAGCTAGACCCTCCATCTGGATTTGAGAGTCAAGATCGGCTTTTTCAAAACAATAGAGTGTTTTTTCTATTCCCTCCATTTCATGTGAGCTACTACTATATCATCCCACACGCTCTATGGAGACTGATGTAGCTCTCTTAGGCTGCTGCACTCTTCACATCATTGATCGGCGGGATTGCGAACCAGACAGCTTGGATCTATCCATTAGCTGCTGCTGTCCCTTCGGCGAAGGTTGTTGTGGATGGGCTAAAGCATACGAAAGCGGATGCCCTGGCAATTCCTCCACCCGTTGTGGTGGATCTTGTAAGACAACCTGATTTAGCTGAGTATGTCAGCAAGAATATTGATACACTGATATATGGCGGAGGTGACTTACCTGAAGCTATCGGATCTGTTCTGACAAACAAAATGAATCTTCTGAGTGTCTACGGAGCTTCCGAAATTGGATTGCCCACTGCCATTCGACGAAGTGGTACTTTTCCGTCTGAAGACTGGCAATATGTACATTTTCACCCAGAAATAGGGGTAGAGTTCAGACATGTGAACGAGAATCTTTTTGAGCTGTGCATTGTGCGACACTCGGATCTTGAAGAGCACCAACCAGTCTTCAAACTTTTCCCCGAGCTTCAAGTGTATAAAACTCGCGATCTATACACTCCGCACCCATCCAAACCAGACCTTTGGATATACAAGGGAAGAGCTGATGATATTATTGTTTTCTTGACGGGAGAAAAAACAAATCCAACAACATTTGAGCACCACATCTCTTCTCATCCCGAAGTCAAAGCAGCTTTGGTCATTGGTACTCGAAGGTTCCAGGCAGGGCTCTTGATTGAACTGCTCCAAGAGAAAGAACTTGCACAGGCAGAAAGAGCCACGTTGATCGAAAAGATATGGCCGGCTATTCATGAAGCAAACCAAGTATGCCCTGCACATGCTAAGGTAGCTAAGACACATATACTCTTTGTCGACCCCAAAAAACCAATGGCACGAGCAGGGAAAGGAACGGTGCAAAGACAAGCGACGATTAGCATGTATGAGCAAGAAATTGATGCACTCTACGCCGACGCGAAGAAAATGGAACCTATTATCAATGGAGACATTGAAAGGCTGTCCGGACCACTCACATACGAGAGTTTAAACGCCCTTGTGACGAAGCTAGTGAGAAAGCACACAGGGTGGGATAAGTTTGATGAGAATGCAAACCTCTATCTCTTGGGTTTGGACTCTCTTCAGACTTTATTTCTAGTCCGAGACATCAAACTGGCAATTAATGTGCCTGAGCTTGCTCCAAGTACAGTTTACACCAACCCATCAATTACAGGGCTGTCCAAAGCCATCCTTGATATATCAGCACAAATTCAATTGTCGTCAAGAGAATCAGACGAACATCGGAAATGTTCCATCGAGGAGCATTTAGCCAAGCATGTTAAGTCAATCGACGAACTTGCTATCACTTCGTCCGAACTCAAGGGCAATGTAGCCACCAGGGAGCCGAAGAAGTCTTATTCAAGTCGTGTAGTGATTTTGACAGGATCCACCGGGAGTCTGGGTTCTTATATTCTTGACGCTCTCCTCAAAGACAATTCCGTGTCGCACATATACTGCTTGAACAGATCTTCCGATTCTAAGTCGGTGCAAATTCAGCAAAGCAAGTCCCGTGGACTTCAAAGTGAGTTTGATGATGCTCGAGTCACATTTCTATCCGCCAAAGCCAGCGAAGAACATTTTGGTCTTGAAGACGCGGAGTACGGGAAGCTTGTCGCAACATCCACGGATATCATATTGAATGGCTGGCCAGTAAACTTCAACATCCCACTCTCTGTCTTCAACGATCAATTCTCAGGTATCGTAAACTTCCTTCGATTTGCCATACAATCCAAAAATCACACTTCTATCTTGTTCGTATCTTCCATCAGCTCAGTTCTTGGCTGTGAAAGCGTTTGTACCATTCCCGAGGATATCATCCTGACATCAGATCAATTGCCTCCGCTGCCAACAGGATATGGGGAAAGCAAGTACATTGCCGAAAGAATTTTCGACTATGCCGCCAAAAAGCTGCTTGTGGACGCTCGCATTGCTCGAGTGGGACAAATTGCAGGTCCAATACACACCACCGGAATTTGGAATTCACGAGAATGGTTTCCAAGCATGATTATCAGCTCTCTGCATATCGGAGCTCTACCTAACACTCTCGGCGCAAAATTCGATCATATCGACTGGGTTCCGATTGATGTTCTTGCTGAAGTCTTGATTGAATTATTGTTCAATGACGTTTCCACGGACGAGAAGGCAACTGTTTTCCATCCGTACAACCCAAGTACAACATCCTGGTCGGATCTTCTACCGACGGTTGTAGAAACGTTGAGTGACCTGAAGAGTGAACCAGTGGAAGTTGTTCCATACCAAGAATGGCTAAGCAGGATTCGCAGCGACATGGAGTCGAAAGATTTTGATGTTGAAGGAATTAAGCGTAACCCCGCTGTCAAACTCCTGGACACTTATGAGAGTTTGTTCAAGGACGAGAAAAGGCTGGACATCTCAACTACCAGAGCGCAGGGAGGAAGTCAGAAGTTGAGAGGTTCGCAGGCCATTGAATCCAAATGGATGGAAGATTGGTGTCGAGGGTGGTTTTCTTAAGCAGGTGTAAGATCCTCTATCCTGCAATGGTACGACCCTCACTATCGGTTATACTTAATTTCGCGCTCTATTGTTCAAGACTTCATTACCACGCTGCAAGGTATGGCTTTGTTTGTTATATCAGCCATGAGAAATGAGGCTATATAAACAACGTGGAAACACACTTGCCTGTCGTGAACTGAATATTTTAAGTCGTCTCCACTACTCAATTTTCGGTTAAAATAGCTAAATTCTATAAAATAGTGATTTTGGCACAATCCTGCCTAATAATCCACTTCAAAAGACAAGACATCACTTGAAACAAACGAAAAGCCAACAGAGAATATTGTAACAAGTCTTCCCCAGTCTATAAATCGTAGTATACTGTACAAGTCTCACACCATCCTTTCTTCTATCCTTCATCCGGAACGCCTGATGGTACAACCGACCAAACACCATCAAAAGCCGGCACAACGGCCGTGCGAATGCATCGCTCAAGAAACAAGATCAGAAGTATAACAAGCTATTCCAACGCAATGCCACGCCTAAACCCGTTGGGCGGTTATTCCCGCCGACTCGATCTTCTGCTCCCGAATGGGTAAGAAGAGTGTATGCTCGTTGGCGACCCAAGAGGCGGTGCCCCAGGTAAGCCAAGTTTTAACTCGCCTACACGCCGTAGCATTGACTGCAATGCCATCCTGACCTCAACGCCCATATCTCTGCTTAACAAATCTATTCCGAGTGGGTAAAATACTTCAATATACTTTTCGAATCCTTCTCTAGGAAAGTTCGTATATCCCTCCATAACATCAACCACCACCGGTCTCCATGCAATAATGTTACGCTGCTGAGATTCTTCTTCTAATAGTGTGAATCCCCGAATGATATCGGCGCACAAGGGCACAAGTGCTGCCTCTGTATCGTTACGATTTCTCTTCCTCTCCTCGCCTTCATCATGGTACATGCGTAATAAAATGCTCACATATGTTGCCGCGCTCCCGCTTTCCTGTTTCAAGAGGTTAGGAGGCTGCTTCATGAAGCCTTCTCGCCAAAGTCGCATGCGAAGCTCTTTATTCTCATTGAACTTCTTCGCGAACAAAAAGCTCTTCTTAAGGAGACCCATGAGACGAAGCAGCTCTGGACTTGGAATTTGAGCGTACACAGCATCATTAGAAAAGAGCTCATTAACAGTTTCAATCATCAGTAGCTGGAGAACACAACGAGTAATGATCTTGTTGAAAAAGCGCCTCCGAGCCGCAGTGACGACAACCGGCTGTTGCTGAAGGCCCGAAGATGGCCTGTAATCCTCTAGCTCATTGGGAGCTGCAGTGGGCGTTTTGGCTTCATCGTCATTGATGCTGTCCGTCTCTGATGTAGCTGTGCCATTCGATCCATTGATCTTGAGCGACTTCTCGTCCTCCGGCGCATCTTCAAGTGGTGACAGAGCCTCAGCCCCGTTGGCGCCTGATCCGGTCGCGGCCGAGAAGAGCTGATAGGCTGTTGTTCTCTCAAACAGTTCGACAAAGGCCCCGACAATTTTCGACCAATGCTCAGGTTGGAATTTGGTAACGTTCTGCAAGATAAGTTGCTGAAGACAGTTACTTCCAATTCGTGCGATGGTGTCGTTCTCTTGGCATATGCACATCGCAAGAAGGTCCATATACCTGTCAAGCATATACTCTAACGACTCGAAATAGTGGGTAAAGAGAGTTATCATGTTGCGGAGCGCTTGAATCATGGTAGTTGACAACCAAACCGAGAGTTCCTCGTGGTTCAGCACGTTCGACATCTCAGACTTAGATTTCAAGACCATGAAAATGGGGTACAGCAGTTGTCGCCACAGTATGTCCCAGAAGTCGGTTGGAAAGTCGCCACCATAACGGATTATCGATTCGAACAAGTAATTAAGAGCATTGGATCGAACTTCTAAGTCCTCACCTGTCATTAACACATCGTGAAAGGCGAAAAGTACCGGAAACCAAAAGGCTTCCTCCTGAGTCGTTCGGCTCGGCTGTTTTGACAACGGCTCAGTGGATTTTGTTGAGCCATCCGAATTGGCAATAGATTTATGCGAAAGAGGACACTCCGGAGTCTTGAGCATTTTTGGGATGATAGACTTCAGAGTTTCCATTGCTTGAAGCCCCTTTTTCTGGAATCTCATGTTCTTTGAGAACTCTGTGAGACACACTATCAGGTCAGCAAAAGCACCCTGTGAAATGACGACGCCAAATCGTGTCTTGTAGACTTGATTGACGTTTTCAAATGCCAAATTAACAATACTCTCGTATGGTTCTCGAGCAGCAACGGTAAAAACGCCAAACATAGTTCTCCAACCGGAACGAATATTTTCTCCACGAGCTTGAATCATTTGTATAAGGCATCGAAGAGCCATATCCTTTACGGCAACAACGTTGCTGTTCGACATGACATGCTCGAAAGGTTTGAGGAAGTCTTTTTGAAATTTAAACCCTGGAAGTTCTTCAATCTCCATGAAACGCATGGATAGTTGTCTAAGCGAGTCCAGAGCGAAAAACACAACAGCGGTATTGTTGTGACATCCCACTCGATTGAAGTGCTCTCCAAGAACTGACCAAATGTTTGTCCACTCGAATCGAACACGGGTCATGTTATAGTAACTGATCTCCACTAGCTTCTGTAGACTGTAAGTGCGTGGTGACTCGTTTGAACCTGAGATCTTGATCTCATCCCAGCTTACTTCCGTCAAAGCCCTCACAAAATGTACAATGGCATCCCCGTTGAGGTTGGCAGTATTGGTGAATATCCTATCGACTGCTTTGATGACTTCGTCAGATCGGCTCTCCATAGCAATTTCCATGGAGTAGGTGGTGTTCGCCGAGGTCGACCGGGGTCGTGCGCGCAGCGGCCTTTGAGACTGTCCGGATTTCCTAGAAGAGTTGGTGTCCTGACGGGAGGGAGCTACAATTCTAGCTTTAGACACATCCGGAATTGAGCCCTCGTCGACCCCCTCGGAAATCAGTTGAAGTCTGTCAAGTTGACTGACACACATCAAAATATCCCGCCACGACCCCTTGAGCAGGTTACCCTCTGTCTGCGCAATTTCAAGAAGATTCTTTAACGCTTCAACATTTTTGGCCATCATGTCGTTAGGGTTGTTGAGATTCGTAGCGTTCTTGAGCGCAGAAACGAATGCCTCTCTGGGTGTTTCCAAGTCGAATAGACAAGATATTCGTACTGCTAGTTTCATTCCCTCCATACATAATTTGATAATCTCAATGTTATGCGCGTTCTGCATTTGTCCTGATAGCCCAGAAAAGAATGACATCCATACTACATCAAACATCGGCCCGACGTGCTTGAAGGAAGTAGCGGGTATAAATCTGCTGTTTCCAGCGTTCGCCGCATTCTTACGTTCCTTGCGGTAGAGGCTTTTAAAGAGTTGTTCAGATCGCAGAGAAATTTCCTCAGCATGTTTTGTATAAGCCTCACGCTGCAGATCGCGACCAACAGTTGCGAGGGCTTGTCCAAGACCTGCAGCAATGCCACCAGAGGCTTGAGGAAGTGCTCCTTTCGCAGCTGCTTCTTCACGTTCACTCTTTAGCACTATCTCATCCTTGGCGATCTCGTCATAAATCCCGGTCAGATATTCGTCTGGCAGATTAGCATTGTCATTGATTCCCCGATTATTCTTGATAAAGTCTTCTGGGGTCATTCGCCTGACGACGTTCTTGCTGTGAAGATCTGTGTTCAACATAACCACCGAGTAAGACAGAATATAAGCAGTATCCGCATTTGCGAATGCATTGGGATTTCCAGTTACGTATCTGTTGGCGAATTTCAACATAAATCGATCAATCTTCTGAGCCTCACCAGGAAGGCGAAATGATTGCAAGAATTGCCTCAAGGCATCAACAAATCGCCGCTTCGTAAAATCCATGCTATCAACGAAAGCATGCATAATCGCAATGTGCTCTTCGTCGCCTTCACCAAGGAACTCTCCAATCTGCGCTTTGTCTAACCGATCTTCGCCAAGTAAAAAATGGGCTATGTCCTCCGGACTATTACTTGGTATGATCTTTTCGGAGAGCAGAAGCTTGAGACCTCGTTTCGGTTTGAAGTTGAATTGTTTGATGGCGTTACTGACGGCAGTCTTCCGCTGTTTCTCCTTCTCGAGTTGTTCTGGATCGTCATCGATCACCGGCGTTGAGGGGGGTATAGGAGTATCTCCGTTGGTAATTCTGGACGAGCTATCGTTGCCTGATGGATCTAATGAGTCTCGGATATCTTCTGAGGCTCTGACGTTGGGATCCGCATTCGTAACCTCAGCAATCCCTTGCTGGGACCAATTAACGAGTGATCTCAATGTCTCTACCAGGCAATCCAAAGCCTGACGCTTGATTATATACTCTTTAGGGATTTCAGCTTCCCCATTGTCATGGTTCGCACTCATGTGCGCAGTAGTTAATGACGGAGGAAGCATTCCCCGAGCTTGCCAATCATAACCACTTCCGCCTAATTTTCCAGCCTTTTCTTCATATTGCTGTTGATGTAAAGGGCTAACCATAACGGCCGAGCTCGAGACTTTCGACAAATCCTCAATGAGCTTTTGAAATATGTTGTCCACATTCCCATCACAATCGTAGTTGAGATAAGTTTCCACCAACGCACGAGGGTCTGCGCATAACCTCTGCAAGATGCCCATGAAATACAGCTTCTGGCCCACAGTCGCAGTTCGTCTTTCTAGAAGAGCCAAGTAAATCTCGTTTAAAAAGACTTCTATTTCTTTCTGTAGCACGGTTAGTCAAAGACACGAAGTTCGGTATAGCGTGACAAACTTTGAAGGGGGCCCGCATAAATTTCAGCATTAGCCAAAAGATTTCACAACAAACTTCGAAAACTCGATCTACAGAACTGGCCCCATTCCGGGTAATGCTAAGACAGAGGTAGAATTTGATAGCTTGAAGAAACCCGGTGGGCTCATTACTCTTGCTATTCGTGATGGTACATAAGGGAGAAGTGAAGACGAGCATGTTATTGTTGAGTAGCGTGTGTATCAGGTGGAGGGAAATGAGTTTTGACCGCATAGCTTGTCCTTTCAAATCATAGAGTTGGTCAGCAGCAAGCACCTTGGTGCTAAGGTTGCAAAATGATCTGAAGACCAAATAAGCATCTCTAATGTAAACCTCGTCTTCGGCATCCTCGGACTCCAGGCCGTCGTCCGTGCTATGATCAGCAAGATTTTGTCCAGAGGCAGACCGCGAAGACGACCGTACCGGTTTGACCTGAGTTACCATCGTAGGCCCTTCGCCCATCTGGGAATCATCGAAACTTTTGCGGTGCTCCAGATCCTTTAACGTGAGTTTCGGTCCATCATCTCCAGGGGCCCCATCCACTGGCGTTTCTGCCACTGCTTCATCACTGTCAATGACTCCGGCGGACTCGTTTATCGATTCCGTAGCGTCGACTGTTAAAGAGCTAACGTTCCCAGTCGTCTTCCCAAGCCGCGACAGATTCATCCGAGCCTCCTTCATATGTATTCTTGTTTTCACCCGCTCGAACACCGTACCGACCATCTGTGTCAAGGTTCCTTGGGCTACTTGTTGATTCGCACTGCTTTTTGACAGTAGGAAGACATTGTATACCTGGCGGACAGCTTTCAGCAGTCCTGCACCATGAACAACGATTTTATCGTTCAAAACAGCAGCCAGTAAGGACTTGACAATCTGCAATTGGATCTCCACAGGCGTTGTTTCCCCCTGAAAGCAGTCGCATATTGTATCGATCGCTCGTTCGATGAGGGGGTCTCGAGCGGCCTCTTTGTCGGCATTTGGGGAGGATGGGACGGAGAAGTACGAATAGCTGATGAGTTTGCCAATGCAATCGAGTGCCGTAGTTGTTAATGGGATACTGCCGGATTTAGTCGCAGCTTGGAGCGGAGTAAATATGATTTCGGGATCCGGTAAGTTGGGTTCTTGTGCCTTGATCTCTTTTAAAGCATTTTGGACAGAGTCGCCCAATTGTTGCCTTTTTGAAGCTTCCTTTGAAGCTGCTATAGCTTCCAGCGCCGATACCACAAAAACGATAGAACTCATGGTGGCCGATCGCATGCGCCGAGTTCCATTCGTGACGCTTGTGCTGTCTTTCGCCGGATTCGTCGTTGTGTTGACCCAGGAAACGGTCTCCAAGAGTCCAGAGTGTTATCTCCTTCTCAGCTTAAACAATAATGTATCTGACACCTTAGCGATCCCAGCGGATTCGTGGTGGCTAAGCGCGTCGCGGCAATCAAGCCAATAATTGTATACTTTGGATTACGACAGCTTTTCATAGACTTCAAATATTGGCAAACAGAATATTCCTGAAAGTGGAGTTTCCGATAAATAAAACCGCATTAAAATTACTATTTTTCTTCTTTCCTTATTGCAACGGCCTATCTTCGTTGATGATATCTATCAAGAGCAATCCCGGAAACATAGAGCTACCCACGTGATATCTCGGCGATCGGGGACTAAGGCAGGACAACAGGAGCGTTGGGAGCTCTTAGCTCGCCGATTTTTAGTTGAATTCCATCAACTCCAATCTTTTTACACGTCTATCAAGACCACCAACAACGCCAGGTGTTGCGAGTCCTAGACTTCAATTGTCAGGATTCCTCGTCCAACTTCTCTCTCTTTTTGTTTCTGTCGCATATTTCCTCTCCCACAGCTCTCAGAATGTTCACCGCGGTGCTGAGAAGGCGCGCCCTTCAACAAACCTCGTCTCTTTCATATCAATTCGCACGATGCTATGCCGCCAAATCTTTCCCACCTCATACGGTGGTCTCCATGCCTGCGCTATCACCTACAATGACAGCTGGTAACATTGGAACGTGGCAGAAAAAGCCCGGGGATGCCATCTCACCCGGTGATGTTTTAGTGGAGATCGAGACGGATAAGGCACAGATGGACTTTGAATTCCAGGAAGAGGGAGTTCTCGCCAAAATCTTGAAGGACTCTGGTACCAAGGATGTTGCCGTCGGTAATGTAAGGATTGAATGGAGAACAAACAGTAAATTGGCTCTTCTAACATCCAGTAGCCTATCGCAGTTATGATCGAGGAGGGCGAAGACGCTTCTGCTTTCGAGTCTTTCACCCTCGAAGATGCTGGAGGAGAATCAGCCCCAGCACCACCACCCAAAGAAGAAGCTTCCGAATCCTCGGAGCCAGCAGATTCTCAGTCTGGCACCGCACCCCCATCATCCAAAACCGAATCTGCGCCAGTCCCCGAAGAGACAGAATCAAGTGGTGGAAAGCTACAGCCAGCTCTGGAAAGACAACCAAACGCGAGCGCTGCTGCTGTCAGACTTGCGATCGAGACCGGTGTAAAGATTACGGGATTGAAGGGTACTGGAACTGGTGGACAAATCACCGAATCTGATGTCAAAAAAGCCTCGTCCGGTGGAGCACCATCTGCAGCTCCAGGAGCCGCGCCAGCCGCCTCATACACAGACACTCCAATCTCCTCAATGCGAAAGACCATCGCAAACCGCCTCACTGAATCTATGAACCAGAACCCTCATTACTTCGTTGCCGCCTCTGTTTCTGTCAGCAAATTGCTCAAATTGAGAGCAGCTCTCAATGCTTCCGCGGATGGCCAGTACAAGCTATCGGTCAATGATTTCTTGATTAAAGCTGTTGGTGTGGCCTGCAAGAAAGTACCAACGGTTAACTCTAGTTGGAGAGATGGTTTCATTCGCCAATTCGACAACGTTGATGTCTCCGTAAGTTTGATCTCAGCTACTTTTTCAACTAACATAGGAAGCTAACGTCCTTTATCAGGTTGCTGTTGCTACGCCTGTTGGACTCATGACCCCAATCGTGAAGTCTGTTGATGGTCTCGGTCTCCAATCAATTTCTGCCCAGGTTAAGGATCTTGGCAAGCGTGCCAGAGATGGAAAGCTCAAGCCAGAAGAGTACCAGGGCGGAACTTTCACGATTTCTAACATGGGAATGAACCCAGCTATCGATAGATTCACAGCCGTTATCAACCCTCCCCAAGCAGGTATTCTCGCCGTTGGAACCACTAAGAAGGTCGCAATTCCAGTGGAGACCGAAGAAGGAACCTCAATAGAGTGGGATGATCAGATCGTTGTTACTGGAAGTTTTGATCACAAGGTTGTTGATGGCGCCGTTGGAGGAGAATGGATCAAGGAGTTCAAGAAGGTGGTAGAAAACCCACTGGAGTTGATGCTGTGAATAGGTGAGCCTTCAGAGACGAGGATGTAACAAATCAGATAGATTCCCCATGTAACTTTGTAAAATTTCCTCTGATGCATGGTTGCGTTGAAATGATTTTAATTTAATAAGAGCTTGCTTAGCATTGTTAATGCTTATCATCAGTTCGAGGGATTATATTATCTAACAGAGAAATAAGCACCGATAAAGGAAGAAGGTGGCTGATCAAACAATCTCCCAATTGTCAATAATGAGTTATGTTCATGCAGCGCTAGTGTGAAGATATGGTCATTCTGGTTTTCTCGGGTGTTTGAAAGGGCGATTTTGTATTTTGGTATGGTACATATTACGTATCTTCATGCCATTTCCAATTATAGTACATATACATCTTATACAATTAACGCAACCTGCTGGTGTTCATGAGGCATCATGCGCCGATTTTGGTACTAAATGACCTCCCTCATCGCCGCTCTTCGTTGCCTCAGCAGACTTAGTGTTGGTACTGTCTCGGTATGGCTCCGTGTTCTCAATGGACTCCTTCTTATTAACTTCCGTACCAACTTTAGGTGGCTCTTGTGATGGCTCGGCTTGAAGAGGCAGCGTTTCAGCTTGGGTCGATGCTTTCTCGGAATTAGAATCTTGTTGACGAGCCCGTAACTCCTGTTCGACTTCCTCTTCGTCATCCTCCAATTCGGCGCCGTATTCCTCGGGATGCGCTCGGAAACAGTCTTGCATACCCCTGAGATCCATTAGCTCGGCGCTGCCATCCAGAAGCATTCAAACACTGACTTGAACTTTTCTATGCATTCAACTCCTTTTGGCTCTTCAGTCGAATAGACAAAGCAGCTAAATGCAGCTCTGAATTCCTCTCCACAAGGACCATGCGCCATTCCTCCAAGACATGGGCAGTCCCAATTGATCTCTCCAGTTTCCGGGTTAAATGCTCCCTGCTGATCCGCTTCCTCTTCGAGTCCACCCAGCCCGCCTTCTTCGTGTTCTTCTTCTGCGGCTCCTTCTTGAGTAATTGCCCTCTCCGCATTTCTTCTCTGCTGTTCCTCCTCGGCTTGACGTTGCGCCTCTTTGTTTCTTTTCTCCTCGACAATGGCATCTATGGTTGGCTGCCTGGATTCCTGGACATGGTGTATTGACTCATCTAACTTCTGAATGGTAGCTGTGAAATCATTAGCAGTGCCTCTTGTAAGAGAATAGCATTCGCCACTAACATTCCGGCTCTTCCGCAAACAAGTTGCTTGTGTTATAATAGTACACTCCCCCAGCAGCTAACGCCCATCTCATAGCACTGCTCTTCCAGCTTCGCGACTTCTGGGACGGTGGTGCTGTGCTTAAAAATCGCCGCGACGAGGTATTTTGAAAGACTGTACGGGTTGGGGTGATGCGCCGGGGTGTGGCTCGGAGGGCTGTCTTGAACATAATGGGAAGCTTGGTGAAAGGATATCTACTCAGTAGCTGGCGTGTCGAACAAAGGAAAAGGTGGAACGAAGCTTTGAAGCTTGGGTTTGGCTCAAAATGTTTTGTAAGCGTCCTCGATTTATTTTGGAGAAGTCGAGAGCCAATCACGTGAAGCGATTACTTATCGATCAGACGACTTGAGCGACCTGGACCTGCTTCCTCCACACACTCAAGTACTTAAATGCGAATTCCTTACTTACCCTTCGGATTTCTGGTATTGAATTGAAGAACCTAACTGCAGTTTTCTCTTGTTATGGACAGCAAGCAGTGCCTACATTCATTGACGCAACTCTCGCACGGCCATCTTCTTCGACGATGAGCACATCCGATGACGTGGAGACAATATGGCATCCAGCTGATATTTTCTCAGATGAACCTGGCGAACACCAGAAATATGCGCTGATAGTTCTAAACCAACCTCTGAAACTTGACATTTCATTCTATCGCAAAATTTGGGCTAACTGCTCCGTACACATTGGCGCAGATGGAGGCGCCAACCGAGTACACGACCTGGTCAAGTCTGAACAGGAGCGTCTTCCCCTAGATCTTGTGATTGGCGATCTTGATTCTTTGACTTCCCAAGCGCGCAGTTTCTGGGAAGGCCAAGACGTTAAGGTGCTCCATGATCCAGATCAGTATTCGACAGATTTCACCAAGTCTGTCCAACATGTCTGGTCTACCGAGCAAACAGAGCCTATAAATATCGTGGTTCTGGGCGGTTTGGGTGGACGTGTCGATCAAGGAATATCCGTACTGCATCATCTATATATGTTCCAAAAGAGCTATGACTCCGGAAAGATGTTCCTCTTGTCAAGCGAGGGGATCACTTTCGTGTTGAAGTCGGGGAAGCACAAGATCAAATCTAGAGCCAGTTTCCGGGGAGTAACTTTGGGTGAAAATGTTGGCATTATTCCGCTCAAGGAGCCTTCAATCATTAGCACCAATGGCCTGGAATGGGACGTTACGAATTGGCAGACCGAGTTTGGCGGATCAATCAGTACAAGCAATCATGTAAAGGCTGATTGGGTATCGATTGAGACTACAAAGGATGTTTTGTTCACTATCGATTTCGCAACGTTGAGGGAATAAAGCCTAGGAGGTCATAATAAATTGTCAACCTTGAGTTGTGACGAATTGGAGATCCCATTCAGTCAATACTCCAGCCTGCCTAAATATGGATCAACAGTGCCCAGACAGTTCACCAAGTCGCCAGAGTCTGTAACACGCTCCGTTTATTCATGCCGGAGAGCTCTCTTGAATTCGCTAAGCGGGTTCTGATATTATTGTCCTCTTCACTGCTCTCATGAGGACGAAGTGACTTATGTCCTTCGGTCTTTCTTCTAGTCCCGGAGAAGTCCTGGCGAATAAATCTCTACTTTTCACAACATTAAGCCTTTCAGAATTTTTTTGGGTATCAAGTATGTTTTCAAGACTACACCGACTTGAGAACCCTCTTGTTCATTACCGCCCTTAATAGAGTGAATATCTTCTTCAGCCTGCCTAATCACCGCTCAGTCAGTATATAATGATGGCGAGCAAAATGTAACATGCCTTCGCATGTAAGAAGCATACATGACTTCTTTCCATCGTTGGTGGGTTATCGAGTATCAGCAACGGCCGCCCCAAAGATGTCTACAACTCTCAAAAGCATTTTCGAAACGCATAAGACGACCTCCAAAAAGAAATTGGTTACGAACAGAAGCGTCACCACTTTGAAAAGCACCACCACCGTCACCAAAACTGTTATAACAGAGCAGATCAAGACTGAAAGAACAGTATCTAAGCACAAAACTAGACACAGATCTACTGTGACGCCATCAAGACATGGCAGTGATTCGAAAGGCCACACAGATCCCCGACGCCACGACGCTGTTTCCGAAGACAAACGAGGAACACATCATCGTTCCCAGCTATCTAATAACTACGTACCTAGGATTCTTAGTGGCCGCCCAAAATGTATCCAGAATGCACCAATCATCCAGCCGCAAGGGATAAATACCGAACTATTTTCAAATAATAACAGACTTTGTGATCCTTATGAGATCTCTCCTCCATCTTACTCCGTCCAGAATTTGGCTCAGCAATCATCACAAAGTATACAACATGGTGCGATGTTCGTTGAAGGAGACAACCATCAAGCAATCCCCGGCCCAAATTTCGCCGCCAACCATGACTTCTACTCCGAGATAATAGAGCTGCCAAATAATGTTGTCTTATCATCCTCAGTTCACACCTCATTCAATCCTGGTTCTTCAGTCGGACATAGAAATCCTCCCCCACATCGTCATGAAGCAACCAGGTTGCAGCAGCTATCCTCAATTGGCCAGCAGCATTACCAACAATATCGCCCCGCAGAAAACCGACCAAAAAGCACATCGGGGTGGCATGGTCCCACCAATCAATTACCAAGCCACTCTGAGAGTTCCATTTTCAGTAAGTTGGCCTTTTCAAATTGTGAGAGACTTTCATCAACAGCAACTGATTGTCCTCAGCCTGCAGAACTGGAATAATTGTCGCAATGAGAGTAACGGATTTGGATTCAAGGAAGACGAAATTCTCTCTCTGAGCCAAGACGGAGCTCGTCTCGATCTTATGAACGGCTGTATGCCGCTCGCTCTACTAGAGTAGAAAGGCTGTCTATGAAAGAGTAATACAGAAGGCATCAGAATGGATAGCTTTGTATCTTTGTTTCCTCTATAAAGTTCTTGCTGTGTCACTTATAAACTCAGCCGAGATGCATTTCGTTCATGTGTGCTCGCACCGCGGTTACAGAATATTGAGTCTTGACTTCCCTCCACTGTACGTCGCCCTTTGATCCCATCATGTAAGTTACCATACTTTCCGAAGTTCTTTTAAACCTGTCAATAGAGGGTTTTTTCTACCAAACTCCTTGTTTACACCTTCTTCTGTAAGATCTTAACATACTGCCGTCCCAAGCACGGCTGTCAAATAGCCGAAGCGAATAAAAGGGGGGAATCTGGCACGGGAGGGTTAGATACCAACATCAACATCATGAGACCCATTGATTACACAAGTGACAATTATTTGGCAGAACTAGTTACACAATGGCGAAGGAAGATGTTTCACAGGAATAGATATGCAGATGACACTTGGAAGGGTTGATTCGTGGATGTACTAATTAAATGAGATATGCTGATTTAGACATTATTGCGTGGTTTTTATTCAAAGGGATGTGGAAATTGTGGTCATTTGCAAAGGCTTGACGGTTGTTTATTGTTAAAAGATGAGATGGTATATAAGATCCAACAAGCCAGGAGATCAAGCTGTGATCACTTGTCTAGAGCGTTGTAAATCTTAGACACAATATCATGATCTCCTAACCAGGACATTTCCATCATCTAATTTTCGTATGGGGGCGGAGCTTCCTCATTCCCCTCGTTTCCTTCGTTTGCTAAGCACTGCACAAAATGTGCCTCTTCCTGTTGGTCTTGACGCACAAGTTTGAGTGTTCTTCTCCATAAATTAATTGGAACAGGAACCCACTGTCCTAGATCATTGACGGCATGATCTTTGCGCGGTACCCCATAAGAAGATCTGTTGACCAATTCTGCTTGATTGTTGATCGCAAGATCAAGCCGAGCATTCCAAAACGTCAACCGCGTGTCGGCGTCTGGAAGAGATTCCATCCATCGGTTCACAAATCGAAGATAGCCCGCGCGACGGTAGAAGATATTTGGATTTGATACGATCTGACTTTGCGAGGCATACATGATGAAGCTTGATCTGAATGATGGTGTCACCAGTCTGAAATCGAAGTTGGCCATATCGGAATCCGTGATCCTGCGTACAAGATTCATAAAGGCCACAATGTTTTTGGTGTTGTTTTCGTAGCCATTGAGATAGCTGACATAACCTTGGATGTTGCGCTCAGTGGCAGCTTCATAATCTGGGTCTTGATGGTCAGGATCAAGGTGAGGTAAGATTGGTTCACCCTGACTCGCCACCCATTCGAAGTAAGAGTGTACGTGATCTCCTCCTTCTGTCATATGGTGGAATCCCACTGGAGATTTGTATGCCGCACACGAACGTGCCAGCAGAGCGTCTTGGGTCTGACGTCTGAGGGTAATCTCCGATTTATTGATGTTGCGACAGTGACCGCAGACCAGCACATTTTCTCTGTCACCATATCCTTGTGGACAGACCTGCTGACAGTTTCGACAGCGAGCTACTCGTTGGATTTGGCGTGACATTTGGAGGTGCTGTATTCTTGTTGGTAATGAGGTTTTGATACTGGTTGGCTAACAATTTTGATCTGGGCTGAAGGAGACGCCAAAACTGGACTGGAAATGGTGGTTGTATAAATGGACAACTTTAGGGGACATGAGTGGGAGGAGGAGAGAGAGAGCGAACAGCAATAGTTAATGATCAGGGTACTCACTGTTCTTTGTTGCTCATACTTAGCTGTGTTCCTGTTCCAGCCCTTCGCCCATTCAAATCGCAACCCTATTAGGCTGTTCTTGAACACCCAACAATTCAGTTTAACAAGAAAGGTAAAGGACATTATAGAACGCCTCAAGCAACAAATTGTAACCATCCTGAAGTTTGTCTCATTCTATGACTTCTCCTTATCTATTTCATTAGTGTATGCGTAATTTACAAGAATGAGAAAGTTACCTGTCCTATGATTGAAGTATAAACTGCCCATGTAAACAAAGCTGGAGTGTAAATGTCGCTGTTTCAAAGTCGAGTGACAAAGCACATAAGCGAAATGCTGCGTTGCTCTTTGACACAAAAAGCTTTGTTGGTCAGTGAATATGATGATCTTTTTAAGGTATGGACATAGAAAAAGTAGCGTGAAATTCGCAATTAGTGCTTATATATTTGGTGATTATAGAACTGATTTAGCTGATTAGATAGTGCTCTAGACAGGGAATGAGACTTTTATCTCCTTCCATTGTTCCTCTAGATCAGGTAAGTGTAACCGATCTATTGTGTTGTGAATGAACGTGTACTTAACAACAGGGTTGGCCACCTCGCTTAGCCACATCAATAGACAATCTGGCAATATCAATAGCATCGCCTTGATACCCACCCTACTAAACAGCAACTTCCTTATGAATCTTGGCCGACCATGATCAATGCTCTAGTCAACCCGATATGACGATAGCAACGATAAAAAACCGAAGCAGTGAAAGTACTGTGATTCTCAAGAAAAATAGTACAAATGATGGTGGCAAGAATTATACCCTTGCCGCTTTGGATAAGAAGAAAGCTGCGAAGATGAGCCAGGCGCGTAAGTTGAAGTCTGCAGTGTGCCAGATAATTTACAATGCTGATGTCGTATAGTTCGCAAAGTAAATAAGGTGTATAAGAAGCGCAAGGAAGACCAAAGTCCTGAAAAGAAAGTTATTGCTTGGTGTATGATCGCTCAGTCTCTACATGAAAATGATACACTGACTGAAGCATTAGTCAATACAACCAAACCTATTCGTCGCACCAAGAAATGAGAGATAAAAATACACCAACAAATCGAGGAGGTGAATCAAAGGTGAACCGATTCTTGAGTTGACAGAGTTGAAAGCATTCTTGAAACAACAATGAAGAGAGTCTGAGTTTCTATGAAGCTGGAATCAGATTTGATTCCATAAAGACTGGATGAAGCATTGATAGATATTGTCGATGCTGTTGATAAATATGGGGTTGACGATGAAAGCGGAACAAATAACCCAAGTGTCAGAATATACAATCCAAATGGCAAGATAAAAACAGAGCATAGTCTCGCATCCATCTGGTATGATTGCAGCTGAAGCATCTCTATTTCCTGTAATTCCGCTTTATGCTAATGATGAAAAGTGACCACCAAAATCACAACACAACAAACGGCGGCGAAGGACTTCACTGCAACGACTTTTGTTCCTATTTTGGAATTGCCTACCACATAGCTTGGTTGTTGCTATTGAAAAGGTCAAGTTCCATGAGACGAAAAACAACCGACGTGATTGTGGTCATTAGCCCAACCTAGTTCTGCATGGGACATCAATCCCGCACCCTTTATTAATTCCCTCATTTTGCAATTGAGTGAGCAGAGGTGACGCTAGAAAATTTCCAGAAACGCTTTGAGGTTGCTCCAGACTCCTCTATGAATTCTAGGTAAGCGGCAGTCGAAACAATCAGCGTGGCTGAAACGTACCTTCCTCACTTCATGAGATGGATTTGCCGGAATTGATCAGACACATTTCATCTTGCTCTGCCATCACTTCTTCTAATTTATCATCACCGCTCAGCAACAGAACTCAGTCACAAATTAAAGTCCAAGTGTTTAATTTCCCGCCCAGGAAATCACTTCCAAGATGCGAAGAGTCAATTATCCATCATCATTGTATACCCTCAGGTCTGACGAACGACCGACCGAAGAGCAGCAGTTACAGAAACAAGTCACTGCAGCAAAACCCTGTGAAAGCCAACCGTCTGAACACCCGAATTTTAGCTACGAGCATACTAGTTACCAGCATACTAAATACGATCATACGGGTTATCAGCACACTAGTTACGAACATTCTAGTTACCAGCATTCTGGCCCCCAAAAGTCTGAGACTCCATCGTCTGAGACCCAATCTTCTGCAACCCAGCCGTCGGATAAACAACCGTTCAGCGATAATAGTTCCTCACAAAAGCCCTTGGCTCCATACACCATAACCAGAAGGGGTACCAATTCTCAGGTATACCAATTTAATCATTCAAATCCATTCTAGTTTACGGCATAAGCTAATAGACTGACCAGGGCAATCGATACGACAATCGCGTCACTGCCGATGGACCTGCGTATCACTATTCTAACCGCGGTAAGTTGCAACGTGCTTCATGAGCTCGAACATATGCTCATACAGTTACTTAGATGGCTCATACTACTACGCCAATGGGGATAAATCGACTTACTACAATGATGGCCAAGGTGGATCTATTTATACTGCTCCAAACGGGAAGGTCTACCAGAAGCAGAATGACGTGAATGAATCTGGTTCGTGACGGAACATGAAGCTGTTATTAGATCAAAGGATTCATTTGGTCGTTTGACATGGAGAAAGGGAAGCGTTTTCAGCAGTTTGAGATGTGTAAATGACACAGTTAGCGATAAATCGAATGTATGCACTGGCCCTGTGAGTGTATTTGATGGTAAGCTTTTATCCTATAGGGTCTTCTTGTAAGTCATGTCTGAAAAGTTGTATTGATCAGTTGTGTATATTTTAGATCCATCTATGATACAGACCCGTGAAATGCCCGCCTATAACACCATCCAAAAACTTGACCTTTTGTCTTCCCAAACGATCTCATATAAATACAATAACCAAAAATCAACCCTCCAATGCGTCAACCATTGCGCCATCCCAAAACATTCCAAGCTCTAAAGTAATAATGACGGCCCAAATGAAGCTGATAAGAATAAACCCAAGCATTCCCTGTATCCAACCCTTGTTTTCTCCAAAATGACCTTTCATCGATCTTTAAACTGTTTGATCTACCCAAACAAAATTAGATCTCCATCATCTCTGAACTCCTCTCATCGCGCCGCAAGCCGGCAGAGCGACAAAACTCATTCACAATCCCATCCATCTCTTGTCGAGGAATGATATTCATAGCCACGAACGCCGGATCTCGTGTTTCCTCAAACTTGTCCCAGACAGATTCTCGATTGGGATCGAAAGATTGATAGTTCCGGTTGACATGATTCCGGAATTGCTTGTCCAAGGGCGACAGACCTCCACCGATGTCGCGCCACCTCGTGATACATGCTGCCTGAATATTTTCGGCCGGGGTGTGATACTCGACAGAGTAGTCGGTATGGCAGTAGAAGCACTTGTTGGTGACTCCAGGGCCATTGACATGTACCTCGGGGTCCGATCCGGGTAATTGGCCTCCTTGTACGAAGCCAATTGCGTCCGACCGTGTATCCCATATTAATGATATATGGGGACAGATATTTAGCTTGTAATAGATGTGACGGCGGAATGGTCGAGCTGACGATTTCACAAGTACTACTTGCGCCCGAATAATCATAGAACCCTGAGTTATCTTCGGTACGATTGTAAGGTGGTGGAGATAATTTTGACCAATACAATACCAAGTAGACTGGTGAGAGATACTTCTCAGGAGGTCGGTGTAACCGACGCTTTGTGAGTAACACTTCATAGCCATCTGAAAGATGGTGAAGGTGAAATTCCCGTGGAGATATTGATCATTAGCCCCGCAGGGAGATTCGACGCGGTCGGAATCATGTCCCATACGTCGGGCCTCTGAGATTGAATGATACTTGTGGCAGTGGTAGCAGGCAATATGGTCGGGCTTTTCCCGCGCCAGTAGCGTGAGAAGCTCGAAGGCGTGAGAGCGTTCTTTGAGCTGCTTGTAGTGTTGAGAACCCAATGTGAAATGCATCGGCCGACAGGAGAGAGCGAGGACTTGTTTAGACGCAGGTGGAAGATGTTTGTTTATCTCGAGTATGAGATCAACTGGAACATTCTTGAGTACTGAGGACTCAAGCGCGGAAGGGCGAAGTTTGGTATCATGACTTTGACTGGTGCTGGGTTCGTCCGCGGGTTTGGTTAAGCGTGCTGTCTCCATCAGCTTGACAAGCTGTGTAGAGTCGTCCATTTGGATAGCGAACGAGTTGTCGAATAATGATAAGGTGAAGTTATTTTGAGCTCGTGTGAATGACAGAAGTTGTAGTAAGAATAGCGAAGGAGAAATTGAGACTTCAGCGAGGGTGAGGAAGTGTAAGTGAAGACGACACGTTTGTGAACAAGAAAAAGAGAAGAGAGAAGATGGTGGCTAAGGAAAGCAATAAATAGTTGCATGAGAATCGTTATCACAAGCAAGAAGACCCACTCTTAGACCAAATCGATCTATTATGATATCAAAATCGACTTAATTTACACCTAAATGATTCACATACTAACTCGTAAGAATGTAACGCGCGCTGGCTTCACTTTAGCGGCTCGTTGAACTCTGCCTAGTAGTCAACTTCTGCGTCATAATTGAGGTTTCCGCATAATCCTATAGCAGAAGCTCCGGCACCACGCACGTAAATGTGCTTTTTTGCTTAATTTAATTGCAAAAACACTGGCAAGTGGTCATAAAGGAAATTTTTTATGACATAGATTGAGGCTAAGTGGAGATCAACCAGCATATTCGAAGCTGGACAATAGAATCTCCAAGAAGCACATGATGAAAGAAAGAAGGAATTACACGTCCGACTAAGATGAATGAGGAACCCGCCTTAACCATGATATCAGAAGGGACGCAGCAAGTCGATTGAGAATCTAATGATGCTTATCAAAACTCATCGTCTTCGTCGCCCTCCTGCTCAAAATAATGCGAAGTCAATGCCGTTGCGCTTTTCTTCGCAGCGTGTCTTTTCGGAGTTTTGCGAGGTGCGGCCCGGCTTGCGGACTCTATCGGTGGTTTAGTCGCTCTTTTGGCGGGTGTCCTCTTTGCTAGTTTCTTTGGTGGCTCTTGGTCGTCGGAACGCCCATCTCCCTCTGGCTCGGAAAGTGACGAACTTTCTCCTTCATTGCTGAGGTTTGCTCCAGATACCTGTTTCTTTACAGGTTTCGATGTCGAGGACCCTGGGATTTTTGGACGCCTAGATAGAATGGGAGTGGCAGAGGACGGTGTAGGTAGTTGATTTGATTTCCTCGACGAGCCAGCCACAGGTCGACCACGTTTCTTGGCTCCTACTTTCTTAACTTCTGGCAAAGGTGTGTCTGAATCAGATCTACCATCCATCTTTTCATCTCTCTGAACCTCAGCCTGAACTGGGGCCCTGCTGGCGGAGTCTAGGGAATGAGGTGTAGCATATGCTTCACTGTTCAATTCAGCAGGGTCTTCTGGCTCGTCAACAAAGAAGCCGCCTCCACCGGTGCTCTCATCAGGATTCTGGGAACCCGGGAAGAACCGTAATGATGATTGGTCAACCTCTTCCTCGTGATGTCCCTCTGGGAAAAAGCCACCAGCAAGATCCTCCTCTCGATGTACCATTGATTCCCGGTTCTTTTCAATCGCTTTATCTTCCGCGGCGGTTGTTTTTCTGTTGGTCCACGGGTTGATCTCGTCTACTTCGTGGCCCCCATCTTCACCATGTACTGCCACGAAGTCCTTGATGAGCCTTAGCCCTCTTACCATGCGTGCCCACATGCCAATCGCAACCCTCTTGCGCTTTTCGTTCTCCTTCCTTTGCCTTTCGTCTTCATATATTCTCCATTCTTTCATGACAGCCTCTTCGTGTTCTTCGGCAACTACAACACCAGTGACAACTGGAATTGCGGCTCCATGCCCAAATTCAAAATCAGTAACGGCTTCTCCGAAACTAATTCCGAGGCGTTTACATATTGTAACAGTGCCTTTGAAAGGAAGGTGTACAGCACCTTGAGGAAGCATGCTATCCACAAAAAGATCGAAATTTCCGTATTTGTTGGTCGGAATATGGCCATTTTCAATGGGTGGTGAGACTATCCACTCGGTTTGTTCTAAGCTGTACAAACCTTGAAGAGGTTTGGCGCCAGTTTCTTGTTCCTGCTCCTTCAGCTGCCGCTTACGATTGATCGTGGCTGCCCTGTACGGCACGCTTTTCAAAGGCTCTACACCAATGATAGGAATTCTGCCCTCCTTATGCCAGGTTTCTTCGCTCTTACATTTCACAACATCTTTTCTAAGAAAAACTCTCTCCTCAGAATCCTCGACACCTTTCTTCTTGGTTGTAAACATCTTCACATGCTTGGCACCAGGAAGCAAAGCCTCCTCTCGCTTAAGGTGACGCTCAAGCACGAATTCTGGGGAGCTCTTGTAGTATTGTATGGTTTCTTTTCCCTCCTGAACAACTCGCCTCTCCGGTTTTGCTGGTTGTAGAATGGTGGCGTCCTCATGGTGGTCTACTTCTGTAAGCGGATGGTTCTTGGAGCCGCGGCTATATCCCGACATAACAATCTTGAACCAATCCTTATGTTCGTAATGTTTAATCTTCCCATTACGATCATGGATTGGAATTTTCTCTGGTGGTAACCGATATCCCTTAGTTCTACCAGGCCATTTTTTCCACTTTAGATATCTTGTTGTAACATCCTTTGCAGTGCCATCGGATGAATGGCCTACGACGTACGAGGTTATGTGTCTTGATCTCTCAGATTTATTAGGGGGAAGAAATCGCTCGTACTGTTCCTGGCTTGTCGCGTGGAGGCGTAGTACAATTGCATCGACGGGAAGGTACTCGTTTGTCACAGGAGAGAGTACTTCAGACCAATAGTTTGGCGTGACAAGATCTCTGTCGTACGGTAGTGAGGGTTTTGTGGACTTCTTAGCCGGTGTGACATCCACAACAGATTCTTCATCACTCTCTAAGGACGACAATTCGGAGCTCGACAGATCAATTGGCGCACCCTTGTCACCACGGAGGCTATGGCGCGTAGTTTTAGGCGTTTCCTTCTTAGTGTTCTTTACTCGTGCTGGTGCCTTTGTTTTTGGTTTCGTGAGTTTCACTTCTGTCTGCTCCTCTTCGCTAGCATCAGAGTTGTCGCTGTGACCAGAATCATCACCCTTTTGACGCTGTTTTCCCGGCTTTTTCAATTGTCGAGCGTTCTTTTCCGAAGCTTCCTCATATTTACCCCATCCAAATCCCACAGGTTGCAAATTAGCTACAAGACGTGTATCAAGTCCAATGGCTCTAAGTAAAGCCGTGAATAGCTGAGCACCAACGTCACGACTTCCTTCCATCTTACTTGCACACACGCGAAACTGTTCAATGCCCACTATCTTCTCTCCATATCGTTCGGGATCGTGCTGCACTTTCTCGAAGCTTTTCGTCACTTCGTCCAAAGTCTGAAGTGGCATATAACCCAATTTGCGTAGAGCAGGTGCAGTGATTCGGAATCTCTGCTTCCAAAAAGCCACCAGCACTTCTACAAGCTTAAAGAGAGGATCTCCGCCACTGATGTCCACAGCACCTGCTTCTAGCATTGCGGCAGGTTGTCCCCAGTCACGTTGACTTCTTGGGTTTGCTTCCTTACCTCTAGGCGTCTTAGCCTTTCCCTTCCCCTTTTCCACTTCCTTTCCTTTTCCTTTGCCCTTGATCTGTGCTTCTGGTCCATCCTGGTCGTTCCACGATAATCCACTTCGACGCCTCCATTTCTCGATTTCCCTCTCGACTCCAGGTGATAGATGTTTCAACAATATTCCATGCAGCTCCTTGTCGCAAGCCCATGCGTTGCGGATCGCATTATGGAACATAAGAAACTGAACATGCACCTGATGTGTATTGATTCGGATTTGACGTTCAATTTTTGTCGGTCCCTTTTTTGTGCCCAACGGGTTGGTAAGGGAGATTCGCGTATCTCTTGTCAACGTCAATTCGAGGTCACCGGAAGGGGCAGGCCCAGCTTGTGTAGGCGCGGTGTACGTCTCTACATCTTCAAACTCGATCTCGTCGTCCTCGTCGCCGGATCCATCGTTTATACTCTTTTGCTGGACGCCAGGAACATTTTCGAACTCGTCTTCTGAGGAAAGGGATGAAAGCGAGCCTTCGTCGTCTGTAGCTACCAGCTTGTCAAGGATTGCTTTTTGGTCTTCTACCGTTCGTCTTTTTCCAGTACCAGCATCTAGGTCATCAAATAAGGTGGGTTTGCGTGCTGCTGGAGTCGCAGGTTTCGATTTGCCAACGGCAGGACGCTTCGACGGTCCAGCCTCGGGGGATGGCGAACGCAAGTGTTTGCGCGGCAGAAATGGAGGCATGTTTACACCCGGGGTCAATCTGGCTTCCAAAAGCGACGAAGCATGTTGTTCTTCGTTACTGCGACCCCTCGAAGTTGGCGAATCTAACGCTTGTAGACGCGACCCCCGAATTCGGGAGTTCGTGTTGTGAATTGGTCAGACCCTTGCGAAAGATTTCTCGAACTCATGAGGTCACTGATCGTGCCTGACATTCCGTGCAGGTGTGAGCAAGGATGGCACGGCTGCATCGAGTTTAATATGTTGACGCTCGGACAATAATCCCAGTGGGTCTACTATTTCGTAAAATAACACAAATTCGTTTTGTCGCTTTACATTATTATACCAGTATTTATATCTTAGCCTTCCTAATATGATATCTAATTGTGTTTGTGGCCTCCCTACATCTACACCCCACCGTTCCTTAGATCAAATCTCCGGCTAGACCTTCCACACATATACGTTCTATAACTCGTAATGCCTTCAACGCCATTGAATCATTATCGACTACGGCGGACGATCTTGAACTTCTTCACTCTTTCTATGCCCATCTTGTATAATGAAAAGAATCATCTTCAAGTTTCTTCAGTCTTTTTGGCATCATGCCCGTGCCTTTTGCGCCACTCTTTAATTCCATTGTTGATCTCTTGCTTATTCACACCATCTCTAACCTGCTCTTAATTAGTAATTTAATCTCAAGATTCCAAGGGTCAAAAACGTACCAGATACACTATACAGGGTTAGCATAATTCAATAATCAGGTAAAAGTTGACTTACTCGTGACTCCCAGACTCTCCACATTTCGATTTCTAGATTCATCGTCGAAAAACAGCATCTCTTCAAATTTCAACCCCGTTGATTTTTGTAGCTTGTTGAAATGCGTGATCTTGCTCCCGGGATATATTTCCATGTAGTCGAAGAATTCAATAGCCTTCTTTTTCTTGCCCTCTGGATCTGGAATATGCAAAAGCTTCAGCATCTCGCGACCTAAGTCCGGCGCTGACGTCCTCGAGGCAGCTCCCACTTGAATGCCCCTTTCCCGCAGCGAATACAGTATCGATGGAACTTCATTGTAAAAAGCAAAGTTCTCGCCTATCCTATCCTTCACAGAGTCATGTGCAGCGGAAGCTTTGAGGGGAGGGGTAACGTGTGTATCGACCCAGAAAGGCCACAATGTGTAGTCGAGATCGAATACGATAAGTTTGGGAAGAGCTCCGTCATCGAAGCTTGTTGGAGCGGTGATGCTGGATTGCTCCGTTGAGGTTGAACCTTTGCTGAGCTTTTTAGGCATTTCCAAAACAATGAAAATAACGAGAAGAACCAAAGTACTAAGCAGGCGCCGTACTGAAATCGGCAGAGCAGAGAGGCGAACAATCTTGGACGTTGTTCAGATGAGGGGCAAACCGATTGTGATAGCAAGGATGAGGATAAGATATCAGCTTGAAATTCGTTTGGCGAGGAAAAGCAATCTTTTCTTATTAGTCAGTTGCCAGTGGCGGTATTCTCAGGAGAAGTTTTTGATAGTGTTCAGGTAGAGAGATACCTACTAATACGGAGTAGAACAAGTCAATATGCTCTGCAAGGTTCCTCTGGTCAAATCGACATGACGTTCCACGTCAAATGTGCAGGGGAAGGCGGTGTCGAACCGAGGCCCCTACCAGAAGCCTATTTTTTATGCCGATTTTTATCCAAATTATGCTATTATTACTGACACCCAAAGAATAATGAAACCAAACGCGACTCATTCAAATTTTCCTTTCCACTCGATCATACTCCGTCCAATCTCTCCTCTCTCACTCTTTCTTTTCCTCACACTCTCTCCGAACCCCGCGACCATCCTTCTTTGACTGCTGCACATTTAACATACCATCAGAGTCACCCCCATCCACAGGAACTAGAAACGCTTCACATTGAAAATGGCAAACGCATTATCGATCCTGGCTATGGCGGCTGCCTATGTTAGTAAACTAGAACAGCAGTCGGAGGCAATGGAATTCAAGGAGGATAGTCCACGCTTTGGAATTCGCAGTGCAAGATCATCGGATATTCCTCTCCTCGAACGAGTCGAAAAATCAGCTGCAGAGGCGTTTCGCAGTGTTGACTTGGAGTTCCTGCTCGATGAACCTACCGTCGAAGTATCCGCATTGACACAGATGGCACGCTCAAACCACCTCTGGATCGCGGTCAACGACTGGGACCAACCCATCGGATTTCTTGGGGGAGAAAACTTGCAAGGGAACTTTCACATCGCCGAAATCTCTGTTGCACAAGACTTTCAAGGGAGGGGCATTGGCGGGGCTTTGATGAGAACCATGTTCGAGCAGATCCAAAGGGAGGGGTATAAATACATCACCTTGACAACGTTCAAAGATGTTCCTTGGAACGGACCAGTAAGTAGCCCTTGCGTTGCGGAAATTCGTTTGATTTTGTCTCGCTACTTTTGTCAACCACTTCTCGCTGCCGGGCCTTGACCAATTAGGCTGACTGGGGACTTTAGTGGTACAAGAAGATGGGATTCAAAGAGATCAGTCCTCGAGCAATGAAAAAACAATATACAGAGATCCTGAAGGACGAGGCTGCGCGTGGGATGGATCCGGATCGCAGATGCATCATGCGAAAGATTCTTTAAGCGGAGTGTTATTTTTCGGTCGGAAAACGACAACGAATTTTTGGGGCAATAAAACGAGTTGCAAAGCGCTGATGATTGTTTGGAGGCTGTTCAAGCCGGTCCTGACAGACTCACGCTCTACTCGGCGCGGACGGGTTTCTTGATATGGGAGAATGAGATCCCCAAATTTGCAACATACCCACTATGCGTACCGGGGCAATTGCTTTAAACCGAGCGCGGATTCGACTCGGAATCGTGGTCTAAAGCTGGAGTCGACACTTGGTTGGGTGTTCGCGCGTGAGGGTTTGTGGATTATGCCGAGTCCATCTCAGGTACAGGACGAGCTATTTTTGGTCAACAACGAAAGCTGGTTGACCATTTCACTTCTCATTTTCGACAGCTCAGCGTATGGCAAAATGCTAATCAAAAAGGGCAAAAGCGATGTACAATAATAAGGATGAGTGGCTCGCAAGATGTAATGAGGGTTAGGAAAAGATGCGTCGTGCTTACACGTTTCTTCATCGAATCGTTGTAGAACAGTATGTAATTTTGAGGATAATTTAATGGATATTGCACCTCGCAATCATGTCCTACTGGTCGACAGGTTTCTAAGACGGTCGCATTCGCACCAATTGGTCTTCTGCCTACCTTTATACTGTCAGTTTTCCAAAATATTTGATAAAGACCATTCATTATCCTCGTGTCTTCAACGGCAGAACTTAGTCACCAGCATCTCAACCCATTCCGAGAAGTTTGTTAACGATTGTTGAAGCGTGATACGCAGTAGGTTATGCAAAGCCCCAAGCTTACTAAAAACAATCTTACCTTACTATCTGATAAAGCTCTTATCATGACGCCGAGGTCAACAACCCCTACGAATATGCACGCCATGCGTTTAAGGGTCCAATCGTTCCTTCTTTCCTACCGGCAGATTTCCCGGACCCCCATTCCGCTGCCCCAGAGATTGAGGACAATAGAATAATTGGGATATATAAACTAGGGACTATGCCGTCTCCACCCTCAATTCCAACGGTGAAATTTCTGGACTTTTCATCATGTCTTGGCCTTCATTTACTGTTATCAGCTTATGAAGCCGCAATTGAGAAGCGAATCAGAGAACAAGGCAGGACTAGAACGTCGAAATATCAAGCGATAAGGATCGAAATAGCCAAGAGCGTAAAATTTAATTTCAACATGTCATCACAACAAGTCGACGAGAAGAAGGAGGAACAAATCTCACCTCCACCGTTTTCTGAGATAAACGAGTCTGGCCACGTACAAGAGCTAGAGCGTAACTTCTCATTGATTTCTATTTGCTCAGTCGGCATTGTCACCGGTAACACCTGGGCTGCAATTGGTGGATCGATTGCTGTGGCTATTTAGTAAGTGCAGGTTTCGAAGGAGCTTGAGAAGTTTAAGAGGAGAGAAGTACTAATTGTCTCTAGTAATGGCGGACCACCAGGAGTTTTGTATGAGTTCATCGCCGTGTCTATATTTTATTGGATGATTGCTGCTTCTATTGCGGTATGCATGCCCCTCTTTGGATAGTGATACAGCTGTTGACATAGTATTCAGGAACTGGCTTCTTCTATGCCCAGCTCGGCAGGAGTGTATCATTGGTAAGACAATCATCAAGCGGCGCTAAGGGAGGATACTGACTATTTGACAGGGCTTCTATCACTCCAGGGCCGAAATATGGACCGATTTGTGGTTTCTTTGCCGGCTGGTGGAATACCTTTGCGTGGATTATTGGCGCTGGCAAGTTTGCGTTTCTATTACGCAGCTCGGTCTGCCTCTCCTGACGATCGAAGTGACGCTTGCATACTCTCTTTGGACAGTTTTCGAGCCCAAATATGCTTAACTCACGCTCTAGTGTGTGAGTGTTGTAAGAAAAAAGGTCTAGGGGAACTCATTTGAAATATGTACTAACGGGAATATAGCTTCCATATCCAGCATTGCTGGCCAGATTGCGATTGGAATGTACGGTATCAGCCATTCTGAATACGCCCCTGAGAGATGGCATCTATTCATCGCCCAACTCGTCATTTCGTGGATATGCTGCTGTACAGTACTTTTCGCCAACAGAGCACTCCCTGAGATCAACAGGGTCGGTCTGTTCTTCATTCTAGCCGGCGTGTTTACCACTATCCTCGTTTGTGTTATCATGCCACACACAAATGGGTCGGGTTATGCTACGACTTCTTTCGTGTGGTACGAGTGGTCAAACCAAACAGGCTACACCAGCGACGGATTCGTCTTCCTAGCTGGTATGCTCAATGGAGCTTTCTCGGTCGGCACACCTGATTGTGTAGCTCATCTCGCAGAAGAAATTCCAAATCCAAAGCGCAACATTCCGCTCGCGATAGGAGCACAAATGGCCATAGGATTTTGCACCGCGCTGTGTTTCTTGGTCACTATATTCTACTCGGTATCTGATCTCGACGCGGTACTGGGTTCGCTCTATTTCCCACTTGCCCAAATCTACTACCAAGCGACATCCTCCTCGGCTGGGGCTATCGGCTTGTTATTCGTCATCTTCTTTCCGATGATGTGCTGTACTATAGGATGTTTCATCACCGCCGGCCGTGGATTATGGACCTTGGCTCGAGATGAAGCAGTTCCTTTTTCAAAACAACTAGGCCACATCTCGCCTCGTTTCAAGAACCCCTTCAACGCCACCCTTCTCTGCGGAGTCATCACCACAATTCTAGCTGCGATCAACGTCGGCTCAACCACAGCATTCAACGCCATCGTAGGTTCCTACGTGGTTCTCTCAACCCTATCATACGTAGCAGCCATCCTCCCTTTCATCCTCACCCGCCGATTCTCTCGCGCATCTCATCCACCCGGACCGTACATCAACAACATGCAACCTGGATACTTCCATATGAGCAGCCTCGTCGGGTATACAGTCAACATCATCGGTTCAGCATATATCATCGTCTTTGTGGTTATTTTCTGCTTCCCGTACTCCATGCCAGTCACTGCTCTTAATATGAATTACGCTTCTCTGATTACAGGCGCGATTTCTATATTCGCGGGCGTGTATTGGTTGGTTGTGAGGAAGGATTATGTTGGGCCGAGGGTTTTACTGGAGCATCACGTTGGAGAGAGTGTTGTTTCTGCTGAGGGTGGCGTCAAGACCGCGTGAATTACCGCCCAAAATCACTTCATCGCCTCGCTTGTAATTGTTTTTTTCAAAGACGATAAGACACAATCGAATATATGCAATAGGCAGATCTTGTTCGTCTCATACCTTCTCACTTTAACGTACTATATCCTAGACTCGAGCTAAATAACTCACTAACAAGTCTTATTTGAACTTTATCATCCACATGAGCGGACCTCCATACTTCTTCTGCTAGCTTTCCAAATTGGAAAATCCGTCGTCTGAATCACCACGCAATCTTAGACCCATCATAACTAACAAAAGTCCCAGAGCTCGTCTCCTTAGTCGCCCCATCAATCTACACAACCTTAGTAACTCTTCAACTTCATCAACTCCTTCGCAACAAAACTCACCTGCCTCAAAACCCCCTCAACACTCTCCCCCAAACCCATAGGCGGCGTCTCATACCCAATACTATCCGCAAAATTCTGTCCATTCTCCGTCTTCACCCATCTATCACGCTATTAGCCCTCAATATCCCCACAAACCCCTCACCCAATACCTCCCATCAAAATTAGATAGAACAGACTACGTACCCAGGATGAACAGCCAACCCCACAACCTCATCCTCCTCAAAATGCACCTTCCGCACCACATAATTCACACCCGCCTTACTCACCCCATACGCCAGCGTCGGCGCAGCGTCTTCCATGTCCTGGATACTACCGAGACTACTGCTGATGACGATGAATTTCTTTTGCGTGCTTGCGAGGAGTAGTGGACGGAGGGATTGGTAGAGGGAGAGGGGGCCGAGGGTGTTGATGTGGAAATGGGCCGTCACGTCCTCCAGCGCTGTATCTTTGGTGGCGTGGAAAGCGGTTCCTAGGCCGGCGGAGGCGATGAGGACGTCGATGCTGCTGACTCCTTGGGTGAGGAGGTGGTCGTGGAGGGATTGGGTTGCCGACTCGATGGCGGAAGCGGAGGAGGCGGAGATTTCGAGAGGGGTGATAATGAGGGTGCTACCTTCGGCGGTAGAGAGGGCTTGAAGAGAGGAGGCAGAGGCAGAGGGACGAAGGGTCCCGATTACAGTTGTATGTGGACGGAGGAGGAGGGCGGCGGCGAGGGCGTGGCCGATTCCTAAGCGAGGAGAAAAGGGGTTAGTCATGTGATGTCTGAATTTCTGGGTGGAGGAAGGGAAACGTACCGCGATTTGCGCCGGTGACGAGGTAGGTTGTGTTGGGTGGCATGGTGTATAAATGGCGATATTTATCTGTCTGTAGAAGGTGATTTGAAGGCGAGTTTGCATGTGGTGGAGTTGAAAGGAAGGAAAGAAGGTGTGGGAGGTGAGATTTTCGGAGGGGGTATTTGTAGTTTATGGGTCGACTTGCGACAAGCGAGACGGGAAATGAAATATTATTGGACGATAGCTCACACTTGCAGTATATTTAGTGTGAGACAATCCTTGATCGAAGATTCCACGACCTATGCATTGATTTCAAGTCCTTCAAAATGATAAATTAGCGAAACTCGCTTAGTTTGAAAAGGGGGGAAATCCCGCAAAACCACGACCATAACACAAATCTGAAATGCGCAAACCAGCTGCTTTTATAAAGTTGTTGAATTGAGTAGGTAACGGACGCTCCTGTATCCGCTAACACCGCTATATAGATGTTTCCTCGCCATCAAATTTGTATACCCATGAACAAACGCCGCCCAATGCACCGGCTTCGATTGCCGTCCTGTCTCCAGAAATTAGGAAGACATTCACTGTCACATGAAATTGATATACGCCCCACAGCTTTGAACTTCTTAGAAGATGAGCTTTACTTTCCCAATCCTAAAGGCCCACCTTCATCGCCAGCTGGCTGTTCTCTCGCATAGACTCCTGCAAAATCAAGCTGTCCAAGCATTCCATTTACAGAATCAATTTCTCTGCCAAGATCTAGCAGATTGCTTTGCAAGCTTTTTGCCTCGTCAAATTTCCTCCTCTTGTTTGCGTCAGCAACCATTTCGCTGACGAAAAACTTTTGTTCCTCGAGCACGATCAATCTTTCCTTCAAATTCTTTTCCTCGGCCTCCATCGCCGAAACCGCGCTGCTACTGCTCACCTGGGAAGCCGTATCGATGTCATTAAATTTTATAGCTGCTAATGCGCTTCGACCGTTCGCTGGGAGACCACTTGATCCATGTGGGGATGCGTGTTTGAGAATTTTCGGCAACGTTTTCAGGGGTAGCATATGCAAACTAAGAAAATTTGCACTTTGTTGGTATATTGACTTTTGCAATTTCAACTGCGTAGGACTTGTGGTCTTCATATCTCGAATTCTTCTCGCAGCCAAGTCGTATTTCCCAAAACTGTCAATCAGACGCTTTCGGACCTTGGAAGCCTCGGCAAGCTGAATGTGAGTCGGTGGCTTGTCGGGGTCTTGCAAAGCAAAAAGTAATCGCTGGAAGTTCGGCAGTAACAAGCGGATACCTTTTTCGAATTGTATCAAATTCTCGTATGCTCTCTGGTCTGGTGGCTTATGCGATACTTCCGCGGCAAATTCACTCTTGCTGAAGATAGTTGTTTTACAGTCTCGACACATGCGGATATCGAGGTTTATGTCGCCTGATTTTTCTGACAATAAGTCAGTCGCTATTCCTGTCAACGAATGACGAGATACGTGGACAAGGAGACTTACTTGCTGCGACATTCAGGCCGATTTCAGATGAACAGCTTGTTTGAGGATCTGCACACACGACCCGCCCACATAATCGACAATGATGCCGCCGGAATGACCAAGTCCCAAATTGCTGCTGACAAAATGGGCAGTTTGACACCTTTGCATCTTCCTCCCACGTAACAATAGACTGTTCTAGTTGCTTACGCTGGTTCTTCTGGCCTGCTAATGACATTATGCCTCCGCTGTTGCTCGAGATGTCTTCAGATGAATTTGCCAGTAGTTGTGTGAGTTTCGTGAGCCTCTTTTCGAGTCGCGAGACCTCAAGATATGCTTTGTCCACCTTTTTCCTCCTCATCGCCTGGAAGTCACCTGTGTGGTCTTTTAAGAGGCCGTTGTGGTCATTGTATCCGTCCCTCGATTTAAAGCACGTTTCGCACACTCGACACCAGAACCCTCGAACCGGCTCATGTTGCGCTGACCGGGAGAGCTTCATTTGATACATGGTATGGTCCTCGCAGAACAGCCGACCGCACTTCCTGCAATTCACATTTCCATTTACTGCCCCTAATCTCTTGCCGCAGGCGGGCTCGGTACACATGTCGTTGAAGCCTGGCTTCTGCCAGTGCGTCCTGCTAACCACCTCATCCGGATCGGGTCGATGAGGCTCTGGTGTTGATATTCGGTTTCCGGGGAGCACACTAGGACTCGAGGAGGATGCGATGATAGGTTCGTTCGACTCGAATACATCCAGTCCCTTGAACTTCTGGTTTATGACTGCCAATGGTTGGAACTTCTTCGCCTTCATCACCTGCTTGTCGAACCAGTTCTTCACTTCATCCTGCTCAACTTCTGGTAGCTCTTGGTGATTGTCGTCGAGATGCCTACACTGTCAGTAAAACCCTAAACATTTGAAGTACTAAGTACCTATTCAGCTGCAATAATGTCATCTGAATAGTGTTAGCGGGGCTTCCGAGGCGGCAGGTTGACGTTACCATCTCTTCTTGACAAATTGGACAGGTCAGCTTGCTGCTCGCCGCAGATACCCTAGATGGCCCGCCATTTTCCAAAGATGCCCTCGAGATGAGATCCTGTGCAGCGTCGGGTATGGGCGACGTCGCCAGAGGGGAAATGGCAGACTCTCTCGAACTGCCCAGCGACAACGTGCTGGCCGAGGGCGAAACCACATCTGATGGTCTCCGTTGCTGGGACGGAGGGAGGGGAGGCGCCAGCGACTTTCCACTTCCCAATATCCTCCCGCCTCCCAGTTTGCGACCAGACATAACGGGAGTGGTGTTCTGTCTGGACTCTGAGCCTCACGCAGGCCTAGGTCGTCCTATGTAGTGGGTTGTACGCAATGTGAAACGGACGGGAGAGGAGGATGCTGAGTAAGCATACGATCGATAAGAGCCTTATCGGACAACCCTTGTAGACATACAAATGTTCCTCGGAGAAAAGAATCGTTGCGACACAACTTTCTCAGTACAACAAAATGGGTGAACATGAATTTCCAGAGGTCGAAGGAGGAGGGTCGCTGATATTGGCATGGCAGATTCGGAATAAGAGAGTGTTGGTCGTGGGAGGTGGGGAGGTACGTCAATGGTTACTCATCGCCACGGCGTGCACTTGCTAATCTGCTGGTGAGTAGGTAGCGGCAGGAAGAATATTAAACGTTCTCAACGCAGATGCAAAAGTCACTGTAGTCTCACCGCGAGAAGGGCTGAATCCCGAAGTGGCATATCGAGTGCAAAAAGGACAGGTAGATTTCGTCGATCGCAAATTCGAACCCTCAGATCTTGACAATGTCGATATGGTGCTCACAGCCGTGGACGACCCTGAAGCATCGACGCAGATATGGAAGCTATGCAAGGAGAGAAAGATAGCAGCGAACATAGCGGATGTGCCTCCAGAATGCGACTTTTATTTTGGCAGTGTTCACCGAGACGGTCCTCTACAAATTATGGTTAGCACCAATGGCAAGGGCCCGCGAATCGCAAACTTTGTTCGGCGATCAATAGCAGCAAATCTGCCGCCGAACCTTGGTGAAGCTATTGAAAATACTGGAAAGCTCCGGCAGATGCTCAGGAAGGTCGCGCCAGGCCCAGAAGAGGGACCCAAACGAATGGCTTGGTGAGTTGCACGAAAATGATGGCGAGCAAGCGCTGACAGTCCTTAGGATGATACGCTGTACGGACGATTATGGGTACGAAAAGCTCCGCGAAATGGATGATGTCGATATGGCGAATCTCCTAAAGTACTACAAGTCGAACAAGGTCCCGCGGTTCGAATGTTTAAAGGCGATGAGGGGCGAATTTGACGCATTCGATGGTTCTTTCGGCTTTTGTGTTGGCTGGGGATAGAAGGGGCCGGTCGTCCTAAACGTGGGCCATTGAAGATATTTGAAGCCGGCGGATACTTAGTTTGAAGAAGCACATAGCGCAACGCGCGCATAGAGATTTGTATGAATATGTATTATGATCTTAGACGGCGATTTGCTTATCGCCCTTTACTGTATAGTATGCTTTTGCCATTGGACGGGCGTGTTGAAACCCACGATGTCGTTTGAAGTATGCGCGGGGCCAGTACGAGGTAGGGCTGAGAGCCGAAATCTAGCCCGTGCCCCTGACCCGCGCGCTTTCTGCTTCTCGCTTGCCAACCTTGTTTTCATGTCGCTCAACGTCGACCAATACTTCTCCCTTGACCCTCCACAAAGAAAACATGACGTACGGAGGCCGGGGGCAAGGGAAAATCATTCACAGCTTCAGATTCAAGGTCGGTTATCCTGTGTTCACCTACCGAACCAATGTGCCAACGCATTCCCTTCTTTGGAGTGTGACAATTGGCTGCAAGTGAGTCAAAGAGTCAAAGCAGGACAATGGGGTCATGACAACTTGGTCAACCCCTTGTTCGACAGGCCCTGATTTCTTTGTTTGGCTTGCCGAGAATGCTATTTTCATTATGTGTGGAGAGTAACAGGTTGGTGGTCAGGGATAGGACAAGAATAATATGTTTGGGTGTGAATTGTTCTCTTTGACTCTGCTCGTATATGAACACTCACAGCTCCCCAATCTTGTTCATCGATATTCCATAACTTTGCTATCATCTGCATCGCATCTTCCTATTTATAATTTCCCTTTACCGTATTACACCTCAACTCAAGACATACATCTAAATACCTAGCACCGATACGACATCATACGTTTGCCCAATATGACTGCCAAAATAAAAGCGATCGCGGTTATACCGCTTACTCTCTCCATTGTGGGATTCGTTCTCTCCATGCTCTGTCTCTTTGCTGGATCAAAGACAAATTACATGGAGGATTACTATATTGTCAACCTCAACACTTCAGGTCTCGGAAATGATCTCTTAGCAAAACTCAACCCAGCAAATATCACCTCGGCCATCGACGCACCCTTCGTACCAGAAGAATGCAACCAGACAAACCCAGCGAAGAAAATTGCCTGCGAAGCAAGAAATAAGGTCGCCGAGGCGACATGGAACTCAGACGCTGGTCGAGCCGCAAGAGAGAAGGCTTCCGAGCTCATCAACAGCGCTACAGCAGAAGCCAACGAACTTATCGACAAAGCTGCTAAGAAACTCGGTATCAGGGAGTTTTACAGCTTACATCTGATGAACATGTGCGAGGGATACTATAAGCCCAACGCCTCCACACCAAATGCCGGCACCAACGTTACAGAGTGCTCAAACCAAACCGCCATGTGTAAGTCATCCCCTTTTCCCTTTCAGTAACATAACTAACATTCAACAGACCACTTCGACATCATAAGTCCCATCAACGAGGAGCTCGCCAAAGCCCCAGACGTCGGTCTCGGCAAACTCGACATCAACAAACTCGGCATTGCAGACGACCTCCAAGACGGTCTCAACGGTCTCTCCACGGCCTTGAACGTTACATTCGTCCTGTACGCCATGGGCATCGCCGCCGCCGGTTGCTGCATCCTTATCTCCCTCGGCTGTTTCTTCCTCGAGAAGTCCAGCCTCGCATTCCTAGATCTCATCCTCTCCACCCTCTCCTTCTTCACCCTCATGCTCTCTTCCGCCATCGTCACTACCGTCGGCAAGAAAGCCGCTCACATCATCAACAAATTCGGTAACACAGCTGGCTTACACGCCGACAGAGGCGGGAAATACCTCGCGCTCACGTGGTCCAGCGTTGCTGTCATGGGCGTCGCGGCTATCGTCTGCCTCCTCCAGTGGACTATGACGAGGAAGCAGAGGAGAAACGGCGCGGGTGCATCACCAAAGTACGTTGATGATAGGGGCACGCCTACGATGAAGCAGAGAGGCATGGAATTTATCAGAATGAAGGCGTTTCATGGAAGACGATAAACGATTTGCTTCATCATCGTGCTTTTAAAGATACCCTAGCGTACTGTTTTGGGATGGCGTTTGGGAGTAGAATATTAGATATTAGGATATTTTGTTTTGAAGATCGGATTAATAGATTAATATAAATTGTTATTAACGTATATCCCTGCTCTGTAAGATTCCCCTTGGTACGTTCGTTTAATGATATTTGATGATGAAATTTACTTCTCGCATAATTTCGATGTCGCTTCGATTGGACAAACAAAAGACCATGTATGGAATGTTGGAACCATTCTAAGGGTCAAGTCGTGATGTGGTTAAGCTCAATTTAAACTCAGCTGAACACAATCATTTTCCATCTACATCGAAACCATGAAACCCAGTCTTTTAGCGCAATGTGAACAGGAGCACTAGCTTTTAGATAGCGGACTGAATTGTGGCTGGGTCGTAATGTGTTGCAGGATATAATATTTATGAACCTTAGAACAGAGAAGTGTTGAGGATGCTTTGTTTTCATTGTGTCACCAAAATTAGATTGACATGTCAAAGAGAAGAAGCTAAGTATAAAACGATATTCCACGTCAGAGTGTATTCACACATAGTGACAGAGAAGAAGAACCTAACATCAACTATAAAATAACAGCAAGATCCAAAAATCCCCTCATCCCTCCCCCAAGCCCTCACCATCACACCCAAACTACCATCTAATTCACATTCACTATCCCTTCTTTCTCCCTCAGATCCACAGACAACTTAACAACCCCGAATAAACCCAAACCTCCATCAACAAATCAAATCAAACCGCAACCGAAGACTCGAACGCTGCCGCAAGGCGACGCGCATCCCCAGCTGGGCATCCCCACCCAGTGCTTCGTTCCCTCTCGTTAATTCCGCGTGACAGAGGTGGGAGTGGTTGAGTCGGTAGGGGAAGTTCTTTGATTTGGGAGAGGCACTTGTTGCTCTACACCTTTTCTTTTGGAGATTTTGTATGTGGGTTGGAAGGGGATGTAATGGGTGTTTGTGATCACCTAGTACCTTTTTGGGGGAAGTCATGCGATTTTATGGGGACTCTTTACGTGCTATTAAGATCTGACTAGGTATAGAGAAATAAGACTGTTAGGATCTAACGGAATTGGTTTAGTTGAAGATGTGATAGGTATATTACTTAGTAGTTAATAGATTCGGTCGATACATAAGTTTTAATTATATTTTCTACAAGATTCTGAATTATACAATCTATATCTATATCTCAAGCCCACACAACTGGTGGTGTGGTATCTCCCAGGATACAGCTGGACGCTGGTCTTTGAATCATTGTTTCCGTGATGCGGTGTAGCTAATTCGGCTGCTGTTTATAATCATGACCGATATGTCCTGAATCTCATTTCCCGGTTCAGGAATCTCCGTACTTCAAGCTATGAATGGCTCAGAATAATTGGGTTCTTTCACCTCCGTACTCTAGTCCAATCATTACGCCAAGAAAAAAAGTTTCATAACTATCAACACATTGAACCTTGTCGGATGTAATTTCCAAATTCAACGAGATATTCCTAACCGCTTCCATAATTTACATTGTATATTTATTTTCAACCTGCCGAATCCAAGGCCGATTTTGAGAGGACCGTCGAGTGTTGACAACCAGTCTAAAAGAGAATCGTTGCCTGTCGACTTCTCCAGTTAAAAGTTTCTAGAATTCGTGCTTGATACGTAATTTGAATCGAATAACCACGTTTCCTACCCTCAACGCAAATATCAAACCATTCTCATAATCAACTCCAATCCCAAATTCCCTAATTCAAATCCCCCCTTCCCATCTCCTCGCCCACTCACCCACAACCATCCGCCCTCACTTCCCACCCCCATTCCTCCTCCCCTCATAATCCCTATAATTCCTCGCACTCTCCTCCCGCACCTTCGTCTCCCTCCTCTCCGCCGACCGCTGGTTCTCCACCCGCGTCCGCTCAATCGCCGCGTCCCGTTTATCTTCTCGACGCTCTTTCTGGCGCTGGCCTTCGTTGGCGACGGTGACGCCGAGGGCGGCGCCTGCGCTCATGGCGCCGGCTAGTAGGCCCCAGACCATGATGGGCTTGGAGGTGTTAGAGATGAGATGGGATGGGAGGGAAGTTGCGTACTTGGATTGTTTAGGTTGTTTGGTGTGGGTTTGGATGGAAATCAGATTGCTTGAGGGAATATCGAGAGGATTGTCTGGATCTTATATCTATATATCTGGTGCACCGTATGCCCTTCTAAAACCAGGCTCTACCCCATCTCATCGCACAATCTCTGCTCTCATCGCCCAAGGCTCAGGATTTCCGCAATTAACCCAATGAATGAGCGACACGACACTGTCATCACCGGGCTCGTCACGGCGCCGGGCGTCTAAAAAAGTAATTCCCTAAGAATCAGGGCGAGGAGGTTGATCTTTCTGCCAAAATTCGTCGCCCGAGGGTTGATACGGGTTCAGCTCAGGAGGAGTCTGCCTATGTGGCGTCAGTCTATGACATGGTACTTTTTTGTTGATACAAGGCTGGCGGAGAAATGGAGCGAGGTATCGAAATCGCAATTGAAGTATCGGATAGGTTTGGACTCAGATTACTAGAGTCATGACAAAGAGATGCTGAGCGTGATTGTACGACCAAATTAGACCGACATGTCAAAGGCCAAAAGGTGTATTTGGATGAGTATTTCAGAGTGGGATTTGTTTATATGTTGATATATTTAGTGTATATACTCGTGGCAACATATACCTTCGTAAGACTCTACACTGTACGATTCTGATCGATCCTTAAGACGTTTCGTTGTCGTCATATTTTCTCCCACGGGCGCTGGATTTTGATCATCCTCCAGATGAGATGGCTATTAAGCTATAGCCACAACTGATTTGATCTTGTTGCACAGTATATCGCATCCGTGTAACGACCCCGATTGGGTGAATGCACTGTTTCGGCCATGACTGGCTCAAACTGATTGGTGGTTGTCGTGCAGGCTTGTGTAATGCACTAATAACATGTTTCAATCTTCAGGCAAAATAACTTCTGCCTTGATCCCCATTTCCTCTCCAACTCTTCGAACAACGCCTTTTAGAGCCGTGCATGCTGGACTATCTGGGTAGGCATCAAAGAAACTCTCTCCATAATCTGCTGCCAATCCGATGCGTGGATCTAGAGGGACCGCGCCTAAGAACGGAATGTTCATCTCTTTCGCCAGACCTCTCGCCCCACCAGTCGTTGCTTTAAAGATCTGACTCTCGTGAGTGCATTTGGGGCACACAAATCCTGACATATTTTCCACGATACCTAGAACTTTAATTCCAGCTTTCCGGCAGAAATCAATTTCTTTTCGAACATCAAGGAGAGCGACCTCTTGAGGTGTGGTCACCACTACTGCGCCATCAACTCCACTTTCTTTCAAGAAAGAGTTGACACTCAAATGTTCATCACTGGTTCCTGGTGGCGTATCGACGAGAAGATAATCCATTTCGCCCCACTCGACGTCCTTAAGAAATTGTTTGATAAGACCGTTCTTTTTCGGTCCTCTCCATATGATAGCGTCATCCTTGTTTGGAAGCATAAACTGAATGCTCATGACTCCTAGGTTATCCAACACCCAAACCGGACTCCATCCGGCACCACTGACATGTATCGTTTCCGTCTCAACACCCATCATCTTTGGTATACTCGGCCCGCAAATATCTGTATCCATGACTCCAACCGTGTTGTCCTCGTTTGTGGCAAACGCGTGTGCTAATAGTGTTGTAAATGTACTCTTCCCCACACCACCCTTTCCAGACAAAATCAGAACCTTGTGTTTGATGCCAGACAATCGCTCAGTTATTAGGGGTATATCGGGATCTGGCCCTTTTGGGGCCGAGGCGCATATCGCTTGGTTTGGACATCCTGCGCAAGAATCTGCTTTTCCAGCCGCTTCTGATTCGGGACCAGGGCAGTGTTCTGGTTCGGGAGCGACGAGGTTTGGAGAGGTTTTCAGTGGGTTATCGAGGACGTCTTCGACATTATCGGGAGCTTCGAGAGAGGGTGCCATGTCACCGTTCGATGGCTGGATAAATTATACGAGTGATTTCTTGCAGGCGTTGGAACCTGCTCAAATATAGGGACCGATAATCGCAATCAATGTGCAGAAACTAGGTCGGAAATGAATAAAATATCTAAGGAGTCAGAAGAAAAGTAAATATAATCGAAATCCACTCGCCTGTGGTGGTTACAAAGCATCAAAAAGTTGCAAGTATGGCGGGGTGTGATCGCTGTATTGGGAAGGCGGTGTATGGAGGTGTCCCCGATGTCTCCGATGACGGCAGCTGGCAAGCACGCACCTCATGCACTCTTTTTGTGCCTCACATGAGTCTCTTTCTGCCTCTTTCACGAGCCAATATCAACCTCCAACGGCACCCAAGCTTCCCTCCTTTAGCCATGGAGCGGCAGCCCTACCGAGCGAGCAGGAGATCGTGTGCTGGTCTTCGTGGCACGTCCATTGGTCATGAGGACATATTGCGTCTTCGACTGATATTCAATGACCATCTCCATGCTCCAACTTGTCGACCTAACCCCACGTTCTTTGTCTTGTTTGCATTGCATGAGTTGAACTCGACCTGTCGAAGATGACGAACAAGGCAACTTGCAGACTACCTCACATTGCATGCGGGGCTTCAGGGAGGGACCGCACGCGTAGGTGAAGTTCCATTCGTCAATCTGTTCCTCTAAGCGAGACATTTTGTTCAAAGTCACGCTTGGCTTCTGTTCTTCCCACATTCACTACCACCAAGCAACCATCTGCGGACTTCGAGGGCTAAGTTTACGGTGTTGATCCTGTGCCAAAGGACTGTCCAAGAAACAGCGCCAACCACCGTACTGATAAATGAAGTATCCTTAGTCCTTCTCGACTTACTCCGTCCGGGCTTAGTCTCTGGTACCTGAACACATAGCGCTCTTAGACTCTACAAAGTGGGTATCCAACGGTGCTACGCTCTCAACAGCTTCCCATGCGGGGTTTCAACTCACCGCACTTAACTCGGCCATGAACTCTTCCACAGATACACCATCCAAGATGGAAGGATTACGAGAGCGAAATACTCAACAGAACGCTGGGAAAGATGTTTCCTCGCAGAATGACCAGAATACGACATCCGCTGACTTAGATACCGAGAAGCCACAAAAGACCTTTGGCAGGACGCCAGATGGAACCAGTAAGTCGCGGCCCCAGCTGGGGTGGGAGGAAGCGTGCCTCCAGAGCACAACTGACAAGTCTGCAGTTTTCACCGTCCCCCAGACCCATGATATGGTCTCGCAGCTACTCGACCCCCGCCAACCCAAGAACCTCTCCGATGTTATTGTACTTGCCGTACTCGCCTTGCACGTCTTTGCCCTGTACCTTCTACCCAGCTCGTTGAAACGTCCTGTTTTTGCTGCCATATTCCTTTTCTGGAGAGCTTGCTACAATGTTGGGATCGGGTGGCTTCTTCATATACAGTCGAACCACAAAAGACAAATTGCTTGGGCTAAGAAGTGGAATTTGTTCGAGAACCCTAGTACCGGCAAGAACCCACGGCCGTGGTTATACAATCTCATCAAGCGTGAATTGGAGACCAAAATACCAGAAGACTACAAATTTGAAGATGCGCCCATTGAGTATAACACCTGGCTAGTTTTTCGCAGAGTCGTGGATCTGATTTTGATGTGCGACTTTGTGTCATATTGTCTTTTTGCTATCGCTTGCGGAGGCCGTCCGGTTGGGGAGGGTCTCGGCCTATCCATCGCTCGTTGGGTCATTGGCATCATTCTTGTTGTTTTCAATCTCTGGGTTAAGCTAGATGCGCATCGTGTAGTCAAGGACTATGCTTGGTACTGGGGAGATTTCTTCTACTTGATTGACCAAGAATTGACATTTGACGGAGTGTTTGAGATGGCCCCTCATCCTATGTATTCGGTTGGCTACGCTGGTTATTACGGAATCTCGTTGATGGCTGCAAGTTACAATGTCCTATTCATTTCGATCATTGCACACGCTTCACAATTCGCATTTCTCGTATATGTTGAGAACCCTCACATCGAGAAGACCTACAATCCTCCACCACCCCGAAAGCGAGAAGAACACCCAAGCCCAAGCGACACCCAGAACGGCAGTTCCTCCTCGCATACTCCTAGGGAGGGAGTCGATGATCATGACATGAGTGATCTCGCATCTCGTGCCCATGCAACTCCAGCAAAGCCTATCGCGACACACAACATGATTGGCAACATCGATCTTTTCAGAATCACCGACCTGTCAGTAATTTTACTCCAAGGATACATATTGTTAATCACGCTATGGACTCCCAATACACGTTTCTTCCAAGCTGTTTTCGTCCTAAACGCACTCGCTTGGCGTATATGGTACACTGCCGGCCTAGGACTAATACTCCATGGCCAGTCCAACAAGAAAATGTGGACGAGACATTTCGTAAAATATGGTGAAAGTACCGACGAAGCCTGGAGACAATGGAAAGGAATGTACCACTTAAGTATGACTATGTGTTACGCCAGTTTCGTTGCCGCTGTCTGGAAATTGTACTCCTTTCCACCGGACTGGGGATATGGTCTTGTGCTCCTGAAACACGTTATTGGTACTGGACTTGTGGCCCTCCAAATATGGACGTCTGTCAGCATTTACGAATCTCTAGGCGAATTTGGCTGGTTCTTTGGGGATTTCTTTTTCGATCAAGCACCCAAATTAACTTACAGTGGTATTTACCGCTACCTTAACAACCCCGAGCGATTTATTGGACTTGCTGGTATTTGGGGAGCAGTGTTCATCACGTGGAGCAAAGCTGTCTTTTTCCTCGCGCTCATCAGTCATCTCATGACCCTTGGATTTATCCAATTCGTTGAGAAGCCTCATATGCAAAAGCTTTACGGACGGGCTCTCCGATCAGAAGCAGGACTTACCAAAAGCATACGGCGGTCACTTCCACCTCCACTCAAGAAATGGCAAGGCAGCGTTGACAAGGTTCTGGGTGATACAAGCAATTTCGTGGAAGAGTTCCTCGATGCTGCTCGTCCTAAATTTGCAGCTGGCGTCTCTATGATCGTTCGTGATACCACAGCACTGTTCAGTCAATACCCAGCACGCCTGACTCTGACGCGTCTCGCACCAGATCTTGCCGGGTTTGATCCTAGGGACTATTCGATCGTTATCCAAGACACAGATTCCTCTGCACTTTCCATTAATGATCGAGCAACTGGAAAAGAAGGCCAATACGGACGACTGCCTCAAGAACGTACTGATGAATACAAACCACTCGTCTTCGAGTATGGCGCCCCAATCAAGGTCAAGTGGACCGCTCCAGTAAACCACAGCAATAAAGACTGGGTCGGGTTGTACATGATCGCTGACAATGCTTCTCGTGATGTTACCAAAGTATCTTCAGCAGGCCGTTGGGTAGCGACTGTTCCCAACGAGTATGAGAGCTCGCCAGCAGACCAAGGAATCTTGGTGTACAACCAACTCGTCTCCGGATCTGGTCGAAAAGATGGTTCAAAGAGAGATTATGTCCAAGGAGAAATGGTATTCGAGGGTGACAAGCTGTGGTGGACACATGGCGTCTTTGAGTTCCGTTACCATCACGATGGAAAACATAACGTGATGGCTATCTCTCTTCCATTCGAGGTCAAAATTAGCCGCTTCGACGAGGAAGATGTTGACGTTGATTCCAATGGTCTCATTCGTACTGCCGTTCAGAACGCGCTTCTGCCCGTTGTCCGGAACTGTTTTGACCGTGATCCAGAGATTGCCCCAAACACTGTGGACGAGAGCTTCGGCAGCTTGGTTGAGCGCGATGGCAAGTACGCCAAACGCGTCGTTTTCGCCGTCCACCAGATGTTCGGTATTGAGTTCGCTCCAGGGGTAGTACTCGCCGATGGGAATGTCAAGAATTTGGCATGGAGAATTTGCAACGCGAAGCAGGTCTTGGTATGTCGAAATTGACCCCGCATAACATTCCTCTTCCCTCTTGTTGTCGAATTATTCACTTAAAGTATACTTTGCTAACATGGTCACCTCACGCAATAGGCACCATATAGCATGTCCCACTCCAGAGGTACAACAACACCTACAGGTAGTCAATCACCTGTGAAGGATACGTTTTAGATAAGTACACAGCATATGAGGAGGATAGTTAAATCGCAGCAAGGAAAGTGGTCTTTGTGTGTGGATACCCGTAAATAAAAATTGTTTTTTTGGGCATTGCGGTTGTTGCATTAGATGATTCATCTTTGGCATTGCTTTTTGATTTGTGGGCATGAGAGCGGAAGAATGAGCATATTTGCATGGCTTGTTGAATTAGGTGTAGAACCTATTAAGATTCCTTTGATAGAGCAGGGCAGTAAAAAAAAATCTAATTATGAAAACTAAAAGTTTATATACCGACTAATAAGTTCCAATATAATATGTCTTCTGTATTAGGACAGAGTTGATAGGCGTTCTAGACCTCGGCTGGAACAATTTGCGCACGGTTTTTGCCGCGAATTATCCGCCTCGGGCTCTCGACGTCATGTGTGGCTGGTCACGCTCGGAGGTTCCAAGGCAAGCGCAAGAGCAAAGACCGCTTTGAAACACATGAAAGACATACGAGCTTCATTTCCACCAAGAGATAATCGTCAACTTCACCACAACCATCTACCTAGCTCTCTTTTGTAAGTCTACAGCTTCCAAATATTCCAGGACGTATTCTGACCTTATCTAGCTACCATACATCCAGCAAATATGTCATACGCAGCAGCAGCGGCTAAAGGCCCAAAGCAAAGCCCAGAAGAGGTATTTATCTCCCATCACTCGAACCATGCGATGATTGCGAATCAACAGCGTTTTAATACTGTTCGAATTGTCACACACGCCATCATATGAGAACCAACGCTCTGTTTGTATGCAGCAAAGTTAACACTACCTTCCAGGCCCGCGCACCCGCACCTCCAGAGATCGAAACCACCGAATCCATAAGCACATCATCCCTAATCGACGTCGACACCGACTCCGTCCACACCGTCCCCTCAGATTTTGGAACTCAATCCGTCCAAACCGATACCCAACTCGAGCGTCTGCAGCGGGAAGCAGAAGCCGCGGAAGCACGCGCCAAGGAGGAAGCCGAAAGTGCTGCGAAGGAAGTCAAAGACAAGACTAAGACCGCGAAGTCAAAGGCGAAGAAGGAGGCTGGCAAGTTCCAGGAGAATAGCGATAACCCCGTGTTCATTGGAAATGCTATCGCGGTTGTGGGATTGAGTGCTGGGTTGGGCTTTGGGGCTTATCGCAAGTATGCTGCTGGGGAGTTGACGTGGAAGGTTGTCGGTGCTTGGTCTGGATTGGTTGGTTTGTTTGCAGTAGGGGACTTTTATTTGAGCCAGTAAGTTATTCCTCGTCTTGTCCTCTGCCGTAAATATGTGCTAATTCCTATCCCAGGTACCTTTTCAAGAACAAATACCCAAAGAAATAGATAAGTCAGGACTGGACGAATAGTGAGCGTGGAGCATGGGTACAAGTTCGGTTGGCGCATGCGCGGGTCATTTGGAATACGCGGGGCGGTTTCTTCTCGTGTGTTGGTAGACACTCTGCTCTTGTATCGATATGGTTTTTATGATGAGTGAGAAATCTTTGGTGCCGGATTTGCGAGCGAATAATATAATCACTTCAACTCATGAAACTCAACTGCCAGGTTAACTTTAAGTACATCTCAAAATTGTTACCTAAATCTATAGACTGTTATAGTCCTGTCTGTGCTCGCGTAGCGTTCTATGAGTTGATTTGCTGCCGATCGGAAACGTCTTCCAGAAATCCCGGGATCAACTAGGAATTCCGAATCTAGTTAACTACTAGGGAAAGCTCCAGGAGAATGGCGTTCGCAGAAATTGAAATGCTATGCATGTAGGTTAGGGTTCTTGAACAGGCTTTCTTGAAAATGTTAGGAATAATGACATTGAAGTCTGATCATTGGAGAAGAATAGGTCCTGCGTCCTCGAAGGACAGATGCGCGGAAACTTAATACCATCCACCTACAGGAAAGTTCGTGGACGGTAAATCTCAATGTCTGGGATCTTTTGTAGATGTGCCGTTCTTGAGGATCGTTGAGTCTTCACCAGTGGGACTAGAACAGGAATGTTCAATTAATCCGACTGTAGATTATGACTTTTACTTTAAAGAGCACAGGTTTATGTCTACTGTAGATGAGAAGTTGTGTTTATCAAAGGGTTTAGTTGTATGATTGGAAGTCCTTCCATGGGTTGGTTTGCTGTATAGCAGCGATAGATCTCGCTTCAGGTTGGAGGGAGAGGTGGTATGGTTTTCTGAAATGAAGAAAGATGGTTCAGGATGAGTTGCTTTTGTACTGAAGTATATGGAGCATGTGATAGAGTGTAAGTAAAACATTTATTCAAAATTCTATACACAGTGTACACACCTAACGATTCTAACAGTCAGATCCTTCTGCATTAACAAAACCAAAGAAGCTGATCTTTCAAACCAAAATTGTGTATACGCCCAACGGATCTTGCAATTCCAAACTCCATTGCCTATGCCCAAAATTCTAGTAGGAAAGTCCAATTTAAAACACCAGTCCCAGAGTCCAATCCCAATCCCAATCCCAAACTCCGATCCTTATGCTCCTTTTTTTGTGTTTTGTATTTTTGTGACCCATGCCCTTATGATTCGAACTCCAAATGCAATTCCAATTCCAAGGGTATCATAACTACAAATTCCAAAACTCCTGTCTCTCTGCCCTTTTGGCCAGTCTGTAGTACGCGATCCACATCCCAATCCAGTTCCCAAACCCCTTTCCCTCAGCATAAAAGTGCAGTTCGTGGTGCGTGATCCACAAACATATTATAACCCTGGGTATCCCAACGCCAATTCCGTTTAGTGAGTATATGATGACCTAACTTCAACTGGAATTCCAATTCCAATTCCCAAACTCCGTTCCCTCTGCACGCTTTGGTGCAGTCTGTGGTGCGTGATCCAAATGGTTATTCCTATCCCAAACTCCATTGCCCAAACCACTGCTTTTACAGTTGGTATTTAGTGACCCATGCCCATATTCAAACTCTAAATCCCAGAGTTCAATCCCATGACTCTCCGCCTTTCTTTTTGGTAGTTTCCGTGTTTTTTGTTCAATCCTTGTGGGTATCTTGAAGAAAATCCAGACTCCAGACTCCAGACGCCGGACGCCAGACTCCGAACTCCAGACTCCAAAACTTCAACGCCCAAACTCCAAAACACCAAAGCCAAAAACACGATCACAACCATCCACTCAATACCGAGAGATCCACTCCTCCTCTTCCTCCTCCTCGTCGTTCCCTTACACCTCACCTTCTAATCCTCAACCTGATTCGTCAAAAACACCACCCTCCTAACCTCCACCCCCATCATAGTCCCATACCCCCCAACCCAATCATCATCACTGTCACTCTCCTCATCATCCGCCGCAGCCCCCGGCGCTGGCTTTTTAACCCGCATCGTAGCATAATAGCAACCTCCGCGACGAGCGCGCGCGATTTGCTCTTCGTCCATGTTGTCTGTCTCCATTATAATGGGGTTGGCGGCCGTGGGCGTGAATTGGCGGGTGATGCGGGGGTCGTTGTATTTGGGTTGGTTGTCTGGTCGGGGATCGTTGTATTTGTGTTGGTAGCCGGGACGGAGCTGGTTGGGTGTTAGAGTTTGTGGTTTTGGTTGTGGTGGGAAAGGGGAAAGGGGAAAGGAGCTTACTGGTTCGGCTTCTTCGACGGTGGTGGAGGTTGGATTGGAGCGTGAGCTTCGGCTAATCCAGTATGCTATTGCTAGTATGATGCCGATGATTAGGGGGTAGATGAGGAAGATTGTGTCGCCTCTAAGAATGATGTCAGCTGATTTTTCTTGACATTAGAAATGAGAAGTGAAGAAGATGAGGTTTTCTCTCTGTTTTCAAAAAGAAACTGGGATAATGAGATGTCATGACATTTGAATGTCGTGTGGGTTGCCAATCCGAGATTCTCGATGTCGGCTTGTCTACATGATATTGAAACGGAAGGAGCTCGCTTGGGAGTGCTTTGAGGGAACCGCTGAGGATTAGGGGAAGATAATGACAGCACCATTGATTCGGTACGATAAATTTTCTCAAATGATGATAAAAGGTATGTTATGGGGTGATGTGAAGTGCAGAGGTTGAACATCATACACAAAACCGCAAATACAAATTCTCCCCTCCTCGCTAGAACAACCACTTGCGCAAAAGCCAACAAAAGAAAAGCGTCACACTTACGGTTGAATACCACGTTTCCCATGGTGTTCAAAGTGAACCGGAGTACCCCAAGTCGCGTTGAATTCCTGTCCATACTGGACGATCCTAGCAGTCGGATCTGCTGATTCGAGAAAGGCTGGTAGATTGACTGGAGCCATCTCAGTTGATTATTTTTATGTCGGTCAAAAGTGTGGAAGTTGTCGATGATAGTTTCTGAGTACGATTTCTGAACTTTTTGTGTGTGAAGAGAGCAAAAGGTTTGGGGCGGACAGGAAGCGTTTTTAAAGAGCATCCGGCGGTGCTAGTTGGGGAACTAACTGGACACTTGACGGTCGTTCGTAAGTTCGTCATAACTTTTGGAATTTTTTGGACTGTGATCCAAGTGGGGATGGTGTTGTCGCTAATTGAAAAATTGTGATGTGTTCAATTGAAGGTTGTGGGGAGGAAATTGAAAGTGTTCTCTCACTCTGGGGGTTGACCATGGGCGATACAGTCGATATCATCTCAATTTTTAATCGAGGATGGCATTGGCCGCAAGTCGAAGTGGTGTATATTCGCGATGCATAAATTACGTGTACGAGTATGAGTTTTTGTGCATTTGGCGTGTTCTTCAACATTGGGTTGTGAAGTGATTCTCGTCTTAGGCCACGCCAACGCAACTAGAGCTCTAGATATGACTTAACAACTCCTGGCAAAAGTCACCGTAGTTCTTCAGACACCCATCGCCTACTGATTTTTCTGGAAAAAAAAAAAGGGTTGTTTTCCTCGTGATCTTCTATCTATTTAAGTGTTCAGTAGTAATTTCGTCATCCCGTCCAGTCCAGGCCTCCTTTTGTCACAAACTTCTTTTTTCTCCACCCCATCCACCTAACCCACCACTACTGGAAAAAGAAACCCCGTTAGCGTTTCAACCCCGGACGTCGAGTTGCAACAAATATCTAAGAATTACTGTTCTTGTACTTAGCTTCTATGCCATCGAGCTTTTGGTGGAGCAAAGAGCACCAGAAGAAACACCACGAAGCTGCTAGCGTGGACCTTATGCACGGTCGAAATGCAACAAAGTTCAAAATTACTGTTCTTGTGCTAAGCTTCCATGTCGTCGAACTTGTAGTGGAGCATCGGGGAAGGAAGTTTAAAGACCCACGAACTTGATGATTAACAACCTAAACGGTCGAAATGCAACAAAGTTAAGAGTTACTGTATCTGGACTTAAACTTGAGTTTGATGCCTTTAAAACTGAATGCCAAGGGACCTAGACACTAGTTAAAGTTAATGCAATCTTAGTTGGGATTGAAAATGATGTAGCGTATTGAATGCATAGATACACAAGATGCGCTTTGTGTTCGAGCAGCTTGATCAGACGGCGACTTCTGTGCTCCTTTGCGTTTCATGGTCTCTAATCCTCGAATTGCCAGTTAAACACTTTTGCATGTTGAACTGGTGGTAGGATCTCATAGCGCTTGGCATTGGCCTAAGCAAAGGACCATAAGTTAGATCTATTAGCCTAAAACGGAAACAAGCTAGTCTACTTTCTGAAGCAAAAAAACTTGACTCATATCCACTCGACGTGCAACAAAGAATTGAAACTTCCTGTTTTTGGACTAAGTTCTTATACTGATCGAGGTTAGAGCGTAACGAGTGTTACACAACATCTAGGACGAGTTAGAAGTGCTTAATCTAGGAGTAATTTCCGGAGTATCCGGTAAGATCTTTCTAACGATCCTAAGAAACTTTTAGTTCTAGTTTTAGATGAGAACCAGCACTGTTTAGAGCGAATAGAACGTAAGAACTCTGCTCCTAGACAGTACTAAAGCGATCAACTAGGCAGTTTGTAGGAGGTTCCTCTCCGGTACGACTTGCAACAAGAATTAGACATTTACTTCTTCGAGCTTTTTTGCAATGTCTCGAGGTAGGTATAGTAGTCTTAGCGCAGAACATAAGAGAAAATAGCTGTTCTAGAAGCATCTAAAGCAATCATGTAGGAGCTATGCCTCCGGTACGACGTGCAACAGACCAGTGCATTTGAGCTTGGAGATTCTGGCGAGGACTTGGTGGTTTTACCATACAATTCAGTGAGTAGTGGTAATGGAGATTGGAGTCGATAGTGACTACAGCAACAGGTAAGGACTTCGATGGAACTCCTGTCTGGCACTGTCTACATCACTTTTCACTGACTTTCGAGGAATAGCACTTCTTTAAGCTCTTCTTGAGCTCTCGAAGTTACCTATAATGAAGGGTTACCTAAAATGCAACCGAATGTAAGCCCTGGAACATATCGTTTTCAGCACCGATTGTTCTCGCCGTCTACAGCAAGACTCGAATAAACCGCTACAACTCTAACTTAGGCTTCACATTATACTTGTGGTCAACATTGATTCTGAAGGAGCTCTTTAGAAGGTGATACTTTTCTTTAAAGTGCGAAGTCTCAAAGCTTTCTAGGTTGCAGCGCTTAGAGAGTAGCGCTTCAAACCCATCCTCGAGGGCTATAGCATCAGTAGAACAAAGCCTACGTAAAAGATGGTCTCTGGATTTCTACCCATGACATCAATCGTCTTACTATCGCGATATGCAACAAAATGCTGTAGTTCAAGCACTTCACAAGAGTCCAGTATATCTTCAAGACACCCCGTACTTCCACGGGAAGAGGTCCACAACTCCACATCACATTTACTCTCTTATGTCTTATGTTCCTGTAAGGGAGCCAAGTGCACAAGGGTTAATTAGTTACAATAGACAGAAAGCTGTCGCCTTCGGACAACTAATAATAAGGACGTTCCTCTATACCTTTTGCTTGAGTGTTCCAAATCTAATGCCAGGTACAATTATCAACGCGACATGCAACAGAATCAGTGTAGGTGAACTCAACCATATTCCTGGAAAGCTAACTCACCAGCCGGGCTTCGCGACAGGGAATGGCCATGCGAGTCTTCCGATCACTTCAGAACGTGGCCAACACGCGCAGATCTTGGAACCGATATGCAACAAATATCTGCATACTCGACCCAATTCCTGGAAATCTCAGCTCGCCAGTCACGTTTTGGCTACCGGGAATCACGGCTGATCGATCCAGCGATGAAGGTTAGTGTACGCGGATCTGGGAAGCGATGTGCAACAAGATCTGAAAACCACGTGGATATACTGTTCTACGGGATTTCTAACCTTTCGATGCGGTGGGGTTTGGAACTAGCCAAGAGATGGTTGAGATGCTATCCCGAAATCGAATAAGAACGTGGAGATAAGATCATGTGATGATCAAACAGCGACAATGTCTTGGAGCGCAACAAAATTTGGAGGAGGTGTGAATGAGAGCACTACTGTAGTGGAAATATCGCAGGTTGATTCGTACTCTTACCGGGATATGCTAGGAAATTTCCGTCAACGTGCTTAATCTGGAACATTCGGGGTACATTCTCGAATACAATAAAAGCTGTAGAATATGAGGTTTAAACAGTTTCTGGGAATGATAACGAATATATTACGGCATGGTCGTTGTAGTAGTTTAAACAGTTTGAAGGTGCTAAATCCAATTCACATTACGAAGCAAAGCCTTTACCATAAACCTTAACATCTTCCAGCCTCGCACCCTCTAGTTCTCCCTTAGCCTCCAAAAGCTTCACGACCCCATTTTGATGCTCAGCCATCCATTTCTTCAAGAAGTTGTTGATATTGCCAACCGTAGCTTCGTCGTCTTGCGCCAGCAGCACAATGGCATCGTATCCTCCAGCCCCAGGCACAACACCACCCAATACCCCAGGTACGGCAGCCGTCACAGCATCGATCAACTCGGTCTGCTCCGCTGGTTCAATTGGTACGCCCGACGCTGTGCCCATCTCGCGAATCTTCTCTCGAACAGCGGAAAACGCGGATGTGACATCTTCTTTATTCTCAGAAGACAAAGCTGACGCTAAAGATTCATTACTGATCTGAAGCGCATCCCACAACTTCTTCGAGCCGTCTGGGTCATTCTTCCGCCACTCCAAGACCTTCTTGACCATTCCTACCGTTTCAGAGCCACAGTCAACATCGCACATCACAAGTGCATATCCCTTGGAAACGGAAACCGAGTTGGATGAGATTTCGGTGTCCCAGTTCTCGTGCTTCATCGTTGATGTGTTGTCCACGACTGACTTGACTCGTGATGCAAAGTCTTTACTCCCTGGTTCACCTAGGGAGGAAAGTATAGAGGGTGAGAAGCGGCGGTAGATACATGTTCCGTAGACTGCGGCGGCGACATCGAATCCTGAGCCTACCTTGCCTTGAGCAGCACAGTGAGCAGCTTGGGCAAGATTGTGTAAAATGTTCTTTCCTTCTGTTGAGGCTAGATCGAAGGATGATCTTGGTAAGTAATGGGAGAGTAGTGCACCCGTGAATGCGGTCACTAGTGCAGCAGAGGAACCTAGTCCTGTCTTGTGAGCTTGTTTGAGGGTGACGTTGAAGTCTGAGAAACGAGAGTCTGGGGTAACGGTTGATTGTGGAGGGTTTGAGTAGTAAGAGTCGTCCGCGAGGATTGTGAGTTTGGTTGGCTCGATCTTTTGCGAAGCAGGAAGAACGGTGGAGATGTAGGTCAAGGCGTATTCGAGCGCGGTTTGCACGAATGGATTTCGACTGGATGGTTCTGCTGAGTAGCTGTATGTGGTGAGCTAAGGTTAGCAAAGAGAGACACGTAACAAATTGATACGCGTTTGATAGTTAATGGCATCACAAGCCGAATGATCACGAGACCCACCCCTCAGAAGCTGATATACCATCTAGGCACGTGTGTGTAATACATATAGACAATATATGTACAAGAGCACTCAATGATACAAGACCTCTGAACAAATAAACCAAATTGACGCGCAATTAGAAGCTCAGAGCGAGACTCCTCCTCCACACGTGATGACAACGAAAGGGGAGAAGGAAGGCTGTTCAGCCTCACAGCAAAAGAGAAGTGCTCTTACCCTTGCAACTGAGTGACATGAACGCCTCCCCGCTCCTTCACCAGATTGTAGCCGTAATTCCACGAGGCCGCTTGAAATTGCGGGCTATGAACGATGATCTCGGATATTTCCACACCAGAGCTGGAGGCGATGTCGTGCACCAGCACATGAATTCGGGCACTTAGTCCAAAGACAAGTCCGGTGTAGGTACGGTCCAACACTAGATAACCACCTGCCAGAAGGACTTTTCCTGGAGCTGAGACGGCGGTTGACATTTTCGGGGCTGATGCGTGAGATTGTGAGAGGGTAAAAGCAGTGGGAATGATGCCCGAAGTTTAGGATGTATCTCCGTGAGAATTGTGTGGCCACGTGAATATTATCTTGCACCTTTCTCTGCTGTCCTAAGCTAACAAATACCTAAACCTATATTTTCCAAAAAGCATTTCTCAAGCGTCAAAAAAGCTAGCATATTTCAAACTCTGATATAGCTCATGGAAGCTTGAGTATACTTCGTGTTCGGTCGACACTACGCTAATTGATCAATTTCCGCCATCAATGCATCAGATGGCAGTGGAGCTTTGAAGGACAACACGGTCGTCAATTGGTTGTATATCAGGGGCAAAAAGGAAGAAGTCAAAAATAAGCTAGGATGATCTTTGACTAGAGAATGAGCTGGTCAAAAGTGCCCAAGCGAAAAGTGCTGGAGAACAACTTGAAAAGGTCCTCAAATACGGACCACGTGACTGTATCATTACAAATGGTGTTCGTGGTGTGCCTGAGCGGCCTCAGACATCAAGTAGTACCCTCGGACGATTCAATTCCAACCATTCGGAAAGCTGAGCTGTCAAAGCCGGTGATATCGGTCTCATCGGTCTTTTCAGCTCCTCGCTTCCGGAACCTCGGGCTTTCCAGCAAATCCTTCCGCTCCACCATTGAGACCCGCTTTTAGGATACCTCCCTCGAGATGATTCGTTAAAACACCGTGCCACGCATCCACTGCGATCTTCACCCGTCTCTTTCTCTTGATGAGTCAAAAACCCATGCTTGCTTCTGCTGCTTCTGCCGCCTTCCACCACCCAAAAACGCTCCGGCCGGGTCCTCAGGGGGGGCATCAGGCACGTACTTTTCCCATACGCGGACACGACCAACCATCTTCTACACCATAAACTTCCTGCTTACGCCAAACAAACTTTCATTTTCGACCTCTTCCGTTTTGTATTCGCACGCCCACCACCTGACACTTCTTTGCGCATATTTTCCGTCCCAATTCAAGTTCCCATCCGCCGCTTCGCCCTGGTACACTTACACAAGCTACACCTAGCTCAGCCTTCTCCCGTTCTCGCGACACCAAGCACCTCCTATTCTAGCTCGCGCTGCATGTGAAGGTCCCGCCAATCCAGTATCACTCGACCTCGACTCGTCATCTAGTGCACCTAGCGGCTGAACACCACGATTGATATTCGGCCAGCTCTCCAGACAACTGAGGCTTCTACTTTTCAAAACAATCATTCCACCTCAGGCCTCTTCTTTGCCTTTACCACACGTCATCTGAAAAAGAAATCGAATACAGGAGCTGGTTCTCGGCTTCATTTCGATTCACTTACCCATACCACATCACCTCAATTTTAACCCGCGCGTTTGTTTGACGGCCTAGCTGTCAAATGAACCTGCAATCGACGTTTTAATTGAGATCCCATGTAAGTAACAATGTTCTTTTTCTGTTTTCAACGCGCTCAAGGCAATGACGCTGGCCTTTCTCTGCAGAAGTCATTTTGGTCGCATAAAATACTAACAATTCCACAGTCTCCTCTCGATCTCCTGAGAGGCCACCCATCACTAAATGCCAATTCCTCACCTCTACTCCAATCTCGCACGTCAGGGACTTGCGAAATCCATCACTCACGGTTACGCACAATCCGTTGTTGCCGCAACTCATCCTCAAGCATATGCAAACCACAAGCGCACTTCGCGATTCGGACTAAATAGACGTGGTAGCAAAGTCGGCACTCATCAGCATCTCTTCCAAAATGCCTTCCACACCAGTACCCAGTCGACCAGCACATTTGTGCAAGAAGGTCGACCTGAGAAGAGCGAGGTTAGCAAGAGCGATGGAGGTTTAGACGCATATTTCGATGCTTGGAGAAAACACCAAGCTGCAGAGGAGCCGGAGAAGGAATGGACGCAGTTTCAGTTTACAAAGCTTCTCGAATGGAAGCCAACACCCATCAATCCGGATATCGACGGAATCAATAAGCTGAAGCCACATACACTTCTATCCGAACCACCGAAACAAGTTGAACGAGCACATAGCGCCAGTGCGGTCGATGATATCAAGAAGGCAGAATTTGTAGCGGCGAGTGCGGCGGAGGAGGCTGCGCTCGCTGAGATCGATGCCGCCATCGAGAAGGAAATTAAGTCAAGAAACGATCAGGCAATCTTCGAAGCTGAGTTGAGTGTTATTGCAGCTCGATTACCTACGCCGCCAATCGCACGCTCCGAGTCCCCTGCGATATCAACCACGGAGAGCTTCACAAAGACACCCACAAGCAGCTTTTCCAGCCTGACATCAGCGTCCGACCTTCAATCACAAAGTTATGCCGACCACCTGACCAAGCTATCAGACACTGGTCGACATGCAGAGATCCCAGCAGTATTCGAAGCCATGCTTGTGGCTGGCATCAACCCTACAGCTGCTGCATACAATGCTTTACTCGACGCTGCTATCCACTTACCAGCTGAGAGGATTCAGGTCGTTCCAAAGGCGCTCGATGTCTATTCTGATATGCTTAGACGTAAGGTTCTACCTAATACCGCCACTTACAACACATTAATCAACCTCCTTTCTTCTCGATCCATTGAGGTTTCTTCGCTGAAACAGTCACTGGAGGAGAAACGAGTCCGATTTGGTGGTATGGAGGAGCCCGGTAAATTCATGTTTCCCTCCAACGAGTTTGAATACGCCATCCTTGCCGAGGACGACAGACTGGATCTCGCTGTCAGAATGTTCGAGGGATCCATAACCCGCCGCAAGGATCGAGCTTATCCACCAGAGACTTACCATAACCTCATTCAAGCATGTTCAGCCGCGGGCCGCGTCCCAGAGATGATTCGCCTGTATGGTCACATGGAGTCGAGTAATATTGTACCGCTGGCCGCTACATTTCCTCACATGATCAAAGGCTTCACTCAGACTGGCGACCTCAGCAGTGCTGTGGAGTGTTATAACGAGTACAAGCAGCTTGCCGTTTCACACGACAATGGTGAGCTTACTATCAAGGATCGTCAAGACGGCCATGTTTACGCTGCTGTTGTCAAGGCCTACATCACATGTGACCGTATTGAAGGTGCTAACAAATTCTACAAGAAGATCCTCGACTCCTATGGTTCGAACGCCGTAACTGTCAAGGACTCCATCATCAATGGTGGTTTCGTCACTGGTCTATTAGATCGAGGGCTGTTAACCGAAGCTCTTAATTGGGCTGAGGGTCTTACCAGCTCGACCAAAGCCGTTGCCATGAGCAAGATTGCAGCCGTCGCAGCTGACAAAGGCGACAAGTTGATCGCGGTGACTGCTTTCGCAAACGTTCCGTCAACTTTCCAAGGGATTGCTACGTCCGCTATGGCAATGCTTGCGTTGAGTGTTCGTGCTGGTGACGTGTCTGCTGCCCAGCGATACTGGCACATTCTCTCGCATCCAGAAATCAAGGTCTCCGCCTCGTTCATTGAACCCGCCACTATGTACGCTGTGGCCATGATTGGATCTGGTCAGGTAAATGAAGGTTTATCCCAATCCGAGCAGATGTTCGCACGTGTTCGACTTGCGGCAGCGGATACAAACAGTCACATCAGCGATGAGATTGAAGAGGGTATGGAACTTATCAACAAGTTCATGAGCGTTCGCGGCATCACCGATCACCGGGAAATTGCCCCTGAGCCTCCTATCTTTCAACAAACCTTCACACCTGTCGCATACCCTGCCGCTCCGACCTATGAGGACACCTTTGACCCTTATGCGGCATCCACCGACTTTAAAGGATCTGCTCTCATTGCTGACGAGCTGGAGCGTGGCAATAACAGCCGTGCCAAAGCTTCCCGTCTTAACGAGGCTTTGGGTAGATTCAGAAACATTCGCCGAGCTGGCCGTCACCCACGTTACATCACATACGCTAAGCTCATCTCTGCTGCTGCTCGCGAAGAGCGAATGAATCTGGTGCACGATATCTTGGGCATGGCTAGATCTGACATTCCAAATCTTCCTCAATACCCTGTCGTCCGATATGGCTGGGTCTCGATTCTCGATGCTATGGTTGGAGCTTGTCTTACTCTTGGAAACCGAACTTTGGCTGCTCAGTACCACCAAGAACTGCTTGACATGGGTGCTTCGCCAACTGCCAACACCTTTGGTCTTTACATTACCACGTTGAAAGAGTCGACCAAGACCTTCGACGAAGCTACTGAGGCTGTCAAGATCTTCCATCGTGCCAAAACTGAGGGCGTCGAGCCATCTTCTTTCCTATACAATGCTCTTATCGGAAAGCTTGGAAAGGCCCGCCGTATTGATGACTGCCTATTCTACTTTGCTGAGATGCGCAGCTTGGGTATTCGGCCAACTAGTGTTACCTATGGCACGATTGTCAATGCCCTTTGCCGTGTCAGTGATGAAAAATTTGCCGAAGAATTGTTTGAGGAGATGGAATCAATGCCAAATTACAAGGCACGCCCGGCACCTTACAACAGCTTGATGCAGTTCTTCCTGACAACCAAGCGTGACAAAGCCAAGGTTCTTGCATACTATGAGCGCATGAAGAGCAAGGGTATTCAACCAACAAACCACACCTACAAACTTCTGGTTGACACCCACGCTACTCTCGAACCTGTCAACATGGAAGCTGCGGAAGCTATTCTGGACGTCATTCGTAGCACAGGTCAAAAGCCAGAAGCGGTACACTACTCTTCTTTGATCCATGCTAAAGGCTGTGTCTTGCATGACATTGAAGGAGCACGCTCGGTATTCGATTCCGTCATGTCCGACCCGTCTATCCGCCCACAAGCCTGCCTCTATCAAGCTCTCTTTGAATCCATGGTTGCCAATCACAAAGTCGCCGACAGCGAACCAGTTCTCCGCGAGATGTCTTCAAAGGGTGTAGAGATGACACCTTACATTGCCAACACCCTAATCCACGGTTGGGCAAGCGAGAAGAATATTGAGAAGAGCAAGGTCATCTTTGCACTTGTTGGTCGGGCAAAGCGAGAGCCAAGCACATACGAAGCCATGACTAGAGCTTATCTTGCTGTCGAAGATAGGCCCAGTGCGCAAGCTGTTGTACAGGAGATGCTGAGCCGGGGATACCCTGGCGCGGTTTCCAACAAGATTCTCGAACTACTTGGTGGCGGCAATGCTGAGACGTCTGCGTAAATCGTTCTCACCACTTACAAAGAAGCTTCTCGCACTACACTTCTATCATTCGTGTTTATATTGCTTATCATCTGATTAATCAGGTGGCTGCTTATAAACCCTTTGCATACATTACATATTTTCTTTTGTTATTGTTTTGATACCCGTGCCTTTGCACATTTCGATAAGCAGTGGTTTGGGTATCGTTTGCTTGATCGATCCACATTTTCTTTCTGTTTGCGAATAAAAGATTGCTCTGTTGCGCATATACCAACATTGAGCTCATGGCGTTTTGTAGGAGTTAGAGGTCAAGGAATGTATGGATGGAGTTTTGGGGATGGGCTAGCGATTTAACGGCCTAATTGTGTGAGCGTATTACGGCAATAATTTTTCCTTTATTTTTCATGCGAAAAGACAAATCTCAACTCTCAATAAATTAGAGAAAATGACAGGGCAGGTGGTTTTTGGATGGGGGTGCATAGCTGGTGGTTCTATTTGGTTTCGGGCTTAAATAGATGGATTGCATCAGATGGGCTGAAAGGGATGGTGAGAAAAACCTCCTGCAATGGACAAAAAATGTGTAATATTACTAGCAAAGAATACAATCTTGAATTGTATCCGAAAACTCTGCTTACTTTAAATTTTGATTCTTGTGACGGAAACAATCCGAAAAAGGCTAGTAGAGCTTCAACGTTCAAACAACAATAGAATCTATATTTCATTTCCTAATTCGTACTGGCTACATGCTGGGTATCATTTTGGGTATCAATCGTCCCCTTCCTCTCTATTCTTTCCTCAATCAATGAGTACTCGATAACCCGTTCACACTCCTCTCCTCGACTTCAATTGGCTCAACCACTTCCAATTCTTTCTTAATCAAACGAATCGAACTTTTTGAGCACTCTCACCCTTAAAAACTCCTCCGTCCACTACTCCCACTCCCTCCCCTCCCCCTCCCCCGAATCGACACCTTCTTACTCAACGACATGCTCTTCTGCCGTTTCGTCTGTTGCGACGCGAGCATTACTTCGTCGTAGTAAGGGTACCCGAAGCGGATTGGTGTTACGGGCGTAGCATCTGGGGTGGATGTGCTTGGAGATGACGGGGTATTTGAGGGTGTGGACGAGGAGGTTGAGGAGTGACGCGTGTGGATGCGGGATGGTGATGGTGTGGAATTGGAAGAGGTGGATGAATTTGTTGTGGAGAGGGAGGAGGTGCGTGATGATTTTGAGGGTTTGCGGAGGGAGAATTTTGAGGAGGAGGGGGAGGAGGGGTGGGAGTGGGAGTTGCCCATTTTTGCTGTTGGTTTGTGTGTGGTGGGTTGATGGGTGTTGTGTTGTGTTATAGTTGTGGTGGTATAGTAATTGTCGCGTACCAGTAATGTTATAGATGTAATAACCCAAGCACTTCGTCGACTCAATGAATCAATTGATATCCTATAGTATCAATCTTTCTTTCTTCTTCCCAAAATCTCTTTCTACTTCCAACTCCAAAGTCCCTCCCAAAATGTGGGCAACCCTCAGCCTTAAACCTCTCCCCCTCTTACCCCCTACGTACAAAGCAGGTCGCACGTGTAAGCAACCCTGTCCCGCGGATCTGATGATCCTACGCTTTCTCAACCACCAACAGTAATACCGCTCACTACCTTGCGTACAGACCCCCCAATCCCGCGAATCCCGGGGCGTTTGTTGGAAGGATTCGCGACCGGAGGCGGGTGGCTGATTTGTGTTGTGGTACAGAGGGAGGATGGGATGGGGATGTATTTTGGGGGTGGTTTGTGTGGATGGTGCGGAGTGTGTAATGATTGTAATGACGCTGTTTATTTATTTCTACGACGTTGTCACCATACTCCATCCTGAACCTGAACACAGTACAATCTATAATCCCCGGATATCCGACTCAACACGGAACAATACATCTACGTCACACCTATCCCCTTTTTTGATTCAAAACACACCCAAATCTCGCAACCGACCATCCCAATCTTATGTATCGAGATCTTATCGCTATACGGTTCATAAGTTTCTGATCGGCTGAAGATCTTGCGGTTGTGAGCACGTGGAGCGAGGCACAAGCGAGCTGGGGGCTGTGTTTCAGGGTTGGTTGATTTCAGGAGACTTCTCAAGTCCTCTGGTGCGTGATTCTCTGGGCTTTCAGCTCTGAGTCTGAATGATTTGTTTGGATTACGTTTACTAGGTCGTTAGCTTCTAATTGGGTTTTATGGTTTTACTGTTGCCTTTCATATTTAGTTGAGCTTGAGTGTCTATTCGCCACGAGGTGTACGTACGATACCTCGCTAAAGGCTGAAACAACTTTAAACATCCTATCAGACGGGTGAGATACTAGGTGCCTGTTTCTGGTCTGCGCTGGATGTTCACGAGATGCGGGTCTGGAGAACGTGATGACCGTCATATTCGGACGCGAAAACGGCCTTCCTCTCAGCCTTACTCGAGTATGCAGATCTTGAGGTGCGCTGGGTTTGGGGACGCGCGTGATGATCAATTGGTAGATGCTGCTGATGTTTGCGGTTGAATTGATTTGCAGGATTTGGTGGTCGGTTGGTGGTCGCAATTGGGTTGTGATGGGGGTTTAAGGTGGCGTCTAATCGGTTGTTTCGCTGTTTGATATACTTCATGTGGTTATTTGGGCGTGATAAACGGCGCTTAGAAGAGGTTGTACGAGATAGACTTATCGTGGCGATTAAGACACTACGGCGCAGGTGTTGGGGCGACCAACATAAGCTCAACTGTGAGAAGTTATGCTTCTCACGTGAGACGAGAAGCTGACCTCTCTCTTCACAAGAATTGATGAGCAATTGTGTTTCTGGTACGAGAAAACATTTGTATATCAAAGAACGACCACTGCAACTTTCGTATCGAATTTGAACTTGACACCTCTCTCTTTCTTCCTCATGCATCGGGATTGTTACCGAGGAATAAAGTCATAAAAAGCGATCCCTAAGGATCACTAAACTCCACGACTAAGATCCCTAAGGCTCCTCCCGATTTTATACAGGAAGTTCCCCGTTTGCAACACCAATCATGCAAGTCCTCGCGAATCTCGTTGTGCGTACGCCTCATCCGCTGTCTGCAATGTCGTTGGAGTTGGTTGCACGAGAAGATACGTAGCTAATTAAGCTATCCTTAGATTTCTTCATTACAAGTACGACCAAGATCCTGAAAATGTCGCATGCTGTTAGAGAAGGTTCCTCCAAAATTTCAATCCTAATCCTAAAATGCCTATTTTGTTCCCTTTAATTGACTTTGACTTGATGAGTTCAAGCGAGATCAATCACGCGTCTTCCTCGAGGACTTGCAGTAAAAGGCCGCCGCAAATTCGCAATTTACGACCAACTCAAAACTCATTGCTCTGTCCTAGATCAACCAAACAAGTTTCCATAGGCTCACCCTCTAAGTTTCGAAGCTTTTGTAATTTTATCGAGTTGGCAGCTTAAGAATTATCAACAGACATAAGTACGCTGTCACCAGTGTATAACACCTTCCAAACCTTAAAAATGCAACTCTTTGATCTGACTAAAAGTCCACGAAGATTTGTAAAGCCCGAGGCGAACAGAACATTCTATGCACGTAGTAACACATCTAACAGTCATACCCTGTGACTCCTTGGTCTGACACCAGAGACGACAACTCACGAAGGCAAAGCGACGGCTCAAGAGAATCTTTTACTTCGATCCATTCAAAGATCACTCGGATGAACTACACCCTTATACCAGTCATATTTTTTCACATTAAAAGGCTCTGTGACTTCACCAACTTACTTTCTGGAGAGTCTTCAGGCCACAACAAAGCTGTAACTATCAAAACACCGACAAATGACCCCGCACAATCACTTTGCTTTGATCTTCAAAAGCTCTAAGATGTATAATGAGTGTACCACTTTTCCATCTGGTCGAGAATATTCACACATTCTCCTACATGTTTAAAATATCTCTGAAAATCATGGAACATCAACTCTTGGACTTTGCTCGAGCAGGTAAGCTTCATAGACACGTAACTATTACGCGTTCACCACTCAAGTCAGAAACAACTTTTAGATTCGAGAAGGCTAAATTTGATACATGTATTTCGATGGGATAATTGTTTTATAGCGGCCAAATCTGATATCTATCTTACGGTGAATAAGATAAATTCTTTCTCCGACTTTGCAAATGCGATTAAATAGAACTGTAAGCGACGATGACAAACCGCTCTCGAGTTAGCCAATTCTCTTACTACTCTTAATTCGCTGTAGCCTATCCAATAAGTTATTGTCATAGATGTCTAAGTCGCTGTGGTATCTGTTTCGCTACTGAGCGTTGTAAGTCCTTTGCTTGTTGATCACAATTGTCCAACGAATTAGTTCTATCACAACATCTTTAATCAAAGACTTCAAGCCCAGTTAGAAACGTGATCTCACTCACCCAGTATGTTTCACTACTCCTCTTCGAAGTTGATATCGAAGTGGCAAAAAGAGAGTACTTCCTTGTTTCTGCCAATTTAAGCGAGCCCCTTATATCGCGGGAGTGGGTAAAGTGACTCACTTTTATATGCAACCAAGCGGCGGGTTACAGTTGAATAAGAAATCAACCTATCAGATCTAGTGATACTTAGATATTCCGATGTACTGCAGGCCTCTGCCGCAATAGAACGTAATTCTTTTGATGTCACCTGACCTGAGGCAGCTATCCCCTTAAGTTCTCGCTTCCTCCTCCTCCTCCCGTCCTCGCTTCTTCCTTCTTTCCACCACACCAACCTCCATAATCAGCGACTCTCTACATTTCAATGATGTGTCCCCCAGGCGTCGACCAAACTACAAGAACGTCGCCAAAGTGGAAGCTTCTTAGTCCAGAGACACAACAAGTCCTTCCACAGCATGCCACTTCCGACGAAGCATATGAAACCGATGTTTGGTTCCATGAGGATATTGTGAAAGCTTCATTCGGTCTTAAGCCTGCGCTTTTTGATGCATGGACTTTGCTGGCACGTCCGGTCAAGCCAACTTCCAATGACAAGAAGAAGAGACAGCATAGATTCCACGAGCACTCAAGCGGATTCGACACACTCTCCAACGAGATTGTTGATCTCATATTCTCCCACATCTTACCACACAAGACCGATGCTATTTCACTAGCTCTAGCTCTCGACTCGCAACGAATCTGGCAAATAATCTTCCGTCACACCAACCGTACGACCTTGGAACTCTTGGCACCGATGGCTGGAAAAACACTGACCATCCAATGTTCCTGGTCAACCGCACTCCCAACACCAATCCAAGAACAGACAGAGCTTTTGAAAATAGTAGCGCCTTCTGGAGGGTACGGACGAATGTGTGAAGCACGTCGCTTCTTCTGGAACCACACTACCTTCCCGAACCCGCAGACCGCTGATATGGAATCCGCGGAATGGGTAGAAGCAGTAGGAAAGCACCTTGATCCTGAGACAGGACTAAGTAAATACCTTCTCAGGGAGCTTCACCATTCAAAGTTCTTCCCTAAAGGTCAATGGATGCTTCGGAATCTCACGACTCAGGAATACGTGTGTTCAGAAGCGCCGCTTTCAAGGAGCGCGAAGAAGCCACTTGCTGATTTCAATACTATCTTAATGCACAGAACTACATGGGCGACTCACAACGAGGATTCTTTCATGACTAAGCTGGGCTTGGGGGTTGGGAAGTGGGCTGGTTGTAGATTTGATATCGTGTCTCAGGATGTTTTCGAGGCTGAGAAGAGCACGGAGTGGAGGGATACGACTAGGGAGGTTAATGATGAGGTGTGGGCTGCAAGGGAAGTGTTTAAAGGGTATCAGAAAACGAAGAATGGGAAGTATTTTAGGGGAAATGATGGGGTTTCTGATTCAATATTGCGTTTTTGATAAGTCAAAGTTGTTTTTTTCATCAAAATATACGAGACTGAACTTTATTACACAATTCCTATAATACAATGTGTTTAAACTAGACTCAACATTGCTTGTCAGCGAGCGGATTGACTAACTGATGATTGTTATTTCGTCTGTTTTCTCTGCCTGGTGATTATATATGGCGATTTGGCTTACGTGCCCATAATGCTATTTTCACTAAATAGGTGAGTAATACATCTTATCTGACTGAGCTTTGCAAAGGGCGAGGTCATTGGTCCTCATTCTACTTGAACACCCGGCCAGCGAACGAGACCCATTAGAAGCACGGTGAGATAGGGAGGGACATAACTTAAACTAGCAGAGATTACATTACGATGAGTAGATCATTTTTATTTCACCTCGGCAGGCTACACATATTGGAACGAAAAGCTTTATTTTATCAAATGACTAGCTACGAGAGATCATAACATCCATGAGATCATCTACTTTTGCAAATTTATTCTGACATAGCAAACATCAAGCCATGAATTGCAAATCTCCAACGAGGATCTGGCAAGCAACATTAGATGCAAAAGAAAAAGCAACATATGACAAAAGCAACAAGCCAAATGTCGTGTCGAACCAAAATCAAAACATCTCTGTGATCTCATCACAAGCTTTCCACAGCAGGAAATCTCTAGTACAATCGCAATACTGCATCAAGAAAGATCATCAACTAGATCTGTACACTCCCGTTTCGTCTCTTGCCAGAGCCAACGATACTCCAGCCTTCGTCATCGTTGTTCTCGTTGTGCTCGAAGAAACCTTCAGCTGGGACATTTGCAGGCTTCCACGTATCTGGAAAGATATTCTCCTTGTTGTCAATGACACCGTAAGAACCATTGTTTGACTGTAGCATCTTACTATAGGTAATACGCTTCCCATGCGGTCCGGTGCAGCCTTGCAAGATGAATGTAGTTCCTGGAGCAGTGGGCAGAGGAGGGCGCTCAGGCTTACGCTTTGTCGGTGTGTCATCAACTGCATCCAAGGAAGCAGGTGAAATGGTAATTCGAAGAGTCTTGGTCCAAACAGGAGTTTTTACAGAAATCGATGGAAGGGCTGGGACTTTCCCTGCAGAAAGGTACTTTTTCACCGCCAAACTGTCACAACTCAACTGTTTTGTAAAGGTTTCCCGCCTTGGTGTATCAATATCCAGCATTTCTTCCGCCTTGGCCGTGATCTTTTGGCCAGTAGCCCAATCGATTCCTTCTCTAGTCCGCTCCATGTGTTGAAGCGCCGTCTTCCCTGCCCATCTGTAGAAACCTTCTTTTCTCATTTCACTCTCACCATCCTCTCTTGTTTGGATATCCAGATCTTCTTTTATAGCAGCAACAAGCTTAGCAACAAGCTCTTTGCGTATCTTGGAGTTGACTGCAGGATTGACGACTTCGATGCGTAGCCTGACGAATATTTCGGGATCCACTCCGCAGTATATGCTATTGGACTTGTTGAGTATGCTAGGATTGTATTTGCGAGTCTGGCTGCCTTCCTTCCTCCATGCATAGGTGTGAATCCTTCTCTGTCGAGGCGTCATCTCATCCAACTTCTTTCCACCTGGAACTGTGCAACCTTCAACTGTGTCATTTGGGAGGTCCTCGCCATCTTCCAAAGCTTGATTGGCGGCAAGGACTGTTGTGTTGATACAGTTTCCCCTTGTGTTACCGTAGCTGTAGGTTCCTTGCCATGCTCCTTTACTTTCTATGACCCTTAAATGAATAGCCTCGCTGACAAAGTCCAGTTCGTATGCTTGAAACACCTCTGCTTGTATCTTTTGCGCCGATCCGCCGACATTCTTTTTTGCCTTTTTCCGCGCTCTTTTCGTAGCCTTTATATCACTAACGAAGGTTTCCGACCTGGTTTCCGTGGACGAACTTGTTATGGTGGTGGAGCTCCGGCGGCTGAGCCCGCTGGTATCGAGACTGTTGGTGATACCCGTTAAACTGGCGTCTAGGGCTTCAATCTGCCTGATAAGTCGTAAGATCTCCTTGTGCCTGATGTGATGCGTTTCATCGGAAGAATTGCAACTAGACAGAGAAAGGAGATCAGCCCTGCATCACTTGTCATGATAATAGAAAAGAAATACGATTACCCAAAACACTCATGCGATTTGCCTGGAGACAGTTAGCAGAGTGATTTTCCATGGTTATGAGTGCACAGAATCTTACCGACAAAATGAAGCTGTTGATGGAACCTGTACTGAATTGTAAATCAGTTGATAATTCGTGCAACTCGTATTTTGGGAAGACACGTACACAAGGCTCAACATGCTTGCCGATGCAAGATGTTTTCGCCCGCGGATTTGCAAGTGGAGTTGCACAAGTACCACAGTGGTGCTCTAATAAGGATTAGATTCTGTATTGAATTCATTTGCTACGAGGGCATTTGCATCTGCATACCAAGACCTGGGGTGTCGTCCCACCTGAACAAATCTTTTCCCTTATACAGACGAGTTTCTGGCTCGATAGTAGCCCAGTTCATGTTGGCCATGATAAGATCGGAGCGAGCTTGACGTAGATGTCAACGCGTTTGCTTACTGAGCTAAACTTGGTCGGTCCAATGCGAATGGATTCTAAGCAGAAGATATTTTGCAGTCAAAAATAACCTTGACTGGACTGTAGATCGAAAATAAGGAATAAGGGATCTTTCCGTGCCGTCTTCGTATCCTGCGAGAGAAAAGCAAGAGTGTAGGAATGTTTATGTTTTCTGTTTTTCGCTTTTCGCTGTATCAGTGTGTTGGTGAATACAAATAGTTTCTGATAGCGGGTTTCGTCGCGGGAATTCAGCAAGTCAATGAAGAATTTCGAGGACTTATGAGACGATAAAATTGGCGAATCGTGCAAGTGAGAAAAAGTCGTGACAAATGTTGAAAGTGCTGGCGAAGTTCCGGTTGCCAATTCAAGGAAAGATCTGATGTGTTTGCATTTCGGGACGTTGATTAGCGCCAACTGAGCTCGGCAGCAGCTGCTCTCCTTTTTAGTTATCGCTTATTGACTTTGTAACGAAAGATACGGAAGCAACGATGGCATACACGTGATTGTGGAGTTTCACCACTGCAACTTCAGCTGAGATCCACCCATAGATGGCTATCACGATTAAGTCATCTTGGGCGCACAGGTAAAGTATCGGGAAAAGCATCCCACCTGGCTGGCGAAATATTACAGATTTCAAGTTGGAATACAGCAAGAATCAGGGTAGTTGCATAGTCCGTACGGTGGAGTCACCCTCTTGGAGAACCTGGTTGAGCATTAACTCATACTTGCCTAATGTTCTAAACAAATCAAAAAACGCATGTTTCTACAGACCGGCAGACAGTGGTGAGGTCTCTTTTGGTAGGACAGCCCCCGGATAGCCACGCACACGGCAAACGGCCACAAATGCAAGACACTGTGACAAGTCAATTATCATTCAACGCGAAACCTGGTGGACACTACGTGACGAAAAAAGCTCAACGTTTTGGTAGCCCGGCATCCAATTACCATAAATGTGAACAGTCGGTATCCGACGCAAAAAGCCTTGCCCATTTTATTACCAGTACCCCTCTGATGAAACCTTGCCCAGGAAATATCTTTTCTGTTGATTCTCTATGCGTTTGCCTACCATCAGGCTCAAATATCGCGAACGAGACGTGCTCCGGCCCATGCATAAGGATAGTTGCGCTGGTACCAGTTGACACTGATAGAAGTTAGCCTGCCCAATTGGCCACGGAGTCTGCAAGTTCTGCAAGTCTTACAATGTCTTACGGCCAGCGATTCTCGGATGTGTGGCCCAAGAGCCTCCAAGAGCGATGTTGTGTTTGCCATCAAAGAAGTCGCCTGAAGAAGTTAGTAATTGCAAACACCAATCACCAAAGCAAATTGCTTACTTGTATAGGCTGGATATAGAGGCATGGGCTCGAATCCTTCATGCTTCACTAAGGGTGAGCTTGTCCACTCCCATACACCTCCCATCTCCGCCTGTCCAGCAAGCTTGTCGCCGTTTGCTGTTACGGCGACTGGGTGCCAGTTCTTAAACCCAACGTTAGCGCCGTCAAGATTAGCGAAAAGGTTTCTCGATCTTCCGCTGTTGACGACAGCCCGTGATGGTGGGCTCTCCTCTACCCCGTCGTTGACGAGATGACTGATACCGCATTAGTAAATACCAATGCTTTTAAGGATGCAAATTACCCGTTGACCGCTGGGACAGTCTTGCCAAGATGCTGCTCCGCCTCCTTAAGCTTCAGCCCGTCAACGTGGCTGTAAATGCTTCGAGCTTCCTCGACGGTGGGGATTCTTCCACCCATAAAAGCTGCACAACCGGCAAGTTCGTCATAGGATGCGAAGACTGGCCAATCCAGTGCATACTGCAGCGGTACCAAACCATAAACGGTACGCACAGACTTGCCCTCCAAAAATGCCTTGGTAGATGACTTCTTTTCTCCTCCATTTGAATGACCATTAGAATAGCCATTGGCACCGTTGAAGAAGCCATTAGTGTCGGAACCGGTTGATCCACCATCTGCCCATGAAGCTGGTATTTCATGTTTGTTAGTGTACTCGAGATATCGAGCATACTACTGGAGCATCAGTAAAGAGTTAAGAAATGACGGAGTTCTGTTTACCTCTTCATTGGTGATTGCTCGTCCTTTCGCTAAGAAAGATGGGACCAAAACCTGTCTTGGCGGCTTTTCGTTATCCCTAACAACGTCAGTAACGTTAACGAAGGCTTATTCATATTGCTTACCACCCAAAATGTCTATCTCCACCCGAATTATCCTCTGGATCCTCCAGACCGATTGTGATCTGCTGCCTTGGTACCTCAAACCACTCATTCTCAACTCTAGCGCTTTCAGCAGCTTTTGCGTCGTCCTTGAAATTTGGAGTGTGACTAGTGGGAGGAATGGTTCGATCGCTTTGAAGAAGCATGTAGAGAAGTGTCTCTAGGTGCATAATCTCATGTTCGAGCCCGATCCAAAGGGCCCGACCAATCTCACGTGGAATTTTGGACGCTGCAGTCAATTTCAAGGCTTTCGCTCGGACTTGCTCCTGGTATTGTAGGATTTCTTCTAAAGGTGGCCACTCATCAGGGATGTCGGAATGAGCATGGCAATGCTCCGGATTATCGACATCGGGATCAATGCCTCGCTCAAAAATCTTGGGGTAGTGCGAAGGCTCGCAGGGGGGTTCGCCGCTCACTTTGCAAAGCTGGATATCAAGGAAAGTAGGAATGTGGCCAAGGTAGAAGATGCAAGCATTCCTCAGCTTGATTGGCTTTTCGAGCAAGTCTTGTTCCGGTATCATCTTTCTCGTAACAATGTCCCAGACTTTCCAGAGATTCAACCAGTCATCAACGGAAGGGACCGTTGTCGCTGCGTAGACAGCAGAAGCGGTATGGAACTCCATCCTCTCTTTTGGTTGCAGGAGGTGAATGTCTGTATAGTGTTAGTTAAGTCAAGCAGTGACAGAAAATAACAGAAGTTTAGAATGGCCGGCACAAATCATCAGCCTTGTGTCAGCTTGATGTGAAGATATGGTAGTCCTCAACAAGCCGCCGTCAGTGAGTAGAAGGCCACTTGGTCTGTGCGTGCCCGTTGTTGGGCTCCAACATCTTACAAGCAAGCCACCCCCACACCACAAACACATGGCTACCATGGCACTAGGATCAAACCGGCATTTTGTGCGGTAGGGAGCTCTTTGTATATCCAGTAGAGCTCGTAGGATAAACCCGATGGAATAAGCAATATATCCCGAGGAAACGGTACTCACTGTACGCATCGGAAGAAGCTGTCCAATGACTGACTTCTCTTAACCCAGATGCAGCCCAAAGATGAGTCGCGTCATCCAGAGAGTACTTCAAGCTCTCCTCGACCTGGATTCGCTCTCCGGCTTTAAGCAAGATGTTTTTGTATGTAACATCCGTCTTGGGAACGTAAAATGCTTGGTGGCGACCACCCTCGTGATCGAAGACGTACTCGCCGATGACTTTCCAGTCTTTGATATCAAAGGCATCCTCACCAAGGATGCCATTTGCGTTGGTCAGACCATTCAAGATAAATCTGATAGTGAATTGTTAAATAGCGGCCTTTTCAATTGCAGGTACTAAGGCATCTTACTCGTGTGTAGTTCCCTTACGATCTATTGAACATTGATTGTAACCGTCAGCATAATTCTATAATCCAACATATTGCGACACTGCAAAGCGCAACAATGGAACAAAAGGTTTTGCGTTTTCGTTCAAAATAGGCTTTGTTTTGGGCAATCATGCTCAAGTTCTTCGCCTCCAGTACATATTCTGTGGATTCGTTCATCAATCGCTGCTATCGAGGATTCTTACCGTTATAAGCGTGACTGCATAACATGTCAGCAAACTGAATTTTAATCTCAAATGGAGCTGAAGAGTTGATCACACATACTATACCTTAGAAGGATCACTTGTAGCATCAACTCCAATGAGCATCATATTGGACGGCCCAAGTGCATCAGAAAACCCACGAAGGAATGACGCAGCCTCGGAGCGCTTGAAATTGCCTGCAAAACTCTCGATATTAGCGAATTCGATGTAACATTAGCAGTGTGTCACTCACCTATGGACGAACCCAAAGACATGACAACTTTGGTTCTGGAACCGTGTTCGGCTGCCTTCAACCAGTCCAAACCATCGTCATAGGTACCATGAAGGCCATGGCATTTAACGTATTTAAAATTCGGGACCTGTTCTAAAGTCCTCTTCAACTCAGAAAGCGAAAGGTCTAGCGCATAATAATCAATTTCCTTTCCTGCAGCTTCTAGAGCTCGTAGTAAAATGCTGACTTTCCGTAGATTTCTGGGTCAAATTAATACGAGAGCAGTGATGCGGTATGAGGGTCACAAACCCACTACCAAGCTCAACCAGCATCGAGCCTGATGGTATAGAGTCTGCAATGCTGCCAGCAGAGCGCTTGAGGACGTCAATCTCCGCATTAGTCAGGTAATACTCTTCAAGATATGTTATCTGCTCAAAACATTAGATTAATTGTGAAACAGGCGAAAACTATAGCCTTGCCTTTTCAAATATCTGCAGCCCACGCTCATCGTACAAAAGCAAGGTAGGCAGTTTCTTTGGACCCTCTGCAGGATGCAACAGTTTATCGATTTCTTCCTTAAGATTTATTTCCACAGCATCGTGACGTATATCAATAATATCAACGCCAGAAGTGAGTTCGTCTTTAGCCGATGGTTGAATATTGTTGGTTTTGGAAGACGACATTGGTTTGGTATGGGAACCCAGCTTGGCAGTCCCATTGGTGGCACTGTGAATCGTCATTTTGAAGTGCTGTCAATATAATTTTCGAGGAAGAATAGAGTTGACGTTCTTTTGTGATTTTGTGGAGTAGAGTAGTTAGCTTTTGGTGTCAGGAAGAGGGGACTAAGTAATATCGCATAGCAGACCAAGACCACACCACATCCGGTTCATGGAGCGATTTGAAATGTGGAGAACGACCCATCTTGAAGGCGGAAGTGCAAGCCTAAGCTAGCCTTGTGAGGAATCAACAGGAACGGCGCATGAGTGAACATCGATGTTGCTTCGAAATATACCTGAAATAGACAAAGGTATTGGAGAGAATTTTGCCCCGCAGTGAGCAAAGGCGCGGTCCGATGAGAGACCCAACCAACGCCCCCCACGCCTAAGCCTTAAGCGTGACCTCATCATTAATATCTCATAATCGAGTCAAATGAAAAGGCGAGCTGATGGAATGAATGTAGCTCTATCCGTGCATCCCTTGTATACGGACAGGGTGAGCACATCCCGAATAAGGTTCGATTTGGATACGTACATGAAGACCCGGTCGAGGACAGTGAATGACCATGGATTCATGGAAGAGAGTGAGCCAAATTCGACACTCGGAGGCCCGGCACCACGGTTGAGTTTTCCTTGCCTTGTCCCAACTCCATTATCAATCACGACTCCGAGTCATATCTTGAATGAAGGCTCACTGGTTTGACGTCGAAGCCGAGTCTGAACTTACAGAGATCTTAACAGAAGACGAACGAGCCAACGTGTAACTCGTAGTGCCATGTGTCGCTAAGAGCTACTGCATCAAAGTGTCATAGTTTCATACCCAGAATGTTCTGAAAGACGTCGGACACGCTGAACTGGGCAGCAACAGTGGGAATGCTGCGATATACGGTTTCCCCAACGAGCATTGTGCTTCTTGGGCTATAAAAACTGGCCGCCGGACAGCTCGGGTGAGATGAAAATAACAAGAACAGCCTGGAATAATACTTCTAAGCACAGGTAGCTTGGGCTGGGTAGAATTTTGTCAGGTAGGACGGACACTGGTTGTCGAATTTGAGTTTGTCCAAGGAGATCTTCGAAACGCAGCGAGCCCTGGACTTGGGACGCATCTCTGGTCCGTGCTGGGTTGTCCGCGCATCGTCATCAGGCCATCGAGGATCCTCGTGAGCTACCATGCGATGAGAGCACAGCATATACTCGAGTACAACGGTAGTTGTAGCAGAGGGTATAGAGACAATTGTTATCTCAGGTTCAACAAGCCTGACGAGCATTCAATCTCAGCTTGCGTGCTGAATCCCAAAGCTCGCTTAAAGTAATTGTGTAACACCTCAAGATTCCGAAGTATCTACCGTGGCGTTCTTACAACCTGTGTTGGGAATATTGTGACAGGGCAAAAGCCGAATTTCATGTGGCAAGAAGAGATTTTGCGGGGATGATGCGGGGGCTTCGAAAGTGGCATGGAATACATGCTCAAGCGCGAGTACCATGACAAATATCACTTTGTCAGATGCCGTCAGAACGAGTAAACTGTACTAAAGTAACATTCAGTACACATCTTGAGAGAAACACGACGACTACTTAAACAACTCTGCAAGTACGACTGCTGAAATGGAAATGAAAACCAAAAGCTTCCTAAGCTGGATACCTCTGGTATTTACCTTTTCGCTTATGCCCCTTTCGGGAATTGCTGGGATATATCAAGGGACGGGGTGATATGCCTTGGGCAACAGGAAAGTAGCACAGTATGAAAATTGTAGCTGCTCCGAACTTGAAAGAGATGAAATTACCAAGACATCCTACTTTCATAGCAGTTTCATAGCAAAGAACGTACAAGAAGAACCAAATTGGGTGATCGGAACAGCCGTTATACATTTCGTCTAGTACGATACCGATACGTCGTAGCTTTTGTACATATGTACTTGGTAGCCAGCGCACAACAACAATAAAAGCTAGAATGGGAGAACGATTCAGACACCTACTCCAAGACTTTCAAACAAAAGCCCCCCCCTATTAATCATTAATCAAAGAAGCTTCATCTCGGGCAGATCTGATAATTGTTATGGAGAACAGGTTCAAGTCATGTGACGGTTGTAGAATGCAAAATCTTGGGTCGTTATTTGACCAACTTAGTATCAACGACGCGCAGTTTCTTCGGTATGTTGGAAGACAAGAATACCATTCCGAAGGCCATTACTTCTTTTTTTTTTCTTTCCGAGAAGCACAATGGAAGATCGAGTGAGATAAACGAAATCTATCTGGTTGTCGTACAAATTGTTTTTGCCTCAGGCTTTAAACGACCCCACGGTTGTTGTCGCGACCGTGCAACTTTGTTTACATTCGACCGTCCGTTTTCACAGAAACTCTCAACTTATGCGCCAGAACAAAACTCTCAGCCAACACAATCATAATGTCTTACAATCCTCGAATGAGTCTTGCGCCCAATACTCAGCAACAAAACCGAGGGAAAAAGAAGGATGACGAGAGCGACGCTTTCATGCGCCTGGTAAGTTGAATGACATTGTTTACATTGATAAATGCTAATAAAACAGCCCGACAAGGAAATTGCCGGATGTATCAGTGATATAGGCGTCACATTCTCCGTAGCGGACCTTCAGAAGCCAAACTCGCTACAGATACAAATGGTTTTTGAATGCTTCGTGGAGGTTCTGATGAATGTCGATCGCGAAACGGTGGACCCAGCTATGCGCGCCGCGGCCGAAGATGTGTGCGGAGAGTTCATGGAAATATTTCCTGGAGACACTCGAAACCTGATGGGATTTTACATCAGTTTGCGACGACTGCTTATCGAGTGTGGAATTGCGGATTTCTCTTTCCAGGACCTTTATAAGCCTACGCATGACCGACTGGCGAAGATCTTCTCATACATAATCAATTTCGTAAGATTCCGGGAGAGTCAAGCGAAAGTCATGGCCGAACAGTCCAACAAAGTTCAAGATACGCGGAACAGGATAGAGACTTTGTATATGGAGAACCAAGAAATGGATGCGCGGTTAGAGGACATGAAGAGAAATCGGAAAGCGATGGAAGCGCATGTTGCGAGCAAAGTCAAGCGAAACGAGGAACTGAAGAAAAGGCTATTAGATCTTCGCCAGGGGCAGGAGAAAGTCACAAGGCGATTCGAAAACGTTAAGACCAAGAAAGGGGAGATGACTGCCATTCTCGAGGATAAAACCGCTGCGACGATTACGTTACGACAAGAGAGTTCGAAATTACGGCCCTACGTTCTACAATCTCCCGCTGCGTTACAAGCATCTCTGACCGAATTGAGCAATGCGCTGAATGCGGAGAAATCCCAGATTGATGCACTGGACCGAAGAGCTCGAGGGCTGCAGACATCCACCGATACATTCCAGGTCGTTTCTTCGGATGTAGCGTCGTGTATCAAACTTCTCGAAGATATCTCGGCTGAGTTGGATAAAGAATCCGAAGAGAACGTAAGGATTGCGAAGCAACGAGAAGCATTAGGCGATAGATCGAACAATGTACGGGAAGTGGAGAGGACTGAAGGACTGCTGCAGAGGCAACTCTCAAAATGGCTAGAGCGGACGGAGAAATTACGAGACGGTAGCAAAGAGAAAGCTATGACAGCGAAAGAACGAATGGAAGAGCTTCGTGCTGTGCATCGCAAGTTGACTGATGACAAATCTGAAAAAAGTAGAGAAATGGAAAGAAGAAGAGTGAGAATAGAGCAAACAGAGAAGAAGGTAAGAATTCACGCGTCCGTCAGCCTTGTTTTTTAACTAATATCTGGTAGATGGCCGATTTGAAGGAAAATATTGAGAACGAAGTACATAGCGCCCAAGATGAGTTTATGAAGATGGACTCTCATATCAGGCTGTATATGACTGAGATGGAGAAGGGGGGAATTATTGCTTAAATCTGTTATGCTTGGGTTGCGATCGGTACGGTTGATTAGGGATCGGCGTTTGGGTATATCCTCATGTTTGTGCAAAGAATGATAATGACCTGCAATATATTTTTAGCTACGTATTTTGAACTGCTTACCACCTTTCATCATTATGTCTATACCTGTACCTTAGATTCCCTTCTCTTGTTCTGAAGCTGTCGAAGATTTGCTCATGTATTACCGTCTTCCGTTACACCCAGTCCGCTTTCTCGAATCTAAACCATCTTCCAAAGATTCTGCCGGCCTCAATAGTCCGGCCACTCCAAGCCTCGTCTTCACTGCCCATTCCCGCTCTTCTAACACTTCCATTCAACATAGGTACCCTCTGTTCCCAAACCTTACACACCTCCTTCCACCTCCGACTCTCAATCTCCTCCTCCTCATCTTCTAACTCTTGCAGATCACCTGAAATCTCATCCTCTCGCTCCTCAAAACAAACCACTCTCCTTCCACACCTTTCGCCCACCTCCACTAACGCAGAAACACTATTCCCCAACCCCTGTGCACTCCACTCAGAGGTATCCCGATGCAATCCCACAAGCCCATACACAACAATCAACGGACTGTTCTTCCCTTGTTTCTCGAACTGTGGTACCGGCAATGCGACTCGATCCTCTTCGCCAAAAGCAGCGAGGTAAGCGCGTAGATGCGAGACTGTAGGGATGAACACCACTTTCACGGACCTCGATGTTGCTATCTGATGTAGCGTTGGTATGAGGAGAGGATGTACTGGCGATGGTTCTGCTGGGGCGGAGGAGGGGTCGTCAGTCGCGGAGGGATTTGAAATGGGTGAGGTCTGGTCGATGGAATTGAGGAGGGAGGTGAGGAAGTTGGAGCGGGGTTGGCAGATTATGAGGGTTGTTGGGTGGGCTTGGTGCGCTAGGACGTAGGTTAGGAGTTCTGATGGTAATGCAGGAGGGAGAGCGAGTGATTGTAGTCGTGGCATTGGCGTGGATGAGGTTGTCGATAATGAGGGTGGAAATGGTAGTTACCTGACGACTTTGGAGGGGTCGATAATAAGGATATTTGGAAACTTAATGTCGTAGATTAGTGCTGTGATGTTAATTATATATCAAACAGAGGTGATAGAATGTAATCTTGCTTCACCTAGAAGTTCGCGTCCTTCACACAATCTTCAGTCTGTGGTGTCGCATGTCTGAAGTTCATGGCGTCTTCGTCGCGACCTCTCAACCTTGAATTCTGATCGCTGCCCCACCATCATCCAACCTCCATGTCGCTGCCGCCAGATGCGCCACGCAACACCTCTTGAATGGAGTCAATATCTCGGATAACCAGCTTGCTGGAGAGCGGTATGCCATCCTATTCCGACAAATGCGGCCATAAATTCTAACACGCACTCAATAGCGCGAGAGCTCACCCTCGATGCAGCTCAATCGGCTCGAAGCTCACGAAGCTCGACGAGGACCCTACCAGCGGCGCAGATCAAGAAGCTACTCGACAGTCGAAATGATAGAGAGGTCTTAGACGGGTTGAGGAAGGTCATCTCGGTGCGTTTCCCCAGAACACCGCAGACACCCATATACTGGGCCAGATGCTGACCAGTCCAGATGATGTACCGCAATGCCTCCACCCTCCCCTTCTTCTCTTCAGTCGTGAAGAACGTCGCATCCCCGAACATAGAAATCAAAAAGCTGGTCTACATCTATCTCCTCTCGCACGCAGAATCAGAGCCTGATCTCGCTCTCCTGTCCATAAATACAATCCAGAAGTCCCTCTCTGATGGGAACCCCCAAGTACGGGCACTCGCCCTCAAAACCATGTCCGGTATCCGGGTGCCGGTTATAAGTCAAATCGTATCCTTAGCAATCAAGAAGGGACTGGGAGACATGAGCCCGTATGTTAGAAAGGCTGCGGCTTTGGCGATTCCTAAGTGTTATAATTTGGATCCAGGAACTTTACCGCAGTTGTTGGAGTATATCAGTACCTTGTTAGGGGATAAACAGTATTATGTTGCTGGGGCTGCAGTCAAGGCGTTTATGGATATCTGCCCTGAGAGGATTGACTTGGTCCACAAGCATTACAGAAGTTTGGTGAAGAAGCTGGTTGATATGGACGAGTGGAGTCAATTGGTGACCCTCCGTCTGATGACTATCTATGCTAGAAAATGCTTTCCCAAACGTACGACCAGAGTCCCGAAAAAAAGCAATGGTACCAAAGGATTTTACGGAGACGAAAATGGCGGAGATGGCGGAGAAGAAGAGCTGGGAGAAGAAATCCAAGTTCTGGACCCAGATCTCGAGCTGCTGCTGAAAAGTATCAAGCCTCTTTTGCAAAGCCGAAACTCAGCTGTGGTTGTTGCGGTCGCGCGCTGCTATGTTAGTCTTGGAAACCAGGAATACATCAGCCTTTGCATTGGGCCTCTGATTGCACTATTACGTGGACCTCAGGATATTCAGCACATCGCACTTTACAACATTGTTTCGGTATGTCTCACAAGACCAGAAGCATTTGTCAAATACTCTTCACATTTTCTAGTTCGCTCTACGGATCCTCCTCAAGTCTGGGAACTTAAACTGGAGATTCTAACCCTAATATTTCCCCATGCCGACGCTTACCTGAAGAGTATCATCCTCAACGAGCTCGAGCATTTCTCGAGAGGTTCTGATAAAGACCTGGTGCGAGAAGCGGTGCGGGCTATTGGAAGATGTGCTCAAAGTGATGCGAGAACCTCAGCGCGCTGTCTGAGTCTGCTTCTCAAGCAAATAACCAGTCTGGATGGCAATTTGGTTGCCGAATCCTTGACTGTGATTAGACACCTAATTCAACAAGATCCGACGCCTCATACAAATACTGTCATTCGCCTAGCAAAGAATCTTGACACAGCAACGAACCCTCGAGCTCGAGCATCTATTATTTGGTTAGTTGGAGAGTTCTCTGGAATTGATGGCGAGAATAATATTGCACCCGACGTCCTTCGGATACTAGCAAAGGGGTTCGCAGACGAGGCGGAACCCGCTAAGCTCCAAATCGTACTGTTGGCGGCTAAAGTATATCTGCATCACCTCAATCGATCCGACGTCAAACTCGAGCCTGCTGAAACCGTCTCATCTCCTGCAAACGAATTTTCTCATTCGGGTGGAAACGAGGGATTTGGCGAGTACAACGAAACTGCATCGCCAGCTCACCAGCCACCAGAACCGGAATCAGACCACCCGATTGTTATACTATGGAAGTATGTTCTCCTACTTGCACGCTATGACACGTCATACGACCTACGCGATCGAACTCGGCTCTACAAGGCTCTACTTGCTGTCCCGTCTTCCACGCAATTAGCAAGCTTAATGCTATTGGCACCTAAGCCGGTTCCTCATACACCAAGCCCGTCAGAGAGTCGGACAGGCTTTACTCTAGGGTCAGCGAGTCTCGTTGTCGGCGAGGATGGTGGCTTACATGGCCTCAAAGGTTATGAAGCACTGCCAGATTGGGTGAAAGCTGGTAAAGAGCCCGATCCCTCACTGAGGGACACCGACACCAGCAAGCAAGAGTATGATGAGAAGCGGCTTGTGCCAGCTGGCGAGCGATTAGATAGCGCAGCGGGTAATATGAGAACTGCGTCGCCGTCCAACGCCAACGGATTGGGCACCACTGGTGCCAAGGAGAAGACGCTCGACGATTGGTTGGCAGAGTCTGAGGCCGAAGAATCTGAAAGCGAAGAGGAAGAAACGGACGAAGATGCTGAAGAGAGCGAGGAAGAATCAAGTGGAGAAAATTCGGATGCCGAAGATGACGAAAGCGACGACGATGATGATGTAGCGGAGCATGATAGACTCGTCAAATAGGGCGAAAGATAAATTCAAAATAAATAAATTGGAGTTTTGGTTTGGGCGTGATTATTGGTGACACCAGTTTCCATATTCAGATATGAATGGCTAGCAAAACACAAAGCTTCATCATGAAGTGAAGGTCATCATGCTGTCGATCTCACTAATCGGTAGCGTGAACTGATATGAAAGGCAATATAATCGCTGACACAAAGAGAGCCTCAACGTCTTAATTTCTACAAGACTTGAATAACATTGGCACGCGAGGTGAAAAGGGCCTTCACCCGGGCATGTCAAGTAGCTTCGCTTGCCTCAACTGCTCTGAGAGAGCGAAAACTCTATTACTGCTAGCAAAGTTCCCCGCCATCCCAACTTTTATGGGTGGCCATCAACTTGATAACGCTAAGGAAATGGCAAGTACATCTTCTATAACACACGGGAAATTACGATCACCAGCGCAGCGTCTGAAGACCCAACTTTTACTGTTGGTTGAATTTCATAATAGCTCAACCCAATCCTATCTGGTGCTGCAAATGCAGCCTATGTTGAATGAAAACGCCTCTCGAAATGAGTATCAAAAGTCCAAGTCAACTACTAAACACCTCAAACGCCCCATGTCAAGGCAAAATAGCAGGTAGACAGTACAAACGGTGCCTAAAACAGTACGAGGAGAAGAAAAGAACCCAAAGACGGGGGCAAAAACCAGAACCTAAATGCTAAAATGATGCACACTAAAAGCGTGTGGGTCGTTAAGGCTAACTCCAGATAACCGCCCAATGCAGATACGCAAAGAAAAACAATGTCATCTTCTAACCAACAGCTCGGAGGAGAGAACAGATGACATCCATGTGTAGTACCACAGCACTACTTTATGCAGAGGGTCGTTCGTGGATATACATGTTATAACGTAATTAGGCAGTAGAATCGAGTATCTACCAGCGACGGCTGTGAAGAAACATGTCAGTACCAAAAGTTTGCCGGCACAAGAAAATCCGCTGAGATGCTCCGAGTTGCTTACCTGTATGCTTCATCAACCACTGGTGCTGGTCGTTTCTTGGTTCCGCTGGACTTTCGAGGGGCGGGTACAAGAAGACTTCCCAAGATCTCTCGAGACATTGGGCTCAGTGGCGAACCGTCTACTGTAGAATCTGATGGGTCACGCAAGTGGCCTATCTCATCTCCTGATGAAGCGTTCCCATAGGTAATGGGAGAGCTAGCATCAACAATTCGGCCATCGTCATTTTCTGGTTTATTGGAAGCAACAGGACCGTTAGGAGGAGCAATTTGTTGGAGATTTCGTTGGGAATTCTGTCCTCCCCGTTGGGTGTTTTTATTTAAACCGTTGCTGTGCGAGCCGCCCGAACTGCTGTAACCCGAGTCTTGGCGCGTTGGATTGTTGCTTTGCTTGTTCAAACCAGATGAAAAATGCTCCAGTTGCTAATTAAATAAGACCCAGGGGTCAGCAAGGAATTTTCTCTGAAACTTGCTATAACTATTACAAAGAAATTGAAAATTGGACTTAAACTTCAAATTGCAGGAGGGGTTCACTCACATTATTGGGCTTCAAGGCGTTGTGGTTATTGCCATTGTGAATGGTATCTGATTGCCCATGGTGTTGTGGTCCGAAAGTATTCGGCTGGTTGCCAGAAAAATTGAAAAGTTGTTGCGGTCCTGGCGCAGATCCATACTGGTGTTTTGAACGCTGGTCGATTGGTGGTCCATAGGACGCATGGTGCATTTGTTGGCGGCCATTTATGCTATGACCGTGCTGAATCGGGGCAGAGCCAATATGCTGTATCTGACCGTTTACTGTGTTAGTGGCTTGATTGAAACCAAATTGCTCATGCTGGAGCTGGCCATTTAATGTATTGCCATTCATGCGTGGCTGATGAAATTGGGCAGCTTGATTAGTATACGACAGTGGGCTAATGGTATTTACATTGGCATAAGCTGCTTGGGCAGGGTGGGGAGGCTGTTGAGGGCCGTAGTTGCCGTTGAATGCTTGAACATGGCCCTGACCATTCGAGTTTACATAAGGGTGGCTTTGTGAAGCATTGGCGTATGGAATTTGACCTTGAGAAGGACTCAGAGACTGGTATTGAAACGGCTGTGCTTCTTGGTAGGCGGGGTAGTTATTCTGAGACAACTGGGGTACTTCGTTCGTAGCTGGTCGAAGTTTATTATACTGGAGCGGAGTATTCTGAGGACCGCTTTGGGCAGCACCTTGGTGGTGAGGTTTGTGAGGTCCATTTGAGTAGTTAAAGGATTGATTTTGCGGGTTCAAACCTATATGGTTACTAGGGCCAAGGTTTGTTGGAATTGGTAACGATGAGTTTCTCTGTTGGTCGATCCCACGAGGGCCTCGAGCTTTAATCCTCTGCAGAGAAGGACCCGTCGATGTCTGTTCGGTTATAGATTCTTGCAGGTCATGTTGTGGCGCTGCGTATGGTGGAACTGGATCTATATTAACTGGCTTTGGTGCGCCCGTTACTCCCAAAGATGCGAGCAATGCTTCCGTTGGGTCTTCGGAAGTGGCAGGCGATGCTGCTCTTTCGCCTGGCTCAGGAGCCCATGCTTGATCGTCATTCACCAGACATGGCGTACCACCCCTTGCTACATAAGTTTGGGTCTCGATTACTGGCGTCCCAACCCTGCTCATTTTTTGATCGACTTCCTCATTTTTCTGGCGTTTGCTAGGAGGTGCCTCTTCGTGAGATTCAGAATCCGTTTCGGTGACAATGTGACCATCAACCAACCCTGCCGATGCATCTATAGCTGATTCGTGAGGACGGGTGCGTTTACGAGTCGTTATCAGATCGTCTCTAATATAATCGGTAATACCTTGGCGGTGAGCCATCCAACGTGGTATATCGTCAATAGGAACCAATGGGCCATCCAGATTTAATTCGACGAAGGCAGGGTCGGTATTAATAGCCGACCAAGTTGGGCCGTCTCTGACACTTTTTGAAAAATCTTTAACCGAAACCCCCTTGACGAATCGCGAAACAGGAATCATGGACTCAGTGTTGAGGAGCGGAACAGGAGTGACGGCGAAAGATATGGACAACGGACAGGCTAAGCGAACTGTCTCTGTCGCAGGCGGGTCGGTAAATATACATGCCATGTCCCATTCGAACTGTTGCTTTTTGTCTAGTTCGTCGACAGTCTCAATACTCTCCTCGGTCCTTGACGAGGCGGTTGCGCTTTTTGTGGTCCTCAAATTTGATTTATCGACGTCCTTCACAACACTAACAGCATCAGATCCACGTTTGCTAGATGCAGCATTCGGTCCGTTTGATTGGCTAATCGTGGTAGAAGGTGTGTTTCGGGGAATCCCAGCGTTGAACTGACGCTCACGCTTAGCAACTGGTCCCTGGGCTATAGGAGGTCTATCGCTGCTTTGCGCTTTGCTATGGCCTTGGACTGGCTGTGCTGATTGGGCATGAAATCCAGATGTGGATGATTTATAGATAACATCAGAATGACTTCTCTGTTGACGTTGATGTGGAGGAACTTTTTGCACAGGCGGCTGCATGGTATTCCATTGCTGTTGCTGGACGGGGCCTTGGAAGTTAGGATGCGGTGGATTGATACTACCACCGTATCCACCGGTTTGGTTTCCATGAGGGTGTAACGATTGCGTTTCGAAGGGGATCGTATTCTGAGACATGGCATATTGCTCATTGTTAGAAGGTCCAAGATTCATGTGTGGAGGTCCGCCATACTGGGTAGGGACAGGACCGGAGTACTGGTAGGTCTGGTGTGCCTGGTAGGGGATATTGCCATACGGAGTATTAACAGGCGGTGCGCTGTATGACTGCTGCGGAGGACCTTGGTTGTAAGAGAACGCCGGTTGATTAGGTGTAGGAGCATACTGCTGATGCTGAGGATAGAGCTGGTGAGGTTGATTTGACCCAGTTTGTGCCGAACCATGATAATTCGTACCGGGGAATTGCTGTTGTTGTGAAAAGGGCGCCGCTTGAGGAGGACTAATGATATTAACAAATGGATGGAATAAGATGATTAATGGTACATAATACAGAGCTGCAACAAATTGAGACAAACAAATGAAAAACGTGACCTTGGTGATGTCGCTGATCAGACAAACACTCGAGGTAGAGAAGTTCCATACCAAGAATGTCATTTTTATTGGGTATCTCCCGGACTTATGCCAGAGCGTGGATTATGACCAAAAAAAGATAGAATTAACTACGTAAAAACAGAAAAAAAGCCAAAACAAACAACAAGGATTCAATTGTGACTTACCCATGTCCTGAGTTCTTGGGTGCGCGACAGTGGACTAAGAGATGGTTCTGTCCGCAGTTGAAACATATCAGACCAGGTGCTCCATTACCAGGCTGTGCGGGAGAAAATGGCTGCGGTCCATGGGACCACGTTCCAGACATAGTTGTGGGAGGTTATTCTCGGTGGGAGAGCATCGAGCCGAAGTTGATTTGCAGATTGGAATAGCAGATCCAGGTTGACTTGGTGTTGCAGTAATTGATTGTAATTAAATTGCAAGTTACCGCAATGGTGAATGCAAGTAAGGAGGATAAAACCCGGCAGATCGATCTCGTTTTGGCCGTTTGGTTGTGTGCAACATATGTAATTGTTCACCAGAGATACCAAGCAACCTCAACGCTGTGGCATCCCAAGGCGGGCGTACAACCTAATAGAAATCGAATATGTTTCCAGTGACGTCGATCTCGATTGCAAGAGCAGATAAGGAACTGAAGAGCTCAGAAATAGAAATCGCCAAATTTAGCAGATGGTTATGAGAATAGTAAAGTCCGAAGGTGTTTTGAGAGGTTGTCAATAAAATAGATAGCAAGAATTATAGTAGCAGCGAAGGGTTCACGTTCAGGGATTGTGGAAAGCTTTTGGCGCGATATCCGATTAGACGCTGGTGGGGCAGGGCCTAGCTAGAGCAGCGTGAACTTCTAAGCAACATGAATACTTCATGTGCCGAATCAATGATTAGTAAAATAATAAGACAGGTAAATTCAGACACAAATGAGAGAATTGTTGATTCAAAATGAAAATCGTAACACAGCTGAGGTGCAGAAATTTCACACAGCTTGAATTGAACTTCCACATATACATCCGAGGCCGCCGCTTTTCCCTTGCCCAATTGGCTGGATTTCTGGAACATGCAGCTGCGGTTCTTGATAATCCAACTCGAGCTCATACATCTGACGCCGCCGCTTCCCAAGCAACATTTTGTCGGCCCTCATCTCCAGCTCCGTGAATGCAACCACCATAACCAAAAGCTTCTCATTACGACCATGCGACCATGTTGTTGCAGTCGCACTCATCATTGAAAGAACCTCTCTGCGCCAGCCCTGCCATCCAGCTCGACGCGCCACTCCAGAGCCAACATCTGCAACATGCCTGGCCTGCCCTGTACGTTTCCCAATCCACAACATACGAAGGAATGAGAGCTGATATGTTGGAATTCTAGCTTCTGTGGACCTTGACGAATGCATAGAAAGTCTGTACAAAAAGAACCTCCTCGCGGAATCGGTCATCGAAGCCATCTGCGCCAAAACGAAAGAGCTGTTGATGCAAGAGAGCAATGTCGTACATGTGCAAGCACCAGTTACCGTTGTGGGCGATATCCATGGCCAGTTTTATGATTTGATTGAGATATTTAAGATTGGCGGGTGGTGTCCTGATACGAATTACTTGTTCCTTGGTAGGTGATTTGTGGTGTGGCGAGATGTTGCATGGACGGAAGTTAATGTGAAATAGGAGATTATGTTGATCGCGGCATGTTCAGCGTGGAAACGATTTCTTTGCTAGTATGTTTGAAGCTAAGATACCCGCATAGAGTGCATTTGATCAGAGGGAACCACGAATCGAGGGGTGTGACGCAGTCGTATGGGTTCTATACCGAGTGTTCCAGAAAATACGGGAATGCGAATGTGTGGCATTACTTTACAGATATGTTCGATTTCCTGACATTGAGTGTGGTCATCAATAATCAGATATTCTGTGTTCATGGAGGTATGTTCTACTTTTTCTTCTCGGCCAGATGCCAACTGACAAATCTTGCCCAGGTCTCTCCCCTTCAATCCACTCCATCGACCAAATCAAAATCATAGACCGATTCCGCGAGATTCCTCACGAAGGACCAATGGCAGACCTAGTATGGTCTGACCCGGACCCCGAACGCGACGAGTTCTCTCTGTCACCCCGCGGTGCAGGTTACACCTTCGGGGCGCAAGTCGTTAAGAAATTCTTAGAAGTCAACAACATGTCGCATATATTACGAGCTCATCAGTTATGTCAGGAAGGATATCAGGTGTTATATGATGATCGATTAAGCACGGTTTGGAGCGCTCCGAATTACTGTTATAGATGTGGAAATATGGCTAGTGTGTTGGAGGTCAGTGATACTGGGGAGAGGTTCTTCAACGTTTTTGCCGCGGCGCCGGAGAACGATATCCATAAAGATTCGCAGCAAGGTGGTCAGGATAAAATCGCTGATGGGACGGCTCTGCCCGATTACTTCTTATGATCGGCGAGAGTTAAATGTCATGAATGGACGAGAATGAAAAATAATAACAAAGGCAATAGATGTGTATAGATCCAGCATTTAGAAAGTGCATGTTCATTTCTCATTTTGTTCATCCATGGTTCGTAAATACTGAAATATCAACATCTACCATCCCAGACCCCCATCCGCAAAAAGTAAAGAAGGTATCATGCTCTCATTCAACATCGTGCCTTTGGCTTAAATCTCTATTAAGATAGCCCGCTCCATATTTAGGTGCAAACAGCCGTAACGTCATAAACTTTTCCATTCCTTAGATCCTGGGCCGCAGCCTTGCAAAATCAGATTTACCAGTCTTTGGCGATATCAAAAGACCATTCAAACTCCAAGTGTCGTTTCTTGTCGTCGTCGACAAATGAAGATGTAGCAGTGTAATGTCCTCGAGCTAGCATCCCGGATGGAGCGTCTTCTTCGGCAACTATGCATGGTTAGATACTATTTCCAACAACGGGGCGTGGGATCTTACATTGTTTAGTGTAGATAGGAGTTTGGTCGGTATTAGGCGCATAAGAACCCTATTTCTCCGTAAGCATTGCATTTCTGATCCTAGCTTTCGTACTCACAATCATTTCCTGGTCCTTGCTAACTCTAATCCCCTTCCTCTTCACCACCTGTACATACTGCAACCCACTCAGAACATCATGCTGCACCTTAAACTTCGCCGTCATGCTAAACTTCACTCCCTCCTTGATCTTGAACGGTTTATCTTTGAGCGTCTTTTCGGAGCCGGAAGAAGCGAGGTCGATGGTGACTGGGGGACGGCCTTCAGAGTCCATGGTCAGGGAGAGGATGATACAGTGGCGTGGGTCGTTTGGGTCAGAGAGATCTTTGCCTGAGCCCCCGAGCCCAAGGGATTGCTTGTAGCGTTGCATGGCTTCATCGTCGGCGTCTGGGAGATAGGGTATTAGTTGCGGTGTGGTGGTGGGGTGAAGTTATACCCCGCCAACATGGAGGATTCGGGAGTGATAGAAAGATTGAGGTATAAAGGAATTACACGCGAGTGTTCATAGTGTATATAGATAGCCCAGGACACTTCGTTCAAATCCTCAGAGCCATAAAATAAACAAAACCAGAAACCAACATACCCAACTTATGATACTCATCCATGGTCTTCTTCTCCCCCACCTTGAACCCCTCAGTCTGGTCTGGCAGAAGCTCTTGATCTTGTGCGGACGCCATATTTGCTGTTATGCTATGCAATAGATCGAATATCGATGGTGAATGATGTCTGGAGGTGAAGATGTTGTATTGCTGTCCTCCGTGTTTTGGAGTTGAGGTTGGAGACCCTGGCCGAGACCCTTTTGTCGACCCCCCTTTTGCCGATCCTGGACACCGCCTTTCCGTTTCCTGTCAGGGCCCGCTTCGCACCGCACCTCGCTGCCGCGTAAACCTTCGTGGACAGAATAAGTGGTAGACTGAACACGATGTTTCTTCGATCTAAATGACACAATTTCGTATATTTGGTCAATCTTTTGGATTAAATAATACTTCTTTAAGAAATCACCAAAAGTCTTTAAGATTAATGTAAGCATGAATGATAACTATATATTAGTAGTTAAGAAATTTTGTAGCTAGTTACTGTCACTTATTTTGTAACACGAGAGGACCAGACTTGTTCCAAACACAACCCAAAAGCATTTTGTTTTAACACAGTTACGCAGGCTCAAACATCGACTGGTAAAGTTTCTTCAATGGAGAAGATCAATTTTTTTGGGATATTTATGCACTCTGTTTGACCAATATCTATTTTCTGTTATTCCAAAAGTAACCATGATAAGCTAATCCTGGGAATACTAAGATCTCTGGTTTCAAAGCTGGTACTGGACAATTGTAAGACTGATACCTTTATGCCCGGTAGCTGGGAATAGATGAGGGAATCATTGACCTTGTTTGTCGCTACCAAGAAATCCCATTAGTGTTCACGCGGTGTCCTTCAACAACGCTTTCGATGATGTATGATTCCTACATGCTACGCTGCGCGACAAGAGGGACCTTGCTATTGGGGAGCTTCCTGGCGATGCAGATATCAGCCCACAACCGGAGGGCAAAGAGAGATTTAAGATTGAGCTCACATTTCCGTAAGTTGAAAGCAGGTATTTAGCCCTCATAATGTTCATCCATAGAAAAAAGATTTGGCATGAGGATCCCGGTGAGTTGCTTTAGAAAGTAGTTATCAGACTCGCTGTCTAAGATGCTCTTCTCTTACTCATCCTCATGTACAACTGGAGATATGATCTTGCTGAGATTTTACATCTCTTCAGATCAATTAGCAACTCCGAAAAAGTACAGTACGAACCAGAGGATGTTTGAAAACAACAATTAGTCGTCTTCTTAGTGATGGATGCAACCGAACGAAAGTGGTATGACGCAGTTGGCTTGGAAACTAGTGATTCCGCAGGGTCTTTTTGTGTTGCTCTGGTTGGTGGTGACGTATAAAGTGGATTTGGATAGATGATTTGCATTGCTTTGGAAATAAGTACGGAGATCTGATATGATAATAAGTATGGGGCTATGGGGGTGATAAATAATTCATTATTATTTATTGCAGTAGTACGTGTATGAGATTATGTTGCGTTCTGTTGAAGACATTTGACTGAGAACAGTCTCGTAACAGGGGAGAATTCGGACTTAGCACTTGCGGGCCTCTAAAGCTTTGAGTAAAAGGCCAGAGCAAAGAGACAACTATCTGAAACAATGTACACCAAGAAGAATTGCTTTGCCAGAATGAGTAATGTTGAGGCTGTTTGTAAAAAGGGAGGGGTAATTTTCAAAGACGAAGACAGCTGTCTGCAGATCCAGGAATATCTGAAACGCAGATGGGCCGTGTTTGGTAGATCGCGGTTATTCATAGATCTGCTGACTTGACCATGTTGAATCATCCGCAGACATCTTCATGATTGTCCGCTTTTGTGTACTCTGAGTAGTGAGTCTGCGGAGTAAAAGCGTTTGACCAAATAGTGGCAAAAGGCCGCTATGAGTTGAGCCAACTCAGTCGCTAATGTACGAGGCGTGGCCAGAGCAGCCGCTTCTGGCGGAATGCAAAATGGGATTTCTCAGTAGTTCACTGACTTGCACTTCTTTATATATTGACATATATCGTTTAGAAGAATCAGTGCCAGCTTCTACATATCAGATTTTGCAGCTGACTTACGCAAGAAGACTTCTCTCTACCTTGAGGTTACCCCACGAAATTGCGGATCACATTATCGCCAAACAGAAGAGGACTTGGGAGTTGCAGGGAGAAAGAGTGGCTTTGAGGCAGATCATAACCCGGCTAAGCAAAGATGTTGTCGGTAAGTTGCGAGCCTCTCCTGCAGTTCCCCGCGAGTTGAATATATTTTCCCGTCATGTTGGTACCGCTCCGTGAAGTCACGACGCAGGCTGCGAGAGCGATTTGATTCGCTTGCCAGCTCTCAGTGTTACTTTGCTCATTTCTGTATGAATGCCATCCATCTCGTGAGACGGGACATTCAAGCGGAATAGGAGCGAAATGTGATACGGCTCTTGGGAGCGCTTCCAAAGTCCAGCCATTTCTAGTTTTGACGAAAGGAAATGCCTTGCAAGAGCAGTGAGAGCAGAGAAGCGAGAAGCAGCGTGGTGAATAAGCACATTTACAACGCGCGGTTCTATCTTTCATCCTCCAATTGCTCTGCTCTGCTTCACTGCCTTGTCCAGTGGACCAGTTGAAGCAATTGTGAGGTTGAAATTTGGTCTGGACTGGGTTAGTCTGTCTGGACTGTCGGCTTCGCGCCGGACTTCCCTGGCCCGTCGTAGTCGTACTCTTCGGGGAAGTAGACGTCACTCCGATCACTCCCCTCCAAACGCTATGTCATGTCGGCTCTGCATATATCGAGTAATGGAGCTCGCTTGAAGGCAATTGGGACAACATGACGAGTGTTTCGAGTGCCTCGAGTGCTTCAAGTGCTTCAACACTCTCCCTCATCAAGTCCCTTTTCTGCAGCAAGGCGGTTTATGACGTCGGAGTGGGCTGCCTGCTTTCCATCGCCGGCTGATTGGGCTACGGCCGGCCGGGGGAGCTGGTGCTGCTGTTGACCTGCTTGATAATGAGGGAATGCAAGCCGCAGCGCCAGCTTGTCTTGCCTCATGCTCATCGTCTCATCGTCTCATCGTCTCCGCAAGGGTTCAATCGTCCAATATAAGGTTATGCGCCAGATAATCGCCCAGGTATCTGACCATCCTGTGACTTGCTGATTATCTCTTCTTCTTTGACACACTCCAACATCCCACCCCATCCCATCCATCCCGTCTGAATATCTGCTCTCACCTCGTCCGAATCTATCACTCATTTGGACATCGCCGATGCTCATTGTTGATGATCTCGTGTTGATTCGACCTGCATCACTGCTCTCCTGCTTCACACCAACTTTCCCTTCCTTGCCTGCCCTCCTTTATTCACCGGCAGCCCGTTGAAACAATCCTGGCACCCCTGCGCGATTGACGTCTTTCGCGCCTTCACCCTACCACCTCGATTCTCCTCCACGAGTCCCAGACGTCTGCTCTTGTCATTCCCAGCTACATCACCCACATACCTCTGCACGAGATATCTAACATGTCGCTATCGCAGTCTATCAAGAACCTCATCCGTCACGGTAAGCAATCCCTCTTGTGCCACGCTGCCCTCCATCGCGGCTGCCACCCCGCCATGGGTTTTCCATCACATTCCCCCACTTCCTCTCGCTGACATACACTTCCAGGGAAGCAAGGACGAACCGCACAACCACAGGACGATCATCCTACGACGCATGTTTCTCCAGTAAACGTCCATCATCATCAAGGACGCGCTCATGAAAACAACAAAATTCACAACGCACATACCGACCCAAATATGGCAGCACAAGCCCACCAGGTCCCGCACGGCAATGCATATTCAGCAGCGGATGGTGATCTAAAAAACAGAGGTGCACAAGCAGGAAACGTGGCGGCGAATGTAGCGGGACAGAAACAGAAGGCCGGCAAGGTTGACCACGAAGATCTGAGAAGGATTGTGGAAGAAGAAAATGCGACGAAAGGGAAGCTTCCGAGGTACCCAGGACTCGAGAGATGGCAACTGATCGAGAAGATGGGCGACGGCGCCTTCAGCAACGTATATAGAGCCAGAGACTTGGATGGCCAGGCCGGAGAAGTTGCTATCAAGGTGGTCCGCAAATTCGAAATGAACTCGAATCAGGTAAGTATTCGCATGGAGCGCTGAATTTCCTTCACCCCATTGATTGTTTGCCAACCTTGCGTCTCTTTTAGGGCGACGCGGCTCTTCATCCGGATTTCAAGAAGCAGCCAAAAGTAGTGGAGGTGCGCATTATTTCTATTCTCAGTTAAACATCTGCCGCCGCCATCTGCGAGTGTTACAAAACGGTTACGCTGACAAATTATATTTCAGAGAGCGAATATTTTAAAGGAAGTTCAAATCATGCGAGCGTTAGACCACCCAAACATTGTCAAGCTGGTCGACTTCTCAGAGTCAAGGCAGTATTATTACATCATTTTGGAGTTAGCACCCGGCGGAGAACTATTTCATCAGATTGTTCGCCTCACATATTTCAGCGAAGACCTCTCACGTCATGTCATTACACAGGTTGCAGAAGCATTAGAATACTTGCATGAGGATCAAGGAGTTGTTCATAGGTAGGTGATCCGGTATATGTTGTTGGCCTCACTGACGTCATTACAGAGATATCAAGCCGGAAAATTTATTATTTTCTCCAATTCCTTTCATACCGTCGAAAAATCCGAAACCAAAGGCAACTGACGATGAAGACAAGGTCGACGAGGGTGAATTTATCAAGGGTGTCGGCGCCGGTGGTATTGGAAAGATCAAGATCGCCGATTTTGGTCTAAGTAAGGTCGTCTGGGATAAATCGACCATGACCCCTTGTGGTACCGTTGGTTACACAGCACCAGAGATTGTGAAGGATGAGCGATACTCTAAGAGTGTGGACATGTGGGCTATGGGTTGTGTCTTGTACACATTGCTCTGTGGTTTCCCGCCATTTTATGACGAAAGTATTCAGGTTTTGACCGAGAAAGTTGCCCGAGGTCAATACACATTCTTATCGCCTTGGTGGGACGACATCTCCAAACCGGCACAGGATCTCGTCTCGCATCTCCTTACCGTTGACCCAGTCAAGCGTTATGACATCAAGCAATTTCTAGCGCACCCATGGATACGCGGTACCGAAGAGCCCACGTTCGCGGCTCATGACGCACCGCCACTCGCTACACCAGCCGTAGAACGGGAGAGGCAGTTAGGAGCAGGGGGGCATCTGAGAGCATTTAATCCGGATCTTCTTGAATCTCCTGGCTCGAAGCGTCAGGACTTCCGAAGTCCTGGTGCCGTCAATCTGCGTGAGGTCTTCGACGTTGGCTATGCTGTTCACCGCCAAGAAGAGGAGGGGAAGCGTAGAAAGAATTTTAAGCAAGGCTACAATGCGGGCTTAAATCCGATAAACGATGACGATTTCGAAGAAGAGGATGAGGAGGCCGAAGGCAACCCAAGCAAGGTGCCTAAATCAAGAGATACAGACGTTCACCGAGTTGAGCAGACGTTAAGGAATACAAACCTAAATTCGAAGACTACAGCACCAGCACAGAAGGGTTATGGCCAGCATAGTCCTGCAGTCACGGCTGCAGCGAAACAACAAGTTCGACAACGAAAGGGTGCCTTTGAGCTCAATCTCGATGGTGCTACATTACTCGGTCGTAGAGGAAAGGGAGTCGCACCAAGTGGATTGAGGGAGTCGACTACTGTACAGTAGCAACCATCGATTATGGGGGGTGATTGGTAACTGGAATAAGCGAACGAATTTTTGTCATTCCGCTTCGTTTGGGAGCGAAGAATGATCACATCAATTAAATATTAGGTCACGTCATGTTTGGAGTTTTTGGGGGCCGGCCCCAATGGAAACTTTCGTTTATCTTTGATACACGTCCAATTTTTTGTCTTGTCCGCTTTCTTCCGATCTGTTGTCTAAGATGAAGCATTTTTTGCGTTTGGGGAGAGGGGTGGAAAGGGAGGTGCAATTCTGGTGGGTTGGTAAATAAGAAAGCGATTGGTTGCGTGACGCGTTTATGTGCGAAGAGTAATTAGAGCGTACAGATAAAGTCAAGGTCAAGATAAAACTATTAGCACGCCAATATTAGCTGCTTACCTCTTTGTTCCATACCACCCACATAAGTTTTCTCATATCTATCTCTTACTTGTTGATAGGGGGACTACGTTATGTAAGATTATCATAAGCTGACTGGTGAACATAGAGCCATTAAGATTGTCCATCTAGACAAGCCTTTTTCGATATTTGATTGACCTTGGATCTCTACGAGTGCAGCAGAAATTGTACCGCTGGTGAGGCACGAAATTGCAAGAATATGGCCTTTAGAGTTTGTTAAGCCATCACTGTCCTAGCTAGTTAAGTTCGCCATCGGGGAATATTATTTTCATCGGACGGTCACTTCTGTCATGAACTTCCATAGCTTAGAGTGAAACTGTCAAGACGCCACCATGAGCGCTATCTTTCCTATTAACTCATGAAACATATTGAGAAGATCGACAATATGGCATTCAAGAAATTATCACTCAGGAAACGATGTTTGATGAAAAGTAATTCAATTCTCATCCACTACCAATCCTGCCAAGCCCATCATTTTCCTTCCCTATTCTAAAGCACCTTCCCATCCCCAAATTTCCCTCGCTACACCGTCATCAATCTCCATCCTAACATTCCACCTGTCGTTGTCTCGCGCAGAGAACAGCTAAGCTTGGTTGTTAGAGTCATATACGCTAATGAATGTTTCTAAAGGACTTACCAGCTATAGAGCAGAGCTTCTAGATCTTGGCAGCGCAGCCACGACGGGCGACGCCGTTGACATCGACTGAGGTGCTGAACATGCCTTCTGGGCAGATGTTTTGAGGTTCGAATTCAGCTCTCTTCGCAGCGCAACCGCGACGGGCGACGCCGTTAACGTCGACTGAGGTGCTGAACATGCCTTCTGGGCAGATGTTTTGAGGCTCGAATTCGGCTCTCTTAGCAGCGCATCCACGGTCGGGCAAGCACCTTCAACATCCACAGAAGTACTGAACATGCCCTCGGGGCAGATGTTCTGGGGCTCAAACTCAGCTCTCTTGGCAGAGCATCCACGGCGAACAACGCCATTGACATCGACAGAGGTACTAAACATACCCTCTGGGCAGATGTTTTGAGGCTCGAAGACAGTGTCCGTGCTGGCTTCAGCTGGGGTAGCGACAGGAGCTGCGAAAACACTGCCGAAGTTGAGGGCCATGAAGGCAATAACGATTGGTGTGAACTGCATTTTGAAGTTGGAGATTTGTTTGGACCGGGAAGATCGAGGGATAATTTTGAAGATGGTTGTCTTGGAGATGAAAGGAAGCTTGTTGTGATGGGTGAAGAAGACTTTGTTCTTGGGAAATGATGTCCTTATATGCTTGAAGAGTACTGTTCTTCTAAGTAGATGGACACATTTCGAGCGGTATCCCATCTCCAGCTCTGTAATCAGTTAGCCGCTGTCAATTCAGAGTGTCCACACATTGCGCTGGCAAGAAAGTAGCATACCGCGCACAGTTGCGAAGAAACTACGATCCTGACTTCCCCCTCCTCGGCATGACCATCAAAGACCTCAATCTGCGCGTCTTGCTATTCAGCCCTGGTGAAAGAATAGCCCTCGAGATAGTAAACCGCTTAACTTCCGAGCCCGATGTTGTAAGTAAGCACCCGCAGCTTACTCTGTCCTTTCGAGTTACATCTCAAACGACTTCTTCCCCGCATGGAGGCTAGTATCGAAACTAGTCTCGATCTTAATTCCCGTGATGTTATACCGATAACCTGGAGTACGACGTTAGTGGAGAGCGCGGCATACGTACCTACCTAGGTAGGTAATGGTCAATTGCGCGTTCCGCGATGAAGTTGCGTGTGGTTCCCGGCAAGTGATATGCAAGAAATAGGTAGCTAGATGTTTGTTTCCTATTACCCGAGCTCTAACTTGATGTAAGCGAACTAAAACGTTCTTACCTACCTAGCCGAAGTAAGCTTAATTGGAGGGTGATCGCGGTAAGACTGCTCTTTAAAATTCAAAAATGATCTAAGCGAGTTACCGCGCTCAAAGTGTGATTCTTCACATCTGCAAGAAACCGTGGGTTCTTTCGCAACTCGAGGAAGCGGTGCCAAAATGGGTTTGAGGGGCGGTAGTTCTTTTGCATCCCGTGGTTGTTGTAACCAGTCAAGTTAATCTTGGAGCTGTTCAGGAAACGCTCATCTGCCGTGAGAAAGCTTTCCTCTTCAGCAAGAAACCGAATTACATTCTTGACTTTTTTGGAGCAAACTTCATCATCTTCGATACCGAAATACCCAGCACTGTGCTAAGAAGTTCTTCAAGCTATATGAAAATGGACAACTCGAAGAAAATCCTGTATGCTCCTGTTCAGAACAACAGCGAGGATGATCTCGCACTACATGAAATACGAAAGCCAAACAAACCGCGCTACAGATTTCAACATTTTCTTTTGCTAGAAGTAATACATCTGGTATTGCTTCTCGGAGGATTCGTCTTATACTCAGCAGCAAGACGCAATGCAATAAATTCAAACATACAACCGGAAGCTCGAGGCCTTGATACTTGTAAGTGTTCTAAACCTATTGAGAAAATCATCTGACTATTCAAGATTTCAGTCTTTCAGAGTATAGCGTGGTCAAAGAATTTTATGGTGACCCAAATCTGGTTAACACCACTGCGGAAGCTGAAGCGCTTTTCGACCATATACAAACAAGTAGGGTTTTCGTTTTCCCCATTATTGGTTGTATAGACTGACAATTGTAGCGGATGGCATTGTGGCTTTGGACACCATATGGGCTCTGAAAAACGGATACGCACCATCGCACGCTCATCCCGAAGATCCCACCAAAAGCATTTATCAGATTGACATGTTTCACTCTATGCATTGTATCGTAAGCATCAGACAACCATCTCTTTCCTATAGTCAGCTAAGAACTGCACAGTACAGAATCCGGAATCTCCTCACTTCAAGCCTATCTCTCGAGGAATGGCCACGGAACGACCATCATACATTGCATTGTTTAGATTATGTTCGCGAGCAATTGATGTGCAGTCCCGACCTGTTGCTCCAAGGGACGACGAATCTTATTGAATTTAATGTTAATAATGGACATACTTGTCGGAATAGTGATTTGATTACTGATTGGGCTAAGTCGCATCACTGGGCTGGTCATCGTCAATATTTAAGTGATACGGAGGACTTTCAATGAATGGGAATACGGGGTATTTGGAAGGATTTGTTGATCTAGGAGGCAGCCAGAGGCAGCTTTCATTTAGAAGAGATATAGTTTTCAGGTGGTTCGAATCTGAATAGTAAAGCAAATAGAAATATTTTGCCTTTTAAAATTGTGGACCGCAACTTCTCGTGTAATAGATTATCGGGCGTAGTAGTTTCGAAACTTCACGGTGTGGGTATCCAATAGCTGTAAACCGATATGCAAAACTCTTTAAAGTAGACGAAAGACAGACACAAACCGATCTAAATGAATCAAGATGCTTCAGTCTGCAGGTATCTTTTTTTCTCGATCGTCAAACAGGTGGAGTTACGGTCGCTGTTACCCGCATGACGCTGACTGACCAGTCACAGCGTACAACGCGCTGCCCTACTTTGTGACACTCCTTAACCGCGTACTTATAACAGCCCAATAAAACTCCAAAGTTTTAGGGAAGCGGATTGTTCGAAAATTTATTTTGAATTATGAGCACATTGATTTGAAGCGCTTTCGTCGACAACAAGCTCTTACGGTAGCCACAATGGATAGTCAAGAGAACACCAATATGTTTGAGAAAGATGAGTTCGATCAAGAAATCACAAATCCAAAGTTTGAAAGCACTTGGAAACTTGTTTGTTTGACACTTGGACTTGGTGGGTAAGTCGTCTTAATAACCTCACGCTTATAGTCCAACTTGCTAAGAATATTACAGTTTACAAGGCGTCTTTGCGGTGCAATTTGGAAAGGGATCTGTGAGTTAAACAATGATGAAGTTGTCGGATATGATCACTTGTCTGATAACTCAAAGGAATACTTAACGAGCCTAGGAATTAGCAAATCGTTGCAATCACTCGTGTGGCTTGCCGGCCCACTTTCGGGTGCAGTTCTCCAACCATACTTTTGTCTTCTTAGCGATGAGTGTCGCTCAGAATGGGGTAGACGAAGACCATTCATTGTCTTTGGCAGTGCAGCGATCATTCTTTCCTTACTCGGACAAGCTTGGATCCCCGATATGATCAATGCAACTACACATCAGCTCAGTCTCAAGCCAGGAAGCAAAACAATAGAAACTCTCATCGCGGCAACTGTCATACTTTTCGTAATTATTCTCAATATTGCAATACAGCCGGTCCAAGGATGTCTCCGGGCTTTGATTGTGGACTCTTGTGTCCAGGAACAACAGGATGCTGCGAATGCTTGGGCAGGTCGTATCATCAGCATTGCGAACGTTTGGAGTTATTTATGTGGATACATCGATCTTCCATCTTTATTTCCGTGTTTTGGAAACACGCAATTTAAGGTTCTATGTACCATCACCACTTTCGTACTGATTGGTACGATTACTACTACATGTTGGACAACGACGGAAACTCCATGTAGGACGAGTAATCTAGCACTTGATCACAGTAAGGGAACTGTCCACAGAATTGTTAAGCTTTTGAGCAGCTTTCGAGCCCTATCTACACAACTACAATGGGTCTGTGTAGTACAATTCTTTGCATGGATGGGTTGGTTTCCGTTCCTCTTCTATATTGATCTTTTTATCAGAGATAAATGTGAGTGAAACGTTGACGAATACTTTGCAACTAAAACTAATCAGCTTCAAATAGCTCTAGCAAAAGCGTCGAATTTTACAGTTCAGGGAGAATCCATGTCGATCGATATAGCAAGCAGGACAGGCTCTCTTGGTATGCTTATATTCGCCAGTGTATCATTGTTCTCAAGTGTCACCATCCCACTACTTGCTCGACCGGTCAATCACGCCCAGCGACACAATAATCAGTGTCCATCGCCGTGGCACATTCAACTACTTAAAAGTTTGTTTGACACACGAATTGGCATTCGCGACATTTGGACAATTTCACACATCATCTTCGCAACTTGTATGCTCGCCACTTTACTCGTCTCTTCCATCTCAGGAACCTGCATTCTGGTTGGTATTGCGGGTATTAGCTGGGCAGTCACCATATGGGCACCATTTGCAATCATCAGTATTGAACTTTCGGTTATCAATGACGCTGACGAAGGTACGGACGACAGTCAGTCTTCGCCACAGGTTGGGATGGTGATTGGATTACACAATGTGGCCATAGCGGTACCTCAGATAGTCGCTGCTCTTGTTTGTGGTCTTGTATTTGCTTTATTTGATGGTCCTGGGTCCGCTGGAGGAGAAGAAAGTGTTGGCTGGGTGCTTAGGATAGGAGGGATTTCGGCTTTGGCTGCTGCTTATTCCACAACGAGACTTGATTGTGGTGGGAAAAAGAGTTATAGCAGGTTGCAACAGGTGTAAACTAATTTGAATCTACTCTGTTGAATACGTAACCTCGTCAAGTTTGGAATTTGGGTTCCCTGAATCTTCGCTTAATTTCAAATCTGCTCAAACTATTGGGTCTTACGTGGATTTCATTATCCAGTAAATGCATTATGTTTTATTGGGATATAATCACGTTGATGTTCTGTTCAGGCACTCAAATTGAACAATTATGGTGGAAAATCTCAATGTATGATTCCCATAGATGCAGTCTTCATCATAATCATTGTATTGTTCTCACTAACTGAAATCCTGCAAACAATGCCTGAAATTTTCTCGGCACTATTCCAAAAAGGCTTGACCAGGACAAACTCCTCAACATAGTTCAAGTATTCATAACCATATCATTAAGATACCCTTTGGGCGGCTGATTCCCATAGCCATCCCTAACATCACGCCAATTAGCGGGATCTTCTAACTCTTCCCTCGTCCACTTATCACTTCCCAATCCAACGCCACTAACGGTGGTACTTGTCGTATTCATGCTCAATATCAGCCTCGTACAATGACCGATATGTGCATCCGTATTAAATCTTGGCTCAATCACGACGCCGGAGAACTGCGCACGATGTAGTTTGCGCCAGTAGAACATACAATGCATAACATGCCATTGCCATTCATTATAAAACCTAGTTGTGGAACCGGCGAACTCTGAGATTGTGGATATGGCTATAGGTGTGGTTCGCGCGTAGTCGGCGTAGTAAGTCCATGTGCTGTCCGGATTGGGTCCGAGTTTGTCGAATTCGGTTTCGAGGTAGGTGTCGCGGCAGTGTGGTGGAAGCCATGCCGATGCCATGGGAATGTACTCACAATCCAAGGAGCGGGCTTCTGCAGATGAATGACCACAGTAGCATGGTGATTGGGTGTGTTGCCTTTGCGATGCGATACTTCCTACTCTGTGGAAAATATCAAATGCACCGACTATTGCCAGACAGCCGAGTACTGCTGAGATGATACCACCTAAAAGGGTTCTTTTCCATTTCCGCTTTGGTATTGGAGTGAAAGGCAGGTCTTCTAAGTCTTGGTTCTCTGATGATTGAGAATGAGTGCTCGTATTGTCGCCTAAAGAAACGGGATCATATGTCGCAGATTTCGAAAAGATAATGTCAGTCATTGTCGGCGCCCTGGCATCTTATCAGTAACTGTCATCACCTATTGATCTCGAAGGACGTAGATATTACATTTTCAATCGTTTTCAATCCGGTAGTTGGTTACTCAGTAACAATCGTAGTCCTACAGATTATTTGGTTCTTTTTCTCCCAGAAATGTGCAGGTTGAGCTTGCCCGAAGGAATTTGAAAGTGTTAGTTAGATGTAGATGGAAATTCTGAAAATACACATGGTGTTACTGAGAAACTCTGGCTTCCCGCGCGGTAAATGCTTCCTCATATTTAGATATGCATCCCTGTTATGATAACCGAGAATTTATGTTTAAGAAATTGTGGGTTACTGTATGAGCATCCAATGCGTGCATGTTGCGCGGTATGCACGTTGTATCCTGCGCGAGACGCGATGAGAAACTCGCTTCAGCCCCTTGATTGTAAGTCCAAAACGATTTACTACAGTATACCCTCACTATGCCTTTCTTTTTGAAACATAATTACTTTGACACTTGGTGTTCATTGATTTCTTTTATACACTGTTTCCGATCTTTTTTTCCAAAGCGACAGAATCTTTTCAAAAGTTAGCTCCGCACCCCTATCCACAGGATGAATACCTCCATGAGCGACGACGAGTTCGACAATCTCCTCACCGACGATAATCTTAACAAAAAGAATGCGAAAAGTTACCTCCAAAAATTACCCCATGTCGCTTTTCCGAAATGGCACCCGAAGTCCTGGAAATCTCACGACATATTCCTCCTTCACCCATCTTTTCAACTAGCATGTCTAGTTGCCAATGTAGTTGGTCTCTCCATCATAGCTTTCAGTTTCACCTTCCTCTTTCCGAATTTGAAGAACCAAGGTCAACATTGTGTCCTTGCAACCGACAAATTATTAGGGGAAGACAGTAGGTCAAATCTATGCAGAAGAGAACTCTGACGCTAACACAACCAAGTTGGTTGGAATACCATACTCTGGGAAGACCAACCCGATTTCGTTAATTCCGATCCTGATGGGCTTGACCACTCGCAGCACTCAAAATGGAGTGACATATATCCCAGTTCCTGGATTTGGGTGCCGCAGCCCTCAAATCATGGATATGGTGGTGGTGTGAAATTAATTGATCATGCTGTTCATCCCGAAGAGTTCGAAGATACCACCGAGGGCTTCTCAGTTAGCGTTATGCATCAGGTACACTGCGTGGTACGTAAATTTGGGTAGAAATTGCTGATAGAATAATTGTACTAACAATATATAGGCAGAACTTAAACGCGCCCTGATCCAATATCGTAAGGATGGCGTGACTCAAATCGCAGACGAGCACTTGGATCATTGTACAGAATACTTACGCCAGGTAATTCCCATATATTCCTCCTCTACCTCTACTTAGTCTTTCGAAGTGAGTCGCGCTAATGGTTTTAGGCCGTGATTTGCCACGCAGATCTAACACTTGAACGACCGGAGAATATGACCTTTCCGCAAGGTTCTACTGGCTGGGGTGATATGCATCGTTGTCGGGACTGGGATGCTGTCTTGAAGACAATTCAGGATCACTCGATTGGATGGGTGGATAACGAAAGAGAAAGAGGATGGAAGAAAAGAAATTTTGTAGACGGTGAGTTACAGCATTAAGCAAGCTACTAAATTAGGTCAATGAATGTGTCTCGCGATGTTATTATTGCTTAGACATAGGTGGTGTTTTTTGGTTCTTTCGAAGTACATTATATATGCAGACAGGATAGGTCAAGTACGTCGAGAATGATGAAAATATGAAATATAAATTAAGGCAGAATGAGATCCTTAAAGCGCAGTTTTTATCCTACTCGAAAGATTCCTACGTGAATGAACCTCAACAATTGACCGCTTGAAGGACCTTCTAGTGATTGTAAATTTTAGAGATAGCCATGCATACTCATGAGTAGCTTGAAATCCTTGATTTATTACTTTACACAACTTGACTAAAGTCACTACTCAAACTAAACTCAACTCATGCTCGATTAGTTCATGAATTGTATGACCTTTTTGAATAAATCGTGAATACACCGAATTTGCAGCACCACCACTAAGACAAGCGAGTAGCTTCTGGACAACTTGCCAAAGATTGCAAAGGTGGAAGCCCACAAACCCGTGTAGCAGAATCGATAAATTAGCATGCCTATCGATTCTCAAATCTGATCATGATTATGATAAACCTCCCCTGATCTCTAGATGTATCCATCTTCACCGGATTCTTCTGCACGAAGAATTCTCGCTGTGTTCATCTCTAAAGAGAGCAGAGAGTGAGGAATGGAGTGACCGCAAGGCTCCCAGGAATTATTGCCAAAAATTGAGAAGCATGTGTAGACGAGCTCTTTTCTCCATTTCAATTGATCACATATATGTGTAAGAGATGCGTAGGGGTTTGGAGGACCCTGCTTAAGCTGCTCCGGCTGCTCATGTGAGCCTGGTAATAAGCTGAGGGCAATTACTTGGGAAAGCTTAAATAGAAGCAGCGAGCTTGCCAACTGGCCTCGGAACGTTGAGATAAAAAGTTGTGTTTAAATATTGTTAACTGAGGTAGCATTTTTTACAACTGCTTGTTTCCTCCTGTCTTGAAATTTCGCTCAGTTTCCACATCATCATGTGTTTTTCTCAACCCTCATAAGTTAGCACTGCTACGTATGAGAACGCAGTTAGATGTTCCAGGATAAACAGCAAGCGTATCTATACCCGGCGTGTTCCATGTAGCGTGATACATGATTTTGTGACAATGAAGCGAGTGATCCCACTTAGCAGCCCTTTCCCACAGCCATACATCATGCGTTCCTTCGCTCGCTTTTTGCAGTGCGCTATCTTGTAGTTCTTTGACATGCTGGCAATGTGCTTTATGGTAGATGGTATCTGTATAAAAGGGGGTCTGAACGCCCGCTGGTCCGAAGTTGAGAAGTGAGGCTTGTTGAAATTGCAAATCTGTGACTGGTTGTGTCCGGTTCCAGTCTGCGTAGAATTGGAACTCGTTGAGGTCAACCTTGACCAAACCAGACTCTTCCCGCAATTGGTCTGATGATGATTGAGTGACAAATTCGTCGTAACATGCTGACGGTAGCCACTCCAAGAAGTTAGCATGTGAACATTTGTATGTTTCAAGAGGAAAGAGGAGTGTCTCAGGATGAAACTCTTTCATAATCACTTAGAGACAGAGATTTGAAGGGAGAACAAGGGAAAAGTCGCATACGGTGAGGGCGAGTGTATCAAACTTGCATCCAGCAGCCAAAGCTCCCTCGATCTCAGTCCCGCACACTTCTCCACCATCGATCATGGTTGTGATGTGGTTGATCTTGATAGTTCCGCCATGAAAGGACTGATCCAGAGCCAGACATATAACAATTACCAGAATTGTATAAAATATGACACCAAAGACAACACCAAATATCGATCGGAAACTGAGATTGTCCATAACGCCCGTGGTAGGAATATATTGCCGGCTGTGCAGCATCGGCGCGCTCTCCAAAAACTCAGAAGAGCATCTTTTGACCCCAATGGGAGTGCCCGGCGACTCAAGGTCTGACCCGATGAAGCTTTTTTCAATATTCATAGTGAGTTTATACAACGCTCCGATCCTCGTCTGTAAACTGGATTTGAAGATGTACAGTTCTTAAAGTTTGAGCTACCCCCAAGAACCAAGAATTGACTCTATCAGATCATTGCCGAGTCATCCTTCCACCCATGGCCAATGCCTGCTGCCAGCTTAACGCTTGTAACTCACAAATAAATGATCTGTCTGATAGAATTTGGAGGCTGTGGGTCACTTATCTGCCCGTCGCGGTTAAGGTGTTTTACCACGTTAACTTCAGTGATTGGCCACAATTGTTTTTCGGCAACCGACGCAAGATCAATGAGGGGAAATTCTTGATCATGGACCAAACTTCTGCCCGTGGGTAGGCAAAAAGTGGAAGCCAATTCAGTTCTTTTGATTGTTCTTGAAAATGCTACCATCTACCGATTATGTCCAATGCACTGGGATGCCGTTTTAATCATTGCCCATATTCAACAGTTGATAGTTGATAGTTGATAGTTGCGAGTGAGATTGAACTTAGCAAGACTTCGTAACACACGGCTCATAATAGGTCCAACGAGAAAAAAAAGCTGGACACCGCTAAAGTACAAAACCAAGACGTAGTGGTAAAATTATCAACCTAACACTGGTGTATTGCGAGTCTGACGGGACATCTCAATACGACAGAATAGCAACATCATCCCCGAACAACATATTTACCGGATCGCTTTGAGAAAATACTCGACATTGTCTCCATTGTAAAAGATACATATATATACTACGAAAAAGGTGTTAGGAGGTTGTTTCCTGAAAGCGCTAGGTTTAGACGGTGTCCCGTCAGTTTTGCAAAGCACTGGTGTAATAATGTATTGATGGCTCTCACTATTCAGCTCATATATTTGATACCAAGAATAATTTCAAGAGCCGCTAAGAAGCGATATTCTCCCAGAACTCATAGCCACGAACTCATGTCTACAATAATGTCATTGGGCATGCAAGGCTTTTCATGGCTGACGACCAGTCCGGATCTAGCATGACTTCCTCGTCTAGCAACCTCCAGCATTCCTTCACAACGGCGTATGCAGATTTCAAATTTGAAGAACCAGCCACTTGTGAAGTAACGTTTTCTGCCAAGCTAGTTACTATCTCTCTATCACTGCCTGTTGTTAGACAACCAACGAAGCAGAAAGGCCACACAAGATAAGTTGATATTTCAGTGCTTGATAACTGCTTGAACAGAGTGATGGTGTTGGAGACTGCCTGTTCGATTTCTGCCACCTGTCGATATGACCCAGAAACAATTACTTGAAGATATACCCGAGTTATCGCGATGAAAATGTTCATGACTTTTGGGAAGAGTTCGTTGCCACAACTTTTATCAATGCTCGCCGATATTTTTTCTTCAGATTGCTCCACAAGACTCTGAGCAGACGCTATGTTCCTTTCGATTGCAGACGCACGGTTTACCAGTTCGCCCACGCTTAAGCGGCCTTGAGTGGCAGCAGCTGCTTTCCAATGATCTAGTTCAAGACTTTCAATTAAAGCTGACAAGACTAAACTCTGACAGGCGAATCCATCGGAAAGTTTTGTTGTATGGTTGTTTACCTGGAGAAGATCAGGAAGTTGCGCTGATGTAGTCGGCAAGGAATGTAGCGAGCAGCTCAGAAGTACGTCGAACCATCGCAAGGTACCGACAGTCAGATGCAACATAGTTGAATTGACGGGATCTGTGTCAGAGAGCCCATCCATGCTCCTGTTTCTCTTCAAGTTCGCTAGCAAGTTGCATGCGGCGTCCAAATGCATCTTACAAGCCTCGTGATTTCCACTAAGTTTCTAACAACAGAACCGCTGGTCAGTCGGAGATATATACGCAAAAGAGTTTTCAATTACCTCGAGAAACATCAGTTGTATAATCGAAAAACAACACAGCAGGACCTGCGAAAAAGATTGCTCCTCATATTCTAGGAGAAGAAATGTTTTTCGCAACTCCAAAATAGCTAGATTGGTGTAAAAATGAGCCATCTCTAGTGAATCAACTAATTACGTTAGGTGAGAGTTAGTGAGAGCCTAATAATAGACGTACCTGAACCTTTGCAATAACATGCAAGACCGAGTGTTGCCCAGTATGGAAGCTCAAATTTTGTAATAGCCATGTACAGCGATCCTCTGTCCGCCTTTGTAAGCACCAAGAATTGCTTCTCGCAAACATCTTCCATGTAATACAGAAGCAAGTCTGCTTCTGCTGGCGTCGAAGGCTTTTGGAAATTTGACATTTGATATCCACTTGCAGATGGCTTGGTCGACGATGCTGAAGAAATGGAGCTCACACTGTGATGCGTGAATCCTACACTGCCACTGTTAATGATTGGATTTGTGTCCACCTCAAAATTGTAGCCATTCTGTAGTCCAGTAGTATCAGCATCAAAATTGGCGCTAACGAGTGTCTGTGGTATTAATGAAGCAATATCTTCCGCGCTAGCCACGCTTTTGCACTTAAGTACAGCAAGGCCAATCGGCGAGTGAGACTTCTCGTAGTCAGAGGATATCTCCTCTTGTATATTGTAATGATCATACTTCTCATCTCCCGTTAGTGGACCAAATTCTGATCTGTAAGATTCGTCGCCTGAAAAGAAGCTCTCGTAGTTGATGCCGCTGAAATGAGCTGATGGTAGTTCCGAAGACAAATAATCATTTTCCGCCGCGAGGCCGTTGCTATCTAACAAGAAATTTGAGTCTGCAAGCTTCTCATCAGCCGGAACAAGAGAAGTTAGGTCCGATTCATTGTATGAATTCTGCTGGTCCGTTAAAGTCGTGGATTCCATATTTCTTTTGCTGCTCGTGGTGGTCCGTTTCTTGACTAACTGCTTTGTCTCCTCAAGCTTGCACTTTTGAAGCTCGCCAGCGTCCATCCAGATTGGTCTTTCCGAGTAGCTGCACTCCAAGTGAAGTTTAGAACCTTCAATTATTCAGCAAAAAAACATTCCCTTATCTTAAATTGAGACGGTCAGTACATCGACGGCAACGAGGTTTTACCTCATCACATTTATTCCTTCGCAATCGGCATGTCCAACAGCCGCTTGAACTTCTAACTCTTGAAACCATCTTAAAGATCGTGCCTATTTAAAGGCAGGAAACAACAATACTGATCATATGGCATAACCGTTGGCCATTTTCTTGTTCTTACAACTCAGCTTGATGAAAATAGATCGTAGCTTCGTATGATATGTTGTCGGAGTAGCAGATCACTCGGGCAGGATTCTGCCACTGGAATCTGTTCAGTGGCAATTACATGCATCCGAGATGACTGCATGCTCGAATATCTAGTGAGCATTCAGCTTTCTCTGTAATAAAGAAGCTGATGAGCACAACTGGAAAGATTGCCTGCCTCCTAATGAAGCAGTTGACTGTCTCGGGCTTTTCATCCCAGCTAGCATCTCTCTAGTCTATGCGACCGGATCTGTATTGCCGAGATCACTGAGAGGAATTGACCACAAGTGACTAGGACAACTTCAACTTTCTCTATGCAAGCATTTTCGTCGCACATGCATGGCCAACGACATAGCTTGCATGAGAATGAAACAGTAGCTCACCTTTTACTTAATCCCAACGGACTAGCAGTGAAAACTTTCGCCTTCCCATAACCCAAGTGCGGCTTCAGACACTACCCCAGCATAACATTCCTCAGTCTCAAGTATACTCACCATCATCAAAGAATGCAAGCAACTTGTGTCATTATGATTTCAAAACATCGTAATGCAGCCAACCGTGCGAAAATTATCCTTTATTGGATGGCTGGCGTCATCTACCGCGGCATTTCAGTCGAACTGCCCCTTTTGATGTCTTCTAGGTCTTACTCCGCATTTCTCACACTTCCCCGTAGCGCTATCCCCTCGTGTTCATCTTGCCGTCCGAAGTTACTGTGCCGTAACTTTAATGCCACCGGCTAACAGCAGGGATGTAGCATAGAGTGGCTCTCGTTGCATTTTGTGGAGTAGCATTCACTAAATGGCGACAAGATGTGCTGAGCAAAGTGCTTCTCAGTGTAAGCATACCCGATAGCATCCATATAATTGAACCAATGGGCGCAAGTGGTAGGGATTGAATAATCTGAAAAGGAACCACGGTAGTTCCCAGAGATAAGCTTTAAGAATCGCATGACTAGAATGTTAGCAGAAGCTTGGTACGACAGTTGACGTCCTTCTCATTCGGGATATATGTCCTGATCGTTAAAACCCGTAAAGCACGGAGTGGCGGTAGCGAGCTGCAAGAGGGTGTTTTTAGCCGTTTTCACACGCCACCCCCAACAAAGAAGCCATACAGAAACGTCGAAAATCCTATATCATGGGTTTACTCACGGTATCAAAGCTTATAAGGAGACTAGCGTGATGTATGAAATAGATCCGCTTATGCTCAGGGGCTCTCCAAAGCATGTAGGGACTACCGTTAGCTTTGCTTGCCGGGTTGGATCCGGCCTTCAGTCTTTCCTCCCATGGTACCTTCTCTTGCCGAACCTAAATAACCAAGAGGATCATAGAAAGTCCACGGGCCGAATTGGCAAGAAATTTGACTGATTGTGTGGAGGAGATGGTTTGGCTGGAGCTAGCCACCCTGTTTTCTAATGGCTTGTTGGCATCCATCAGTTAAGGAATGAGGCAGCGGTCTACTAACGCGAAAGCTTAGAAGGGTTAGACAGATTAACCTTGAGATTACTTGCATTCGGGAGATGCAAGTCTTACACGAGCTTGTAAAAAGGGATCAGGTTGGGATGTAATCGGCCTTTCTCCAGTTCTGCATGTAAAATACCCAGGTACCCCACGGAGCACGCTTACAGACAGGCTATCAATAATCGAGATCATCCTGTACTTGTACCTAAGGTGGGGATGCACATGGTCAGATGTTGTTACATCCGATCACATGACTGATTGCCGAGTGGTTATGGCGACATGTCTAGTCGAAGTTTTGAGCGACATGCAACAAAATATGCACGCTGTCTGTGGTTGGCTGATGGTGAGTTAAGCGAGGAAAACACAAAGGAAGAGAAAGGTGACCTTACTTACGGATTGTTGAACTGGTCTTTAATGTCGCGCCAAAGAAGTTTCCAGAAGGCAGTTGTGCTGAAAGTATACCATTTTTTGTATTGGCTTCGAATCCAAATGTCCATCTAGTATCAGCGGATGCCACGATCTTAAAAGTGCCTTTCGCACGCGGCGGCAGCTTTCTGGAGGACCTTATATTCGGGTGATTGAAGAGCTGGGAAAGCCGATGGTCTCTTCGTCGGGTTAGGAACGGCCAGAAGGTGTATAACGTCTAGCACTGCCTTCGGTACACCAGCGTCCCGAGCTAGATCGGCCCACATCTCAAATGAAGGAATCTGCAAAAGGAGTTCGTCGGAATCTTCGTTATCTTTTGTTATCGTAAGGATCTGAGCTAATTTGAACGAGTCCTGTAAGGCCTTATCGATATCAGAAGGAGGAGAGATCGAGCTACAGAATGGGTCGAAGAGAAGCATAATCTTGGCTAGACACCATGCTATTGGGTGAATAAGCGTCTTGTCGATGTTATCGGCGTTTCCCAGAATATTGGTATCAATTCGTTGCATTATCTTCCTTCTTTAGTCTAAGCAACAAGAAGAGGCCGGCAACTAACCATAGCAGCAATAGCCCACACATCGGCTTTATAGAAGCACCTCACACCTGTCCAGACCTCAGGAGCACGAAAAGCTTCGGGTTGCACCCAGCGTGAGTTGCTGCCCTCTGGTCCTGCTAGCCCCAAGTCTCCAAGCTGGATATCGAATTGCCCGCCAACTCTAGACATAAGGACATTCGCAGGTTTCAAGTCTGCGTAACTTAGTGAATGGTGTAAGAAGTCACTGAAAGTAAGCAGCATACCTGAGTAAACAAGGTGCTCTTTTTCTAGCTCCACAAACGCCTTTAAGCATACCTCGACGATTTTCGCAACCAATACAGAATTTCTCATGTGATCCTCGAAAGGAACCTCCGCCAGAGTCGTATCCATCCATTCAAAGGCTAAACAGAAAGGATTGTCAGCCGTCCAACCAGTAGGGTTGTTAATAACGTCACGCAACTTTCGAAAGTTCCTATACGATGCAATGGAAGGCCTCTTGTAATACTGATATTCCTTTATTAGGCAGTCTACCTGACTCAGATTCTCAAGATTGGCGCTTTTTACAACCGCCCTGGCGTAAGAATTACCGTAAATCCAACCTGCAACGTGATTTTAGACGTGCCATAGACTCTTTGGAAGAAGATATTGAACGCCAGGCAAGAGCTCGGCCTTGAAAACAGGGCTGAAGATCGTCTTGTCGCCAAGCTTTTCAATCAGACGATATGAGTATTTTCTTCCACGAATAGTGTTCCCGATGCGCAGGGCCATGGTGCTTGATGCAAACGCGATACACGAGTGATGTCTGGAAGGATGCGGGTTGTTGAGAAGGAAATATCGACCGAGTCGGACGAGCTCCGGACTATGTGTTTATTCACATAGAAGGATCAGTGTATGGAACTTGAAACCGGTTCTCTGAACAGCTCAAAACACTTTTCAACCTCTAATCTCTTAACCAAAGTTGAGTCTACAGTTTCGAGACGTCATGTAGTACTCGTTTCGACTCCGGAGAAAGGAGTCGTGCCGCAGAACGAGAGCCGGGAAAACCTCGGCCATACGGGCCGAACGAGGATGTTCACATCAACCCTCAAGTCAGAAACTCACTCCACTTTTGATAACCGATAAAGCAATAAATTTCTCGAACTGCTTCAAGAGTCATCCCCACCACGTATTTCAAGTGGCAATACACAACTCATATTTCACCTCGCCAGAAGCTTGAATCATAACTACAAGTACGAGCTTACCCGTCAGACCATACGGGAATATGCAGCATTTTTTGAGTAGCACCAATATGCCATCCGATCCAGGTAAACCACCTGCGCCCAAAAAGGCAATGAACCGGTGGCCGTGTACACCCACCCTAACCATATCTGATAACGTGAAGATATTATGGCGGGTGTACATAGTCTGAGATCATACGGTTACACTTGATCAGGATAATGCCTGCGAAAGAATCTTGCTTCCCCAATACTCCTCAATCGCAAAGATTGATTCTCCTTGCCACAGTCGCCATGTGCTAACCGAGACATAGGATGGCCTCTAGCGATTCCGTAACAGACGTTGAGAAAGGGGCAGTGACAACTCCAGGCCCAGCACTTCCACTAGAGTCTGGAGCGGCTGTGAAGAAACACGACCCCACACTCAATGTGCATGACGAAATCACACCTAAGAACAAATTCCTGGCATGGTTGTACCAAATTGAGATACTCCTCGGCTTTGAGGCTCGAGGTATACACCGTGTGAAAGAGCAGGACCAAACCGAGAAAACCACGCTCAATTTCTGGCAGATTGTCATGATGTGGTTTTCCATTAACGCGGCCGCCCAGAACATTACCCTTGGTAGTATTGGGCAAAGTGTATTTGAGCTCGGATTCGTTGATGCAGTATGCTGTAGTGTCTTTGGTGGCATTCTTGGGACCATCCCAGTGGCTTATACAGCCGGTTGGGGCCCTTGGAGTGGAAATCGCACTTTAGTAAGTTTTTTAAGGCATAGTAGGTGGACTGAGTAGCTAATAAGGTTTTGTAGATCGTAGCTCGATTTTCTATGGGATGGTGGCCTGTGAAAATATGTGTTCTGCTTAACTTGGTGATTCTTATCGGTTATTCTATGATAGGGGCGGTTATTGCTGGCCAAATCCTTTCAGCAGTCTCATCAAATGGAAGTCTGTCGGTTGAGGTGGGTATTGTAATAACAGCAATTTTGACATTTGTTGTCACGACCTTCGGCATTAAGATATTCCATCACTTTGAAAGGTATGTCTTTCCGGTGTATTGTCCTGACTTGATTTAATGTTCTCAGATGGGTATGGGTTTTCTCATCCGTAATTCTGCTTATTCTGTTGGGGACTACCGCACGCCATTATGATACAACGACGCCTTCTGTAGCAACCGGCCGGACACTGATCGGAAACCGAATCTCATTCTTTTCGGTTTGTCTCTCTGCTGCAATCACCTACTCGCCAGGTGCTGCTGACTTCCTCGTGTACTGCAATCCGCAGTCTGCTACGCGCTGGAAAGTGGCTGGTGCAACCATGCTCGGGCTGACACTTTCCTTCTCGCTGACATTCATACTCGGTGCAGGATTAGCATCCGGTATTGCCACTCAACCGAGCTGGGAAGCTGCTGGCGCTGGATCTGGCGCTCTTATAGTTGCCGGATACTCCTCCTTAGGTGGCTTTGGGAAATTCTGTTCGGTTCTGGCAGCTCTCGGTTTGATATCCAACATGGTACCTCCAACTTACTCGTCCGGTATCGACTTCCAGATTCTCGGGAGATATACAGCTATCGTTCCAAGATTCCTATGGAACACTCTTGCCGTAATCATTTTTACCGTTTGCGCATTGGTAGGCAAGGACAGTCTCTCCGAGATATTTACGAATTTCCTGGCTTTGATGGGATATTGCAAGTTTCCATTTACCGCCATAAGAATTCCACTAACGTCACTAGGGGTTGTACTTTGGATCGTCATCACTCTAGAAGAAGAATTCGTTTTCCGTAGGCGCTCTGACCCGAAGTTTGTTTGGTCTGACTGGAATGTTCCTTCCCGTCTTCCACTTGGACTTGCTGCTACTGCAGCGTTCTGTGTCGGTTGGATAGGTGCTATACTATGTATGGCACAAGTATATTATGTCGGTCCTTTGGCGAAGACCGTTGGCGATTTTGGAGCTGATATGGGGAATTATGTTGGGTTTGCTTGGGCAGGCTTGGTTTACGCACCGTTGAGATGGTTGGAGTTGAGACATTTCGGGCGATGAACAGTACTAATATACCAGAAGTTTGTTGGTTTTGGAGGGCACCTCTGGGGTACAAAGCTCATTGGAGCTGTTCTACATTGAATAATGTCAGCAAGAATTGGTCGAAGCAATTAAAACTTTCTCAAAGGTTGGTCTATTAGCAACGTCGTCTCTCGCGAGTAGTTCGATGCTAGGAAGGAAATAATTTGAAGAACACTCATGACAAATCTGAAACCTCTTGCAAAGCAGACAATCAGTCAAAGAATCTGACATTTGATCAAACGCCGAGAATAAATCACGGCATCTTGTTACTGCGGTCCATTGTTGGTGACCCGCATTTCCATCCTTTTCCAAGCACGAGAAGAAGCAAGTATGCTTAAAAATCGCTAGTTTCAGGTATGCTCGAAGTCGGTTTCCTTCAGTGTGTTTTAACCTACTTCTTGCGGATGCTAAAGTCATTCGTGGAATTCGAAGATTTCAGACCGTCACTCATAATGGGTGCCGAAAGGTCATTCCTTGGTGTTGTTCTTTCCGGGCTCATGCGATTCAGGAGTTTACAATGTCACGACTCATGAAAAGGCAATTCTTCTTTAAGTCCACAAGTTCAATAATCAAGAAACGTGACACAAAGATGAAGATTTCTTGGCATGACCTAACTTACTTGGCATTGTTTCAGTTACACGAACACTCAACACCCATGAGGAATTACTACCAGAGGTTGTTTCCTTTGGATTCAATGTACCCGTCCGAAGTTTTCCTGTATTCATCCGAACATTGCAGTTTGGTTATGGTAGAATAACCTTAATCGTATTCGTGGAATAATTGTTATGCATAATGGTACTGCAAGTTCTTCTGCCGACATCATCAAGTCACATTCATTTACGTGCACGGATTTTCTAATATTTGCAGCCGCAACTCTCGGCTTTTGGACAACAACATGATGGAAAAGGGTCACACTTCTCTTCTCCGCAAGACACTTTCATTCTGCGGATTAATTATTACCATGGACTTTCTAAGTTTGTTTCCTGAGAACTTGACGCCAAGATTCCGCTAGCATGGCTGTTCCTCCACTATCCCATACTGCCCCTTATTGCACAATCAAATCTCCTTTGCTGGCAACTTGCTGGTGGATCTGGGGTGTTCGCCGCAGAAACAATCGGACGAAGCGGCTTTCCGGGCTGAGCCGTCAGCTAAGTTGTTTCTCTTTTATCACCCCCTGTCTTCTCCAGTAAAACACTACCAAATAGAGAATTGCAAATTGCAGGAAGAGTCTAAAGTGGAATAAACAAGACTGACTAACCTGATGAAATATATTAACTCCGGCCTCCATTGCGTGGCACTCCACCGATTAGAGCACCTGTGATGAAAGCACTAATACAAAACTCTAGGACCATGGAAATATCACGATGGGCCCCTGCAATCTTGCGCCATTCAGAAGGAATATAAAGTATACCCGTTTACCCTACGAATTGCTCCCTTATCAATCTACAAGATCTTACATTCTTTTCTCCGTTCCAACTTCAATTACATTCTTTTTGACAAAGACAAAGTCTATACATTCATTTTTTTTCCCTCACTTACACCGACCATTTAAATATCCATCTACAACTGTCTACTCCGCAATCGTCACAAAACTGCAAATATGAAGTTCTCTACTGTCTTGTCTTCCAGTCTTATGGTTGTAGCCGCTCTTGCCGCACCAACCCCAACTGTTCAAGAGCCAGTCAACGCTGCGTTTGAAAAGCGCGCAAGCGTTACCGATGTAAGCCATCAAAAGTTGCGTATCTTGTGTCTTCTCTAACATACTTTCAGACACCAGTTGGTTACGCTTCTCAAAACGGAGGAACGACTGGGGGAGCAGGTGGTACCACTACCACTGTCTCTTCCTTCGCCGAATTCACAGCAGCCGTCAGTTCAAGCGACAAGAAGGTCGTCTACGTGTCGGGCCCAATAACCCAGGCAGCCAAACAAGTCAAAGTCGGCTCCAACACCTCCATCATTGGTAAAGACAGCTCTGTTGTCTTCACCGGCTTCGGTCTCATCGTCAAGGGAATGAGCAATGTTGTCATCAGAAACATTGCTATTGCCAAGGTCCTTGCTGCAAACGGTGATGCCATTGGTGTGCAGAAGTCCACCAATGTCTGGATCGACCACGTCGACGTTTCCAGCGACAGAGACCACGATAAAGATTTCTATGATGGTTTGCTCGATCTCACCCATGCGGCAGATTTTGTCACAATCTCGAACAGTTTCGTTCACGACCACTGGAAGGCTTCTCTCGTCGGCCACTCCGACAGTAACGGCGCAGAGGATAAGGGACACTTGCGCGTAACCTACGCCAACAACCTTTTTGAAAATCTCAACTCCCGTGGCCCATCTTTCCGTTTCGGTACCGGCCACATGTTCAACAACTACTATAACTCCGTCTCCGACGGAATCAACACTCGTCAAGGTGCTCAAGTTCTCGTTGAGAACAACGTCTTCGTCGACTCCAAGAAATCCGTCTACAGCACCGACGGTGGATTCGCTGTGGCCACTGGCAACGACTTTGGATCTGGATCCAACACCGCTCCGGCCGGAACTCTCAAGACCGTACCATACTCATACACTAAGCTCGACGCTTCCGCCGTCAAGGCAGCTGTCGTCGGTACGGCTGGTGTTACCCTCAAGTTCTAGATGTGGAATTCGAGAACTTCTGTCGCGAACTTCGCTATGTGGATTCGCCTCTTTTGTGTGGAATTTTCTTGTAAATAGGATCCTGCTTGGCGCACACATCAGAGCCTAGTGCTCTGGAGGTATTGGATAGATTTTGTGTCTGTACTTCTGTATATATCTTTTAGCTTATGCATGGTCGTTTGAGGAAAATCAAAGCGAGGCTGGTGCCGTTCTGTTCTTCGTAATTGAATTTTTGCAAGTACCGTGAAACCTATAGCTGGTTACTGCCAATAACAGCCAAGTGCCCATCTGTCCAATCCTGTGGCTTGGTGTCAAGCGAATTGTCTTCACTCGTTCTGGACATCGGTGAAATCGGTGAACCGTGCTCGACTCGAGGCAAGCTTCCGGTGGACAAAATAAGTGGCAGTCGAAACACGGTATTTGTCCGATCAAGTTGACGAATTATCGTATATTTGGTGAGTTAATTTAGAACAATGTGAGATATTTAGTCTATTATTTTCAGTAAATAAGACTTCTTACGCTCTATTCGAAGTCGGCGTATTCAGTCTAAGAATAGTAGGAAGGTGATTGACAATTATTTGTCCTCCTCGAGGCAACCACAAACTCTTCGTTCGAAACATGTATTAGACAATGGAGGTCACATAACAGGCTTTTTGCACGTTACCTAAGATATTACAAAATTGAAGGAAAAGTTTTAGTGCTCAGAATGTGTGACTGGGATGGCACGTGATTAACCTCGATCGACACTCAGTTTGATTTAGCGAGGCCAACTTTGTAAAAGATTTCGCCACTCATGAAAGTGGGTTACATTATACTATGTGCCTGCATCTCCCGAAATGTAACACTTCAGATAAATCGCTTGCTTTGCAACACTTGATAAATTGAGTAAACAATGATTTAAGGAGGGAGTTAAATCAGTGCTTTTTTGGAGACAGGCTCTATACTGTACTGAGAAGAGACATGTTTGAAAATAACTCTGTTCGGGAAAGTCGTTGAATTGGCTTACTCGCTCTCATGAACCATCAAAAAGACGGAACGAATCTGCACCCAAAGGACACCCATTCTCCCGTGAAGATTCATAATGACATTGTTAACAGTAATATACACAACAAATGAAAACGAAGAACGAATATATTACTAAAAAACACCCAGAAAACAAGGTCCTGCACGTTACAAGTCTACATCAGCCACCTCGTTCGCATGATCACGGATACAGAACATCTTATGTCCGACCTCGATTCCAGATACACAGAATTGAGTCTTTGCTTCACCAATCTTTATATACAAAGGGTTTGCATTCGATGCAAGCAATTTGCGGTAGACCGGAGCAGACAGCTATACATGGGCGTATGTACAAAAAGCATGGTTGGCTTGAAAATAGCCCTGAACAGTTCAGACTGCAGGCTTAATCCCCTGAGGTGACAGGCTATCTGTATATATGCGTACCTGCTTCAAGCTAAGATTGACTGCAGTATCTAGTAACAAAACCATTGAGTGTTATCCGGATCAGAAGGTGTTCTGTAATTGAGCGTCGGCTGAGCAGCCTGCACATTGACCAAGCCGACTTGTTGTTTCCTTGCTTGAGAAACAAAGAAATCCACGAGTATCGCTTAAATAGCGGTATCAAGAATTGACTACGATGGTATTGGTATCTGAATATACAGTAGAACATGCACTATGAACAATGAATACGTCTACTAAATAATCGTATAGACTCATGCATGAAAGGTTTCTACATGTAAAATCTGTTTAGATCAAATGGAATCAGCATATAGACGAGAGATTCAAATTAATAATGAATAACCTCGTTCAAGACACGATAAACACAGTCGACAAGAAAGAGAAGACCACATGGCATGACAGAAGGGAGAGGTGTGATGAGCAGTCGCTAAGTGGTAGACCTGCAGCGCCGCAGGAACTTTCCTCGCTTCTGGTTGGTCGACACTAAAGCACCCATCACCCCGTACCTTAAAAGGCTCCGACTCCCCCTCCCTCACCAACCTTCCTACAACTTCTTCTTCCATCTTGCAGGTCATCTCATCCATCGAGTCCATCCCCCACAACAATCATCCAATTTCTTCGGATATCATAGGACCCCTGTGAGGACTTCCCCACGTGAAGCATTTCCGGTACCCTCGATCAGCCCTTATCGCTTGATCGTGCGAGGACAGTCCAGCCAAGGCATCCCAAGTCATCGATACTACATCAACAGCTCATCGTGGGAGAGGATTCCATCAGACTCGGACATCAACAGTCAACCCGAATCATCACCCCGTCGCGACTGAGCTTTGAAATCCACGCTGGCTTGATTCTCATATCAACAAAACGCACTCATCGCTGTCGTCACCCCACGCCGACAGTATGACTGCTTTCACACCGTATCCATATGTTCTGACTTCAGAGAATACATATTGGAGGCATTGTCCCTCATCGTTCACATCGGTATCGTCAAGGCCGTCCTCACTTGAGGAGAGTCGTGACAGATTTTCACCACAACCAAAGACAGCAACAACAAGAAAGGTCCATTGGGCCTCCGACGTGGTAGACAATGATCAAACACCAAGAATAGTTCGTATTTCATCGATGAGAAATACAAAATCGACTTCGTTGATGCCATCGCAGACCACCCATCGGTCCCCAATTCCGGCAATGAATTCTTCAGTCAGGATCATGAGGAACAGGATCCCCAACGACTTCGGGCTCTATGACACTCGCCATATGGTATCTGGCCCCATGATAAACTCCCAGAAGACTTCAAGAGGTCAGCTTGAGGCTATTCCCAAAAGGCAGCCTAGAACGTCGTCGTCGACTCCCCAGCTCCATGACCACGTGACCTCGCTTAAAATCGTTGGGCCTTCCGGAACGAGTCGATCCAAGAGAAGAGCCACCCAATTCGACGCAGGCTCACTGGCATGTACTTCATCCAGTGCAAGATCATACCCCTCAAACAAAAAGCATTTTCACATAGACGGATCTCTTCCACCCGTGCCAGAGGCACCACCCTTTACTTGGCCTCCACCAACGCCGAGGATTAGCAGACTGCCCACTCCAGATCTGGACGACATTGGCTATCAGGGGTTCTGCTCCTGCGATGATTCACATTACGATGGTCATCGCAAGCTGGAATACTCTCGGAATGACGAAAGGTCGTCGAAGTTGAATGCTCAAAGTATGTTCGACCAGCCACGTTCTACTCCACAACTTTCTAACTTGAATAGTGCAAACAGCGCAATTATATATCCAGAGCAGGAGGTGCTGAGAGTTTTGAGTAGTCGTGGCGGAGTACTTGGGTAAAATTGAACATTTCGGTGGTGCTGTTCGGTTGACAATGGTCTTCAGGAACGGGGATAAGGTGTTCGGCGTTTTGCGTGGCGTAGGGACGAAAACTTATGTATTATGATGTGGAGATATTTGTGACATTAAAACAGCTTTGCCCATGTACTGAAAACCAGATAATGAAGAATGAACCGCGGGAATTCATTTATGTCCTTCTTTTCAGTTGTGTTGATTGCTGGTCTGCATGTCGACAGGCTCCAGATAGGCAAGCAATGATGGTGAGATCGGCGCACGAGAGTTGTGGGTATAAAAACGAGACTCCGACCGGGTATTCAGGAGTTATTTAGGATCCATAACCATTACTCGAGCCGTGAGTAGCCACGATGTTGTGGTCGTTGAGATATTGTGCGTTTGTTTCTTAGCATGTCGTTGAAGGTGGCTCGTTAAAGTCTCCCATCGATGTGTCGGTTTGACATCACGTGAAGTTTTTAGTGGGCTTCCAGGTTGCTGTGATAACGACAACCCCACGTTCGCTAAATGAGCTTCATAACCCCTCCTCCGAATATCGCAAACAAAACATTGCGAACGACATTACCAGAAAATATCAGATAGACCAATTGAACAGGAAGACCTCATTTTCAAATCAAAAACAATCGATCATCCCAATATGGCAGACTTCAAAACCGTGTTCACAAAGGATGCTGCTCCTGGTAAGTCCTTGATACTTTTCTGTTTCAACCTTGATAGGAGGGATCAAGCTAATATTTTCTTGTAGCTCTTGGACCATACGTATGTTTCCCCTCCAAACAACTCTAATTTACGAGCTCATCTGATGACTTTCGAATCCAGTCTCAAGCAATTGCTACTTCCTCAACAATTTACTGCAGTGGTCAAATTCCTTGCACTCCAGAAGGAGAGATCCTGAGCCAACCAACCTCCTCGATCTCGCAGATGACGGAACAATGCATCAAGAACCTATCTGCAGTACTAGAAGCAGCTGGTAGCTCCATATCAAAGGTCGTCAAGGTCAATGTTTTCCTCACGTCGATGGATAACTTTGTGGAGATGAATGGTGTTTATGAGAAGTTCTTTACACACAAGCCTGCGAGAAGCTGCGTTGCTGTGTACCAATTGCCAAAGGGGGTTCCGGTCGAGATTGAGTGCATTGCTTTAGCTTGAGTACACGATAAAGACAAAAAAGTAGAGCCACGAATGCAAGTCTGCACCTGCATCGACAATTGTCACAGAATACTCGCAGCGCCGTTGATTTTTCCCGCTCCTCTATATCCATGCTTGGGGTAGATTGTTGATTAAATCTCAAAAATCCTGGGACTGGCCTGTTTACGGGGAGTATGTTCAATTATTCAGTGGTATTATTCGTACAAATTTTGATCACACTGGCAAGGTACAATGTGTTCGGGGGAATGCTTTCAGCTCAGGCTCTTCGAGTCACCTCGAGCTTAGCTTCTCGGGAAGGTTGAGAAGTCTAGTGATGCAAATGCGATGCATATGTTTGAGGCAAATTTGAAATTGTATCTTGGACCGAGACCCGAAGGCACATTCATCTCACAATTCTCTACATCGTTAGGACTTCTCTGCATTATTGTATGGTCACGCTCTTTTAAGCTACTTTATCAGACCTGGTTGCATTAATCTTCCGTCTGACACAAAAGTCGCCCCGTTGCACGGCGTCAAATATCAATCCCTCCAGCTTTTCCAGAGCGCTTAAATCCAGCGTCCGAAAGAACAAGCGCCAGTAAGCTGATTCCTTGGCGTGCACTTTTCATTAAAGCAAAGTTCTCGCGAGCATGTCTCACTTACGGTGGCTGATCCTACAGACAGCTTGGAACTTTCAGCCGAATCTGGCTTGTGTTTGATAACCCCGAAGTTCCAAATCCATAGGATTCCCTACCATGTACCTACCCTAGCCTACAATCTCGGAATTTACCACCTCAACTTGATCATCGCTAATTGTTTTACTTTCTTCTCAAATTGATCTTTTAAAGCTTCATAGATCAAAAGGGAAAATCCTTTGGATATGCGTTAATGTAACTTGCAACAAGACCATTTCATCTAGCGCACAAAATCCTCTCACTTGGATGAACTAGCGTTCAATCCTTCTTCCAAAACTTAAGTCAGCTTACTTGCTGGTTGGTGGGTCTTTAGGGCTGAGCGGCGTAGAGACTGAGTTATCATGATGTTTAAGTGCTGACAGGGCCGTTTCTTCAGCAGTTGGTCGGAACACAGGCAGAGGATTCCGTATTATCGCAATGCAACGGTCTTTTCTAGTTGATAAAGTGTTGACTAATACTTTATCGTCATACTTCGTAAAAAGGACTATTGCCTGTTAGTTTTCTAGGAGCCTCAAGTGTTGCTCCATATAATGAGTACGATAGACCCCGCAGTAATGCATCTTCGAGAGACTACTGTAAATTCAATACCGGAGGTACAGATCTTTGGAAATATCAACAAACATTGAACGATGACCTCAAGATCATTAACCAAGACCCAACCTCGCGGTGGACAAAATATGTGGCAGTCGAAACACGATATTTCTTTGATTCAGTTGACGAAATATCGTAATTTAGTGGATCGACTTAGAACAATGTGACACATTCCGTCAATTATTTTGAGTAAATAAGACCTTTTAAATTTTGTACGAAGTCGACTTATTTAGTCTGAATATTCGTGGGTTAGTACCTGACATCTATTTTGTCCTCCGCGAGCCAACTGACTCTTTTCCTAATAAGTATGGATTTAATTTCAAAGATCCACCCAATAAGAAATAGTTCGTGTTCGGCCACTAGAATCGTATCTACTCAAGTAGCACTCTGCTAGTGCCTAAGCTCGGTGCTTCGGCGGACCCTAGTGTGTAAATACGAAAAGCAAAGGCCTCTACTCAAATTATACGAAAGAAAACATCGCGAGTTGATTCTACATGTCTCTCGTTTGTCTACAATTCTCTACGTAAATCGAAAATACGAATGGCAAATCCGTCAGCAATAAGCGTGGTGGCAAGCATCAACTCGGTAGAAGTAACGAGTAGAAGTAACGAGAACATGTGATATTGTAATCCCCAGAACGATTGCAAAATACGAGAGAACACGGACAATCAAGTATCGTGAAATCTGGGTTTCTATAATCTCCACCGAACCAGAAGACGAGGACCCGCCACATCGTAAAAGTTGGTTAGCATCACGATGTGGAAATGGGAGCTGACAGGACAGATTAGGGTTACTCAGCAAGACTTAAAAAATGCAACACGAGTTGGTTTTCCGGAAAGAAAGAAACAAACACCAGAGCAGGAAGCATCACAACTCCTAATCAAGAAAATAACCTCTTACAAGCCCATCATCCAAGCATTTGCAAATCAATCCCATCCCCAAAAACCTTAAAACAATCCATCCAAAGGCAATTCAACCATCCGGGCAACACAGCCACCCTAACCCAAAGAACCCCTAGCGGCCATCCCACAATAGAAATCGCAACGCCCAAAACATGCGACAATCTGACACCAGCGGTGGCTGGAGATCTCGCGTCGATCAAGCCGAACGCTGCCAAACTCACGAACCCGCTGCCGGGGGCCCAGCATTCAGCACGACCGCCACTAAGGCAGTTACCTGGTCGACACGAGGGTGGATTTCGTTCGTGACGGGATCTGCGAGGTGATGAGTGTCAGGGAAACTGCATTTGCACCTGTTCGGACCCATAATCGGCGACGCCCGTATCGTGCGTTCGGTGGCTTTCGTGTAGGGCAATGGGAGGCTTCTCATATAAGAAGTCGGGCTGGCATCCTTTGCGTTGACCTTCATGCATACTCGATCCCAAAACAATTAATTTCATTTTCTTTTGTGTGCGGTAAAACTACAGAGCCTCTTTGCTTCTTCAAACACCAGGGGAGACGAATTATTCCTCACGTCAGCTCGAACGATCTGGAAATTACTACTCGCTCAGCTCTGCACAAATAGACGTGGACCTCGAGAAGGCTGAGAGCTTCAAAAACGTATTCGACTTTGAAATCTCTCACATTCGTTCAAACAATACCACGATCGTAAACGACGTCAAATATACAATCAAAATGCAATTCTCGACTTCCTGGTTATTGATGGGCCTCTTCTGCTGGTCGACGGTCCTCGCTACGCCAATACAAAAGCCCTCACCGGTTCCTTGCACAGACGTGAGTATTCCTTATCATCGCAGACTTTTCTGAACGCCACTAACAATTACACAGGAGATAAGAGACGCAGTCCTGAATGGCAAGATGGACAAAACCGCATGTTGCGCAACCAGAGACGGATTATGTGTCGGTAGCTCAGCAGAATCGAATTCAGCTATCAGCTTCGTACAACGGAACTCGCGATAATACACCACATCCCACGACACGAATATCAACGACAACAATTTGAACATTTCTTGCATTATAGCGAATCATTTTTGGGAGCGATAACACGGGCCTTTACGGCGATTGCATTGGGATCGGAGTTTTTTTAATTTGTATTTTTCTATCGGAATATATTCGGGTGGAAGGTCGGAATGGATAAGGCGTGCTACATAGCAGGAGCCACCATTGTGTTGCAAGTCTGATGGGACACCTCGATACGGAAGAATAGCAACATCATCCCCGAAATGCTATATTTACTGAATCCTTTTGAGTAAATATACAATATTGTCTCTATTGGAATGGCTAAATATGCATATTACGGGAGGGGTATTAGAAAGTTATTTTTTAGAAGCGTTATGTTTCGACAGTATCCCGTCAGTTTTGCAAAGCACTGGTGAGCCCATCGATAAAGGTGCGAGTCTCGACGGTTGCGGGGTTTAAAATCAACACGGGAAGGCCATATGTAAATACGAGGCGGGGCTTTCATTGGCAATACGACTCCCTCAATCACGAGGCAAACAATACCAACACAATACTACATTATCTTCGTGTTGCCTCTGTCATACCGCTTTAGCGGCAGAGAAACTCGTGCTATTGGTGACAAAACCATAACAGCTCTATTATGCAGGTCAGCACTAGTATACGTATATGACTGGATTTGAATTGAAGAGTAAACTTACGGCGATATTCAATAGGGTGACTTCTTTCGCACCAAGTGTTGGTGTGCCACAGCAGTCGTCAATTAAAATTGAATTCCAACCTGCATTATATCCATCCACAAAGGTACCCAAGACACACTGATCAGTATTCACACCAGCATACAATACCGTCGATATCTTCTCCTTCTCCAACACCTTCCACAAAGGCTGTTCAGGAGTCCACAACCCACTCATCCGATTCTTGGCGCAGTGGATATCAGAAGAATCAACATGCTTCTTTAGCGGCGGATATATATCTGCATTCCAAGTATCCGCAAACAGACAACGGCCTTGGTCGTCTGGCAACTCGGCACCCAAGCCCATCCACGGCCGAAGCTCCGACGTGCTCGCAGCGATCTCGTCTTTCATGAACCCGCGCTGGACACCGCCAGGCATCGTTTCCATATCATGTTCCGTCAGCCCCCAGTTGAGCCAAATGACCTAGAGCCCCATGCAGGTCAGCCTCATAAACATGACTGTTGGGTACAAAGTAAGCGCGCATCTGATTACCTGTATTCCGGCGGCTCTGCATTTCTCGATTACTTTGATGGTCGGGTCGATGGCTGCTAGACCCTCTTTGTGTTCCATACAACGCGCGTCGAGGAAGAAGTTCTGCATGTCTACTATTACGAGAGCCGTGGAATCCGCTGCGATGGTCACTTGGGTTCCAGATGGGCCCTCGGTTGCCGAGAATTGCAGTTTGTTCTTCGAGTCGCCGGATAGGTCGAAGGTTTTGGTGGTCTTGGAGTAGTGCCATGGTCGTGTTGAGGGTCCAAATGAAATGTCCGTCATCTTGAATATTGGTGATGATGAGTTACCGCTGCAGAATACGAGTATTGAAGATTTTGAGATGCCATCTCGTCAACGTCACTGCAGCTATCTGCCGCCAAACAAGTGAGGGGCTCCATTATCTGAACTGATAATGCAACTTTCGTTACAGTGGGGTGCATTTAGTTTGCACCCCCTGTCCCATCCTTACCACTTTAATTGGGTCTGACTAGGGGTAATTCCTATGCTGCTTTTATGATCGATTTCTCCATTCTACAACAATTTTGAAGCTATTCACAATGCCTCTAAGAAAGGAGCTAACCCCTGGTATGCGCGATCGTATCTGCGAGCTCTCGACTACACTTCATTATGGTCCTAAACGGATACACACGCTATATCCTGAATGGCCGATTTCTACGATTAAGAGTATAATTAAACGCGAGGCCTCTCGAGGAGCTAAAAACGAGTCAAGACCACGATCCGGCCGGCCTCGTGCTCTTACAGAAGAGCAAAGGGATCACATCTACGATGTTACGAATCATATCAACCCCCAGATCAAGATGCGAGACCTCCTATACTCTATCGACGACGCTTGTAAAAAGCGGTCACTCCAATACCTTTACCGGGAGATGAATAAGAGAAAATGGAGGCAACGAAACCGACCTAAGATTACACAAGCTTATGCTGACGCTCGACTAGCCTGGGCTATTGAGCACCAAACCTATAGCCTAATCGATTGGCACAAGGTCTCCTGGTCAGATGAGTGTACAATTGAGAGAGGGAAAGGGGTTAAACTAGTGTGGACATTTACTCGGCCTTGCGACCAGATCCTTCTTAAGGATATACACCCAATTCGAGGCTCTGGAAAGAGTGTTAGGAAGATGCTTTGGGCAGCCTTTGGCTCAAATCGTCGGACAGGATTAATACCTTTAGATGGCGACCCAGAGGCTCCTCGAGGAGGGGTAACCTCGTGGGTTATAAGGGAGGTATATCGAGCTTTTTTGCCAGATATTATGGTTGAAGGAGGGGAGTTTATGCACGATAGGGCAGGTCCTCACCGGGGCCATATTGTTCTTGACTTTTTAAGGCAATTAGATATTAAAGTAATGAAATGGCCCCCTTATTCGCCAGACCTTAACCCAATTGAGAACCTTTGGGCCTTAGTTAAGGCAGAGATTTATAGACTCTATCCTGAGCTTGAAACAGCCCCTGATACAGAGGCTACTCTTGATCTACTTGTACAGGCAGCACAAGAGGCCTAGCACGCTATTGATATCGGTATTCTATATAGGCTAGCAATGACAATGGAGAAGCGGGTAAAGGCTGTAATTGACGCGGATGGATAGTATACAAAATACTAGGAATAGCTTCATTTTTATCCTATAAAAGCAGCACAATAACAAACCCTAATCAGGCCTAAGTAACTTGGCAAAAAGTGGTAGGGGGTGCAAACTAAATGCACCCCACTGTATCTCTTTCTGGGGTTGATGTCGAAGAGTGGAGGTCCATGGTGGGGCAGACTTCCCTGTTGATTAATAACACCCCTGACTCCCAGCCTCCCGTTCCACATAATATGCACCCTTGACATTCAGACTTTGTGATTTATCAGGCTTCACTATTTCCTAATTTGGGTAGTGCGTTTGAGATGTGATTTACAATCGCGCAGTTGCATAAGGTCCACACAATCGAAAAAGCTGCAGGTGTACCTAGATGTTAAAGCAATGTTTAACAAAGCAAAAAAATGGCCTTACTCCACCAGTGGGTGACACAATTGTGTGCGCACCCAAGAACTTCGAAAGTAGATAACTCAGCACAACAGCTAGATATCGTATTTCTGGTAACATAGGCTTATTCGCGAGGCTTAGGACTACTACTGAATCAAAAAAAGATTACAATTGGATGTTATCCCGTCGTTAAAATATTACTTATAGTTTCTGGCTGCGCAGAGAGTTATGTCAACCCCTGGTGCTCTGTTTGGAAGTTTACTGATCTTCCGGAGACTATGCCCCGGAACCCCATAAACTCAGATAGACAAGTGCATAGATATCAAAATATGAGGATCTGCTGTCTAGGTAAGGATCACACTGGATGTATATAAAATGAAAATGATCATAGTTTTGATATCTAAAGAAATTTTTGTAAGAAAAATCGCAATAAATACGAGCCTCATGTCAACCACTGATGAGTGGCATGTGCAGATATAAAGATGCTGAAGCAACGATGAGGGGACTATTTGAGACGTCGCTTTTCATCGTGTTTATGGTGATTTAGTTCCTTGTCCCATGTATCTTTTACTCGTATATCAGAGATATTTGTTTAATTTGGGGAACATCCGAGGATCCAGACATTGAAAAATTAGTAGCTTTAGTAGACTTGTTAGATAAAGACAGGCACCCAGATGAAGAGATAGACTTTTGTTATAAGGAAATGAATATGGATATTCAAATTTAAGAATCCTATTCAAACTATGTTTAACCCAACCCTCATCGCGTCCGTGGCGAAGTATTGTATACAACTCGCAGCCCCTCTCAAGAACTATAATATTCCTCATCGTCATCAACTATATCATCGTCATGCATAGCAGCAGCCAGATTTATTTTCGACTTCCTATTTCTCTTTCCAAGCACGACTGGGCTCCCAGGGGAAGTCAGCGCTTGATAATGATCGTATTCACTTTTAAACTGCTGCTCTATCTCTTCCTCTTCCTCGTCATCCTCGATACCGTCCATACCCAAAGCTCGTCGCGCAGGCCGTCTGGCTCTTGAGCTTGGTAGTCGGGTAGTTAGAGGTGGCGGCGCACGTTTTTTTCCTTTGGAAGAGGACCTGCCTTTCTCTGCTGATAGCGGAGCGGGAGGTGGAGCAGGCGTTGCAACGGGTTGCAAAGGTTCGAGTGCCGGTTTCTTGGGATTTTTATATACATATTTTCGCTTAGCCGGCGGAGCATCGGTTGGTGGAGCAGGTATTAAGGATTGATGCTGCATCGTGTTTAATTGCATAGGTGGGTTAAGAGCGAGGGCAGGCGCGAAGGTGGGCATTGGTAGAGGGTTGCTGGTAGCTTCAGCTTTGGCGTTAGCTTTTGCCGCCTTTTTCAACGCATTCGTAGCCTTTCGAGACTCCATCGCAACTTGCATTTGACCTTTCTGCCATCTTTTGCGTAGACTTTCGGAGAGCTTAGCAGACTTCGCTCGCTTCTTTCGCAGCGCTTCAGCAGCTTCAGGGTCCAGCGTTGACTCATCGATATCCGGCTCCTTGGGTTTGCGCTTCCTTTTCACTCCACCTGAAGACGAGGGCGGGGTATCGGCAAATGCCACCGATGGTAGAGGAGGCAGTATAGGAGTATTTTGCATGTTTTCAGGGGCTGCAGGCAAGGGGGCGATGGGGAAAACATCTGTAAATTGAGCTTCTCGTTTCCGTTTCTTTGGGCTCTTCACCGACGACGCCGACGACGGTCTTGTGGGCTCTGCGGTGGTTGGTCCTGTTGATTCGTTCTCATTGGTTGATGGCGTGCCATTTTGACGTGTTTGGTTGAACAAAGATTTGGCAGCTTCTTTTAGATTATTGTTCACATCTTCTTCTAGAAAGTCTCTCGTGCTCGACCCCTCCTCATAAGTCGGGCTTGCTGACAATGGTGGAAGGTGAACATCCGCGAGCTTAGACTTTGCTGGTGGCCTCCCAACACGCTTACCGGATGGAAACGTTCGAACAGCTGGGGTGCTACTGCGGCTGCCAGGGCCAGTTCTTGTCCGACCCTGAGGCTCTAACCCCATGTCCAGATTCATCCGTGGTTTGCGAGCACGTTTTGCCGGAAGCTCGTCATTCTCTGTCTCCGGGGTGTCGCTTCGTTCTGCATCATAAGACTTGTTGTGCTTGTTTCTCTGACTTCGGCTACGTCCCTCTTCGGATGCATCTCCTCTGGCCTGTAATTTACCGCTATATGATGGTTGTGGTTGGTTACCGACGTGATGAAGTTGCGATGAGTAGTTGAAGCCGTAAACATCTGCATGCTTCATGTCTTCAAACGTGATTTGATCTATAAGCCTTCCTCTCTTTCGCTTGTCCATGGCTAACTCTTCTTTCGTGATTCTCTCTGCCATCAGAGGTCTGTCGATTAACTTGATTGGTTCTGGTTCTCTTCCTTTTTGCCGCTTGTGTATTGCACTGAGGAAATTGGGGAGGCGGAGACTTCGTAGCCGCTCAACGAGGTCATTTTGCTTTGCGTCGGTAGTATCATAGCGTTCCAGAAACTGTTCCCAGTCGCTTCGGCTCAGTTTAAGCTCAGTCTTGTACGCCTCCGCAATTCCTAGATATTTCTGATCTTCTACCTTGGCCTTTTCTTCTTCGGCAAACTTGGCTGCCTCGGCCACCTTTTTCGCTTGGGCTTTGACGTACGACTCGTGTATATATATTTCTTTCTCAATATCATCCCATTCCTTCTGGTAGTCAACCAAGACGCCCGCAATGTAGCTGGTGCGGTCATATAGATCTTCATATGACGCTTCATCAACGTTCGCGACATAGTCTTCAAAATCTTCAATCGAAGTGAATTTAGGAAATGGGTATCGCTTCGCCTCCAATTTCTCCTCGTTAGATGCATCAAGCTTGCTAAGAAATGAGTTTTTCGGAAGTTCTGGCTCTTCCGAATTTGGACGAGTAACTACGGATTCTTCTCGGTCATCAATTTTGTCGTAGTAGTCAAAAGTCGTGGTGTCATAAGCCAATATGGGCTTGACTTCGGGTTCATCGTCAGATTCTATCGTGGCACTAATCTCTTGATGCTTGGCAACATTATCGTTTGCCTCATTTACCGTAGACAAGACAGAGGGAACCGAGTCACTTTTTACCCTCGCTTTTCTGTATTTCAAGATAATAATAGACGGTGACTCGGGTGGCGGCGTCAGAGAACTGTCAGAACTGTCATCATCATCGGTCGCAGTACTGGGTCTTGTGCATGACGCCACGTGATCGTTGAAATCCTGCATTAAGTCAGTCAAGGAGACCAAGAAGAATTGTTGGAGATGAAGCGCATAAGTACTGACCTTGGATGACATCTCTGAGAAGCTGGAATGGCAATGAGGACAGGTTGAGGCAGAAGAGAGAGAAGAAGACGACTCGGATGTCGTCTCCATTGAGTGGTTTGAATTAAGTGTCGGGCCAGTCTTGAGAGTCTCCGGCAACTGATGGACGGTTACAACATTCGTTTTGGCTCGCGCCATATTGTAAACCAATATATTGGAAACTCTCGCCCGTTCTGAGATTACTCAGGGGAGCTAGGAAAGCTGTAATGTGATTGTCGCAAGACTTGGGATCTGTGGTGATGGTTGTCTCACGACGGCTGAGTAGAAAGAAAAGAGTTTGTATGGGGGCTGGTCTCAAATGATGAAAAGAACAGGCGCGGCGCTCAAAAGCGACAAATGAATGGAAACAAGAAGCTGACAATGCCACAATCACCGACAATAGGTGCTGTGAATCGTCCAATGTCTGCGATATCGAGTTTGTTGGAAGTACAAAGTATTGAGTCTCGACGATGTTTCCAGGTGTGGCTCAAGTCAGAACTGTTCTTGCGCGAGCTCAGCCGCCCACCAATCAAAGCGCCGCATCCGTGTTAGCGCCAAAGGTGTCCCTCTGCTTCCGAGACAACAATAGATGGATCCTACGTATTGATGCGGAGCATCGCCAGTCCTCTTCAATACCAACCTTTTATATTGTCCTCACAACACAATTATGGCATCCAAGAAACCCACCAAGGCTGCTGCCGCCGACGTCGATGTGGACGAGCTATTCAAAGACCTCGAAGAGGAAACGAAAGCTCCCGCAGCCAAAGGCGGAGCTCCCAGCTCCAAAGCTGCCAAAGGAGTTCCGTCACAGACAGAAGAGGATTTATTTGCAGATCTCGAGAAAGACCTCGAGAAAAGTGCACAGCCTGTCAGCCGGCCGCACACTCCAAGAATACAACAGGTAAAGCGCTCGACACCACCTCCAGGTTCCACGCGCACGAGCGAAGACAAGCCAGCCCCTCCACGAAAATCTGGCGAAAGCACCCGGTCATTCCACACAAGTTTCACTCCTTCAGCGACCAGCAGCGAGCTTCAGGAGGCTGAGAAGAAATCTGCAGCAGCGCAGCCTGCGGAAAAGGTCGTAGAAGCTCCTGCAGCTGGTGGAGGATGGTGGGGAAGCTTCACCACCGTTGCCAGTGCGGCTCTCAAGACTGCCGAGGCCGCGGTCAAGGAAGTCCAGCAGAACGAAGAAGCGAAGCGATGGGCAGAACAGGTGAAGGGGAATGTCGGCGCTCTCAAGGGTTTTGGTGTGTAACGACGATGTTGGATCCTGTGCGCCTTGCTAACCACTTGAACAGGCGGTGATTTGCGGTCAAGAGCCTTGCCAACATTCACCAATATACTCCACACCCTTGCGCCTCCCATTTCATCGCACGAACGACTTCAGATACACATTACCCATGACTTTATCGGCTACCCTTCCCTGGATCCTCTCATCTATTCCACATTCTCGAGGGTAATGGCTCAGGTGGAGGGCGGTGATCTTCTAGTTATTCAAAGAGGACATGAATCTACAGCTCGCCGAAACTCCGAGGCAGGTTATTCAGGAGGCAGTGCAGGATGGAGTGATGGTCCATGGTGGAGGCAAGGAAATGAACATCGAGATCTTGGATCTGTGAAGGGTCTAATCGAGGGGACCAAGCTCGTCCGCATTAGTGCGGAAGCATACTCGACAGAATATTTCAATTCAAATGGCGGTTTAGAAGCTGCCGCACAGCGAGCGACAGAGGATCTAAGCGAGTCGAACCCCGTGCGAAGTAGCGATATTTTCATGGCGGTTCAGGCAATCTCACATGAAGTACCAGAGGAGCTCTTTCAAGGAAACTCGTCCAAAGAGAAGGAACAATCAGGTGTAGCGGAAGACAAGGAGACTCCAGATGAGTTGATCTCATTCGCCATTTACCTGCACGACCCAGTACACAGCATCACTTTCAACACACTTACCCAACCTATTCCAGCGAAATGGATCAAATGGCTCGACGCTCCTTCGCCATTAACGCCAGCGTCTTCCACTTCACCTTCACACCAGAAGACAAGCTTTTTCGGGAGCGAGAAAGAACAGTATCAGTCACCAAACCTCCCAGAGGAAATCGCAGAAATCATTGAGAGCGGAGGTGTAGACCCAAGAGAATGGGTTGCAGAGTGGGTAGAAGAAGTGTTGAGTCTTGGTGTTGGAGTTGTAGCTCAACGATACGTTGCGCGCCGAATGGGAGTTGGAGAGGGCGGTATTGGTAGAGGGAAGGCGCGAATGGAAGAGGTTCTTGAAGATGGAGGCGGCGAAGCTGCGAGAGCTGGTTTATTTTAAGCATCCTGCGAGAGGATTTTGTTCTGTCATTCAAGCGTGCGATTGTGTACCACCGATTGTATTCCTGGTGGTCGGCGCTTGGCGTTATCATATTAAGCAATGCTCTATGCAATAACAATATCCAGTTTCTTAAGATCAGAACAAGAGCTCCGGCTGATTGAATGCTCGTCTACGGTATTGCCATTTTTGCTTCACTGTTCAAATAGCAGGATGACGGAAGGAAGAGAGAAGGGAAAAGGACTTCCATTATTTCTAACCAATTCGTATCATTATCACCAGGTCTTATGATGGAGTTCACAACAATAATTATGTGGATATTTGGTGCTGTTATTGTAAGGTTTCCTTGGGACCTACTGAATTTGAAAGCTTACATTTATGATCATGGTGTGATGATTCAACAACTTCAGGTGAATAGCTCGAGTTTGGGGCTTAAGTGGACTTCACGGGTCTGTGTTACTTAACTCTAAGCACATCTTGCAATATTCTCCTTGAAGTATTAATGATTTTGTTGAAAAGTATTGTGATTACTTATTAAGCACATAACATAAAAACGAAGTGGCAACTAGAACAGACAGTATTGCATTGAATAGGAGTGATCAAATGTGTTCGCTTTCACATATTTCCCCCGATTTTAATGATGGAGATTTAAGGACATGAGTGCAAATAGGAAAGCAGATCGATTTACTAGAATATTAGATTCAGTAAGACGATTTGCGAATAGACATGTAATTGTCTGAAACTTATGGACAAAAATACCCAGTAATTTGGAATACGCAGGCTCCATTTCCTTTTTAAATGGCAAAACAGCAGGCCAACCTATCTGAGATCTAACGTTGACCCAAAACTTCAAACAAGTCCTCTTCATGATGATTAAATCTTGTATGTTTTGTAGCACACACATAATTAAGCATCAAAAATACGAAAAAGGTTGCCCTTCATCGGAAGGAATTTTTCTCGTTCGAGCCAAAAGCAATCCACTCGAGACCGATGTGTGTGATCGATGCAAAAGAATTACAAAAAGGAATGATCAGGCTGGGGCTCGATCCCAGGACCTTCTCGGTATTTTGATGTTAACCAATGTTAACGAGATGTGATAACCAACTACACCACCCGACCATTTGTGAAACACAGTTTTCTAATTTAAAATATAAACCTAACAACATGTGCGCTGGGGCACAGCAGATTCCATTGGTACAAGATCTGCAAAATCTGCCGCTTTATCCTCGGAAGTCATGTCGCCGGTATCGGGAACGGCAATACCGACTAATTAAGGCCTCTTGCGGTGGACAAAATAAGTGACAATCGAAGCACGATATTTCTTCGATTAAGTTGACGAAATTTCATTATTTCGTCAATTATTTTAAGTATATAAGACTTCTTAAGCTCTATTCGAAGTCGACTTATTCAGTCCTAAAATTAATGTGCAGTAACTGACACTCATTTTGTCCTCCGCGAGGGCCTTCAGCTATTCTCTTCAGACACATTTTACGAATCTTGGACTCTATCGAAGTAGAGCTTATTTTTCTTAGTCTTTCAAGATGTTTGCCTTGCAACGCATTTCACAAGCACAAGTCGAACTTGCAACTTTAGAATTCATTCAAGTTCCATCTAGATCAGTTGATCTAGATTCCGAACTCTTCATTCTTGCTTGAAACGAAACCGGTATCTGATTATTCATTTTAGAATAGGACATGTATTGTTCCTTTCTCATCAGGGGATGATTCACTCTGGCAGCTTCATATCCAAGGTTCGTTTTGATATTCCGAAAATTGGAAATCGTAATTTATATTCACGTAGCTTTTGCAAGAAACATATACGCGGACTGTTCAGAAGTGACTAGACTATCTGTCGGTGGTGACTACGAGAATGGATCTCAACGTTAATAGATGTGTACAATTTTCAGCTGTGTGTGCTTGTCAAGTCATTTTCCTGCTGTCCTGATTTGCGACGTATTGTACTAAATTCCGAAATATAAGCATGACCAATAAAACTGCAGGTACATACTAGACCCTAGCAGAAGGGAATTTGTTAATCAGAAGAACGCAAAGTACCATGTCAATGAGTCTAACCAGGCACTAAATAAGACATGGAATACAATGTACTATGCGAATTTGTAGCTGTTCATATAATTTAAACCATTGTCGAGCCAATTCTCGTAATTGAGATTCCCTGGTACCCATCCTTCGTTAGCATTGTCCACACCTATACCAAACTGGTGCACTTCTTGATTGACCACGGCTCCCACTGGTTGAGGCTTGTCGCTTGAACTATCATGCTCTTCACAGGCATTAACCTGTTCAGTTTGGCCCTGATTATCGTCGTATTCTGTTTGGTCTTGACGAGAACCCTCACAAAATTGTCCTTGTTGGCGCAACTGACAATATTTCTCGAACGGCAACGTGGGTGCCTGAAGCTCGAATGCAGGAGGATAGATAGCACCGAGTGTCCAGATCTCTTCTGGCTCAAAGCCGCATGATTCAAGAGCTTCGGACCATTCTCTTTCACGCCCATAGTTTGAAGCAGTCATAAAAAGGGTTTCGCCATGATTGTTGATAGAGTATACATCGGCACCCGCAGTTATAAAAGCCATAAGAAGATCTTTTGGTGCTTCCAAAGACAGCTGCCAATTGTGAAGTTGCTGGGAGGATTGCAGCTGAGCATCTGTTTTCGCCATTCTCTCGTGTAATCGCACGCTTCGGAGAACTGTGTGAAGGACCGTATTCCCCTCGCGATCACGCCAAGACACATCGGCTTTGTGTTTTAGCAAAAGAATGGCTTTGTCAACAATATCGATCGAATCGCTCAGGTAATATCCACAGCGATTTGCGAGGATCGAAAGTGCGGAGCATTCTCCATCAACCGACGTGTATATTCCGTTTGATTTGATGAAGGGTCGGCCATAGTCGACCATACGTTTTACGATTCCCTTGTAGTAATAACCAGTTAGCTTGCAGCAATTTAAGATCCATTTTCAACTAGACAAATGTACTCACCAGTGGATAAGATGAAACACTATACATAAAAGCAGTTTCCCATATGCGCTCTCCGAAATTCATCGTCAACGAAAGGTCTGCACCGGCTTCTAAGAGTAGTAACAAGCATCCAGCATGTTTCTGAGTTTCAATGTCTCTAGGCTCATTCGAAGTTCTCAACATATTCATCGGCCTAAAGTGTATCAGACGTTTTCGAAAAATGGAGAAACAGATGCGAGAGATGATCTGAGACGAACGGAAAAGAGACTACACGGAAATTTACCCCAGATATCTATTTGATTCAGGTCCAATCTCATTTGCATCCGCTCTCTTATACAACAGAAACCTACACATGTCGAGATTCGGTTCAATGACTGCATACTACCAACGTGTTAGCGCTGTCACAATGTCGCGTACAGCAACTCACGTGAAGAAGTGAGCGTCCTTCCTCATCATGATCTTTTAACGTTGCTTTACGCTTTTGGAAAAGCTCAATTAACCTGCTGACTTCCCCGTAACGTGCAACTTTGAAAACTACTGAGTCACTCGGAACCAGTGGTTGATATGCAAGTGTTATGGCTGGGTCGTGGCGTGGACTGAAGTCGAATACCAGCCTGAAAGGAGATGACACCATGTCATTCTGCACAATTGATAATTTAGCAGCGAAAACCTCATTCGCTGTTTTCATAAGTGCATTCATCCCGTTGTTTGGGGTCCTCTCTTTAGACACGGACCAGAATGATGCTTGAACTCTCCCATAGGGGGTTATCCAAGATGCGTGCCTGCTACTGAGTTCTGACAAATCGCTCTCTGTGTTGTCGCTATCAAGAACCGGTAAAAGATTGCTAGTGTCTAACTGGATTTAGTGTATTTTTGGGTAATTTTTTGGATTTGGTATACTCACCCCGTAGGTTGTCGGCTATCGTAAGCTTTTGGGTCACATTCATCAGATTTCGAACTTGCATGACATCTTCCAGCACTCTTGGATTCCAATCTTTCTCGGCAGGGTGGCTGGTAAAATAATCATCTCTTAGAACTTGCTGAAGATCGTTGAATATTTCCCGTGCCGTTTGTGATTGTATGATATGGTTGGGACTTTCTCTATACCTAAGAAGTCTTTGCACAAGGCTATCTGTTATTGTTCTCCTGCTCGTAGTATCATCTGCTATGTACCGATCTTTTAAGCCAATTAACGATAATTGATCTAGTCCTTCAGAGACAGACTTTGTGTGTAAGCTTATGAAGCTTGGTAGAGCTATGAGTACCAATAGTGTCAGGACAGATTCTAAACCAGGATAGCACTGAAAACTCACAGGAAGGGGTATTGGAACGCGATGTGGATTTATCCTTAAGATATTCTTTAGACCAACGAGACAGTTTTTCTTTATCTATATCATGACCTCTGACTCTAATGTAGCCGGTAGTCTTGCTCATCCGTGTTGCTCGGTAACGGACGTGCTTTACCACAGCTCTGCATTCGTTTGATTTGGTATTTCTGATGATGTTCATTCGTTGGATTTGGACTTTGTATTGACGTATCCTACATGAATACTTTTAGCAAAGAATTCAGTCGCGTACGTCGACTAAAATTTCTCCCACTGGGTACTGCAGTTTAGTAAGTAATAGAAATTGTCCCAGAGACTCTTCCGACTTCTCCTATATTCCTTTTTCAGTTTACTACTAAATTAGAGGACGTACGTGGCAGGTAATCCGAGCTCTTTATTCATCACATCTCGCACCTCTTTAATAGTCTTTTTCTGGGTGACGTAAAGTTGCCTTATCCGGTCTCTGTGGAGTTCCCATTTCTTCGCAGATATGGTTGGCGCTTTTGGAGCGCGCTTTTGTGTAAGTTTTGAGATTGAGCACCGTTCGGTGAGAAAATTATTGACGACAGGCCGTACAACCTGTCCCTTGGGTGAACGCATGTTGGGAGAGACTGATGATGATCCTTGGTCTAGCATCTTGATGTCCAGAGGTATGCCATTTTCCGTAGGGCATAACATGAGAGGCTCTTGCGATATTTGTGGAGGTAACAGTGCGTCAATGTAATCCGTACAATTGGAGTCAATCCAGTCAGTGCCTGTTCCATCATGGCCCGTCAATCCTGATTCTAGTGGGAGCGAAGGAGGAGCCAGTGATGTTTGCAGACTTGCAATGGGAGGAAGTTCTTCCATTACAAAAATTGAAGAGTCATCAAAATTTTTTATTTCCCGGTAACTTAAGAAACCTTTAGAAAGTCAAAACAATCTTGTTGTTTGGAAAACATGAACATCCTTTCTCCATAATGTTTTTGATGTGGTTGGGACTATTCATTTAAGCATGGTGCATCCAATGAGGCTGAGACAGCCGAGAAAAAAGTACTATCTTCTCCATTGGCCTATGGCGTGTCTTGTACAACTTCTTGGCAAATAATGCGGTCGGGGAAAAAAGTCCTATTTCATGGACCAATTATATTCCGGGGTGCTAAAGAAAGTATCATCAGCTTGTTTGACGCCAGAGAAGGAGTAGAGAAATAGTACTTCTGCGTACTATCTCTTGGAATGGGTCGTCTCTTTTAAATTACGTTTAGTACTTTTGTCCTCTCTAGAAAGTGACAGACAAAAGTACTATTACAACGCCAACGCTATGGACGAAGATTGAATATGAACTCCATGAGTTCCGGTTTTGTTCTTAACGAACTTCCACAAACAAACATATCCGGAAACCATTGACAACTGACCGTAGTCATCATGTGTATATCATCTCTAATAGATGCAACATTCAGCATCAGTTCACTGACTTACTGTAGCTCTTACGCCAACGGATCAAATCTCTCTCATTCTCGGCATTCCAAGCCTCATCGCAACAATCCTAGGAGTAATCATCAGCTACAAAAGCTTTAAACAATTCCAAGCTCTATGTAAGCATATCTAGTAAACAATCATGGCTCTTATAAAAGAGGCTTATATGAATTTCCAGCCCAAAAACCGACTCTCTTGCCCGTACACAAGCAAGCCTCTCGCTTAAAAACTCAGCGCAGCGATAGATCGGACAGGACAGCAAAAAACCATGTCAACAACGCATAAATCGGACAAAAAGACTACAAAAAATTGTCGCACATACACATCTCCAGTAGAAAAAAATGGCAAGACTTACACAACCCTTTCGGATTGCTGCTTGTTAACTCCCAATAGTGGATGCCAAAGCACCCTTCTCGCTCTCCGCTACCTCCCAATCTATCCGAAGAATTAAAGACCGGGTACAACAAAGCCACTTCGAGTTAACCAGAGCAGCAGGGGCAGTAGGTAGAATTTTCAAGCTTCTTAACTATTGGTTGGTGCAAATGTTGCAATTCGTAATTATATACGTTAAAGGTGAGGTTGGTGAATGTGGTGGGTCCAAGGGTGGCAGGCGCTTTTTAGACGAAGGTGAAGGTGATGATGTTAAATATGGTAGAGGAATTGCGGTTCCTCAACATCGGACTTTGTGGACGGTGAAGAGAAGTTGATATGGTCAACTCCGATGCGACTATTGGCGTGTTAATAAACTTCTGTCATCCCTCTCCTACGAAAGTAGACATATGAGAACCACGCGTAACAAAGAAGCGGCCATGTACAACGTGATAGAACCCCAAAAGAGTTAGCAAACGAACCAAACATGGAGAAATTTCCACTCTGTCGAATTAAGCTACTAACTCCCGTGAGGTAGCAGATGCATTTCGAAAAGGAAAAAGGCACACGATGTGATTATTTTGAAAGGTCCAATCGATGAACCCTCGAGTCAAACACACAACAAACTTCCACGAGTTACCCTCGAACTGCTTAAACAAATCATGACCGACTCGGACATGAGTTGAGTGGAGTTGAAATAGTAACCTGAGTTGAGTTGAATTTATTTGAGTAGTATACCATATCTGATCCAACTCAACACAACTCATTTTTGAAATGGTTCAAACGGGTCGAGCTTATTTCTCGATCCAAGAGTGTTTTTAAAGCTCTGCTGCATTCATGCTCTGGTGGGTGTGTTTGCTGGAAGAGAAACAGTACTACTGGCAATCGAGGAGGAGTGTTGTTGACAGTTCTGTTCTTATCATCTCCATGGTAATGCGGTGCTTTACAAGGTTTATATGGTCAGATGATTACGGGTTACATGCCAATTGGACGACAGAGCGACACGAGATCCTCTGATTCGTCCAAGAAGCCTGTTATCTGTTCATCTCTCTTACGTACCGACCCCGAAACCACTGCATTACCATAGAGGAGTTATCCGGTGGCCCTGTGGCGATTCAGAAAAAATTCTAGATCACTTTCACAAAAGACACATGGGAAAGAAGAATGAAAGAAGGTCCTGAGAGATGGCAATGTTACCAAAGATGTCTTGCCTGAACTCTATAATCTTAGTGTAAACATACCTGCTGTTGTGATGAAGGTGATACCGCTTGCTAATCTTCGACGCAGTCTGGCAGGATCAACTCCATATGGATTCTTTGGTCCGGGATGTAGGGCTTTGATAATCGATTGTCGGTTCAGATTTTGATTCTTGAATGAAGATATTTCCCGTGTGAGCTGCGACAGCCCCCTAAATGGGTGATACGTCCTTTTCTCGTAGACTAAGCTTTTGATTACCTGAGGCCTTTCACCATTACGACACCTACAACAAGTCAATGGACCCACATTACGAGGGAATAAAGACTCACCCCGTCCTTCACAGTTTCACTCCCAGCAATTCCGGAATCAATAAAATCAGACGCTATCTGCGCTTCAATAGCGTTTCAATAAAGTACACTAGCTCAGATTCCCAGGAATGGAACACTCCCCTATTCCATCCGGCAAAATCCCAATATCCCTCACCCCAAAATGGTTAATGGTCTCGTGTGCAAGCCATAGCGCTATCTTAGCAGGGAAGTGTACCAAGCTTTTCAAAGCCGTCGCTTAAAAGCTTGTCTATAGACTTGTCCTCTTTCCCGGAGCTGACGTGGCTGGGCATGGGTTTGGAAAACCATGAGCCGTTGTCGAATGAGGTGTTTGATGTTCTTCCGGATAGTGTCCGCTAAGGGAAAGGGGGATGCGTTTGTGGGGATGCGTGCGACGACGATGTGGACGGATGTGGCAGGAATGAGGTTGCGTCGGGCTTGTGGGAGGTGGGCTGAGGTGGGCTGATAAGGACAGGTTGATGGCCGTTTGCGTGGTTGGGATTGTTTGGAGTTCAGGCGAACGATTCAACAACGGATCGACCAAGAGGGTATGGAATCAATGAGGAGGAAATGGCCGACCTTGGAGCCGCAGTGAGCTTTTGAATGTTGGTTGGTCCACATGAGTGCGAGGTGTTTGTGTTTCAGAAGGAGCCAAGACCGGTAAGGTTACGGCCTGCAGTAGGGCGTTCGAACGATGGCTGATGAAGTTGGAGTCGGATAAGTCTCCCGACAGGCTAGATGTCGATATAGTTTCTTATATTGCATTTATTGTGCCGGATAGATCTGCGAGATCTTTACTATATCTGTGGAATCGGTCTAGAAGTCACACGAGCATCCCACACACCTTTTGAAGTACTGCTCTTTTACTTGGTAACAATCCTCGCTTACTGTAATCATCCTCAAGCAAACAGATGTGTCGTATCTCTGACTGTCATGAGCTTGAATCTCTCATAAGCTTAAGGTACGAATAAGCGCAGCGATGTTGGAACTTGAACGATTCGGGCAACAGCCACAAACTCTGTAACCGTCTGGATTCTTGTCTTCGTCATCAACTCTGATTTGTGGACGGCAATCCATCTTTGGAAAATCTTCCTTCCCCAGTTCCTGCGCGGCACGGTTGCAGACTCGCAGTGCTGATTGCTGCGAGGAGCCGCCCAGCCCGTGGCGTTCATCACTTGGCGAGTCGTCAATTTCAGGGGTTTGCTCGGTGGACAGCTCAACATTCGTAAAATAATACCCCAGAAACTATTCCCGTACCAAAGTAAGCATTTCCTTGAGAATGGATAGTGTAGACCGGATATATCCAGAAAGAGGAATGCCGCTACGGGTATGAAATTCTAGGCGCATTTTGACGTTGTGTCTATGCTTCATTCCAGACTCGACTTTCTTTCCTGATAGTTTTCGCCAGAGGAAGCATTTTAAAGCTCATTATTATAGAGACAAAGTAAATTTTCCAGATCTGTCGGATACTGCGTTATATCTGCAAACTTTTTATCAATATTACTGTTTAGGTGATTAGGATCTGTTAGAATCTTCCTAAATTGGTGGTTGCATAGACCACAAGTGCCTTTTTTTCGTACCAGAATTTGCTAGGAACCATGCACCCGCACAGGTATAATATACAGCGGATAGATATACATGGACAGGTATACAAGGATCTTAACCCATAAAGAGGAATACTATCGAGGTTACTATTTTGACACCTTTATGGTTGCCCAACGCCATCCAACGTGCTTCTGACAGGGGCGAAGTACAGGGTGGGGACCCGCCAAACTAACAAACATGCCCCATGTGCAGGTGTTGGAGGACGCGTGCTGACTTCCTCCCTTGCAGCCATATAGATATCCTGCCGACTCCAACCAGTTTTCTTACCTTTTCTTCGAAATTTCACGTTTTTCGTTTCTCACAATTGTATATTTCGTTTCTAAACTGTCATATTTTCCAACGCTTCTAACATCCAATAAATATCGGACGCCTCCGTCCATTGACTCCGGTTGCTTGGACCTCACGATAAGCATCAATAAATATATCCAACATCATCACAAATCACGTTTTGCGGCTGAATATAAACGCCGGGCTGGTATCTGTGATACGAAGACAGGATCTTGAGGGTGGTCGTAGGATAAAGGACGGGAGGAGACATATCGGGTTACGCATCGACCGTAGCACAACATGCGTCTCTCGTGGCTGATAACGTTACCGGCGGTGTTGTCGGTGGCATCGGCTTTGATGGTTGAGAAACGTGATGCGGATTTCCTAAGTGTACGGACAAAACAGCGGAAGGATATGAGTGGCAAACGGGGGGATAGAAAGGATAAATATTTTCGTAAGTGCTGAAAAATAGGAACCAAAAAGGAAACTGAAGATCATTGGACAAATAATTAACGACCGTACAGACGAAAGCACGTACGTTATTACTTACCAGACTTGTGTTGATTCAGTGATGACAATTGGAATTGACAATTAATAGGTTCCACCCTCATTACGATGGAAGATTCGCCGAGAAGCAGTTACCATATCATGAGCGGAGAGTAGCATTATCAAATCTCATCCAGACCTACCTAGCAACAATGAACGACTTAGGAGTAGAAACATGGTTAATGCACGGCACTCTCCTCGGCTGGTGGTGGAATCGAAAAGTATGCATCACTCTCACTCGCGTTTCTGTCTCAAAACTGACCAGCTTCCCAGATTCTGCCCTGGGACTCGGATTCCGACGTCCAGATGTCTGAGAAGTCGATGACATATCTAGCCACCTTTTACAACATGACCGTCTTTCACTATAAGACGCCTAGAATTCCAGATGGAAGAGATTACATGCTTGAGATAAATCCGCATTACGTAAACCGGGAACAAACTGACAAGATGAACGTTATCGACGCAAGATGGATTGATACATCCAGTGGTTTATTCATTGACATGACCACGGCACGATACAACTACACACATCCAGCGGGCGAAGGAATGTTGTCTTGTAAAGACGGACATGAATATCGAGTACGTCTCTTCCTCTCGTCTCCCAACTATCCTAACAAAATATACTAGGACACATACATATTTCCACTCCGCGACACATATTTTGAGGGTACGCCCGCCAAGATCCCTTTTGCGTACAAGGAAGTCCTCGAAGCCGAGTACGGACCGAAATCTTTGACTCTTAAGGATTATGCGGATCATCGATTCGACGACCAGAAGCTGGAATGGATTCCTATGCCGAAACCGCTGAAGAAACCAGAGGATCAGAAAGTTATCACTCCGCCGAAGAAGGTTGAAGAGAAGAAAGTGGAGGTGAAGAAGCCGGAGGAGAAGAAGCCAGAAGAGAAGAAGCCAGAAGAGAAGAAGCCAGAAGAGAAGAAGCCAGAAGAGAAGAAGCCAGAAGAGAAGAAGCCAGAAGAGAAGAAGCCGGAGGTCAAGAAGGCCGAAGAGAAGAAGGTCGAGGAGAAGAAACCCGAACAGGCCGCCCAAAAAGAGGCTCAAACAACACTAGCGACGAAAACTCGAGCTGCTATCCTGAAAGTACGAGAATCGTCACCTCCGACCGTAAACCCACCTTCTCCGCCACCTAAGATATAAACAATGCGCGAGATAGAAGCTCTTCGTTCAAAATTAAAAATAGCAAGGAGTTTGATGCGATGTATATACCGAAGGTGTTTAGCGATTTCGAGCATGCATTTTCTGGTGGTCTAGAGCGGGCTACTTGTCCATCAGTTGGCGTTAGGGTTTTCGAAATATTGCGCGCGAGTTTTCGCAGCTACTGCATGTCTGTGTATATTCACGAGAAGATTGTGTGAAGGTTGGCTGTGGTGTAGAGGATGATGTATGCCAAGGGGAATGGGTTAGGAGTTGTTAGTAGACGGATCGATCTATTGAATCGAGACTACTTCCCGACTACTTGTATAGGTTGAATTCGCGGGATGAGGTAAGAGATGTACCATACCACCGGATCAAATGGATTAATACACAACCCGACTTCACCTTTCACTATCACTTATTTCCACTCCACGACCACAAACCAAACTATTCTGTCATCACCCATACTCATATACCCAGCTACTCCGTTCCACACAGCACCTCTACCATCCACACACATTCAACCGGCTGCTCTATTCCACCTCCACCACCAACATCTAGTCTTTTGCTCAACCTCCCAACTCACACCAACTTCCGCCCATCATCCACACCACAATGCCCACCCTCCACACCTGGTACACCGCCCACAAATCCCAACGTCTCACCCGCCAGCACGAAAAAGAAAAACACGAACTCAACGCGCGCCTAGTAAAATTCCACAATAACCCAGTGGTGCTGGCGAAAAAGAGTAATGAGGTCGCGGGAAAATGGGCTAAGCTTTCTGGGAGGCCGGTTATTGTGAGTAGGTTTGTGTTGATGAGGAGGTAGTGAGGATGTTTTGGGGGGGATGGGTGGGGGAGATGAGATCTCACTTGGTAGTGAGTTGTTAGGCAATGGATGTAGGGCCTTAACCCTATGAAGTTCGGAGGAGGGAGTAGCAGCCTGAACCAGATCCTCAAGTTGGTCAAATATACCCTCCGGAATAGCCTCTGCCAATTGAGTTAGAAGTACCATATGTTTAAGGGATGGGATTGAGGGTTATGGGGTGGTGAGTTTGGGTTTCACGAGGTGTTTTGTATAGAGGGTTGGGCGAGATTGGTGAGGACTTGGATATGGGATGGAACCTTGAAGGACGGTGGTGAGATGTGTATTTGGCTAGGCTGTTGAGATGAGGTAGCATGTGAGGAAAGGGCTAGTATGAGGATTGCTAGTAGATGAACATAATAGTTGACCAAGATGGATTGTACACTTAAACCCTCTTAGGACCTCAGTACATACAAGTGAATTACCACACACCACCCCCTCACCATTCACCACCACATAACCCAACCACACGCCTCCACATCAACCCTTCCCCCATCAGCCTTTCCCTCCATTGCCGTTCCCATTCAAATATCCCCTCCTTTACCTCAACAATCCACACGAAGTTCCAACCCACCACACCACAAATCATGTCCCTCAAAACCCTCTATACAACCCACCTAACCAAGCGCCGCGCGCGCAACCTCGAGCGACAGAAACACGAACTCAAAGCGCGGCTCGTCAAGTTCCACAACAAACCGTCGCTGCTGATAAAGAGAAGCAATGTCGCGGTAGACAAGTTGGCTAGTGTTGTTACTAGGGGATATCGCTGATGTTTTGATGGAAAGTGGGGAATCGGGGAGGGATCAGGGGATTGGGTTGCTAAGATGATGGGGGATGTGGTGGTTTTGAGTTTTAGATGTTTGTGTGTTGTGTGGGAAGACTGTGGTGATTTGGATATTTTGGATGGGAGTTTTGTGGTGAGAGGTACGATTTGGCTGAGCTGTTGAGATGGCGTGGTGTGTAGTGAGGAACGGACTCGTGTAAAGGATTTATACAAAAGACAGCTTTTGAAGGGAACTGTGCTCTTGAAAGACCGTCACGCCGAACATTAGGATGGAAGAGACAGACCTTAACACAAATAGAGGTACGGTGGAAGCGGTTAGTTGTAATGAGGTCACTTATTGAGGGGGCTCTAATAAAGTCAAGACACTTGTTTATGACTTCAACAGAGTAATATACAATAAACTACACCTACAAAACAGAACTCTTGATCGCAAACCAAACAGCATCAGTAGCGGCTCCTACTCCCACCTCTCAGATTCTCCTTCCACAAACAGCAGATGCCCCGCCCCTCACACCATTTCTTCACAATTTTAGGTTCGACCTCGCCGTCCCACCCAACATTTCCCAAGGCTCCAGTGTTCAACCATACCGTCAGATCCTCCAAAACGATAGGGTCATAAAGCAAAATCTTCTCGTACCATGTTGGCTTACTCGGATCCTTGGTTGGGGGTAAAGATTTTATGGCTCGAGTTATGTGTTTGAATAGGGATTCTTGTGATTCTTGTGATTCTTGCGAGGATGCGGGAAGGACATCAGTCGTGGAGAATGAGGGCGAAAGTTGCAAGGCCCGAGGAGGCGATCTGATCTGCGAGGGTCGACGCCGTGGTGGTGAGTGAGTTAGCTGCGGTTCCGAGTCGTATATATCGTCAGCAGTTTTCTTTTTTGTTCTCCCTGTGGGCTTTTTGGGTGATTTATTCAATTTTCGAACTTGTGATAAAGGTACATCACTATCATCACTGTGGTCCGCATCAGCTTTCTTTCGTCCTCCCACTGTTTTCTTTAGTTTAGTCGGTGAAGTCGGGATATCCGACGTAGTATCCTTCTTTGGCCGACCTTTTCCCTTTGGAGATTTTGGCTCTGGATGAACTTCCTCCTTATCTTTATTAGACTTTGCAGAAGGCTTCGTATTGGTAGTCAAACTTCCTAAAGCAGTCCTAGCATGCTGACCTTCCCAACATTTTTCAAGAACAGCAATCATAGAATCACGACTCTTGATCGGCTTAAAATGGTAAGATGCGATCTGCTTCTGCAGCTGGAACATTGTATAAGCTCCAAAATCCGGCATTTGATCCCCAGACGCCTTGCCTTTCTTTGCAACTGGATTGACTGTGGGCGCAGCCTTAACTCCTGTTTGTGTCGAACGCTTTGGAGATTTTGTTTTGGTGGGCGACAAGATAGCCGGGCTACCTTGCAATTGTAGTCTAATAGCAGCTTCGACCGGGCCAGGCTTAGATGAAGTTCCTAGAACATGCTCTGGAATTGTTTCCTTGACACTGTTATCTGCTTCAACATCATGCCAAACATCATCAATCGGAGCCGTGGTAGCGGGTACTCTCGGTGGAGTTTGCTGCCGTATAACAGTTGGAGAATCTGTTATATCAACCATCTCCACATCAAGCAGAGAACCAGCTGCATCGCGAGCACCAGCAGACCAAAGACCACCTTTCTTAGAAGACAATCGCAACCTTCCACGAGGTGCGACAGCTGATGGCTCATCAACGACATCTTTGAAAGGATCATCGAATGGGTCTTCGAACATAACATTTGATGCTTGCATGGCTTCATGCAAATCTCGCAGATAAGTAGGAGATTCTTCTCTAGCAAGTTGGCTCGAAGTGCCAAATATAAAGTCTTGGTGTTGGGCTTGTTTCATAGCGGACTCTGGGGATAACAAGATCGGTGCTTGAGCGCTACTGCCTTTCTTGACTCTTTTCAATGGACTCTTCGAGCGGAGTTTCGCAGGACCATTGATTCCGCCTTTTGTGCTTCGCTCTGTTGTCTGGTATGAGAAGTATTGAAGCAGAGGAGCGGGTTGCGACTCGACCTCAACGACTTTCTCTTCGTTGAATGCAGATGTGGCCAGATCTGTAATGGTCCTAGCCTTTTTCTTGGGCGCTTTAGTTTTCGGGGTTGCTGCTTCAGCGGGCGCATTCGTAGCAGTAGCATTCATACTTACCAACTCTAGAAGTTTGCGCTTCCGGACGACACCGGTCTCTTTTGACTGCTTTGTTGTCATGGAATTGGTCGTCTCAATGTTTGTGAACCCGAAACTCCCAAGCAAGTTGCTGAAGCTATTCGACGTGGAAGAATCTGACCCAGGAGACCTCGCCGTAAGATCACCTGCAATGGAGCCAGCATTTTGCAACCCAGTGATTGAAGACTTATGCGGAGGGGACCAATTGGCTTTTCTTTTGACAGCCTTTACTAAACCATAATCAACACATTCTGCCTCAATATTTAAAGACTCCTGAATGACTGTTTGTTTGCTGCCAGATTTTTCGGGTTTAGTTGATGCTTTTGTTACTGAGCCTGATAACTTCGTCTGCAGATCTTCCGGTGTCTTTTTGGCCCTCGACTTTCTGGGTTTCTTTTCCTTGACGATTGAGCCGTCTCCGTTCTCGAGGTCAACCACTGCATCGTTTGCCTTCTTCCGTGGTTTTGATTCTCCATTTAAGTCTGCCTTTTTCGCCCGAGGTTTCTTTACTTTCTGCTCTTCTAGAGGTTCTTTCGGGACTTGTGATTTCTTGGTCGCAGTTTTCTTGGGAGCAGCCGATAGCTTTTCGTCGCTTATTTTACTCGTCGATGTGGAGTGATTCTTCGCTCGAGGCTTTGCGACCACTTTAGTCGGTACTTTGGTTGCAAGCTTATCCTCCTTGACAGTGCTCACTACTCGACTGGGATCTAAATTTCGCAGATCTAATTGAGAGACTTTGACGAAACCAGGCGTATTATCAATCGGGCTAAACAAATTGGCAGACGCAGCAATAGAGTCGCGTTTAGCGATGATCTTTGGAACCTTCTTTTGGTAGAGTTCGCTTGGAGCTGGAAGCGGCGACGAGGACATGGCGAAGGATTGCTTAAGCGGAGAGGAAGGAATCCTAAAAATATCGGTAGAAGCCATTCTTGACATCAGACGCAAGGCGCACTTGGAGAGGATGGACGGACCCAACGCCGTCGTGCCTGCCGTGAGTTACATATCTAGAGCGATTATGATCGTAGAAGGTTATGCGAGTGTTTACTTGCAATGGCGACCTTGTTGTCCGTCAGTTTGCAGACGCACGGTCGTGCCGCCAAAACACGTGAGCCTCGACAGTTGAAGAACACTCGCTTATGCGACACTAGCTTCTCCCACACAAATTATCACCGACGTCGAGCTTCACGAAGATTTGCGCAAATCCACGAATTTCTAAAAGCCCCTCCACACCTCACGTCAACGTCAAAAATCCGCCAAAATGGAGAACGATAAGGGAGAACTCGTCGATCTGTATGTGCTGAGCAAACCACGATTTTCTATCGAATACAAGGAGAAGCGCTGACTGTCAATCTCACAGTTACGTCCCAAGAAAGTGCAGCGCAACCAACCGCATCATCAAAGCCAAGGATCACGCCTCAGTCCAGATTTCTGTCGGAAAGGTTGACGAGAACGGCCGTCTTACCGGAGAGAGCCAAGTCTACGCACTATGTGGTTTCGTACGAGCAATGGGAGAGAGTGACGATTCTTTGAACCGATTGGCACAACGTGATGGACTCTTGAAGAACGTTTGGAGCGGAAGCAGCCAACGATAAACGCATAATGGAGGAGTTACTTCTGGTAAACACGATACGAGTCCGCTACCAGGAACAACAAGCTGACCTTTCGATTTACAGATTTGCTGTTTGGGTTTGGGTTAGCTCTGGGTTTGAGCAGCGAAAACGCTTGCTTCGGGGAGAATATGGGCTGGATTGGCATTGCTAAGATAGTCACTCTCCAAATGTGACAACAAATTCTACGACTATTCCCAATCTCGACTTTTGTGTTCATGTGGTGTGATATCCCGGATCCCTACGCAGTTTCCTTCGATCGTATAGACGGCTCTTCGAAACTCCTCGTTCCCACTCCCGGGTGACACTCTTTGTTCGAGGAGCCAGAATGCTATTTTAATAGCTGTCGAGCCGGAGAAGGACATATAATGCTGGCCTTCTGAAGAGCTGTGACGTTAGAGCATCTCGTCAGAGCACAGATACGGGCCGGACATGAACTTTTAGTATCAATATCATGCCTCTTGAGGGAGCCTACGATTTTAATATCTGAACGATATAACCTCCCTAGCCGATTGGCAAGCAACCTGATATACGGTAGGTGGTCCTAGGATTCCTTGCACTGGCGCCTGGAGCACAGTGATCACGCTGTAATAAATATCTTTGCCAGTCGTTTGGTACAACATCCGCGGCAACCCTTTCGTACCCAGGTATAGATATCGACACCGCATTGTCTTGTTTTGCAGGATACGGTCATCGACACTTCATACCAGTAACGATGTCTGTCAGTCAGTATTTACCTACTTACATACTCGCTTCTTCGACATATAGGCGTGGCTAACACAAATCAATTTACCACTGACTGAGCAGTCACTCTGGCATCAAGTAATATCCCCAGTAAGCGAGCGCTGATGGTTAGTACCGCTACAACAGCATATGGCAGCTCCAGAGAGGGAAGGTCTCTCCATTCGATGCTGCTGCATTCTGTTACAGATATTTTCATGACACGAAATGAACCTCCAAAGAAGAACAACCTGTTTTTTATAATAATTTGTCCATACCTGTATTAAGAACTAACGCAACCTCTATAGGATATTGATATAGGATGAATATAGACTTTAGGTGGGGTGCTACTTGCAGGACTGGCCTTGGCTGTTTGGCTGAAAGGGAGGGCACAGATCAAGCAGGGTTCCAGGCACAAGCGCGATCTAGGATCTGCGCCAAGAGATCTGACCCTTCCTCGATCGCAATGTCGCCGTCATGCAGGGTTCATTTCAAGCTCCAAAGATTCCTTCTTATTTTCTTTCAACTGAAGGATCTTTCATTTGATGTTCGCTGTTAGAGTATTGACAAAACCTCTTTCGAGTAACAGGATACTAAACGCGTCAAGTTTTTGTCGACAGATCCAATTCCCAATAAACCTTATATGGTCGCGAACCGATACATTTTCCATCTCAAGCAAGCTCAGCATGCCTGCCAAAAAGGTCGCCACGAAAGGTAGCAAACGGAAAGCTACGATATCTCCAGAAGCAGAAGCCATAACGAATGGTTTCTCGAAGAAACCAAAGATCACCAATGGGTCTACTGATCCTCTCCGCAAACCACATCACTCAGCGCAAGAAGCCGAAGACAATGGTATCGTTTTGCGAAAGTACTATCCTCACGAAATGTCGAATGCGCGCGCGATAGCATACAACAATAACGAGCTTCCACGTCCGATCGAGCTTCTCGAGTCAGCTCTGGAGGAGACAAAATCAGAAAGAGCAAAGATAGAAGTCAAGGGAGCCGTGGTACACTGGTACAAATGCGATTTGAGGACGCAAGATAATAAAGCGCTACATCTGGCGAGTGAGAAGGCAAAGGAGAAAGGAGTACCACTTATTGCAATGTACATCATTAGCCCGCAAGATTTTGAAGCGCATTTGACAGCTCCAGTGAGAGTTGATTTTATTTTACGCAACTTGCAAGTGTTGAAGGAGGATCTGGGAAAACTCGATATTCCGCTGCATGTTGAGACGGTAGAAAAGCGCAAAGCTATACCAGGGAGGGTTTTGGAGCTTCTCAAGGAATGGGATGCCAGCCATCTATTTGCCAATACCGAATATGAAGTTGATGAGTTACGAAGAGAAGCGAAATTGGTTCATTCGCTTCTAGACAATGATATTTCATTTGAGGTAACACCAGACACCTGTGTTGTTAGTCCCGGTGAGCTTAGTAGCGGAACTGGAAAGCAGTATTCGGTATATTCTCCATGGTATCGAGCTTGGGTAGCATATGTCCACAGCCATCCAGATGTACTGGACCTCTTCGGACCTCCCAGCAAAAATCCGCCAGTCGCTCGAGAACGATTCTCCCAAATCTTCGAAAGCACTACTATCCCATCAGCACCAGCCAACAAATCTATCACCCCCGAGGAAAAGAAAAGATTCAAATCCCTGTGGCCAGCCGGCGAGCACGAAGCACACTCACGACTCCAAAGATTCTGCACCGAAAGAATAAAAGCCTACGCCGACAACCGCAACTTCCCCTCTGAAACCGCAACCTCATCGCTCTCTGCCCATTACGCAGCAGGCACTCTATCGGCGCGAACCGCAATCCACACCGCCCGCTCTCACAACACCAGCAAATCTCTGAATGCCGGCATCCAAGGAATTCAAACATGGATTTCCGAAGTCGCCTGGCGCGACTTCTACAAACACGTCCTCGCGCACTGGCCGTACGTCTGCATGAACAAACCCTTCAAACCCGAATACACAAACATCAATTGGGAATACGACGACGCAAATTTCACAGCCTGGTGTACCGGACAAACAGGCTACCCGATCGTCGACGCCGCGATGCGCCAGCTCAATCACATGGGCTACATGCACAACCGGTGCCGTATGATCACGGCCTCGTTCCTCGCGAAACACCTGCTCATCGACTGGCGCATGGGCGAGAAGTACTTTATGGAACACCTCATTGACGGTGATTTCGCGAGCAACAACGGGGGGTGGGGGTTTAGCGCGAGTACGGGCGTAGATCCACAGCCATATTTTAGGATCTTTAATCCGCTGTTGCAGAGTGAGAAGTTTGATGGTGCGGGGACGTATATTAGGAAGTGGGTGCCGGAGTTGGAGGGCGTGGAGGGGAAGGCGGTGCATGATCCGTATGAGAGGGGTGCTGGGAAGGTGGTCGAGAAAAGGGGGTATCCCAGGCCGGTGGTGGTTCATAAGGAGAGTCGAGAGAGATGCCTAGCGAGGTATAAAGAGGGGTTGGGGAGAGAAACCTCATGATGTGTGTTGATGGCTAATGAGTGCGTAAGTATGAAAAGAGTTTGTTTGGTTACGAGTACGATTACCAATGAACGGATGGTCTGAAGTTTGTTACGCGAATGCTTGTAATATTAATTGTTAAATACCATGGTATTTCTATTCCCCAATACATCGTAATCTATCGTACGTAATTCGTTAATCATTAATCCCTTCCTATGCCTTCATCAAGAACTCAATATCATGAGCTCAATCCAAATCTAGCCTTGACCCTTCTAACTAACTCCCTCGCCATAGCATCTCTCCCCTCCATTGTCCTCTGCGCCGCCTCCTTGTTCTCGTTTGCCCTTCTGAGTAAATACTTCAAACACTCTCCACTAGTACCCCAGACCAGATACTTGTACGCCTTTGGAATATCTACATTGCTCTTCGCCGAATCGATCTTTCCGGCTTGTACCAACTCACAACTGATTTCGTCGGCCATTCCTTGAAGCTGGGCGTATACGAGGTCGGTTTGCTCTTCCCCGCGTTGGGCTTGAGTGGTACGAAGGTCTTGAATTTTGCGGACAGAGGTGTGGTTATGTCCTGCTAGGACGACGTTGACAGGTGGGAAGGTAGTTTCGCCCTTTTCAGCTTGGAGTGGTGGTCCATAGGCTCGTTTGGCAAGGGCAGCGGCGATTCCGTTGTAGGCGTTGTCAGTGTCGGCTTTTGTGTCGTGGATCAGATGTCTCGGATCGGATCCGAGATATGCGCCGCGAACTAATTTGACTCCAAGAGTGAGGTTTTCTTTGCGCGCAACTGCGAGGTGGGAAGCAAGAATAGAGGGGGTGGCTTTGAGATAGGCTTGGTACGTTCCGTAGACTACCGCTTTGCCAGGTGTCTTGCCGTTGTATTTGCGCATGTAATCTAATGTCCAGGAATCGATACCGGCTTGAATGGCTTGCTGTTCGGCATCGAAAAGTAGTCTGATACCGCGGGCTGAAGCCAAGTCGCAAATAGAGTCGATTGCTTCCTTGAGCGCTGGAGATGACGGCGCTTGTTGTTTGAGGTCATAAAGTGCTTGCGAGCCGGCGCCGGTGAACTTTAATGCGACAAAGTCTCCAGGACTGGCCAGCTTCACCGTCTCGAGCGATCCTTTCGCCCAAGGAATAATCTCTTTCCTTATGCATGCTTCTGCAAGTTCGTCTTTGCCGCAGGACTTGAGCTCGTCGGCTGCTGACTCTTCCATTACAACTTCTCTCGCATATCCGAGAATGACACCCTTGAATCCCAGATTCTTGAGGCCATCGATAGTCTGTCTAACTTCCTTAGGATTTTCTCCAGCGCAGAACTGACGGTAAAACGTGTGTTTGAGAACAAATCGGAGGATAGGATTCGAGTCGGGGTTGAGTACTGGATTGGTGGAGTGGGCGAGTTTCGCAGTTATGGCGAGAGAAATAGGAAACAAGAACTAGATATGTTGGTACAATTTCAAGGCAACGACCGTCCATTACTTACTGGTGATGAGGAAATCGAGGTGACCATCAATGACCTTAGGACGGAACTGAGGGGTAGAATTGAAAGTGGTGGGGGTTTTGGCATTTCGGTCTGGGTATCTGATGAAAGAGAGCTCGCTGGCAAAGAAAGGTTGGATGAAGAAGAGTCATGATTCTGAGCATATGATGATTGACGAGGTATTGTGCGAGAAGAAAGGTATCGAGGTGAAATATAAAGTGAGGTGAATGGTTTCCTGTTGTGTAATAGCAAGGACGTCGCCTTTGTTGACCCCGCCATTACGTGTGGAAGATGCGATAGCGATGCGTTGTAGATGAATTGAGACTTCGGTACAATGAAAAGAAATGCAAAAATGTTAACAAAGAATTGAGCAGCGCCGTATTTACGATTAAATATATGATCAATACTAACAATGAACCGACGTCGGCGGTGGTTTGGTGTTATCTGCGCTGGATGGGTTCCATTGTTTCGTTGCTGGTATCTCACTTAGTCGCATGGTTTTGGAGCTTATCTGGCTGTACCGACGGAAGCCGTTGGAGGTAATTGCTCGCCACGGCGCTTGGTGGGTTCCAGTCCGGACTGACAATTCACGCCCAGTACGAGTAATGTGACCATTCCACTTTGGGTCCAGGAGGTTGAGATGGAGGATGCAAGTGGTTCGCTCATACGACTCCACTTTGATCCAGCTGCTCCATCCTTTCGTTCTCGCGTCGGCTTCTACCAAGGACCAAATCGACATAAGCCGGCGGACGGCCCTTCGCAGTGGAAAGTGCATCTTGAACGAGACCATAAGCCAATCCGACGGCCAGTCCAGTCTTCGCCGTTCTCGCAGCGGTTGTAATTGGGAAGCGGTCTATGGTGATTAGCCACGGAAGGTGGGGGATTGTGAAGGAGGGGGGTATTGCATACTCCATAAACTAAACCCACCAGCCACCGACAGACTCGCAATAATCGTGTTGAAGCAGTCCCTGTTGCCTCTATATCGATCGAACATTTCCTCAATAGATAAGAATCCTGCTGTCCAGACACTGATCTTCGTTCCCATCTTGAGCCCCTCTCGAATCCCAGCAAAAGCCATGTGATAGTTTTTGCTCTTGTGGTAAAGATACCATCCAGTGCTCGAATTGGGCAATCGATGAGCATTTTCTGCTCGGAATCGAAATCCAGCTGATTGAGCGCCATATGATATGCCTAATCCAGCTCCTGCAAGAAATGACAACGAAGTCGCCAACATGAGTCTCATAGGGTATGGAAAGGAAAGCCGAGAATTGAGTCGGAGCTCCTTGATCTGCTCTTCTCTCCATTGAGCTCGTTTTTCTTTCTCCTGTCGATCCGCCTCTTGAATCTCTCTTTCTACTGGAGTCGACATGATGCGTCTGTATGTGATGATGGGTTGACGTTGGAACTGAGCAAGGCTGGGGATCAAGGGTGTCTCAGAATTTGACAGGGCAAACAAGCCAGGTTTGTGTCAGCTGATGAAGGGTCCAACTTGAGCGGCACATTTCTGAAGACAGAAGCATTCGGTATTGCTTTGGCTTTCACTGACACTAATTATTAGAAAGGAACTGGAAACTCTTTAGCCATAACAATGAATTGATCTCTGTCTTCTCTGCTGTTTGTTTTCCTGAATTCGTCGTGCTTCTGTTCTCCGTTTAGGTCCTCGCGCAGTCAGGTGATCTGGTGTTATCCCTGTCGCGTTTGTCCAGCCAAACTTTCGAAGCTTCAACAATTCCTGGTTGCCAACATCATATACTCCTCAACATGGTGAGCATTACCAATTCAATGCACTAATAACCTCTTGATGACTATCTACTAAGAAGTGCCTAGAGCGTCAATCATACCGCCCTGACCCTCCGCTTCAAATACGGCAAACACACCGTCCTCCTCCTCGCCGAACCTCTCACTCCCTTCGCAACCATAAAATCAGATCTCCTTAAGGTCCTACACGAGCGATATCCAGATGGAATCCCCAGGAACGATACAGGCGAGTCAATTACGATCCCAGCAGATGTCACGGACGTGATACTCGGCGTACCAAATGATGTCTATGACAATAGCAAGGGATGGTCAGAATTGAATGCAGATGCTGGGGGAGGAATCAAAGAAACACCAAAGAGCATGGGATTGAAAGAGGGTAGCATGCTTGCATTCTCATTTGTGCCGAGCACCGACGAAGAGACGCAGCCGGAGTTTTATGTGGAATTTAGCAATGTGGAGGAGTTATACCCTGAGGAGGAGTAAGAGGGAGGGAAGGAATATATGGATCGAGCATATCGCACGGCGTTTGGAGACTGGCGTATTGGGAAAGGGGCGAGCGGAAGAGCTTGAGTATGCTGCAATCTTCAATGGACAAAGAGTCAAAAAACTACACCTTTTGGTCTTAATGGCTGCTCTCGTAGTTTGCTCATCTCTATTTCAATTTTGAGGTTTGAAGAGCCCGGGCAAAGCTGTGTCATTGTCTCAGCGAATCTTCTTCTCCGCCTTCAAGCCCGGCGCTTTGCTCCCATCTGGCAGCACTCTCTCCGTCTTCCTAAAACTATAAAACACGAATGGATAAACAAGGTCACAAACTAGTCCCGTGCTCCAAAGGAACACTCCCAATGGAGACATAAAATACTCATGAGCCTCCCTCCAAAACAACCACATCCAAAAATAACAAACATCAAACGCAATGAAAGAACCCAATGTTCTCGTGGCCCTTCAAAACCGTCAGCAATGGATTCAAAGTCACGAGATCTTTCCAACTCACCATATCCCCCAACTTACACCTCCAGTATGCTGTCTCACCACCAATTGCGCTAAACAAGCCATCGATCCGTACGCTTGCGCAACCGCCGCACTCCAAAAAGCCAATTCCGTCATATCAGCCCCATCTCCCTTCCCCTCTTTCCTGCCAATCAAATTCTCAATCCAAAACCTCGAACTCACATAATGGAACCCACAACACCAAATCGTCATTACCAGCACTATCTTCCCCAGATTCCTCCCCACAAAGGGGGAATGTTTCCACTCCCGCTCTCCGTACTTGAATACTCCGATGAATAGAAATACATCCAGCACGCACCAGAGGGTGAACACCGCTTTTTCGAGGAATGAGGGCGCGACCATTAGGTAAATTAGTTCCCAGCCAAAGTTGAAAGCGAGCGCGAAGATAGGCATGCCATATGTTTTGGTCTTGAAGGAAACTCGGGTTGAGAGGATGTAGCATGCTGTCCAGAGGAGACCGCCAATTTGGAGTAGCGTGTTGGTTATGAGCATGTAGGAAGGAGGGACATGAGGTGGTGGTGTGTCTGAGGAGCCCATCTTGGGGTTGATATTCAGGTGTATGTAGGGAAGGTAAAAGGTAAGTGACTTGGAATTATTTCTTTCTGCCTTTTGGAATCGACTCGGTACACGCGGATATTCGGTTGGTGCTGTGCCTCAATCAATTTTACGCGCCCAGCTGTGGTAAGACGGTTATTTTCACGTCATCAAATTTCGAGGATATACACTGACAAACGTGGTGTAGCTCCGAACCATGGCAACATAACTTTTCCTCCTGTAGGCTCAATAGGACCCCCATGTCTTCAGGTTGCAATGTTTGAAGCAAAAACGATCCCTTTCAATTGCTTTCATCAGTCTCGACATGTATGAAAGTCGGGCAACCTTGGTTCAGAGGAGTGCCTGTCACTTGACTGAGAAAAGGCAATCATCAAATGGAATACCTGTCTCTTGAGGCTCTTTTCCACTCCAGAGAGAAACGTGTCGATCACACATCTACTTGTTATACAGTCAGTTTACTTCCTTTGCATGTCCTACAGCAGATCCTTTTTCTAAATAAACCACAGGAACTTTTACCACGCTCTCCTCCAATTGGAAAGAGCCTGTGTAACTGTCCGGTTATTCCTATCGTGCTGCATGCATAGACGCGCCGATGTCAGCCTCCTGTGCCATAGCCGCGAGTCGCTCATACTCAGCCTCTTGTACAACAAAATGTGGTGTAACAGACACCGTTTTCGGACTTGCACTACCACCTCCTACAATCAATTACGTTTCATCAGAGCCTCATTTGTGATGGCTTATAGATCTTTTGACTCTTGCAGGGTAACACGTCCCGCAAAGTTATGGTTTGGGGGCAGATTGAACCTAAAGGGCCGTTTCAATCTCCAGGAGTTAATTAGATTTTCCCATTAGGGTGAGCTGTCGACTTTAGTCCAAATGGGGGCGAGTATAAAACCAGCGGGTTCTGTTCCTCTATAGAAAACAATTGAATCTTCTACATCCAAGCGGCAATTGGATTTTTGTATTAACACAGTTACCCACAAAGCCCAACGACCTTCCGAAGCGTTGCTACAAATGAGTTAGAAATCATTAGTTCATCTTTCTCGAATTCATGATGGCAGGAGGGTTAGGTGAAGCAGCAAGTATCGCTGGCCTGATCAGTCTTGCTGGACAAACTATTCAAGCAACCTCAAAGCTCTACACATTCTGTCAGACTTATAAAAACATCAACGCTCGGTTGGAACAGACCAGGATAGAGATTCAAGGCCTACGGATTATCCTACAGCAAACCGAAACGATTACTAGTGATGCAACTGCGAGTACTTTGGTATCTTCCGATATAGTAGCGAATTTGAAAGCTCGAATCACCGACTGTCGAACCGATTTGGAGAATTGGACTCAGAAAGTGGACTCCTTCGGCTTAGATGAAGCCCAACGTGCGAAGCGGATTTTGACAAAGATCAAGTTATCTGTAAACAAAGCCTTCTTTGCGATGATTCGAGAGCAACTGTGTTTTCACAGAACGCAGATTGATTTATCTTTAGGACTACTTGGGCTGTGAGTATGGAACCCTCAATGTCGATATTTAGCTAACAAGTGATATTCACAGTGGTGTTGGCTTGCACTGTAACCTCCAATCGAGAGCTGCTAAAGATGGTATTGACGCTTTACAAACAAAGCAGAACACGTTCCAAGTTGGAACCTTTGGGCGCCTAGATACTGTCGGAGAAGATGTGCGTCGATTTCGATCAACCCAATCGGCCTCGGTTGAAGTAATGCACGACATGATTGCAGGTATTCATCAATCCTACAAAAGTAATGCAGGTGTTTCCAAAGCATCTATTGATGCCATTGACGCGCGACTAAATATGATCCAGGAGCAGCTCCAAAGCTCCATCGATCAATCTCAATCATCAATAAACCGTCATCGCTTCAACAACCCTCAAAAGCCTCTCAGAGGATCTACTTCATACGGAGCCCGTAAATTCGACCCCGCTAGTTTCACACCTGGTGAAGTGTCACATCTCTCGCTGCCGCCATCGCCGGTCTTACATCCGCTACGTATCATCAAGCCTGGTCTTTTGCTGCAGGACAAGAAAGGTCGGTTGACAGTTGAATTGGTCGCTCTAGACGAACCTCAATATAGGCTGGCTGATATCAACCAGAAGATTGCGTTGATCGAACACGTTAAAGGCCTTCGGCTCATCATCTGGCTCCTACAAAAACGAAATTTCTTTCCAGAGGTAGAACTCTCTTCAAGAAGGATCGCGGCATCTAATTTCGCTTTAGAAGCGTCGCTGGCTTGGAAATGGAAGCTTCCTGATGCTTTCTCTACTCCAAAGCCTAATCTGAAAGAATATAATATTTGCATCAACATCGACACAGTCATTCCATGGACTCGCCACAGACCACGGCTTCAATATATTTTCGATCAGATTGAAGGAAGACGAAATCGTGGCGGTTGCCCCTGCTTGATAACGGAAAAACTCCTCCGTCGCTGGTCGCGATTTCCTGTGTCTGAAGAGAGGAAGCATGGGTCCTACTTAATGAGATTGCCATCGTCAATATTGAAAAGCCTAATGTTGTCGGTGCCGGGTTCTAGATACAAGGCGTTGATGATGTCTTGTGGAGCTGGCTTTTTGCCAAAAGCAGAGGAGTGGGGACAAGGAATATCAGAAGAAGGAATTCAGTCTTTACAACCACGAGAAGGGGTTCACGCCGCCTGGTAAGCTTGTGCGTTCACTTCATATGGAGCACTTAGAGGTCGACTAAGAAGCTAGTAAGATATGAGACGATAATGGCTTGCATGAGACGAGTCTAAAGTAATAAGTAGACTTAGGATGTAATATGTAAAATTTGGATATAAAAGTAAGATCGTTTTTTGATCATGCCCAAGAGACAACCATGTTAGTGATATTTAATTGTGTCACATTGTCAAAGATACTCTAATTTCAATAATAATATGTCAAACACTTTGTTTTGTAATACTGTAATGGGAGGGAGAATACGTTATAGTTTGATTGTCTATAATTTCTGGATTGATTGGTTTACACTTCAATAATGAACTGGACTGGATCTGGGACTTGGCCAGCCTTTAATCAAACAATATCTCGTTAATTGATCTTGTTCCTGGATTAGAAAAGCAATTAAGTATGCTCCTGTACCTAGTCTTTTGAGTAATACGAAGAGGACTTTTTGATCTCCGAGTAACTGGAGTAGCTAAGCAGTGATTTTGGAATATTAGGCTCGCTTTCGTTACTGTCATTGACTAACTGTTTTCTTCTTGGATATCGTTAAATGAAATTTCACAATTACTAGAAATTCACTTAATCCAAAAATTTAAAGTTCGCAGTGTGTGGTAGTGGCTTAAATTATTCCGTACTGACCCAACCAACCAGGTGTATGTTTCTTCTTCCTCATTCTCCTGTCAGCCACCTCACAGCTATGGCAACGAACCAAATATCGTCCATGCTAGGAATAATACGATCGCTATTTCGGAAAAATTCATCTACACAACGACCCTTCCAAATCCTCTCCGATCTCCATCTGGAAGTGGGCCAACAATATTCTACTTTCAAAATCCCCGTCGCAGCACCGTACCTGATCCTCGCGGGTGACATAGGCCGCCTTATCGACTACGAACAGTACCTGTCATTTCTAGTACGCCAAACAAACAAATTCAAGATCGTCTTTCTCGTTCTCGGAAATCATGAGTTCTACGAATTGTCTTACGCCGCGGGATCCAACAAGCACAAAGACTTGAACGCGAGCCGGTGCTTAACTCAAAACTGGTCCTCCTCGACAAAAAGCGATTCGATATTCCCAACCCCAGAGTGACTATCTTAGGATGCACGTTATGGTCGAAAATCGCTACTGATGCTCGAGAAATCGTGCGCACACGCGTTAAGGACTTTCAGAACATCGAAAGCTGGAACATTGATGACCACAACGCGGCCCATGAATCAGATATATCATGGCTGCGAAATGAAATCAAGAGTATCGAAGAAGAGAACCAGCAAATCGAACACCCGTCATTAAAAAGACGGGTTCTAGTGGTTACGCATCATGCGCCTTGTTTACAGCAGACTTCCAGTCCTAGAAATGCTGAAAATCCATGGAGTTCGGCCTTTGCGACGGATTTGATTAGAGAGGAAAGTGCTGGGGAATGGAAGAATGTTAAGGCTTGGGTGTTTGGTCATACACAATTTACTACTGAGTTTACAAAGTGCGGGATTGTGGTTTCGAGTAATCAGAGGGGGTATGTGCTTCCTGGGAGAGAGGAAAAGAAAGCAAAAGGTTCAATTGAGGATAGGGAGGTGTTTCATGTTAAACGTGCAATTTCTGTCTAGAGAATCTAACGTGGTAGAAGGAAGGGATTCCTAGAACAATACCTCCTACATGGTGTAGTGTAATAAATTAGTAAACAATTCCAAGAAGAATAGTTTTCAAGATATAAAAACAAATCATGCTTCCAACTTACTACTCCGTTATCTGAAAAGATAGTCAAAGTTCCTTCTCTAGAATCTACAGTGTCACCAGCTAATCTGTACCTCGGTTCAGATTTCGCGGGGAAAGTTTGCCGAAACCTGGGGAAGACCAACGTCAATGAACCATTGACAGTTCAAGATGTAAGCTAATGTCTATCAACGCTGGTTGCGGCCGTTATACAAGGCAATTATTACGGAAGAGATTGTTTGCTCCCATTATCAGCGAACACGAGCCCACTAGTAACCTTCGAAATCAAATCTTCCACGTTCGAAGTGCTCCAGCTGGTCGAGGATACCGCTCCCTCCCAGGATTCGTGCAGAGCAGTACACAGGATCCAGGATATCGGCTTAGACTGTACGAGTGCAAAAGACCTAGAATGGCTCCTACGGCAAAGCCGGATCTTGAAAAGCAGTACATGTCCACGAAACCACCACCTAAAAAGCAACATGTAGAACCTCGACCGAGTTCAAGGTACCATTTCACTCCCTTCACTAGCAATCTAATAACTAACAAGGACCCAGTATCCTCCTCATATCACCCTCCAACGAAATCCTTCTCCTTTCCCGCGTGAAAACCTCTTCCTCCTTCGCCTCAGCGCATGTCTTTCCCGGTGGAAATCTTTCAGCGTCGCAAGATGGAGATATCCCACCCCCAGATCATGCCGCGAGACACATTGACGGACCGGCGTATAGGTTAGGTGCTATAAGAGAGTGTTTTGAGGAGAGCGGGCTGTTGCTTGCGAAAAAGAAGGGGGATGAGAGTGGGGTGTTACTTGAGGTTGGGGAAGCGGAGAGGGAGAGAGCTAGGAAGGAGATACATGGTGGGAAATTGAAGTTTGTGGATTGGGTTGAGGAATTGGGTGGGGTTGTTGATTCTGGTATGATTCCAAATTTGCAATTTATAAATTTTGAAATTGCATGTCGCGTCCAGCATCTATGCTCTACTACATCCAATCACCAAACTCAAACTATACCACATAAACTAACAAACCACAGACTCACTCCTCCCCTTCACTCGCTGGATCACCCCACCCAACCTCCCGAAACGCTTCACAACCCAGATGTACATCTACTTTCTCCCCCTAACCCAACCCTCCGTCTCCTCCACATCTTCAATCCCCATCCCCACCCACGACGGCGGAATCGAGCACACAACAGCCTCCTTCGCACCCTTCACCAAATGGCTAACCCTCGCCAACACCAACGAAATAATCCTCTTCCCACCCCAATACTACCTAATGACGCTCCTCGCCCCCCTCCTTACACCCTCATCCTCACATTCAGAACTCCAAGCACAGCGCCACTCTGTGCTTAAATTCCTAGAAGGAGACGGTGATGGAAAAGGTGTGAGGTGGGCGGACAAGGTGATGAGTCCGACGGGGTTGTTCATGAGGAAGAGTGATGGACGGAGTGTTTTGGCGCTCGATAAACCGGGGCCAGAGTTAGCTGGGAGTGGAAGGAGAGGAGACGAGGAACGTGTTGTGCTTGTGAAGTTTTCGAAGGAGGGACCGAGGAATGTGGAGGTTAGATTGAGGAGGGATGTTTTGAGTGAGGAGAGAGGTGCGAAGATATAGAATAGATGGACCCAATGCGTTCGCCCCAATAGCCTCCTTCTATTATTCGATCGCGACTAATACCACACACCCGGCCACGTAGCAGTCCAACCACCGCGTTCCAATCCAACAGTATATCGCCATTCAATCATGTTAATGAATTCCCTATCGACCCCTCTATCCGGTTCTACGACAGGTTGGTTCTTCGTCATACTCCGCTTGATCTTCAATTCTTGTCGTCTAGCTTTGCGGGATTGCCGATGTTTGGTGTACCATTTCATGAGACCCTTGAAAGGCATAGTGATGCGAGGTATGTGAGCGGTTGGATTTCGGTGTAGAACTTAATAGTGATGGGTTTTGTTTTGTTTTGTTTTGAGGAGGTGTTTAACGACGATATTTTGTGTTTCTGACAAGAATTGAGAGGTTTTAGAGGTTGGGTTCTATACGTGGGACCGTGTTGGCGTTTGAGTGATTGTTCGATGATAATTACTTATGTCCCTTTTGCTTTCTAGAGGAGTATAAATGAAGAATTTAGTAAACAAACAGCTGTGAGGCATTGGTTGTTCTAATGCTTTGAAGCATTCTCCGCTCGTGAACTATATCTCCCACTTCACTAGAGCTCAGTTCACCTAACGATTAATCGTTAGTCGTTTGTGGCTTCATATCTCATGTCACAACTCACAAGAAGCCTAGAACGTGCAAGCAAGCTTCCATAAATCATATAAAGGCTTGATGGTGAGATGTCTCGGCATGCTGCAGTTGTGGCTTTATGAAGCTTAGCGAGAAACCAAATAAGGGGTCTCCAGGCCGAAGAGAAGCTTCCAATCGAAGAATCCTGCGCATATTCATGATCAACAGCACAAAGAAAATGCTGCTTTCAAACTGTCTCGTCCAGAGCTACACCGATAAGACCAGCGTCTTAAAACTTCTCATTTATACAAAAACACCTATCTAACAGTATCATCCACACTACCCTTCCCAAACCTCCCAAAACCCCTCATATCCCTCCCAAAGAACTTGCCCAGACTCTTCAAATTCCCTTCTACCGCAGCCTTTGCATCATCCGTAAGCGGGCTCGCCGCGCCTACAGGTGTGCCCATCCTCTCCACTCCATCCCTCGCAGCACTGAAGAGCTTCTCCCCAAAGCCAGCTGGGTCAAACTTCGTGGGCAGCATAGGTGTGCTTGGTCCCGTACTGCCGATTCCAAGACCTACACTACCCATGCTGGAGGAGTTTAGTAAGGGGGTCATGAGTGGTGACATCTGTACGAGATGCGGATTGGTTTTACCATCTCTGTGGATGGTGAAGAGTTCGACGAGGGTGGGTTGGTCTTGTTTGCGTACTCCTTTCATTTCAAGGATTTTGCGGAAATTAGTATCAGAACGGTCGCCGATGTGGATGAGATATGCTTGAACAAGGCCCTCCGGCGGTGAGGGACGGACTTGGAGAGTTTTCAGGAGAGGGTCGATGCGGGCCATGCTTTGGGTGACACGTTTGGTAAAGGCGGTTTGAGCTGTGGTCGAGGCGGAGGCGGCGGGAGAGTGTGATAAAAGTGTTGAGAGAGACTTAGTGAGGACGTATTTGTCGAGTAACATCTGTTGTCCTATTAGCTCACGTTTGATATTGTGCACCGTATCGCTTACCTGTTCGGCGCCAACCTCTGATACAGGTCGGCAGATGACAATGTTTGAAATATAAGAATTTACAAGATACTCGACCGTCTTATCACAGAAAGCCCTCGCATACTGTTGTTTGCTTATTAGAGGTAACACCTCTTTGACTTGCGTTTCCACATGTCTAAGCAGCTCTGCAACATATGAGCTTTGATCTCCCACACTTTCCATTTTGCTCCAGTTGGTATTGCGCATTTCTCGCCACGGAGCATCACAGTCAAGCTCAACTCGATGTACCAACGCGGCTACTGCAGCACTTGCGACTCCCATAAATGCATCCGACTGGGACGATAAATCAACCTTGGAGGCTAAATCATCATCTATACGCTTTTTAAGATTCTCTTCGAGCTGTTGTGAATTGATATGCCAGTAGTCCGCCGTGTTGAGAACTAATATGACATTCTGGAGACTCGGCCCTGTTGGTGTCGAGTGAAGGGTAAGGAAATATAATAATACTTGTTGAGCATATTCGTCCAAATATTTAGCTAGTGTTTTTGAGAGATCCAGCAACCTCTCTCCCGTGGAAAGCTTAGCGCATTGCGCAAGTGTAAGTTTGTAGAAATGAAACAGTTCAATCGAAGACTGTATCACGGCTTGTGGCGAGAACTCCTCATCTTCAGGCAAAAGCGACTGCGTCTTGTACTTCGGTATCATCGCTGCCAACTGCTTATCCTGCGAATCCACCCACAAGCTCAGATATGGCTCGAAAGCTTCCGATATTGAGCGGTCGAAAGTCTGAGCCTTCTCCTCCAGCGAACCAAGTGTATCAATACTCGCTCTTGAAGGATCACTCGCAAACCGCCTTTCCAGACTCTGTTCGAAATCCATGGTCTCTTGCAAACAACTCAACAAAAGATTGACGTCAATTTTCCCTCCCTCCGGCCTCCTCATACTTCTCTCCAGTATTCCTTTGAAGTCATCTCTCGTCCCCTCACAGAAAGAATTAGCCAGCACCTCGTTGACCCTCCACTCTCTCGGAAAAATAGCCGCATGGTCGTCCTCAAACGTCTTCAACATCCGTCGAAACCAACTATATCGTCTCCCAATATTATCCAAACTGCCCGCCTCATCATTCCCTCGGAACACCTGTCTATACTCTCTTAACTGAGTATTAACATACCATGTCACCAACCGCGCCCTAGCATTCTCCCCTAACGCATCCATGACCAAACAAGCTTCCCCAAGTACCACTTTCTTAGCAGCGACTTCTCCCCGTGCAAATGCCATTTCAAAGTCCTCACATACTTGTTCGAGTAATTCGCGTTGCAGCTCCGCGACATTCCGCGATAAAGTAGCGATCTGATCAATACTCCTATAACTATTGAAATGCCTCATCAACTGCAGTACCGCCTGCAACAGACTCGCACACTCCCTATACTGTCTCGTTTTCGCTAATCCACGTAGTTGTTCGTAGGCCGTCGTCAGCATCTGCAGCCGCTTCAGCGCAGTCATGGAGAGCGTAAGGTTCTTCTTGGTATCATCCAGCCGTTTTATATCTGCCGTCATGGAGGTAATAGTCTGTTCCGTTTCGATGGCGCGCGTGCGTACGCTTTCAATCTTGGAGAACAGGAGAGCGAGCTCTGACTTCGCGGCTTCCATGCGGGCAAGACTGGAATCGTTGGTTTGCGCCTGGGTAGCGATGAGCTGGGAGATGGTGTTTGACAGCTCATTTTGGTGGGAGGTGAGGGCGGCTGCGGTTTCGTCTACGGAATTGAGGGTTGAGGGATGAGAGAATATTAGATTTAAGTGGTCGATTGGGTCATAGTCCACTGTTGGGGAGAGGTGTTAGAATAAGTTTAATTGCGATGCGAGGGGGAATTGGACACATTACCAGAATCTAGGGATGATGCGCCGTTCATATTGGGTTGTCTGCGGCGATTTTAGGGGCAAATAATGAATACCCAGTACTAGAATACATTAAGAGTTAAATTAAAACTTTGCGATGTTATAGTGCTGCGGCATGAAATTTATTGCTTCTTGTTTCTTTGATGTTGTTCACGACATCAAGGTAGGTGCATAAAGTCGCATAATTTTATCCTATGCATAAGCCATCAAAAATCACATATCAATGTGTGGAAAACGTCAGAGCCAACATTATTCCCAACTTGTTATTCATGGCACTTATTAAGTATTCAAATTCAAAGATTTATACTTCTCTTTAGTGGGAGAACTTGCAATAAATTTGTCTTGGTGTGATCGTTAGAATCATATGCCACTGATCCATCATATTCAATGCTTAAGACAATTGGAATTTGAAGAATGATTCTCTAGACATTAAGCATATTCAGTTTCGAGCTAAATTAAAAAGACAGTACATCCAAAGAACAATCAAATATACAACTTCCCTTTCTTCACACTCCTGCAATCCTCAGCCCTAGCAAATGCCAACCTCCCAATCATTCCCTGTCCATCTCCAGTCACAGGCTGTTCACTAACATCCCCAAGCTTAACCTTGACATCCTTCACCAACCTCGCCTTGTCAATACCGTCCATATTGACACCTACATCCGGCATCCGAATGTACTGACTTTCCTTCGCCAGACTGCTCACATATCCCAGATAATCTGGCACGATAGTCTTCCTTGAGTACACAACACCAACAATGGAAGCGCCCAGCATTACCAAAGAGGCGACTAAGAATACAAAGAGCCAGGAGAAATAGACGTAATATACGGGCGAATTTGTGCTTAGCGAGGCCGGTACTGTGAATGCTGCTGTCTGATTCTGAATCATGGCTGCAAGATCAATACGTGATTCCGCGGTAATAAAGCTTGCGCTGTTACCACCGACACGATTCGCTTCAATGCCGGAAAATGGTGCTCCTAGAAGATATGGTGTCGCATTCCACATACTTGCGTACATGTATGAGTTTAGAAGCTGACCGAACCGATCACCAAAATCCTTTGGAGTAACGCTCATAAGTGGTGTTTCCCCATCGTTGGAGCCGAAAGACGTCTCGCCAGAGATGATGGTCGCCTGGGTAGCCGGGTTGTAAATGTAATTCTCAACCATATTCACAGCATTGTACTGTGGTGTAGAGTTCGGAAGAAGTGCAGTTAGTCCCATGACGACGGACGGAAAGCTCAAAGGCGTGATGGTTGACGGCATATGTGGTAAAACCGATGGTCGCTGAGCAGTAACTTTGCATAACTGGAGCTCTGGGGATTTCGCACAAACTATCTCCGATTCCACGTATCGCTGAGCTGGTGTACATAGAACAGTAGTTGTCAGGTCGAACCCTGAAAATTCCTGAAAGGCAAGGGTCCCGGCATCAAAGGTTTTTGAAGTAAAGTCCAAGGGAAGGCAGTCTGGACATGACTTGGGATACATGTATGGAGTGTTGTCTCCGTCCTGAACGACCGCGATGTCCGGTCCCTGATAACCTAATGCCCATGCATCATTGATCGATATGTTCTGAAAGCTCAGAAATGGGCCAATATCAGAGATAAGATCGCTTCTTGCTGCTGGAGGAGCGCCTTGAGCTGAGACGCTCATATTGCCGCAAGCTAGTTCCAAATATGTTGATTCCAAATGGAAAGTTGTGTTTCCATTCTGAATATTTGATACTGGAATACCAAATAGAGAAGAATATATGGGTGTAAAGTTCTGTGGGATCTCGATCCAGCCATCAGCATCGGCACTAGCGCCAGTGTCGGCGATGCTACTATAATACGGGATCTTGACATTTCCCCAAAGATCTTCACTGCTCATCTTAACATCAGCCGTCGAAAGTAAAGCTGAACCAAATAAAACAGAAAACCCAGGAAACCATTGATTCTGGAATGGTCCTTTCGGCGAGGAATAGCTCTGCTGTCTCGAGTTGATATAGGCAACATTAGTATCAATCGTCGTAGCCTCCTCGACAGTGGTGAGAATCTGTTGAACTGATTGACCACCGATTGGCTCAAAACACCAGATGATCATCAGCACGACGCCGATTGCATTAAAAGAACGAAGCTGAAAGTGAGTATTGAAGGTACTCCAGATAGTACGGCTTCCCATCAGTTGCTCCAAATGTCCCAGGTTAGTCCCTTGCTCAAGTCTCCACGTCGCAAATTTGATAGCTGCTCGTCCAGTACTGGCCCCGAAAAATATTGGAAATAGTGTCGTGGCCTGTGATTTCTACTTAGCTTAAACAAGACTTCGCGACTAGCTGACTTACTGCTTTGACGGCGAAGTCCAAGAGTTTTGATTGTTGCTCGTTTACAGCATTACCATTCACAACGATCGCGGCGGCGAAGAGAAGGAAGAACGGTAACGGCAACATTAACATAACACAGTTCACAATCAGTCCCCAGAGTCGCCATTCATCCCGATGGGTTTTATTAAGTTCTTGTGGTCGTTCAGGCCATGGTTTTGTATGTAGACTTTGCGGACTGCTGGTGGAAAGTGGGCTTGACTTTTCTGAACCAGGATACCTCTTTTCAAAATCGGATTCCGAATATGAAGTTGTGGGTGAGGCGGCAGGCGAAATGAACATCACAGGCTCAGTCTGTATATGCGGTTGAGATAACATTGCTGTCGCCAGCGTCCAGCTTGACTACCGAGCAATGAAGGAACAATAAGCTAAGTTGGAAGGCTCCTCAGGTAAGGTAGATAGAGGCTCCTTATCTTTCTGTGATTGAGGGGTGGTATGCAAAATATGCAGGCTGTGCCTCGAAACGCTCACTAAGGTTTGAGCCATCTGCTCGGTATTGTGGCTGATAGCATATTCTAATGGCCGTGCAAGAATAGAGACTCATTCATGGGCCTATCCTCGATATTAGAATTACACTTCAATATTTGGTGAGTTGGAGTGGAATACAAGCACTTACCACTGTTTAATTACTCATTAGTGTCCAAATGAACCAGTATTCTCGACTCCATATTTCATACCTTTCAGATCTGCCATCTCAAAATGGCGGTTATCAGATGAGCTCGGACATGATTTTCACAATTCGAAGCTTCGCCCGAAACGCGAATTGTGTTAGAACCTCAGCACCCTTCCGTAAGTTTAAGATGAGCGGGACGCACAGATACCCCAGATCAGCCAGATGTCGACATTAGGCAAGGAGAGACCATCGTCACCCGAAACCGAAGATAGCGTTTAGAGTGATAGGTGATCAATGCGGAGTTGATAAAGGGAGAAATGAGAAGTGTTTGGTGCGACGCGAAACGCACGTGATGCTGGCCTTTGCTACTCGAAACATTTACTACAATTGCACTTGTCGAAGGAGAAACGGGGTTTAATATTTAGCACAGAAGTCGCCAGGCTTTTCCTCAATTCAACTTCACAGCGCTTTATCATCACTTCCGCATGTACTCAATCATAGGTAGAAAAAATAAGTTTGTACATTCGCTCTATGTCTAGGTCATTCTCGTACCTCGACAATAATTCTATAGTGGTGTTGTTCTCTGAGGAATTTTCTTCTATAGCATCTAACACACCTACCCAAGACACCTTATGTGCTTGCCATGGCACCCAGTATCTATTTCAATCCAATACGCTGTGCTATACTGCCGCGGTCATGCAAGTTTAAACCCCTTCCCCTGAAATGCTACACTTCATCGCTGACAAAAGAAACTGATTTTACAAGTGGTTGGAGATCACGACCGCTTCTCTCCGGATGGTGGTTCCATTTTCGTTGCCTCTGCGGTCTCATTTTCCGCATCGGCGGCCTCGGATGCCTGCGTTTTGGAGGCCTCTTGCGAAGCGGCTTCCATCCTGCGTTCCTCCTTTTCATCAATATCTTGGTCATCACGTGGGGTAGCACGCCCTGACTCTTTGTTTTCCTCGTCTTGCTCATTCTCCTCCTCGATAAGTTCTTGTTGCTCACGGAGCACTTCGAGACGTTGCTTGTTCGTTGCTGCGCCCTCCGCGGTATGAACCTCGAGTTCCATTTCGTGGAACAGCTCCTCAGGAATCGAGGACAATACACCTGTGAGCGCCTCGATTTGTGTGTTGAACTCGGTATCCTTTCCTTGAGCGTACATGAAAGCATTACTTAAAACCAGGAGTGTGGATGGGACACCATATTTTAATCTGAGATCTAACCATGACTGGAGATCATCTCGTAGTCTTCCGGGTGATACACCATGTGTTCGGATTCCACGACTTTGAGCAGCAACTTGGAGTTCTGGCACAGAAAGACTCTCCACTCCTTCGTAGCTGATAGCACGATCATCTCTCTTGATTTGTCTCATACGGTGGCGAACCTGGTACCGGAGCATCATATCCGTGCCGAATGTGTTCAAGTTCATATACCTGCACATCCCAACAAGTTGTGGTCGTGACAGATTGTCAAGTGTAAGATCATCCTTGAAAATTTTGCAAACCTTGATAACATCGTCTGCTGAAGGGGATTCTCCGGTGGACCGGAGTTTCTTGAAGAATTGGGTAAACTCCTCCTTTTGTGCTGTTGCTGCCGTTAATGGCAATCCTGTCTCTTTCAGGGTGTTTCTAAGAAAGCTGCTGACGTCTTTTCTTGTTGCTCTGAGGTCTCCCGCTTTCTTATCCTTGGACTTTTGCCCTTCGTAAGTGCTGGGAAGAAGATTTGGGAATAGCTTCAAGGCAACAGGGAGCAACAGCTCGGCGAATGGAACGAGGACAAAAACGGAGAAAGGAACTAAGCGGCCAATATCCTGAACGGTACGTTGTAATTGTCGATGTTCTCTTCGACTGAGTTCGTAACCAGCGGCCATTTTCAGGGCTAGACGAGTACTGATCTTGACTTCTGTTGCCAGCAACTTCGTTCCGTCCCAGTAGTGCTGAGCCTCTTTCTTTATTTTTTGACCCAAGGTCAACTTCTTTTCCTCCTTTTTCACTTCCTTCTTGTCGTCTGATTTGGCTTTGACACCTGCCAACTCGCTCAACGTCACTGCCTCTGTCGCATCTGTTTTAGGCACTGCAGTTGGTACATCTGACGGAACAGGTTCGACTTCGTGCTCCTCAGCCGACTTCGCTGCCGCCTTGTTTGGCGCATTAGGGGTAATCACTAGGTCTTTCTGCGGGGTCGAAGCTTTCTGAGCATTGAATCCTGGTGGCGGTCCTTGTGAAGAATTACCGGAAGTGTGTGTATCGGTGGAGACCCCACGGCGAGGGATTAAAATAGCCAACGCTGGCATCTGCGCTGGTAGGTTTCGCCCATTGCGACGAAGGAATGCGGTATATGCTGAGGAGGGACCGGCTCGAGGGTAGGCACGAGCTATAATAACATCGTTAGTAGCAATTCCTAGGTTTTAGGTCACAGTTAGACAGGTTTCTTACCACCAGTCATGAAAGTTGAGTGTGCCGCATTGCGGACGACTCTTGAAGAAGCGCTCATGCTGTTGATGTAGTACTGTAAACAAACGGAACGTCGAAGCAGATAATATTTAGAGAGTGCTGTGTGTTCGATAGATACTTGAAACCGGATAGAATTAGGAATATGCCATGATTTTGATGAAAGACAATGTTGTAGATGCAGAGGGGCGATTACATAGCATCTGTCGGGGTTTGTAGAACATGTGTTGCCAGAAAAGCTCGGAAGAATCTGGACATGGTCACGTGTTATGGACTTCGCGAGCTCTCAAAAGCGGCGCGCCTGTCCAGGTTGGTGGGAAGTACGGTTGTTGCAGACCTTTATCTTTGGCCAACATTGATCACTGATTATTGAAATTCAAATCTATGTGAGAATTAAATATTTATATAGGTATATTTGCTCTCGATTACTCAGATAGAGTATAGATATGGATGCTACCAAGAAACAATCCCCTTCACTCAACTATTAGGTACACTCGCGGAGGACAAAATAAGAGGCAGTCGAACCAGAATAGTTCTTCGACTAAGTTGACGAAATATCGTATTTAGTGGTTTAACTTGAAACATTATTCCTATTTCGTCAACCGTTTTAAGTAAATAACACTTCTTAAGGTCTATTCGAAGTCTAAGATTTACGGATAGGTGACTGCCACTTATTTTGTCCTTCAAAAGGTACACTTGTCGCGGCTCCGGCCAATGCCACTTTTAGTTGCCGCTTTTTGGATCCAGGAACACATCATGCCCAGGACTTCGGTGCCGTCATCCTGGAGCTCCAGCATCTCCAAGAAACTCCGAAAAGACAGCAGAGTACTGCATGTGTTGTATTTAAGTTGGTGATGAGATGAAGAATACTCCAAGGTCTAACAACATCGTTTCCGAAACACAATAAACAGATAAAGAACTGTTGGAGGACTTTGTGAGGTTCAGCAGGTTCAGGTACACCTCACCAAGCAGGGTCTCTTTTCCGCCCTCAACGTGCCATATGGCCAAGCTTTCGACTCAACCGATCGGCCGGTGATAACGTGCGTCCGTGTCATCCCCGGCCCGCTACCCCCCGCTTTTGAAGGCACCATTTCCCATCAACAACTCATCGTCCAAAGTATCCGCCCGACCTATTCACGGTGTTTCCCCTCTCTTTGACTCTCCTGTGCTTTTACAAATCAACATTCCTTATGGCATACTTCATCATGGATGTGTCTTAAATCTTCTCAATCGTCGCTTCAGACATAGAATCGCCGGCCAGGCGCAATTACATTACCACCACCGGCATCAGCAGTCGTTCACTCATCAGCATAGAGCTTTCGGTAATACGGATAGATTTACATTTGAGAGATAGACCGGACTCGAGACAACATCGATCATGCTTCTAACCAACATGAAGCTTTCCAAAGCCGCGAGAATAATCTTGGTGGGCGCGCCGGGAGTGGGAAAGGGAACACAAGCCGAGCGATTGCTCCAGCGCTTTCCTCAACTTGCTGCCATAAGCTCAGGGGACCTTCTGAGAGACAATGTCAAAAATCAGACGCCACTAGGTATGCCCTTCAATTGGACTAAGTTACATTGTTACTGACCGGAACTAGGTATCAAAGCAGAGCACACTATGAAATCCGGGGCGCTCGTTCCCGACGCGATGATACTCCGCCTTATCCTACACGAACTCAAGACCAGAGGCTGGATTCAACCACCAGCTGGAGCATCCCCCATGACCTTGTCTGCTACCGCTCAAGATCAAGACTTTGATGTCGAGGACAATTTTGTCAATTCGCCCTCTCTTGCCAACATGGGAGCACCACCGCGCACTTCAGAAGACCCCGCCGCATCCTTCATCCTCGATGGGTTTCCCCGAACTGCTGGTCAGGCATCGCAGCTTGATAAACTCATTCCAATCAATCTTGTAGTATCTTTACACACTCCAGCCGAGGTTATCCTAGAGAGAATTGCCGGACGGTGGGTTCATGCTCCCTCGGGCCGCGTGTACAATACCACTTTCAACGCGCCGAAAGTTGCTGGGAGGGATGATGTCACTGGAGAGATATTGACCAAGAGAGCTGACGATGATGAAGCAACGTGGATGACAAGACTACAGAAATTCCAGGAAACCAGTGAACCTCTCCTGGATCATTATGCTAAGAAGGGTGTACTATGGGAAGTCTCTGGAAACAGCAGTGATGAAATTTCACCAAAGTTATTCTCCGAATTCGAGAAAAGATTTGTGGATGGTGTTGAATAAGCAGCATGTCTGCCTGATCAAGTATTATATGATTATCACGAGTGGTTGATATGTGGGGCGCGACTTTTCAGCCTTTACAGCGGGTTTTATTTTCTCTTTTTTGGACATATTCTGGAATCCTGAAACCGGATGGACTTTCAGCGAGGCGTTGTGTTGAGTTGGTTACTCAGTGGGAAATGGACTTGGAATGATAGGGAATGATCCGACACTGAGGGTGTATTCTACATTTATATTTTGGGGATCCCATATTTTGTTTTATTGAATACCTAAGTATCATACATCTAGCTAGGGAGTAATTGAACTAGGTGAATACCCTTAGTTCACAAATTATGTGTGCTATTTGCGTGTGAATGTCAACCAACCAGCTCTCCACCAGACGCAGGACTGGACTGGGCCCGAGCATGGATGCCGAATCCCTGCAGTGCATGTCTGCCAAACCCATTGTCATCGTACATTTCATCCCCTTTACACAAGTCGTCGTCGGTCTTTCTTCAGCTTCTTGTGTCAAGTTTGCTCAAAATTCCCGGTTTTGGAAGATTGAGAATGGCACATACTCTGCGGCGCAATGTCATATCAATACCATCCTAATTCGTACGGTGCGTCGCGCTCGACACGAGACCACTTCGTTGAACCACCTTCGATTACCTCTCGCATTCTCTCCGCGCTGCCCCCAAACTTGTCGTTGCAGATACAGAGGTTTTGGGATAGGCAATATCGGAACATGAACTCAAGCGGGCATCGGAGTTCGCCAGTCCTACGAGTCCTGCGGTATTTGGCGCCGAGGCCGAGTCGTTGGCGACCAAGAACATGGGCGAATCTACCGCATGCTTTGGTTGCGGTTTGGTTACTGATGTTGCTTTGGGGTGAGAGATGGGTATTTCAAAGCGCACTGAAGCAGTGCAGGTGGGAGGGTTGGGAGAGATGGGTATGGCGACTCCTCTTCGTTGCGCGAGCTTCATCTGCGCAGGCGCATTCAGACAACAGAGTGAGCATATACTGACATGGTACAGCCCAAAGATGCGACACCTCACCACCTCGTACTCCTGGCAGACCCCCAATTAATTGACCCACATTCTTATCCTGGAAGACCATGGCCGTTGGATAAATTCACAATGATGCATACCGACAATTACATGAAAAGAAGTTATATCTCCTTGCAACAGGAGCTACACCCGGACACGATATTCTTCCTAGGGGATTTATTTGACGGGGGAAGGGAATGGAAAACTGCGCATGGAAATACAGTTGATCCGTCATGGGCGAATGGATTGAGACCTTCTGGCGAGATGAAGTATGTCGATACCTGGGGCAAGAGGTACGGAGAAGACTTTTGGCTTCACGAATATGATCGTTTTGGGAGAATATTTTACAAGTATTGGAATTTGGCTGGAGCTGAGGCGCGGCCTGGACAGAGGGGGCGAAGGATCATATCGAGTTTGCCTGGAAACCATGATTTGGGATTTGGAGCCCAAATCAAAATACCAATACGGAATCGTTTCGAGGTCTACTTCGGAGAAGGAAATCGAGTGGATGTCATCGCCAATCACACGTTCGTCTCTATAGACGCAGTGAGCTTGAGTGCTGGATCAGATGAGCATGGAACAGCTGCAATAACGCAGCCTGTGGAAGACTTTCTTGCGAAAGTCAAGATTACGAAAAGGAAGGCTGTTGCAAGCGAATTGAGCAGACTAGCTGGGAAGGGCGAGAGGGTGTTGCCTCATAAGCATGGTGTAGAAGATTTGGCCAAGACGGACTTTTCGAAGATGATGACTCTTGACCCAGGACCTGACGCTCCAGAATTCCCAACCTTCCTTCTTACGCATGTTCCTCTTTACAGAGAGCCAGGAAAACCATGCGGGCCGCAAAGAGAACATTGGCCTCCAGCGACTCCGCCGAAAGGTGAGACTGGTCCAGTGGTTCCTGATCACAGGAATGCTATTTCTATTTCTAAGGGATATCAGTACCAGAACGTTCTCAGTGAGTCAGATTCTATCAAAGTAATTGCATCAATCGGCGACGTGGAGCGGGTATTCTCTGGGGATGATCATGACTATTGCGAGATCGTCCATCCTGAGAATAAAAATAAAGCTAGGGAAATCACCGTCAAGGCTTTCTCCTGGGCCATGGGTGTTCGTAAGCCGGGATTCCTTATGCTCAGTATGTGGAATCCGGTTGATGCGAATGGAAAGCCTCTACACTCATCGCCATCCGGTCATGGTTCAAGTAATCAGAAACCGTTGACCACAGAAACACATCTCTGTCTTCTTCCCGACCAACTCTCAATCTTCATTCGATATGGAATCCTGATAGGAATATCCATCCTCGCTCTCCTTACCCGCGCTATTCTCACACCAATTCTCAACCTACCTCAATTCTCACCACCACCACAATTGGAGAGTTACTCCTTACTTCCAACCACCAGACCAAACCGTCGTTACGACACATCCCCAGAAGAGACATCTTCAAACTCTTCCACCTCATCTACTTCATCGAACACACTTGCACCCCGCACAGCAGCTCGAACGCGTTCCGCGTCCCCAGTTGGTGGGTATGGGTTACCATCTCATCAAGCCACGTTTTCTACCCCGGTTAACGGGTATGCGAAGGATGACTATGACTTCGAGAATGAAGTGGGTAAGAAGAGGGATGGAACTGGATCAAGAAAACCTAGTACACCGCTGGGCATTGTGTGGAAGGAACTGTGGGTTATGTTCTGGAGAGTCCTATGGATGGTCATGGTGATGTATACGTGGTTGGTCTGGTCGTACCCTACTTGACAATCTTATCGGAAGACATGGGTCTGATTATTTGTATAATATTGCTTGTTGTAGCATACCTTCTTGCTACAGGGTAAAGGGCGAGCAAGTTTTGGTTTCGGTATGTGACACGGCGGGTAGGGTTATGCATTGCGTGAGGGCGTTGATTGTTCATGGTTGGGTATAACGGAATCAGATGTATAGTTTCGTTGAAAATTCTGGGACCATGGGAGATAAATCAATACGTTTCTACTATCCTAAGTCTCGCCATCCATATATTCACAGTGATTATATCTATCTCAAGCTCAATTAGACGGAGGTCTTCATAGATGGTTGATTTGCCATGAAAACTAATGTGAGATACGACCGATGATTTGGCAAAATCCGGGTATACCTGGGTACCCTTTTGGTACCCGAAAATGGTGCGATATGCAACAAAACTCAAGAACGTATGCATGTTTTGTTGCATATCGCAGCATGCGACATCGCCTTGGGTGTCTGCATATGACGCTGCTGTGCGATGTGCAACAAACAACACATATCTTCCATACAGTGAATTACTAGTTGGCGATTGGACGTAGTCGACGCCATATTCTGGTATTCATCATTTCCCAAGGCCATCTGATAAATTTCGTCTCACATTTTAAATTTCGATGTTCTACAATTCACTTGCGTGTTATGCTTTTTATTTTGGTTTAGGAAATATCATTCTGCGACGGTTTCATCTATATTGAGAATAGACCAGTATGGTCTATTTTCAGAAGTTGTACGAACTCGAAGTCGAGATTGCGATCTTAATGATGAAGTGACCAATTACCTGGATAGCCAGCTGTTGAACTCGAGAGTATTCTTCACTAGTTCGGCAATGGAGTTGGAACTCTCGAGAGACGCAGTATATGGGGAAATATATTGCCTATCAAACAACGAAACTCAACAATTTGTTCGGATTCAAGAAGCATATTGTCGCTCAGTCAAAGCGCTCTATAAGCGGCCTTCGTTTTCTTTTTCAAGAGCGCCTTGAAACAGAACTAGGTAGTCTACCTGTACTGTAAAAACTTCAACGATGTTGAACTCAGAAGTACCGGTCAGCCCGATAGTGTCGTGGATGTAAGATACAATATAGATGTATTTTGCCTGCTGTACAACTTGTGCTAACACAAATTTGGCTTGGCCGGGTCGGTGTCGATATAGATTAAAACACATAGACATTAGCCAGGTGAGAGCCCATGATGAAACATCCTCCAGAGGTTCGATATACAAAGAGTTTCGGGGTCACTTTCTGTCATACGTTCGACGCTGTCAAACAAGATTCGTGCTAAGGAAGTAAGGAAGGAGTGAAAAGTAAGAGTGAAGAGCGACAGGACGAACGGGACGACGTATTTCGCTCTGTTTCGCTTGATTTCGTCTATTGAGCGACATGCAACAAAAGACACCTGTATCTTATAGTTCCGTATTCATTTTGCGGAAAGCGAAGTAAAACAAAATAATCTCATTTTGTTTGATTTCGGTTTAAGACTATGATATGCGTCACAAGGTAAGGTTCTCTAAATTATATGTGTCAGAGTCCTGCTATCATCTCACAATCTGACAGTGTAATAAAAGACACTACCCCAGTTAAGAACAGTCAGCCTTAAATTCACTATTTTGGCAACACGTCCTGAAAGAGTAACTACTACAGTTTAGGTTTCGCACCAGGCTTGCCTCGGGGGGTTTCTTGAAGGAGGTGCTATATCAGTTGGAATGTACCGAAATCTAGACTTTTACAGTATTTGTTAACTCGAAGTGTAGGCCGTCCATTGACAGAATACGACGGTCACGATTGAGGAGTACTGGGCTGAAGACTTTTTTTACTCGTTCGTCTAAATAGAAACTTGCAACGAAGTAGTTTATATCTTCGATCGTGGGTCTTTGAATTTCGGAGACGAACGCGATATGCAACAAAAGATTTAGGCCGAAAGTCTCTACAGCGTATGCTCCCCTCTTCATTTTCGTCGGGGAGTGCGACATGCAACAAAGTGGGTGTGAGGAGCTTTTGTTGCACATCGCTTCTCAGGGTTTTGGCTGGATGTCTGCACGCAACGCTCCTGCGACGTGCAACAAAACGCCAAATACACTTTTGACCCTTTGTACACAGCACTACACGGTTATACAGAGATTGCTCTGATGTATCTTTAGAGCTTATTTCTGGTAATCCATGCGATGAGCAACACAATATATCGTTAAGTGTTTAGTAGGTATCTGTATATGCGATGTATAACAATAGGCGGAACTTAATGGAAGATTCGGGCATAATTGAGATATTTAGATTTACCGTAAGTCTCATAACACTTATCTAGTGTAATATACTCGACGGCACTGGAATTATATGTAATCACAAAAATAAATTGATACTAGCCAGCTGATTTAAAGTCTATTCATTGTAGTATTATCGAAATTGTGACTAGAACATAGTAAGCTTAACACTGATAAGCAGATGACTAGCCGAAGAAGACTATAATTCAAGTGCTGACGAACAAATTTTTGCCGACAGGTATTCGAGCTAGCAAACGAAACTAAACAAAAGAACTAGCGAATCAAACTGACAAACTGGCTGCGGAACGGACTGGCGAACTTTCGCCGTTTCGCAGTTTCGCCAGACGAACGCGATGTGCAACAAAACCCAGACTTAAGGCCTTGTTGCATGTCGCTCTCGACCCAAATAAAGCCTCGCTAGTTGTCTGCAGGTAGCGCTTTTCTGCGATCTGCAACAGAAACTAGACTTTGTTGCATGTCGCGCTGTTTACATGCAACGAGGTTCTGCGAGAGAACTGTCTCTGCTATTTTCACTACCTCCTCTTGAGCAGCGTCCTAGGCCGTTCTTCGCCGAATGCGATATGCAACAAATTACGTAGGTTCCTGATTTGTTGCATATCGCTCCAAGTTTCGCCGGTTTTCCAGGTATCTGCATGCAACGTCGTTTGCGAGGCATAGTAGATTAGTCCTTCGGCCACTCCTTACCAAGGTACTTGTGACTTAGAAGATATCTACTGGCTAAGTGATTCATACAACATACCAAACGTCTTGAGGACTTCGGCGAGGTGTCTGCATATGCCATGCGATATGCAACAAACTGGGTCCAAGTAGCTCCTTCCGCGCCAGGAAAAGGAGCGACAGCATGGCTGTACCAAACTGATGATTACTGCAGATCCCGAGAAGAGAGAATGGCTCCCCTTATCGTATTCTTGCTGCCATAAAAAATTTCCCACTTCACGGATATACGTTATTCGCTTGTGGCTTCAACCTTGAGAATCATTTTGGATTGACCAGATGATGAGTTGATGAGAGTAAAATTACTGTACCGGCCAGTACAATCGACGAAAAATGTCACAAAAGACACTCATGTTGGACATAAAGTGATTTTGCTATTATTCCTCATGAGCTCTAGCTCTCCGCCGTCTTAGAAGCTCGCCTAATGGGATATCATCTTCATCTTCATCCTCGTCAACACCGAAATCTCCTAATGTTTCGCCTTCTGCATTTGTCCACGTTTCCTTATCAAGCATAGTTTCACCATCATTGCTGTCGTCCTCGTCCTCACTCAGCTCAATAATTCGCGACTCTGTGTTTTCAGTGCCGTCTTTCTGGAGTCGTCTCTGTCGCAGATAATCTGCTTCCTGCCGTCGCCGAAACGCTTCCTTATGCTCATCCACAGTCCCATAATCAAAGCTCTTCATTTCTCCACCCGGAATCGGATCTGATTTCTTCCACGGTCTTCCAAGCTTCTCCGGGTCAGGTGGCGGCCATAATTTGTCGTCATCTTCAAATCCATTAACTTCGTAATCGACGGCATCCTCTATTCTAGGAGCGCCACCGAACGGTAGAAACCACATGATAATATTCCACGTGCCCATTCCCTGAACCAGATTCTTCCAGACTCCAATATCGTATGGGAACTCTTGTGATGCAATCCTCATTTTCTCACCTCCACTCGCGTATACCCATCCACCATTCTTACGTGCCCGTTCGACGAGCGCCTCATGTCGTTCGATCTCCCAATTCTCGATCGTGGTAGTGTTCGTTGCGAGATTATGAGCAGCATGGATAAATAAGATGAGCAAGGCAAATAGAACGAGGGTGTTCACTCCTATAAGCACCATCATATGTGCTAGAGCCCAGACTGGGGGCCCCAGGTAGGAGGGCAAGGAGCGTTGAGACCATATCACCAAGGCGCGGACGTAGAGATGGTACTCGAGAATTGACATGCTAAGACAAGCATAGAAGACGAAACGAAGGAAGTGAGGAAAATTGGTGTGGGAGACGCAGTTGGATGTCCAGGGACAGTGGTGGTCCATTTTGGGGATACATCTGGAAGGGATCAGATCAGGACTACTTGGGAAGGCGTAGTAATTACCTCCTGCATTTCTTGCAATGATGTGTCCGTGGTGGTTTGATACTTTTACACTTCTTACACCACCTCATCCCTTTTGGCAAATTGGCGTCCTCATTCTCACTGTCTTCATCGTCCTCGTCCTCATCCTTTTCCCACTTCACGACCTTTTCCACCCACCCCCTCGGCCCCGGATCCACGGTACAAGCTCTGTCATAACACCACCATATGCACAACACAAAGCCGTTAAACCACAAAGCCTCGTCCCATTCCAGCGGTCCCGGCTCGATGTAATGAAATAGAAATTGCGAGGTGTACGAGAGAAAGAAAATCAATATACAAACAGCAGGTATGGCAAGATCCTCTAGAGAAGAAGGTACACGCAGAAGAGCAACCATGCTAGAAAAGATAGCGCAAAAGATTCTCGAGCCGATTCAGGCTCCAGAAATATTGAAGAAAAGTCGTCGTTGGCTTTGACGTGGATATGCAGCCTTACAGCCTTGTCTTGGTAATCCCTTCGTGACGGACCTCGGGAACGTCCCGACTCTCGGCCGGCCCAACGTTAGGCCGACATGAAAGGGAATTCTCGGTAGACTTTGCACTACGACTTGACTTACATACACCGTTCTAATTGGTTGCGGCGCAAATGTTACACCGCCAGCCAAATTCGCATTCGTTTGTGTCTGTTTCTAATCAACACCACACAACCAATCGAGACCTCTATTCCGCCCCATCTCGGAAAAGCAATGTCTCGTACGGTTCAAAGTTGCTGCGCAGGTAGGTCTGTTCAACGCGGCAATCCTGTATTTGTTGGATGAGGCTTGACGATGTTGTGCGAGTCGAATGCGAATGGCGGGATGATGCGTCCATGGGTTTCTTTATCGTCTTTATCGGGTGTCGTGGGTGATCTTCAACTGGATATATAGTAGGTGTCTTTCTCTTGGATTATATCCTCCTGATCAGTTCAACATCTACCTCTGCTTCTGTGAATGCGCTACCCTTCATTTACCTCTCCCACATTTCTCGCTTATCATGTCTTTGCCATCTTCGCCCAAAGAGACAGATGAGATATCTTCACGCCATTCTTCGAATGTGAGGGACTCTATGACTTCTCAAGAACAAGTCCCGCAAGATGCGCTTACTCCCCTCGAGAGCGCAGGTGCACCTCCTTTCAAACCCACACGAAATTTCCTCCTTGCCTTTGTTTCAATATGCATCGTCACGCTTGCAGCAGCTCTGGACGCCACGAGTCTGAGTATCGCCCTTCCAATGATAACAACAAAACTCAAGGGTTCGGCTATCGAAGCTTTCTGGTCTGGAACAAGTTTCCTGTTGACGAGCGCCGTGTTTCAACCAGTCATTGCTGGTTTGAGTCATGTTTTTGGGAGGAAAGAAGTCAGTCGAGCTATCACTTGATACGTCCGCCGTGGCTAACAGTATCAGCTTGTTCTAGTCTCATCCCTCTTCTTCGCCGTCGGATCGGTCGTCGCTGCCGTAGCAAAGGACTTTACGTATATGCTTGTTGGACGGTCTATTCAGGGTATCGGAGGAGGTGGCATTCTCACTCTTGGCGAGATTCTGGTTACTGATCTTGTTCCTTTGTCTGTTCGAGGAGGTTAGTCTACATTCAACTTAGCTATGATACGCACTAACAGTCTTTAGCATGGTTTGGTTATCTCGGTGCCATGTGGGCGCTAGGGTCAGTTACCGGTCCACTCATGGGAGGTGCCTTCGCTCAAAACGTTACTTGGAGATGGATTTTCTGGATCAACCTCCCAATCATCGGACTCGGCTCGCTCACAATCTTTCTATTTTTGAAGCTAGACAAACTTCCAGGAAGCACACTCGCTAAGATCAAGAAGTATGACTGGTTTGGAAGTGTACTATTCATCGCAAGCACAGTTTCATTTTTGATTCCGGTGACATGGGGTAAGTTCTCCTCCCGAAGTTCCCTTGACCAAGACTGACGGAAATAGGGGGTATAATGTACGCCTGGGACTCGTGGCGAGTTTTGTTTCCCCTCCTCGTCGGTGTTGCAGGTATCATCCTCTTCGGCTTCTGGGAACGTCGTCTATCCCTTGCCGCCTTTGATAAAGACGGTGTTCCACTGGCGGGAGACATGATCGAACCTATAATTCGAGGGACAATCTTCAACAACCGTTCCATGATAATTACATATACTGGCACAATCTTGCATGGCATCATCCTCTGGTCTCTCCTCTACTTCCTTCCTCTCTATTATGAAGGGGTAAAAGGCTACACACCGATCATATCAGGTGTAGCTATGCTTCCAGAGTCTGGCTTCGTCGCTCCTATGGCAGTGATCGTCGGTGTCGCCTGTGCGATCACAGGTCGATATCGTTGGGCTATCTGGGTAGGATGGCTCCTCACAACTCTTGGTTCCGGCCTGTTACTCCTTCTCAAACCAACATCTTCCATTCCCGCCTGGCTTTTCCTCAACATCTTAGTCTCCATCGGTACAGGCATGCTTTTCCCAGCCATGGGACTCGGAGTCCAAGCAGCTGGTCGACCTCGTGACGCGGGCCACGCCGCTGCATTCTACTCTTTCGCACGCGTCTTCGGTCAATCCATCGGCGTGGCGATTTCGGGCGTTGTTTTCCAAAACCAAATAAAGAGCAAACTCCTCGGTTATGCCGATCTTGCACCGTTCGCCTCACAATACTCTCAAGATGCGACTGCTTTGGTTACGATTATCAAAGGTATGCCGAAGGGTCCGATGAGGTCAAACCTGATACAGGCATACTCGGATAGTTTAGGGTCGGTTTGGATTTTGATGACGGCGCTTGCGGCCGTGGGGCTGATTAGTAGTCTGTTTGTGCAGGGGTATAGTCTCAATCAGGAGATGGATACTTTGCAGAGGTTCAATGGTGATGTAAAGGTTAGTGACTCGGAGAGCGGAAAGGTCGAGAAATAAGGACGAGGGTTTCGGTTTGGGGGACTTGGTTTGATTTTACTGCATAGCGTGGTGTTTGGGTAGAGGATACATATAGATGCATGGAAGTATCTCGTGCACATGGAGTGGAATAATGAATGGAAGAGCTAGAGCTGGGGATATACAATGGTTGACGTAGAATTAATAAAGACTTCACTTACTTGTACTTACGCTCTGACTTAATTTACCTCTTCACATATATTCGCTCCATCAGTAGCGCTTTCCTAAGACCTATTTCCAAAAACAAAACTGGTCTATACTGTTCACAGAATTCTAACCTTCGTTCCTAGTGAAAAGCATATTTGTATTAGACATGGATATCACAGTATATAGATAGGTTTAATTGCAGAGGTGAATCGGCTATTAAAGGGGTAGTTCTTGGCGAGCCGAATACCCGTTTAGTCCGCTGGTCTTCAGGTCAGCTCGGGAGGGACCTGCATTACCCCACCAGAACCATTACGTCGTCAAGCAAACAATCTCACCAACCCCGGCGAACAACTCCTGTTGCATCAATCATACCATAAATTTCAAACACATTTCGAATCTTCTCAGCAACCAAAAACTAAAACACAAATCTCAGCACCCAAATCCAAGCTCAACTTGAAAAGTCAAGCTCCTTCACCCCGCTATTTTGTTGCCCACTAACAAAGCCTAGAATCATGGATAGAGCAGAGAATCAGGATTATTACGGCGGTGGTGATATGGGTGAGGGCCGATATCAAGAGGGTGGTCGTAGTGAGGAAGGGTATGGTCGTAATGAGGGTGGACAAGGTCGTGGTGACGGAGGATACGGACGTCAAGAATCTAGCTACGAGCAAGGTGGTTATCAACAAGAAGGTCGACACCACCAAGGCGGACGACAAGAGTATGATCAGGGAGGAGGTCAAGGATACAACCAAGGAGGTCAAAATTACAACCAAGCTGGTCGTCAGGAGCATCACCAGGGTGGTTACGCAGGCGGTAACGCAACTCAAGGAGGAAACTACGGAGGCGGTGGTGGTTACGGCGCCGACGACGACGATGATCTCCAAGGCGCCGTTAAACACGCAAACGAGCACGCTGGTGGAAGTGGAAACTCAGATCTATTCTCCAGCATCTTAAGTGGATTCATGGGCAACAAACAATCTATCGGCCAACAACCCATCAACGAACAAGGTATACAATCTCTTACCATACCCTCTAAACCCTTACTAACCACTTCTTCAGACGCCGTCCAATCCCACCAACAATACTACTCCTCCTCCTCCGGCCCCAGCAACGCATCTTCCTCGTCCATGGGCTCCGCCGCCGCCATGCAAGCACTCAAGATGTTCACTGGCGGCCAGAGCGGCAACACGCCTCAGGGGAATAGCCAGAATGCCTTCGTCGGCATGGCGATGGCGCAGGCGAGTAAACTGTTCGATCACCAGCAGAGCCAGGGGAATGTGGCGAGTGGGAATAGTAAGGAGAGCGCGATTCAGCAGGCGGGCGAGATGGCGTTGAAGATGTATATGCAGAGTCAGGGGAAGAGTGGTGGTGGCGGGGCGAGTGGGTTGATGGGGTTGGCTAGTAAGTTTTTGTAAAGGGAAGATATGAGGGGATGGGTGGTGTATTGCTGGTTTTGCGATGGATTTGGGGTTTATTGAAAAATGATGGACCGTAGGGTTAGCTGGTAGCTATCTGGCTAGTGTCTTGCTGGTATAGCGCTGGGCGTGAAGCTTTGTCGAAGTTTACTGGTGGTAAAATACTAAGATAAGTCAAGTACAAAAAATACATTTTGAAATTCACAGACACCTAAATTAGTTTCAACTAGGTTAATCACCTTCCACAGAGCAATCAATCCCCAAAATTTACCCATTTCGAAAACTAGGCTCATATAAGAAGAACATAACCGATCACAAGAACCAAGAAGGGAGATCTTAAAACCCAATCACCTTCAAGACATCAGCTCTATTTCCAAACCCCTTTTCCTATTCTACAGCTTGCTGCCCACATGAAGTAAAAGCCTCACTCACTCAACCGCCTATTCCATTCTACTCAAGACAAAAATACATCAATCACCATTCGCCCTCAACCGTCCACTACCTTTTACCAAACCGTGATCGGGTTTGATTTCTCACTGTGAGTTAAACAAAGTTATGATAAATCTCGCTCGCCTTTCAAATGAAACATCGAGAATTCACACGAGACCAGAGAACATCTCTTGAAGTTAATATCCATAGTGAACTGACATGAATACCTACATTAAATCACTTTATTAGTATCAAAGATCGAGCTTAGAAGCGCCTTGTATTGGACCCACCCTTTTACAGTTCAGCTTAGTCTCGTTGGAATGTCAGTACCATCAAGCTTGGTATTTACACTAAAAAGGCGAACGATATAGCGATACACATGGAGAGAGGGAAGTGAAGAATTGAGATTTGTGGATGTAGTAAGAGGAGGATAGTAAAGGTGGTAGCATTCGAGTGATGCAAAGGGATAAATTTGTATGTTCCAACGCCCTTATGTGTATTTCCTGATTTTCCAGGTTGATTTATGACGACAATTATGTTTTGGAGTAAAGAATAAAAAGTAAAAACACTGACACTTCTATATTGATTCCGTATAACCCCGGCCGAGTGATGCGACAAACGCATGTGTAAGGCTGTTTTTATTTTGGAGACAGAATGTATCAAGCTCCACAATTGTGATATCTTATGAATGCTATTGCAGTGCGAATAGACTATGAAGGTTACCATTCTACACGTCAAGAGAGCACAGCGCAAAAGGCAAGTAAGGTCATGACCTAACAAGCATTCAGCTCTCACACTGCTGATCATCTTGATACTTATTTCAACCCAGATCTGCTATCTCTTCACAAGACCTGACCAACTACTTACCACCATCCAAGTTCTTACACTCTATTCTGAAACAATCTCTCCATCCTCCTTCAAGTCAACCCCATACAAAGCTCTATTGTCTCCGAAACCATCTGTCTGGCCCACGCCTCCTGACATCACAATCTCGGAATCATGTCTTGGATACGGTTATTGTCTGGATATTGGGCCGGGTGGACTGAGACATGGTTGCGCAAGATATCGGACGCCAGTTTTCGGGGTCGGATTGCGACGTGCAACAAACGGAGTTGAGCAACGATAGGCGGCACGGATGAAGTGTTCAGATGGACGTGACTATGGTTCGGGGGTGGAATTGTGATGGAAGATTTGATGGAAGGCAGGTGACTTACGGTATGAGGTATGATTTGGGTGTGGGGTCGGAAAATTGGTTAGTATGCTGTAAGGCATTCTTCTATGTGTGGATTTCAGCTGCGAGAAATGCATGACCACCAGTAAGTCTTACTCTCAAACCATTGGACATGGTATCCCAATTCAGTTGAGTGATCCGGCTGGCTTGTGTCCACACAATTGCGATCGTTCTTACCGCCCCGAATCATTCGTGTACCGACCGCAAGGCTGAAATATTGTTACACTTGAGTAGGCAGGTAGCGGGTAACAGCATACATAGCGATTTCCGTCACGCTAATGATATCAGCGAGTGGGTAAATCGACGGCAGACAACAGATCGATGCATCTGATATGCAAGACGGTATGTTTCCATCCCGCTTCTCAGACACGCCCAAGAGATCTGATAAGAGAATAGCCAAATTAGAAATAGAACATAATACGGTGGAATATTCTTTCGGCTTGCTGCATTTGAGTAAATTGGCTGTACCGAGCCCAGAAGTGGTGAGAACATGGAAGCGAGATTCGGAATGTATAATCTAGTTGAGTGTTGGAATACGCAAGAGACCGCTAAATTCCTTTTCCGGCTCGTTCCAAGAAATATCTGTGTGTAACCCATATGAGTTAGCACTTTTATTTCCCCGTTCGAAACATACAAGTACACGCAAACAGACGGTAATATGTTTCGACACTACATGATATCTGCGGCGCAGATATCGGATGGTAGTATTTGAGGAAGAGCCATGGTATTGACGTGCAGTTGGGGTGAACCGAAGGATTTCCTTCAAGCAGGACTTCAACGAGAATGCAAGGGTAGAATACTTGTCGCGGCCCTTTCAGTACAAAATGTAAAATGTGTAACTTCGAATGCTCAGCCAATATTTCACCTAGGACACACTGTTAGGCAGTAGATACATGATGATCTGGCGACAAGCTCAGGTACATAATCAAGCATTGGCTTTCCCAGTCTCTCCAAAGCGTATCCTATTGAATCGACTGTCTAATCTCTGAGCTTGCTACCGTCAAGAGTCGGCATTCATGCTGTGTTGCAGGACACGCAAGCCACGAATACTTCTATTCGCCAAATCAAAATTGGAAGTAAAAGTGCCATCACGATGTGTGATTTTCCGAGTGCACCAATGAAAGTCACAACGTCAAGAACGAGCCCAAAATACTCCTTTAGGTATTCAGCACTCCTGACAAGGACATCGATAATCATGTTGTGTGATGTTTGACAAGCCATCCGGGAATCTCTTGCAGAAAACGAAATGGCGGAGAGAGTGAAAATCAGGACATGGACTTGTCAGCCTGCAACGACCCGCTTGAGGAAGCATTGAAGGAAGAACGCACATGGCGCTAGTCTATATCGAATCAGCAAGAGTGCGACAGATAGCAAGGGCATCTCAACAAGGCAGAGTGGTACCAAGCAGGAGGGAGTGCCGAAGAGGCCCAGTCGACTTGGATATCTTGGAGCAGCTGTGGATTGCTCGAGCGTTTCTCGCGTGTGAAAAGTTGGGGATCCCCTCAACTGGCGGTCCGCTCTTCTGCAAGACTCCCTGCGTCGATCCCGTCGTGGTGTGCGAGAAGGTCAGCGTGTGGAGAGATGATAGTGAGATGATTGTTGGCTTCAAGCACGAGGCTCACAAATCTGATGGTCAACAGCCAACGATTGATAGTCAACCTCCTGTGATACCACTCCCCCTACACTCCCCGTTGTCGTATGACTGAAGGCTGGCTCGCTCATTGATGCTGGCGACGACATCGCCAATACCGAGACCTCGCCGCATCGCTGCAGCAGGTCTGCACCTGGAGCTGGTGGTGTGCGGAAGATGCTGAGCGGAGGAGACAAACGAGACAAAGTCATGAGCTGGAAAAACGCTGAGCGTATGAGATGTGACAGCCACCAGCCACGGGCTTCGAAGGGCAGGCCATGAGAGGATGAGGAAGCGAAGAAATGAAGCCGTTGATGATTCCAATTGGCGGGAGAAGTTAGGAAGTGACACGCCAAACGCCATGTCGACTAGACGAGGCCAGTGGAATTAGTGCGCGGGACGGCTCTTGTCGTCCGCCGTTGTCATCTCCGTAGACCTGTAGACCTCGCTGTCGTCCCCAGATTCTCCTCCAGAGCCTCGAGCCCAGAATCACCAGATCCTGTGGGATGGTTTCCGTACATCTAGCTGCCATCCGCTTGTGCACTTTCTGTCGTCAATCATCAGAAACGGCGTATAGTGAATTACCAACACACTTATCAATCTGCCGCTACATTCACTTGACCTGTCTTGCCCTACTGCAACTCGATGCGCCCATTCCAATTATATACATTTTGGCCACGTTGTGAGCGCTAGAAACCGCCTTCAAATACAGTCATCCGCCCTCCAAGAGTGGCCTCCAAGAGTCTTGTCCGTCGATTGGCATTTCGCATTTTGGACAACTGCACCTTGGCGTTGGCTGAAGTCTTCCCCCCCTTGACTGCCAGTCCAGTGCTCCCGGCTTCCTTCACTTCCCCGTCTCTCGTTGAAGCGCAGACCGCAGACCGCAGGACCGCCAGCCATTATTCTCTGCGTCTTCCCCACACCCTGTCAACCTCCTCTCCATCCACCTCTTACCACCTGCACCCACCACTCATCTCCCACGACCTCCCCGACGAGCCTCTTCACTCCTCCTCTCCCACGTCCTCTGTTCGTCTCGACTGATCCACCCTCCAAATTCTTCGACTCTTCCCCAGCATTTCCGCTCTGTCGAACCAAGTCGACTGCGCCGGTCGGGCTCGTCTGCCCCCCAGGTTTCGCTCACCACGCGCAGGTTAACAACGTCGATACACCTTTCGCGATTCATCCACCGATATTTCCACGACGACCCACGTAAATCTGCAGACGCTTCCAACGGGATATTGTTGCGTAGGAAATCATTGGGACTGGGAAGGATAGTCGTGAGACGCAAGCGTTCGTTATACCGTCTGCGAATACAGCTGCTGGTAGAAAGGAATGGGCCCGACGATTCGATCGCATCTACATTTGATGATTGTAAACGAAACCTCGTTCCCCGCCGTTGACGCTTCCTGTTCCCGCACCTGAAATAATCGTCCGTCGATCGAACCGCTCTTGCGATATCAAAAAGGAATAGGCATGCCTGTTAGGCTGCATCAAAATCTGATGATCACTATTACCAACTTTCTCGCCGTTGCCGACACTCGACTTTGACATTAAACCACTCTTCAAATCTTCTTGTCATTTGTCAACATGGCTATAGCCATGGCCTGGCATAAACCCGACAATGTCGCCGGTTCTTCAGCGCCTGCCATCATGGTAGGATTGTTCGTCGCAACCGGAGGACTGCTGTTCGGCTACGATACTGGGTGCGTAGACCCCTGATGTAGTGACAGGAAATAACGCCGTTACTGACGCTATATAGCACCATTTCTGGAATACTAGCAATGAAAGCGTTTCGTAAAGAATTTACTACAGGTTACTTAGACCCCAATGATAAAATGGGCAACATATCGCCAGCACAATCAGCCCAGGTTGTAGCGATATTGAGTGCCGGCACATTCTTTGGAGCACTATTGGCAGCCCCTTTGGGTGACAAGCTGGGAAGAAGGATATCACTCATAATTGCTGTCGCTATCTTCTCGCTAGGCGTCTTGCTTCAGACGGTCGCGATGGCCTTGCCGGTACTGGTGAGTGGCAGGTAAGTGTGCTCCTCCCACCAGGCGTGAGATTCAAGCTGACCTTCTGAAGATTCTTCGCTGGACTCGGTGTGGGCATCATATCCGTTCTTGTTCCTCTTTATCAATCTGAGATGGCTCCAAAATGGATACGAGGAACCTTGGTTTGCGCTTACCAGTTCGCCATCACTATTGGTCTGTTTCTTGCGGCTGTAGTGAACTTCATAACCAAGGGAATCGATGGCCCAAGTGCTTTCCGGATACCGCTCGCAATGCAATTCGTCTGGGCTGGCGTTCTTCTCCTCGGACTGATGCTGTTGCCAGAGACTCCTCGCTATCTAATCAAGCGCGGAAATCATGGTGCTGCTGCTTCATCGCTGAGTCGCCTTCGTCGTCTAGACATCACCCACCCAGCCTTGATCGAGGAACTAGCAGAAATCGAAGCGAACCATGAATACGAATTGAGCCTTGGAGCGTCTACATATCGCGATGTTTTTCTTGGATCGCCTCATCTGGGACGGCGTCTACTCACTGGATGTGGCCTCCAGATGCTTCAACAACTCTCCGGATGTAATTTCATATTCTACTATGGAACAACATTCTTTACGAACATTGGCATCTCGTCACCCTTCGTCATCGCGTTAATTACTAACATTGTCAATGTTGCTTCGACAGTTCCTGGCATGATTCTCGTGGAGTCCATCGGTCGGCGACGGCTGCTAATGATTGGAGCTGGAGGTATGGCTCTTTGCCAACTAGTCGTCGGGACTGTTGGATCAATCGAAGCGGCACAGACTAGCGCTCATATCATACTCATTGTCTTTGTGTGCTTCTACATTTTCTTCTTCGCTTCGTCATGGGGACCAGTCGTTTGGGTCGTGACTTCGGAAATTTATCCATTGAAAGTCCGAGCAAAGGCGATGTCTTTATCAACAGCCTCCAATTGGCTTCTCAATTTTGCAATCGCCTACGGCACACCATATCTTGTCAATACTGGAACGAATCTTGCGAATTTACAAGCCAAGATCTTCTTCCTTTGGGGATTTTTCTGTGTTGTATCGCTTGTGTTCGTTTGGGGCATGGTATATGAAACCAGCAAGATTAGTCTCGAGCAAATTGACGAATTGTACGAAAGAGTCGATAAAGCATGGCATAGCAAGTCCTTCCAGCCAAGTTGGAGCTTCCAGGAAATGCGAGACGAAGGAGCGTCTTCCAGTGGCGTGCAACTCACCGACCAGGACCTAGCTCGACAGCGGACAGGGACAAGTGCCAGTCAACAGAGCTCAACCTCAACGTCGGAAGAAGACAAAATTATTGCGCAATTAGGAGATGTCGATTTGAGTTATTAATGTGTTTTGACTATCAATTTTTGCTTTACGCTTTTTCATGTACTTCAGCGTTGGAGTTTCCGAATCTGGAGTTTATCACGGGAACTGTTGTTGGGGTCCTGGTTAAACATCAACTGGGGTGTTTGGTGCAATTCTGGGCTGCTTGGGTTGGGTTATGGGGTCTGGTAAGGGGTTTTCGGTGTACGAGATTCGCTTTTGCTTTCACATGGCGAGATAAGAAGCGTTCTTCTAGACAGGGGGTTGTCTGGAGCCTGCAAACCATATTCGATTCTTCGTCAAAGCGAACTTTTCATACTACAGTGTTTATTTAAAGGAGGATGAGAACAGGGAGTTATGTCGGGGATGAATATTCAAGGGATCAGAGGGCACGAATAAAATTTGTGGATGAAAAGATGTTGATACCATATCCTGCTCCCTATATTTGAGGCTACTTTAGGTATTTAGAATATCACAAAGTCCATCTTGGCCTATGGGCATCTCTTCTCATTGTGTTGTTTCGCTTGACAGCATGATTGGACTAAGGCTTACTATCCAACGTGCAAGACGCACCCGATTTACCGTCAGGTGAGACGCACGAGGTAAATCTCCTCCTGTGGTGTATGGCATGAGACATTTGAGACACCGCCCAACAGGAATCTTTCGTTCATTTGCCTCACCTACCGAGGACTGGCTCATCGTATTCAAGTCTCTCACCTCTGTCATGTTTGATACATCACGTGATGCGCAATCATCCACGATTCTATTCTCATCAACTTTCCTTCTAGAAGAGCCGTAGCAGATCACCCACTCCGCTGTTTACTCTGGATCTACTCGAATTAAATGGCAACCAATGATTGTCTCCGACCTGTGAGTTATGTCATCCATTTTATTTTGAGACGAGCTAATCAGAATCTAGCCGGAAGTGACCCTTCTATTGCCGTTTAGCCTCAACCACATCATCAATCAAAACATCTTTGTCGACAGATCACTACCACTTTTCTAATTCCCGTCGATCACTCTATCGATAACGGCTCGCGGCCCGCCGCGCTGTCCACATAATGCTTCCAAGTCTGAGATTCGACCATGTGCCCTGCGAAACTTTATACATTCTTGGGAGATGACAAAACAACCATCCTTTGTCAAATGGAATGAAGATGTTATAAGGTCAAGCAGCAAGAAAATGCGTCCTGAAGGTATCGGTACCGTATAATTCTATTTCAAACACCATTAGGATAATCAGCTCACATGGCGGCGGCATTTCCTTTGTGTTAATGCAAAACATATTTTATTGAAGTCAGGGTTGCCGCACCTAGACCAAAATACGGACTGAACATGTGCCATACTCAAATTCCCAAACCCTTTCATTCATCCAACGGAACGCATCAGCCAAGGAAGATATAGCGAACGCAATATGGCTATACCAACTTGGCAGGAATCGTGGTGACGAGATGGAGGCGTATGCTTGGCTAGTCAAGGTTGTGACATGCCGGGTTGAATTGATTGTCACCATCTCATTTATGCACCCCGGATTTCAAGGTCACATATGGTCTTTAGTGGTTCGCGGGGAAGTGGAGGAGGAAGTATAAAGTACCGTGCAAGCCACCAAGTAAGTCCTACTACCTGGTTTACTTCTTGTCGTTACTCATTCTTCAAGATCAGTTCATTCCACTTCTCATTATGAAGCTCTCTATCTTCTCTGCGGCTCTGCTCACCGCGTCCGTCAACGGCCATGGCATGTGGCAGAAGCTTAAGGTCAATGGCGTGGACCAAGGTCAATCCAACGGTATCTCACCACCGTCGTCCAACAACCCTGTTCAAGTTGTCAGCGGAGCATCAATCGCTTGCAACACGGGTCTGAAGAAGAGCAATACTGTCATCACTGTACCTGCCGGTGCTAAAGTCGCCAGTTGGTTTCAACATGTTATCGGAGGTGCTCAATACGCCAACGATGCTGATAATCCGATTGCGGCTAGTCACAAGGGTCCAATCCAAGTTTACCTTGCCAAGGTATGGTTTTACTATGCTTCCTTATCCTCACGCCGGATGGAAAGATCATCCTTGCAATATCTCGAGTCACTAACAAACCCAGGTTGACGATGCCGCCACTGCTTCAAACTACAACGCCCTTTCCTGGTTCAAAATTGCTGAAGAAGGACTGAATACCCAAACCGGCAAATGGGCTGTCGACACCATGATCGCCGGCCAAGGCTGGTGGGAGTTCACGATGCCAACCTGTGTCGCCCCTGGTCAATACCTCATGCGCATCGAGCTGCTCGCTCTCCACTCCGCTTACTCGTCAGGCGCCGCACAATTCTATATGTCGTGCGCGAACATCCAGGTCACGGGTAGTGGAACTAGCACGGGAAGTCAGCTTGTGAAGTTCCCGGGCGCGTATAGTGCGAATGACCCTGGAATTATGCTTAATATCTACTCGAGTGGAAAGCCTAGTGTGCCAAATAATGATGGGAAGCCTTATAAGATTCCAGGTATATTTTACTCTTATCTTATACACAAAAATTATATTGTATATACGGTGCTAATCTTCATGACAGGTCCAGCGAAGTTGCAGTGCTAGGACAGAGGAAACTACAATAAAGTGAATCGGCGAGGGCAGGATGTACCACGAGGCTGGTCCTAGGGTCGTTTGTTGTTTATCATGTACATACTTTGATATTCCTGTTATATACTCGACATGTTCTCCCCTGAACCTAATCCTCTGTTTCTCTTAGGCCTCGAAAACAAAACGAATTAACAAAGCTTTCATCCTCCTATACTTACTCTCTGGGGGCAAATTACTACATTTCTGCATAGTGTTGAAACTATAACAATCCAACGTTTGCTACTGTCTATAAAGAGAGAGGGTCAATGGTTAAGGAATCGACTGAGGGTCGTTTGGACACTAACCTCATCAGCCAGTTTTTCTGTCAAAAACCCTACTCCTTTCCTCATCTCTTGCGCTCATTTTGAATAGCTAGTTCCACGTGTTCTAATGCAATGCTAAACTTCTCTTCTTCTACTCCACATCTCAAACGCAAAGTTACCTACAACATCCGCCCCCAAATCTCGCTTAGCAGACAAATACGTCCTCAACGCAAGCTGCTCTCTTATCACGAGAACTTCCTGTTCTAGGTGAGGGGGTGGTTAGGGAAGTGAATGGGTTGGGTGTGGTTTTGTCGACGGTTGAGTGGGAGGGCTTTGAAATGTGAAGAGTGTTAAATGTATAAGTAGTTGAATGCCTTGTCAAAGAGTGATATAACTTTCATTCAAATTTAGATTGGCAAGTGAAGCCGAGCAGCAGATGTTAAAGTTGTCGATGATATGACTATGATCGGGTGGAACTGAAACATTTCTCGGTACCGAAGATGTCCGCATGAGTGAGAATGTATTTCACAACGCATCAGAAGCTAATCCATCCAGGTATCTTGCCTTTTTTAAAGGAGATTGGAATCGTAGTATTTGTGTCATTGCGATCAACCTCAATATAGCAACTAGTTTAGCATCTCAGAACGTACCGGTGTAATTGAATTTTTCAAGATCCCGATAGCAAGGCTGAAAGCTTCTGCAAGTGTATGGTTGGGAACTTTTGGTTCCAAGTATCACTGTCAACTATTTAGTTCTCAGTGCAGCGTGGGATCTGTCAATCATGAAGTGTCTTGAGGGTAGTTTATGATGATGTGCCCCACCAAATTATATTGCTTTTCAAAATCAGGGTTTCTGTAACGCATATAGTTTACTTGCAGAATGAGCCAAATGGCTAATAAAAAAAAGTTCATATATAATTGCTACGATCGCCACTGTTTGATATCGTGGTTAGTTGATACTAAAGCTGTGTGAATTTTTAGTAGTACATACAGCAGCTAGGTATTTATTGTCCAAGTATTAGTGCGCCGCTATTTTCTACTTCGTGTTTGACTACAATAATTTCAATAATAGAGATTGCTTCGATAGGTTTAAGCTTCTTGAAAAACAAAGGGAAATAGCCGGACTAACCAAAATAAAAGATAGGAATACCAACTGTCCACGAAAGAAAAAGCGGTTCCCTGAATAATGCTTTCCGCGGGTTCAGCAATTCTCTGACACCATAGTGTATGCTGGGCGCTATCGTCTGATGATTGTCGTCGGTCTATTGGTCGCTGCACGAACTAGGAAGCGCATGTGTGCAGCCATGCAGCGTCAGCTGGACATTTGACCGTAAGCGTGCATAGCCTTGGACAACAAGTCCTTAACCTGAAATACAATAATAAATTGTTGAACTGAACATCAAATCACCGTACTCCAGCTATTTTCTCTTGGTCTGAAACCTGAACAGAAATGGAAACGACGGATGGCTCAGTTGACCTGGAAGCAGGTAGGATTACGGGGAATGGGACCCAAGCAGAGCCAACTGGTGCAGAAGGAAATGAAAGAATAAGATATCCGTGGATAGAAGAGTCAATCAAGTTACTGGAAAGTGATCCTCAGTGCGCAGTCTATTTAATGACATATCGTAGTCTAGACTTGCTAACATTAGAATAGGTATGAATCTCTGGTGAAACGATGGAGATCTGATATTAACGGACAATTTCCCCAAACTGAAAATTTAGAGGCTCTGGAGGGGTATGTTAATAGTCGTTACGGTCGTCTCGTAGCTCCCATCTACGCAGTGATCGAATCGAAACAAGCCGAGCTGTCTATTCGAACTTTTTCCAAGTCTGAAGAAAGCAAGTTTTGCCAGTCTCTTAGGACGGGAGACGTGAGCGTTGATTCCCGCGCAGTGGTCATTGAGCTATCTTGTTTCGAGTGTTCTAAGCGTAAAGTAGAAGAGGAACATGTTCCGTATGAATTATGGAAGGCCCTACCTAGCAAGGCCATCACAGAAGCCCTGGGCTCTACCTACCATTTGCACCCTTCTATCTTCCAGAATATGATGCATATGAAGGAGCGGAGCTTTTGGACAAGCCCTTCGTGCAATGGTCGAAGCACAAAGGTTAATTCTTCGTACAATCCACTCTCCCAACATCCTCAAATGGCTCGATTGAACTCAACACACATTTGCATTAGCATTGAAGAAATATCTTTCACCGGAGAATCCGTCGAGCCAAAATGCAATCTATGGCTTACAAGTGATGATGTCAACAACACAAGTGAGTCGCATTTTGTGTTTATATCAATGATCATAAGAGTCTTGTCACAAGCGCCACTCTTGCTTGGATGTTTATCAATCTAATGGGAGATTAGTTGTTATCTTCTGGATGCCAGCAGGAGCGAAATGCCCAATGCCGAGAAGAGTGCCTCGTGATGCGACCACACTCACGACACAGACGTATACGAACATCGATAGATCCCCAGGAACTGAACTGCCTTTTGAAACCACCACTTACCTGTTGGTAAGTATATTAGAGCGGGTTTTGACCGAGATCAAAGGCTTCTCGCAATCGCAAATCCAAGCCGCAAACAAGACCCCCATCGACTTCGTTCTCCCTTTCCTCGATAGCTTTGAGCTGCCATTTTTGTCTAGGATCATGGAATTGCGGGAATCTCACAAGCTATGGTACGACCAGCAAAAGCGGAGTTATGGTCGCCCACATACTCAAGCTGCGAAGTTTGACTCTTTGATGTCGCTCGCGTGGAAGAAAAGCCGTTTCTCAATCGAAAACTTCCAGGAAACGGTTGACCAACTAGAAGATGTTCACAATGGGCTCTACTCTCGGTTTAAACAACATGCCAAGCAAAGTAAAGTGCTAGCAATCACAATCGCACGGCAGACCCGTGCTTTACACAAAGGTCGCATCCTAGAGCAACATGTCCGCGAGGAGCTTCAAGTGAATAGTGCAGGCCTGTCACTCCAAGAGTCCAGAAAATCTATCGACCAGGCCAACTCAGTCGGCCGTATATCATTTCTGGCATTTATCTTTCTTCCCTTATCTCTAGTGATGTCTTTTTACGGGATGAATATCTCAGATATCACTGGTTCTGGAGCTTCTTGGAAAGCCTTCTTGGGTTCTCTGATAGCTCTCTGCGTCTTGGTAGTTTTAGTGTGTGCGATAATGTGGAAACCCGAAAGCTGGCTTTTATACACCAACTTTTTGCGTATTTGTGTCCAATTTTTCGCACGCCTTGAGCGGTTTCTTACGGAAATATGGGAAATTTTGATAATAATACTTGTCTCCTGGTTTGTAGACCCAGTCATCAAGCTTGTCAAACGCCTCAATTGAGGCTCTTCTTTCGAGGAGTATTTGAACAGAGAACCATGTAATTCTCATCGAGAAGCGAGTTGTAAAGAGGCTACCGAAAGAATGGAGCTTCGTCAGAGAAAATTGAACGGCGAATATAAGTAACAGAATTCGAAAAGTACCTACTAGTAGAGCTCAAGAATCGCGAGACGACCTCTTTCAAAGAAACCTCAACAGCAGATGTTTTAACGCAAATGCGTGCACCTGAGATTCTATTCGTGTTCCGTTTACCGCAAGGAGCTTCAAGGAGATCTGGGTGAATGACATCGACAGGTTTTAGTATTTCCTGGCGAAGTGTCGATGTCAACATACATTTCCTGTTGATCAGAGTCGGGGATTTCATAGGCGAGGTATTTATAGGCTGAGGGAGTTTATTCTTGTCGGCAGATCCATTAGGCACTCGTATAGAGAGTCTATCAAGTTATAAAAACGAATTTTATAATATTCAAAAGTGTGTTAAGGTCCTGCACCCATTCGTAGATTGAACAGAGAATCGTGCTTGGAGAGGGCCCACTTTCCCCAGTCTTGGCAGCACCATGACCCACAAAACCTCACCTCGCTCAGATCGTTATACCTACTGCGTAAGGTTCTTGCGACCATAAACCACGACAAGATGAAATCAATATCCCTAATATCAATATTATCCTTCGCAACCACCATCCTCAGCATAGATCATCAAATCCCAATAATGCCCGACCAAAACCTCGGTCCCGCACTCCCCTCCTCCCCCTCCAAAACCCCCTCCAACCCACCACCCTCCTCAAACAACAACATCTACCTCTCCGACGTCCTCGGCACCTCCCGAAGCATCAACATCTTTGCAGGCTTCACCCGCGACTTCGCGCCCATCTCCCAGCGCTTCGAAGACGAGAATCTGAACACCACGATCCTGGCCCCACTAAACAGCGCTATCATGGCGCTTCCCCGGAAACCGTGGGAGGATCCGGCGGATGGCGGGGAAGGTGTGTATGATGCGGCTGGGGGAGAGGAGAAGGCGCAGAGAAATTTGATGAGGTTTGTGGAGGCGCATGTGGTGGGTGTGAGTCCTTGGGAGAAGGGGCAGAGAACGAAGACGCTTGAGGGGGGAGAGGTCTGGTGGGAGGAGAAGGGGGGAAAGAAAGTTGTGAGTTTTGATTTCGGAGGGTGTTGGTAGAGGTGATTGTTTGCTAACGGAGTGCTAGATCCAACCAGGCGATATCGAGGTTGATTCAGTTGCTAATCAGGTTCATAATGGGGAGGTCTGGATTTTGAAGGGAGTCAGGAATTACAAGTAGAGCACAACAAAAATAGTATGGGTAGGTTTGGATTTGGGCGTTTGAGGGAAGGGAGTACAAGCAATTGGCATAGTGACGAATTGGATTAAATTATGCGGCTAGGAGCAACCGCGGGGTAAATTAGCGACATCTACGAACTGTTAAAACACAAGTCGACGATATAATGAACGAGTGGTAGCCTCAACGAGGCAATATATAGTTGGAGCGTCTGGCGTAGCATCATCTGGACATCTAGAGTAGACTCTGCATCAAACGTATGGATATTATAAATTACGACGAGCTAGAATCTCCTTTCACGTGGCTATTCATATCAATGCGAGTGCAGATTCTGTTTTCATCAATGCCATGGTCATATGTAGGATGTTCCATTATGACAAGATAATCCAGGTAAAATTCTCAAATTATCAGAGAACGCCGCGCCATATCAAGATCCCAAGCCCCATACGTCGCAAAATCGCAGCCTATCTACATTAAAACGCAGCATGAGTTCTGCTTCTTCGCTTGTGCTAAACATTTGTTAGCTACGTTCTATCCCAGCAGGCACTTTATGCCTGTATCACTTGGTATGTGCGTCTGGGTACTTACTATAAAACATTTTGCTCTGAGCACTCAGTCCATCACTTTTCGCTACTAGATCATCAATCTTCTCTCCCCTCTGCAACACACTCTCAATGGTCTTATGCAACACAATCTTCGTCTCGTCAAGCTCCTTCTGGATCTTCATAATACTATCCGCCTGCTGGGGATCCTGGTATTTCGTCAAGTAATCTTTGAGTTCTGGGAATTCAAGCGTGGGTGTTGAGTTTGCCCATTCGGTCCGGGGATGGGCTGTGAGGAATTCGTCCACGACTTTGGAAAGGAGTTGATGTGCTACGAGGGCTGGATACGAGTGGTCGCTGATTATGATACCGCATACGCCTTCTGTTCGGCCATAGGCATGGAATGTGTAATCTAAAAGGGCATTAGATCTTGGTGTGTTTCTTACTTCCGTCTGGGTCCATCGTACCTTGCTCCTCTACATCCTGCCGTTGTCCAGGCTTCGTTCTTTCCGCCACCGTTTTGCTGAAGAGAGTCATGAATTCTCCATAGCTACACTCATACTCTTGAATTAGCATCTGTTCTCGGATACCTAATTTCCCTTCCCTCGATATCATTTTGCCCCTCCTTTGAACATCCAGTATTTCGAACCAAGAAGCTTATTCGAGTTTGAGAATTTGAAAAGACGTACTTATTCCTCGTAAATCTCGAATAGGCAGAAAGCTCTTTCTCGGCCACCAACTCATGTGCGGGTTTCGACTCGTTCTTAATGATCTAACAACCCAAGACACAATCAGCGGTCAATCTTCCAGGGTTTGCGCAAGCTGAACCTACACCAATATAGTGCAACTTCATATTTGCGGATCCTGTTGGCCTGGGGGTATGCGACAATAGTGTGTGTGAAAGCCGAGGAGATTGTGGAAGGCGGAATTTGAAAAATGCTTTGTTGAATGAAGCCCGTTTGATGATTGCCTCGACCGTTGACGTGCACTGAATGGGCTGTGACCATCACATGCGGCAGGCTTCGGACAAGGGAGAATAATGTTCCGGCCAAAACCTGGTGGGGCAGTTTTGAGGCCGATTTTGTCGGCCTTCGAACGTCGCTTCATAAATACTCGAGGAAGCAACACACAAATGCTGGGATGGTTTCCAGACAAACATCTACCTATTGCAAGGATAGTAGACGACTAGGTCACACTTTCTCACTACTACCAATATCCATCTATCGGACTGTTTTAAGGACAACAGTATAATATTCCACTCCTTACCGTAGTTGGGACCATTAGGGAGGTGCATTCAGGTGAAAGACATCTTATCATTGTTTGGATCAAACGTACTGGTCCATTTCCGATGTATTTTACATGTTCTATGATTTCGTTTATAGAATTGGGCTTTTTAAATAGGCTGGTTTAGTTTAGCTGCCATGTTATATTAAGGTACGTGCCTTGGTGGGCTCTGCCTGCGAAGCATCATCAAAACCTCATCAAAACCTCATCTCGAACAGAGTTGAGCTTTTTCTTGATAGCTTTTCGATAATTTGTTTTACTTTTTTACTCTCTTTGTCAACGTTCTGTTCAGCTCTGAATCATCTCCATTCTCTATTTTCTTCTTTTATCAACGTCAGTGCATTACGAAGTACCACACTGTCGGGATATTGGGAAAGAGCAGATTCAAGCTCGGCGATACCATCCAAGAGCAGCCCCTTCGAAATGTGGAGTTTTGCAAGTTTCAAAGTCTGTTCCTCGATTTTCTCCCGGTTTGGGTCTGGCTTTTCATACTCGAGACGACGAGCCTTGATTATTTGAGCGGCATTCTTTAAAGTCGCACTGTTGCGATGATGTCGGTTGACAATGAAGAATACGTCCATCGTAACCGGGCCCCACGGTTCTTCCGCTAAATTCTCAACGAGTCGGATGACTAGTCTTTCTATCATATCTAAAGGCATCATTCCCATTGTCCCTTTTTTGACAGTCAGTGTCAATGCGCCGTGAGCTGTGATCAGAGATTCCTGTTGCAGCCCAAGTTTCCAAGTTATTGAACTGACCTTGTCCAACAGATCAACCACAGGAGTATAATCCTTATTCCATTCATAATGATACCTGAGAGTCTGACATTCCATGCGATCGTGAATGCCATATAGGTCGGTGTCGGAAGCAAATACTAAATACTTATATGCCCGCGTCCATCCAGCCGTGTCCTCACACACTGTCAGCCTTGTAGCCAATGCGATGAAGTCAGTTGCTGTAAGATATTCCCAGTTTATATGAAGATGGTCAATACTCGTCGGTTGCTGAGTCCCGACCAATTCATTCAAGTCCAGATCATCTGGTGAGCTTGTCGTAGGCAAATCCCCAAGCAATACATAGCTGTCCTTATTTCCACGGGTCTTCGTCATGTCAACAACGTCCTTAACTATTCGTAGCCTTAGATTGACAATAGAACGTATCCTAGCATTAAGACGAGGTGCAAATGTTGGGGGAGATTTCATATCTTGTGGTCGCCCACATACATCAGATCCATCCATCATATTGAAGAATCTGCTTAAATCAGAAGTTCGGACTATACCAACGATATCGTCTTCTTTGGTATGGTGCTGGTCAGAGAGCAGGCCATCTAAATTAATGCGGAGTGTTTCAAGACTCGCTGGCCGTAAAATACGTATCGGCAATCCGCTATAAAGATGTCTCAGGTAGTCCTCAATGGGCTGGCGTTGGAAGTGTTCGAAGGAGTTCTTCGTATAGAAGTATTCGAGGCTTTCCTTAGAAATCTCTCTATTGAGTGTAAAAAGAGAGCAATTGATGTTCTTGAAGTCGAGGACGAAGCAACTGCTGTATGCAATTTGATGATTATCCGAGGTCGACGAAAATGTCGAACTTGAAGAAGCCGGTGGTGTTGTTTGTTCAGTAGGTAAATTTGAAGTCGATAAAGTTATAGGTCGTAGGACGAGAAGAGTATGTGAGTATATTATCTGTCTTATATCATATCCCACACCTGCTAGACAGGCGTATGGATAGTCGACAGTCTGCAGCACCTCTTTAGAGCCAGTGCTAGGTGTCTCCATCTTGATCTCCGGCATGTCTGTCATAATGAGACACTTGAACGGTGGTTGTTTGCTTTGTTTGAGAGTTTCGCAAATATTCACTTTTGTAGGTGAAAGTCTAGGAAACTTCCTGTCACGGTTGTTTTTTATTCTTTCTATTCAACCTAGTACCATTTTTTGTGACTAACATACTAGTTCATATTCAGTGAGTAACACTAAGAAACGTGTGACGAATCTTCTCTCAAAGCCAGATTTATTAGTCATGGCAAAACTGTGTTACAAATTGCAACACACCAAAGTGGCATGGAATGTAAGGCGGATCAACTTAGGCATCTTCTTACGTCTGAATGGTGCTATGCTGGATAGAACAACCTATCAAGATCAAGAAACTGCATTCTAATGTGTAACATAATAAGTTCGATGGTCCTTGAATGTAATGTCACTTTAACTCCAATCAACTTCACCCAAATGGCACATTTGGTTTTGAATACCCAAGGTTCTGTTTTAATTTAAATCTTCTTGGGGTTAGATAATCTTGGGACTAGCCGCAAGTCTTGCCAACAATCCTTCGCAAATCGGAGATGTGAAATTTTTGCAAAAGCGTATAGCAGGTCACCAGCATCATTTATCTGCATTGCAATCGGAAGTTTCTTTATATTTGATCTATTTACATTATGCAAAATTGTTTTGATCGGGAATGTGTAAAAAGTAAAGAATTTCTAACTGGAAGATATTTCATTGCCATCAGATCTACCTTCTTCAAGTTCCTCCTTATCTCACTTTGATTTTGAATTCGCCGCAAGACGTAAATCCTCAATATCGCTGAGTGCATTGCTCAGAATTAAGCTTTCAGGGTGTTGAGCAAGAGCACAATTAACCTCATTGATAGCAATGCCCCATAAGACATCTGATATATAGGAATTTACGAGCTGAATAGTTGTCAGTTCCAACTGGTACAAACGCTTTTCTTCTGCCTCAGCTTCCGCTTGGCGAGCTTTAATGTCAATGAGAGTATTCTGTAACACTACACTTCCGGGGTAACGGTGAAGAGCATAGCGAACCTCCTGGTTAGCTTCATCCCAGGATTTCTCTGCCATCAAGAGATCTACTAATCGGACAAGTATAGGTTCCATCTTTTCGACAGGGTAAAGCGTTACCTGTAAATATCTTCTTTGTTTCTGAAGTAGATTAGATACGGCGTCAGCTGCAACCAAGGCCTTCTCTCTTAACCCCAACTTCAAGCAGAGTGACATCATCTCGTCAAAAAGCTCAACTTCGAATTCAAAATGGTCGTCAGTATCGAAGCTGAAATCGGGGTCTGTGATACCGGTTTCTGAAACCCGCCATTTACAGCACAATAGTAAGTATGCAAGTGCTCTTTTCCAGTCAGCTGGCTCCTCTCTGATAGCCAGTGACTTGGCTATATTCAAGAAAGCTTCGCCCCCGAATAAACCCCAATCTACTTGACGCTCCTCGGCTCTGATCTTCTGTTTTGTTTGAGGCTGTTCTGGTTTTACACTTGTATTTCTGGAACTCTCTGGGATGTACCGCTCTGGAATACGATCGATGAGAAGCTGACCGAGTCGCCCTCTCTGAGACCCCAATAAAGAGTCCATAAGTTCTTTGGCAACCCGTAACATATTAAATGCTTTAGACGGTATCGTGCGATTAGAATCATGCACCAAATCTACTGTGTCGTCATCACCAGCGAGGTCGTGAACGGACTTCTCTACAAGTTGCAAAAGTATCTTTAGTTCAGAATATCTGACCATACCAGCAGTTTTATCTTGACTAGTCTGTTTTCCCAAACGCGAAAAAAGATCTTCCGCTCTCATAAAAAGCGTCGTAACGCCAGAAGGTTGTCTCTCAGGGCGAAAGAGTCTCGCAGGAAGTCGACCTTGCCAGGAGTACCAAGAATTACTCACAGAAGAAGACACCTCGGATTCCGCAATATCATCAGTCTCAACATCTCCCAATGTGTTTTTGGTATAGAAATACTGCAGACTTTCATTTGATATCTGCTTATTTACTCTAAAAAGAGCGCAGTTAGTGCTGCCGAAGTCAACAACAAGTGCCTCAATGGTCCCTAGATCAGGATCAGTAGAGGTCTCCAATGGTTTCAAAATGGATATCTGTGTTTGTCGAACAGGGAGTAGCACATAGCTGTAAATCATATATCTGACATCATAGCCTACACCACCAAGCGATGCGGGAGGATAGTCCATTGTAATCTTATTAGACAACGTCTTGTTTCAAAATTATCTAGGGTGTAAGGATATCTAGAAATGCAAATAGTGTTTAGATATACTCTTGAGGTATACTAATAAGAACGAAGAGTAGCGGTAAGAATTCATGAGGTGCCATGATCTATGTTCTGTGAACTGCTGTTGTTTACTTGTTAAGCGAGATATCCTTTGTTGTTTTTTGTACACCACCTGAATTGCGTCTTTCAATGAGTATCACCATCACTTTGTCATTGTTACTAGAGGACTGTTTTTAGACTGCTGACTTGCCAAAGACTGTGCTAATGGCTGTATTTCCAAAGATCGCGCCACTACGGGCGCCACTACGGGCGCCACTACGGCGAAAGCAATGGTTGTGAGTAACAAGTTGTAATGTCCATAAATCTAGCCCTTAAAAAAAAATTTGAAATTCAAACAAACCGTATAATCCGAGTTGTGTACATTATTATCGTATTGGTTGTTAAGGACTTTTGTAATACTAGCTTTTTAAGTAATCAATATCCATTATTCTAAAACCCCACTTATAGGTGTAATACCACTTACCTTACTGTTTTTTCTTAGTTACTTTACTTGTGAAGACACCAATTTCCAAAACTTCGTACTGTAACAAGTTTTCGTTTTCATTAATTCAACCTCAGAAATAAGAATAAAATCTAACATTCTTAATAATATATGGTGTATACAAACAATAACCGTGTAAGTATAGCCTGGAACTTATTTCACTAGTTTTGAATAGGTTTTGGTAGTCGAACAGACCTCTGTTTCCCATATTTTGTGGTTGAATCTTTTAATATGAGTCGCCTGCACTAGGTTTCGTTATTTACAAAGACTGAAGGATGGTGGTTGTAAGCTTATACTAGATGTCGTCTTAGGGTATTCTCTTGTGAATATACACGGCTTTCTCTCTGTTTTTCTCTTCGGGGGACAAAACACTAAACAAAAACTGGAAACCCATAGGATACAGCCTTTCAATTGACAACGTATGACATGAAATGTTCGGTTAATATTATGCAGGCAGTCCAGCTAGGAACTGCGTTCTTCCAAATTTGGAGTGTAAAAATGCAGAGTTTGTGAACAAGAGTGTTGAGGGGTTAGGATTACAAATATTATGATCAATGGAAAGATTAGGAAAGGCATTATATCATTTGATGAAGAGTATTAAGTTTCCGGCCAGTAACCACATTCCGATTTCGAGAATTATTTAATAGGTCTGCAGAAACAAGCACTTTTCATCTTCAATAACTCTCATTTCTAAACGACACAGCAAGTAAAGTCTTACGGTCAAGAAATAGTTAGTTTAGGTAATTATTTGCAATTTTTCGTTTTTAGTTCTAGTACTCTCCTACAAAGCAATGTCGTGTGATTCTAAACGGCAGCATCTAATTTCAAAACGGCGTCCGGTAGCACTTTGCTACTTGGAAAATGAGCAAGGGCGGAATGAACCTCTGATACCGCATCATAATAGATCACTTTCTCCGAGGCGGAAAGACTCACGAGCTCCATAGCTAGTGCCTCAATTTCCTTCTGCTCTCTCCTCAGCCTCTCTGCCTCCTCACTACGAGCCTCGAATTGTAGAACCAAAATGTCGCAAACAGCATTCTGCAAGACAACGCTATCAGGATACAAGGTAAGAGCAGAATCTGCTTCAGCCAAAGCCTTATCCCACGATTCTTCCATGATAAACATATTGACAAGTCTCATTGTAAGTTTCTCTACTTCATCTTGATGTATCTTCTGCTTCTCGGCTTGGATACGACGACTTCTAATCGTTGGAACTGCATTCCGCAATACCGAACTATTTGGGTAACGATTGCAAACCTCAATTATATGTCGCATAGCTTCTTCCCATTCCTCTTCCGCGAGGTAACTGTTCACTACTCTTAGTGTTATTTCCTCTATAGCCCTCAGCTGCAACGGGTCGCCGGTGTTGCGGCCCACTCTCAGAGCCACGAGGGAGGTCGCCATGGCAAGTTCTCGTATATTCAAGCTCGAAAATATTAAGCTGATCTGGTCGAGCAGCTGAAAGAAAAGTAATGACTGTTCTGGAGTCCGACTGGGACTCCTTTCCCACCTAGGGTCCTGATCGGTTGATAGAAGGACGTTGATATCTCCGCCATTCAGGTTAGCAGCGGCTATCAAATATTCATATGCTTTGATTCGATCTGCAGAGTTCTCGCTACTTGATAGCACCTTGGCTTTTGCGATACATTCCGCTGTCATAGCTTCGATTTCTGATCTGTGCAATGGGTGTAAGTTTGTTGCTTTTTCAATCTGCAGGCGTTGGTCCGCATTTAGTTTACCAGATATGTCCAGTTGTATTGTTGGATCGTGTTCCGGGCTGAACCAAGGTTGCGACGTTTGAATCCGGCGAAATCTAATGGAGCTCATCATCCCCTGGGTCGTTTGAGGTCTCCATTTCTTGTTGTGTCGTATTTTCAAGTTGAAATCAAGAGATACTTTGACGACTTTATCTTTGGTAAAACATGCATAGTTGCGAGCGTCCATGAACTCAAAGAGCTTTCCTAGATCTGAGCTTCTAATCATCAGTGAAAGCCCTGCCTGCAATATGTTCCATCTACTGTCGAGTGCTGTCTGTAAAGTCTGTAAACTGACACGAAGGATAGCTGCACTATGTAGGCGCTCTTCCAAACGAAAAAGTTTCACGGGTAGGGCTTGCATCAATGTGTCTCGGTAGTAACAGGAAAAACCTGTACGGACGTGAACAAAATGGTTGTTTGTATAAAAGTACTCGAGACTTTCTCGGGACATTTTCCGGTTGACTCTGAAGAGAGCTGTGCTGACGTGTTGAAAATCAAGTAATAGACAGTTGGTATAAGTTTTTGAGCCGTATGTTTCTGAATCCAAAGACACAGTTGTGAGCGCTGTTGGGTCTTTGACGAGGAGTGCATATTCGTATATCAATTGTCTGATATCAAAACTAATACCCGCCAAAGAGGCGAGTGGGTAATATACATGCTGCGACATGTTTTGAGGGAGACTGCAGGTGATTCAGTCTTCGGGTTTTGAAATGCAATAATAGAAAGGGATACTTAGGTACCGACTTGTTCAGACGGCTAAGCATGGATTCGGAAATAGTTGGTGCAAATTAATATATTTGGGAGTGAATTTGGAAACTAATTTATCTTTAGCACTCATAGCTGTACTGTTCATTCTAAATTCCCACTTGTTCTTATTTGCTCCATTATTTTTTACATTCACTGGCAAGGGAGTAACCACAGTTCAACTCTGCAAGTTTTCTTATTGTCGGATCCTTTGAGTCTCCCATCCCGACAAAGAGTCAAAGTCTACAACAAAGCGATAGTCCATTTAAGACAAAAGCTGGAATCTTGAGCAAACCTAGACAATGATTGTTAGCAACAAAGGACTATTCCTACAACTCCCCACTCATCCTAACATATCTCTTAGGTTTCTCTCTCTGGGAACTTTAAAGAATGTTTTTTCCTTTGCTTGCTTAGTAAAGTGAATCCATCTCTTTGCAATTGTTTAGTGTGGAATACTCTATTTCTCGCACCCACTTATTCGCTGTAGTTTAGGGAGCAAAACAGCTTTTGTGCTCTACTAACGTCAGACCGGCTGTACCTAAGTACAAATCAATTTAGGAAGAAGATTCGTCCCTCGTTATTCTAAGGATTTATGTTATAAAATTAGGGGTCTCCCAAATGTCCATGTCAAACATTAATGCAAAACAGGGTTCCAACAACGTTATTAACATGCGAATAAGGTCTGAAACATTGGATCAAAAAATGATGAAGCGCGATATCATAAGACTTATTACTAGTTGAAGTATCCCACCAATTCCATGGGACGATCCAGAAAGGGACGTTCCCCTATCATCTTTGTCCAACGTCACACCTAGGTAGTGTAAGGCTCGCTCAGCAGACTTCATGCGTCGGCAACGACATGGAAATGCTTCATAGTCAAGAAGAGAATGTGGGATAGTAGATGAACAAGAAATATTGTTGCAGATATAGGAATTTTACATCTCAGTACTGGAATGTAAAATGGCGAGTGAGAGCGGCAGTAAATACACGGCTCCATGGATGTAGAGGGATACCAAAATCGGAACTTAACATTCTTGCACTGAATGTTTACCTCCAGAATACGAGAAAAAGCATAGATGAGTTGTGGATGCTAAATTGGTAGCGTTAGAAAGAGACCGCTCTGTCCCTCTGATTATTTAGCTGATGTGATTAGAAGGTTTTCCAAGAATCGTCCATCTTCCCAGAAGTGCAGTGGGTCTTCAAGTCGTCTGAAGCATGAGATTAGCATGATGATCACAACGGCATTTGTTGAAGTATACGCAATGTTTCCAAATTTCAAACAGTTGAGTACCATCTACAATAGCCTGCCTCGAGTCCTGACTCAACAGGACTTGTAGCACCGTTTCTCTCGATTTTTGGACCATCCCAAAACTCGCGTGATGCTTCGAGCTATACATGTCACAAGATTAGAAAGAATTCTCGGTAAATTCATGCTCCTGTGCACCAGGCATATATCCGTTGTTCTGACAGTTTCAGCGCTCATTGCATCTACCTCATACACCAAGATCAGACCCACTTCATAATCAATACTCATTTCATACCGTGGGACAGACCTTCTCAAGCGTAATTTTCATTTTTGATAGAGCACGTATAATTCGTTCTCTCATATCACCTGACTTTCGGGCTGATGGTCAAAGTCTCGGGAAGAAAGCTAAGCTCTTGCAAATCTCTGAGCGCTGACTAAGAATAGTCAAACTTTGAAAAAGAGATTTGCAGGTGCTGAAAATCATAAAGCATTCGTAAGGTTACTAGTACCGGGTTAGCAAAAGCAAAGTAATCAATCTGCATAAGAATCGTAATCTTTTCCATCCATGGCTGGGCTTGAGCAGCGGTAGGAATCTGGCAGAGGACGAATAATCAAGGACCATAAGCTTGAATATGGAAACGAATTCGGAGTAAGGACTAACGGAGTCCGGGTAAGAGCCGGTAAAGTGATCGGACCAGCCGGATATCGGCTCGGAAACACAATCTTGATGTATTAGCGGCGATATTCCGCGATTTACTGCCGGGAAAATGACATGTTGACATCTGAATTGGGGAATTTGACAAGCGAAGTGCGCCTTTTGAAAGTGTCAGTTTGAGGCACGGCCATTAATGCGAGATTCTACGTATATTTCCGAGAAGTATAAAAGTAAAGCTGAAGGTACATATGACATTACAATAATCAAAAGATAAAGCCAAAAAAATCCTTCATCATTTTCGAGCAGGTTCATTCACCCATTCGATAAAGATGGATTCGAAGCAGTTCAAGGAAGCTGCTACATCGGCGATTGATGAGAGTAAGCTTACCATTTAAAACGGCATTGAATGAAGCTAACGGTTTGTATAGTTGTCAATTACTATGATACCATTCAAGATCGACGAGTGGTATCCAACGTCGAGCCAGGATATCTCAAAAAGCTCCTTCCTGACGGACCGCCAGAAAATGGAGAGCCATGGGCAGATATACAGAGGGACATTGAGACGAAGATCATGCCTGGTTTGACCCACTGGTAAGTTTAAAAATCAGCTTTTTTCTCAAAATCCACCTAACGAGGTATCATCTAGGCAATCCCCGAACTTTCTGGCATTCTTCCCAGCTTCTTCTTCGTTTCCTGGCATGTTGGGAGAGCTATACTCTGCCGCATTCACTGCCCCGGCGTTCAATTGGATATGCTCTCCTGCTGTAACAGAACTCGAGACTGTTGTCTTGGACTGGCTTGCGAAACTCCTCAATCTGCCGGATTGCTACTTATCGAGCAGTCATGGTGGAGGTGTAATCCAAGGTTCGGCGTCAGAAGCTATTGTCACTACTATGGTAGCTGCGCGTGACAAGTATCTTCGTGAGACAACTTCCCACTTATCCGGCACTGAGCTCGAAGATGCTGTTGCACATAAGCGAAGTAAGATGGTTGCATTAGGGAGCGACCAGGCGCATAGCTCTACACAAAAGGCAGCACAGATCGCAGGTGTTCGATATCGATCCGTCCCTGCTGCCAAAAGTAATGAGTTTGCGATGACAGGTTCTGACCTGGAGGAGGTGCTGAAGCAATGCAAGGCGCAAGGTCTAGAGCCATTTTACCTCACCACCACCTTAGGAACAACTTCAACATGCGCCGTGGATGATTTCGACTCTATTGCGAACACCCTCGCCGATTACGCGCCTCCAGATGTCTCGGGAGAGATTTGGGTTCATGTTGATGCTGCCTACGCTGGAGCTGCCCTCGTCTGTCCCGAATACCACCACCTTACCGCAGCCTTTAAACACTTCCATTCTTTCGATATGAATATGCACAAATGGCTGCTCACAAACTTCGATGCATCATGTTTGTACGTCAAAAAGAGAAAGGACTTGATTGATGCGCTCTCAATCATGCCCAGCTATCTTCGAAATGAATTTTCAGAAAGTGGTCTGGTCACAGATTACCGTGACTGGCAGATTCCGCTAGGTAGACGGTTCCGAAGTCTCAAGATTTGGTTCGTTTTGAGGACATATGGCGTTAATGGTTTGCGAGCTCACATTCGGAATCATATTGAGCTTGGCGAGGGCTTTGCAAATCTGATCAAGTCGAACCCAGATTTGTTTAAGATGTTCACTCTGCCGTCTTTCGCTTTGACCGTCTTTACAGTCCTCTCTGATTCCAAAGATCAGAAGGAAAGAAATGAAGTTACAAAAGAAGTTTATGAGTTGGTCAATAGTCGGGGACAGATTTACATCACTTCGAGTCTTGTGGCTGGTGTTTACGTCATTAGGGTCGTGAGTGCGAATCCAAAAGCGGAAGAGAAATATCTCAAGAAAGCTTTCGAGATATTGGTTGCCACGACAGAAGAGGTTCGTGCTGGTAGGATAAAAAAGATCGAGAATGACGTGGTAACGATGGATATCAAAGGTGTTGGAGAAGCTGCTATTACTAACAGTAATGGCCGGCCAAGCTAAGAGCATTTCGGAATTTTGCGGTGGTAGAATGCAATCGGGCGCAGATGAGTTTGTTCGCCGACTAGATACCAAATGTATAGAGCAATAGAAACCGGCGGTTGGTTTGTCAATTACCTATATTGCATGTTAGCGTGTAAATGCCTTGCAAGGCCCTCTTTTCCAACGAAGTAACCTCGTCAGGTCGTTTCTGTGTAGTTTCTAATTTGAAGCAGTCTGATCAAGGCCAGGCGGATTGAGCTGGCAGGCCTAGGAGCCTACTATATCCGAAGACAGAAAGGTGTTGCGGGTTGAGAATTCTCGGGTAGAGAAAAACCGCCTATCTCAAAGGACCATGAGAGTTTTGAAGCAGAGCCAGCGAAATTAACAGTGCCGGGTACTTTCCGTTGAATAATGCCTGGTAGAATTGACCGTAGAGCGCCGCACATAAATGAGTAATAAAGGCGCTCTACTTGATAGGAGAAGACCACCTAGCCATCCTCCACATCAGGAAGAATTGAAATTCATGCTGCATATACATCATGTCGTGCCCCAGAGCATACCAAAATAAAAGTATGGCCACCAAGATCTCTCGATTTGTCAGGTCGACATTTGGAATCGGATGATCGAGCTCATCATCATGCACGTGCAATTTGATACCCCGCACTAGTTTGGCCTTGTACTTAATGCAAGCAGCATTGATTTCTTCATAAAGAAATATAATCTCAAGACAAGATCAAATTGCTTCTTGTTTATCTTCCATTCTTCGTTGAACTCGACAAAAGAAAAGCATCGAACCAATCGAAATCATGGTGAAAGGCAAAGCAACTGCGACAGTCTCCGGACGAACCGTTGCCGAAACAGATGAATATGAGGTTGTAGAAGGAAATATTTATGTAAAAACCCCAAAATAGTGTAAGATCAAATCACAGACGCAACTGACTGGCTCTATAGTTCCCACCGTCGTAAGTACAGTCATGAACTCTACTCTTACGAATTGGCAAAAGAAATTCGCTGAACGATTGCCAAGCTCGGTCAACATGTCATATTTCAGCAAGACAGACCACACCACCCATTGCCCATGGAAGGGTGACGCCTCATACTACAGCATCAATCTCGACAGTGAGTTGGCCGCTTGGCTGCGAATTGATCAATTTTCAAAGGATAAATTCTGATAAAATATTGAAGAAACGGAGCTCAAGAACGCGGCGTGGTACTATCCGACGCCGAAGGACAAGGCGAGCAACATCAAGGACTATGTCGCTTTCTGTGAGTAGACCGCCCTACGATTTCAAGAAATTCCATATCAAATACCCTAATAGCAATGACTGACGTCTAATGTGGCAGACAAAAACATTGTGACAGTAAAATCGGAGTAGGATACTAGAACTAGTGCCTAAACAACAACTTAAGAAGAATATTTCAAATGTGACTTACATTGAATTTTGCAGCCTCTGACCCGTAGTTCAAGAATGGTGACCACGCCGATTTATTTCATTTTTCCAAGCCATCCTGTTATTTAAAATGTTCGTTGGTTGAAGTTTAAGGTATCGCAACAAGACTGAGCGTTGAGACATTCGTTGGAGTCGAGCTGGCACCTCCAGCTGAGGTGGTTCTCAGCTTTAAGAGAACTTGGAAGGACGCGCGGTTTCGCTTGCGGGGACTGTGGTGTCTGATGATATTTGTGTACTCTCGAGCGGAGGAAAGAAATGTTGCGAGTTGAGAAGTTAGGTAGTAGGGGGTAGCCCCACAATTTAGAATTAAGACGCGTTCACGCGAAATTTCGTCGCGTCACCCTCTTCCATCAGCGCATCAGCATTGGACATCGTTAGCTGAAATGGATATCGACGTCGATGGGCATCGTGAAACCTATAACGATGGAAATCGTGCTTTTCTACAAGCTTTTTTTGCCCGCGGACAGTTGACCCTGGAGGACGGCAAGAAGATTCTTGCGGCTATTTTTTCTGTTCAAGAAGGTTGACACCCCTCCCATTACATGATGCATACAATATCCCTAACAACTCTCCTAGACAAAGAATTCAGCCCAGAAGAAGTTACCCAGGATGACTTCACGACATACGTCGAATCTGCCGCCGAGGCTCTTTCTCCGTTGGACTACGAGATTCGATCCACGGAAGATCAAATCACCAAAGCAAGGGTTTGGGGAATTGTGAACAGTATCAGTGATCCATTGACACAGATGGCCACGACGAGAACCACCGAAGAGATGCTCTATCTTAAGAGATTACTGGATGGCATGTTTGAAACATTTAATACTAAGCGACGAGAAGTCATGGCCATCACAAGTATGCAAGCCATGGAGAAGAAAGTCCTCCGAGGGGAAAATCGAGCGAGCGATGGCGATGCGGTCACGGCAGTTGACAAAGGGCTTACGCCAGGAGAGGCCGAGAAACTCTTACAAAGTCTCATTGACGAAAAGTGGCTAGAAAGGAGTACACAAGGTTTCTACCGACTCTCAACTCGAGCTTTGATGGAACTCCAGAATTGGCTCACCGAGACATACAACGACGACACGGACGACCCGAACGAATGGCAGAGGATCAAGTTCTGCGAAGCTTGCAAGCACATTGTTACAGTCGGACAGCGTTGCACAGAACCAACTTGTAACGTAAGGCTCCACAATATCTGTGAAGTTGCTTTTTGGAATTCAAGGCCGAATAAAAAATGTCCCAAATGCGACACAGACTGGGACGGTAAGCACTACGTTGGACAGAAAGCTGTCACCACTACCGAGGACTATCTTCGAGGGAAGAGGAAGTCCGGCGTGTCGAAACGAAGCAGAGGCGATGACGATGTAGAGGCGGGCGGCAGTAGAAGGAAAAGTCGACGTGAAGCTCAAGAGGTGAACGACGGTGCTGATGCGGAGGTTGAAGGAGACGCCGAGGAGGATGGGGAAGAAGAGGCTGACGACCAAGACGATTGAGTTTTCAAGCATTGATTCGACGGCGTTCAGGGACATTGGTCGGACTTTCTGGAGTTTGAGACGCTCACTCAAAGGTTATACCCAAGGATTGGCAAAATGGGCTGAAGGATATCATGTTTTCCATGCCTTAATGAGGTTGCAGTTGTAAACATTTTCCAACGATTTCACAGTGAACTATTGCTACGGGACTACCAAGAGCGTCTTGGCTCTATTCCGCTCCATTTACACGGCAGCTCTGAATTCGAGTACATTCCTGCATATAATTCTGGTGGAAAATGGCCAGCTTCTGGAATTTGGTCACCTAGTACAGCAAAAAACGGACTAGTCACAAAGCACCCACGTATGCAAGTCAGAGCCTTCATAACTCTTCTGTGTCTTGGAAGTCCATCAACGTATGCCGGTTTTGAGTCCTCATTTGCGCATTACTGCTGCAGGGAGATGTGGCTACGGAATCCATAGATAGGAGAATTGTCTCTTTGGTATATATGGCCGAAAGGCTTCCAGGATAGGGAATGTGCCATGCGACCGCGAGGGAGATTCAAGTTTGTGGTTTTGATAAGAGACTAACCGTGAGTCCCAAAGCCTCGGGGCCTGACGAATCTCGGTGAAAATGTAGCTGATATCGCAATTATTTTGGCTTCTGATTCTCCTCCATGCCTCGAGGAGTATGCACAAACGCACACATTCGTCACTTAATATATGGAGGGGCAACGCTCATGGCAATTGGACGGCTGTTGATATCAAACGACCACTTATGGATACTCCCGCCTGCCTGCATTCAGCCACTGTTCGAATGTGGCCACCGCCTCACAAGGGGTACAGATGTTACGCAGGATTGGGTCAAGATTGACCGGCTGATTCGCTTCGAATCAGGAAGCTTCCCCGGACTGCCCCTCAGTTGACCCAAATCTTGAACAAGATTGAACATCCAACCTGACCAAATGATAGCCACGATACTGTTTTTTAGGCCTGTTGATCGCTTAGGACAAGGCCGCATGCATCACCTGAAGTATGTTGGAGAAAAAAGCAGCACTCTATTCATTGGTAGTACAGGTTAAATGCATACAATGTTCAGTGCCGCTTCGCATATGGAATTGTTCAGGTCGAACTTCCGCCGTCCTATCGTTGTTGTAGCTGCCATGGGGCTGTCAATTCTGTAATGTGAGCCAGTCGCGGCTTCCTAATACGACGTCCGATTTTGTTCTGCTGTAGACAATATTGGTATAACAACTCGGCCCAACCCCAAGAACTCGACTGCGAAACCGTCCGTTACTTTAAACTGTCACCGCGGTTAGAGACAAACGTAAACTAGTATCCTAAGTTTTATTAGGACGCCTCGATGCCTTCTAGCCAACAGTATTCGGTTGTTCCCAGGGACGACTTCCCTGATGACCTCGAGGATAACCCAGTCAAAGCACCAAAAAGCATATTTGCGTCGATTTTAATATGTATATCACTATTGTCCTTTGGAATATTGTATCTCACTCTTGGTGCGGCATCTCTTGAACCAGCGATCAAGTCAGACGATGAATACGCAACCGCTTTCCGAGACCATCTGGCGAGAGCTGGAGGTGATGAGTATTTGCTGGGTGTTGGGAAAGCCGACATAACTGGGTGAGTTCAATATCATCTCACTATGTTGTAAGAGTTTCAACGTGCTTGGCAAGCTACCTTTGTGCTGGAAAACCGAGGCAGTGGAGACAGATCCTCTACAGTTATACCTTCCTTCGCCTAAAACATTCAAGATTCTGGTCAGGATGTTCTGTTGGAACATCGAGGGAACCAGACACCCTCTTATAGACCTACCGCTACTTTTGTGTAACAAACATTCTAATTTACTTTTACTAGACCCGTTGTAGAAATCAATTTCATGGGCTATGCTAGTCTACCACAAATCGGCACAGGTCTTCGCCAAAGACTCTACGCCAGAACTTTCATTGTGGGTAACACGGCCGTCCCAACCGATAGATTTGTCTACATGGTTCTTGACACTGCCAATGGAGATACCGCTATTCGTAATGGTATTTTAGAAGGGGTTGCGGCTCTGGGGTCCGGCTACTCCATGTACACAACATCAAATATTGCTGTGACAGGAACTCACTCTCATTCTGGGCCGGGAGCTTGGTTGAATTATTTGTTGCCACAAATAACGTCCTTGGGTTTTGACAAGCAGAGTTATCAAGCAATTGTCGATGGATCGGTTTTGTCGATAAAGCGAGCACACGAAAGTCTGAAACCAGGGCATCTGAGTAAGCAAACCCCCCTTTACCTTGATGTGAAATCATGTTGTGTTGGGCGCTGTAAATTTCAATTGTTATCGGCCAGTTTTAATCTATCATGCTGATCCAAAATAGGCTATGCCGACACAACCGTTGCGGATGCTAATATCAACCGAAGTCTATGGGCCTACCTCGCCAATCCAGCCGCGGAAAGAGCACAGTATACCTCTGACGTGGATAAAACCATTACAATGCTCCGATTCCAACGTTCTGTGGATGGGAAGAACATTGGTGTGCTAGCATGGCATAGTGTTCATGGAACTTCTATGTTAGAAAACAACACTCACGTCTCTGGCGATAATAAAGGTGTCAGTTCGTATCTTTTTGAAAAGGCAATGTTGAGCGACACCAGCGCTGCTCCTGGGTTTGTTGCGGCATTTAGCCAGAGTAGTGTGGGAGATACTACTCCAAATGTCCTTGGAGCATGGTGTGATGATGGATCTGGCAAACAGTGCACTCTTGATAAATCTACATGTAATGGAACAAGTCAAGCATGCCATGGGCGGGGTAAGTTTCTTTCTTGAGTACTTTTCGTGTGCTAATGCGTGACAGGACCTGCGTTCCAGAAAGTTGATCTAGGGGTGTCAAGCTGTTACGAGATTGGAACTCGTGTATACAAGGCAGCGAAGACTCTCTACGTAAGAACTCATGGTTCATGGGAATTTAAAATACTCGTGAGTGAAGCTAATGGGATGTTTAGGATAAATTTGACAGTGTCGCCACACCTGTTCAAGACGCAAGCGTCAAAGCTTACCATACATTCAACGATATGACCTTCTTCAAGTTTCCCCATTCGAATGGAAGCATAGTACAAACTTGTCCTGCAGCTCTGGGATACGCATTTGCTGGAGGAACTACTGATGGTCCCGGAGCCTTTGACTTCACCCAAAGTAACAACGACAGCAATGCTCAAAACCCACTCTGGGTGATCGTATCTTCTGTCCTGAAAGCCCCTTCTCCGGAACAGAAAGCATGCCAATCGCCAAAGCCTGTCTTACTTGACGTAGGAGAACTCAGTACGCCGTATGCTTGGTCTCCGAATATTGTAGATATTCAAAGTTTCCGCGTTGGTCAATTTATTATGATAGTTAGTCCCAGCGAGGCAACCACAATGGCTGGACGGCGATGGAAGAGCGCAGTAAGTACCCAGCCACTATTCCACATCTCATAGTTCACAGATCATAGCCTCGGGATCAAGCTCATCAAGTTATAATCAATCTTACTAATATGTTCAAGGTCGCTAAAGCTGCAATATCCATCACAACCACAACACCCAAGGTGGTCCTCGGCGGCCCAGCCAATACATACGCTCACTACGTGACGACACCCGAAGAGTACGGCATCCAACGCTACGAAGGTGGATCTACACTCTACGGACCTAACGAGCTCGAAGCCTACATGTACCTTTCCGTCAGCAACCTGAAGTATCTAGCCGGCACCACCACCGCCAAAGCACCAGCAGGTCCCTCACCACCCGACAACCGCAAGAACTCAATCAGTCTGATAACCGGCGTGGTCTACGATTCTCCCATCATCTTTAGATCATGGGGTGACGTGATCACAGAGCCAGCCGCAACCTACGCTCGTGGCGCCGTTGTAAACGCTACATTCGTAGGTGCCAATCCTCGGAATAATCTACGTCTGGAGGGTACGTTCCTGGCTGTGGAACAGCTTGTTGGAAGTTCATGGACCACGGTCAGAGATGATCAAGATTGGTTCTTGGTGTATACTTGGAAACGTGTTGATGGGCTTATTGGGAGTAGTGAGGTTACTGCTAGTTGGGAGACGGAGAGTTATGCTACACCGGGGACTTATCGGATTAGGTATAATGGTGATTGGAAGGCATTAGGAGGTAAGATCACACCCTTTACGGCGGTTAGTAAACAGTTTACTCTAGTTTAGGGAGGGCTTCGTTTTCATGGTTATATGGACAGAGTTGCGTTTAGGTAGTGAGAAACCAGTGTTAAACTCGAGGTCAAATTATATTACAGTCAGGCTGCTGTAAGTTTGAACTTTTTAGATTGATTTACTTCAGTTCTTCACACTTCTACTACGTCGTCATCATCATCATCACTTTCCTCATCCCTGCCAGCCTCTTGGCTAGCCCACCCAGACGAGCCAGAAGAAAATGGTTTCTTCAAACCACTCTTCGAAGACCTCTCCAAGGCTTTCATCCCCTCGTCTACCTTCTCTTCTCCTTCCTCATCTCTCATAAGAACTTGAACAAGTCTTTCACAAGCTTCTCTCATCTCATCGTGATCTACCCGCAAGTGTGTTTCTCTAATAATGGGGTATACCTTGATCTCTCTCATGAGATCCCGTCCTTCCCTCGTCGTGGTTAAGAGCATCAGTGTTTCCACATGAGTCTGTATTATTGTGGGGTCCGAGTCCCGTTGCTTATCTGGTGGGAGAAGCTGTAAATCGGAAAGCATTGACATGGAATCTTCTTCCTCATATTCTTCATTGCCCATGATCGGTAGCAGTAGATATGGTAGAATGTTGATTTCATCTTCCGAGAGAAAAGATGGATGCGACTCGATTTCAAAGGCAACGTTCTTGATCGTGCTCGCGACGCCTTTCCTCCGTATATCCGATTTATGTTCTGTGAATACTGTAATTTTCGTCAAGGGAACCACACCATCGTAATCTTGTTTGCTAAGGAAGTATTTTCGTCCTTCTTCGTGCTTCGCTAAATCGGCGAAGAAGTATGCAAGATAGTCGAAGTCGGCATCCTTGTTATAAGTCCCCTCGGCGCCCTTGACGAACAAATCGAGCAACTGATCGATTGCCTTGTTACTTGACTGAAGCTCCTTTGGTGCCGGCCTTTCAAGATTGAGTATATGTTTCAGGTCGTCCCATTTCGCCAAATTGGCTAACAGCATGGCTAGTAAGTTCGCATTTGGTTCCGTTGGATTCTGCCGGGCAGATAGTCAGCAATGTATTTGGAGAAGGGAAATGGAGGACTGACATACTGTCACACGCTCTAGTAATGTTGATAGAAATTCTTTATCTGAAGCAAGAAATTCAAGTACATCCCTGTCCGTAGACAGGTTTATGAGTATCGTTATCGCATCGCTAGCTATTTTCTAAAGCTGCTCTTAGCATTCATCCACTATGAACAGTAACAGGCCAAACATACTTTGTAATCCCGCACCAATAGCTTTAAATCCTTTACTGGCAGAAGTTGGTTCGTTTTAAAAATCGCAGGTTGGGATAAAGAGAAGGGAACGAGATTTTCGACAGCTGAGTAAATCAATATCGCTATTCGATCGTCGCGGGGCAATGTTTTCGAAACTGACCAAGTTGTCGGACTTGCGTGTTGCCGTGAGATATAAATTCGACCAGCTGAAGTATCCTATCAGTATATATATAACCTCAACCCAAAGTAGCTTGACTTACCTCCTCTAGTTCTGTAGGCATTTTCGATGATTATACGTATATATTGTCAAAAGTTGGAATCTTTGCGATTCTCCCCCCTGCATTAGCATCAGAATAATTTTGGAGGGGCAATCGCTGAAACTGGCCTAGCGTACTGGCAGAAAACTTCTACCGCTTTGGGGGACTTTACTCCGTCTTGTGGACTTAACCGAGCCGTCTTTCGTCACTTCAAGGCTTGGACCACCAGGACTTGGAAGTTTTCAGTCGGGGAAAGCGAATAAATGAGAGTCTCAAAGCTCGTCAACTCGCTCCGGAGTCATGATGTGTTTTTCCCTTGGAGATACCTTCTCTTGCATCATATGCCACCCTGCATAACCCCGAAATGGGGAACGACGTAACGTATTGTAGATTTGCCATCTTGTATCATGGAAGTGGTATTTAGACAGTATGACTCGCAAGTATCAAAAGTTTCCTTCTTCTCAAGCATATTGATTCCGTTTTATCAAATTTCTTAATGGATATTCTTGCATCTTCCAATACTAGATCTCTTTTCTTTCGCGTGGCGTTTTGGAGTCTCAGACTACGAGATCTTCTATGATCCCAACTCAGTTAGGCGTCATACATTAGACAATACAATGGGGGTTACCAAGGTCGATAGCGAATATTCTTTGGAAGAGAAATCCAAAGCAGATTCCATGTATCTATTGTGGCATGAATTGGGTAAGAAACCAATTTGAGAGTTTATGATTTTCAGACCGCTAATCGATCATTCTCGAAGCACCTTGGCAGCAGTCTGGAATCCCTCCTATAGGTTCTTCTATTAGGTTGCAATTCTAAAGTCTTCATAGGGACAACGAGTATATACAATCCAGTTACCGGTATGTTCATGTACGCCTTAGTTGTCTTTAGGGTTCACTGACTGGATGTGTAGCCCGATTTCTGGATGTTTCAGTCAGTCTCTAAGAAGCTTGGGATATATCCACAACGAGACCGGTACGTATCGTGTTCATGACTTTTCCAGAGACGGTCGCTCTGTAGCTCATGAGACTAACGTTTTGGCCTTCCTAGTAAACATCTATACCCATCTGTTTGGAGGACTGCTCTTTGCCGGTCTTCCGTTCTATGTTTATAGCACAGTCTATCGAAATGGTCAACTAGGAGATATGGTTGTCTTTACGACGTTTTTCGCTGGCGTGGCTATTTGCTTCATTTTCTCGGCATGGTAAGAGATTTCGTGGCACTCCCTACTCCGTCAATTGACATTTTGTTGTAGCTTCCACACGATCTCGAATCATAGTCAAAGAGTAGCTGCCGTTGGCAGACAGCTGGACTACACCGGTATAGTAGTTTTAATGTGGGGATCTACTATTCCATCTGTTTACTATGGGTTCTATTGTGACCTTAGGCTTCAGAAAATTTACTGGTCTGTGGTCAGTATACCCAGAGATTCATTCGCATGTGCATTGTTATACTGACAAAACATCCACAACAATAGATTTCCGTGCTTTCTCTTACTTCAATTGCCGTAAGCCTCGACAAAAGATTTCAACTTCCACACTTTCGACCATATCGAGCCGCCCTATATTCTTCACTTGGCTTCTCTGCGCTGATTTTCGTTACACATGGGCTTATAAAGTACGGCTGGGAGATTCAGAACGACAGAATGAGTCTTAGCTGTATGGGATTGATGGGCGCACTGAACATCATAAGTGCTATAACATATGCTTTCAGAATCCCTGAAAGATGGGTTCCATTAAGACATGACGTATATGGCAATAGTCATCAAATTCTACATGTCGGCGTCATCCTCGCTGGGCTGACACATATGGTTGGACTGCTCAACGCATTCGATCACATACACTCTCAGATTAGCCCATGTGTACCTAGATAGTCATAGTCATTTGATTGTGTCAACACGTTTCATTGCTGCCATCTGGTGATCTGTACTTTGATCACAATGTACTGGCGATGCAACGAGTGAGTTGGTGTATTCGCGTGTGGGAATATGTAGTTTGATACACAAATTACAGGTCTATCGAGTTATGATGAAAGGTCTCGGATCATTTCAATAGATAGATTTGAGTCCTAGAATATCTAGAATAAGGTACCGAAGCATATTTAGCTCCTGTCAAAGTAGTTACAACCTCTGTAGCCCAAACAGGTCATTCCAATCAGTAGCTGCATTCCCATTGGTCAATATCTACCCCGCCCGCTTCCCCGCAACCCCGACACCTCCCCGGAGCCATCAGACTTCGAGCAACTGTAAATAATTGGAAGAACACCATTCATAACTTTGAGTTGTTTCTTTTTGTAGATTTATTGCTCAAATTCGATAGTGTTTTCCAGCATATTTCCTATATTATCCTCCCTTTGCCAAGTTCGTTTCCCTTTCACCCGAAAATGCGAGTGTGAAATCGGCGTCCTGTGACGGGCCATCAACTTGCCGAACTTGCTCCACAACAGCTAGGGGACTTCCCCATTGTCATCGACCACTCATTGCCCCAGTTATTGCTTTCCGACTATTATTCCCGCGACTACCAAGGTGCATTCCAAATCGGGGCGCATCTTCCCGTTCGTCCTCTTTCATATTTATTTTCTAGATCGTTGTTTCGCTGTCTTTTTATCATTCCTCTTGCTCAATCCAGCTTCTCAAATTCCTTTACCTCGGTTCGTCAATAGATTGTCAAGATGGTTTTGACAGGACAAGAAGTTGCAGAGCACAACTCGAGAGACTCGTGCTGGGTCATTGTTCATGTATGTTTGGTGCATTTCGAGTGGCAAGAAGGACAACCGCTAACTTTCAATTAGGGCAAAGCATACGATGTTACAGAATTCTTACCTGAACATCCTGGTGGGCCAAAGATTATTCTCAAATATGCCGTAGGATAACCAATGACAGAAATTGGCGCAAGGTTACTGATTATGTGGTAGGGAAAAGATGCGACAGAAGAATATGATCCTATCCACCCCCCGGATACACTCGACAAGTATCTAGACAAATCGAAGCATTTGGGCGAGGTGGATATGGGCACAGTGAAGAAGGAGCAGAAGGAGCACGATCCAGATGAAGAGGCAAGGCAGGACCGAATCGCGCGAATGCCAATTCTCGAGCAATGCTATAATCTGATGGATTTCGAATCGGTGGCGAGACAAGTGATGAAAAAGACTGCGTGGGCGTATTATTCCAGTGGAGCAGATGATGAGATCGTAAGTGGTCTCGACATAGCATATAAGTAGAGGGACTAATTTTCTAGACTATGCGAGAAAACCACACGGCGTTCCATAAGATCTGGTTTCGACCCAGAATTCTTGTGGATGTCGAGAAGGTAGACTTTTCGACAACCATGCTAGGTACCAAAACCGACATGCCATTTTATGTCACTGCGACTGCTCTTGGGAAGCTGGGTCACCATGAAGGAGAGGTTCTCCTCACAAAAGCAGCAAAGAAACATAACGTTATCCAGATGATTCCGACTCTAGCTTCTTGTTCGTTTGATGAAATCATGGACGCCGCCGAAGGAGACCAGGTCCAATGGATGCAGCTGTACGTCAATAAAGACAGAAGTATTACGAAAAAGATCGTAGAACACGCTGAGAAGCGCGGATGCAAGGGGCTGTTCATCACCGTCGATGCGCCGCAGCTGGGTCGCCGAGAGAAAGATATGCGTTCTAAATTCACAGATGTCGGTTCAAATGTGCAGAGTGGATCAACGACCGACAACTCGCAAGGTGCGGCAAGAGCCATTAGCAGTTTCATTGATCCAGCTCTTAGCTGGAAAGATATTCCTTGGTTCCAGTCTATTACCAAGATGCCAATCATCCTCAAGGGTGTCCAGAGAGTGGAGGATGTTATTCGTGCCGTGGAAACCGGCGTCCAAGGTGTTGTACTCTCCAATCATGGAGGTCGTCAACTGGATTTTGCACGTTCTGGGGTCGAAGTGCTTGCGGAAGTTATGCCAGTACTCCGGGAACGTGGATGGGAAGACCGAATTGAGATCTATATCGACGGAGGTGTGCGAAGAGCCACTGATATCATCAAGGCTCTTTGCCTGGGCGCAAAGGGTGTTGGAATCGGTCGACCATTCTTGTATGCTATGAGTTCGTACGGCCTTCCAGGTGTGGACCGTGCTATGCAGCTTTTGAAAGATGAGATGGAGATGAATATGCGATTGATTGGATGTTCGAGCGTGGAGCAGCTGAACCCAACATTAATTGACACGAGGGGGTTGAACATGCACACTACAAGCGTGCCAGTGGATAACCTGGTAAGTACTCATAATATGCGGCTCTGATTGAAGAAAGCTAACTTGAGTATCAGGGAATGGCTATTTACGATCCTCTTGTCAATCCTGCGGCTAAGGCTAAGCTGTAGAGCCCCGAACAGGTATGGATTGCAAGGTGATGAGTGGTGCGATAGATGTATGTAGAATGTCGTAAATGACTAACGAGTAAAAAGGTATATATCATGGATTTTATAACTGTATATATTATGCTATACGAATGTAGACAAGAAGTTCAAAATACAGCACAGCGAATACCGTATCATTACCAAATTAGTGACTTTGGCAGGACAATTTCGATTTTCTTCAAGGTATCAGACTTATCGCGAGTGTCATTACAGATTATATAGCTAGATTCTTGTCCTTGTTGACGGCGTGTTGGAAGTATTTATTCGAATATGCTTCTGCAGAAATGTTAAATCCATATCATTTTACCAGCAATGATACAAGTCAATGCCAACTCAAGTTGAAAAGAAAAACTCCACGTCAATGTCTTTATATAGACGTAATGGAAGACGTTAACATTGCAGCACCAGAACTAGAGAAATAAATGCTCATCAACCAATCAAACTGTGCATCCACCCCAAAAACCGGGTCTCTCAAGCGACTGAGTACTAAAAAACCCATATCTCGTGACCAAACTCACCTCCCCAAACACCTATCCAATCTACACCCCCACCACTCAAACCATTAAGCCTCATAACCTATCCCCCTCTTCCTTTCACCCCTTTACCTTTCCACCACCAAAGCAAAAAATGTCCAAAATCCCACCCCTCCTCTCCTCCGCCCTGGCGCTCCCCCCAGAATCCTCACTCATCCTCCTAACCAACATCCTAGGCGCAAGCACCAACTGGCTCGTGCTCCGCTACTTATACAGCGCGCTGCTTACGAACGAGGAGACGAATGTGGTGTTGGTGAGTTTTATGCGGGATGTGGCGTTTTGGAGGGAGGGGGGACGGAGGTTGGTGAGTTCTTTTTTACTTTTACTTTTAGTTTTTTTTTAGTACTTTTGATTTTTTTGAGTTTTGGAAAGGGAGATGGTGTGGTTAGAGGGATGAGATGAGATGAAATAGGCTGATAATGGGATAGGGGCTTGATCTAGAGAAATTTATACTGAAAAAGAGAGTTGTTTTTGTGGATGGGTTAGAGGGGTTATATGTTACTCAGACGCCACAGAAACATGTGACTATGAAGAGTACGGAGCAGATTATGTTGTCGATACGGAGTGCGATACGTGAATTACAGAGTTCAAGTGGGAAGAAGACTTTGTTGGTCATTGATCAATTGGATCTACTGCTTGCAATGAGTGGAGATGAGTCTAGGCCTGTTCAGTTAGGAGATATGTTATTAGATCTTAGAGAGGTCAGTGTCATTTCATTCCAAAGTAATCTTAGCTGACTGATGAGCATAGGAAGCGCATTCGGTAGTCGTCACAATGGCTGCTGATAGTCCTTTGGTCACTGAGCAAGAAACTCCTCTTGAAATCAATCACGCCGCTCTGCTATTGCATACGGCTCATCAAGCAGATTTAACTATAAGCCTGAGACTGCTCGATAGTGGTACAGCTAGAGATGTTAGTGGAGTCATTCGCATTACACGTGGAGATGTAGGGTTCTCCAAGCAGGACGCGGCGGGAAAGATTGAGGAACGAGAACTTTTGTATTTTGTCGGTGGTGACGGTAGTGTAAAAGTATTCGAGAGGGGACAATAAAATTGGTGATTCTGGCTAAGCCCGCGCTTCTCGTGTCATGAGTTCTCCAATCGCAGAATACGCTTCCCAAATCGTAAGATATCACTTCCGGATTGATAGATGTTTTTTGACGTGCAAGTTGGTAAATTTTGCTAGCAGAACCGTAGCCCTCTCAAGACAACATGAGCAATCCGCACCCAAATTCCGATAGCCATTCAACTCCTAATATGCTTCGTTCACTCGGCCTTGGATGGTCCCCTCGAGTCTTTTGGTACACCGGTCTGGAACCCATTCTTGAATCGTCTTGGGACACCCTTCATGTGGCGCATGCGTCCTGTTCCGGTAGTCTTTCTCCTCTTAGCCTTCTCGCCCCAGTTATCTGATCCCAATGTTAGTCAATCCTCGCCTTTCCTTGATTACCCAGCGAGCCTCAGAAAAACGTACATTGTCGGATCTTAGCAGCTGGATATCCGCATGATGAGCAGGTGTGCTTTTGGATGTGGAGGGATCGGCGACCTGTAGTTTTGACGTTGTCAGTCTCCAACCCTGAATGTCCGATGTTCTCTCCTTCCCGACTACAGTTTGCGGCATGCCCTCTTGAAGGATTACTTTACTAACCGCAGCGTCTGCACAATGTGTGCGTCTTGTTGTGGCGCTTTCCGAAGCTGGAAGTTCCCTTCGCTGCCAAAATAGTTAGTTGTGTCGTTTCGAGGCAAGATTCGTCGGTCGGAACGTACTCATTTTGGATTAGGAACTACAAAAGAAATTGTCAGTACTTCAAACTTAAAACTCCAATGGCGCGCTTCATCAGATGTACATACCTCGTGGCCGTGTTGGGTTGTCGAGTTTGTCGTTGATTCTTCGAAATATGGCGGAGCATTTTCAAAAATTCATGTGGGCGGTCGTTCGTTAGCGTGATTGAAGCGAATGGAGCCACAGCACGTGAGCTAGGATGGCGCTCGGACCAGGAAATGTGGCGCTCGTTCCTTCTCTTTCGCAACCTTGGAATCTACCTTATCGCACCTCTAATAAATGACTTCACTTCATGATGTTGAGGCCGCAAAGATTTACGTATCATTGACTCTTAGCCTGGCCGATATACCGTATGTAGGGCTATTGCGTCTTGTATACCCAGGTAGCTGGGTCAGCTACTATCAACTTTCCTCCATGTTTCCGTATCGATTCCACATCTTTGCAGCTTGCGACCTCGAAATCATTTCATGATATTGAATTACTTGTGGCCACTAATATTTGATTGCAGATATGATATGTTAAAGGTGCGAAGGGTGACGAGAAGACTGTCTCCTGAAGAGAGCTAGGCTAGGTCTTAGGAAGCACATCTGGCTTGAGACAAAGGTAGAACAAGATGTTAAGGTCCAATGAAGGTCAGAAAACAACGAAATACGTGGTGATAATTGATAGGCAATTGAGGCACAAACCTGAATGAGAACAATCTCCTAATTTCATAAACATGATGGTTTCCATTGTCACGGAAATACTGTTAAATAGAAGGTTGGTCATTGCTTTGGGTGAAATCACATTGTCCTAAAACACCAATCAGAATACGAGGGCAAACCAAATTTTGCTTTCCAAATCTTGAGACACCATGGAGGAATCTGCCAGTAACTCTATACCAATTGAAGATTCTAAAGAGCCTGCTGCACATTATGAGAGCGAGAGTCTCAAAGCCAATATGCTGGAAAGGGCAGGCTTTGATATCCGCCGAGAGATATTTAGCTATGTCCTTCTTGTCACTCTACCGATGAAGTTCGACCACTCTATACTATGGGCCGGGCGGAGCACAACTCATATTAGACACCGAGAACTGGACTTCCGAAATGTCAATTGCTTACTTTTCAGACTTAACAAAGAGCTGTCCCGTGAAGCTCTAGAATATTTCTATACACAAAATCATTTTGTGTACTTCCAAACATTTTATTGTCATGATCTTAGACATGCGCTCTTGAATACATTGCCTACGAGGAGATTCGACCGTGAACTCCAGTCTCTCAAGAATTATATGCTTTGTATTTCACTAGAGCATAGACACCACAATAATTGGATAAAAACGGAGAAACCCTCGAAATATTTCGAGTCTGTAGTAATCAGAAGTGAAGATCTTGCAGACTTCTTTTTGCTTTTAGATAAGTACACTAGCTCTCAGCGAAGATCACCACTGGTAGGGATATCGCTCGATTTCAATTTGCTGATGCCTCAAAACAGGCATCTACAAGCAGCTCACGAAATTTTGGAAGCCATAAGATTACACACAAGGGAACCCGTCCGAAGTGCTAGCTTCGAAGAGCGCCAGATTTCTCTATATATCTCTGGGGATGTAACAGAAGAACAAATCCTTCAGATCAAGGACTCCATGAGGTTAGATCGGCTACAGCCGTCGGATTTCGAACAGAAAGGGCGAGACTACATGCAAAAAGCTCAGTTCTTGGCACCAAAGCATGATTGTGTTGATTGGATAAAAGCCATGCAATTTCTGACCATGAGTGGCAAATTGTTAAACATCGATTTTTGAAATCAAAATCACCCCTCTGGCTTCACAACCGACTTGCCCAGTCCAAAAAAGCAGCTCGTGTGCGACGTATTCGATACCGCCGGCTCGCTTTTCACGAAGCTTAAGATGCCACTAGAAGCATTGGTTGCAACTAACAATGCGTTATGCCTTAGCGCAACATCGAATAGCTCAGAAACAACCCGCAGCTTGTACCAGCGACTAGAAGAGCTGTTGCTTGCAGAAGCAACGTGGGATATCGGTCAATATTTGGTAGAGGAGACTCTCAAGAAGTATCCCGCCAATACTCGTCTGCAAGATGCCGCTTCTCGGATCAGAGCCCAGAGGCAGCAAAAAGCGGAAATGTAGAGTGACAGAAACGGCCTTGTAACGACGCATGAAATAAAGAATTTCCGTGAGCTCAAAGCTCCGAACTCGGTAGGAATTTACCATTGAAACAAACAACAAAGTTGAAATCCAGCGCCTCGGAGGGTATGCAAAGATCGTAACTTTCCCAAATAAATGTACAGCCATAAAACAACAATAAACGCCATGTTTGACGTCGTCGCATGAGAAAACCAGGAGGGCAATGCGAAAATCATGTCCGTCCCTAACCGATACGTGATGGATTAGTCAATTTTGCATTTCCAACATTCCCTTCAACCCGCCCTCCACGCCTCTCCACCATCTGCCTCGCTCTTCAAGGTCGTCCCCAACTCCGCCCAAAGCCTCTTCTTTCCTCCTCTTCGCCTCTTTCGCTGCACCTGTGCTTCCCAACCTCTTAACCTCCAGCGGCTGCAATTCTGCATTCAGCCTCTCCAATTCCCTGGTTTTCCGGGGAAGTAGTAGCTGTAGCTGTTCCAGCTGTCTGTCCAGATCTGATTTCTCTCTCTGCCTTTCCTCTACTAATGCTAAGGTCTTATCGAGCGGCATATTTAGAGTAGGATGTGAGCCCGGAGCTTGCGAGGCTTTCAATTTCTCCACACTAGATTGCAACTCGTCTATTCGCTGAGGAAGATCTTGCAATTGTGTGATTTGCAACTGAACATTTTCATATTTTCGACATAATTGACGGCCCTTTTCTTCTAGCTGTTCCACCAGTTCAGCGACTTCAGTCTTTTGGGCCTTCAGTGACGCTTTTGAGACGGCGAGTGATCGCTCCAATTCAACATTTTCTTGGTGTTCAACAACAAGTGGCGGGTCGCCAACAATCGCACGGATAAACTTCTCTTTCGTGACTTGTTCCAAGTAAGAAAATCTAAGTTTTGAGAACAATTCCTGTCTATTGTCAGATCACTCATTATGCATCGAAAGCCATCCCGGGAAATACCTTGTAGTGCTCTAAGTCTGCCTCAAGACTGGCTGGAGTTGGATTGTCAAATCCATCTGTTGATACATCTGACCGTCGAATTCCTGTCTGATTTTTGATCGGCGCCGCGAGAGGTTCTCCTAATTTGATAATAGAGAGCTCATGGCCAGCTTGTATTTCATTAATCTCCTCTAGAATTTGCTGGTGGGTTTTAGCCATCCTGTCGAATGTTGTTTGTGATCTGAGCACCCCCAGGTACTTTGGCGCGGGGTGTGTCGCGTTACTTTTGAGTGCACTCGAGGCAAATCCTCAAAGCCAAAATTAAAAGGTTGTGACGTTGGCGAGATCTGGTTCAATCAGAAATCGAAAAATTGGAAATTACTGAATATTTATTTTTATGTGGCAACAATCCGTGAAACAATAAGTGAGTTCACTTCACAACAATCCTTGAATGCTTTGTTTACTTTGCGCCAAATTCTGCCACAATATTTGTACACCGCCATTGCAGAAGTCCAATAAGCTAGGGGCAACGAACGACAAGCACGTCAAGCCTGTAACTTGGGCCATTCGAGAAGTCGAAAAAACATTCGCTGCAGTTACATGGTCGCCTTCTCTGCCTCAACATCCAGTGTATCATCTTTGTAAAAAAACCGTTCGATTGATTGCGAAGATGCCTGACAACGATATTTTGGATGACGCCTATGTCGCCGCGCTTTTGGAGCAAGATGCGAAAAACCTGACGGGTATGTTTAATTTGCACAACAACTCACAAACCAAGTGAGTGTCATCCGAACACTAGCTATTTACGGGTATTGATATTTTGAAGGCCTGCTAGCAAACCCAAGCCCAACACTCGGTTTCTTCGAAATATAATCAAAGATACCGACTCACACAATGCTGCTATGCTAGCGAGAGAAGCTGTAGACTCTAGAGCGAAATTAAGAGGATTAGACTCGGTCGAAGAACCCGTTAGAAAAGCGGTACGCGGCACTCATGATGTGCGCAAGAGGCAGCTTGGTGATATCGCTGCGATTTTGGGTGCTGGTAATGGGTTAAAAAGGAAGAGAGTGGAGAAAGAAGAAATTGATGGACAGAACGGATCGAGACGACCTGATTCAATTTTAAGGCATGAATCTTTGGGCGCAAAACAAGCAAGACCGCGAGGGATCACTGGAGAAAAGGAACGGAGTACACGGGAGAGACCAAGGGCGGATGATGAGGATAATAGCGCTAGGAAGGCAAGAAGTCGCGACCGCAAAATCTACTCTGAACGTCGAGATAGGGAAGTAAATGCGGACGAACGAAGTGATTCAAGAAGACGCCATATATCGAAACTCGCCGAGGCATCGGAGAAAGAGGATAGACGAAAGTCGCGCCATCGAGATCGGGAAAGAAGTCCACGACGATATAGGATCCACAGGAGCTCATCGAGAGATAGAACTCGTGATGATAGAAAAAGCAAGAGGCGTCGCAGTCGGTCAACCTCGCCCCGCGAGAAGAGGGTTAAATATGCGAGAAGACGATCTAGCTCTCCTCGCCGAAACAGAAGCAAATCCCCAGCGGATCGCCATGAGAGACGGCGACGTTCCCGTTCAAATGAACCGAGATCGTCGGCGAAGCCAGATATCAAGAAGACCCCAACCGAGGAAGACTACGATTCCGATCCCCTGGCCTCGATAATTGGCCCTCTTCCACCAAATCAACCAGAAATTCGCACGCGTGGTCGTGGTACATTTTCACATAGTGCTGGTATCGACTCTCGCTTTTCCGCTGACTACGACCCGACAGCCGACGTACGGCTTGATCCTGACGAAGAAAACGACTGGGACCAAGCGCTGGAAGCTCTTAGAGATCGGACGAAATGGAAACAGCAAGGCGCTGATCGACTAAAAGCAGCAGGGTTTACTGACGAAGAAATCAAGAAATGGGAGAAGGGAGGCGAGAAGAATGAGGAGGATGTTAGATGGTCCAAGAAGGGAGAGGGAAGAGAGTGGGATAAGGGGAAGATTCTTGACGTAGATGGAGATATCGCCTTTGAGCCAGCATTTGGTAGGCTGAAGGATAACTAAGTCTTCATTGTTCAATATTATGTCGATATTTTGTCGCTCATTTCAGGGTTCTACGAGGTCAATATCAGCCACTTGCTGATAGTTTTGCCAGACTAACTTGTTTGCCCAATATAAACTCCCACCACATGCAAAATGTAAGACTCTTAGCGTATCTCGTGTCTTTGTGGGGTCCAACTTCCATCTTGTCGCGTCCTCTTTCGTACTGTCTGCTGGCAAGCGAATAACCCTCTCATATCCACAACCGATACTTCCTTTCCTCAACCCGTCCAACAACGCATCGTACAGGTCGATCAAATTTTCAAAACCGTTTCCCGAGTTCACTGTTACCAGCTGAAAAAAGCCCCATTGATCCCAACACAGCTCCAGCGATCTGAAATCTCCGTATCGAGCACGACTCGCCAGGAGTTGAAGAAGCTTAGGCAGCGCACTCGTTCCCCACTCCAAAGAGTTCATTTTGATCCGCATGCGACGTACGAGTCTGCTCGGTATCTGTCCCATAGCTTTCAGGACCTTGACTGCATGGTTTTCCGCCAACCTGTCAAACAGGGTGAACATTGGAAAGTAGAAAGTCACGCTATGCCAAAAGAGATCGCGGGCTTCCCGATATATTTGTTTGTTCACGCGGAGTAACGAAAGCGTCGTGTGATAGAAGTTTCTATACGCAAATTCATGATACTCGCAGCAGGAGGGCGAAATATGTGTAGGGTCGAGACATAGCTTAAATGGCACACTAGATGCATATCGGAGTCGTTGGGCTTTGTGTTTCGCTTTGCGTTTTAGGGGCGGTTGGTGTTCGGTTGCATACGGTTCTATAAGATATGGTACTGAGGTCGGCAGGAGGACCATACGGTAGATCTCATCGCGGATTTCTCGAGGTAGGAGGAGGAGTGTCGTCGTGGACATTCTCCATGAAGATCGAGGACGCGACTCCGAAGTGGTGTACTTCCAAGTTGACGTTGATGTCCGGCGAGAGCTCGTCCGGCCCGGAAGCTGGACTTTCGGCCCGTACGGAGGGTAGTCAATATGCAGCTCCTCGAGCTAACTTTGGCTTCCAATATTCCAAGTTGCATTCGAATCTTTGAATATCTCGTTCCTCAACATTTGCCAGCTTTTCCTTGCTTACTTTGTATTCTTGCATCTTTTTTCTTTCTCATATATAATTTGTTTTAGAGATTTCTTTTGTACTTTTGGTTCAGGTATATCGGCCACTGTCATCACCGGAACGTTCGGACCCTACTTCTATGCTAATGTAACTATCAGCAGCTACGAGGCGTGATATCGTACTCGGCAACTAAACGCCAACTCTAGCTGAGAAGTCCTTGTCTAGGACGTTGGCTGAGACCCAAGCTCTTTCTATAAATTCATTCTTTTTTCTGTCCTCTCAAGACAAACAAAAAGAGCGAGTATTCGCAGTAGTCCTGTGGACGAGAAGCAGTTCCAGATATGGATGCTCATGATCAGGCAGTCTCAAAGATTGCCTCTCAAACTGGAGTATTCTATTCTCGCAAAGAGCCGTATCGGATTTATCATGGATCAACAAACAGTACACGGAAATCGCAGTACGAACTTGACCGACTGATTGATACTTCTCGGCTCAATCACGTTCTCAAAGTCGATACCAACAACAAGACTGCATTGGTGGAACCAAATGTTCCTATGGATGATCTAGTTCAAGCGACTCTTCAACATGGCTTGGTCCCTCCTGTGGTGATGGAGTTCCCTGGTATTACTGTTGGTGGTGGATTTGCCGGGACAGCTGGAGAAAGCAGCTCTTTTCGATATGGATTCTTCGACCGAACTATCAACTGGATTGAAATGGTCTTGGCGAATGGGGAGATCACCAAGGCATCAAGAACAGAAAATCCGGATCTCTTTTTCGGTGCTGCTTCTTCATTTGGTACTCTGGGAGTAACAACACTTCTCGAAATTCAACTAGTAGAAGCCAAGAGATACGTAGAGTTGACATATCACCCAGTCAATGGTATCTCGGAAGCTCAAGAAGTAATTCACAAAGTTACCAAGGATACTTCATTCGAATACCTAGACGGAATCATGTACTCTAAAACACGCGGCATAATCTGTGCTGGCAAAATGACAAACACAATATCCGACAGTAACATCCAAGTCCAAAGGTTTACACGTCCATACGACCCCTGGTTCTATATTCACGTCGAGAGACTCACTCGGCGCTCAACCTCCTCAATCAAAGAAGCAATACCGCTCGTCGATTATCTTTTCCGCTACGACCGTGGCGGTTTCTGGGTCGCTCGCTACGCATACAAATACTTCCTTACACCCTTCAACCGCATGACGCGTTTTCTCCTGGATTACTTCATGCACACTCGCGTCATGTACCTCGCTCTCCACCGCAGCGGTCTCGCCTCTTCTCACATTATCCAAGACGTTGCAATCCCCTACACCGGAGCAGCGGAATTCATGGAATATCTAGACCAGGAATTCAAACAATATCCAATCTGGTTATGTCCGCTCAAACAAAGCGGGAAGAACTCTACGCATAGTTTGCAGACTAATGCTAACAGAATGATGGGCCAGCAACTCCCGGATCACGCGCTCAATTTCGGTGTTTGGGGCCCGGGATCTACTAATAGACGGGAATTTGTATACTGGAATCGTGCTTTCGAGAAGAAAGTTAGGAGTTTGGGGGGTCAGAAGTGGTTGTATGCTCATACCTATTACACGGAAGAAGAGTTTAATGAGATTTATGACCGTGAGGAGTACGATTCTTTACGGAAGAAATACCACGCCACGTACCTCCCTAGTGTCTATGACAAGGTCAAGGTAGACGTGGAGAGTGAGGAGAAGGAAAAGAGAGAAAGTTGGAAAATATGGCTTTTGGCAATTTTCTGGGGAGTATGGCCGCTTGCGGGCTTATATGGCGTTTGGAAAGCTTTGTTGGGGGGAGACTATCTTTTGCCTAGGAGGAGGAAGGGGAAGAAGGAAGTTTGAATTTGGAGACTTGGTGAGCTATAAAAGTTTTATCTGTGGGTGTGTATATATACAGGATAAAAGTACGTGCGCATATTATTGATCAAATATGAGGTATCTCAACCTATCTGCTGTAGAATTTAGTAAGATGATGATATAGACGAGAACGTAATAGAATTCATGTCATAGATTTTAGTATGTAGAGAAGTGCTTTAAGTGGTGCATTTTTACTTTCTTATAGTGAAGATACATGTCCTAGACTTACATCTCCTCCTGCAAATTCTCTTTGTTGCATTAGTATGGTTGATTCTTGACAAACTTGTACTTATATAAAAATCCACCAAAGGCTCATTCAGGGCGAAACTAACAATTAGATAATCGAAAATTTTAAATCTCAACATGAGGGTCTTTATTGTAAGGTCAAGCTGGAGATATTTGATTCGGTTTCACAGATTCGGCATTTAGCCATTTGTGTACAGAACATCTATACAGAGCGCCGAATCGCGGCCAAAGTAATTTAAATCTAAAGGGTGATGGTTGGGTTATCTGGATGTTTGGGGATAGAAATAACCCGAGAATAGATAGACGTAGTACTAGAAAAGGATCATTTCTAAAATTCCCTCTTGTTTGCTTGTCGACTTTGGAGTGACAAAATTATGTTGTGTCTAAAGGCTCGTTCTCACCACAATTACAAAAGACTTTGATTTATAACTTTCGAGAGTCTTTGTAAGATAATTATCAAAACGCTAATGAGAATAAAACTTTAGGCTCACTTCATAAATTAGAACCCTCATTCAGAGCCAGCAAAATATTCTTTTTATTCGACCCCTAATCACCATCAGAAATTCGCTTAAATCCTTCTCGTCCACCACTCTTGACCAATCCTCCTACCACATCTTAAGGATTAAAATAAAAGACCTCCTCGACACCCTTCCACCAAGCCGGTTCTCCATCTACACTTGACTTCGCCCCCTCCACAAAACTCTCCTGAAAACTATCCGTCATCCGCCACCACTCCTGCACCTTCGGGTTCTCGCGCATCTTCTCCATGTCGCCTGCCCAGTTATAGCCCACGTACTTGAAGGAGGCGAAGAGGATTCCAGTTCCTGGATCGTGGAAGATTGAGTCTGTAAAAGTCATTAGCATCAATTCATCAACAATTTTCCCGCTCAGCGATTATCTTTTTGAGAAGTGGTGGCATGGAAAGAGGTGGCTAATACATACAATCCTCAATATTACTCTCCTTAATCTGCTTCAACACCTCCGGCCACACCTTCGCATGACACTTCTTGTATTCCTCCACATACTCCGGTTTCAGCTTCACAATCTGGGCGATTCGTCGGCCTTGGTTCTTGAGTCTTATAGAGGGGCCGGATGGGCGGTGGGTTGTGGTTTCGATTGGAGTGGGAGGGGACCAGAGAGGTGATTTTGGCTCCGCGGATGAGGTTGCCCACATCTTGAGGTTTGAGTTTGGGAATTGTTCGGGGTTTGAAATAAGTGTGTCGTGGTGGTGGTGAGTTAAACAAAGTTGATCCTTCGTCCTTCGACCTCGATGCGGGGTAGCTTTACAAACTCCTTTTCAAGCTCTTTCTATGAATCAGTCGAGGCTCTGGGGATATTTCATACGAAACAGTATACTTTGACACTTACAGACTGCGACAAGTAAATAGCAATCTCCAATTCCGATGATGCAGTATGATTTCTAAGCTGCCAAAAGGGAGCTTCGGAAAGTATGGAGGGGAGAGAGAAGCGAAGCTGGCTCGGGGCCCCACTTTTGGCGTATGCTTGTTTGACAGGCGGGTGGAGGGGAGGATTTATCCGTGGAGCGAGGGGATCGATGGGAAAGTGAGATGTGCGGATAAGGAACGTGGGATAATTATTTTGTGCTATATAGTCTCGTGATATTAACATCTACTGAAACAATTGGTATTTTAGAAGTCTGTTTTTAGTTCTTGCAAGTTAATAGCACATACTTTTAGCAGGAACACATAGTCCTTGCCTCGGTTCATTGTTACCACGAGTTAAAGCTATCCATTCTCACCGCCAATTTGGAAGTGATCCTTGGAGATGATTTTCAATGGGGTCTGCTTTTAAAATAGATATTTCTATAAATGTTCACTAACTTCATATGACAGATTTTAATTACCCGTTTTGTATATAGCTTCTAGGTTGCTGACTGGGATTGTTGCTCGTCATTTACGATTAGTTATCGTGAACTTGGAAGCTCACGAGCTCTCGATCTAGATCAGTGATCATCTTGCGTGTGCATTGACGACCATGCAAACAATACAATCCGCTTCGAATCGGCAGCAACAGTGGTGTTTGCTTGATATAATTTTCAATAGCGAGTCCAAACCAGTTCCCAATCCTTCGACTCCTTCGGCTCTTCTTTTTTGATAGTACACACCCATCCACATCATAATGTACAGAAATCCACAAGTCTCGATCTCGAAGGTTATTGGCGTTAAATCATTCGACAGCTTATCATTTCGAATTCCTAAACAGCCCTCCAAACAGACCTCCACCACCACCAAAACCAGACCCTCCACTGCCACCACCCTGCCTCCTAGCCTCCGTCCTTATCCACTCCTTCATAAACTCGGTATCCCTCATCTTAGCTGGATCCATAAGCTTCGTTTGGGTCATTGCTTCCCCTCTATCAAAAGACAATAGCGTAGGCATTGCGGTAATCATATATCTCATCCCAAACCCACTGTCCATTATGTCTTGAGAGTCATACTCGATTTCGCAGAAGGAAACGCCGCCTTCGGCTTCCCCAACGCCGGATTCGATGAGTTGGTTGAGTAAAGGACCAATGGTTCGGCAGGTATTGCAGTAAGATGCCGTCCACTGTATGGTGTTAGCTCTGTTTGCCGGGGAGGTTTCGTTGAATCAAGTCGATGAACTGACGAAGGTTATGAGGGGTTTTCTCGCAGAGGTGGAAAGAAGGAGGTATGATTGGAAGTCATCTGGCCGGCGAACACTATTGTGTTGCTATTAGCACAAGTACTCAAGGGAGCCAACTCTGCTGGGAGTGTAGCTTCGTGGAACCTACGAATCGTATATCCTGTTCTTTGCTTTGTTCTCTTTTGTGCTAGAAAATCGACGGGCCACCGGTACAGAGAGCTGGTACTGTGATGCGATTGATACGCGTAAGAGCCTAGAGGCTGGACGTATTACCATCTTGAAAATGGGGCCAATATTTCGTAAACATTGATGGCTCAGGATTGAGGCTGGCAAACGCGCTTTCTCGGCGTTTAGACATCAGACAAGGGTTCTCCGCGATGGCTTGCACCCAGCAAAAGAGCGTCATGGTCGCGAACTTCGTTTCTCGGCACTCGATTCATGTCTCCACGAATAATCGCAACACCAACAGCTCAAGCGGTCAGTTGACATAAAATCAAAATGGCAGAGAGCGAGCCAGATGCGAAGATCATTGGTAGGGCTTATGCGTATTCCGCAGTAGGACAACATCACGAGGCGGTGCAAGTCCTTGCTGACCTTTTCCCCTCCACCCACATCCAAAAAGTTCCTCAACAGTCCAACAGCATCGCATGCCTTTCGCACCAACCATTGCGGCGAGGAGGTAGGGACGTAGGATTTCTTGAAATAAGAATTCCCAAGACGACCGTCATGAGGCTTGGCTTACTTGCTCGTCAAAAGGTGGGTCATCTTCCACAGCCAAAGCCATTTGCAAGACCCCTGCCATCTGGTTCTGGTGGTGTCTTGTCCGTTGCTCCCGTACAGCTTCACTCCGTAACTTTCACAATATTATTTTCCCTTTCTGGTCGACTCGAGAAAGAACACATATACGCCGCACCTTCCTCTTTGGTGTGTATTTCAACTTCCACCAAGTTGCTCCCAGCTTGTCTCTCCTTGCTTTCCTCATCATCCTTGTTCCTTGAACCAAACCTCCGGATCTACGACGCATTCCCTATCGCAACTTAAACATCGTCGAGTAGACAGCTCCTCGTGACTGCTGTCGCTCCACACCTAGTCACAGACCTCCTTATCGTGTTTATATCCTCGCGAACAGGTTTAAATACCTCTTCCACATTGCACTACTCACCGCACATGGCTGGCCAACTCACCTGAGTGCAACACGCATATGTTCCAGTGTTGTTGGACTTGCCACTCTCGAGTCCTTAAAGAAACAACCCCCGGGTCGATTCCTTCGAACCTTTGGCCTATTTCCTCTCCCGGTCCTATAAAGCCTCTTGAAAACGCATCCTAATTTCCAAATTGTCCGCGGTATGACGACTATTGAGGAACCAGAGCATCCGCCTAAACATCGCTTTCTGAGAGTATCACGTTCGTTTTTCTCTAAGAATTCTGTCTCAAATGGAAATGGAACAGCCGATGATGCCGTGAATGAGAACTTGACGGAGGAAAGTGCTGAGAAAGGTCGGGGACGGCCGACTACGAAATGGAGTCTAGGCGTGTTGAATGTGCCTAGTACTCACGAGGTCCCTGGTACGTCTATTACTCGGAGCAGGATGTGATATAGTGCCTGACTGTTTTTATATAGGGTCTGTTATGCTACTTTCGGATGACCGAAACCATCCACTAGGGCTTCGACATACCCCCGCTGTCACTTCTTCCCAGTCATTGCCAGCACAGGTCCAGAGTCGACGATCATCTCACCAGGAAACCCGACCAGATGACAAGAAGAAAACTGATGATGGGATGATTCTTGACCCCCAACCAGAAGATGTAGATAACGATCCTCTGAACTGGCCGCAATGGCGACGAGATGCCGCTTTGCTGTCTTTAGGTCTCTATTGCATGGTCGGAGGTGGCATGACACCCATTTTAGCGGCAGGCTTCTCTAATGTTGCAGAAACATACGACGTTTCTGTTCCGCAGGTTGCCTTGACCACAGGTCTCTACATGATGGGTCTTGGTGTAGGCTCAGTCATCTTTTCTCCTACCGCCATTTTATACGGAAAACGTCCTGTCTATCTGTTTTGCGCCATCATGTTCGTGGGAACTTCAGTCTGGTGTGCGGCGTCGCCAACGTACATTTCATTGCTGGTTGCTCGTATCTTTCAGGGTATTTCTATTAGCTCTGTCGAATGCCTACCTTCTGCCACGATTGCGGAAATCTTCTTTCTCCACGAACGTGCTTACAGGATTGGTATTTATACGCTCTTGTTGCTTGGTGGGAAAAACTTAGTTCCTTTGGTCAGCGCAGCCATCATTCAATCCATGGGCTGGAGATGGGTATTTTGGTAAGTCATTCATCCGTATTCAAGCAGAATATTTCTAATTGAATCAGGATTGTTGCCATGGTAGTAGGCTTTTGTGGTGTCCTTCTATTCTTCTTTGTGCCCGAGTCTTTCTGGGACCGAACTCCCCATGGCAGACATCATAAACCGGCCAAGAGTATGTCTAGACTTTCTGTCCTACTTCAAAGGAGGCTCTCTCCGTCGACTACCGCAAATGCTTCTGACCATCGCAATCGACATAACGGCAACAGCGAAGAAAAGCTGACTGATGCTGATACAACTTTACCTCAACGCCCACTCATGGCCCATAGAGCGACTGCCCGTAGCGTTGGATTCGCTGAAAACGACCAATACGCTACTGACTTGGGAAGACAAGCGGATGGTTCGAGCCAGGAAATTCGAGAAGCCGGGGCGAAGAATTCTGCAACTAGAGATAGAGCCATATCTGGTGGCTTTGAGCCGCATATAGATGTGCTTGCTGGTCACGATTCTGTTCCACGGCAATTGCATGCACATCATGACTTGCAGCATCGTATACAGCCTGCTGGTGACGTCCCAGCGACTCCTATACTTCACAACATGGACTCACCATATTACGTTGAAGCTCAGCTCCGAGATGCCGATTACGCACATAAAGACCAGGACTCTGGGACCGGAACTGTTCCCACTTATGACGGAGAAGTGCATCAACCAGCAATCGCGCCTGAACTTGAACCACATTCGAAGCGATACACTAATGTGTTGAGGAGAGGTGAAAAACTGTCATTCGTTCAACAGCTAAAACCTTATAATGGACGCCTCAGTAACGATAGCTGGCTCCGAGTAGCTTTTCGACCCTTTATTCTGTTTGCATATCCTGCAGTCCTCTGGTCCTCTGTAGTGTATGCATGCGCCGTGGGCTGGTTGATCGTCTTGTCCGAGTCTGTATCCGAGATATATCGTAACGCAGAAACCTATAATTTTTCGGCGCTCTCCACTGGACTCATATACATCTCACCCTTTATCGGCGGAATTTTAGGAACGGCTGTTGCTGGGAAAGTTAGTGATATGATTGTCAAAAGAATGACAAAGCGTAATGGTGGACTTTACGAACCTGAATTCCGCTTAGTTATGGGAATTCCGATTACCATTACTACTGTCATCGGATTGATGGGTTACGGATGGTCTGCACATGAACATGACGCGTGGATCGTGCCGACAATTTTCTTTGGAATCATATCCTTTGGTTGCTCACTTGCCTCAACGACTTCCATCACTTTTTGCGTGGACAGTTACCGTCAATACGCTGGAGAGGCACTTGTAACGCTTAATTTTAGCAAGAACATCTTCCACGGCTTGGTGTTCAGTCTATTTTTCAACCACTGGCTTGAGGCTGACGGGTCACGCACCGTTTTCATATGGCTAGGCGTCATCCAATTGATATTTATGGCGTCCACAATTCCTATGTATATATTCGGTAAGCGAGCGAGGATGTGGACTGTTAGGATGAACCTGATGGAGAGGTTCTGAGTTGTAACTAACATTTGGGTTTGGCTTGGAGTAGAATGCACAAGGCGTCTGGATTCTCTTGGGTGGGTTGTTTGATAGATAGATTGGAGCGGATACCTACTTTGCTTTTACATTGGACTTTTGACTTACAGAAGGGTTCTTGGATAGGACCATAGAAATGGGGTTGCTAGAGATTGGGGCTTGGAAAGACCGGAGACAAATCCAGACCGCCATCTATATGATTAGTTCATCTGAACTTGACCGTAATATGAAATCATTTTCATAGTCTCACCTTACCTCAGAAAAACGTGCTGTTAATATTATAGCCAAAACACACACTACGCCTTCTGACTGAAGCGAACTAGTCCCAAAGCAAGCTATTCTGCGCGAGGAGATCTTATTCGTGAGTTTGATGCTCGCTAAAGCCGTACAGACCCACCCGCTGACAATTGCTCTCTTTGTTTATTCTGCAACAAAGTAACACACGATCATACATGAATTTAATTTTCCAACTTCATGACAAGCGATAGATTCGTTATATTTGACTGCAAATTCTATTAAATATGGGACCAAAAAGCAAAGGTTGCAATACTTGCAAGTCCAGAAAAGTGAAATGTGATGAAACGCATCCATCTTGTCTGCGTTGTCAGAAAGGTGGACTCAATTGTTCAGGATACACATTGATCCCCAGATTCGTCGATGAGTTCCCAAAAATGAAACGGAGAAAGATGGTCGAGAGTCTACAGATACAAGATATGAGGGAGAAAAAGGCTAGGACAACTTCGCAAGATGGAAGTACGACAGTTCTTGGAATCGCCAAGGGTTTCACTCCCACAGACTCGTTATCTTTGATAGGCTTCAGAGATGATATTGTTATTTCATTTCTTGTGGATAAACTTGCAAAGGGGAGAGCGGGGCAGCAAGAAGCAATTGCTGCTGGGCAATCCTGGATTTTGGAGTTACCGAAGATATCGCACAAGTCGCTGGCAGCACTGGGAGCTTCATTTTTCGGGTTTGCGTATAAGCAGCGTGATGTTGGACTTGCAGCTATCAAGATTTATGGAAACGTCTTGTCTGATATGCAGAAATGCATATCGAATCGAGAGGATGTACGAAGGGGTGGTACTGTAGAGATTATAACACTGATGTGCATGTTTGAGGTTTGAATCATTTTCCATGCGTATCCGTTGTCGATTGCTAACAAAGCTAGCTTATGACTCATCGAGAGGGAACGGGTTGGTTATCTCATGCTCAAATGCTGGAGCATTTGTTGAGCTCTTTCGGACCGAAGAGGCTTATGACTGCATCAGAGAGATCACTGTTTCTGGAGCAGAGACACTTACTAGTAAGTCAGCTAAGTATGACTTGACTGGAGCATGCTGATGAACAAATTACCAGTTTTCTCGAGCTATTATGACTCAAACAGAAACATGTATGGCTCAGCCAGCATGGAAGTCTATACCATGGGAGCTAGACCCAACTTCAAAACAACCCATTGATTTCTTAATGGATATTATGTGCGATATTGCGAATTATCGAGCACGACTCAGAGAGCTCTCCACATCTAATGAGAATTGCCAACTTGCTGCGGATCTTATTTCAACTTTACACGAATTGAATGACTGGTGGGAGGACTACGCTGTCGAGTCAATATCATGGTGTACAGAAGTAAAAGCGGACGCGCAGAACAGTGTCATGCAAGATGATGATGGTCCTATTTTAGACACACTATTCCATTACAAAGATGTGTGGACAGCACATAGCATCTGTTTCTACGACGCTACTAGAATTCTGCTTTTAGAATTACTCAAAGCGGTACTACCATGTGAGATATTCGCACAAGTTTCCTTGGAGAATCCCAACAGAACACCTTTACTAGGCAGAAGCTCTGACACAAATGCGCTTGCTCTTGAGATCATTCGGTCTTTGGATTACACCAATCGTTATTATGAGAATTTTATGGGCACATTCTGTGTGGCTTTGGTCTTGGACGTAGCCTACAAGGCACTCGAAGAAGAGTCAAGAATACGTAGATGGCTATTGGGTGGACAGGAAGCGAAGAAGCTTGCGAAGGACAAATCGAAAGCAAATTCCCCGGCAGAACTGCCATTGGTAATGCTACCTACATGCCAAATCAGTTATGAAAGATGGTTCTATCAGTCTCTAAGATGCCCTATAAGCTTATTAGAAAATCATTTACCGAGTACTGCTTAGAGTGGTACTTACCAAAAGAAGAACAAGTAATGACTTAGCTCGGGGAAAAGCATTTGAACAACCACGGACCAAAATGGTCTCTGCATATACGGAAACTTTCATATAGCTACAACGCTCGGCACAAAATGTTGATCATTGTTGGAATTTGCTCGCCAGAAATACCTCGAATTGGGAATAGCTCAGATGGACAAAATGGCCGATGCTTAGAAATGGTTAAGTATTCCAACATACAGTAAGAAACAAACAGGGCTCGCAGAATAAACCTCGAATTGGGAATAGTGCAAAGATGCGAGTGAACGACGCAACAGCAAGTGCTTCGAAATAACTACCCAAGAATCGACTATATATATGATGTCTGGCAGTAGCACCTTTCTCAACGCAATTTCTTTCATTCTAGATTCATAGCCGTCCTCAGATTCGTCTTCCATATCTGACAAGTCCTACCATTTCATCGCCACAACAGCTGCAAACATGTCAACACCTACCTCCTCCCAAACCTACCAAGTAGTTCTCAACGATCAATCTGGTGATCAATCCTCCCCAACTCTACTCAACAATCTCGTTATCAAAACGGTTGCCACGCCCGTTCCGGGGCCAGGAGAAGTCCTGATACGCTTCCATGCCGCCGGCTTGAACTACCGCGATCTCAGCGTCCTCGCAAACAGTCCTGTTTACCCCATTGAAACCATCTCAGGCGTAGTACCCGCATGCGATGGTGCAGGAGAAATCGTATCTACCGGGCCTGACAGCAAATGGAGTGATAGTATTGGTCAAGATGTTATTTTGGTAGTCAATGGTGGTTGGCTCGATGGTGATGATCTTGCACAGTACACTGTTGAGACCACACTTGGAGCTGGAAGTGTCGATGGCTCGTTGACTCAATACGGCGTCTTCAAAGATCAGTTCATCGTTAAGAAACCTGCGAATCTCAGTTTTGAAGAAGCGGCTGCGATTTCAGCTTGTGCTTCAACTGCTGTCCATGCGTTGGATGCTATCGAAATCAAGAAAGGTATGACTGTGCTTACGCAAGGTACTGGTGGTGTTAGTTCGTTTGTGATTCAGGTATGGCCAACCAACTTCGAATATGGCTAGACGCAATTGCTTATCAGCTTTTAGTTTGCATCAGCACTAGGTGCCCATGTAATCGCAACATCTTCCTCAGATGAGAAGTTATCACAAGCAAAATCACTTGGTGCATCTGATATCATCAACTACAAAACAACCCCAAACTGGGCGGAAGAAGTCCTTCGCATCACGGATGGAAAAGGAGTTGATCTCGTAATCGATGTCGGAGGTGCCGGTACCATAGAACAATCTATAGCAGCAACGAAACTTGGTGGCACAGTGGCTCTTGTTGGATTCTTAACACCATCTACTCAGACCGATCTCATTGCTTCTATCATTTTCGGGGGCAAGACCTGTACGTGTACTTTCATGCCTTAAAGAAGCTGGCTAATGAATCCGCAGTGAAAGGCATCAGAGGTCAGAGCAAGAAGCACCTGGAGCGCGCTGTTGAGTCGATTGAGAAACATAATCTGCATCCTATTATCAACACTTATGAGTGGGCTGATGCAAATGTGGCATTTGAGGACCTGAGAAAGGGTGTCAAGGCTGGAAAACTCATTATCAAGGTCTGAATTTAGGAAGTTTGGCTCATGTACGAACTTGAACACCCCGATGATGGAAGACGGGGTTATTATTTTGAATGGTTATACACCGTCATGTATTTTCGTTGCTGGAAGGTGTTATGGCGTTCTGATTATTATGTGGGCATCCATGATGGTTTGTGAAACTGTGCTTCCTTGTATCGAATGAAATAGTTGCCCTATTTATAGATGTGATGCTGATATGGCACAGTACCACTCGAATTAAGTCTTGAGCTGTTTTAATATTTGAAATGATTTAAGAGCAGTTTATGGTTAATGATGGTACAAACACCCAACAACCCAAACATTCTAAGCACATGGTCCTGCCAAGTTGCGTTTCCAAACGCGGAGCCTCCCACGATATCCCAACCATTTAAACCAAAGACCTGACAATGCGTTATTCTAAACCCAGTCTAAATTCTGCCACCTGGCCATAACTCCATATCTCCCCCAATCAAACCTAGGATACTCTCATTTCCTGATCTCATGCACCAGGCGCCCCTTGACCCAAACGGCTAGAGTATTTCGATCATCTCCATTGTAAACCCATTTGGCGATTCTGTCATCCCAAGTCTCCCAGCCAAACATGTCGACCGGACTCTCGTCCATTTGGTTGATCTCGTCAGTCGCACCTTCCTCATCTGATATGTCTGCGCCAAAGCCGATAAGCTGAGCATCCCATTCCTTGCCGACGTCGAAGCCACCAATCTTGTCTTCAAGGTTAACGACCTTAGCTCCGCCTCTCGTTGCAAGGTAAAGAACCTCTTCGATAGATAATTTTGTGTTGTCATCCCCACCCATAGCCACATGACGCGAGACCAGAACGGCTTGTCGAAGAGCTTCTAGAATCGACGGCGAGTAACCGCCTGACATGTCCGTGCCTAGTCCAATATCGATACCATTATCCAGCAGTTGACGCACTTTGCAGGTACCAGAAGTTATACTTGAATTTGAGCAAGGACAATGGGAGATCTTCGCTTTCCGTTCTTTGATAAGTGCAATTTCATCATCTGAAAGATGTATGGCGTGAGCTAGAATGGTTTTCCTAGTGAGTAGACTAAAGGAGTCGTAAACAGATGTATAGTCTTTGATGTCAGGAAATAGCTGCTTGACTAGCGCCAGCTCACCCACGTTTTCGGAGATGTGCGTTTGAATTGGTAGATCAGTCTCCTTGTGCAGCGCGCCAAGAGATGTCATAAGCTCCGAGGAACAAGATGGCGCGAATCTGGGAGTCAATATTGGAGATACTAATGAATATGAAGGATCTATCGAAGAGATGTGCGAGATGGTAGCTTTGGTAGCCTCGATCGCTTGTTGTGGTGACTCGTCTCGGTAAGTGTCAGGAGACATGTCAGAATCCATACAGCACCGCCCAATAAATGCCCGTTGACCGATTGATAAACAGAGGTCAGCAAGCAGATTTGTCGCCGGGACATGAATGGTAGCATAGTAGCTTGCTGTGGTGGTGCCATGAGAGAGTGTACGCTTAACGCAGCGGTTGTAGACCATCTGGGCCTTTGATAAGTTGGCAAGTGATGACTCCATAGGAAAGGTGTATTTTAGCAGCCAATCCAGCAACGTGCTCTTGCCGAAAATTCCAGCATTAGGAAATTGAGGAGCATGGATATGCGTGTCTACCTCCTATTAGCAGAGAAGTCTTCGAGGAGAGATTTGATAGGAGTGGTGAATAACCAACTTACCAATAAATCCAGGAAAGAAAAATTCCCCTTTCTTCGCCATATGTACAGCATACTCTCCTTCTACCCAGCCCATTTGTGGTATTAAAGTATCTTTCGCTCGCTGTAAGTCCATATCCTGTTCAATGGCGACAATGACTCCATGTTCATCCACGAAGACCGCCGCATCGTGCCGGGTCTCTAACTCATCGAGACTCTTGCAATGCACGAAAGATCCCAAGAAAAGAGACTTTTTGGTAGGTGACATCTTATTACTTTCCGATAAGGAGTGAGATAATAGAAATTTGTCTCTGACGTGAAAACCAAAAGATTCTGGTGTGAACAAGATGATTGTAGCTGCTCGGCAATAATGTATGTATAGGCAGCGGCAATAATATATGTATAGGCAGAAGCGAAGGTAAACAAAGCAACGAGGCTATCTAAAGCGCGAAAGAATAAGAATAAGTATTTGAAACAAAAGTGACACTTGCTTTTTCAAAACCCAATGGTTGCGATATGTTCTGTCCAATAACACTACTCTAGCCGCACTTGGCTCGAATAGGAATGGGTCGGCGGCGGACTTCGCCTGGGGCCGACTTGCTCGTTAAAAGATCCTAGATTCCAGATTCCAATGACAAGAAGCGAGCCGTGAGATAATCAAGTCATTCTTAATAATGGGCGGGCCCGAGAGAAGTAAAGCATTATAGCTAACGGAAGATAAGCAAAGATGACTTGGTCATTACATGAAGAGATTCAGCATATATCAAGAAGGATGATGTGCAGTGACCGCATGCTCTCTTTGGTTCAGATAAATGGCGTGCTTGAGCTTTTATGTAGGATCTAGAAATTTTGGTACAGATGTGCCGGGTATCCCACTAGTCCTTCTAAGTTTCTTAACGCCTTGACCATGATATTACCCATCCACTATATGCTTGCTCGACGGGGAGCCATTGTCCTCCTCAAAGCCTTCTTCTCCTCTGTCTCATCTATCAAAGGCAGCACGCCCTGATCCCTCATCTGCGAAAGATACGACTGGCCGAACTTATAACCCACTTGATAGATCTCGTCAAACTTCCCAAAGTCTAGAGTGCCATAAGCATCGATGGGCGGGCGCATGTATAGACATCCGGGGGTGTTCTTGGCCCTTTCCAATGCGTCTACACTTGAGACGTACGCAAGTCGTGCTTGAATTTCTGCTAGGGTCGGTGGGTTCGGGTACGATGAGAAAGGGTTCCAGCGATTGGCAAAGGCCCAAAAGCCAGACAAGGAATCACCAAATGTTTGGGGAGTATCGTCGTCGAGACTTCCAACATCGATTGCGAAGATCACGTCTGCCCCTAAGGACTTCATATGCGTGACCGTCAGATTATCGACATAACCACCATCAAGTAGCATACTTCCTTCATCGCACAAAGGTGGTAATAGGCCGGCCAGAGACATGGAAGCCCGTACATAACGCCACGCGTAACCACTCGTATGTATCTCTGACCGACTCTTGCTGATGTTTGTCGTATTACAGTAAAATTCCAACCAAAAGTCCTCTATTTGAGAATTTCCAAAAGTCTTGAAGATTCCACGATTAAATTCATGGCCAGTCGTATAAGAGGCGGATGGATATGTTAGGTCAAGGGCGAACCGCCACATACTTGCCATACGGCCAGCAAATTTCTTTGCACGGCCATACATTGGAACCACATCTGCATCACGCGCGTACAAGGCTCCAATGAAGGATCCGATAGATGTGCCCCCTATTATGTCTATGGGAATGCCAGCTTCTTCCAAAGCTCGAATTATCCCGACTTGAGCAATGCCCCTGGCACCACCGCCGCCTAGAACTAAGCCGATGGATTTTCCACAAAGCCTCCTGGCAATTCTATGGAAGTCTCCCTTGAAGGGCGTATCGGCGGAATAAAGTGGAGTTTGTCGGACTCTCCGGGAAGTATACTTCTGAATTTCTGCTTGTAGGACCTGAACTCGTTGTTTCAAAGTAGAGCCAAACCTTCTCGTTTGCGGATGAACTGGAACTGAGCTTGTCCGGAAAGCCATCTGTACATGGTGATGCCCGCCGTTAATCCAGACACGATTTCGGAGCCAGGCTCTCGTGACTCCCTGAGGAACAAATCTGTCGGAATGTAGCAATACGAGCTCCTTTCTCGCGGTGGTTTTCATCCCGAGGAGAAAACGCTCATATTCTCCAATTGCGGCAGATCCTTCCGCTAAACCCACAAGTAATATACAATCAGCCTGACTGATGCACGTCTGAGTCCAAGGCGAGTTCACATTGGTATCTGCACGTTGATTAGCCGCAATCTTTGACAACATCTCAATGGCATTAACAATCAGGAAGGAAATAGAGCTGCATTAATGTGGTCTTCATAGCATGATTTTGACTTTGGAAAAAGTTCGGCTGCTTGAGAAGATATAGTGAAATAAATGCCATAGTGAAAACTTACCTGCCACATATAGAACCAGACCATACTTTTCCTCAAGGTCGGCGAGATACTGAGATAGCTTTAGTTTCCCCATCCGACTGAACGCGTGGCGACCGAGATGGTTCAATATTGCCGCCTGATTGAGAGAGGTAACGCCATTAGTTGCGCCAATTTGAGTTAGGGCGTTCATCAATCTGCTTGCAAATTCGACTACTGGGACGCCAGCAGTGACGGGAAGAATCGCAACTGTTCTGAGATTTAAAGTAGAGGAAACTTTATTGCTGGTGGCAGCAGTGACCTTTTCCTTGCCTTGATCAAACACAGGATCTTCTATTAGAGATCGCATTCGAGATGCAATGATTTTTGATATTTTGATGGTGATTCCTGGGTGCTCCTGGGCCAGACTGTTGAAAAGAGTTCTAGGAAATTTCGCGAGTTCCGTATCACGAATAGCATGCAGTGTAGCAGGTCTGGTGGACTCAGTCATGACCTCGAGCTCGCCAACACTTTCCCCTTGGCCATATTCGCCAACAACTTTCATTTCCGCCTCTTCGTTGTTAAGAACAAGACGTAGACGGCCATTGAGAACAATGTAGATGGCATCACTATCATCGCCCTGATGATAGATGACCTGACCAGCACTGACTTGGACCCACTCCAGAGCAAAGTCAATGTGTAATATCAATTTGGGTAAAAGACTTGTGAGTCTTTTCGCCATGGTCAGCAGAACCACAGGATACTTCTCAACAATCCTCTCCAGTGATGAGCGAGGGAGAAAGCCAACGTAAACGTCTGTCTTTGCGACGACGTCTATGAAGGAGCGATATGAAGAGATGGTACCGATATAGCCTGCAATACCACCAGGTTTAATCAAAGCCAGAGATTTCCGACTCGCCGCTTTTCTTTTTTTATCAGTGGTATGCGCCATCCCCGCAGTAGATGTCCTTGCTGAACCAGTACCTAGGCGACTGAGTGGAGGACGTCCGTCGTCACCAAGTCTGGACGTCGGTGGTCGATGGGAAGGTCCAAGTACCGTGGACTCAGACTTCTCGTCAATAGGAACGCTCACATCTAGGAAACCATCTATTACATAGTATAGACCAGGATTCCGCTCTCCCTGCTCAACAAGAACGGAACCCTGAGGGAAAAAGACAATCTCGATTTCATCTTTTAATTCGTGGGCTAAACCCTGGGTACTAGGATATCCACCCACGCTGATCCCACCAGATGTCATAGACTCATTGTCTCCGTCTGCTGATGCTTCATATGGATCCATGAATCCAAAAGCATTGTTGGTAAAAACAGCCTTTTGCTTTCGCTGGTCGTAGGATACCAGTCGAGGGGAAGCTTCGACAGAGTCAGACATTCTCAGAGCATTTCGGGTGTTCGTGAGGCCTATAGCCTTGAAGATACACTCCAGAACCGAGCCCCTGAACATGCCGTCTTCATCAATTGATTCTTGGCGGTGGAGTGATACGCGAGGCGATAATGTGTTGGCGAAGGGGTTAAAAGTGCGCTGCGCGAGTGGACTCTGACTATCATGGTGCCAAACTTCTGGCGCTTCAACAGTTGCTACAGAATGGGCCTGAGCAGTATGGGAATTGATTCGTCGTCCACCGGATCGTGACATGTGGATATTGGTCAGTAAGTCGCCAGGACTGGGATTGGTACTTATATCGCGACCAGGAGGCTCGAAGGAGTCGGTAGTCAGTGCTGGGGAACCTTTCGAAACCAGTGAGTGGATGGTAGCCTCTTTTCTCAGACTATTACTAGATCTGCGCCTACGGCCAACCCCAGCATTGTGTAAGGCTATGCCTTTACTACTGTCTTCAGGCCCAGCTCGTTCCCGCTCGCGGGTGAACTTCTCTTTGAGACGCTCTAAGGCATCGCCACGCAGAAAATTTGGAAGCTCATATGTAGTATACTTGTTCATGTGTTTTTCTGTCCGCAATACTTCACTCGTCAGGCCGAGGTAGGAATGACCTGTAGCAAGTGTCACTCTTTGAAGTCGAGTTAAAATTACCTGCACAATATGTGCAGTAGCCTTTGGATACACCCTCGTTAAACGACGAAACGCACTCGCTGGGATGATGGCAATCGTGGTGTCAACCGTAGCCCTGGCGACGATGTCGGGGTGGGCAGAGTATGTCTGGTTTCTTCTAGGTTTAGGTCTGGGTTTCGGTTTGACTCCACCATCGAGTGACAGAGGAGGAATAATCGGAAGCGCGCCACCACCACTAGAACTTGCCATGGTCGACGACCTTCGATCCTTTCGTCTAAATGATGTGGCTCCGTCTACGGATGCCCCGTATATTGGGCTGTTTGGCAGCGACGGCGGAATGTCATGTTGATTTTGATCAAATTCGAAGCCAGCACTCGACGGGAATCGCTGTTGGCGGAATCCACTGGTTGAAGTCCCAGACTCTACTTCCTCGTCTTCCGTATGTCTTAGCTTGACGTCTTCAGTGAACAGCGAGAGTATCGAGAATAGGGAGGACATTGGCGCTCCATTTTTCACCTCGGTCAAAAGTTGGTACTTCTGGTGCCCTGCACCTGTGTTGTGATCATCACCACTGTCAGAAGAGTCTTTTGGGTCGAAGGTCACAGTTTCGGAATCAGAACCGCGACTTTCTCTAGATGACTTCACAAAGATCTCAACTAGTCCATCGACAACAAGGCAAAAGCCCTTTTCTTCTTCTAGATTTAACGTTTCCCCTGCTATGAGCTTCCGTGTTTGCATACTTCGTGTGAGCTCGTGAAAAACCGACCGCTCCAAATATCCGAATACTTTGATTGCACTTAGGAACTCGTCCAAATAGTTGGAAAATCCAGATTTCGAACCCTCCTCTTGTGTATCCGGGTATAAATCGATCTGTGGTTCCTTGCGTTGCGGTTCAGGAGGTAAACGCGCATACATGTTTAGAAACCTATATCTGACGAACCAGCTTATGGTCGACATGAAAGCTAGCATTATTAACATACTGTACTTATATTAGCAAGGTTTGACATCTGGGAAGATGGAATACTTACAGAGTAGTAGCATTCATGGTAACTGTCAAGCTGGTCGAGAACAGGGTAAATAGAAATGTAGGCATTGTGATGGAGATGCAGGTAATTATCCAGTAAAGAAGGCCTGGGACGATGCCTATGAGATACAGACCCATTCTCCCAATACCTCCCAGCCAGGAGGGTTGCAAACTGAGCTCCTCTAGTGCCGTCGCTGTGGCAGAAGCCAGAGGTGAGGTGGACACGGAGCTCATATTGACAAGCAAGCTTGTGAAGCTCGGAATGCTGGCAAGAAACAGGTATTCGGTAGTGTCGACGAGCAGCAGCAGTCAAGCCCGCCACTGTGTCAATATCTCAGCTCTCAGTAGGTGTCTTTTCCATTTTACGAACTTGGAAGGCTTGAAAGCCAACAATTGTTTGTATCCGGAACGAATTCATACTGTAGTCGAAAGATGGTTTCTACCTAGGTTCGGTGCATTTGAAACTACTTCCTCCGCTCCGTATCGGCGCCGCTTTCGCCGACAAATCGATGCTAACCCCTGTTCTGACTTCCACGACATACTGCCCGCCCACCGACCCCACCAAGCTCGCGTCCAAAATTCAGTTTGTGACTCCAAGGACTAGACTGTCGCAAACATTCACGATCTATTCTGCTCGCGCCCACCCACTCAAAAGAATCATCCTTATACACAAATCTCTAAGCTCGCCACAGCATATTGTAGCAACGAAGCGCACCTCCCATCTACGAATAGAAGGTTTTGAAGGCGTTGCGCCAACCCGCCAAAATGTCGTTGACCAACTGTCGCTTCTACGAGGAGAAGTATCCTGAGATTGATAGCTTTGTGATGGTGAACGTCAAGCAGGTATGTCTTCTAATTTTCGCCTCTAGCGTACTATGTTGACATGGCCTGCAGATTGCTGAGATGGGAGCGTACGTTAAACTTCTCGAGTATGACAACATCGATGGCATGATCTTACTTTCCGAATTATCGAGACGCCGTATCAGAAGTATTCAAAAACTTATTCGAGTGGGGCGAAACGAAGTTGTGGTGGTTCTCAGAGTTGATAAAGAGAAAGGTACATCTTAGCCTCGTTACATGGATATCGAACCATTATTGACAGCATACTAAGGATACATTGATTTGTCGAAGCGAAGAGTATCGCCAGAAGACATCGTCAAATGTGAGGAGAGGTACAACAAAAGTAAAATGGTCCACTCCATTATGCGGCACGTAGCAGAAAAAACGCAACATCCAATCGAAGATCTCTATGAGCGCATTGGGTGGCCCTTAAACAAGAAATATGGACACGCAGTCGATGCCTTCAAGCTTTCCATAACGTAAGCGGCCACGTTCTCTCTCAAATCACCACTAACATTTCGTAGCAACTCCGAAGTCTGGCAGGACATTTCCTTTCCAAACGATGTAGTAGCTGATGAATTGAAATCTTATATCGGAAAACGTTTGACGCCACAGCCCACGAAAGTTCGAGCAGACGTCGAAGTTACATGCTTTGGTTATGAAGGCATAGATGCGGTTAAGACCGCTCTCCGAACTGCAGAGGCGAGAAATACTCCAGACAACCAAGTAAAGGTTAAGCTTGTATCGCCGCCCTTATATGTCTTGACTAGTACATGCTTGGAGAAGAATGTTGGGATCCAGACTCTGGAAGCGGCGATCGTTGACATCCGGAAAGACATAGAAAGTGCTGGAGGAAATTGCATTGTTAAGATGGAGCCGAAGGCGGTTACGGAGAACGACGATGCTGAACTGCAGGCACTGATGGAGAAGAGAGAAAGAGAAAACGCCGAAGTCAGTGGAGATGAGAGCATGTCTGAATCTGACGACGCCGTTCCTGAGACCATGTAATGTTGATGCAATTCTGGGGGATAATTAAAAGCATTCTGGGAAGATCTGCATTGCGGGCGCATAGAGGGCCATATAAAGCTCATGAATGCAAGCGGCCAATTGTAGTAACGAATCAAATATGAAGAGATTAGATTTTGCTCAATGTTTATTGTTATATTAATTACCGCGCGTTTCACCTGACAACAGGTTATTTACAAGGCTGAAGAAAGAGATTGCCGAATTGATGGTCACAAGGCTGTGGCTCGGTACTGAAGTCGACGAAACCTTGGGACAATAAAACATACCATCTGCAACACATTTCATAACTCTGGCCTTTGGCCCCGATGGCCGTCAATCGTGTCGTCTCCAACTTCCGCAACATTCCACTACGGCCATTTATGCGGAAGACGGGCTACAACCTTCTCATATTTGCTTCTTGGGTTCCAGCAGTCATCTTTTTTAATGAAAATATTGGAGAAACCACAAAGATTACAGGTGCTTCCATGTACCCATACCTCAATACATCATACAACGAATCCCGGAAGAAGGATCTTTGTTGGGTGAACAAGTGGAACCCAGGTACCGGCTTGGAACGCGGCATGCTTGTCTCATTCTGGTACGTTGCCATTATCTTCATTCAGACCCAGCTAACGATTGGAACTATAGGAGCCCCAGCCATCCGGATGTTCTCGCTGTCAAAAGAATCATAGCAATAGAAGGTGATAGGGTTTTCTCTCGCGCGCCATACCCAGCGCCAATTGCAGATATCCCGGCTGGCCATGTCTGGGTGGAGGGTGATAATCGAGATGGCAATAAGTCTTTGGACAGCAACCATTATGGGCCAATACCTATAAGTTTGATTCAGGGCAAAGTTACACATGTGCTCCGGCCATGGGCAAGCTCTGGACCGATTAAATGGGCAGAGTTTAGGGGTAGAACTAAAGTGATAAGAGGACGGAAAGAAGATGCTCTTCAATGGGCTTGAAACCGCAGAATATTCGAACGCAATATTTATGGAACAAGAAAAAATAGTCTGGACAAGTGCGCCACACGCAAGTCAGAGGTGCATGTACTAGATGAGGAGAGGTTGACATCTCCGCATAGCTGTAAAAGCAGATCTTTACAAAATAATTTAAGAAATACACCGTGGTGGTAAACCAAACTCATCAAGTATTGTCTGACCAAATCCGAATAATAATTATTAGCAACGAGGGTACGCTATCTCTCTTTTTCCACTCTGTTGTGTTAATCCAAGGCCTTCAGCTCCGAAAATGTGGAAGCATCCTGGAAATCATTCCAAACTCGGACAAAAATCTAGGGATCTGAACTTAATTCTAGACACACTGTAGTACGATTTAAATGTTTTCGTACTGTAGTAAATAAATCGTTCAAGCAACTTCGGTTGCATTGTGAAAGGCCAGCAGGTGTTGGCTCTCAGCCTTGCGCTAGCGGGCGGAACATTTGCTTAGCATCCTACCTCCCAGAAAGCCTAGGATTCAACATTTCATCGATAATTCAATAAGCCGACCGCTGCAACCAACTTCCGGGAAGACAGTCGCAATCCTTCTCGGATAGCCCTCAACTGGATCCGAGAAAGGGCCATGTCCCTGGTGAAAAATCTTTTCTCTTCTGCAACGACAAGTACCGAACCGAATCGTAACGACTTTGCCATTGTTGATGATGGATTGCAAACGGGGAGGGAGGCCGGCGGAAATATCAAATTGGGCACAGGGAGGACCAGGCCGGATACTATGGCATCGAAAGACATCGAGGAGGAGGAAAGAGCGCCATATGTACATGTAATGATAGCAATTTTCCCAGAAAAAGTTAGTGGACTAATTTTCTGTAGTGCATGATTGCCGGAGGCCTAGGAGGGACGACGGGAGATCTTCTGATGCATTCTTTAGATACCGTGAAGACGCGGCAGCAGGGCGACCCGCACTTTCCTCCCAGATATACGTCTATGGCCTCTTCATATTCTACGATATTCCGCCAGGAGGGCCTCCGACGGGGATTGTATGGAGGCTGGCTACCAGCATTGCTAGGCTCCTTCCCAGGGACTATCATATTCTTTGGGACCTACGAATACAGTAAAAGGCACATGATTGATTACGGTATCAATCCGCAGCTTGCGTATCTTACTAGCGGTACAAACTTCCGAACCGTATATTTAGGAATCTTGACTAATGGGAGTGCAATAGGGTTCGTTGCCGACTTTGCTGCATCATTCATTTATGTGCCCTCCGAGGTACTCAAAACGCGTCTACAGTTACAGGGTCGATACAACAACCCCTACTTCAATTCTGGATATAATTATAAGGGGTTTTCTCACGCCGCTAAAACAATATACCGTCAAGAAGGATTTTCAGCTCTGTTCTATGGATATAAAGCGACCATTTTCAGGGATCTGCCATTTTCGGCTCTGCAATTCACATTCTACGAGCAAGGTCAGGATTGGGCACGGAAATGGAAGCAAAGCAGAGAGATTGGGCTTCCTCTCGAGCTTTTGACAGGTGCCGCTGCTGGTGGACTTGCTGGTGTAATAACATGTCCACTCGATGTCGTGAAAACTAGAATTCAGACTCAAGTCAACATTTCCGAGCCGGTAATCAGTCACACAAACAATGCCCTGGGAAAGAAAACGTCAAACTCATCCATACAGCAACAAATCAGAAAGATTTCGACATCATCGCCTTCGACGCATACTCCTCGGCCAGGCGCCAGTAATCTCGATACCTCATCCGTTATCACTGGACTAAAGCTCATATACAAGAGCGAAGGGCTTGCAGGAGGCTTTCGCGGTGTTGGGCCTAGGTTTGTATGGACCAGCGTTCAGAGTGGCTGCATGCTCTTCTTATATCAAACAATTTTACGGAAACTGGGTGTATTATCTTCTGCAAGCAACCGAGAAGAAGCTGTATAATGGGACTGGGAGGCTTTTCACTGGATGAGAGTTTGTATAAAAGCTTGGGCGAGGAATGTAAGGATACTGTACACCACAACAGCATATGGGCGGCGTTACTTGCACAAACAACATGCAGAAAAATCATAGAATAGATCTTCACTTTGAGGACGTTGAAGAATCTTGCAATAACGTTTTATTATGTGGCGCGTAATTTCGACCTCCTCATAAGACCAAAGTGCAATTCGGAACGTGATAACTGCAAGTATGAGAATAATTGAAGAGCTTAAATAACCTATACTTGTAATTCAATTCGCCCTTGTTGTCTGGTGCGCTGAGCCGGGGCTCGGGCTGATGTTGCCTCGATTGCTACGGCGGCCTGACAATGTTCGTCGCGCATGCTTTATTTAGTGTCTGGTCCTGACAAGAGCTCCATGGGAACTCGACAAATTTTAACATCGAAACTCGAAATCAAACACTACTGGCTTTCCCACTCTACCACCACGAAGCTTCGTACAGAACTGCTCGAAGATCGGTAGACAGAATTAAATGAATTTTGTTTCTAAATCGCCATGAAGCCTCAGATATGCCTATTACGCTTCCTGTGCCGTCCAAAGGTGCTCTCAGAACTCTCCGCCATCTCGCCTTCGGAACATCTTGCACAGTCGCTCTGAGTGCTGGACTTCTGACCGAAGATCGTCGACGAAGAATCCACTCTGCGCGGGAGGTACACGAGAATGCTTGCAAAATCAAGGGGGCGAGGGGTTATCACAGTGGAAGCGCCAGAGTACTTATCGACATTAGCATGGGTGATGTCTCTGGTTTCGAGGACCTCCCATTCCCACCAGCGGATAGAACAATGACGAAGTTGACGAAAGAGACCAACAAAGAACACAGACAATCGGCAATCCAACCTACGAGCGAACACATTGAGCTGGTGCAAATCGGAACAGCTTGGCCTGGAGATATCTCCACGCAAGAAACTGGGAACAAGTCCACTCCGGCGCCCAAAATCACGGATCTAATTGATTCCCGCCCTTTGGTAGCCCACCGTCAAGTAAAAGCCCGTAGGGTGGATGATTATATCAAAAAACGTCTGGTTTTCCAGCAACAAGCACGGCCCGACGTTTTGGACTCAGATGCAGAAGGAGAATTGTTGTTTGAAGCCAATCGTCAACGAAGACTTTCTGCGGATGTTGACCGGATTGTCTCGAGTGGTGATCCAGCGGACGTCGAGGCAGCGGCCTCCCGATTTTTGGATACTTTCGAAGAAGGAATTGACATCCCCCGAACTGGTATTGATCCACAGCTACTTCAAACGGCCGCAAATCTTTCAGAGTTGTGTATGAAACATGACAAAATTCATCTTGCACAAGCTATACTGAAGTCAATATTGCCCCATTTTCGTGGCATCGAGGAGACATTATATCAGAGATTCTCTCCTCACACTATCATCAAACACATACTGGATGACGCCCATTTAACTGGATCGAGCTTAAACTTCGCCTGCGTAATATATACCCAACGCTTTGAAAAAGGCTGCCAGATCCCGGACAGTGTAGACCGGCAGAAGGTCTCCTCACTGGGTACAAGATTATTCGAAGAGGCACGCCAACGTGGATGGCATGGTCTTACTTGTAAAATCTTCTTTTCAAGGTTACGATATGGTGCTCGTACTTCCCTGTCTGCAGAGGATGTAGGATGTGTGATCGACGCCACACATAAGCTTGGTGATTATAAAGGGGTGGGAGACCTTTTTTGGAAGTACTTCACCAAGACCACACCTCACAGCATTCAACTATCTAAAGTCGTTCGACTTGTGGTCGATGCCGCCTTCCAGTCTGGACAAGCTCGGCGTGCGGAACGGGTATTGGCAGTGAGCAGTAAAATGGCAAAGCTTGGGGGTTTCAAAACCTCGACAACTTCGTTACTAAACTTTCTTGGTGGTCAGTGGAGGATGACGCGTAATATTGAAATCACCATCGAGAGTTTCGAGCGCTTTAAACCACTCTTAGCTGATGTCAACCATCCGAGCACAGTTTACGGAGCGATCATTCAATGGTGCATAGAGGCTGACAAGGAAAGCATTGCAGTATTCTATTACAATGAGCTAAAGAAAGTCCACACTGTCAATCCAGCCGACCTTCGTATATTTGGCCATTTTGCCCTTGCCAAGGCAAAGCGTAATGACTGGCCTGGAGCCAGAGAAGACCTCAAGAACATGGGGCTGATAAGCGCTCAGTTCGAGGAGGAATATGGACAGACTCTGCAAGAAATCTTCAGTCATAGCTTTGTACCCATTTTGAAAGTCTTCGCAGATTCGCACAGTGTTTGCGAGACAGAGGAGTTCATCCGCGGCTTCATGGACAGCAGCTACTTCCTATTGACTCCGTACATCTCCAACATCATGATTAGTGAGTATGCTGCTGCTAAGGAAACAGACTCTCTACTCCGCTGGGTAGACATTGCACATACTGCCGGATGTCCCATTGACTCGGTCTCGATAAACATCATCCTGAAGTATTGCCGCTTGGTGTGGGACTTTTCATACGAAGAGGCCTTCCAGTTATACAAGCTGATCTGTGCGCGCGGTAATGGTGCGTTCACGGAAGACCAGACTGTTGAACATTTGGCACAGATTGCCTTGACGGGTTCTCCGGGGACGGTGAAGGCTACTAAAAGACTGCGCAGGCTTCAAGCCCTGCGCAAACACAAACACACTTGGAACTCTGCTGGAACCCTTCGTATCATGAGTACAAACCTCATTACCGGTAATCCTGCCGCTACACTCAAAGCATATGAATCGGCGCTCAAATCCGAGATTCCTATTGGCCCGAAGCACGTAGCCATAGCCGTTGCCGCGTGCTTGCGGCATAAAAGCATCTCGCAGACCCAAATTCTCATTAGAGAAGCATATGCTCGAGGAACCGATGTGCAGTTTGCTGCGGCCCATGTTCTCATTGAACAGATGAAGGGTTTCATCGACCAGTCCCCAGACGAGTTCAGAAGCTTGGTTTTAACCAACATAGCTACCCTGGAGACTGCTGGGATTACCATTGATCAATCTATTGTAACCCATACAATCAGTCTTCTGGAGAGGAGTGGGGAGGTTCGACAAGCTCTCGACTTTTGGTCGCTCATGTCTGAGCGGCTAGGCTTAATGGCACAAACCATCCATCTCTCGACTCTTACTGTATTGTTGAATGTGTACGCGAGTCTTGAAAGCCGCCAGGGAGTCCTTTGGATCTCACACACCCTCATGCACTCAGGTTCCATTCCAGACCGCCGGTTTAAGATTCGCGTTGCAGTAATGATCAATGTAGTAAAGAAAAAACAACAGCAAAAGCCCTTGGATTTACGTCAAATTGGCTATATGGATGCTTTGGAAAGTTTACGTCGTCAGGTTAAGCAAGCTCGGGAACGCCGCAGTTTGGAAAAAGCCAAGTTCCGAGAGATGGCCATGTCTATGCTCAACCTAGGGATTGAAAGCCAGCCTCCTGCGAATCTATTGGGATCCTCTGCATCAGACTCTCGAACCGTGACTGACGGAATATCCATAGCACAAACGTCACATGAGACTTGTGACGGAGGATTCGATCCAGAAAGCGATTCAGTAAAGTATCTGGGCAAAGCCATTGGTGTCGCAGGCTGATAATTACCATGTGTATATTATGTATATCTATGTTTAGTTTATAGATGTTGGAAATTATGTATATAACTCATGAGATGAAGTTTCTACATCCTCGTATCAAGCATGAGGCACGCATATTTTCAACTCATAGTGACTCTTACCACTGTACGCAGCCGCGAGTATTCCTAACAGATATACACCTCAATTGTCACAGCAGATGACTCAATCGCAGAGAATTAGTCATTCTTTAGAAAAGTGGATGAGTGATGCTGTTCAAGGAGTTACTACGAATATCTGTTCGTTTTTCGCTACGGTACGAATTAGAAGACATGGGACTGGACGAGACGAATAGCGTTTGGTGGGGTTTCTTCCGCCGATATATACCCGAAGACAATACCATCTGAGCTTGCACAAAACCAAGAGTTCTGAGGACGTGCCAGAGATGTTGCTCCTTCTGCAGATGCACACCGTCCTTTCTTACAGCCTGCCGATGTTCCAGGTGGCAGTATGTCTATCGTAGCTGAGTAAGATGGCCTCAATGGATGCCTATGATTTTGCTTCCTAACTAAATATGTATAGCCAAGTACGGCGCGTCGATAGCCAACTCGACCGCGTTCAATTGGTCCCTCCATCGACACAAGATGGTGAATTCTCAGCAGACAACCACATTATCCCTTCGTCAGCCAGACTTGTAGAGCTGCAGGCTATAGTCAAGTCTCTCTCTAGCACCTCTTCTTCGAGCCCACTTCTCTCTTCATGGCGGATATCATCTCTTCTACAACAAGCCGGACTTTCAGACTTCACGATCGATCAAGATGACGACGATGAAGACACTATCAGCACGTACGAGACACAACTGGAATGGTTGTTGGTCAGCAAGGCTACTGTTCAAACCTACGGGCTGTTGTTGAATATACTTTTAGAGCAGACCATACCTTTAAACGATGACATATGGTACTGGGACGAGATTCTTGGCTCATATTCTTACTCGAGTTTGTACACTATCCAGACTTCTCCTCTTCGATTTTTAGCATGGTCCAAGGATATATATCGGGAGACTAAGCACAAGGCGTCCCGAATTAGACGGAATCCAGAGAATAGTATTTCAGCGAGCGGGCTCGGGACGACTCTGGCACACCAATGGAAGCAGTTCTATGGCCTCGTTCGAGAGAGCGTGAGGGAAAGATCTGTTGGCAATATACAGCGGAGAGTTCTGTCTCCAATTGCAGTATGCCGCACTGAAGCCAGACATAAGCAGTCACGACTAAAGAGGCTACGAGAAATGGGGGCCAGTGGACTGGGAGTTCTCATGGACGAGGGATTGAATTTTGGCATCAGTGATGAGAGCAGCGAGATCACGAAGACTGACTATAACGACAGCCAAGAGTGGAAGATGGTTGTGGAACGCAGCGTCGCCCTGATGGACAATGTTCTCCGAAACGTTACCGCACTGGAGAATGGTGTGGCCGATTTCGAGGATATGGTATTCAGCAGCGTTGAGGAAGATCCAGAGCTATCATCGCTTCGCGCTGAAGATTCCGAAGCTGTGAGACTCAGGAAAGTGTCCCAGCGTCTTCAGCACATTCTGAAAACGCATGTGCGTGATTACTCCTCTAAATCAAAGCAACTTGCTTCGAAATATGGACGGCCTTCTAGACTTATTCGGTACTGGATCCCTGCCGTTATCTTCATTCTTTCTTCGTCAACCATACTCCGTATTCTCGTGAACAGGAAGGCAGAGATAGTCACATGGATCCAAGATTTCGGGACCACCGTACGTGATTTCTGGTCGAACTGGATTATGGAGCCAACAAAGAAAGTGATTGGTACCATACGCCACGATAAGGATAGTGCAATTGCTATCATGAGCAAGGAGAGTTTGAAGGGTGACAGGGACAGTCTGGAGCGTATGGTTGTTGACTTTGCCGTGGACAACCCAAACTCAGCAACCAATGGCAACGCGCCTCTTAGTGAAGCTCAAATCGCTGAGATTCGTTTGAAAGTGAAAGAAGGTGACCTGACGCCAGTGCTTAGAGCCTACGAGAAGGATCTGAGGCAGCCATTCGTTGGAACTCTTCGTGGTGATCTCATACGAGCTCTTCTTATTCAGGTGCAAAAGACAAAGGTCGACGTCGAAGTGGCATTAAGTGGAATTGACTCCCTATTAAAGAGCCAGGAGTTGGTATTTGGGTTTATCGGCCTCACTCCAGGTGTTCTAGTATGCTTTGCGGCATTCAGATATTTGGGAGGTGTGTTTGGAAGCAGAAGAGGTCTAAGACGAGGACGTAAGGCAGGCCAGACAGTCCGAGTTCTTCGAAACATAGATAGGATCTTGACAATAGCCACGCCGACGCAGGAAAACATCCTGTCATATAAAGATCATGGCCTGCTATTATGCGAAGTCCACATCTTACGCCAAGGGTCCAGCAAATTGTTCCCTGGGGATATTGAACGGGAATTTCTCGAGGATGTCAACGATCTCTGTAACATCAACAGTGGCATACAGCAGCAGCTCAAGACGCTCGACCGGATTAGATGGGGTTATGCTAAGTGGCTGAAGTAGTCGAAGAAAAGCTAAATTAATTATAAAACCAATGCAATAAATATCTTCACATGTTTTTTCTACAGCTATTCAGTCATCATCGTGCTGCACCCGGACCTGTGCATTACTTCGGCAGCGTGTTTGATAATCTTCGATTCACTGCTATTCTGCTATTCATTGAGTTAATAATCCCAGAGGAATCGTGCAATCATATCAGGAGAGCATATCGTCATAGTTGGCCGCCGTTGGAGGCAAGGCAGGAGTCTTCTGAACGATCCTGCCTGGTTTGGCGAGCGGCAATAATCCAGGCCGACGCAGTAGTAAAGCCAATAGTGAAAGGAACGGCGAGCACATACTTCCGCCTGCACTGGCAGCCCGAGTCTCTTCCTTCAATAAAGACACAATTCAACGACGATACGACGACTCACTACGCTGTGATCAACACACATTTCTTCACGACAGCGACCCAGAGATACCCACCTCCACCCCTGCAAAGACCACAGACTCTTGTTCACCACCAACTTTCCCCCCAATCTAGAGTCCGACGACCTAAACGACCCACCATCGACTGCACCGACTGCACCCCACGACAACCAAGCTACCTCACTCTCGTCTCAACGTCGCGCTGCAGCTCGAGCTTCGAACAAGACACAGGCTATTCTACTTGCGCCGGCGAGCAAACTCGAGATGGCCGGGACGCGTAATTACGATTTTTTGGTGCGTTCCATCCGACAATTAGGCGTGCAAGAGTATTGCTGACACTACCTCTTACAGATCAAACTCCTCCTAATCGGCGACTCTGGCGTAGGCAAATCATGCTGTCTCTTGCGATTCTCTGAAGACTCCTTCACCCCCTCCTTCATCACAACCATTGGAATTGATTTCAAGATCCGGACGATCGAGCTGGACGGTAAGAGGGTGAAGCTGCAGATATGGGATACCGCCGGCCAGGAACGGTTCAGGACGATCACCACGGCGTATTATAGAGGTGCGATGGGTATATTACTAGTTTACGATGTCACGGACGAGCGATCTTTTAACAGTATGTCATCACCTTTTGACCATCCATACCCTTTTGCGGAATCCTAACCATCCGCAGATATTCGAACTTGGTTCTCAAATGTAGAGCAGCATGCAACGGAAGGCGTCAACAAGATCCTGATTGGCAACAAATGCGACTGGGAAGACAAGCGCGTGGTCTCCACTGAGAAAGGTCAAGAACTAGCAGACGAGCTCGGGATCCCATTCATGGAGGTCTCAGCGAAAAGCAACATCAACGTAGAGCAAGCATTTTACAGCTTGGCGACAGATATCAAGAAGCGGATCATAGATACCGCGAAAACGGATCAGGCGACATCGCAAGGTGTAGACGTAGGAGCACAAGGAAGCGGAGGTGGAATAGGTGGAAAGTGCTGCTGAGTAATTTGCCCGGTTTGGTTGTGCGTAGCAATGACTTGGAGCGGAATTTCAGGGCTGCTTTTCGTTATGTTTATTTAGCAGCAGATTATGGGCGGAGTTAGGTCACATTATACGGTATTGCAAATTGAAGGCATGATATTCTTGCCGAGCTCACTTTGATGTTCAATAGCTTGCGGGATGTCCCATAGCGGAATAGGTGGATTCAGGTGTGTGAACATGAACGGGTATTTAATTGACATTAAGGAATTACCACAATATTTCTGCGTTTATTGTTGGCGGTTCCTCCGCCTGTGATCTTCTATCCGATAACGGAAATGGACGACGATGCCATTCTCGCGCGAATCTTCGGGCCTCCAACCTGTTCTTGAATGATATCACATATCTCTCTGGTCTTCGAAACCCTCTACCGGTGATAGCTGATTCGATGTTTTCTCCTTGCACTTGGGTGGTAGCCTGTCTCAGACTTAAAACTGCATCATCTCCGTCCGCCAATCCCCAATGTAGGTTTCTCCTTCTGCCGTCTTCTAGAAGTGCTTTTCTAAGCTCATACATGGCGATATTTCCAAAATCCGGGTATAATAGCACCTTGTCCTCTGCCTGACTCCTTCTAGTCACCTCGGCTGTCGGACCACCATCTTCTAGCAGGCGTGACATGGCTGGTCTGTATGGTTTATCAATCAATCGTAGATAAAGCTCGCTGTGAGCGGGTACCAAGGTAAAACCTCGAACGAGTGACTGGACATCTTCTCCGTGTTTTAAGAAGTCAGGGCGGACTTCGAAAGCAGAGATTCCTGTGGCTCCTCTAAGGGCTGCCCTAGACAGTTTATATAGTCTGTAGATGCTGTCCATATATGCTCTTGCGCTTGCGCTGTCGGTAAAGAGGATGAAATAATGGTCTTGTGATTGAAGGGTCTGGGTGTGTCTACCGGGTATGACTGGTTTTGTTAGTTACTTTCTGCTTAGTGTAAGAGCAATATATCACCTTTTATAATCCCGTGAGTCCATCTTTGGATATGATCGCCTTTGGGTCCTACGCGGAAGAAATCACTCTCTGCTAAGGAGCTAAGCGCACCGTTCAAGACCAGAACACTAGCTTCACGTCTCTGTTTACGAATATCCGCAATTGACTCGACCACTGCGGGACCCTCGTTCTGGGACAAAGGTATCGACCTCATCGTACGTGGTCTCAGAGCTTTTTGACGTTCCTTCTCCTTCTGCCGTTCCATTTGCCAAGCAAAGGATGGCAGTTTTTTCGAGCTCTTCCCGCCTTCCTTTCTTTTCACATCTTTTGCATCCCCAGGAAATAGCTCTTCAAACAAGGACCATCGCTTTCTTTCCAACGTTTGAGAAGATGGAGGTCTTATATATCCGGTGGCTCTTCTAAATAGCGGCGTCTGAGAGGGGTCTGATGTTACTGAGGTCGTGGTCGTCTGTACTTCTGATGCAGTACTATGAGACTGTTCAAGCCTATGTGGACGCCATGGGTACGCTGATTCCCTTTGCGGTGAAAACAAGTTTTCGAACTCTGGTGGTAAAGTCTCCAACGGTGTTGGAAGCTTGTCTGTCTTAGGTTCTCGTGTGGTGGCATGCGGTCCAGTTGCTCTATCATCGTGAGGCCTTGGTCCGACGTTACTTTCTGAGTCCTGCCGGTTTTTCTCTCCTTCTTCCCTACCTTCCAGCCCTTCAAGCAATTTCGCCTCGCCTGATGATGTCGAGCTTACGGTGGGTTCAAGGCTCTGTTCAACAAACAACCCTTCAGGTTGGAGATTTGCTTGCGCAGAGGCAATCTGAGAATTCGAAGGGATACTATTAGGTGGATGCGCATCCTGGGGTACTTCCAGTCTTGTTTCTCGAATTCGAGGAGTCGATTGTGGTGACCATGTCGACTCCGGCGGGGAGGACCGCGAAAGGCCCTCTTGCCGTTTTGGAATTACATTCCATTGCGCAGCCTTCTGTTTTGACCGCGAGAAGGCTCTCGGTGGCCCACGAATTTCTGGTTTCTGTTCCTTTGAAGCTCTCCCCCATAATGTCCTCCTGCCCCGACTCTTCAGTGAAAATGTGTGCGCTCGTTGCTGTTGTTCATTCGCGATAGCTAGCAATGAGCTGCTCCACGCCGGCAACAAGAACTGCGGTGGCAGTGGTCGCGTCAGCAGCATCAATGATGTTCAGTTGACCAGCGCATTGATATATTTCAAGGTGGGTGCGAACGTCGGGGTTGCTGTCGAGAGCAGGTGTTGACGGTTGAAGCTCCCACCATCAGTTTGAGTGGAGCTGGGGGAACGCGATTTGCATCGGCTCAAAAATAATTCTTACTCGGCTGTTTCTTCTCTCGCAAACAACTGCCATTAACCATGCAAATCCACAACCGCGAGATAATTTCAATATGTCGAATACGCAAAAGACGTTGGAGGTCAAAATCAGACCATTCCAGAACAGCGCTCAAGAAAGAGCAGACCAGAAAGGCATATCACGTGTCTATCTCTCCAAAGAAGCGCTGCTTGATTTGAGACTCGAGGCCGGTCAGCCATGTTTTATATGGAAAGTTGGAGAAAACGAGGACCAGAAGAGAGAGGCTATTTCCTGGCCGACTTCTGAAAAGTCTCTGGGGAAAAAAGCTGCGCAAATGACGAGGAGCTTCCAAGAGATCTGCGGATTCAAACTGAGTGATGAATTAAAGATTTCCGCTGCGGGACCGTTGCAAATGTTGGAGGCAGCTACTCTCCGGGACGCTACTCCTATTGATATGCTTCCTGAATTGAAGGATGAAGAAAAGCCGACATGGGATTGGCCTATAAGGGAGGCACTTTGTAAGTAGAAACTTTTCGTTGGCGTCCATTGATTAAACAACTCGACTTCTCTCCAATATCAAACACTTAATTGAAATTTTTTATCTTATCTTTCCTCTTCAAACTTACCGTATGTTTCCATACATCTCATCTCGTATCACTTCTCAGTCTTGGGGCAGTCTTCTATCCCCAAGAAAAACATAGAAACATCTAGCTTCTCCACAATTCCGAAATTCAATATAGTCTTTCTTTACCAACCAGCTCGATCTTCCAGTGTACTTCTCTACTCGATCAGTGCCTTTTACTGACAATAACTAGTTCGTGCTGATATTGTCTTTGTTGGTATGGTCTTCAAGGATGTTTCATGCCGAGGGTTCAAGCGGACCTTTCAACTTGATAGTATCAACGGCAGTATAGCAGGTCAAGCAAAGTACCAAGAGACATCTACAGTCCGTATCGCGAGTGCTACAACTGAGAGTCCGTTGCCGCAGATCAACGGATCTAGGCCTAAGCTACAGGTTGTTGATGTTGCGGGCATTGATCAAGCGCTGAAGAAGCTCAACCGCTTCCTTGGTAACTTTGACCGCAAATTCAAGTCAACTTTTGGTGATCGATCATGTTCCGTACTACTACATGGAGGGCATGGTACCGGTAAGACATATCTGATCGATCAGATCGTTGCAACTGGCTGGGGCCGAGTACATCGGATACAGAGAAGCACAAAAGTGGCCGCGCTTAGAAACACCTTCAAAGATGCGAAGATGAATCACCCATCAATTTTAGTACTTGATGATCTTGAGAAAATGGTATCAAGGGAAGACTCGATGTCTGAAGATTTCGTGGACGCTTTGGGGGATGAACTGGATACTCTTGTGGCTGGCACCCTTGAGTCTTTGCCTAGAGTTCTAGTCATCGCGGCAACTCTCAACCTTAGCTCGATTCCCATTGCACTTAGAGATGAGAAGAGGTTTTCAACAGATATCGTCTTGCCAGTGCCAGATGCCATATCCCGGAAAGCAATCCTCAGATCATTTTCTATCCCAACCCATCCAGACAGGCGCGACGAGATAGTTCATCGTCTAGGTGATCGAACACATGCTTATACGGCGAAGGACCTTCGTTCGTTACTTAACACTGCTCGCGATATTGCTGAGGAAAAGTATGACCATATCGAAAAAGTTGCAGAGGGTGAAAAGAAAGATGATGTGACCGCTGCTCATGGGTTCTTGATCACAGAAGAAGATATCGAGCAGGCTTTGCTGCTTGTTCGTCCTACAGCCATGCACGATGTCACATTGCGCCCACCAAGCGTTCGATGGGATGAAATAGGAGGACAAGAAAGCGTCAAGAAGGCTCTCCGCAGAGCAGTAGAAACTCCTCTACTTGTGAGTTTGGGCCACTCGAATCCTCATATCCAGCTAACCAAATATCCAGTATCCAGAACGAATGGCCCGTCTCGGAGCCACCGCCAAAAAAGGCCTCCTCCTCTACGGCCCCCCCGGCTGTTCCAAAACCCTCTCCGCCCAAGCCATGGCCACCGAATCCGGCTTCAACTTCTTCGCCGTCAAAGGCGCCGAGCTCCTCAACATGTACGTCGGCGAATCCGAACGTGCAGTCCGCGACATCTTCGCTCGCGCCAGAGCCGCAAGTCCCAGCGTCATCTTCTTCGACGAAATCGAAAGCATCGGCAGCAAACGCGAGGGCAGAAACAGTGGTGTAAACGTCCTAACCACGCTTCTGAACGAAATGGACGGCATCGAAACGCTCAAAGGCGTAACCGTCCTCGCAGCCACGAATCAACCTCAAAACCTCGACCTCGCGCTCATCCGTCCCGGCCGTTTCGACCAACTCCTCTACGTCCCACCCCCTGATCTCGCTGGTCGGGAAGCAATCCTCAGAGTCAAACAACGACACATGGATATGGCATCCGACGTCGACATTCCGGAACTAGCTCGCCTAACTCACGGACACTCTGGCGCGGAACTCGTGGGGATATGTCAGGTTGCGTGTGATGCTGTGCTGGAACGGTGTGAGATTGAGGGGAAGGAGTTGCAGTTGACGATGCAGGATTTGGTGGATGCGGTGGGGGGTGCGAAGAAGCAGATTACGCTGGAGATGATTGGGAGGTATGAGGTTTGGGCTTCGGGTGCTAGGGGGGTTTTGATGTGAGTTTGGGGGACGGGAGTTGGATTGTTGGTGAAGAACAGTGCTATGATGTATTAGGGGTGATTTTAAACTACACAGCCCGTCTTGAAAACTGACTTGGGATTTACTCTTGGTTCTTGGATGATTTAGAGGTATTTTGAGTTACCACGCTTGTAGAATTTGGTAGTAACAGTATTTTCTGTTCACTCATATAAGGAATGGTGGATAACAGTTACAATATGATTTTGTTTGTGGGAGACTATGTGTTCTTATATCCCCCAATATGTAGCATATTTCCAAATTATCTGATCATTGGATAGAATTTCATCACGTCAATGGTTATGTGTATTCACACGGCCTCAATTTATGATGTAAGGATAGAACAGGAAAAAGTTTCTTCTCATTCGAATATAAATCTTGATCCCTCGGAACAAAGGGATATATAAACACATCCCATTCGAATCACCCATCCTATATACACCCGCCAACCCCATAGTTCCTTTTATCAACCACCCAAAACCAACACTTTCCCCCCCTCACCTCCTCCTATAAACCCCCACAATCCAACTCGCCCTCAAAATCGCCAATCCCCACGCCATACTCAAGCTATCCCACACAACATTCAACTTGCTCCCCCCAACCTCCTGCCACCCAACCGGCACCTCCGCAACGCGAATCCCATCCGGCGCACTCTCCGCCAACATCAACATCTCCACGTCAAAGATCCAGCCTTCGACGTGCATGTACGGTATGATATGCGGTAACGCCGGACGCGAGAAGAGTTTGAATCCGCATTGCGTGTCCCGGATGCGGGAGGTTGCGGGGGGTGTGAGGAGACGAAGGAGAAGATGGAAGGAGTGCATGAGTGCGTTTCTGAGGGCTGAGCGCTGGGGGTTGTTAGTGAGGTTCAATCTGGGGTAGAGAGGGGGATTTACTTTTACTACGGCTTCTGTGCCCACCATGTGTGCTCTACTTCCTACGGCGATACCTCTGCCCGGTGAGTCTTGGACTTCTTGACAGCCTTTTACGAGTTTCCGGAGATCTGAGAATTTACTGGCGCCGTCTGCGTCGGCGAATACGGCGTAAGCTCCCCGGACGTGTCTGAATCCATGGGTGACGGCTCCTCCTTTCCCTCGATTCTCTTTGAGGGTGCAAACACGAAGGATATCGTGTAGATTGTTGCGCTTTGCAAATGAGAGCGCAACGTCAACGGTTTTGTCCTTGCTTCCGTCGTTTACAATTAGAATTTCGTAGCCGCCCACTCCTTTCGTACTATCTTTTCCAGCGCTTCCATTTGCCTTTTGATCTTTGCTTGGTGTTCGTCCGTACTCCTCGTCCAGAAAAGCTACAGCTTCTTCGAGCATAATCTCCATTCTCTCCTCCTCATTGTAAGCTGGCACAACCACACTCATCATAACCTCCGCTCCCTCAATGGCTCCCGTATGCTTCACATTGTCCTTCTCTTTTGTAGTCGCTGCTTCGTGTCTATGTGCCAGCCAGTCATCGTGCCAACAGGGAAGTGGTTTTGGAGGGGTCACATCGCCCGAGGGTGTTGAAGTGATGTATGTCTTCTCGGAAGGATGAGGAGCTCGCGGGGTTGGCGCGAGGAGGAATATCAGGCCGTACAGCTTTGGTCATTAGTTTTGATTTGCAGGCAAGAATGGGTCTACTTACGAAGCCTCCTGTAGCTATCAATGTGGTAAATAATAATGAGAAGAGTATATATGGAGGTGCATCTTTAGACAGTTCCACTGCGCCGTTGATCACCCCCAAAAACATATCTGCAAAGTTCGACATTTTGAATCTCAATTATGGATTAGAACAATATCCTAATTGAGGAAGCCACGAGTTCATAGGTGGATACGAGATGCTGAATCGTCGTGCAGCATGAGGCCGGTCAAAACTTTCGATATCGCAATTCACCCGTACATATTCTATGGCAGAATCTCAATCGGGGAATAGGATCAAAAGGAGTGTTGGGGTGGCAGTTATTGTAATCTGGATTTCGGCGCAAGCTGACCCAAATTATGAACACGGTCGACAAAACGCGGTGCGCGGCTGTCGGAAGGGCCCGTTCTCACCATGTCGAAGACCCCCGCTATGGTGGCTTGAGAGGCTGCAGGAACGAGGGCAAGTCAATTGGGTTGGTCCCGGAGATTCTATTGTTCTAGAAGCTTAGAACATGTTTTATAGATGATCGTGCTCATTGGATGTTGGGTCATTTGGATATGTTGCATTGATGCTGGAACACCCACAAGCCGTTATTGTGTTTAGCACAACATACAAATATCTAAAGAAATAACAGGTATTCAAGTTTGGCACTTTTTACTATGAGAGAAAAGTAAACAGTTTCCAACGCACAACAGAGGCTTCAAACGAAATGGAGTTGCTGTACCACTAATTCACACGCAATCAAACTGGCTTGATGTTATCATGGTATCTCCGCCTCTCGACGAAGTACGGTATCATATATCTGTCATCACCCAGCCTATCCGCATGATATAATACAGAAGTGTAACAACAAATCAGCTTCCCAGCAAACCATCCTATAATATCTCAGATGTTCCCAACGCTCGTATGTCTCCCAAGCTAGCAATAGCCGGCAAAGTGGGCTTTTATCATAAAAACAGCACCTCCGATATACTCCATACAACGCCGGGGCGCTGTGCCTTCACACCCTTCAGCTTTGGCGACAATTAAAATCCGAAAAGCCAAATCGATAATCAACTTCCCCTGTCCTCGCTGCCATTGTCCCCGCCCGTTTTGATAGCTGTCGAGAGAGTGATGGCGATCTTGTTTGGTTTGCTGCCCGCAACACCTCCATGCTTACTAAAGTTTCCTTTTCTTCGCAGAGGATTACTGGTATTACTAGTATTGGATCCGACCGAGCTACTCGAGTTACGCCGCTTCGACTGTGACAGCTTGCCAATCTCATCCTCCTCGTCCTCCTCTCGGCGACGTTTCTCAGAAAGTCGTTCTGGCGCTCCAGGACCGCCAATCGCAGGCAGATCGTGGTCAATCCCCAGATCTTGAGGCCCCACTCCATTGGATTTTGCACCTTTCGCATCTTTGGCTTCTGTCTTCGCATCAATTTCGATGTTTTCCGTTTCCTCATCGGATGGGTAGTCGACAAGTGGCTTTGTGAGCGGAGATGCACCATTGACAGAGGATCGAGTTGACTTGGTAATAGAATCCTCCTCGTCGTCCGACGTATTAAAGTACTCCTCCTCGGTTGCGTCGAGGTCTTTGATTCCATTGTCCCATCGTCTCGATCCCGTCTCAGATCGTTTGGGCGTTTCGCTTCCTTCGGTTTCTAAGAACGATGCTTCCATGCTTGCATCAAACCCTGCCGAGTCGTCATATTTTGTTATAAAATTTTGGAAGATGTCCACATAAGTAATCTCCTTCATCTTCTCCCGATAATTTTCAACCAAATGAATCATCACATTCTTAATATTGTGACCTGAAATGAACTCGAAAAATTCCAGACAAGCCGAGTTTAGTAGATTATCCCGGTTACTTGTTTCCGTCAAAAGGTTCAGGATAGGCTCGAAAAGCTTGCCTTGAGTCATTTGTTGGTTGTAGAACTCGTCCTGGAGGCCTATCAAATTACGGAAGAACTTCAAAGCAGCTGGTTGAGAAATTAGCGGAAATCAGATGCGACAAACCGAGGTACTTACTAAGTTTGAGGTATTTTTCTGGACTGGCCAAAAGTTGAGCTATTCGGTGACTCAGCTTCTCGGATAGCACAAAATATTTGCTATGATGAGTGTGTTGTCGTACGAAAAAGCAGAGAATTTCGATAAGATATATGAACAGCGAGACTTGATGGACGCTAAATGTCATGTCCTCTCTATCCTTGAGGTCTACCAGTGGCTTGAATAGCTTCTTAGCAGAATCGTCATAGAAGTCCCGCACAAAGCCATCTTGTTTCGCATCAATCCCCCTGTTTCTAGACCCGAATTCCCCCGATACCTTTGATTGGTCTAAAGCACTATTTTGTTGGCCCGGATCAAGTAGCACCTTGATGGCATCCGCTATTTGTGCCTTGACGCCAAGGTCCGCTTCTACAAGAAGAAGATCGATCAATGAATCGGTCAAAGGAGTTTGCTTTTCGTTGATTTGGCGAAAGATAGTCTGGCGTATCAAACTTGGATCATGATCAATCATGGAAACCAATATGTCCGTAGCGCCGACACGAACAGCAACATCGCTGTGACGAAGAGCAAAGGTAATGACCGATAACAAGCCCTGTGCAAGAAAATTGTTGTAGAGTGCGTTTCTTCCTGGGGGCTGAAGACTCTTTGCAATAGCGCAGCATTGCTGAATAAACAGAACAGCTTCTTTCCTCCTTTCTTGATTCGTTTCCTCTGGGCCAAATATCCCAAATAACTCTTTTAAGAACGCTGGATTTTGTTGAATATGCTGAACAATTTCGATTTGTTGGAAATAGATTATGCCATTGAGGCAGGAGAAGGTAGGATCGTCCAGGATCCGGGCAAGCACAACATCTTTGAGATATTGCAGGCGATATACCGTGTGTATTTTTCTTCGAATTTCATCATCCTCAATCCGCACAACCTCTTTAAATCGGCCCTCTTTACTAAGCCACTGTCGATGATTCGCTTTGTGGCTAGGGAAATCCGGATCGTATTCCAATGCACCAACCGAACCAAGAATCATGTCATCGCGGACCACCATTTCCATGATCGAGTTATCGTTGAGAAGAAGGAAAATCTTCATGATCAAACACAGTTTGTGTAAACTTCCTAGGTCTTCCATATCCTCGGCCATTTCCACTAAAGGTAATAATTGTTTTATGTAATCCTCGGTATGAACAAACTTCGCAAGGCCATCCCGACCACTGTTGGTGTTATTGCAGTGCTTGACAGAATCAAGGATTTCTCCTAGGTTGCCAAGCGATGGAGCGGGCAACTGAACTTGATGAACATAAACGTGGTCGAGGGGCATATCGTCGTCCAGAGCATCATCTACAAGGGTTAGCACAGCTCGCAAATAAACTTCACTCTGTGGGGATTTAATCGTATAGGTTGGGAGAATTACAGAGGTGCCTACCTGACCCGCCGTTCACTGTGACAAAACGTTGCTGGATCAGACTGACGAACTTCCTAAGATGAAACTGCCATTAGTTCTCATGCTTCTTTCAATCTCGACAGGCAAGGCTGATGGATGTCACTAACCATACTGCGGCGCATCCTTCCGCCTCCTGGAAACTCAGCGCCATGTCCACATTGGTGGTCGGTTCGGTCCATACGATCAAGGTATCTGGTGACACCAGTAAGCGCTGTTCAAAGTAGCAATCGAGGCTTCGTCATTACCTTGTTGTTTTTGGAACAAATCTTCTTTAGATATCCTTGTTTCTAAAAGTATGCGCTCTGGATGTTCCTCCGACTGCACAGAAACTCGGGGGATATCTGAACGTGAGACCTCATCCTGCCAAGACGGTGCACGTTAGTTAAACAGATCTTTGCGACGCGCATCACCAAGTCTCCAGAGATAGTAGGGTAAGGTGTATGCAAGCGCAGCGATGAAGCAGTACATACATAGGTAAATTCTGCAGTGCAGAAACCAGTTCCTCTATCAAACCAGTCGCTGTTGCGCAACTCGTAAACCTTGACTCTCTTCTTGTTGCTCGGTGGGGGATCAGGCACCGCTTGTGCCATCATCACCGGTTGTAGCTCCCCTTCCAAGGCTTCTGCGGCTGTACTCGCAATATCTGCGTGTTGTTCGAGGGAGAGCGGAGCTGTCTGCGTCGTGAGAACGATCGCCACTTTCGAGGTTGTGCGCCCGAGGTCGCGCGGAACCGAACAATTCGAGGGGGTGTCGGTCAGGAGCGGGCGCGCGAGGGAATCGGGTTCAGACGGAATCGGCGGACATCTAACGGTCGTGTGCTATTGACGTCGTCGTCGTCGTGAATGCACGGGCGGTAAGTGAGTCGCGAGATGATGATGCGGTTGTTGAGTGCGAGGTGTGAAAGTGTTTGTAGCCGGACGTACGAAGCGTTCCGTTCCAAGCACACCACACCTCAGGACCCGAACAGATCTTGCGAAAGCACAGGCCGAGAACGCGATCAGCCCGCCACGCTACTGACTAGGGACCCTTTGGCAAAACAAACAACGCGGCAATTTTCGATATGCGAGAGAGGAGGGGTTCGTCGACTTGGAAAAGTGGTGATGTGCGTCTAAATTGCCGCCTTGAAGATACTGAACATCGAGACTCGATGCGTACGGACTATTAGGTGACCGAGTTAGACAGAACAACGGCGAGATGCAATCACGTCACGTGTGCAGCCACTTGATCGGCCTGGTGTGCCCAAGTGGGTGACAGCCTAATTATATGAACGCGTTGATTGGCGCTCCAGCCGCCGCTAGCTAGCTCCCGCTCTAATCTTTATCTGCCCGGTCAATCACCGGACAAACGTCATTCGTCTCAGATGTAGGTATTTTCATGAAAGAGGCAGACGTTGCACTTTCTAGAACTCACATGGCAATTGAATTGTAACACTTTTCATTCTCAAGCCGAACGTCTAGACACTTGCACATCGTATTGTCTACGCCGGAATCCCCGGTTATACCCCGTGAAATATCCCTCGGTATCTTCCGACTCTGGAGTATAGAGTTTCGTAGTTCGAGGCCGGGCGGATTGAGGTCTTGTGCGAACCGTGACGCGCCTAGATTGATTGGATTCCAATGTTTACTCGAGTGTCGCGAATCCAACTAATGATTCGATCTTCAACGTCCAAACCTTCCAGAATTCAGAACACGACGTGTGCAGCATAGCTCATCTACATGTCTTGCTCCCGGTGTGAAAGTAACGAGTCCAATTCGCTGATTCGACTGCATTCCAGAAGACATATGATTTCAGAGACATTCAGAACTCCATAAGTCTACAACGCTATTCATCCCACCAGAGCATTTCATGGCTGTGCTCCAGGATCCTCGTTTGAAGACCTCAGCACCTGCTTCAGCTCAGCTCTGGAAAGCAAAATTGTGCAGATATCAGAGTAATAATACTAGGCACGTCTGGCACCTATCAGACGTGGCAGTGTGGACGCCTTCATGTGGTGAGGAAGCATGACTGCAGTAGAACAAGGGCCACGAACACGTCTATCAACCTCTCGCAGTACAACGTTTATGCTAACATGTTTGTAGATCATGCGCTTCTTTAGCTACACATTTGTGTATCTATTCGGTGTTAAACTTACAGGTTAACGACCTGAAAGTACACGCTTGTCCAATTGGCTATTCTGTAATTTACGAACCCCGAATCTGACGAGTTAGGACGGATTCTCAAGTCATGATCTGCGATAGATGCGGTGGAATTAGTAGCTGATATATGCAGTACTCTGCAACTGATCCGAAGTGACAAAAGAGAGCCAGCATGTGAAAATACCACATCCACGACCTTAGCCTCGGCTTTCCCGTCTGTCCGAACCTCAAGATGTAATACGCTGTTGCAGTAACAATGTGTTACCCATGGAGCTTGGCCTGGAAGCAACAATGCTTGATTGGGGTGTTGTTTGCTGCTGTCTTTATCCTCTGAAAAAATCATGGCCAGCCAGTGGAATACTAAATGCATTTACAGGTAACTGGTACAACGTCTACCATAGTCTCAGCCAGATTGGTTGTGGTCTTGCTCTTACCCCCTTCGCAATGAAAGAAAACAATCGGCAGCTGCTTTCAAAGACCCTATTATCTTGAATTATATGAAGCATAGAGAGGTAGGCGGATTTAAGTGTTAACTGACTTGGGATGGGTCCAGAAAACAAAGCCTTCAATTCGCTAGGAACCGTGATCAATCCCATCAAACAAGTCATATTACTGACAAGTCTTTTAATCTGGCACGTCCTTCAACATCGTTTCCAGTCGTGTTTGGCAGTTTTTATTTCAAACGATGGTAAACTGAGAAAGATGTCCTTTTGAGAATGACTTACTTATGGCAGCCAGAGCATTCACGGAAACAAATGACTTTTTGGGGAAGTTGACATGAAAGGAGAGGTGGAAACAAGGAATAGGTATGTTCTATGACTTGAATAAGGAGCTGGCTCTAGAAGAACAGTGTCTTATAGATTGGTGGTCTCTTAGCAAGAACTCTCACATCGTTGAAGATGAGAAGCTCGGTCGGTATTTATACGCCTTAGAGAAGTGGGGAAACACAACTTTAATTTCTGGGAAATATATTATTTCAAGGAGAAAGTAAAACACTAGAAACTTAGTCCTCTCGCTACACGTTAAATCTAAAATCTCCACCGTCTGGGCTTTGAAATTAGCATCCACAGCTTTATGACCTTCTTCAGAACAGACACCTCATGTATCTCGAGCCCAATTTACAACTCAAATAGTATACTCACCAACCTCCATCCAATACCAGCACATCTCCCATCAGACCGGGGCAACTTGTTATCCGTCCCATTTCCAACAATTCAAGACCACACAACAATTCCTCCAGATTCCAGCTCCGCGATACAGTATCACACAAACGATAAAACCAGCTCTTCTCATCTCAGGTACTAGATAACAAGTCATTCTACGTCCTACCCTCCCTCATAAAACTCAATCCCATCCCATCTCTAAACCAAGTAGCTAGACTCTTACAAAACTTGTACGCCCGAGCGCCTTAGCTTCTATCAGTCAGTCAAGCAGACTACGCTTCCGCATTTACATACCTTTACAATCTAAAACAAAAACTCGACTCAATCAAACTCTACAGGTCCCAATTTCATCCAATCTATTTCGTCTCTCAAGCACCTTTACTTCCATCACCATACCGAGCCAGAAGTACAAGGATACAAAATATCAAGTTCCACCCCTCCAATGGTTAATGACATTCCTGTTTCTATAAGTTCGACTAAATTCCAAAGCCTATGTTTTTATCCTAACATACTGCAAAAACTTAAAATCCTTTGACACATTTCTAAAAATACATGAGTGTGTGTCGAGCAGGCTTTTAGAGTTTTGTTGGCCGAGACGACGGTTGAGGATGTTGCATTAGTGAGGAGGGGAAGTTTCGAGGTAAGGTGGGATGATGTCGGTACTTAGTGCGGGGGAAAAGGATTAGTGAAGATGACGCCTTGGAGGCGAATGACAGCAAGAAAAATCAAAGATCAAACAGGAATGTATCACTGAATCTTGATTTCAATTCCCTATCTCTGATTCTATACCAGCATCATGTTCAGCCAGAATATCCTCCATCCATCTCTTCCACCCCAATCTGTCCAACACTAAAACAATCAAACTCCGCAGCATTATTCCCAGCCCTTTAAAATTCCATCTAAAAAGAAACGCCTTGTCAATAAACAGACGTATAATCAAGAATTACATAAAATTCGGAGCCATTTGAAGTGTCCGCCACCGAGGCTATATTCCCTACTCGGGACGAACCATCTGATCAAATCTCGTTGGCGAGATTACCGTGTAACAAAGGAAAAAGGCCGGCATGGTAGCATCGTGGCTCCCACGTCGACGTCGTACAACAATCCATCTTAAGCAGCATAGCCCCCGGATTTAGAGGGGCTGAGGTCCAAAATGGATGAGGGATGGCAAATGAGTGTGTGTATTCTGGATGTGTATCCAGAGAATGGTAGCAGTAGACATGCTATGGCAGGGTTGCAAAATAAGAAACTGCACGTGCCATGCACTGCAACCGAACGCATTCGATGTTGCAGGAAATATATATGCAAGTATGCGATGATGCTGGTCTTCCCCAGCCCTGCAGGGAAGGATAAAGGCAAAGAAGATGGATAATACCCCAGGATTCAATATTCCACAACGTCCACGCTGCAGCTGGCCAGGTATTACGTTTACATTTTGTTGAGATGATGCGGCCGTGATACGAGGGTAAGATTAAGCTGCAATTGGAACGCTGTTTTTCTTTCCCATCAAGCTCCACCGGGACTTCTTCTGTTTTTGCTCCGTGACTGGACTGGTGGCTACGATGGGTCTCTTGATTGGAGCTGGAGGAGTGTCGTAGAGTGGTGCCTCGCCGAGTTTCCGGGTGGTACTGGTGTGCAACCTGTCGAAGATGTCTTTCTCGCCAAAATTGATGGGCTGTGGTCGGTAAGAATTGGCCCTCGATGACACGTGACTAGACACCGGAATGGCGAGTGCAGGTCGTTGTGGAATCTTGCCGTGAGAAATTTCCAAATGATCCGATTCAGACGAGGTGCTGTTGCCAGAACTTTCTACCGGCGAGACATCTAAGGTAAGTCAGCATATGCTTGATCAACGTTGCAATGGGAACAAGAGGCACGGCACAGCACACTGTCGGTTCCGCTTACCTTCACTGTGAATATTGGAAGCGAGAGGGGAAGGGCGAATGCTGGCACCCATTCCCGAATCGTGGTATGAGTGACCTCGTTTCTGTGGATGCCGTCTCGCAGGCTCATGGTAGACATCTCCTCCTCGGTCAAACCACGTTGGATTGTAACTATCGTAGCTGGTGTTGCGTGGCAGCTCTGGTACCGTGCTCGGGCCAGCCGCTGCATTGATGTATGAGGTTGTCGACAGGGTACTCTGGGTGCGACTGATGGTCATCTGGCTTCGGCGTTGGTGATGTTGCTTGATCTTGGATCGATCCTCGGCCTTCCAGCTAGAGGGTGCACCACTGAGAGCATCGACGGCGGCGTGTGTCGGGACGTGTTTGTATGGTTGCTTGGCCACTGGCTGTTCATTCTCCTTTTTCTCCTCCTCCTTCTTCGCCTTGTGATCTTTGGCGGCCTTTCTGCCCTGCTTGATTTTGGAAAATACCGACATGACGGAGAGTGGTGATGATGGGTGATGATCGAAACCTGGTTGCGGGGAGAGGGGAGAGGCACAGTATTTTATGAAAAACGACTCGCAGTGACGGAGGGGGCGCCAGTGAAATAGTCAATGCTGCTTGCTGGTGCAGCAAGAAACTACTGCGAGAGAGCACGGTGGTGAGGTTAATCCTCTTGGACGGCGTTGAGCAATGCAGGTGTTGACTAAATTCTCTCGAACGTTGGGACCAGACCAGACAAAACTGTAAGTCGTAGCTTGGGGCGATGGCGGAGTTTATCGAAGCGCGACAGCGCACTAATCAGGAATATTACTGACCAGCGGGCGGGGACAAGCCTTGGAAGACCTGCCTAGGTGGGTTCAATTGGGTCGCGAGATGGGCTAAACTAGAGCGTCTTAGCATTTGCTTCCTAGGCCAGAAACGCAACGTCGATCCGAGGTGCTGGTACCGAGTTTTCTGGTGGTGATGGGCACTATTGAAAACCCCCAGCCAGAAACACCAATACGGATCACAGAGGCCATGGGAGGAATTTAGATAGTCAAAGAAATACCTGGGCGCCATACTTACGGAGATTCCAGACGAGATCTTTTGTTTGGTACGGCCTAGGAGAATTTGGAAGACGTGAAGAGCGATCTATCGTAGTCGGACTGTCAATTATGGTCAGGGACCGAAGAAATAGTTGTGAGGAGCGGTGCGGACGGACGTCGAATAGCTCTAGTGTCAGGACTAGGACTTGGCCGAGAGAGGAAAGATCGGATACGAGTTATTTTGGTTTGTTTTGGGTTTGTTCTTGACTCTTGCGTTTCGTTTTGCGTCCAGCCTTGGGGACTGCTGGAAGATATGTATGCTGTCTCGTACTGGAGCTTCCTCTGCGTCCATGCCCTGCTTTGCGTCCAGCCGCGCGGGGCCCGCTCCGTTGCTCTCAAACCTCAGTCCGCCAGACTCCAGTGCTGCTCAGAAACAGGCGATGGAAGGGCCGTAAGGGGAGTGCCAGAGTGGGCTTTCGGTGGAGAGAAGGTTGCAGAAGTAAGACAATACTTCGTGCTGGGGACGACTGGATGTGTCTGCCGTGCATTTGCATACTTGCTGCCATTTACCTCATGTAGCCTAGACTCAGCCGGCCAGTCGCCCTCTGCTTCTCGTCGGCTGGTGAGCCAGCAGCCAGCTTCTCTATCTAGAATGCCTTGGCTGCATCGTGCAGACGCTGTCCGACGTGAAAAGACCTCGGAATAGCGTCCTAGAACAAACCCCCACGCTGCCCGTAGGACGACGTTGCGTCGAGCAACACTTCCTTTGGGAATCGAGGTGCTTTAGTCTCGTCGTATTGCCTGAAGCCATCCCATCCACTGAGTGGGTAAGAGCGAGTGATCGTGCAAGACAGACGTGTATAATTCTATACGAAAAGCTTCATCATCAAGAATCTTGGTACAAAGCAAACACCTCCAAGCTCAACAGAATCATGGCGTTCAGGGATAGGGACGGCTCGCGGCAGATGCTTCTCGTTTGTCGCACTGTCAACTGCGGTTCGCGGTGATCTGTTGGTGAGTTGCGCAAGGGATGTAATCGTCATCAGGACGTGCCCTTGCCATATCAAACACAAACCCGATGCTTCAGCCTTTGTGCGTGCGACTGGCGATAATCATGGTCACCACGATAGGTGGTGGTACGACGAGCCTTCGCTCTGCCTTCGCTCTGACCATTCGTTCACCAGTTACAGACTCGATCATCATGTTACCGGAAATCATCACCCACTCGCCGCGGTTTACTCTACAAAGCAAAGCTTCGCTACTCACACAGCAGAGGGACTTATCCAGTTATCTTTGGCTTGCGTCTAGACATGTACTGACAGTTAGTAACCGTACGTTGAGCATCGTTGGTCTGCACTATCCCCAAACTACGAATGCTTGGCGGCACCTTGCCTACTCCATTCTGGCCTCGACATATGGTAACCATTCTAATCAAAGCCACGATCCCTTTCGAGGTCACAAACCGTCCGGTTGCTGGCTGAACCACAATCTCCTCAGTACCTTTCGTACGACGGTACCACCTGCGGTTGCAGCCTCTACCCGACCGACAGTGACATCTTCGACCAGAGCCTAAGAGGTTCAAAACAATTAGATCTCACACCGTCCCAGGAACTTTCCTTGATGCGTTGTCAAACCCAACTCGCAATGCAGCAGACTCTGCACCAGTGCTGTGGGAAGGCTTCAAAAATGGTGGTGAAAGTCACTAGTTCCAAGCACCTATTCCAAAAATCAATCGCCATGAGAACCACCGACCAAGGGGCTTGTTCAAAGGGCGGACATAATAATACTGCCGCCACCGAGAACTAGATTTACACGCTGCTCCGAATAGGGAAGCGCAGAGACTAGGATTCTCAATTCATCGTGGTCGCTTTCTTTTTCGACCAATTCAATGAATTCGTTGACAACGTGGAGGCTTCAGCTCAGCCAGAGTTGGCGCCCAGTCGAGATTGCATACGCTGGAAACTTAACCTTCACACTTGACCTTCTTGAGAAAAGACAAGTGAAAGTATCCTAATCAGTCTTCTTACGAGCCAATTGCTTCGTCTCCTTTTTCCTTATCTGGAATCGATTTACTCACCAATCGCAGGCCATCAAAAACTCGAAATTCAAAGTTCCAGAATCTCAGACTCGCAACTCAAACCTTCAGCCCCCAATCAATAATCGATTTTCTATCCTTGCCTCCGAAGAATAACAATGCAACAGAAGATGCACCGTCCTCTGTCTCCTTTCACAAAATCACACCATGATCCAAATCTCCGATCCGAATATGAATTTCCATTCTCGTTGTGTCTTCCGATAGCAGCACAAGCTCGCCATGCGGTATCAAAAACTTTCCTTATCATGTTTCGTTTCACAGCACCAACAAACCCACCCACGGCCCAGTCGGGAATCCTCCCTGTCGATATTCCCAGGGATCGTTCTAGCGTCATCGGGTCTACTTTACGGGACCCACAGTTGTCTATCCGCTTCCTTGGTAAAGGCTCCGTGCCGTGTCGCATGAAGGTCGTGGTGTTTGATGGTTTGACATTCGAGATCCATCCGATCCATTATTCTGGACGTCCTTCGATACAGCCCGTGATACCGGCGGAATTTCATTCTCAACGTGCTCAAGGTCTCTTCTAAAGCCACCATCTCTTGGAGTCTTTGCAATTGCCGCGAGGCTGATCAGAATATCTATTCTGCAGGTACGGTTTCACTACGCCATCAAAAAAACAGACTTCATTCTCAACACCTCATGCCAAGGAAATCAAGATTAATCTCGTAGATCATCGCCGCATCTCAGTATCTTGGTCGTGCCGGTATATGTGCAATGCTCCGACAACTCTCACGGCAGGGCAGAAGGCCCACCTCTTTGCAGCCGCGCAATTCTCCTATCTCTAAACAATATTACAATCTTGCAATCTTGCACCCAACCATCATTCAAATCTCCTGCTGCTCGTACCAATATCTGCACAACGAGATCGACTAATACCAGGAAGAGGAATATCAGGAGGAGGAATATGCAGAGGTACGTACCCTCATACATATCATATCAGCTTTCTTCAAATACGGCTTGAGGTAGTGAGACATATCCCGACCTCCCGCGCGTCAATGGTTGGTCCCAGGCACGAAAATGGTAGATAAGAGAATGGATGAGGTAGGCTTACATTACTACCTCATCGTGATTTCTCTATCTGTTCCCACTAGACTGCAATTCCTGGCCTTTTATCAGTCTCGATCTCAAATCCCGAATACCAAATACCAAACACGCACTGCAGTACACACCATATCTATATCCCAGCATCCAAATCCAATAAGATCGACGTCTTAAGATAAGGTCCAAACAGTATACCCTATTTATAGTGGCAACTACCGATACGATGGGTTTGTGGTACCACGTCAGATGCGGCTCTGGAGTCAAGGATAAGGAAATGTTGAGGTTGGATGTTGTGTGTTGCATTTGCATGTGAGTTGGTTTATTGGGTGTCGTGCTATGTATGAGATCAGAGATAATTCGAAAGTAAGTCGATAGACAGTTGGCTATCTGCTCACCGCTGGAAAACTCTGCTGTCATACAGTTCAGGAATCTTTCACTTTCGTCTTTCCTACCATTTCCCATGCTGTCATATCTTGCCTTTGCTGTTTCCTTATCTTCTATACCTTGTGGTGGACATTATGAGCGGCAGCCGGAACAGCATTCGACGAAGTTGACAACATATGGAATGGTTCATCTATTATCTTGGGGTAAATCCGACGTTCTCAAATACTATTTTGAGAATTGTCAATATCCACCGTACCTATCTATACCTGGCCCCGGTCTAAGTAAATAGGATACTCACAAGCAAATGCGGCTCATCTTTGTCACTACGAGCCTACGACCTTCACGAAAGGCGTTCCTTCGTCAAACCACAGTCACCTGGGATACTCTCCTTCCACATCTCATTCTCAAACACGAGTGTTCAACTCACAAGCCTTCTGTGTGTTGCGCAGCAGCAGAAATATCATATAACTCTTCATCCTCCACACAAAGCCAAACTTCTAAACGCCTGTGAACATATACAGCGAGCGAAATGCTGAACCTCCGCTTCAATACATTGCTCAGTGGTTTGGATATGCCAAGGTGTTAAAAGTACGCGGCACACCTCGCCGTACAGGGGAAAACAATTCTCATATTCATCCACCGAAACAAGGAGCTCACCAAATAATCTGACCAAGAACCCTAATCAAAAACTCCCTTACCACTCGAATTTCCCCTTTGAGTAGCACGAATATTCATGTATAAGTCTGACCAATTTCTGATGCTGTCAGGTACTTTACCAGAATGTTTGTAATACCTGCATCATCGTTTTGTCTTCACCACAGTGGTGAGATAAGAACCAAGAGATAGAACTATTAAGGAGGCTGGCGTGTAATTGTTTGAGGAAGTGTGTGGGTTTGAAAGAACTATATTTAGCTTTTGAACGAATTTTTCTGAAATTGGAATTGTTTTGCCAGCAAGCATCATCGTGATTCTTTTAAAGCAAGGAATAGACTTGACGCCTTGAGAAAAAAGTCACACTCTAAAAGAATAAGTCTAGCAAAATATTCCTCAGAAAGTCATACGCGAGAGCTGTCAAGAACATTCGAGCTGCCCTGCTTCTTATTTTGATCAGCAACAAACTACTGACCAAAAGAAAAAAATTGCAAAAAAGTATCAGATTTGATCAGGCTGGGGCTCGATCCCAGGACCTTCTCGGTATTTTGATGTTAACCAATGTTAACGAGATGTGATAACCAACTACACCACCCGACCTTTGACCTGATTGGTTGAAACACTTTTAGGTTTTATAAAATATATACTATGTGTCAAAAATGTGGGGACGAGAAGACAAGTGATGGAAATAGGGAAATGTGAAGGAGGGAGGGGGACGAGCCATGACGGTGGACTGTGTTTAGTGTGAATAGATTCATGTCTCGATTTAGGAGCATACAACTATGGTATGGTATCTGTAAGCTGCTGTCACTGGCAAACATCCATCATCACACGACCGGTCGGTTTCGTCCTTTGCGAATCCAAGCTGTGTCCCTCTTCTGGTCTACCTTGTAATCTCAACATCCATTCGCTATACTTCACTTACATGCTGTTTCTCATGAAGGTACACTATGGATTTACGCAATTTGTGTTATACGTCCAACCCCATCCGTGTTGTGACTTATAATTCATAGTAGAAAGTTTATTACAACGACGATTCTTTTAACAAACAAACCTCAAATATCAAAACATCAATAATCAAAGTAAAAAATACTTAGCAAATCCTCGAATACTTAGAGAATAAGCATAATTATCACTATTACTATACACAACTGATGATTAATCAGGAAGAGTAGATATTTAGAGCAACTATTCTGTAGCAACGCACATGTCAGCGCAAGAGTCCGTAAATTTATTGATTGATGATTTGTTTTAGTTTTCTGGTTATATTGGAGTGTTGTGTTGGAGCAGCTTAGAACGAATAATGTCCTTTTGTTAGTAATAATATCTGGGTAGAAGAAGATTCGAGAAGAGAGTAACAATGTATGTAATAAATTTCTGATGGGGAAGATTGTGATCACCAGATGAATTGTACACATTAGATACATCACCAGGATTGCAGACACTGGTTCAGATCAAGACAAGCTTATTCTTGGATAGCTGCTCATCTGTTTACCTTCCTAGTACGATATGCGACAAGCCCTTACTAGCCAACATCACAGAACACACAACACCCAACACTATATGCAAAGGTTTAAAACCCTTATTCGTGTTTTAGAGTATGTGTTGAAAAGATGATATAACACAGGGCATTAAAGTTAATATTATCGCTCCCCCATACCAGGAAGTATTTCTATTATTAATAAGGTATACGTATAAGTCCCTAAAACATCCTTTAAACACCATCCCAATGCTCGCTCAGCATTAATTATACTCGATAGCGCGTGCTAAAACACAGGCCAACCGCCAAAATGCAGTTCTCGTCATATATATACAAATTCCCTTTTCAACTCCACCTTAAGTCCTCAACTCACTAAAGATGAACGGAAAGATAACCACGCAAGCTTTCCAGAAGATGAGGGCACTCTGCTCCACCGCAAGCGGGAACTTCCAGATCCCAAGTATCGAACCCATGGTATTCTGCATAACGATCCAAATACTCAGCAGCGCAACGGCAAAGAAGTGGTAAAACAGCACGAAAGGCTGTCTGATGATCCCAGCCAGCAGACCAACCGGACCATCAATACAATTCCCACCGCGTTGGAAATACGCAAAACAACCCTTTTGCAACGCTTTGAGTTGTTTGTCGTTTGCAGCGAAAAGAGCGTAGAGGGCTTGTGCGAGGATGTTGATGATGGAGGATAAACCTTTCCGTTTCCAGTGGAATTCCTTCATGGCGGACGTGATCTTGGCGGTGTCGCCGAGATTTGGGATTCGTTCTGGGGAGAGTAGAGTGGAGAGGAGTACTACATCGTTGAATGCAACGGTCATACCGCCACCAGTGAGGGGATGGCGCATATTCATAGCGTCGCCTAGAATTACGAGGCCTTGTTGTGTTTGAGTGCTTGGTGGTAGCCAGCTGTTTGGCATGCTTGGAGGGATCTTTCCATCGGCGAGAGCAGCTTCGAAGCAGGGTTGTACGATTTTAGGGAGGGAAGGAAGAATTACATTGCGTAGGTGTGCTCGCACGCCACCGACTGCTGCGGCGGCTGTTGGCGTGTTTTCTGGTACGTCGATTAATGCTCGGGTTTCGTGTGTGCCGATTTGGTAGAGAAGTACTGGAGACGCGTCTCCTAGAATAACGATTCCGTGGTTCGGTGCTGGCATCGGACAGTCGATCAGTTCGAGGGCGTAAAACTTGCTCTTTACCACTACGTCCTTCCCAATATATTGTTTTCTGAATTTAGAAGCATAGCCATCCGCGACGATAGTGAGTTGGCCAAAGTAAAAGTCGTCCTGTTTCTCGCCTGTTTCGGGGTTCTTCGTCAAAGATTTTACTCCGAGGATCTGTGGACTCTTCGTGCTCGTTATAGTCTCTGTAGCTTCGGTCTCGACAATGGTGATGTTTGGTTGTTTTGCGCAAGCCCTTCGCAATTGACCAATGAATCTTCCATGATGAAAACTCCTGCCCTTTGGTCGTTCTGACTTTTCGTTCCTCGACCCTTCTATGCCTCCATCAAGAGTAGCACCGGCGCCTGGTGGATATGGAATATTGACACTATCGCCATAATATACGATCTGGTAACCCTCCACCGGTATCGAATCAATGCCTTCCAAACAATCTGACAGTCCTAGCTTTTCCAAAGCAGATACGCCTCCAGGTTGCAGTAGCTCCCCAACAATACGATTGGGTTCCTTCAGCGATTTCTCAAGCAATATAACACTCCTGCCCTGCTTCGCGAGCGCGAATGCAACAGCGCAACCAAATATCCCGGCACCGACGACTACGACATCTGCCTCATGGTGTAGCCTTCTGCGTTGTTCTCTCGCGGTTTGTGTCTGTAAATCCATCGTTGGGAGCGTTGACGGTTTCGTTCGTTCGCGAATGTATGGAGGGGGACTTTTTTCTTAAAGCATGTGAAGCTCGATCCCTGTTGATGTGATTCAGGACTGGGCAGGCAGACTTTTGAATCTGGATTGACGAGCAGTCTGTTATGAGTTGAGGATAGTGTGAGATCAGATTGGTGGACTGACTTGGAAAAAGTTTGAATTGCAACTGCGCCGAACAAACAAAGGTTGGTCGACTAATGAGGCGATTTCCACTGGTACGATTTCCCCTTGCGATCGCCCGAAGACCCTGACGAGGTGGCTCGTCCCCACTAAAATCTACAAGGAGATTTTGAGATGAACGCCAAGAGCTGCCTCCCAACGTGGAAATGATGATAGCGCTGGATGGGCAAGTTCTTGATAAGCCACAAAGTGTCAATGACCAAAGGATAACGTATATGAGTCCAATCTTTGATTCAATTCAACATTGTAAAAATTGCTAACGCGTATGACTGTCCATGCTATTGCCCTGACGATGAAGCTGGTTTATGAATTCAATTTGAACCCCTTCATTTGCTGAAAACATATCTCCATCTCATTCCCTCAAAAAAACATCCCCAAAACAGCCAACAACATAATGAGAATCCTTGTATCCTCATCACTCAAACCAATTCTAATCTCCCGCACATTCACACATTCAACCCCCAAAATGACCACCCAGCCCATCTTCGCATCAAACTACCCACCCACAGAAGCCACCGCAGCCCTCGCCCCCCTCCTAAAACCCACGGGGAAATGGTCACTCACACCCAACGGCCAGGGCATCGAACGACCCTTTAAATTCAAAGGGTTCAAGAAATGCTGGGTATGTCCGTCTCCTTATGCACTCCAGCCACGTCATACAGCTAATCACGGCCGCAGGAATTCATGAACACTGTAGCACCAGAATGCACAAAGCAAAAACACCATCCGGAATGGTCAAATGTGTATAATACAGCGTACATACGCTGGACGACGCATTCTCCGCCGGGGATATCTGGGAAGGATGTGGTGATGGCGAGGTTTTGTGATGAGGTTGCGAGGGAGATGGGGGAGGTTGAGAGTGTGGATGTGCAGGATGTGGAGAGAGAATTGGTTGAGAGGGTTGGGGTTGAGGGGGGTGACTGTTGTGTTCCCAAGAAGAAGAGCTGATCATGGAGGTTGTCGTTTCGTGAGACGAGAGAGAATCTGATTCAGTGTAGCGTACGTAGCACTGAGAACTGAAATTTAATAGTTTAATCAGTGTTGTATTAATATTATAAACTGTGAACAATTGAAAGTTCAAACAGCTCTACGTAAAGTCTAGGTGTCCCTCATACGCCTGAATAGCAAATTTCCCGGAGTCAAGCTCTAGGCCTCCTCCATCATCCAAACCACATATAAGTGGACAGATTAAGTCACTCTTTCCGCCCTCATAGTGTGCCCTATACTCCTATCCACATTGACTGGCAGTCACTAATGCAACGCATTTCTATATACAACCACACCCAACGACGCGGTATTTACTGTACCTTTCTTTGCGCCTGCTGAAGCTTGGCTTGCTTGCGCTCGCGTCTCTTTTTTGCGGCTTCTGGTCCAGACTCGGTATCCATAACATAATCCCACCATCTGAAGCTGCTCGAATAGTTGCCAATGAATCGTTCGTGGTGAACGTCATGATGCTCGGCACCAGCCCAGAATGGCAGGAAGTGATGTAAGCTCCAAGGGAATTCGTAGCCGCTGTGGGCGTCGATGGCTTGAAAGAGACGCAAGATAATCCACAGATACATGGTGAGAATGTGAAGGTTTCCGGTGATGAGAACCCATCCGATTGGCGCTGCAACGGTTCCAAGGCCGAGCACAAGAACTTCGATAGGAGAAGCATATTCCGCCGCGAGACCGAATGGTGCCGAGTATTGGTGATGAATCTTATGAATGTTCTTGTAGAGAGGACCCCAATGCATTGCACGATGTACCCAGTAATGCCATGTATCCTCCACCACGAAGAAGATAGCAATGTGGAAGGCCATTGTGGTCCATGCCGGGAATGGCACACCCGTCTCCATGCCGCACATCTTCGCCATTGGATGGAAGAGCCATATCTGAGGTAATTCGACCGTGAAATGGCTAAGCAGGACGAGCTTGGTGCATGCCCATTGTTCGGCGACCGTGGGGATTTTTTGCCCCTGAATCTTGTACTTCTTGAAATAAGGAATTCGATCGATGATAATCCAAGGCAAACTTCGACCGAAATAGACAGTCTCGTGCATGACGAAGCTCAGGATGCCGGTGGCGAGGACATCGTTTTGCATATACTGGTACCAGCTCTGTGTAATCTATTAGCATGCTTACTTCCACCGATCGGGTCGCTGAACATACCGCCCAGAGACGCTCAAAAATGTTCAAATGAACATTGTACTTGGAAAGTTCGTTGTATATACCGAGGTAGGTGTCCGGAGACGTGAAGATAGTGGAATTTGAGGAAACGGCCTCCATGGCGACTGACACTATGAAAGCGAAAGGTTGTGGTTGTAGCTTGTAGCAGTAGCAGTCTGTTGAAGATTGTTGAGGAGGATATGCGACAAGACTTTATTACAGCTCCACCACGAGGTCCAAGCTTTGTTTGCCATCGACCACACTCGCACCATAATTGCCCTGTCGGACTGTCAGTTACCGGCACGCTAGTCGTCGATGGGATCCGCTTTCAAAGAGACATATGTCCAATAGACGTAACCCATTCCCACCCGCTAAACCACAACAGTAATCAAGAAGGGTCCACAGTCCACATTCTGAATGTTCTTTCCGACCGGCAACAATCTCGAACCTTTCGTACCATTATTTCTCCTGACTGACAAAACACGTCTTGAATAGTGGCATGTCTTTGGAATCAGTCCGTATCTCTGCTTCCGGATGCCGTAAAGACCACGTCTTTTGATCAGCCGCGAATATTCTTGACAAAAACTTCCTCATCCGTACTCCGTACACTCGGAATGACATGGTGGGGTGCAGGTACAGCTCAGTTCAACTTGCGTATTCGTATCTTTTGGTGGCGTAAGCATCGGGGCAGAGCCGAGTTTGTTAAAGCAGGCGAACAGAACACCAACAGTTTTTATCTTTCATAAGAATCTCCGTTTCGGTGCATCATCTTTATCTTACAGCACCGATCGATATGATTGCTACAACAAGTACTGCTCCGACAAATCATCTCTGGTCAACAGTCACAACCCATGCTCTTTTACTACCAACGTCCATTACTACTTGGCGAAGAAACGAAGTCCAAGGTATATATCTTTTAGAACTCTCTGTTTGGAGCTTCCCTGCGTCAAGGTACGTCTGAGTGCTATGATCTATCAACTATCATCTACTGGCTTCGTACGATATACGGCTATTTTGGTATATCAATTCCGTATATATGTATCCCTTGTGATCGGCGTTACCCAGCAGTGGACATGATTTATGAGTTTGAAACTGTAAATATCTCATTTACTAGGCTTGATGGAATAAACGAACGATATTCTGTCCACTCGATTGAGTAAATATCGTGATTCGACTGCTGATTTCCTCACCGTCGCAAGATAATGTCCATTAATCCTCTGACAGGTGCTGACCGCGACTGCTTTGAACACATTGATTGGTTGGGTGGCGGCGGTGTGTGGTCATAATCGTGTCTCCGGACATAAGCTTGAATCCGACAACAATTATATGAACCAAAACTCCGGTAGTAATATTCACAGCTGGACATAACATCCAGCCTAGCATCATTCAGCAACCTAAGTTGGAGCTCATATCATGACCCTAATCCAGCCTGTAAGGAGGAAAGAAACTCGCAACCGCCAGCCTCATAAGAAGTCTAGACGAGGTTGCCGCAATTGCAAACTTCGCAGAGTAAAGGTAAGGTACTGAGTGTCATGCCAACATGCTCAAGACGTATACTTATAAACTGCAACAGTGCGATGAAGCAAGACCCAACTGTCATAAATGCAAAAATTTTGGTGTCACTTGCAATTTCAATGCTACGATTCCCGACCTCCAACCATCTGGAGCCGGTTCATTCAGATTAGCTGGATGTGATGGAGGAGACGAAGCTTCGCAAACCTTTTTAGGTATCACAATACCAAAGTTTCTATACCCACCAGTCGTCTCATCAGATCATACTTCCGCTTTTCACCTTGATCGACAATGTATCGCTCGTCTCAACAGATTTCAGGAACGCACTGTCCTCTCCATCGGAGCAGCACGAACTGCTAACCTGTACCAAGAGATTGCAGTTAGGATGGCACTTTCAGTACGACTTCGCTTTTTTTCCCATCAGGATGTTTATGATCTAATAATATCTAGCATCCTTACCTCATGCATGCTGTCCAGACATTGACTGTAAATCACGAAAGATTTATGTCCCGTCCAGTTCCACCACGAACAGCTACTGAAATCCATCATTGGAGCCAGGCAGCAGTATCTTTTCACCAGAAGTTGTCACTGCCTATCAAACCAGATGACCGCGATGCTCTTTGGGCCACAGCGGCTCTCCTCGGTATCATGGCTTTCACGTCCATTGATGTTTCAACGCCAGAGGATGCATGGCCGTTTACCTCAGATGCAACACAGGACCTAGAATGGTTGAATATGAGCGACGGAAAAGTAGCTGTCTGGAACGCAACCGATCCACTGCGGCCGGATAGCGTCTTTGCTCCCATTCGTGACGAGTATTTGCACCTTTATGGTGGTGTTACCATCGAAGAGCTCTTCGGCATCAATGGCATTCCCCAGGACTTTGTCCAACTATGCCAGATGAACGGCCTCTCCTGCACAAAGAGCAATTCCTACTTCGCTGCCGTTCATTCATTGGCACCATTGCTTCGAAGTGAATGCAACTCCACAAACGCCACTAAATTCATGTCATTTTTATGCAGACTGAGTCCGGAATTCAAGCATCTTCTCCAGATTAAAGATCCCAGAGCGTTGTTAATTCTCTGCCACTGGTACGCACAAATGCGTAATTATCCTTGGTTTGTTGCCCGCAGGGCCAGGTTGGAAGGCCACTCGATCTGTCTCTACTTACGCAGATATTGCTTCAAGGACACTTTGATACAGGACATGGTTTCCGTATTGGAATGAAAGTTCAACGATAAGGAATTGTCAGCGGTTAAGTGACAAGGAAATTGAGTTATTGCGAGTCTAGGGTGATTATTCTAGATGCTACTCTTCATCGAAGTAGTATCATGCCCACTGAATCTCTTCCACTGCTTGTGGAATACACTTCTTGGACGAATACAAACATTTTCGTACGCATAAGGTGGCAATGAAAACACAACATTGTTCCAACAAAATTAAGAAAAAAAACCCGTACTAGTTTCGGTAAATAAGATATCTTGGACTCTATTTGCCTTGGGTGTCGCATCCCACACATCACTAATTAAATTAATCAACCTAAGGCAGCACGACTCGCACCTGAAGTAGTATCCATCAACTGCATATTCTGATGGTTGGTGTTTTATTGACTTCATACATCTCGCTGACCACCCCGCTGATGAAAAGCAGGGGTAGGTTGGGGTACGACGCTACATGACCTATTTACAACAGTCTCAAGAGCGAATAAGGCTGGTTTCAGTAGGCTGACATGCACAATTGAGCACATAATGAACAACTTTTGTAGGGCCAGTCGTTTGGCAGTGCGTCCCGTCCCGTAGTGGTGGTGTCGCAAACGCAATCCTACGACGGCGCAGGGGGGCTGCGCAATCGCGGGATGTCGAAAAGTGTGGGCAAAAAGTCAGCATCATAATATCCAGAGTATCGATCCTTCGGGGCCAGCAAAATGGCGCGGAGGGGTTAAGTTGAAGTGGTTCCCGTGAGTCTTTCCTGTCTCTTCGATTTCAAGGTTTGGAAATGGTACTGAACGTTCGTTGTACGAGCTACTTGTGTAACCATGAGCACAACACTATCTCCAGAATATCTGGCTGCGGATCAGAGTTGGCGGCTACTTCATGTGGCGGTGGCTTTCGCTGCCATGGAGATTATGTTTGTTTCTCTATACGTTGGATCGCGTCTCAAAAGCGGAATTAAACAGGGACCGGATTTCTATCTTATCATTGCTGCGTTGATCGTCAATTTAGGACTTGTGGTTGTTTGCTTTAGTAAGTGACTGAGATCTCGATAGCATGTGGTGCAATTCTAATTTGTGACACAGCATACGCGAAACTTGGGGGATTAGGCCATCATATAGAAGTAGTCACACCCGAGGAGGTCGTTAGTTTCACGAAGTCAAAGCTGGCCCTCATATACCTATACATCGCGGCGGTCACGCTTCCGAAACTCGCGATCCTCAGCCTGTACCTGCGGCTTTTCCAAGACAAAGGATATAGATATGCTGCGTTTGCTATAAGCGGAATACTCGTCATTTGTTTGGTGATTGCTTGGGTCTTGTCGACGGTTATATGTATTCCATTCGCGTACAATTGGGATACCACGATTCCAGGAGGGAGATGTCTGAACAAAGGACTGATGTACACAATGATGAGCCTGCCTAATATTGGGACAGACTTTGCAATTTTTATTTTACCACTGCCAATCATATGGAACCTTCAGATGTCCCGAAACCAGAAAATTGGACTAGCCATTACGTTTGCAACAGGCAGCATGTAAGTTCGCCTTCTATTTGGTATAGAGTGACATATGGTCTAACATAAGATGCTCAGGGGGATAATCACCGCAATTGTCCGTCTCGTCATATTCAGAAAGCTGGGAGATGACAGAGACTTCTACTGGTCTGCCACTGATACAGTCATGTGGACAGTTATTGAACCCGGGATCTATCTCATCGCCTCTTGTCTTCCATCCCTGCGCTCGCTATTCACGCCATTATTCAAGAAAATCAGTTGTAGTACCTTCAGAGCACGTTTCCACTCACCACTTCCTCGCAAATCCTTCTTAGACTCGAGCATCAGAGGCACCAACCCTTCCCGAGTCTCGCATACTCTGGACACACTGCCACCAACGCACGAGTCGGAAAGCGTCAGGTGTTTCTCTCGACTGGATGGGCCGTGGCAATCGGATGGTATAGATGATAGCGAGCCACGGACTTCGGTCTCGTGTTACAGGACTCGAAGTCTGATACATGAAGCTGATGGGGGGATCGAGACTGTCGATGGCAAAGAGTTGCCAGAAGACGATAAGGCGACTAATCCCTTCGTTATCAGAGTCCAGAAGACGACGAGTTTGAGTAGTGAGCCGAGAATGAGTAATAAGACGACGACGCGGAACCCTTGAATATCGTTCACAACATTTCAGCGATTGTGGAGTTCTGAGCTGAATTGAGTTGAACACCGAACTAAGCCTTGAATAGGAGATCAGCAACATCGGGATATAACAATCAGCGACGGAAGCAACGTATCTGCGTTATCAATAATGGTCGTGTAGCACTGTGGACAGTTTGGTATATTCTTGAAGCCTGCGGCATCACTTCCGTAGAACTCGCCTAACTCAGTCGAGTACGCCGATTCAGCATGCACCAATCTTGGAAATGACATCTTCAAGACGCCAATTACGATGACGAGCCGTAGTATTATATCCTTCACTCGTCCGAGACACCCCCGAATGATGCAGGAAAGATGACAGTCGAAATACGACATATTTGGCCAATCAATTTGTGGTAATATCGTATATTCCGTCAATTTCTCTAAGAAAATATGACATATCTGAGATCCACGGTGAATTTGGAAGATACCACAAGACCTTATAGCGTGGAGTGTGATCTATTGAAGAAAGTGGTAGGAAGATTACCAGCAAATAGCAGGGTTCACTCCGAGACAGTTTGGTATAACTTAGACGCATGGCGAGTTATGATGGAGATGAAGGAAGAGACTTACGGATTGGAATGAATGCGGAGGAGAAGTAAATCTAGTGGGAAATCCAGAGAATGAAGAAATTTGGACTACAGGTGTAATAGTAAGTAAGAAAGAAGGAAGTTTTGATAGTTGTAACTATACGTCGGATAGAGCTCAACGAAACACAATGTTTAGAAATGAGTATGTATATTAGCAACGACTCAGGTATCACAAACTCTCATTCCGAAGTCGAGATTGCTCATCCTTATTTACCCTTTACCCTTGGTTGACCCGGCTCAAGTGATAAAGGTCAAGAACGGTACCGTCGATAGGTTCAGGTGCTTAATTTGACCATTTCTACGTTGTTTGAGGAAAACACGAGAGGGACAGCTTTGCATTTTGTGCCACTCATCATTGACCATCTACAAATAAGCTTGCAGTGAACAGCATGAGGCGCAGTTGAAATTTATTATCTATCTAATCAAATTGACGAAGTAGTGTACAGTTCGTAATCAAGTTGGAAAAGGTTCGTACATTTCCTCTCAAGTTTTAAGAAATAATCCGTCTGCACACTCGTGATCCTTGAACTAAGTAAAAGTTCGGACGAGGCTGTTGTTACTTATATTGACCACTGCGAGGTGTGCCAGAGCTGAATTTATTGCATTATAGAATATAATTCCCCGAGTTTCTTAAGGTTACGAGAATCTTCGGAGTTAGCAATTAACGAAACTAGGTGTAATTTTACTAATGATAAAACCCAATCTTCGTTATCGATCGTTACCATATAAGTGCCCCCTTTTCACCTCGCTTAGCTATTGACAACTTCCACCTGCAGGTAGCCCTTAAAAAAGTATTCGAACGCGAGGTTTACCTAGTTATACTCTTCTGTTTACGAGTAGCCTGTCCCCATAGCTTTTGCGTTTGACAGGATACGAAAGCCGCAAGGCGCTTCGCAATAAAATATCACATGCCCTCAACAGCCAAAATGATGCCGTCAAGCCGATTGGTTTGCTGGCCGTGAGGGCGGACCAAAGGGGCGAAGTTTACAGCAATCACATTAAGTAAGACATGTTGACATGGTCAATTCTGACCTCAGAGCCTGGAAGCGTTTCGTCTGAAGAAAGCCAGTCAGAAGCGATGACTCGGATCTGCCGCCACGCCGCATAAACTTGGCGAGTAATATCGAACCGAGAGTAAGCGTTTAATCTCCGCTTGTTTCTGAACTTGCAGGTACCTCTCGCTGTTTGCTTATTGCTGGAGAGTCGCTGGAAACGAAGTGTTGGATTGTCGAAACACTTCATTTATTTGGTCGAGTTAACAAAAATAGATGGATTTCGTCTAATGTTTTTAGCTAATAATACCTTTCAAAAACTTCTTTTCGAGATATGTTATGAATTTATTATCACAATGAGAGGATGGCCAATGAAGCGAACTTATGTATAAACAATGTATACATTTAAATACATTAATCCTATTATCTTACTACTAATCCCGTTCTAAATCCCCAAAAACAAAAGTATACCAAAAGCTTGATCCCAAGTTCTATCGTGATATCCGGAACTCAGAATGTATACTCCAAACCATAATCCTTTTTTCCCACCAATGACCCATACACATCAGAGATGCTCAGTCCATTTACAAGAGGGCAGCGACGATACCGACAGCCATCAAGATGGAACCGGCCTTTTGGGCGGAAGCTCCACCAGTGAATGGGACTGGGGTAGTACCGTTGGATGGGGTGGTTGGGACACCGGTGCCGACAGCTGGTGGTGCTGGGACGGCAGTGGATGGTGGGCAGTGAGCACCTCCTGGGCAGACGACTGGAACAACGGTGGTTGCTGGAGCTGAAGGGCAGTTAGCACCTCCTGGGCAGACATATGGTGTGGTGGCAGGGACGGCTGGCACGCTTGGGGAAGCAGTGACGGTGATGTAGCTGGTGATTGGTGTTGGGCAGTAAACTACTGGGGTAGTAGCTGCTGGGGGAGGAATGGTGAAGGTAGAGGCAGCGGATGTTGCTGGGGAGGAGGGTTTACCAGTTGAGGCTGGGGGAGCAACAGCAGTTGTTGGCTTAGTGCAGGCCTCGCCGTTGCAGACAACGGTGGAGGTGTAGACGGTGGAGGTTGGCTTGCCGACTGGGCAGTTGGTGACCGTTGGTGCACATGAAGTGATGGTGTAGACGTTGGTGGAGTAGAAGGTCTTGGTGGATGGGCCAGCTGGAGGAGTGACAGTGGCTGGAGGAGCTGGTGGGTAGACAGCAGTTGCCGGGCAGATGGTGGTGGTGGCATACACGACCTCAGTGACGGAACCGACAGGGCAGTTGGTCACAGTTGGTGCGCAGGAGAGGATGGTGGAGGTGGAGGTAGCAAGAATGGTTGAGGTGACCATGGTGTCGTTGCTAGCAGCTGAGGCGACGGCCGCGACGGCGACGAGGGAGAAAACTGAGGCCTTCATTTTGATTTTGGTTGGGGGTTTTTGAAAGTTGGGAGGGAGAAGTTTGGGATTATGGAATTAGTATTGTAAGTGAGTGTAAGTGAGTGTAACTGAATCAAAGATTCAAAAAAGAATGTGGTCAAGTAAAGGCTTGAGAGAGGGATGAGGAGGAAAGAAAGAAGACGAGAGAGACGGGTACCTCGACCTCTAAATAGCTGGCTCTGAGAGAGAGACTCAGAGGCTCCCAGCTTCCACTCAGGAGTCAGGAGACGGCAGCTCCACTGATGTCAGCATGATTGTTGATGCTTTTGCCGTTCTTTGGGCTGTTCCAGGGCTTGCACGGGCTCTGGACAACTCGCTATTGTCAAGGCTTGAAGTGAAAGGAAATGACTTGGCTCGTATTCTGGCGCTGAGCGCCGCAATAGGGGAAGGGCGGTTTACGTTGGAAGGCGATCCGGCCCAATGCAGCCTTAGCGCTGGCCATGATCTTCTGAATGCTGCATCGTTGTGGATGAAATCCATGGGGAGAAGCTGGCTGGTGGAACCGCCGGGGGGCGAGCAACAGCAGCAAAGACAGGGAAGAGACAGGAACGGTGATTATTTTGCGGGGAAGATGGGACGAATTTGGAAATAATGGCATGTCCTTCACGGCTGTTGCAGCGTTCGTTGGTCAAATCGCAATTTACCCCTGAGAGCCGAGAGTTCCCCTGACATTAAATCGTACCCGCTAACCTAAGCATATTTCCTTTTCTCGCTTCAGCATTTCTGACAACGAATGAGTTGCCGTGACTGTTCCGTCTCCTATATTCCTGTGGCCAGTAATAAGAGGTGATGAAGAAGGCTTGCAGTTGGTTTTCAGCTGGCGTTTCATTGAGAGCCTCGCAAAGTTCGCAGTGCACAAGATACTGATCACTTGTCACTTTTGATCGTGATTTCCCCAAATAGTGCTCGACGAGGTATCATTTAGTTGAAGTAATTGACACAATATATGATATCCGGTCAAATTGATCGAGCAAATGTTGTGTTCTGAATGCAAGTATTTTTGTCCATCACAAGAGAGCCTCAAATTGCTCCAACTCCTGTGTAGACTACTGCATAAGCGGAAACATAATCCATTATGCAGTCAGCTCCAAACAATCTCCACTGTTGGAATACTCTCGCTAAGTTGTTTGCTCATTTACGGTTCGTTTAGACTATTACTAAGACTTACCTCTTCCAAGTCGAGCCAGGCAATGATTTCAGAGCTATCAAAGTATTGAAATTATAGTTGAAGCACATTTTTTTGTGCTCCCCTGATAGACTCCTGCAACCAATGTGGAAATCCTCGAATGCCGCTCATGAGGCTTAAATTTGGTGGGCAGAATATTTGGCCTCCGTAACCGCTCACAACTTGAGAAACTATCGCATCTGCAATCACTTCAGGTTCGAGTATACCCTTTGTTAACTCATCTGAGTGCCCGCCCATTGGAGCAGTCAATGGTGTGCGCACCCAAGTTGGATGTATTATGCTGGAGTCAATCAGTATCTCTATTCTAGCGAGAAAAAAAAACTCGAGCTTACCTCGTCCTTACAAGCCTTGCGTTATATCTGTAGTCGAGTTCCTGTCTCAAGCCCTCGTGGAACGCAAGCACACCCGCCTTCGTACAAGAATAATCCACGTTCGAAGCGATTGTCACCACACTTGCCATGCTTGCAACCGTTACCACGTGTCCCTTGTTTCTCTTTACCATGGAAGGCAAGTATTCTTTCACCATAAGGAAGTGCGAGAGCAGATTGACATTCATCGTGGCTCGAAGATGTGCTTCCGTTCCTCCAAGTATTGTCTCTGCGAAACCAATCCCAGCATTATTGATTAAAACGGTTGGGTCGCCAAATTTCGATCGAACTTCGGTCGCGACTTTGCTGATTTCAGAAGAGGACGTAACGTCGCACTTATAGAATGATATATTTGGACCTTGTTATAAGTTAGTAGGGCACTACTGCAAGTGGAAGTTTCACTGACCTAACGACTCTTTTGGTTCTTGCAGATCCAAAATCGCAACTTTCGCGCCTCTTTCAGCAAATCCGCGAACCACCAAGGCACCAATACCACTTGAACCTCCCGTCACCACCACGATTTCTTGTTCGTCATTCCATTCATTCGTCTTCCATGAGTTAAGAGCTACGTGGGACGCAATTCCACTTAGGTTCTTGACAATAGCGAACCCCCACAGAATCTTCAGCAACTTCCTTGCAAGAGGAATCGCAGACAGCGCCTGTCTAGAGAAGCCATATGGTATGTATTCGGAGAGACGAGGGAGGTAGTTCAGGACAAGGGCGATGATTGCGGACTGGAATACGACATTTTCGATTCGTGCTCGTATGGGCTTGGACAAGGTTCTCGGTAAGGCCATGTTGATGTCGATGGTACCAACTGAGCTCAGGTAACACAATTATTCCAACACCCCTTTCCTTCCCTCGAGCCTTTTATCATCTCTGGTTGGTTTGGGGGCGGGGTTGTTGCGACTGCTGGTCAACTGCTGCTTAGTTGATAGTTGATAATCTCGGTGCCGAGGTCTGCTCCACCGGCAAAACTTTAATGTTGCAACACTAAATGTTTCCACTCTCAACATGAAGGAATTTGCTCCAGGGTACCCGTTTTGTTTTTGAAACTGAAGAAGGAACCAGGCCAACTTGCTCCCAAACAAAGAGATGTCGTTGAAATAGGATTGTAATGACCAACATGGGTCTTTATTTCCAACTGTGTGGTACCACTGTGTGGGCAGGGGGTAGGGGCTGTTGCGTGATAACGGCCGATCAACGACAATCTGCAAGATAAGAGATTCGCATGGGAGAGGAATGCAGGTGGTAAGGTAGATTACACCTTGGTTCTTGAGTAGTTGGCTTGCTGTTGGGACGCATCGTAGTGGAGATTGTAAATAGCAATTCCTTCGATTAAGCGTTGGTGGACAGTTTTGGTGCTGACAGGTTAAAGAATCCTCGGAAAGTCTCATTTACTGAACATAATTGGCAGAATAGGACATTGTGTCTTGATCAAATTAGGACTGCTGTATGGCTGATTACGACATATGTAGCCAGTCCACCGCGAGGATGCACACCGATAGCTTTACTGGATCCCGTAAAGTACTTCATGGACAACCGTCTCGACTCCAATGTTCTTGCCATTTACATTCCAGCTATGTCAATACGTCGGATTTATTGCATGTATGGTCCTCAGCTCTAGTCTAGAAGTAAACTTTCAACAATTTCCACGGCACTGGATTCCAAGTTGCCTTCCACTTATGGAGGCTCCTGGATCATTAGCGTTATTTAAAGAGCACCAGTGTCAATTTTTGTAATTCCAGACTCTTTTTCCTTTACGGCATAGAGAGTTGTGATAGGTTAAATTGGTCTCTATGATTTCAAATCAAGGGAAGGACTGGGCAGAACCAAATGCACAGGTATGTAAGACATTGGCTCGGTATGGGATATAAATAATTCCAAAAATACAAAGTGGAGAGAAAGTTTCTGGTTGTAAACTTCCTCCAAGCGAAATAGGACTAGGCAGTTTCATCAGGACTGAGCAGTCTCTAGAATTGGAAGTACCATACCCTTGTTGGCAGTAAGTGGCTGATTAGCAGTAATTGTCATAATATTTTGATCCTTGGAGGACGAATCACCTGATAATAAATATTGCACGTACGGTACTTTTTATAAAGAAAGACCTGTCATTCATACAAAGCAAGTAACTACACTAAACTACCACACTTTGATCCGATCAAGCACCACGCACTACAATCAATGACAGTCTTGCCGTCGGCTTCCAGCCACTCAGTCGTATATCCTCAGTCCTCAGTTCTCCACTCGAAAGCCTGACGCTCTCCGTTCTCTTAAAACTCAACAACAATTTAAGAAGTACCGTTGAGAAGGTTGATTGGGACACTAATTTGATCGCCAGTAAGAATATCAACACAGGTAGCAGCGCTGATGACAGTTCCGCCAGGCTTGCAGCAGTAGTTCTTGGTGGTTCCATCCGGAGTGTTTCTCTTGGTCTTTGGTGGGTTGAGAGCGTTGATGGGAATGTCAACCGTTGTTCCTGTGATAACGTTGACACAGTTGAGGATTTCAATGGTTGCTGGCCATGTGCAAGTGAAAGCACAATCGGCAGGATAGGTTGGTGCACCAGTTGGGGTTGGGCCGCCCCCAGTTGGAGTTGGAGTTGGTACAGGAGCTGCTGGACAGCTGACTGGTGTGGTATCCTATCGTACTGTCAGTTTGAGTTATATCAAAATAGCTGGAAGAGCTTCTTACTCCAGTGGGAACTGCGATAACACTGGCAGTGAATGCCGAAGCAATGATGGCGATGACTGAGTACTGCATGTTGAACGAGTCGAGGAGATTTGTGCTTGAGTGTTTCTGAAGCGTTTTTCAAGTGGTTTGAAAGAAGTGTTGATTGTTTTTGATTGTGCTGTGTTTGATGATGGATTGAGTTTCCAGACGGGAATCTGGGAGGTATTTATACCTATTTCCCTCGGATGGGACCATCCTGTTCACAACTCATGATCTCTTTCTAGTCGTTGTCGTCGTCCAGCTATGACCAAGGTAGCAAGCCATATGCAGAAACTTGCTCGATTCATCCAACTCGGTTTCCCACTACATTTATTGAAAGCTTGGCCCTCAGTTCTCGAAGTCGGTTGAGCAAAATTATCCTGCAGTAAATACTACCCTCGCTGCTGCCGGTGGTGTTGCCCATCGCGAAGTCCGTGAAATACATGGTGTGGTGATGGGGCCATACTTACTGAAGAGGCGACGATAACAAGGAATCAACTGAGAACTATACGATATCCAAGGCAACGAAAGCTGGGACATCCATGTTTTCAGCTAGCCTGTATTAGTGGTGGAGAAGTCCGCTAATATGCTTCGTGGTCGAGACATGGAAGAAACAACAGAGGAATTTCGACTCGTATCAGCAGATTCGCGTTGGGTTCTGAGAAATGTGAATAGATCGTCATCATACAGCACACGTTTCTCTCAGTTTGGATCTTCAGGGCGGGGCAAGTAAAGGGGGGTAGGAAACCCTTAAGCGAGCGAAGATCATACCGCATCAGAGTATGCGTCCCACGACACAGGAACGAATATGCAGGTCATATACACCCATGTTCCCCGCGAATTCTTGCTCTACCGGAAAGAATGGCAATGTGGGAATCAGGTCAATTGCATACATGAATTGGCTGAACGTTGGAGATTTTGACGGTCTTGGTATCCACTACCCCAGAATTGGCATGCTGCACAATAGATTACTCTCGTTATTGCCGTTAACCACCAGATGGGTAAAAACTTTCGGAAGACAGTCAAGAGGTAATGATCGCCATTTGTAAGTAGAATTCATATGTTGTCCCACCACACGGGCGTTATTCTCCGCAACGTGGATACCCTCATGTATTCTGCTAGTAGCTAGGCAATGTGGAATGTGCCAGAGCCGGGTAATGCCGCAGACATTACAAGAAGTTCGTCCTGACTAGTATGGCTACTTTGGACTTCTCTTCTCTACTGGTTGACTAAACGACCTTGGCTGTGAGACAAGCATTTACTGGATCAGAAATACAAATACGGTAGATCAAATCAACGCACTATGCAATTGGCTGTGCTGCTTCTGATTAGTGGCTAGGTTATTCAGAACAATGTCGTTTCGTACCTTGTTTCAACTGACTTGACCAGGACTAAATTCCAACAATTCAATGCGTAAATGACAAAGGTTCAATAATAACTTCCAAAGGCAAAACACATGTACATTAACACAACGGCTATCTGGCACATGGACTGTACAAATGAGATTACACAAGTGGCGGGGCAAGAGCTAACAGTCCTGCATATCGTGAATGCAGGAAAGCCCCGCAGCGTCTACGAGCATAAGTTGACGCTCTTCTTTGATTAAAAACGGTTGAAGACGTAGGAATGCATTCGCTTGCCACCAAAAAACGTGCATTCAGGCTCGATGAGCACCTCGTGGGCCTCTCAATCTGCTTGAGTTAATATACAAGATTGTCTTGGAATTCCATGATGGCCCAGACTTTATTGCAAACGAAGAAGCGGTGCAATCGACTTCCTGCAGAATCATCGGATTTGGACAATTTCGATCATTTTCGAGCAGAGAGTGCAGAGCCGGATGTAAAGTAAAAGCCTTCCAGGGCGCAGAAGTGCAGATATTAATTCTGCTGTGTCTAGAAGCTGCATCATTGTTGCTACCCGACATGTGGAGGGAGTTGAGACTAGCCTTAACAAGCGTTCTTTGCCACCAAAATATGAACTGATTAAAATTGATTTTCTCTACAATAGAACTTCTACCATGCGAGCCAATGGATTTGCTTTAAGTCCATTTAAACTGATTACAGCTGACTGAGTAAAAGGTGATCTTCCGAGTCTAGACCATTTGATCAGCAGTCCGTTTTCTCTTCTCGAGAAGATTTATCTTGAGTGATACAGACAGAATTGAATGGTAGACTGCTTTGGGATAGGTCGTCCAAATGCTCTTTGCCACTGACTCGAGCATATAGCTGATATAGACAGTGTAGAGAAAAAGTTTGGCGGAAAACCCCGAGTTTGCGATTTGTATGCAATACCAAGCGAGTAAAGACACCCAGCGATGTGCTATGAAGTCATGTAGACGCTTGTATGTCTTTATTGAATATCATTGCTCCAATCGTGCCTGCCAAGAAAGCATGTCTTAATGATAGATATTTGCTAAATAGCGGCCTGCTATATTCCTCACTCATTCACTGCCGAACAAGAATCAATGGGTAGAGAAATCTTCAGGCAGCAATGAAGAAAAACAAGTAAGAAAAAGCCCAATAGGTTGGGAAGATGGGATGATCATCACTGGCTCACAACAAGAATGGCTCAATGAGAACACTCTCATGCAGAAGGCTAAGTTCACACATGTCAAAGTGCAAAGTGCAGAGGGCGAAGGGCAAAGGGCAAAGTGCATGTCTGCTTTATTGGTACTGATGAATTTGAATTAAGTTATTGGCCTAGTAGGCATGAAAGCTGAGATTGGGTAAATTGCCGCTAAGTCCAATCGAAATATCCACGGTTATTCGACCTCACTGATACAAGATATCATGTGTACCGAAGATCCAACCGAGAAATCGTTTCAGATATCAATTATCATCACTTAATGGTAGTGATGACGTTGTGCCGTCTCATGGTGGTTAAGATAATGGTCGTCGAGACTAGTCGATCAATTTCATACAATATCGGATGTTTTTTCAATCACTTCGAGTACCTGGAAACTTATTTAAGCACCATTTAAAATCTTTTAATAGACTATGTTGTAGTTGCATCAAATTTAATGATCTGATTATGACATCACTTACTAGGTTACTGATGGTTATCTCTCGCAGGACTTCCAGGTTTTCACAGTGTTACTTGCTAGTCAATGACATGATCCGTATCCTTCATCCATACATCACGAAGACGCAGCTATAATCCCCTCCGCCATTTTGACCAAAGTGTCGGAAGTGACGTCCATTTCGGTATCATACAACTCAATGCACGACTCCTTTTCGAGCACCGAACAGTACGCTCCTTTGAACCCGACTTTCTTAGCGGCCGAAACATCCCACATGTGTGCAGCAGCGAACCACCTCTCACCATCATCCCCAAGCTTTTCAAGCGCAGGACGATACGCAGATAAAGCAGGTTTCGTTCCACTAGCACTATCACAGCTGATAATATTCTCGGCTGGCATAACCGCTCCCCCTTTTTCAAAGTACCCCTGAACTCGCTTGGTGTCTGCTGTTGTAAGACACCATACCGTAAAACCCGCGTTTCTTAACTTCTCAAAGCATTCTTTGGTGTCGCTTCGCAGTTGTAACTCAGAGTAACCTTGAACGCAAGCATTGCATTCTTCCTCGGTGAAAACTTGTCTCGGTTCCTGTACGCCAGCAAACCATAATGTGCGGAAAAAAGTAGATCTGAGCACTTCCTTATACGGCTTGTAGCGCTCTGAGACGGATAGGAATGTAAACTCCAGCTCTGCAGCGGTCATCCAGCTGTATCCAAAGAATTTCGGGGTGATGGTGTTGGCATGCAATTTCTGACCGATGGCGGTATCTATTGCAGCAAAGTAGGCATCGAATGAGACACAGGTACCAACTATGTCGAAGACGACGTGCTTCGCTCCCGTCATTTTTGGATCTGGGGCTTAACGAAAAGGTTCTTTACTCTTTGCGGAATTTGCAATGTGCTACTGTTCGTTCTGCGAATGGTACAGTGTATGCAACCTTTCAAATTGAGTCAATGTTTGAGTTAACCGGTGGCAGGCGAATGGAGCTTCGATACAAAATAACCAGGTACTTTATACACCAAACTTTCCCCGAGGGCCTATGAATTTATATGATATTATTAAAGGCATGTATGTTGGACTCTGGCGCAGCCCAATTGGGGTTGGAGACAGCAAGTAAAGGTGGGATGGATCACGCCCTGCCAGCGACGAAATGACGTTCCCTACCTATCGTAACCGATCACATTGCATATCATGATGGCATCACATGACTCGATACTTATGCTCATAATTTGTTTGTATTGATATTAGCAAGTTGTCACACGTACAAACAGGCGAGTCGTGTTACCGGGACCACTGGATAGCCCTCGGTCCCCTTGCGCTTAATATACTGTACGTGTATAGTTAAATATACAACAGCAATTGAAGTCATTACGTTACTGAATTACTTATACGAAGTAGAAAAACTCCGTAGCTAAACCTGTAATATAAGGATCGAGTATCAAATCTGGAACTAGAAAAGCGATACAGAACCACTGATCTTTAGACTTAGTCATGAGATGCCAAATTGATCTCAATAAGGCATTATTCACTCAGAACAACCAAAATTCACGATATTGTGTCAACTTAGTCAATTAAACATACGATGCTGTGTCAAGTCCATTGACGAAGGCTTGTTTCACAGCAGGCCTCCTTGGTCACGCAACAAATAGCCTTAACACGTTCTGGCTGATCGGAACATCAAATGCTGTTGTGTTTAAGACTCACCACCATATGCTTGTGTACAATTGCGCCACTGAAGTATAATGTCATAGATACGTGTCCGCCATGTATATACCCCCCCAAATTCCAAAGATCATAAAAAGTCCATAATCTCATACATTACAAACTAGCCCATTGCTCAGCTTGGGAACGCACCGTATTCACCACCGGCATCGGCTGCATCATATTCCCACTCCCAGTACTCGAAACACTCCTCACACTTCCATTTCTCTCATGCTTTGATTTATTCCTCCCCATCCCCATAATAGTGCCGAAACCGCTTTTTGACGATGACGATCTTGCCGTCGTCGGCCGACTGTCCGGCATCAAAGCCATATCTTTCAGATCTTTCACAAAGGAGGAAGGAAAGAGTCCCCATTTCCCCTTAGACGTCTGACCAGACCAGCACCACTGGTCTACATATGTATAGCCAATACAGACCAGCCGATCTCCCTTGCTGAATTTCAACCAGCCTCCATCTTTCGCGTCTTTAGGCTTGAAGTCCCATTTGGCAATCGCTGTTAGACTGCTTCGAGCATTCATAAGAACATCTTCTTTGGCGGGCATTTGCAGCGTAATCTTTTCTGTGGGAAAACTACCTCTCTCGCCGTCGTGATATCCAACGCACCACTGTCCCGCAAACCGGTCGGGAAACGTGACACCCACGATTCTTGCGCCAACCGCAAAGTGTAGAGAATATTGTCCATCAGGGTCTCGTGCATTCCTCCCCGTAGGTTTTGGGTTATGTGTGCCAGTGGCCTGACCCATGGCTCGGCTAGTAACCTGTGTCGTGATTTCAGACATACTGAATTTTGGAAACAGAGGATCCGCCATCGTGAAATGTATATCAAAGTCAACAACGTCGGGTGATTGTTTTCCATAGATAGTAGTAATACCTTGGACATTTGGCAGCGGACGGGGATGTTTTGCCAGATGACGGAATAACTGGGAGACCGAAAAGAAAACAGTTGCGTCGTGATCTTCTACGGTTTGATGTTCCTCGATACAGAATATACACTAATGAGTTTTAGTTGCGGCCACATATGGAGTCAAGGGGTACTAACAGCATACATCGGTTCCTCAATGGAGCCTGTTTTGATGTGGCATTTTGAGATGAACTTTTGTCGCCACCTTATTCCGCTGTTCCCGTATATACCGTCACCTAAACATATAAGCTTTAGATGATATGAAATCCGCATAAAACTTACGCGAAATTAACCTGTCCTTCTCCACATCGTTCCATCCTACTTCGTAAGAACATTTCACACAACGCGCAGAGACCGTCGCGCTATAATGTCCCTATAATGTGATTAGTATGTTCCTTCTCATGCAAGAGCTCAACTTACCGACGGCCGTTTCACGACCTTGAACCCTGTTTCGCCTCTGATCATCAATTGAGCGCCGTCACAGAAACCGCCAAACCGATAGAATGAAGCATCTTGGGTAATGGGGCAGTCCATCAACTTGGTAGATGCCGTAGATGTTGGTAGGACAAATGCAGGCATATCTTCTTCCTGTGATACAACCATCTTCTCGTTGTCACGATCTATGTCCACCACAACCTCGAGTCCAGACTCTATTTCAGCCCCAAGACCAAGAGATCTTGTCCTTGTCGCTGGAGGCCCCCAGTGTTCAATATTCTCCGACGTTCGGCGAGCATCCTGAGGCGTCTCCGGCGGCTTCATGTGTTCAGACGAGGGCCAATTCTCGCGTGTATTGATTTCATGCAGTGGAGGCATCGCTTTCGGCATTCGTCCACTGATAACTTCTATTTTGCGATCATTGTCCTCGAAGGGACCGGTTCTCGGAAAATCCACAGATGAAGCGACGGGGTCATAGCTCTGACGTTTATACGGAGGAGGCTCTGTCGGTGTCGCCCAACGATCAATATTATCCGAAATCCAGCCATTAGGTGGTGGGCTAGAAGGCAGACTTTTGTGAGAGATAGAAGCATGATTGTCTTGACTATGAATAAATCGATCAAGCTGAATGGATCTCGTCGTCGGGCTTTGGGTGCTCTCGGGAGACTGGACTTGACTAAGCTGGCTTGTCGCTAAAGAGTCATACCCACTTGAGCTACTCCTTGAAAGCCGTGAATGTGCTCTGCTTGAGGTTAGAGAATAGCCCGGAATACTATCATCGCTGAACGCATCACTAATACGATGTTCATCGCTTAATCGGCTCTCGATAAGCGTATACATGGTGGATGGAGTAGCAGGAGAAAACATGGAACCTTTCGAATAGATAGAAGTCGGCGAAAAGGATGAGAGCTCTTTTGTTTCATCCTGGGGCAAGATCTGTACCTGCTGCGTCTTTTCCCAAAACCAATCATCTGAATTGGTTGGCGATTGCTCAATTTCTCTTGGTATCAAAGGCAATGGTTTTGCGTCTGCTATTGGGAACGTGGTCCTCGATAACTGTGTGGGGGGTATTTGATGCATCGGAGAAACTCCATACGACGAATTGCTAACGGCCCAAGTGTTTTTAAGCATCAGCGGCGCAATGTACAGATTTGGCGTGACTGGAGATTCCAATTCGACACGCGAGTTTCCAATATAGTTTGCGGATTTAGCACCAGCTCGAGAATGCGCTATATCATCAGGTGTGAATGGAAAATGTCCCCTCGAATGCCCATACGTCTCCTGCTTCATATTTTGCTGCCTGTGAACATCTTCCACCGTGTTGAATCCTGGCTGTTGATACTGTAGGTTATGGAAGTATTGATCGCGTAGTTCTGAGAACATGCCCAGACACCCGTCTCGACACCTTTGGGCTTCCTGGTCGAGACTCGTAAATGCATTCGGTTCGAAGGAGTCTGGCTCCTCGTCGAAGTCCTGACACCTATCAAGTTGATCAATTAGATCGAGACGCAGTTCTTTAAATTGAGCTTGTATTGATCCTTGAAAGAATATTAGTACTTAATTGCCAGGCGAATATGATGATCACTTACTGTTTTCGAGGAGGGCTCGGGCAAAAGGCTCTCCACATACTTCGGCGCTCTGTTCGTAGGCATCACATATGGCTCTTGAGGTCCGCTCCAATGAACTTTGTAACGATCTAGCGGATTCAAATATCTGCAAAGCCTGATCTCGAGAAGCTAGATCTGCGGCCCTCGCGGTTCTCTTTGCCAGCTTGATTCCTACCTCCAGTGATTTGAGGATATTCTTCACGGGAGCAACAACATGAGTGGCCATGATACAGCCCTTACAAATCTGAGCGCGGGTGTACTGAAGATCCGCGTGCAATCCTAAGGAACCTTTGGGGTGGGGTCGTGAAATTGTAGTAGTGTCTTGAGCATCAATGGCTCGAACTTGACAAAATTCTAGAGAGAGAAAAATGAAAGAAACAAACAAACAAAATCATGAACAGTCAGAGCAAAAGATAAGTAATAGATCAAGGTGAAAAAGCGAATAATATTAGGGTAAGAGGTAGCAGCCTCCGTGGTGTACAGGGTGACGCAGGGGGATATTCAGACTGTTTGTGGTGCAGAACCTGTACGAGGTAGCTGGTTTGAGACAGAACGACACAAGGCTGCCTGCTACAAGTTCTGCCCTGCCCCTTTGCGGCGACAGTCACTCGGGCAGTTCTCGAATCGGCCTTGTCACCTTGTCACTACTTATTGTAAAGACGGGAACTCTGGTCGTGGGCAGTGCACGAAAGCCATTGCTAGCCTCCACGGAGTAAATAGGAAGGACAGTGAAGTAATGGGGTTCATTAACCAAGGAAGCAGGAGAATAATGAAGATGTATGCAAATATTCGATTGCGAGGTACCTGAGAAAGTAAACTTATAACTCTTACACGGTTTGTTGTAAGATTCAAGAACCAAGTCCGTCGCGAACGGAATGTAAGTGCGGGCCTCCCGTAGGGCGTCAGTCAGGGCTTCGGGAAACACGTGCCAGGATTAAAACATCACGTGGGTCCAGCCATTGTACTTCGAGTATTTTCCACGTGCCAGCGGCCGACGAGACGTACGAACTATATTGAAGGGAGACACTTCATTTCCCCCGCCATTACACTGTGTAAACGGTAAAGCAAGGGTTACCAAAGACTCCTGATGGATCACTCTCTCGAAGTCAATGAAAAGTTTCACGATAATACTTCAAACAATTGGCCCTGGCTGCGTACCGCGAGTCGATCCTTCCTCGCTTCAGTGTTGAAGTTCTAGGTGCTGACTGGCCATGATCCTTCCGCCAAGTGCAGAGTTCCGGCGTGCTGCTGCAGAGGTATCCGATCGAAACCAGGAATGCACCATCAACTCAACAGTCCCTTTCTTGGAAAAGCAGATGGATTTCTGATCAAATTGTCATGGTGAAAAAACAAGCATGCCAAGCGTATTACTCACTTCCATGTCCAGATGGAGGATGATACATATGCTCTGTTCTGAAAATGCCTCAAAAATATCTAATAAGATCTTAATTACTGAACGTGTTAGACCAAGAAAAGGATATTGTGCAAATCTAATCGAATAAATACCATGTTCCGACTTCCACTTGTTTCATCCACTGTAAACATGAACAATCATTGGTGGTTGCTTGATTTTACGCTGTACTCGATTCCGCTGTCGATAAGCTCTCGCTCTTAGATTGTATAGTTTCTGGTACAATAACGCCGAGAACGCATTCGTCGAGATGATCATAGTACATCTGCGCCGAATCAAAGGATACCTTGCAAATAGAGCATTTCCCATTTTGGCCCGATGGAACCGATTTCCGGGTTGATTCAGGTCTGTTTCTCGAATTTGGAGGTGTTTGTTCAACACCATGAACACCAGTAAGATGGCGCTTGAATACATCTGCTCGGGTAAACGTCTTCTCAATTGGAGTTCCTGAGCCTGCGCAGAAAGGGCAGGTCATAGTTCCCCGATAGTGCGTAAGTGCATGTCGATTCTTGTCATACTTTCGAGCGAATCCTTTAGTGTGATAATCGCAAGTCGTAATGGGACACTTCTCTGGCCTTTCATTTTGGTGCGTAAGCAAATGCGCCTTGAGATCCTTAAACACCTTACTACATTCTGGATAAGGACATCGATCCCGCCGACCAGGTTCATTTGGTGGATAGGGGGCCTCAATACCATTGCGAACATATGACGAAGGAGAGGGCTGCAAAGGGTGAAATGGAGCGGAATTCCTAAAAATGGAAGTAGCGTTGACGGATGAAAATGTGCTTGGTATTGGTGGGACTGAAGGTTTCGGGGGCAATGGCCCTGGTGTCGACATATTGAATTCGCTCTCCACACCATCATCATCATCATCATCGGAGTTTCCTGGGCTTCCCTGTTGAGGAACCTCAACTTCTTTCATCCAGTGCTTCAGAACCGACATTGGCGGCCAATCGACCGGACCCTTTCCACGCCCAATTTCCTCCTTCTCTAGATAAGTACCCTTGCGGTCTTTCGGTCTGAAATGAGTTCGTCGAAGATGAGCTGCAGCGTTGTAGTATGCGCCGTACCCTTTCTTCTGCTCGCTACATGATTTGCATCGCGACAGAGGTAGAATGGGTTGAGGCTCATCTTCCGAGGATCTATTGGGGTCGATGATGATCCATTTCTTGATGGTGGCGCGATGCTCTCTGTCTTGGTGTCTTCGTAGTTCGTGCTCACCTCGGAATCCATCTGGATGGTTATTACACTGTGGGCAAAATATCCGGTCCTGCCGGACTTCGGTGTACTTTGGAGTGGTTAACTCTTCACGAGTTGAACCACGTTCATGATTGCCTTTTTCAATATTTCGGTAGATTGGCAGTTCATTGAGTGACCTGATGGCAGGCCAACTATCTGTCTCGTTGGAGTTCCGAAAAACTTGCCTTGAGCTTAATTCCTTCGAAGGAAGCTTTGAATCCTCATCTTGAGCGAGCCGAATTCGCTTCGGTGAATGCATAGCCGTGCTGTCTTGCGGGTGATTTTGAGGATACTCCGGCACGAATGAGAAAGTTCTATCCGAAATTCTCGAGTTTGACGATGACTCTTCCCGTGTCCTGAGAGGATTGTGCAAAACAGGAGAAGACAGCCGGTGGAAAAAAGTGGTTTCCTTCATAGGGTGGGTGTCTTTTGGGTGGCTTCGATAATTGTGCAACTCCAAGTGCTCGAATGTCGCAAAGCCATAAATGAAATGGATACATGTTGGATACAGGCATTTCAGGGATGAAGTGGCTTTTGGGAAGTTGGTGTGGGTTTTGAGAACTAGGTCATATTTACTAGCGTTCAGCTGAAGCCAGTCATCGAAGCCATTTGGTTGTATAGACCTCAACGGCAAAGATGCCCTCTGGAGCAAATCTGGTATCGACGAAAATGCATCTGAATGTAAACAAGCCGTTTCTATGCATTCGCACATATACTGGCGCATTCTACACTCCTCGGCTTCAGATAAAACGACAGGTGCGAAGCCTAAGATGTTAGACAATGAGAACTTTCATGAGTAGATCAAGTCAATTACCGAGCTCTTCCTGCGTGGCCTTGAGCATCTTATGCTTGTGATTCAACATGACCAGTTCCGCTTGAAAATTAGGTTCCGTTTCAACTGGCATCAACGACCTGATCTCGGCTTGTATCAGAGCTTGCTGGTCCAAGAGAGATTTCAGCCTGGCCTCGGAATCACTCGATGAATGCACGGCATGCGCGTCCATGGCGGTGCTAACGTCGGCGGGAGTTGTCATGATTCATTTATAGTTCTGGTAATACACAGAATTGACAGCATCTCATTCTGCTCGGCTCGACTTCGCCTGGGAGCATGCAATGTGTTGTGGAGGACGTCAAGACCGTCGGGAGTCGTGTCTTCGTTGTGATGTGAGAGCTGAACGCGTTTGTGAGCTGGCTGTGAGGCAAAGTGGAAAGGACGGCAGGCTAGGCCCGAACTGGTCATGCAGCTGGGAAGCGGGCGCCCCGCGGCAGACGATATTTATTCGATTTATTTAACAAAACATTTCGATTTTAATGCTATCGAAAGAGAGAAAAAGCAAATCTTAGATACTCGTCTGATTCACAGGTCTCACTAACTAACTGTACTTATCTGCTTAATGTTAATGGTAAACTCAGTTCCCGGAGACTTCTAACACATTACTCCCTCAGTAGAGCGGCGCTGTCAGCTGGGTCAGCTGCAGGCAAAATGCAGGGCTGCGGTACAGGAAACGGCTTAGCGGGAAACGGAGGGTTTCTACCTTGGAGATGCGCTGATTCTGACCACCATCAACATCATCAACTCCGGTATGGATCCTATCACAGTTGACCTGCATATCATTAGCAAGCTTCTTTCCCTTTGTGGCAGAGGCTGCCGCCCTGCTTCGCAGCTCTGGCCGTATTGGGCATGCAAGTGCTCGCCTTGACGTGCCAGCTGATTTGCTGATACGCGGACGGTTCAAGCAGCAAGAGCTCCATCCAGTCGAAATAGCCAATCGAGGACTTCTAATCTGCCAGAGATGCTATTCAATACCTAGCACAAGTTTCCATAGTACCACAGAAATTAATGGCGGGTGATTCTGGGAAATGGCGCAGCTTTCATGGTTAACCAGACCCCCCTCGTGTTTTCTGTCATTCGTTTTCGCAAATGTTCCGGTCTATTAAGATACAACTCTTGCTCAATGCTCAATAACTTATAGCTGACATGTATTTTGAATTATCAATCTCTAATTGAAATTCCACAGACTAGCTTTGAAGCTCCTAACTCTTGCTGGAAGCTTTTATTTCCGATGCCTTGGAATCGTGGCAGCCAGTGTGTTCCCATATCAACGAGCAAGACTTCATATCCTTATATGGTAAACTCATCAGTCACTACCAGCATCATTGTGGCAGTTTTCTCTGCTATGTTGGGTTTGGTTTTCATCACACACATTCTCCTTAGAAAATCCTCACCATTGTTCAATCAAAAATTGGGGTGGAAACGTGAGTGCTCATTCATAACTGCATCTCAATTCGTGTGAAAACTGCTAATCCATAACCAGTTCTAGAAACATGGAGACGAGACTCTTCGCTATGTACAGTACTGCTAGATCATCGTCCTGATGTTTGTCACCCGAAGAACTACCACTCGAACCTCGAGACCAGCAAATGTGTGCCATCCATTATTCTTCGACGGCCCCGTCCCTTCACCAACAACTCACTTGTCGTACAAACCAACATACGGCAATTGACAGACAAAGGCATTGATGCTTTCATTCTGCCAATCCATCAGTTACCGACTGCCATTGAGCCCTTAATATCACATTTCTTCATGGATCCTACACAGCGGTCCTTGCGACCTACCTACTCGGCGCATGATTCTGTTTTCAAGGTCTCGCCACGGAAACTTGAGTCTTTGATTGGATTAGGCACACAATTCGACGGCGTGGATGTCGGATGCGAGGAAGACAGCGAAGTTGAACTCGGTCTGGGTGATGTTGCAGCGCTGAGCTATGACGAGTACTTTGCTCTCAAAACAGCTCCTCGGACTACTGTAGGAGTACCCGTTGGATGATTGGTCATTAAGATAGGGGATAGGTGACTGACATTTATTTTGTCCGCCGTAGAAAAATAGCGATGCCTTAGTTTGCCCTTTTGACCATCCTCCTACGCAAACGACTGTCTTATTAAACTTGTGCTTTGCTATTCTTGAGGCTTGACTGTTTTCCAATTACTGGTCAATCAGTGGGGTACAAGACCTACGGGATCCGTCTCGGTAGAAAGTGATATATTTCCATAAGAAGCTAACTTTAGTCAAGTGAAGAACTTGCATAATCTCCTTTGGTTAGCTCCTAGAGCGCAGTGAGTCTGTGCTTCATTTGAGGACCATCCAGGGTCACTTAGAGAGTAATTTCTGCTGCTGAGCAAGGGCCAAGGTCCTTAAAACGACAACCACAGGCTTTTCAGGGTGTGCACCGACAATTGGGCCTCACTGCGCTCTGGAGTTAGACAGTATTTCTAATATGCGTATTAACTAAGATTATTAAGAAAGCAACCTTTATTTTTATCATACTTGGAGGTTCCTATCACTTTGGTCGCTTTGATGTGATGAAGCCTGGTGGTAATTGAATGTTTTTACTTCAACTTACACTAAGGTGAGCTCGTTGGCACTCTACTAGCTTAGTCGTGTCTGAATTAAGGACACATGTAACTAAAGAGGTTGTGATGTGTGGAGAAAGTGGTTGTGGTTCCAACGGGGCCTTGGGGCATACTCTTTGGTTCTCTACTACACATACATCGCTTCTCGTCTAGTAAGTTTCCGCTCACATATTTTCGGCCACAACCACTGCACTTTTAACATAGAGACCTTCCACCGCCACTTTAACCAAGAATCTCGCCACACTACTAACACTGATGCTGTCGGTCAAGCTCATTCCAACGCCATCACTATCCATAGTTCTTACACCCATATTCGCGTCAGTCAACTTCCCATCGTCGAATTTAAGCTTCACAGCCCTCACAAGCGTCCACTCCATCCTCGTCGACCGAATCTCCTCATCAACAAGATTATGATCCGCAAGCGCGAACTTGACATTAGTATATCCCAAGAACGCCTTGCTCAACCACGGCAAGTTGCCCCACGAATCTCCAACACCCGCCGTCGACATGACAACAATTCGAAAGATCCCGGCATCCTCCAGAACCTGACAAACATTGGCGCAAGAATCAGCCAGGAGGCGAGGAGGCGATAGCTGAGCCGCGAAAGGACTTTCAGACTTGCGGACTGTGTTTAATGTGATAATGGCTGCTGATAGCGGTAGTGAAGGTGTTGCGAGAAGAGCGCTACGTATATCGGGTTTTGAAAGTGGTGAGCCGGTGACGATGGTAAGACCATCCCTAGGAGTGAGGCTGGTAGAGGTACGGACTAGTGCTACGGCTGTGTGGCCTTGAGAGAGCAATGTGGATAGGACGTGCTGGCCGGTTCGTCCGTTCGCGCCGAGCAGGAGGAAATGCATTGTTTGTGATTTTGAGAGGTGTATTTGAATAGTCGAACATCCTTCTGTGCGGAAAGAAATTCGACGGCTTTCTTATAGAGGAGTGTCGGCATTCCGAACCCAGCTAAGTAGAACAATACCGAAGAGCGAATGTTTTTAATTGTGGCGGGGGCTAGTCCAGAGACGCTTATTGGTCTGTTCGCTCTGTGCGCTGTTACTGGAAGTCGCCTGATATCTGACGGATGCTTGAACAGTAAGATAATCTCCTTCTCGTAATTGTGTCCAGCTAAACTGAGCCGTATCTGAACATTTTACTGGGCCTTCTCCGCCTCAGCTGCTCGTCAAATATGTCGAAAATTCGGTAAGTAGTAAAGTAACACAGATCAGGTGAGTGGCTGAGCAATGAGTATTCCAATACTAGACGTAGACATCACAGAGTTAGGGAGCACTATTTCCGTCCAGCATTGTTCCAGTAGGAGGTTGTATATGTTCTAAGCCTCTCATTGACCTTATTTGCTAAGGTCTGCAGCTGCGTATACTCGGTCGACAGCGCCGTATGTGTATCTGGTGAGAATTGTAGGGCTCCCAGAAGCGCAATTTTCAAAATCGTATGAAACAAGCGTAAGAAACACACTGGAATAGGTTCGAGATCATGAAAGCCATGTGTGTGATTCATTTCAAGATCGAAAAGCCAGGATTTTAAGGAGTTTAGTAGAACTTCTCTCTCAGTTAGCAATTGGAGAGCGTCTGTTGTCGACTCCACTCGCGACACTTGGTCAAGAAATTCGAGCGTTAATGTGGCGATTCTCGTAAGCTCTGATCGCATGTTGGGTGCAATGGTACGAAGATTGCGAGCTTCGAAATGCTGTATTCGCGGCGAATTCCTATCCAATGACAGCGCCGACTCGCTTGTATCGACATCTGGAGGAGCCTGTGCAAACTTACAGGGTGCAGCAAATATCTTGATGACAAAAACATCTAGAAGTGGTACTTTTCTATGGTGTGCCGATGCTATGTTATTATCCGCATCAAGATATGGCCTTGCACGGTACTCGTGCATGATCCTGAGTCCTTGAATGATATGTTGAGCCATAGCAGAGTAATTTTTCCGCACTTGCTCAATGCTAATGAAAACCTGACAGCAAAGTAATGCAGAATCCAAACTGTCAGGGCCAAGAGAAGATAGTTTGGACGCGAGACCAACTAAAGCCAGGTTGTACTGGCGGAGCCCATTGTTATGGCTCGGGGTTTGCTGCGCGAATGATGCGGGCCAGTCTCCGGTAGTCTCGAGATCTTCCCGAAGAGCTTTAAGAGACGAGACCGCGTGTTTTAAAGATGGCTCAACTAGACTGGCCTCAAGAATTCGCCTGGCTTCTTGGTCACAGCCTAGCTCTACATCGAATATGGTCTTTATAGAAAAGTATCGGTTCAGCAGGTCGATTTCTCTAGGGGTGGTTTGAGCAAAGGTGGATCTAACGGGTTGCAAGCCAGACACTAGCTTGATTTCGGCAGTGTTGCCGCCGTTAATGGTCTCACGAGTTAAGACTCTGAAAGGGGACTCATAGCCGTCACAAGTGCGCCCAGTATTGACACACTTCTGGCAGAATGGCTTGGCTTCGTCGCATTTGACCCTTCTAATTCTGTCCAAAAAGGTCAGTCCTTGTCCATTCTACCAGTTACGATTGTTAAACGCTCACAGACTTGGACTAAAGACCAGTTACGATGGTCTTTTCTGCTATGACTGACCTGCAAGTGGCACAACCAGTTTTCACCTTCCTCCGCTTGCAAGTGATTGCATTCCCAACCATTCTTGGCAGGACCTCAGAACCTCAAACACACAGAACAGTCGAAGCAACAAGTATTAGCAATTAGGCAAAAAATCCGAGCAGACGAATCAACTAGTTGTAATAAGAATGAGTTGAAGTCGTTTTATGACCCTGGAGGTTGTGGGGGCAAGTGGTGGCGCTAGGCCCGATCTAGAATTGAAAGCGAACCCACCAACCAGAAACCTGGGAGTGGAGAACTACCTGGGCATCATCCCCATCCGGACCCAGCTGATTGCGCTTCGCCTCGCAATACTCCATCATGATAATCTCTTCATGCTCGAGGCACTGAGCTTCGTGCGTAGCACTAGCTGGTTTTGTAGAAAGATGCTTTCCCTCTGCAGATCAAGTGACAGCAGATCTCTGTCAAAATATGTATTTAAGAACTCTTAAACCCAATCAAGAATGTTGAAGATCACGAATGCTCTTAGATCTCAATCGAAACTACTCCATAACTCGAAAATGCCAGCTTTTACTCTCTACGGCTCGCGCGGTTCGACAAACACAGATCGTGTCCGTCTCACTCTCGCTGAAGGCGGCTTTACAGACTATGAACTCGTGCTCCTCGATCTTCACAAGGGCGAGCAAAAGGTGCGTAATGTATCACTTTGCTTGTAAGTATACGTTAAAGCTAATACTGTTACAATTAGTCCCCAGAACACAAAAAGCGTCATCCATGGGGTAAAGTCCCTGTAATGACTTCTGCAGAAGGGCTCGTTCTTCACGAAAGTCGTGCAATTTGCAAGTACCTCGCAACAAAATACGACTTTCCGCTTTTACCTCTCAATACCGACGTCGAAAAGACGGCGCTGTTCGACCAGGCGCAGTGTGTTGAGACTCTTTACTTCGCAGAACCCGCAGGTAAAATCGGGTTCGAGAAATTTGTTAAGAAGTTCATGGGCTTGCCGACTGATGAGGCTGTTGTATCAACTGCAGTGCAGGCGTTAGAGGGGTTCTTTGACGTTGCTGAACAGCTTTTACAGCATAAGCAATACATGGCTGGAGACGACTTCGCCCTCGTAGACATCTATTACATCCCGTTGATCAACAGACTTTTTGCTTGTGGTTACGGAGAGATCATAGTCAGTCGCGAAGCTGTGAGTGCTTGGTGGGATCGTTGTATAAATAGGCCGGCTATTCAGAAGATGTTAGCTGCAGATAAAAAGACACCACGATAGATTCGATCAGAGAATAAGAATACATCTAGAACAAGCGGAAAGCTCTAGAGAGAGGGTCAAAGGAGTAGAGCAAGGGATAGGAAAAAGTAAGAAGAGCGTGTGGGAGAGACTACTTGTGTCTCTTCACTCGCCCTAATAAAATTTTGTGAATCCGAGAGACTTCATACATGGCATATTGTAGCTATTTTATTGGAGAATGTGTGAGCGATGAGGTGATGAAAAGTCTAAAAATGTGTCAAGTTTTATACGATTCTCTCGGTCTTAGACCATGGTTATATTGAGAATTGACCGACACTTTCAACTACAACCACCACCTTCTGAGTTCACCATACTGTGAGCTGAGCACACTGTGAGTTATCTCACACATAACTTACAAGTAGAAGCCTCGAGTTCTAATCGTTGCAACAAACAATCGGCGGAAACCTATAGGACTCTCATCTTTCTAAGAAATTAGACAGGGTAATCACTGAAAGTTACATATTAGCCATGGCCAAGACCTGTGAGATTGTTGTAGTTGTTGGCCGTTTTTGGTCACGTTTTATAGCGAAAGGAAAGGGTGCTTGTGACACACTTTCTCGTAATTCTGAAGGAAGAATAGTTGTTTAAAGCAATTAAGAGATTAAAATTACTAGTAAGTCTACAAACAAGAATTACGGACCATTTCTGTAATATAGACCGCAATGTAAACAGTTAGAGTAATTGTAGAATCCTGGTAGATTAGAATGAGTACTTGCTAATTTATCATGAGACAGATTCCCAAAAGTTATAGCATTTTGAGGGATAACATACTTATTCACTTGAGTAAGAAACTTGAATCACTCAATACCAACAAATTCTATCGGCTAACGACCAAACTTTGAGTCTACGGAACGGCCTATATACACTTCCACCAAAAGGAGACAACACATTTACTTTTTCCTCCAATTTGATCTCGCTCATCATGAAATCATCCTCGTATCTACAATTTCCCTTCCCCTAATCTTGCTCAGGACGGAAAGGTTTCGGTTCTCCCTTCCAGCTCCCATGTGGCCTAGAGAACGGAGGTCTAGGGCTGAAAGTAGGTGGCTTGCCAGTGAAGGTAGGACGTCCAGTTGGAATAGGTGGGAACCCTCCGCTGGGAAGAGGTGGAAACGCTGTTGGGCGACCGGTTGGAGGACTTGGCGGGGTTGGGCGGCCAGTTGGTGGTCTTGGTCCTGTTACGATTGGAGGTTTTGGTCCTGTGGGGAGTCTAGTTGGGATAGGTGGGAAGCCTCCACTGGGGAGAGGAGGTAACACGGTTGGACGCCCCTGCAAGAAGTTAGTACATAAATATTTGTATGTTTCAAGCGGAAAGAAGAGTGTCTGAAGATAGAACTCTTTCGCAGCCACTTAGAGTAGGAGCTTGGGTGTGAGAACAAAGTAGAAAGTCACATACCGTTGGAGGGCTTGGAGGAGTTGGGCGACTGGTTGGAGGTTTTGGACCCGTTACGATTGGAGGCTTTGGTCCGGTTGGAATTCCAGTAGGAAATCCACTTGGTATTCCAGTAGGTAAACCGGTTGGTAGCCCAGTAGGCAAACCGGTTGGAAAGCCTTGAGGTTCGCGTTTATCATGCTCTGAGTCTCCGTGTTCGTGGTTACCCCATGTTAGCTTTCCTGTATGTACAGGTTTGGTGTGTGTTGGCTTGGTGTGTGTCGGTCTTGTGAAGGATGGTCTGGTATGAGAGACACTGCCAGGTGGGAATGGGAATAAGCCCGTGCCAGTTGGAAGAGCAGGTATAGTGATGTTGAGAGTCGGGTATGGAGCTATAGTCAAAGCTATGGAGCTGATTCTTGGGACCTCAACGGGTGCTGCTTCTGTTATTGTGCTGTAGAGATGGTCAGCTTCACATAGTGTACAAATTATACGACTGACATACCTAGCTGATAGAAGAGCAGCAACAAAAACAGTTTTGAACCCCATCTTGAAGTTTTAGTGATTGTATATGCCAAGAACGAAAGTGAAATTGACGCAAAAGAAGCTATCAATGCAATGAATGGTTGAATCAAAGAGTTCTGTTGAATTACATTATATATATATATTCTCTCACCCAGCCAGCTAGGATAATGAAGATAGAAGCCCAGACCCTAGCCAATGCTAGAACGTTTCAAACTTCAAAGGTGCTGTCGTGGTCGGTAGATTCATTTTGAACCAAGCGATGTACCGACGACATAAGTGGATACACTTCCATATGCCATGTTAATCAAGTGGCGTGATAGACACTCTATAGCAAAAGCAACCGAGGCCTATGTGGGAGCACCCGCTTGGAAATAGGGTCCTGATCGAGCACATGGAACAGTAGAAAGGAAAGTTCCGTTGGGAAGACAGTGAGGCTCGAGGCTTGAATTAGAGGACTCAGCTTCCGAAAAGAGTCATGATCGACCCTTTTCGGTTGCCGCTCTTTTTAACCTGATTGAATTTCGCCATCCGGCAGTAGACACTCACAATTCCATGGTATACAGAAACGTGTACGCCTGAAGAAGAGAAATCCTAACTTGGCGTAGCGGACCATTCAATCAAAATCCAGCCACACAAACCCAATTGAATATCTGCCTCTTGAATTTCCCTGGAAAATAGCAAATTGAGATTCAAGCACAACCGCGATCTGTTAGAGCGTATCTCGGTTATCTAGCACTGCATATAGCCTTGTGTGAGAAAGCGGATATCATCTGTACCAACCAGCAAAGGACCCAGGGTTGTACACCCCAGATAACACAATTCAATTTCCCACTGGGGAATCCCGGAGCTATCCTCCACTATTAACATGGCATAGTTCCATGCATGGCATTTCAGCATGCAAATCTTTGACTTAAGAACCAAAATCGAGGAGGCCATACATAAGCGAGGATGAATCTAAACCCTTTTAGCCACTTAGCCTGTTCTCATCCATATCTTCAGAGAGAAATCGTCGCGAAAATGCGGTCAAAAGAAGGAAATCAAAGGAGATCAACATGCTCTGACATTGCGTGCTAGCAAATAATTGCTGGCCAGATTACATGATTCAGGGATATGATAGGCTGATCAAATGCAAGATCTTAACGAATTAATTGCGGTACCAGGAGCCACAACCGCAACGTATGCTGCTAAGGTAGACTGAAAGCATATCTCAAACCCTAAAGTAAATGTATGCGGAAAGAGGTCGACGCGTCATAAAGTCCCTATCGCAAGTGTCTGCAAGATTCGGTAAGTGCGGATTTACATCGCCGACTGCTGACGAATGTTGAACCCAGAGCTCGAAGAGTAGTCCCTATAAAGATACATAAATAGATACGTATTTTATATCTGGTTGGACGATCTCTGCGATATCGCCTGGTGAACTGCTGGAAGTGTCGAGAAATCCATGACGTTCTTGTTCAGCTACGAATACGACAACAATATGGAATCGGCGGGAACTTGCCCACTTGAGGCTGTTTTTGACGCATGTTTCCATGCGAAACTGAAGTGGTATCTTTACACAAAGTTCTCCATGCAGATAACCCACAGCGTTGCCGGCTTTTGGTGACGGGAAGGTTCCTTGGTCGTTTGTGTGAGGGTAGGAGCGTGGAGCAAAGAGTTGAGGTCGAAGCTTGGAGATCGACACAGATTACCTTCTCGGTTAATGACTAGCCTTCACACGCTAATGGGTGTTCCTGGATCGGCATTGTTGGGCCTTGACATGCTCAAATCAGGATCGCAGTAGTGCCGGATGAGTGTCGAATAAATTTAATTCAGAGAAAATGTGGTTGTGCAGGACAATCTTACTGGGTATTGGGAGGTCCTCGCTAAGGCCTAGACTCATCAGCAAATGGATCACAAAGTGCTCAACCTAACTAATCATTTAGAAAGCCAATAACCATGAGGGACACGATTTTTCCGCTGTGAGGATATAAATTTGATATCCAGATATGTACTTTATCCATGGAAAGGTTGCCCAATCTCTGAATGCCAACACCAAGCAATGCTTTTCGCTTAAAGACTTACATATCGCATTCATCAAGACGTCATAATACTTACATGCGATTTTACCACCATGCTGCTACGCAGAATATTATATCCAGGTTGTGACCTCTAAGCAGCACCTGCATTGACGGCTGAGTGCTGGGACGCTTGTTCATCCACCTCTTCCAATTCAGTAAGCCGCAATGCCGAATCAACGTTCGTCACGAAATGATCCGGACCTCCGCATATGTCGATGATACCACTGCGGCGAAATAACTCGTAAATGGGACTTCCTTCTACTGGTCCGCGAGAGAAAAAGACGCATACTCCCCGATCGCGATAGCTACGCACAATCTCGAACAGAACTTGCGTGCCTGACCCATCTAATCCCGTAACTCCATGTATATCAAAAATGACGTTTTTGTTGTGCTCTGGCGACCTCACCCTAGGCAACGCAGGGTGAGCGCCTGTTGCTCCATACAATTCCAACCTCCTCAACCGATTCTTCAAGTCGCCGGTGTTGGCAAACGTGAGTGGTTCAGGAATCTTAACAATCAGACAACCTTCAATAAACTCTAACTTATCAGGGTTATCTTCCGCATTCTCGAATCGATGAGTGCCGGGTAATCTTCCTAATATCTGAATCCGTGGTCTGGTGCTGTGCTTGATAACGGACAGCAGCGACAATCCTACCCCAATAGCGATTCCCAATGTTAACGAGTAGAAAATCGTTGCGGCAAAAATGATTAACATGAGGCCTAATTCAGTATATCCTCTTATCCTGATGAAGAAAGCTATGTCGTGAGGAGCTTCTTCGATTAATGACCAGGCCACAACTGTGATCATGGAAGACAACACTGCTTTCTAGGAGTTTGTTAGAGCGTTCCTGGAAGTTTGTCTGGTTGCAGCTTACCGGAAGATAATAAAATGCCGGTAGAAGATACATGACGCAAATGACGGTAATGATACTCAAGAAAATACTGCTCATGGGCGTTTTCCCCCCAGTGCTGGCATTTACTTTACTTCTCCCATAACCACCGAATGCAGGCAAAGCACAAAAGCAACCGCCAACAAGATTGGCTACACCCAAAGCAACCAGTTCTCGGTTCGGGCTCAATGCGATGCCTTGGATCTGATCCTTTCCTTCTCCGCCACCTAGACTCTTGGCAGCTACAGACGATTCAAAAAAGCCCAGTAATGCGATTAGGAACGAGGTTCCCATAGCCTCCCGGACGTGTTTCAATTGACTGACTTGGAAGGGCCAGTGAAAGGGAAATGTAGCCCCCGAGCTAGACTTGACTTCGCCTAATATCTCCAGGCCATAGTCGTCCCATCGGTAATGCCAAGTCAAGACAGCCGATAAAACAACAACTATAAATCGGTCAGGAAAATACGCAACTGCTGGGTATCGAGGTTGAAGCCGTTTCTTTGATTCTCTAGCAAACGGCGTAAGTTTGGTTCTTTTGTTTGGGGTAAATACTCACCTGAACGTCATTATTATGACAAAACTTATTCCAGCGACAGCGGCTGTAATGCCCGTGGCTCTATGTGCATTGTTTATCAAGAATCTAATCTTGTCAATACTACTGCCATGAGCAACCCCTCCAACTTCCTCCGCCAAATCTGCGAGCCCTAGCTCAGGAATCAATTGATCCACAACTATAACAAATCCTATAGCAGAGATGAATCCTCTGAGGAACGGCCTACTCAAAACACTGTCCAAAAAACCTAGCCTGGTCAGACCAGCAATAAATATTACTGCTCCTGCCATTCCAGTGACAATACCGGCGACTCGAGCGTGCATTAAATCGTCATATTCGGGTGTTTCGCTGCTGTCGATACTTGATCTGACTACACTTCCAACCAAAAGGCTTCCAGCTGCCTCTGGGCCAACCACCATCTGTGGGCAACTACCCAGTATCGCATATATAATAGGGTTGAATACAAAAGAATATAGGCCGTTGATCGGCGGCACATGTGCCAGATTCGAAGCGTATGACAGAGCCATTGGTAGGTAAAACGATGCCATCGTAAGAGCTGCGACCAAATCTCCCTGTAAATGAACCCATCTATACTGCCGGATCCAAGCGAAAAAGGGGATGTAGTAAGTGAAATACCTATAGCGCAACAACATTTTAGCAGCGATCCATAGAGAGGAAACAGAGGTGTGCTCGGAAGATTAGGGCGTACATTGTGGTGGTATTTTTGACGCCATGTCTCTCCGCTAAATACCGTGTGGTACTCATCTTTTTCCTGCCCACAGGTCCTGGTCCGTTCTTAACACCAATTCCTTCAAGCATACTGCCAAATATAGTGCTGCTTCCTTCGCCATTTTCAGGTCTTTCACGAGCTGGAGCGCCGCCAAATCCATAGTCATTACTACTTCGTGCACTCCCTGTCCTACTCTCCAGCCGGGGACTGAAAGTGCCATGATCGCATGGCCCCGCGTGTACAGGATGTGTGTCAAAATCGAACTGCTTCCTCAGCAATGATGTAGATTCGTTATCTTCGTTGTGGTCCAGCCCATTGAATCTCGTCCCATGTAGGGCATCGTCGTCTTCCGCTGGATCGTTTTTTGGATGCGCGGGAGATGTCAAGGGAGAGGCGTTCGAGCTGCTGGGAGCTGTACTACCATCCACGTTCATACCGTATCTTCTCTCTTCCGGCGAGACAGATAGTGTATGTGCCTCGCGCAAGCCACTTGGGGTGATGGGTGCGTGAGGATGTGATGCATGACTGATCGAGAGGTTTCGATTCGAATTCGAGTCTGCAGAACTCGGTCTTCGTGAAGACATGGCGAGGGTATTATGTGCGCAGTCGATCCATATATAAGAAGGTAATAACTATTCGCATAAAGGATGTTTGGAGGAAGTCTGCTGGTATGCTGGTTGATCAACACATTGAAGTCGCTAGCGTGGTGGATATGTCGCGAATTGGGTTTCTCCTGCCGTTTAAGGCGTGTGCGGAACGTTATTCTCTCGTGGTTGATAATGAAATGTAAGTGCTCAGATGTAGCATTCAGATGATTGTCCGGCGCAATGAACTCAATCAGCAGGTTTTTGAATAATAGTTGACAGAGGCGTGAGTGGCCGGGGCTGGTGATCAATAATGTCTTAATTTGTCAGTTTTGTATGCACATTTCCGCAGAATCGCCTTGGAGAACACGGCACGATCCGGAAAATGTATAACAAAAGTCTACTTCGAAGTACATGGGATTCTGATGCGATCAATGCCCTACTGTACCTCTTGTTCATCGGTAAATCCAGAATAATCCCCTTTCGAGCAACCTTCAAACTGACCAGTCAAAAATGCTTAATTACACAACTTGGTTGCCCCACGTTCCCCTGCCCAGCGGTCCCTGAATCTCAACGTTGCAAAGAAGTGAGGACCTTTTTGTCGCTGAGAACTGCGTCATCGGTTCCTCGGCTCACCTTGTGTCCAAGCTCACGCGCATGAAGTGGCTGCCCGCAGATGTCTCGCTTCTCCTTCATCTCATGACAATTCTCATCTCATTTGTTTGTACACCAGAATTCAATGTTCTTTCTATTTGAAGAATTGAGGTCTTCCAGGGTAATATGATCGGATTTTCAGTAAACTCCGACCACCGTTTACGGCCTCCCTATCTTACGATCAGATTACCCTCAAGGTATCAACTCTGTCGAAGTTAGAATCATCCCACTGAGCACAGAATATTGATAAAGAGATTCTGCTTCTAATAAGCGGTTTGTTGCCAGAAGCAATTATTCCTTCTCCCTAGTATCTGTAGGTTATATGGGCATGATTTACTCCTTCGTCATTTTTTTATTCACAGAGGAACATTCTCTTGTGCACCCTCAAACCCAACAACTTGGCCTGGATCATCTAAGACAGGTTATCTTAAGCTATACAAAACACACAATTACCGGCAGCACCTATGAGTTAACCATGATTACGGAGCGACAGGAGCCCTATCATGAATGGCATTCTTTGGATTTAGACGATAATTGGTTGGTCATCTACTCAAGCAAATACCGATCATTATCATAGATAACACTCATCCCAAACACTACTCATCAATGAAATGGTCGTTCATTACATGAGGCATTCGTGGATTGAAAGCTGGGCCTACCATTTTGCAACACAGTTGAGAAACTCTCCTGACCTTCTTCGCAGACTACGATACTAACTTTCTTTCTAGGAACGCATAGTAGAACTCGGATCATCCAGTAACTATCTCTTTTGTCAGCCTAAACATCTTGCTACACATCTAGTGGAAGCAATACTTACATAACGGAGGCCCAGGCAGCACATATACCGGCTTCGCCTCATCGTTATAGATACCATAATGCACACCTGGATCATTCTCATCATAGAGCTCTGTTCCTACTACACCAGAAGGAACCACACTCCCACTACCAGTAATCCGAATATTGGCGCACTGAGGATAAAACTGAGCACCTCCAACATCATACGCTGAATGGAGCGCGAGGATCTCGTTCCGGAACACATAGTTGCCAGCAACGATAGAGGACGGGATAGTGACAGCCCAGTTGCCATCATTTGCGCGCAGCTTGTCGACTGCCCACTCGCCTGTAGTGCCACCGCCCACACCATACGAGGTCTGACCTAATTCCGCGATCTTGAACCATTTGAGCTGCGTCTTATCTACCGTTGCGCAATCTCCGTTGCAAGCAGCTAGGTACGAGAAAATAGGACCGTGGTGGGAAACGTGGAACTCCGTCCAGTGCAAGTTTACAACACCACCAGCCTCGACGGGCAGCGCATCTATCTGAGCGTTCGTTGCGTTGATCGAGCAGTTGATGTCCGAAGTGTTGAGGTTGCTGCTATATACAGGCCCTGTATCGGTATTCCACGCTCTCCAGCTGATACTGCCTTGATCGAATACCCACGGCGCGATACTTGGGTTGTATCCGGTGTAATTCTTGTCGGCGATCGTCCATCGATCAATATAGCCGTGAGCTGCGACTGTGCTGGCGGCTGCGACGACAACGCCTGATATAGAATTAACTCTCATGGCGGCAGTGATAAATGGTATGTTATAATGAAAGTATATACTGATGTTGCATTTAATTCTTCTATAATGGGCTCGCCTTCTGACTGTATAATGGCTCTCCACGTCCAAGCAAATAACAAGACATCTTAAATGTCGTATTCGTAAAAAAAGCAAGAAGTTTTCCTCTGCCCACACATCTGCATTCTCGCGGCTTCATCTATACGAGTAGCCTATGTTCAGCAAGCACATTTGTATGGAAGGAATAATTGCTAATTAATATCCAGGCTAAATTGTCGATACCAGCTCTATCGTTTCGCCATCTCAGGTGACTGAAATAACCTTGAGCCAATTAGCCTCTTCGCATTTGCTACACTATCACGGAGAGCAACCGAAATCTCAAGTAGAAATGTGCCTTCTGAACCAATGGATAGGTGAGTTAAAATACGTCGCGCCTGGGCGTCTCAAGATCGAGAATCGCATGTCGCGAAAACGAAGTAATAATAAGCCCAATGACTAGACAAACCGCCGTCTCGTGTCAAGAGGAAATCCGCCATTCTTATTTTGGTCTTCTGAAACTCCGTTACGTTGTACAGGAACCTAATTATTATCTTGTTTAGCCCTCCCTGCCATTCTACAATTGTGTGTGCTCTTGGACTACTTAGGAAGCGACATACTAACAAGTCACGGCACGAGTACGCAGGGAGGGCTCACTAGTCATAATAACCACACTTCTCGGAAATTACCGTAGAATTAAGAGTATGCCCATCCAGACCTATATGCTATCTCCGCTCAACTAAATATGCTCAAAATACACCCGGGCATAATCGCATTCCTCCAAGATTCATTGCTCCATTACCACGCCGCCATATAACAACCCAATCTCCGTCCCATCAGTCCGCGAAACAGGGCTTATGAAAAGCCTCCTCATGAAATCAACTTGAGTCTGGCTAACATGCCTTTCTGTGTTCCCCTAAGCCAAGAAAGAACATGTGGGGTATCGCAAAAGGAAAACAACGGGGAGTGCAGATCTCTCTGCACCTATACTGCGGTGTGAGGCTCTTTTGGCTCAACTGCCTCGAGACCTGCTTCCTTGTGTTCGGCTGCGGTCATGGTGTGGGATTGCTTGACCATTCCGGCCTCTGCCGCAAATGTGCTTGTTGGAACCCATTTGGCGCTGTTTCGTGGGTTAGTTTGCTCAAGCATACGATCGACTTGTTTGAGCGAAAGACCTTTAGTCTCAGGAACAAGCAGATAGGCGTAGACGAAGCAGGCAGTGCAGAGCGAACCCCAGATGAAGAAGACCTTTGATCCAAGATTGGCCTCTCCTTTATTCTTTCCGACTAGGTAAGGAGTAATAACAGCAATGATACAGTTCCTGTCAATGGATTAGCATTTCTCCACAAATTTGGATAGAAAGAAGTCTTACCAAAGCCAGTTGGAAGCGGTCGAGAGAGCAACACCACGAGATCGGATTGGCAGAGGGAAGATCTCACCAATGAGTACCCAGGCACCTGTAGTAAATTAGCGGTATCCAAGTAAAGGTAGATTATCTTAACTTACCAGGGCCCCAAGTAGTAGCGAAGAAGAAGATGTAGATACAGATGAATGCAATCTGGGTCGAGACGGCTGACTGGTTGTTTTCACTTGCTCTTCCGGCAGTCACACCAACGATAGCAACGATGAATTCACAAATCAACATGCCCAGCGCACCCCAGATCAGAATTGTACGTCTTCCGAAGCGTTCAACAATCCAGAAAGAAAGGGGAGTAGAACAGACGTTGACCAAAGTTGTGATGAGACCAATCAGGAAGGGGTTGCTGATAGTGCCAAGCTCCTGGAAGAAGGTTGTGCCAAAGTAGAAGATGAAGTTGACACCAGTCCTGTTAAGGTGAGTTATTAGTTGCCATGATCTCTCAGCGATGGGAAGCGTGACTTACCATTGTTGCATCATTTGAAGAGAGGTTCCAAGGATGGTTCGGCGTAGGTTGGAAGATGGTCTAGAGAGGCCACCACTGAAACAATGCATCCAAGTAGCGAAATATCCTCCAGGAGGAGTGACTGACAATTCATATTCGTGGTTGGCGACAATTTCGGCGAGTTCCTGCTGGATGTATTCGGATCCCTCTGGCTCTCCACGAAGACGGGTCAAGGTTTGGGCGGCTTTGTCGAGGTTACCTTTCTTGACGTGATAACGAGGCGACTCGGGTAGGAGGAAGAGACCACCACCGAGAATAAGAGCCCAGAGGATTTGAATTGAGATTGGAATACGGTAGGAGCCTGTATCCATTCGGTTTTGGGTGGCATAGTCGACGCAGGATGCGAGGAGAATACCGATGGTAATGCAGAATTGATATCCAGATACGAGTGCTCCGCGAACCTTCTTTGGCGCAATCTCGCTCATGTATAGAATGATGATTGCCGAGACGAAACCAACACCAAAACCAGCGATCAAACGTCCAGCGACGAGAAGACCAAGACTAGTGCTTGCAGTTTGGAGGATAACACCGACAATGAAGACGATACATCCGGCAATGATTGTGATTCGGCGACCGAACTATGAGCACATTAGTATCAAGTATCTAACTTTTCATATAGAGTTCGAGTCTCTAGCTTTTCATATAGAGTTCGAAGTGACTTACCCAATCTGCCAAATCACCAGCGATAAGGGCTCCGAAGAAGGTACCGGCTGAGAGGATGGATGTGATGAGAGACTTCTGCCAAGCTGGTAGACTGAAAGCATCCTTTACTTCTTGAGTGGCATCTGCACCGGGGATCGGAATACCAGTGAAGAGGTGAATGAAGTAGGGCATACCCATAACTCCAGAGATATAACCGGAGTCAAAGCCAAAGAAGATACCACCAAATGCGGCGAAAGCACACATCATGTATGCCTTCAAGGTCACTGGAGCCTCGATGCGCGAGACATCGTTGGTACCAGTGAGTGCACCTGCCATTGTGGCTACTAGGATCTAGGGCGAGCCGATCTTGTGTCGGATGTTAAGAGAATGAAGAAGGTATTGTTTGACCTGAGAAGTTGTCTTTCAACCGAGATCAAAGGAATGATGGTTGAAGATGAGGTGGTCGGGGTTGGTTGGTTGATGTTGTTGAAGGTTGAAGGATTCAAAGTAGAAGAGGAAAGAGCGAAGGCTTTTATGGACACTAGAGCCGACGATTACGCCGAGCTACAACCACCTACCCTTCATTCACGCTGTGAATTAGACAAAGGAGGTAGTTAGGAAATAACGGCAGATGAAATAATATTAATTCGGTACAGTGGTGTCGTATTTTGTCCAATAACAATAGAGTAATGAGTAGGTTTAGGTCAGGTGTTCCCTTTTCATTGAGGTTGAAATGGTATTCACGTCCCCAGGTTTCCCAGATTCGCTACATCTTGCCGAATTTGAGCACACGAACTGTTAAACAGCAAGAAAGTCACTTTCATGGTGAGCAAGGTATGATATAAGTCGTGGTTTTGGAGCAAGTTCATGACAATCTCGCGTTAACTCCGCGACAACTTTGTGAAAACAAATATTGAAAATGTAAACGAAACTTCGTTAGAAATTCAAAACTCAAATATCTCTTCAAATGTTCACTAGAATATCATCTTCCTAAAAAACTTTGTAGAGTCTATCAGTCGTAACCGTATAAGATCACCAGTTGGCTGAAGGGATCACTTGATCAACCTTGAGCTTTCCTAGATTGGCATCAAGACCTCTGACTTAATTACTCATGCTTTGCTGGGAAATAGTAATATCGCTTCTGTGGGAAATGAGACCGTCAAAGATCGAGTGCTGATTAAGATAAATGGTTTCACATCTTTTCCCTGCCACTATATTAGTTCGATACTGGCAAAAGGCTCTCAAAGCCACTAGTCTTCTTCTCCAATATTATATTTCACTTTTGGAGATCAATACTGGTACATGTAGGTGAGGTTCATGTAGTGAATAAAGATATTTTCTAGACAAACTCCAGTAAACAAAGTGATCTTCGCTTTGAGCTCCTGAATAATACTTCTCATAACATGGCTAACAGTATTCACTAGCATTCACTAGAATATCTTCTCTCATGATCTGTTCACGCACCACAGTGACTCCTATCCATTCCCCTTCTAGACTACAAATATATCACATGAACAACTACAATATTCAGACCGAGCTCTCTACAAAGAACATTGCACGCTTGATGGCCAACACATCGGAAGTCATCATTCTCGCCACAGAAGCCTTTCCTAGAGTGAAGACTTTCCCAAAGTAAACATAATTATAACCTCGGTTCATTAACCATCAATATGATTAAGCTATCCCCTTTCGTATAAAGCTTCATCCCAAGCTTCCGTCATAATTGCCGCGTGGGTTGCGATCTCTTTGTTTACAAAAGAAGTGACGTCGTTGGTGAGTGCTAATTGATCATCGGCAAATTTTCACATTGGGCAACAAAGAAAAAAGTAAGGGATATCTTTTCGGTAGTTGAAGCTCAGCTCACGATAGAAGCTGTTCTGTAGGATGTGATATGTAGGGGGTGGAACAGAGTAGACTCAATAATAATTGATTCTGCGGAATTAAGGCGCTTCTCAGTAGTGCCGTCCACTTGCTGTATATTAGGTGCCTCTTTACTTGGTTCAATTGACCTTAAGTGTATTGAAAACAACCTTCTCCTGCCAAATGTAGTACCAGCCCTTTTATCCCTTCTTCATGCGACTCTACTGCCCATCATAAGCTGCACTTGAAGACAAAACCTTTACTCCCCCCTGATAGTAACAGAAAGCAACAGAGTACCTTTTGTTACATGCGCGTAAAGCCCCCAGTTGCCACTCATTCAAGCCGTCTTCAAGCCCGTCCTGGGAACGACCAACAATGGCTTCCACCTGACAACCCATCTTCGTTTGCAAGTATTCGGGCCAGCTTGCGTCCCAGAACCCCGAAACAGTCAAATTCTCCAATCCTTGAATGGTTCCCAATGCATGCATAAATTCACGAGAAACTCCGTAACCCTTGAAATCCTCCCTGACAGGCCATATCATGAATGGGAAGTCCCAGTTGATCCCGAATTCGATTTCGATCTTTCGTAATCCACTTGCTTCCTCAGCCAACGTGTGAAGAAGTTCCAGCCAGGAAGAGAGCTTCGAATCCCACTTGACGGAGAAATTGAGATATCGGAGCGACTTGAGATTCGAATGACCGATCTGGGTGATGTATTGAAGCACCCGTTCGGGTTCGATAATTTGGAAGACATTCTGCGAGTACAGTATCGGGTTCGCTTCGTTGTATACTTCTCTGCAGGTTCGTACTATACCTGCAGTCATCGTCTCAACCCAAAGCCTGTGAAATTTATCTAGCGAAATCTTCATCTGATTAGTGTTCCTGACAGCATCTGGAATTCCACACGGAGAGCCGGGAAGCCGGCTTACGAGCAGTAGATCGTAGATTTGAAGACGGATCTCGACTGGTAAACTCATGAAGGGGAATTTATGAGATTCGCCTGCGAATTGGGTGTTGCTGATAAGTTCATTGCTGCTCGAGAATATCTTGCTTTCTGGCACCGAGGAATTCCCTTCTTTGCCATCGCGCTGCTCCTGTGTTTTTATTCTGCGGGTCAAATCACTGCGATCTATCGGCTTTCTGATCCTAGAATTCGAAAGAACCGCATCTTTGCCATTACGTGTTCCAGGTGATTTGATTGTGGTTGAAGGTTCACCGTCAGGAGTGCCAACACAGAAGAACAGTTTCGCGGCCTGCTTCCAACTGGACATCGTCTGATTTTTCGAAGGCGCCATGTTTCAGGTCCAGTTTATGAGAGATAATTGAGGACTGAAGTTGCAGGTGACCAGATGAAGACGTTGCCTGGAGCAATGAAGTATGCTGGTCGCGCTAAAATGTGGTGAATTGTTGTGACTTAAAAATCAACAACACGAATTCACCTTTGCCTTGGCTTGAATTGACGAACCCGATATTTCAATATCCTAGAGAGGTTAAAAAAAACAGTTGTAACAATAGCACCGCAAAATGGGGAAAAAGAAAAGAAAAAAGGGCTTTACTAGGGTACAGACTACAGTCGCTTTTTTGATAAAGTGAAGTTACTTTATTAAAAAGTAAAAGAGTAAGGTTAATACAATCTACTATAATAAGCTTATAAAGTAAGTATATAAGATATTATATACTAGATATAAGAATATTATCCCTATAGAGTATTCTATTAATATATTAAGGTCTTTTCACTATTTTACTACTCCACAATAGCGCTACTTTATCATAATTTATATTTTATAATATATTACTACTAATTCCCAACAAACCTCGAAAACATCACGACACTTACACACAATTGTTCCAAACTATATTCATTTCACGATTAAAAGAGACCTCATTCTTGTGTAGCTAACACAAGATGCACTTTCTAATCAGACTCCAAACAAACGTCTTAAAAAAGGTCAGACTTCACATTTTAAAAAACCCCGCAATCTCTCATGAGCGAGAAAACAGTTTTTTTTTAAGTCCTTTTCGTCTTTTAGAGATTTAGCAAAAATACGAACCTAATAACCCACCACAGTGCCTCTCCTTGAGCAATGAATAAGTAGTTTCGAATTCCACCTGTCACACAACAAACAATAATGAGGATTATTCATCTCTCTTAAAGTAGTAAGCTTAATAACATAAGAAGCCGAATAACTTAACACCTAAAAGCTCTTCAGCGGGTGGAAATAAGTTGTACGAGACTGCGGGTCAGTTTATAGAAGTGTAGTCGTTTTACACATACTTACTCACTCCGCAAGTTACATTTCCAACTAGTATCCTAGATGCCTCGGACCGCATTTTCTTTGCCGCTACAATAAAAGGCTGGCAACTAGCACGTAATGCAAAACCCGATTAACAGACCACAGAATGACTATTGTTAGCCAAGCATTATACGAGACGGAAAACAGCTCAACGCTATTTCTCAGTTATGATTTATTGAGTCCAAACAAGCACGACTCTGGAGAGACGCCTATGGATATACCTGCTCCCAGTTGTGTGAAGATATTCAAGAAAACGCCTTGTCTAAGTGTACATATCTTTTTCCACTAGCGAGAATTTTGTAACGCCATCTGAGATTCGTAAATTTGACGCCAAAACACCTGTCCAGGTCATTGACCCTCCTTGCCTACACGATTCGAGAAAAGGAAGTTGCACATCATCCGCTCAGGACTCATTTTCTGAGGCCATATCAGTTACTCTTCCATTTCCTCCAATTCCCTTTCTTTAGCCTTGAGGGCTTCTCTCATCCTCTCAGCCTCCCGCTGCAGTAACTCCCTTCTTTCCAACTTCTTCCTCTCCCCATCACTAGTAGCTTCGTGACTGCCTTCTCCGCTGTTTGCAGGACTGACTCCGTAGCTAGGGCTGTTCAACGCGGAATATCGATTTGGACTTAGCCGATCCGATCCTCCACTGCCTCCTGCGTCTAGGTAGTCCGAACTGCCAGGATTGAGTATCGATTTTATAGATGACAAACGTTTGGGCTGAGCGTTAGGATCAAGGTTTGTGGTGTCTTGTTGTTCTGTCTCTAAGGTAGAGAAAGACCGTTTGTGTGAAGGCGATAGAAATGTATTAGGTGACAGGGAAAGTCGACCCGGCTTAGGTGACGGATACGCCGCCATCGGTGGAAGTCTATTTTCGTTGCTCAACGAGTCAGGGTGTTCGAATGAACTACTCGAGTTCGAGATTGAGGCATAAGCCGTGAGATCGTTCCCACCTCTCGCTATTGAGGTAGGCTGAGGTAGCTGTGTGCGAACTTCGTTACGAGATCGGAACCCAAGGTTTATCGACCCATCAGGGTTGGGAGTGCCACGGGTTTCTTGGCTTTCCGGCGATGGGTGATCTGATTCTGGGGACTCCATGTTACTTGCAACGTCAATTTCTGAGGTTTGCCCATCTTTTCCAGCTGGTACAACCCTCTTGCGCCGCTTGATGACGGATTTCTTCATTGCGACAGGTCTATGGACACCATGCAATTTGTAGTAAAGACCTACATAGTCAGTTTTGTAAATTTCAGAGTCCACTAATCACTTACCACAAGCATTGCAAATCGTGTGGCCACTTGCGTCTCTGCGCCATAGTGGCGTAATCGTAGTGCCACAGTTTTGGCAGGCTACGACGACTGTTGTATTCTGAGACTGAATGCTGAGAGCTGCAACGTCAATGGGCGACGGCGCATCCGTTGGATGATCGCTTTGCGAGTCGGCAGCAGACGCAGCAGCTTGGCGATTCTGTGATGATGTGAAGTGTGCACTTTTGGAGACCCTATTATTAAACGCAGGACAGCCACTGCATCCTTCTGCTCCGCCAGTTCCATTGCATCTTCCACCACCAGGACATGATCCATTGGAAGTCTGATCTGCAGCAACGTAGGTTGCTCCAGTCGCAGTATGGCTTGGCGCAACACTACTTGGCGAAGCTCTTGGTTCTGGAGTTCGTTGAGCGATAGGAGTCGCAGTTGAGGAGTGAGTTCTAGGCTTGGTAGGTCTAGCAGCGTTGCGGGCTTTCAAATAGAGACCACACGCATTGCAGATTGTAGCTCCTTGGGGCGACCGTCGCCATAGTGGTGTTCGGCTTGTGCCACAATTACTGTCCACTGTTAGGGTTTATCTTATAGTTTAAAGTCAAGGACTGACCTGCAAACTTGACCTGCCGGAACAGCATCGGACTGAATGGACTGAGCCCGTTGATGAGACTGAGCTGAATCTTGCTGACTTCTTTCTAGCGAGCTAGATCTCGAAGCAATCTCTCGTAGCCGCTGGACGGACGGACTGGTTGACCCTGGGGTCGAAGCATCATATGCTGGCGAAGGTGTACTCCTCGAAGTTTCTCCATCTTGCGCGTTAGGATCGCCTCTTATTCCCTGAGCATGGCCTATCAGATGCTGGGCTAATTCGAGATCCTCCTTCGATGGCTCTTTGGAAGGTAGAACAGTACGAACGTGAAAAGTATCTTTGCGCCGCTGTGGCGTTGCCGAATGTTTGTTGCTCATTGTGCGAGGAGAGCGACCCGACTTGAAGTCAGACACCAAATGTGTGTTATATGCGCAGGACATAGATAAGTGAAAGCCGTGTAAAAAAACGCCAAGCCTAGAGAACCGTTCGTCGCTTTGGTGATACGCCAAAAGAGAGCAATACGAGATCCCTCTTAATAAAATCCACGACGCCGAGAAAAAAGTTGTGGTCAACTTAAGGTCCAAAACTCCGAGCCAAATTCAACTAGATTTTTAGCCAATGGTGATTAGCTGCGTAAAGTAGTCGCCGCGTGTCGCTTTAAAATGAGTAGACAAGATATTTCTTCGTCGCCAGAGAATGCTAATGATCACGGGTTTGTGCAAAAATGATGATATACAATGTCCCGGATCCACGAGTGAGGTGAGGCAACCACGGATCACAGCCTCCCAACACGACGTCGTCCCCGAAGAGTATGACTGCCAAGAATACCTGCAGGTACGTGACGTTGTCCCTGTCGCCTCGAGGTTATTTTGATCTCGAAAACTCCTTCAAAGAGTGTATCGACCAAATTGAAGGTCGGGAGATTGAATGACTGCGAAGAAACTGGAGATACTGTGGCGGTAGCCAGTTCCAATCCACGCCACTGCTTTTCCTCCCCTCCCCTCTCCGCCCCCTCCTCAGTCGGAGCGCTGGGTGTCTAATGGCGTGGTCAGGATCCGATCCGAGTGGTCCAAGATTGGAGGGTGAAATCGATATGTTTTCCCCAGATATTATATATCTTTTTGCGGCTGACGTTGTCGGAAACTCGTCTTTGCGGCGTGGTCTTGACGCTCCAGTCACTTGGCCAAGCGGAGTTCACTCCTGAAGTTGTGTGATTCCAAGATTCTTCTGAGACGGAAGTAAGTCTCGTGATTGAATGGACTTCCTTTTGTACGAGGAAGGTGTTCGAGTCCAAGTATCGGCTTCAGACAGGATGACCGATGAAGGCAGCGGTCAGTGTATGCGTATGTACGTGCAGATGTGAGATGTCAGAGGGAGTCTCTGGCTGGTCCATGGGTTACCCGACACCAACCAATCTCGTAATTCGAGGGTCCAGAACGGTGGAGCGCTGACAATTGACTGTATTTTCATTTGTCGAACGTCGTGCAGGATCCCCATAATTTATACGCTAGACAGGGGTAAAATAACCACGACCCAACGACTTGATTACCTCGAACTAATTGAGGAATTACGATCTCTAGAATACATTTCCTTGGAAAATCAAGCTTGAACAATCGAAAACCACGTAATATGAGACGTATTTCCAACAGAAAACACTGCTAATCAGAAAGTTAGTTATCTAGGCAGAATATCTCCTGCTGCCGATCGTCAACTGTCAACTATCAACAAGTTTACCTAGTAGTAGTCGACGAACTAGTAAATAGATCGACCTGAAAATCTCAAAGCTTTGTTCTATTATCTGGCATAAAGACACTTCTTCGCCTCTATTTCGGGATGGGTTAGACTTTTCGAGTGAAGCGTGAAATCAATGAATACCTGCTTTCAGGTTACTGAACGGTCACTTGGCAAGTGGCAGCGAGAGATAAAACCAAACAATTCAAGACAATCCCAAAACCCAGAAAGCTCATATTGACCACTCCATTCGGTTTTAATGTAATGGAGTCTTGATAAACTACTGAGCAGTGGAACGTGTGGCAGTGCATTTGGCTTGTGACTGCTGATTAGGTATGAATTTGAGGTTCTACCGTTATCGGGAGAACATACTTATACGCTTACCTTCTCGATGGCAATTCCAGTATTTACGCATAGACGTTGTTAGCAATTCATCGATCATGTAGATGTATGAGGGTCTCTGATTGGCCAGACAAATTTCGCGGCACCTGCATGGCTACCTATATTTCAGCTCAGTGCGCCCAGCACCATCTCAGCCTTCTCATATCCATCTCCTCCCATATTTTAATTTCAGTCTGTTTGCAGCCATTCTTCTTCAAAATGCTGAGAATAAATGGTTGCCAAATTGAGTCGGATCGTACGCTCTCATGGGTGCAAGAAAACTCAAACGCAGCAGCTGGTAAGACTGGAGAGCAAGTAGATGAAAGAGAAATTGACCACGAGGATGAAAATCCCGAAACCCTAAGCTACACGACAGCAGAACAAGAAGGAGAAAACGCACTGGTCATTCAAATACGAGGAGATGAGATGCTTCAACACTATCTCTTGCATCAAAATGTTCATGCAATGTGAAGTCTGCAGTTAGTATATCCAGCAGTAGCCTTACCTGTAGCTCTGAGTCTATGATACACGGAGTGAGTTTAACTACCTTTTCAGAGTAAGCCACTTTACCTATTGAAATCGTCAAGTTGAAGCTCCACGCCCATAGTGCCGGAGGAGAGCGGAATAAATGGAGGCTCAGCTTGTAAGCTGTAGCAGCAAATGGTAACTCTGCTGATTTGACGACGATGACAGTTTGTTATCACCAAAGTCGCCTTTTAAAGCGAGTGGAGGCGCCAATGCCTTGGAGGAGTACCTATTAAATGAATGAAATATTCCAGATTTGTGCTTCGAAGCTCGCAGCGACTTGTGGTCTGGAGCTATAGCTTTCCCATCGATAACCAACGGTGTGATTTCTTCTAGGAAACGTAAGTATAACTGCAATTTTAAGCATTCAGGCCACAAGCTGATTGTAGTAATTAGTATGCTACATCATCCGAGTCGACAGGGGCTGGGACTGGGCATGTACACTTGCAATAACCTATGATGCGGATTCCAGAACCGCAAATGCCATTTGTATCGGTCTTCGCCCATACCAAGTGGTGCTTTTGGAGAGATATATCCACAAGAGAAAAGGATGCACCGATAACCCACTCTTTTTAGGTATTGCACTTGCAGATATGACCAAATCCGTCTTGATAGACATGAATCGAAAACATCTAGAAATGTTCTTGAGAATACAAAGCGCCATGAAGACTGACTACTTCGTATCGAAGATGGAGATCGACAGCCATTGGATCTCGTCGAGTTCGCGAGCAAATTGACGGCTTTGTCTACTTCGATTGTTGGAGTCGCTCAGCTTTGGGCGTCACAAAGTCGAGTTGTGAGTTTTCTGATAAAAGAACTAGAAAATTTGAGCAGTAAAGGGATTACTTTCCCCAGAAAGCATGGGATAGACATCCTCTTCCAGCGTTTGAGTTATATTGATCAGGTACTGGAGGCTGAGCGTCAGCATAACAACTATAACAAAGATGTAGCACAGGCGCAAGTTCAAATGGTATGAAAACAGCCTACTCGAGATGCGAGTCCATGTACTAAGTTGCTCTGATAGGTCTACTCACTTACTGCTCAGCGTGATAACGAGTTGAACCTTCGGATCGCAAGGCTATCAAAATACCAGAACGATGTCAGCCTGAAGCTCTCGCAGTTTGCGGTATATGAGGGTCGATTGAACACTAGAATGGCCAAACAATCCCTCCAGTATGGTACAGATATGCAGGTCATTGCCGGTGTCACACTCGTCTTTCTCCCTGGCACCTTCGTCGTTACCCTCTTCAGCGCCAGTTTCTGGGACTTTCAACCAGGAAATACTGGAAGAATAGTGTCGGGATGGGTGTGGTTGTACTTCCTCACGACGATATTGCTAACTTCAGTTGTTTTGTTTGGATGGCAAATATCGTCCAGGTTGAGGAAGAATAAGCTGGAGCTGCCGCCAGAATGGGATTTGCCGATTATTGACGAAAACAATGAAATAGTCGAGAAGAAAGAGGCGTAAAGCTTTGGAATCCTTTGCTTTTTTGCTATGTTTTCTTAGAACCGGAACTAGGAATGATCGTGGGATCCTGTGTATACCACATAAGAGCAAGCGTGAGACTTGGAAGTCGACAGGGCAGGACGATTGAGTAAGCAATAGACAAAAGTAGAGTAGGCTAGACTTACCAATCGGATCTTTTCTAGGCTTGTGATTATACTGTCCCTTGAAGTGATCCGAATCATTTTGAGCACTGATGATGTGCTACTGAAAGAGATGTTTCTCTTCGAGAACTAGAAGAGGGACTAGCCGTCGGCCCGGGAGCGGGAGGCAAACGCCCGAGAATTGATAACAACGACAACCGACTCAGCTCGCAAGCAACCCATATTATTTCAGCCATCAGATTCCTCTCTGACGAAGTAAGATCAAGATGATTTGCTGCTCTGCCGATCGGCATGCAAACTGCCGCATTGTTTTTAGTATAAACAAATCAGGCGAGAAGGTGTTGACCTGGGAGTCCAATCGAAACAACGCCTTCGGGTCCCCACAAACGAACAGACAATGTTTGGCATCAGATCGGCGGAGCCAAGTCTGAGGCTCTTGGTGGATCAGAAATGCTGAAAATGTCTCTCTTTTGCGCATACTTTTCTATGGTCGCAAGACTTTTGAAGATAGTCTCTCGTTCTTTTTACCCGTGCATTGTTCGCTCGGAGCTTTCTTTCAGGGGTAATCTCGCTTCGCTGGAAGCTTAATGAAACCCGGTAAGTTTCTTAAATCGACTGCTCGGCATCTCTCAAGCCACCACCTGCTCAAAGAGCCAGTATGGTTGTGTGTGAGAGGCCAATTCTCAGACTTCCATGAGACAAATCGTCTTGGTAGAGAATTGGCGGTCCGGTAAACATTCGCCTTCTTTGACTTGCTGAGTCGTCTGCCATTGATCTACGCCATGCATTTCGAGAATTACGGGGTAGTCTTCTGTATCACGAAACGCCTGCTTGGATACGCGTTCACGCAAGTATGGCGCGATGGGGCTGCTTTTCTATCTTCCCTTTCTCGCTATGCTTTGCTTCCATTCCACAGATCCATGAAGCGTCATTGTTTTGCGCGGGCGATTTTATATCCTGTACAAGCGCCGACGTCCTTACGCACGGTGTAGCTCGCCCCGCACCTGTTTCCATTCCCTTTTCATACCATCTGGACGCTCTTTCTGTATGTTCTGCTGTTTTTCGATTCTGCTTCTGTAAGTGCCGGTCACGCTCTTTTCGATTCACACGCTCTTTCAAATTATACGGCTGGACTGTTGGAATTTTAAAGCTTTTTGGTTTCGAAGATTTGTTTGTTCGACGGGCTTGGCTCCCAGTATTGAAGTTTGAAGTTATAACATATCAGGATGAGGGACTTATTAAGGATATCAGCGTTGGCTGTAGCTGGTCTGGCTGGCTTGACGCAGGTATGGTGACCTTGGACAACAAATTTTGTAGATGTTAACCCTCGCTAGGCCGACTTAAATGTGCGAGGAGGACTAGAAGACCTTCTGGGGGCGTTAGGCGCCTTGGACGGAGGAGCAAAGGCTGGATCTGGAGCAACAAGTATATCTCTTGTCGCCGCCGGAGCAGTGACAAAGACAATCACCGCCGCGGAAAATAGTAATAAAGCACAAAACAGTACATGTCCTGCGGCGGAAGAGAAGACTGTGACAGTTACCCAGCAAGTAGCGGCGGCGGCAGCAGCAGCGTCTGGAGACCCGTAGGATACCTCTATTTCATGCTCATATAAAGCATATGCTGATTACCTTAGTGCTGTACAACTGTCATTTCTCACCACGACAATATTCGGTACAGGTGCACCACCGACGGTTACAGTCACTCCTCTTCCACTGACGGTCACACAAATGGTTACTGTTACGGTCAATAACGCTGCTGCAGCAGGTGTAAACCCACCAGCAGGAATGGTAGCTGGATCAGGAAGCGCTCCCGTCGTGGCTCTCACCACTGCTATGCAAGGACCACCATCAGCGCCAGCAGCCCAACCGGGAGCAGCCCAGCCTGCACCCAATCCAGCTCCCCAACCAGCACCAGCGGCCGGGGCTCCAGGTGTAAATCCTCCTCCAGGAGCAGTACCAAGTGGAAATCCAGCTGCCGCCGCCGCTCCTATAAACTCGGCGACACTTACTACAGCGAATATTGTTAGTAAAGGGCAACCGGCCGCGGCCACTCCAGCTGGTAAGAGCACTTTCTCATGTTCTATAGAGTTCTATAAAGATTCCTTAGATGTCTCATATCGCATACTGAATTCTTAACTGACATCACTCAATAGCGGTCCAATCACAAGCCGTGGGAGCTCCAGGAGCCATCGCCTCTGGGACCGGAGTAACGCAAGCAAACGGCCAATGTGACTGTCAATGTCTCTGCGGCGCAGGTTCCTTTTCCAATGTCATGGCAGGCGCAGGATCCATCCCTAATATGGCTGCTATGAACCCGCCAGCAGCATCGTCTATGCAAATCCCAGGAGCCTCAACTTTCACCACAGCCAGAATCGTCTCACAAGGTCCGCCTGCAGCAGGAGTTCAAAGCGCCGCTCCAGCTGCTACGCCCGCTATATCCAGTGCTCAAGCAGCTGCGAGTCCTGTGAGCGCCGCCGGGCCATCGAAAGCGCTGACGACCGATCCCCTCATTTCTACTGGCGTTCCAGCAGCAGGAGCTCCAGCTCAAAGTGCTGCCCCTCCTGCTGTGCCCGCTATATCGAGCGCTATTCCTGCAGGAGCACCTCCAGCTACTTTGGTAGCATCTAGTCCGACACCCAGCAGTTTAGCACCATCTAGTGCTATTGCAGCTTCAGCAGTAGCCGAATCATCTTCAAAGAGTCTCCCCACGATTCCAATTCCACAAGCTCTATCAGCAGTAGCGCCATCTTCCACCATTTCGCTGTCTGTATCTTCGACTCCAGGACCAGTAACTGTTCCCGAAGCTACGCCAGCAGCAGCAGCAGCACCCGCACAGCCCAATCCGATTAATATCAGTACGTTCAAACTGGAGAGTAGTCTGCAGTTGGGAAGTCTGGCGGCAGCCACTATTGCTGTTCAATAAAAGGTTCAAGCGTGAAGCAGGTCGAGGAGGAGTGATTACTTAATGGATGATTTGATGAAATGGGTTGTGTATATTGAAGTTTCTTTAGATTATACCAAGTATGCGTCAGCAAATAGGTTTCTTTTATTTCGTACAGGGTTGAAGTCACAGGTGACCGGAGGCTCTGGGAAGTTGTATCGGATGGGGTTTGCATTGGAACTCGGGGCGCTGAAATATTGTAGATATCGTTCACTTCTGAAACAAAAACTTAAACTGAGAAATTATGTTGGTTTAATCATGCGCTTTTGATTTTGGAGTGCTGTCTGATGCGGCATCCGGGGTATCTCTAGGTGTTGGTGTAGCAGATGATTCTTTTGACGCTTTTAAAGCTTCGAGACGTCGTTTCTTTGCCTGCGTCTTGCTCAGAGGCGGTGTACTTTCCGGTGTGCCATTTTCGACTTTACGTTTGCCTTTTCCTTTCTTACCTTCCCCATTTCCATTTGCATTTTCCTTCGCCTTGCTTGCGGAAGCAGGTCTCTCTCCACCATAAACAACATCAACAACCCCTCTGAAGCCTCTCCTCTTGATACCTTCATTAACAACCACGCTTCTGGGATTCCCACTCATTGATTCCACGCCTCTTTCACTCCCCAAGCCCCAAATACTTAATAAGTTTACCACGTCAGCCGGTGCCCTAACCCCAAGAACGTCTTGCGCTTCGCTGCTAATAATCAACCCTCTCCCTCGTGTACCCCTTATGATCGCCATCGCATTACTTATGAAATTCCTCCTAGCTGCAGAATCTCCTGAAGTCGCTTGTGCATAATTCAGCTCTATCCTGACCCCCCTCGTAACCGCAGTCATCAATGGCTTCGGCTTGAAATGCCAGCTGAATTTCTGTGTAAGATCTAAACTTAGAATGCTTATCTCAGGCATCGTATTACAAGCACTCAAGTATGCTTTCTCAGTTGTAGGTCGTAGGGCTAGGATATCGAATGCCTGAGCAAGAGCTGTGAGCCGTGGATTCTGCGCTGGGTCGGAAAGGATGAGCGTGCATCTTCGTAGTATGGTGGTGTTTGGAGGTGTTGGAATACTGAGAGGGATTGGATTGGTAATTTGGGAGGGGAGAGAGGAAGCGTTCAAGAAGTGTGAAAGCGCGATAGTCTCATAGCCTAATGAGTTGAGGAAGTTGATTGTGCGGGAGAGGGTAGCTGGCGGGGTTGATGATGTCCATGGGACATTGAGGTCGTATATCATTCTGGGTTGATTGCGGATGGCAGATGCGGCTACTGCTCGATGTGATTTTTTGTTATATTTGGGGGACGTCCCGCGTCCTCGATCGCGTCGCCTAGTTCGACAAAAGGTGACTCAAAGTTGAAGTGACAGGAGATGATTGTCGCATGTCAGAGCAACCGCATCAAATTCTCGAAAGTCTGGGGTAAAGCGGGTCCACCTCGCTGGGCCGCACCGCCACAGAATGAGGCTGCGAGCAAGCTTCCATCGCGAATGTCAACACCGAGGTGATATATTATCCAGCGAGCAACCACTCACTTCAGCCGCAACCCAGCATCGGTGCTTTACATATCTGGCACGTATCCTGCAGCTCATAACAAGCGCGACCCATCATTCCAGGCCAACAACATATGGGAAACCCCTGGACTTGAACTCCTCGAACGCCGAAATATAATCGCACACAAAATGGCTACCGGCATGGCTCAGAGAGAGTTGGAGAGTCAACTCAAGGCTCTGTTGAAGGTTGTGGGAGATAAGGACTCGGCACCGGCAGCTATCACAATTCTAGAAACGTTGAAGAGAGATGTCAAGCCTACGGAGGAGCTTCTTAGAGTATGTCCTGTGTTTGTCAAACACATTCCAGAAGCACGCATGTTGTCTTCTGAGCATGCTAGAGCATGAATAAGACTAACCCTTATCCAGGCAACAAAAGCTGGTATGATTGTTGCGAAACAGAAAGGCAACCAGAACAAAGACATCGCTAGACTTGCTGCCGAAGTTATTGGAAAGTGGAAAAGGGCAGTTCAGATCCAGCAAGCCGAAGCAAAGAAACAGAAAATGTCAGGATCATCGCCACCAAAAGCCGAGGCCACCTCTTCGCCAGCACCAGCATCCAAAGGAGATAAATACACCGGCGATGTATCCAAACGACGTTGGGAAACGGATAAGGTCGACACGAAACGAACCGGAGTACCCACACGCGATGCCTGCATTGGTTTAATATACAACGGACTGGCTTTCATGTCGGATGCGAGTCCCACCCAGGTTATCGCAAAGGCAATGGAAGTCGAAAAAGCTGCATACGAGTCTCACAAGGGCGACAACTCAGACTACCGAGCGAAACTTCGATCGCTATTCCAGAATCTTAAGAACAAGGACAACAGGGAACTTGGTATTCAAGTGTTATCTGGGGACATCCTTCCTTCTAAATTTGTTGTAATGACACACGACGAATTGAAGTCTGCCAAGCGAATCGAGGAAGATAAGAAGCTAAATTACGAGAACATGAAAATGGCACAGGTTCCGATGGCAGAAAAGAGTATCAGTGATGCCTTGAGATGTGGTAGATGTGGACAAAAGAAAGTCTCGTACAGTCAAGCACAAACTAGAAGTGCTGATGAACCGATGACTACCTTCTGTGAGTGCACAGTCTGTGGTAATCGCTGGAAGGTAAGTAATCTACTGTCGTTTTCGGATACATTACTAATAAGAAAAGTTCTCTTGAATCTTCGTTCAATGCTGCCTATTTATTTTCTTGCTCACCTTTGAGGATGGTTTTGGAGTTCAGGGGGTTGCACAGGAGAGTGCAAAGGATAGATTCGATTTGACAGGGCAATCATCCAATGCGTTGAGTGGCTTGATAGAAACGTACAAGAGAGCGTGTCACTCTCTTCTTTCAAGGTGTCAGTGGCGTACTCTACTAATACGATGAGAACAACTCTTGAGAGTATTACTTTAGTCCGTAGCGGTCAGCATTATTTAGCACCATATGTCGGTCTTGATAGATTCGTTATTACGAACGGAAGTCAGCGATTATTTTCTTATATTCATCTTATTACTTTAGTGAAAGCAATTCTATCAAATCATCTTGGTCATGTCCTTCTTCAAGTCCAGCTTCACCAACCTTCTTCCAGAACTTGCTGAGATGTCGGGTACCACTATCACACAATATCGTAACAACCCGGCTCCCCTTGGGCATCTGTAAGGCGGTAGCAACCGCTGCTACACAATTGACGGCACTACTACTTCCAACGAAGATACCATCTTTCTCAACTAACCATCTCGCCATTTTAAATGCTTGAATGTCGGTGACTTTGACAGCATCATCAATTAACTCTCTTCCAGCTTCGAAATTTTCGGTAAGTCGGTTCAGCCCAATACCCTCTACGATGGTATCGACTTGCTGTCGTCGACGAGTGCCTTCTCTCTCGGTATTGGAAAACATCACCCCATTCTTGACTTTGTTATACAAACCGCTTCCCTCTGGGTCTGCGAGAACTACTTTGAGCTCATTGCTCATGCCCATGTTTTGCTTCAAATACAGTGCAACACCTGAGATTGTTCCACCAGTTCCAGCACCGGCAACAAAAGCGTCTACCTAAACATGTGTTAGCAAGCGAAGTCGTGAGGCGATGAGTTTGATCATACATGTCCTCCGGTCTGTTGCCAAATCTCAGGTCCCGTAGTCTGAAGATGAGCTTTGTAATTCGCTCCAGATTCGAACTGATCAGCAAAGAATCCCTTACTAGAAGTCCCACTTGAATTCGTATGCTCCTTTGCTCTCGTCCTAGCAAGATTGACAAAATGTTCAGTCGAAGTAATTGGCGCCGGAGTAACTCGCTCAACAGTAGCGCCCAGATGCGTCAACAAATCGCTCTTCTCAGTACTCTGATCATTGGGCATACAAATATAAGCTTTATACCCCTTTGCCCTCGCCAAAGTAGCCAGCGAAATCCCCGTTGATCCAACCGTACCCTCATAAATAGTATCTCCCTGTCCAGGAGTCAAAAGTCCTTCCTCCTCAGCCATCTTGATCATATTCAACGCCACCCTATCCTTTGGACTATTCCCAGCCCCATTCAGAAACTCAGCCTTGGCAAGAATCAAACACCCCGTAGCTTCTGATAAACTCCTGATTTTGAAAAGTGGAGTGTTGCCGATACATCCTTCTATACCTTCTGGTATTGGTGGCGCTGGCAAGCTGCTTCTTGAGTTTCTTGCACTTTTGGAGTGGTCTTCTAGACTCAGAGGCGCGGCTGCAAGATATGTGCTCCCTGGTCGTGAGTCTGCGGGATTGTAGGGTTGACCTCGTCGGCGCTGATATCTGCGTTCTAGATCTGGGTAAAAGTCTTTGAAGCCCAAGGTCGCAAGTATACCAGCCACAAATGCGATTGCTACGGCTGCACTGCCGTAGGCTTTTGGGTGGTTTGTCATAGACATCTTTCTACTGTTCGATCATCTCAGCTTAGATCTTAAACCTGCTCTCATAATTTCTCATGCTTCTGAAACGGATGTCAAAATAAAGTCATGACATATGAAGCTTCACACCCCTGCCAATCTGTAGAAGCTTGGGCCATCACGACTTCAACCACATCGAAACTCTGCATTTGGCAACAGAGAGGGCAGCACCATGGACTCCCCTCTGATCTCGAGGTTGTTTAAACAGCTATTTACACATCGCGCTTGTCAAGCTGGACGGCCAAAACTGCGCCCAACACCTCGGATATCTTGCGCTCGACGCACGCAGGTTAGAAGCTATTCGAATAGGAATACACAAGATGATGATGCCCCAAGGAATGAGAGTCATTGGCAGCAGAGGACAGATGTCTTCCCTCAGGACATGTCGAAGGAGTATGAGAAATACCCAATGGTCACGGCGAACCAGTTACGGAACCGAAGGGAACGACCGAGGAGGGTGAAGATGTTGACACGAGACTTCATTGAAGGTCCGGCCCTCTATGCAGTTTACTACCTACCCCAATTGACCTCTGTTAGACTCCTTATACAATCCCTCATATGGGTACTTTTCGAAACAAGTAGTAATTTTCACACCCGGAGACCCATTCAATTTCAACGAGCTCCAAGACGAGCCCGAATTCCACAGATTGCTAGGGCAGAGATACACAGAGTTCGAAGATAAATTAGACCTCAAATCACCAAACGAGACGCGGCAACTCTGGCATACGCCCACAGAATTGTTTCGACCATACTACGGCGAATCAATAGCAAGATATCTAGTCGCCAACTACAAATTATCACAATACCCCTACCACGACCTCATAATCTACGAGATGGGCGCCGGAAACGGAACTCTCATGCTCAATATCCTCGACTACATCCGCGACACCGAACCGGACGTCTACGACCGCACGAAATTCAAAATCATAGAGATCTCCTCGAACCTCGCAAAACTGCAAGCCCAGCAAATCTTACGAAACTCCAACTCGAAAGGTCATTTCTCCAAGATAGAAATCATACATAAATCCGTGTTTGACTGGGACAGAGCCGTGCCGGAGCCGTGTTTCTTTCTCGCCATGGAAGTCTTTGATAATTTCGCGCACGACGCAATTCGCTATGATCCTATCACTGAAACCCCATTGCAAGGTCAAGTCCTCATAGACAACAACGGGGAATTCTACGAGTTCTACTCTCCCACGCTCGACCCCGTAGCGTCCCGATTTCTACGCGTACGTAACGCAGCGACAGACGGACGATACCCGCATCCGTTGAACCAAAATAAACTTATCCGAGGAATAAAACGCCGCTTGCCATTTTCTCCGAATCTGAGCGAGCCGGAATATATTCCTACGCGGTTAATGCAGTTCTTCGATGTATTAGCGAAGAATTTCCCGAATCATCGGCTTGTTACGAGTGATTTCCACAGTCTCCCCGATACCATAAAAGGCATAAACGCACCCGTCGTACAAACACGATATCAGCGTCGAACCGTGCCCGTGACTACACCTCTCGTAAGCCCCCAATTTCCCCCTCCCCCTTCCTCCTTCCGCTTCTCTCCCCTTCCACACCCGACTAATAACCCACCAGGTCCACCAAGGCTACTTCGACATCCTCTTCCCCACCGACTTCCGGGTCATGGAAAGCATGTACCGCTTCCTAACCGGAAAACTCACACGCGTGATGTCGCACGAGGAGTTCTTGCAGCGATGGGCGTACGTCGAGGAGACGGAGACGAAGAATGGGGAGAACCCGCTGTTGGGGTGGTATAAGAATGCTAGTGTTATGGTGGGTGTGTGAGGTGGATGTGATAATGGAGGGCTACTTGGACTTATGTCTCGTGGACGGTAAATATGCCGGTACTAAAACGCCGCATCGAGTTGCGTATATGGTTTAGCGACTTGGATGGATTAGTCCTAGGTTATGAGGACAGCCAGAAGTAACTGTAAAGAACATTCACTCTCATCTATCTCGTGATTAGTCAGTGACTTACTCGAACATTAACCAAACGACCATACAATGCTCTGACTACTTAGCCCCCTTTTCTGTTCCTATCTCGATTTTCTAGTTTTGGACACACAGAACTCAACTCTCATAAGTGATCTCCCATTACTTCAAGTCTCGCACCCAGGGGTTTTTCAAATCAGGTTATCAAATATATATCATGCTTATTTATTCTCTCTTTAAACCCCCATCCCCGACAAAAAAAGATACGCCCAAGAGGAAAGTATAAAAACGGGACTTATTATGTACGCCCCTCAAAAAACTCCCAATACGGAATGCTCTATGCATATCTTTGTACATATTAAAATTTGCCTGCCCCTTCCCTATCCCCATTAAACCAAGCTCTTCCCTTGCCACTACCTCGCAGCACGGCTCACAGCTGCCGGAGACATGATTAGGCCCGCGCGTTCTTGCATGCTAGATACGGCGCTTGAGACAGGTGTTTGGGCGCCTGAGGGAGCTGGTGTGTTGGTTCGGGTGGGTGGCGCACTTCGATTGTGGGCCATATGACTACGGACAAGATGGCCAGCGGCGAGGGCTGAACAGAGGGAGAGTTCGCCGGCGAGGACACCGGCTGCGACGATACGGGCGAGTTTGCGGGCATTGTCACCTGGGTTTGTGGGATGAGAACCCCGGACGCCGAGGAGGTCAAGCATCGCGCTTTGGGGTTCGAGGATGGTACCACCACCCAAGGTACCGACCTCGATAGATGGCATGGAGACGCTGATTTGGAGGTTGCCGCGGAGACTGAAAGTGGTGTTAGCAAATGTAATTAAAAGGATCTGAGGAAATCTTACTTCTTCATTAGAGTGATACAATTACTGCTCTCAACGTTCTGCGCAGGATCCTGACCAGTGGCCAAGAAAATGGCAGTAACGATGTTAGCAGCATGGGCGTTGAAACCTCCAATACTTCCAGCCATAGCACTACCGACAAGATTCTTGGCAATGTTGAGCTCAACCAACGTGTCGACATCTGTCTTGAGAACCTTTTTAACAACGTCTCCAGGGATAATGGCTTCGGCAACGACACTCTTTCCACGACCATCTATCCAGTTGACAGCAGCTGGTTTTTTATCGGTACAGAAGTTACCAGAGACAGAAATAATATCCATATCTTCGAACCCACTTTCGGCCATAACACTAAGAGCGTGTTCGACACCCTTTGAGATCATGTTCATTCCCATGGCATCTCCAGTAGTCGTCTTGAACCGAGGGTAGAGATTGGTTCCAGCCATGGCGGTCTTGATAGATTGCAATCGAGCAAATCTACTAGTAGAGTTGAAAGCGTTGGCCATTGTAGTCTGTCCGAGTTCTGAATCCAGCCAATTCTTGGCAGCACCAGCTCTCGCAAGTGTCTCGAAACTAACGCAAGGTCCACGGGTCATGCCATCTCCAGTGACAACGGTAACTGCACCACCACCAGCATTAATAGCCTTAGCACCACGGCTGGTACTGGCGACAAGAACACCCTCAGTTGTAGCCATAGGCAAGAAGAAGCTTTGCCCATCAATAACGATTGGACCAGCAACGCCAACTGGAAGCGGCATATATCCAATAACATTTTCACAGCAAGCTCCAAGAACGCGGTCATAGTCGTAATGCTCATATGGCAACTTGGATCGTTCCAGCAAGCTGGTTGTTTCAGCTGTAGCAGCTGTCCGGGAGATTATGGATCTTCTAATTTTGACAGCTCGAGTAGTATCTTTCAGGGTCTTCTCTAAAGCATAGCCAGGTATCTTTCCTTGCATGGACAGCTCCACAATTTCTCTGTCGTTGAGCTCATGGGTACGCTTTTCCATAATAAACTTTTCCATTTGCGATTGTGTTCGGCGAAGTTGAGTTTCAGATGGCTTCTTGAACATGACCAAGTCATCCTCATCGTCAGTGGTTGCGGGTGTAGGAGGCTGAGTTTGCAGCTCATCTCTAGCTTGTGGGTCGATGGCTGGAAGCTTGAGAGTTGGTACCGACGCTGAATTGTTAAATCTCTCTGCGCGATCAAGCTCTCCTGCATCAACCGCATGATGAGGTGGCATCTGAAGAGGCTCTTTGATGCTCCATCTCGCTGCGTTGAAAAGGTAGCCGTTCAAGATTACACTCAAAGCAAGAGCGACAACAATCCATTTTGACAGAACAGGATCTTCCAAGCTTTTGAGGATGCTGTTGACGACACGCCCACCCATTCCGTACTCGTTGAATTCATCTCCGTCCTGTTGGTAAGATGAGCGACCTTTGGAGGGCGTAGCGTAATGCACTGATGGATACTCGAGCTCGTATTTGATCGGACTTAGAATCGTGACTACTGTGGATCTGTCGAATGACTTGGCAGACTCGAAAATGGAATCCAGCCCATTCGAAGCGACCTTGAATGGGTCCATAGGAGGGGAAGAAACCACACCTGGGATACTGCTTCCCGCAAGTCCCGTAACAGTTGGTAATGCGGCGTTGTTGTTACCACCCCGGAAGGGGAGGGTACAGATGTTGAGCAGATTGATGATGAGGAATCCACCAACCATCAAAACCTTAAATTTTGGGATGCTGCTATCCCGAACTTTTCGTCCAAAGATCGTGGTCTCACGAGCACCCGAAGTATCATCTGCTTTCGGCCAGTCATCACTCTGAGCGACATTTTCAGCAACTTTTCGGTTAATTCCATCATCTTCTAATGCCTGACGGAGAGCAACATGTCTCTTGATACGGTTGATTTCGAGTTTGATACTCAAAATTGCGGTGTAAAAAGTGAAAAGTAACAGACAGTCGAAGAAGAGGATCCAAGCAGCTAAGAAGCAGAACTGTTGAAGTCCACCCTGAACGGGCGAAGCCGCACCGGCAACCAGGATACAAATCTCAATAGCATAGTCTCTGATGATCTCATAACCCTTCTCACCAATTGCAACCTGAACGGCATATCCAATGGAGGTTGGCGACATACCGTACTTTTTCTCGATTCTCTTGGACTTGTCGGCTTGTGGTCTGCGTGTATCCAGGGAAGCGGATAAGACTGCCTTGGTAAGGACAATGGCTTTTTCAAATCCAATTGTGACGACCAAGAATGGAAGACCCTCGGAGAGAAGGATCATGTTCATCTGAACTCCCATCTTACTGGTGACGATCAGACCGAAAAGGAAGGCAAACACGGATGAAAATAGCGTAGTAGCAAACAACCAGAAATTGGATCCCATACGGCGCATCGAGACGAAGAGCGAGACGAATGTGAGGTGCATGGAAATGTAACCGAGAACCATGATAATGATATCCAGAGTCTCAGCATTTTTGAGCAGATCCACGAATGCGGTCCAGGCATTTTTGACCCAAACCCTGATTCCAAATCGAGTTGCTGGGACCCTCGCGGCCTTCATTATCCATTTCTTATGCTCTTTCGTAGCACCCGCTTCATAACGCTCCTCGCTCTTGGGCACAGGTCCTGCATTTGGGAGTTCTTGTGCCTGAACAAGGAACTCTGGCGCATTTGCGTATGGTACTGAAAAGGCCAAAGCGCTATCCTGTGATATAGGAGAAAGGAAATTCGAAGTCGATGGCAGTGCGGTAACCGAAAGGTTTTGTGGTAACGGGATGGCGTCTGAAAGAGGGGCGGTCTGGGGAGAGCTTGCGGCGAAAGAATCGGGGAATACGAATGTCAAAAGAGCCAAGTGGTCGACGCCTTGTCCCACCGGGGTATCTACATCGCTAGGTTGCCATTTCCATCCCGTCTCACTCCCAACTCTCAATTGGCGACTGCCTTCTTGCAGAGACAACCAATCCGCTCGACCGGCTACAGTGGACTTTGCACCATCAAAAAGACTGCTTTGTAAAAGTCCCATATATGTCGTACTGGCGAAAAAGGCGACAATAACTATGGTGTGTATTGGGTGGAGGCAAGCTCGATATGAAAGTGCTTGTAGTAGAGGAGTGACCTTTTTATTCAGCCATATTGGACCAGCGGCAGTCTCTGTGGTGCCGCTGGAGGCTTTCGATCGCAGGAAGTAGGAGCCCAGCATGTTGAAAATCTGTGAGAGGTCGTGCGGTTTTCTATAGAGCCATCGAGGGGCGGACGGCGGAGGGGTCTGCTTTCGATCAACCTGTAAAAACGCCATTTGTTAGCCTTGATTGGAATTGTATAGCAAAAATAGTAGCAAAACGTATCACTCCAACTGCCAGGTGCCATTGCTATGAGGGCGAGCGTGAAGGGCGTGGAGTCTCGAGTAACACCCCCAACATAGAACTCGCCCACCACGCCCTCTCACTCGAGATCTCGATCAAATCCGTCAATGGCAGGCACCTGATAGCGGGCAACGATAGACTCAAAGCCGCAGCCCTATCGTACAGCACACAGAATTTCCCGAGCGCGGCGCCATTTAACGTGCGGAATTCGACGTACCTCCTTATCCAAGCGGCGATTCCAGTGGGTTGGCGGTGTCGACGGTGACCGACCAAAGAACGTTCCTTGCACTTCTTCTTCCTATAAAACGCGCGACTCAATTGCTGTTGAAGCGCGAGCACACACTGCAGTTCAAGAAAACGAAATGGCGAGCACGTTGATTAAAGGAGAGGATGTACGAATCTCGTTGACTCGACCCAAATAGTAGGGGTTGGTGGATTCCTTTCTACTCAAACTTGCGGCCAGGATTATTGAGAAACTTACTTCGCTTAGCTGGGATGGGGGCGTGCTTCTCTTGGCAGGCCATGTCGTGCCACCGTCAAAGGGGGATCCAGGCCGCTGGGCCGTTGAAAGAAAGACTAGAACACAGGAATTTCTTCGACGTTGCGCCTAGTATTGTTCTACGAATGTACAGATTTGATTTCCTACAAATCATGTTTCGTTAATACTAGTCATCTGCTCTGGTTTGCACTCTCAAATATCGATACTTTATCATCAACAGACGGTGAAGGATCCTCCCGAGGCACCTAATCTTTGCCATCCCACTGGCAGTACATCGGGAGATGGACGGTTCCTGCTTATCGCCACGGCACTAATCAATTTCTTCCCTTTTACGGAGTACTACGTATGCTGCATCCAACTCTTTGTATTTGGCGCCCAACTAACCTATCAGCGAAGTATATGTACGGGAGTTAACATAGTGTACAGTAGTGAAATCTAGAACAACTTTTAAAACCTCATCATCGCTCGAAATACTCGCGTCGCTCAAATACTCGTTGTCGAAACGAAGAAAATACTCGTTGTTCGCTTAAATCTCGAATACTTGACGTCTCTTCAATACTCTTTATTAGTATAGATACTTCGTGGGTATAGTACCTACCTGTCGCAACAATAAGTATTCGAGCCTGAGAGCGACACCGAGTATTTGAGCGAACGACAAGTATTCTAGATGCCCGTACGACTAAGTGCATTGAGTTTTATTAGATGCCTATAGTAGAAGGGTTTATTGTGTCTGCGCCAACCGCCGTGACGTTGCTCAGTGCGACTCTAGGTGCAGGTGATGAGAACGACATATGTTCTTCGACGATTCAATACATTTGTGCTGACAAGAGGCGGAGCACCACCGATTCGAGCACATGTGCGCTGTTACGCGTACGATATGAAGATTTGAGGTTGTGACCTTCCTATAACTTGCTGCCTCGCTGTGGGGCTACCTAGGGACTTGCCTCAATTGTCGAGTCGAGTGATAATAAGTTTCCAAAGTTTTGCAGATACGAAGATTGCACTCAAACTGTAAGACTCATGCGAAACAAATGGAGATAGATCTGAATTTCATATACTTCAAGTTTCTCAACCTCATATATTTGATCATCGATGGTACATGCTTTCCCCATCTCCACCTCCATCTCAAGTCTTACACTTCCCCGCCAACCACCGGCAGCAACCGCAATCTGACTGTTTCTGTGACACAGGTAGAAACCTCTAATTGGCCAACACATACGAGCCACTCAATCAGCCTCTGCCATCCGTCTCATTCATATTCGTCACTTCGCATCCTGATTTCCATTGGCAAACAATTCCTTGCTACAGCAGTGAGATCTTACCACCCCTCCCATATCGACGACTTAAGAGCGATTCGCACCATCTGAACTCTGCAGTCGTATATGCATGTCATATTGAGCATCATGACGGCGTGGGGTATGGTAAGTTCCGCATCAAGGAAAGATGATGGTTTAACGTGGGAACTTTGGGGTTTCTGGATGGTATGGCTTGTAGTTGATAAGATAATCCTAGTCTCTATCTTTCTAGTACCCTATCAAATTGGATTAATTACGCTTTTGCTTTGATAGTTCCAAAAGAGTCGGGAGACTCTTATTTACTGAGAATATGAACGAAATGTATAATGGATATTTTGTCAGCTTGTTTTGACGGCCACTTACCTATGTCGTCCACCGCGAGTCGAGGTATTTTGAGATCTTGCAAGCGAAATATAACCTAGTTGTCATTGGTACGCTGATCAAAAAATGTTGAGCTGCAAGTTCTTTAGATATGAGATCCAGGGTATTACGATAAACATGCTGGCATATAAGTTCCATACTCCATACTCCAAAACAGAATCCGACTCCATTTAGCTGTTCCTACAATTATATCTCGCCCCATCATCCCAATGTCAAGACACCAGACACCCTCTCACCTCCATTCTCAAGCACTCAAACACTCAAACCCCTAACCCACCCAACCTCATCCCCCTCAATCCCAACAACTTTCACACCTTTCCCCCCCAGCTCCTCCTTAACACCCTCCCACCCCTTCTGATCCACACACCTAACCCCCTCCTCCACCACAAAAGTGACAAACCCCTCCTTAGCAGCATCTACCGCCGTAGCCTTAACACAATAATCCCCCGCCAGTCCCGTCACATACACATGACTTACCCCCTCTTTCTTCAACACCCCCGCAAGCCCACTATCACAAACCCTCGTCCTCAACGGATCATAAAACGCACTATACATCTCGACCTCGCTCTTCTGACCCTTCTTCACCACCCTCCCAACCCTCTCTACATCCAACCCCTCAGCGAATTCCGCACCAGGACTACCTTGCACGCAGTGAACGGGCCAAAGACGCGTGTCATACCGCTCAGAGGTATCCAGCGGATTAACGACTTCAATCGTATCTTCGAGGGGTTTTTTGTTGGCGTGGTTCGAGGCGAAAGAGATGTGGTCTGCGGGATGCCAGTCTTGCGTTGCGATTTTGAGGGGGAAGGGGAGGGTGAGGAGGGTGTTGATCGGGGGGATGATGTCGCGGCCGTTGGGGACGGCGAGGGTGCCGTTCTAGGGTTGTCAGACAGAATTGATATGTAGGGGGAAGAGGGGGATTACTGGAGGACAGAAGTCTTCTTGGACGTCTACTATTATGAGGGCCGGTTTGAAGTTTGGTGGTGGTTGTGGTTGAGACATGTTGCGCGGGGTTGTTGGAGGGGTTAGATTCGATGTAGATTTTAGGGTGCGATTAGATGGTATAAGATTTGCTGTAGAACGAGCATTACTGTGCTGATGGTTTTTGTGAAAGAGAAAATCTCGGTCTTTTGGAATGGGAAAAGGAAGATGATCTGTTGGTAAATGTTGTTGTTGGAGGACGAATGGTAGGTAAAGGCATGTAGTTGGAATCCATAGGGCTGTATTGCCCCACTTGCCATATCTAATGATCATACGAGGACATATCGACGTCAATGAAGCCAACTAAGCACTTTTATCAATCTCACATCTTCAATCATAAACATGAACAGAAACAACTCGACATACACAACTGAATAATTTTCTTTTAATATCTCTCCTATCATCCTCACATTTTCACCACTCATAACTCATTCCCCATTCCACATGATTCTACTCCTCTCCTAATCCATTTCCAACTCATACAGATCATTTCATACCCCATCTTATGCAAGAATAGTAAGACCACATTCCCCCAACCAAACCCCCTAAATTGTAGATAATCGACTAGAAGGTCCAAACAAATTAAAACTTCTGGTCTTCATAAACTTCATAACCCATATATGCACCACCCCCTAATTCGCTCAAATAAAAAAAGAAGAATCCAAAACTTTGCCACAAATGGTGATTAATACAAATAACGAGGTTGGAATCGAATCAAGCGATGGTGTCAATCGGTCTAACTCAAAAATATGTAGCCGACGAATCTGGGTATTGAATGTGAAATTGGAAACGCAAAACCCAAATCAGAAAATTTCACCAGTATAAGCAAACTTGTGGGAGGCCGCCCAGTCCAATTGGCCCAAAACTGGAAGCGAGTTTTCATACGTGAACCTCGGAGATCATAACTTTTGAGCCACCTTGTCTTCGTCTGATGACTCTTCGGTGGTGTCGCTATCAGGGCTGCTGGGCTGTTGAACTTCGATTGAAGGCTCAAGCTTCGCAGCAGGGAGAATGGCGATAGGCGTTGAATTCGAGCTATCCTGGCTTTTCCTCAACTTAGCATCTTGGCTACTAGTTCGGTCGCTGGAGCCCTCGTGTGAATTTGATATTGTTGGCGTATTAGCTTGACTCCCACCTCGCTGACCATGATAGTGGATAACCTGTGGAGGAGCTTGTCCTGCTTGAGTTCCAAGTAAATGTTGGGGATAAGGGTGTAGATCCCTTGAGGATGTTGAAAAGGTAGATACAATCGGCTGAGGATATCCGTTGTTGCCGTTGCTTGAACTTGGTGTATGGCCAAATGCTTGATTGTGTTCAGCCTGCGTCGGTGTGCCAGAATCCCCACCGACAGGACTAGTCATTTGATCGTTGGTTCCGGTCAAACTGTTTAAACCTCCCTGGATATCGCGTAAAAGCCGAACGTATTCCTCTGGGACCAAACCGCTTTCTTGAGTCTTTGGATCCATAGCCACAAGCCATCCCTGGCCATGCCGATATGATACCCAGATGACTTGACCTTCTACTAGCGGCAGCTCATTCTCGTTTTCTCTCTCGAAGTCAAACAAAGCGACCGCTTTACCATGCATTTCTTCATCTGGAGAAGCGATCGTAAACTGATAGTCTCGCGAATATCGCGATTCGTCATGCCGAGTCATGCCAGGCGAAGATGCCGAACTGGAGGCGTCCGATTCTGATCGATAATCGTGACCCGTCTCGTCCGTATAGGATCTGCTGGGGAGCACACCTGCAAAATGAGAATCTTTCTGACCGGCTCGAGCCTGGGGTCCCTGTGCCGTTTGTTGTGCTCGGTCTGGAGGGTATGTTATAATCTCTCCACCTGGCCCATTGGGCTCATCTCCTTGATTAACATAATATCGTTCACTTCCGTCACCACTCTTTTCTAGCAAATACCGTCTATCGTGGTCAAATTGCTCTCGGCTGAGGGTGCTAGCAATTCGTTCCCCCTCTTCTCTTCCGTGTCGACCTCTGCCCCGTCCTGACCCACCCCCAAACCCTCCGCCGGATGACTTGTGTTTTCTATGGCGAGAACTGACAACAACGGGACTTTGGAGATCCTCGTCCTCACTCCATGGAGGCCCATCGCCAAAATGTATTGGTGCCAGCTGATCGCCTTTATTCAGCCCCTCGCTAGTCCATGACCCTGGAGCCCAACCACTCTTCAATGGAAAGCTGCCAGGTATATCCCATGATACCTCAGGATCCGACAACCGCTTCTGCGACTCGCTTGCTGGTGTAGATAGTCCTGATGGAATTTGAGATTCGGGAGGAGGGCCGAAGTGCATAGGGTGCACTGATGGATATGCGAAATCTCGCACAAGGGTATAATCCAGACTGGAGTGAAAGACGGGAAATATGTGAGAGGGAGGCCGCGAACGTGAAGGGCCGGAATAAGCTGAGTATTGTGAGAGCCGGTTCTTGGATGCGAATGAAGAAGGACGTTGCAGCGTAGATCTTCGCGTACTCGGCGATGTTATTAGAGGAGGTAATGGCGGATGATTAGGGTTGGATGAGGGAGACGAGAGTGGGGATGGAGGAGAGGCCTGCGGTGAGGTTGTATCCAGTTTTGGGGACATGATTGCGGCCATGTTTATATCTTGGAGCCTGCCACCCACTCACCAGGGCGTCGTCCAGCTGCGCAAAGTATGCAAAACTCCCAACGCTGAGTGGAGCTTGGCCAGCAAGCCACGAGGGTTTGCAGATGAGAAACTCGAGTTGGCGCAAGCTAGAGTGCGGATAGAGGGTGTATAACAGGAGTTGAGTCGGTAGAGCGTAGAAATCCGGCACAGAGATAATGCAGTATGAATTCGAAAAGCTCGCGGAGATTGCTTATTCAAACAAGGAATGGATGCTCGACTCGGTGTGAATCGCAACGCGACAGACGCGCAAACGCTCGATGAGAGTCGCAATAGGATCGGGGATTCCCTGACTGGAAAGAAGGCAAGGTTGATAGTTTTCTGTCGAACACACAGGGCCAGGGCACTCTGAGATCTGATCTTTTGAAGTTGTTCGCACAAGGAGCGCCTAACCCCACTGCCTCCACCCAATCGAAGCGGACAAGGCCCTTTGCGACTCGAAGATTTGAACGGTGATCCTTTCCCGTGGGAGAGACAAGTTCCTCACGCACGGCGGGCTGAGAATGTAGCTTTTTCGGATCGCAGACTGGCAACGAGCTAGCAAAAGGTGTCTTCGGTGTCGCGGCAGAGGTACCGTCCCCGTCTCCTCTGGGGAAAAGATGTGGTGTGCGACTGTGTTGGTTGTAGAAGCGCCGAGACTAAAACGCCTCCAGCCTCTGCTTGCTGTCGACCAGGAGGACCCCGCGCCTATGCGCAGAGCGAGAATGCGATTGTTTCTCGGACTCACACGTGACGGTGAAAGTGGAAGGTTGCTCTCTTCGAAGGGTGGCAGATGGTATTTATTCTTCCGTCCAGAAAGTACGTATACCAGAATGAAAGAGGCACGGCCGCCCACGTTATGTTTGCAGTTGGATTGTTTCTGGATTTCCCCATGCCATCCCATCCCAAAGGAAAGCAAGCGCAATCGTCTAAATCTATAATTATCCTGTGTTATTTCCAGCGGTACGTTAGCTTGTTTCAAGATGGGGCGTCTGGCGAATCACAAGTATGTGCGCTTGCTCCATTGGTTCTGACCGGTACGGCGGGGGACAAACACCTGCGGAGCAAGCAATATATCGTGGATTCGTGCTGCATAGGTGAGGAGAAGAATGGGAACAAAGGGTTCGACGATGTGCCACATTTCATATAATGCAATGCGGTCGGTATAAATTCGGTTCTCGCATCAATGGTTGATTACTTCATTTGTTGGGAATAGACTTTTGGCAGAAAGCTTTTCTTTTTCCGGAGCAAGAGTTCTTCTTCGTCTCATAGTTATATGTTGGCTGATATTGGTGGCATTCGGGACACTTCAGCTACAGTAATACCTGAGGTAGTAAGAGCCAACCTGGAAGTCGCGTGCGTGTCTAGAAGATTGATAAGTGATCAAATAAGAGGAAATGCAGATTGGCGAAAGGGAATCATCTCAGCTATACGACTAGGCATATATAAAACCCGCTGAAGATTGTCGAAGCATTTCTCATATCTACTGGACATTATGAAGTGCTTACGAAATGGACCTTTCTAACAAATTGCCGCTCAAAGAAAAGCAACCACAAAGTAGGCGAGCAAAAAATCCACAGCAAATCAGCATAATAAGAGAAAGATGGGCAAGTTTCCAAAAGAAAGAAAAATTGCCAAACACCATTACAAACCAAGTATCTTCACTCACAAATCGTTTCCCAGCACCACATTTGCTGTCTACCCGGTATCCCGGTCTGGTTGATCTTAACCTTTGTTCGAACATGCTTTAAAAAAGATCTATTATTTGATACGTGACTCAAAACATCGGATATTCTTGGGATTCTCACCAGCACTTTCCTAGACAAAAATTGTCCAACATCTGTGTATCTGAACGCTGATCGCTACGCGACTTTTCTCAATGAGACCTTCCAATTGCCCAGGTGCTCAAAGTCGGCAACCGTAGTTTCCCTTAGCGCCAACCGCTTGCTTTCCCACAACGCCGCCGCAAAACCACATCTCGATTTTTAGCCGCATTCAAACACCTCCGTCCACAAACCATCACACTTCGACGCGCTTCTGACTTGATCATGGAAGGATCTTGCGCGCGGATATGACATGACAAGTGGTATGTATTCCTCCTGTGCAACCCTTCGCTTTATTACCATGATGAATTCTTTATATTGGAGCTGTCTTATTTTTAATGATGACAAAATCTTATTTACGCAACTTATTCCTGATCCCTTCTTTTATGATTCTCCGCCTACTACAACCTTCACCGAGTACCAAGCTGACCCGGTTAGTAGCCTAGGAGCTGGGATTTTGCAGAATATTGCTGCAAATCGCCAAACCATAGTTTGATTCTACCAACATCACGTCGTGGTTACCGAAACACGCTTCCAACATGGCTCAAACACAACCTCAGCCTGCGAACGGCTCTGGACAGAATGTAGAAGGGCCCGCAGATGGCGGATTTAAGCTCAAGTTCTGCACTGTGTGTGCTAGTAACAACAACAGGTACGTTTCGTTGACCCGGCCAGACCACATTATTGGTCTTTTAACATATCGACCGCCACAGATCTATGGAGTCACACCTTCGTCTTGCCGCTGCCAATTATCCTGTGATATCTTTTGGCACCGGCTCTCTTGTCCGCCTACCAGGTCCATCAATCACCCAGCCAAATGTTTATCAATTTAACAAAACATCATATGATAGCATGTATAAGGAGCTGGAATCAAAGGACGCCCGACTGTATCGTGCAAACGGTATATTAAACATGCTTGGGAGAAATCGAGATGTTAAATGGGGGCCTGAGAGATGGCAAGATTGGCGCGTGGGAATTCCCAGGCTAGAACACGCCAAAGACCAAGGTAGCGAAGGAGTTGAGGGTGGTGTTGTAGACGTCGTTATCACTTGTGAAGAGCGCTGTTGGGATGCTGTGATTGATGATCTACTCAATCGTGGATCGCCTTTGAATCGGCCAGTTCATGTCATCAACGTTGATATCAAGGATAACCACGAGGAGGCTCTTGTTGGCGGTAGAGGCATCTTAGATCTTGCTGACTCTTTGAACAAAGCTGCAGCGGAAGAGCGGAAACTGAACCCAGTCGGCTTTGACAGCGGTAGTGCTTCTAGTAGATCGAGTTTTGATGAACGCGTACCGGAGATTATCGGAGAGTGGCAGGAGAGATGGCCAAATCTTCCGGCAGTCTGGACACTGGCGTGGTTTTAGAGTACTGACCTTTGTGTTTGTTTTTCGATTGGCGTTGGAAGGATATACCCAACTTAAGGGCGTTATAGGATATGTCGCTATCACCAAACCGTCATTTAGAGGATCTCCTTGGTTCGCTATAGTGCAGTAAATTGTTTCTACGTCCGATTTACCTCTTTAGGAAATAATGAGACTGGATTGACAAGTATTTGAGAGGAGTAGCACGAATTGCTTCCCTACACGCATTGAAAAGGCATCAAACGCAGAGTCCTGTTCCAGTGTTGAATTCATCTCAGCTGCTATTTCATCTCAAGATGGCAATAGCAAAATCCTTGAAATTATTTTCGTCTAGCGGCAAAGCATGATTCTTCTGGAAGCTTTGGACAAGCTCAGACAAGCAACATGCCAACACCCTTCTTCAATCCATGTACAACGGGCAATGACATGGCCCACATCATTGTACACGGTGCGAAAACATGTCTCGGGTGTACCTTTGTCCTTGTGCGAATGCGAGTCCGCGATTCCACGGGATATGTATTTGTAGTCTATTTCGTAGCTCCTTTACTAGTGAAATTGATCTGGATTTCGAAATTATCTCCATGCTTGGATTTGCTACTCGGCCAATAAAGTACCCCTTTTGTTGTCCACTGTCCGGGGCCCTTGGGTTCTAGTTCGAGGTGCTAAATTTGACAATGTCGGATGCACCTTTCGGCCATCAAGTGCACAGAAGTCACAATTGTTCATATCTTTTGTAGAACCCAATACTTTGTACAACTCTAGGAATTCTCGTCCTCATAACTCTTTTCTCGCCATAACTATTCTTGTTTAGTGAGGCATCATTCGCAACTCCCAGACATCCTTGGGGTCTCGACCTTATCGAATGCCCGACCTACCGGAGGTAATTTCTTACGCGCCGCTTCGCGCCTTCAACCACAACCAAACTCAAAGGGGCTCCGGAAAAATCACCATTTTACACATTACTTCGTCTCGAAAATCCTCCCTTACCATCCATATAGCTCTCACGCTCTTTGTGTCCTTCCTCGACGGTGTCGCGTCTTGATCCCACGGTCCTTACCAGTCGAAGGTTCCTAGTCGCTTCAACCAAACAGCCCCTTCAAGACCTCATGCGGGCCAGCCAGCAACTCTCGCATTGACAGCCCCTTGTACCTTTCGACGTTTCAACCACTCGACTTTATTGCACGCTCACCAAATCCTTCCACGACTTCTCCAGAACGCTCAGTCTACACTTGAGTGTTAGCAAATGTGCTGCGACTTGGTTCCCGTTCAATAGGCCTCGGCAAGCACGCCAACCCGAATTAGACGACCGCTCCTCTTGACGACAGCCTCCGACCATGAATGGTCGCAATGGCCCATTGTCACCAGTTTCTGCAGTAGGCAGTGAATGGTCAGGCATCTCACAATACAAGAACCTCGACGAACCGCAGTACGGTCCGCTCTCGAATAATCGCGGACAACTCGCCTCACCGCCCATATCCAGTGGATCTAACGGTACGATGAATGGGGGAGGGTTTCCACCAAGAGGCTCTTCCGGGAGCCCTGGCGGACCTTCACCTCCAGCTTCTATCGCGCGATCGAGCGTGGGAACCGGGTTATATGCCACGAGCGAGAGTGGAAGGAGTGCGAAGGACGCCCAATTCGAAGCTTCACTTTCGGAGCATTATGTCGCTCTTAAGAGATATCTAGCGGCGTCATTGCGGGACGAGAAAGGGAATCCACGACCGAATAGAGCGCGGGACAAGCTGCTACGATTGTCGCCAGTACAATTTCAAGAACTTAGTACAGATGTTTTCGACGAACTTCTGCGTAGACAGCAGGGAGGACGAAGGAATCCAAATGGCCCACCACCAGAAGGCGGACCACCTCCATATCTATTACCAAAGGACACTTTCCACCCTAAGCGAAATCAGGCAAGACAGAAGCTTTCCACGTTACCTCCCCCTCGTTTTCGAGATCTTGCGACGGACGTCTTTTATGAGTTAGAGAGGAGGTTTCCAAGGTTTGCTGCTGGTGATATTAGTCGTATGGGGAGTCCTGCTTCATTGCGCGGGCCGCCCAGTAGAAGTGGTAACGGCACGCCTGTGAATGGCGTACCAAGAATGCGCAGACCTTCTGACGCAAGTTCTGTGGCTGGTTACTCGATGAGAAGTGAGTCAAGAAATGGACCGCGGCCTGGCATGAATAGTGGGTTAGGAATACCGCCATCACCCGGATTACCACCTAATGATTATGGTCGCCCGACACCTAAGACATTTCAAAGTAACACACTAGTACCAAACAAAAGTACGATGGTAGAAGACGACGAGACTGGCGGCGAGGAAGATGATGATGGCGACGCTTTTGGGCTTGAGAATGCTGCTAGAGAACGAGACAGCAAAAAGAGCCCGAGTAGTTCAGAGGTATATTTTATTTGATGATTTCAGGACGAACTTGGCTAACGGAGGTCCTAGACCGACAAGAAGCTCATAGAGGACTATCAGTCACAAGTAGCAGAATTACGTGAAAAGCTTGACACTATGGAAGACACATTGAAAAGGAAAGATGATGAGTTGAATGGCGCCTTGAATACGGAGAGATCTCGCGCAGCGACTCTGACTACCAAAGAAAGAGAATTTTCGGAATTGCGGATAAGCCTGGAAAGTAAGCTTGCTGATGCACAAAACCTAAATAGCAACCTTCAGTCAGAGATAGATCGGTTGAGGGCCGAGCAGGCAAACAACGAGCGTGATCTACGGACGGAGCTGGAGGAGCTCAGAGCAAATGGAGGGAACCGGGGACTTGATAATAATGCCGAAGAATTGGAGCGCGAAAATCAGGAGCTTCGCGCGGAACTTGATGAGCAGCAGCGTGTTACAGATGAGGTTCGGCAAGAGGCGCAGGAGTTCCTCCGTGAAATGCGCATGCTCTCTGAACGAAGCGGATCGTCTTATGAGAAAGAGGAGCAGCTCACAAATACTATTCATAAGCTGGAAGAAGAGGTCAGAGACTGGAGAAATCGGTACGCCAGGACGAAAACACAACTACGAACTATGCGTGCTGGTTCGATTGGCCTCACCATACAGCCGGACGTGGCCAAATTCATTCAAGACAGCGGTTTCACGGAAGAAAACGGATTAGTGAAAGATGTTCATGTCACTAAATTTCAGATATCGATAGACGAGCTTCTACGAGTTGCGCGTACCGAGGAACCCGCGAAAGTCATCGATTTCATGAAAATAGCTGTGGTCAATGTTCGGAACATCACTCAAGACATAGACCAAGCTCAGCCCGCCACCAACGAAATGGCACAACTTCAGGCAAAGCTGAAGGCCAGAGTATCAGCCACCGCGAACAACTTGATTACCGCCTCGAAGAATTTCGCTTCTGCAAACGGCCTTTCTCCCGTTTCCATCCTTGATGCTGCTGTCTCACATTTAACAGCATCCGTTGTCGAGCTTGTTCGTACTGTCAAGATCAGACCAACACCAGTCGGTGAACTTGAGGATGACGATGACGGAAATTTAGACCCAGTTGACAGTACTGGTTTCTTCCCAGTCCGAGACCCAAATGCTAGACAGGAAAACAATCCACCCCCATTTCAAGGTCTGCGAAACGGACGGATGAGCGCTGAGTCTTCCATGTACAGCCCTCTCAACTCACCGCGCGAGTCCGCCATGTCTCGACCAAAGAGCTCAAAGGCTACTCCCTTGGTCACTCCTTTGGCGAACGGGTTCATGAATGGCAATAAAATGCCACCTCCGGCACCAATGGGGACAGGGTTTGGCATTAGAACTCAAGACACTGATGTCGAAGACTTGAAGGTACAGATTCACACATCAGACTGGACCTTTCCGTAAGCTAATTTGCATATAGATCTACCTGGAAGATCAGACTGCTTCTTTGGTTCAGAACATTCAGTCACTTGTCACCTCTATCCGATCCGATGCGGGCATCAAAGTCATTTCGGGACAAATTAAAGCCATTGCTGAAAATGTAGGCAATGTTGTTTCCTCTACCGAGGAAGCGATGTCTTCTACGGGAAATGGCCCATTAAGGTCACAAAGTGAACCGGTTTTGAAAAAGCTATCAAGCTGCAGAGAACGTCTATTGCAAGCAGGTGAGACCGGCCAGTCAATCGCAAACGCGGGCCGAGATGACGAGGAGGGAGAGAGAGCTTGGAGAGCTTGGAATCAGTCTTTGCCACCTCTTGCGTTCGAAATTGCGCGTGAAACCAAGGAGTTGGTCTTGCGAGTTGATGTTATCGATGGCGAGCAACAAGGCCGCCCTGATGGAACCGAAGATTACTCATGAGGAGGTTATCGACTTTTGTACTCTTCGCGAAGAAGAAGCAAATCCATTTATTTTGCATAGCGTCTGATTTTTGACGCTCTGGGGCTTATTGGCATCACATTTTCGACCTACACTACAAAGAAACGTAATGTCTTATCCTTCTTTACGAGCATGAGTACGAACAAACGGCGGGGTCACAGTTTGGGTTTTTCGCAAAGGGAATCAACAATTTTCACGGCGTAAGGATGAAGAGTCGAAAGACTCGAGCACAAATTTTTTGGCATGTCAATCAGCACACTTTGTATCTTCTAATTTCGGGCTTCATGAGCCAGCGGGTTGACTCTATTTTCGTGGATACGTTGAGGAAGCGTATAAGGGGAGCAAGCGTTTGAGACAAGAGGGCATGGAAGAGGAGGAGAGCGTTTGTAATTATATTTTCAAGCATCGTGCGAGGCACGTTGCATTATACATAGGGAGGATGACTTGGTATGGCGGATGACGATAGGTTGGGTGATACCACTAAATATGAAAACCTTACGGCCCTCTGTGTTTCTTTCTATCTTCCTAACTCCTAAAACAACCCAGTGTTTCGACCTTTCCTCTCTATGCTCCCTCTTGGTTCAGTTTAATCTAGCCGTACTACCCTTACTAACCAGCAGATATGCAAAAATACTCCTTTCCATGACCCTATAAAGCACGACCTTTTTAAATTCGCTCACGCCAGACATTTTTCACGCCTCAAATCACCTCTACCATCACCACAAAAACGACATCTCACAACTTCTTCATCATAATCCAATCAGTCTGCACACACTCTCCCATCACAAAATCATGCTTCCCAACCTTCTCAAATCCAAGCGCTTTATAGATCCCCTGCGCCACCAAATTATCTTCCCTATATCGCATTAGCCAATTCCTTCACCTCTTCACACCACATCTTAAGATAATAAAATAGAACTCACCAAACGCCCAACCACAAAGTCTTCCTCCCCATCTCCCTCGCCATCCGCTCAATCTCCCTCGCTAACCCCTTCCCTACACCCTTCCCTGCAAACTCCACACCCACATACAACCGCTGCAACTCGACCGGCTCGGGGTACTTCTCAGGATCAACATCGATACAAGGCTCAGAAGATCCGGACGTTAGTTGCGCGAAGCCGTAGATCTGGGACGCGTCGGAGGGGGACACGGCGACTATGTATTGCATAGATGGGTTGGTGAGCTCACGGGTTATGGAGGGAATGGAATAGGAGGTTTCAAGGTAGGATGCGAGGTCCGAGGGGGGCAGCGAGTAGCCGAATGTGTGGGCGAAGGTTTTGCTGCCGAGCTGGGAGATTTGCGTGGCATCGGCGGGTGTTGCGGGACGGAGTTCGTAGGAGATCTTTTTGGTGGGTTGTTGGGTGGGAGGAGTGGGTGATGAGTCTGTGGTTGAATGCATTTTGAGGTTGAGATGAAAATGAGGTGATGGGTTTATTGGTCGGTGGTGGTGAGTGAGTGAGTGAGATGAGTGAGTGAGTGAGATGAGTGAGTGAGTGAGTGAGTGAGATGAGAATGATGCTTAAATGTGAGGTTGAGAGGGTATCAGGAACTATATCTCATTAATAAAGTCTTCTCGGAGATAGCCAACCTTTATACTTACCAGCTCTTTAATAAAAATCCTTTCCAGCCCTTCCACTTTATCAAATCCCACAATTCTACACCTTTCCCTCAATTTCCTGACTCTTCTTTACTCTTCACTCAATTTTCATACTCAGTCGAATTCTCATGAACAAAATGACCCTGAACCACAAAAACAATTTTCAAGCGCAACATCTTGTATCCGACAGGGCGTCTCCGTCAAATATCTTCTCCCCACCCCTGAACTCCGCCCCAATAAGAGGAATTCCGAGATCCGACAACGTGGGCAGAATGTGCATCAAACATCGCGCGTTACGTTTTCAGAGATCTTCTAGCGCTTCTGGATGGTCTTGGGAGCAGCTTTTCGTGCATATTTTTGCTACCGATTGGCCATGCCGAGATCGGTGCTGTGGTTTGGTATTAACGTCCCGACCCCCGACGTACGTACTAGGAAGTCATTTGCGAAATACTTAGAAGAATCTAGACGGATTACCTGCGGAGTCGAGACCGTAAGGCGGAGAACTATTAGAGACGGAGAATATTTTCTTTCACATTTATAAGAATCATATCCCTTTCAATGTTCTTTCGGACAAGCCGAATCATCTATCGCCACACTTTTCGACCTCGCAACGAATTTTCAATACTTTCATCGACTTGGACAACGCAGATATCTTTGAACAATCAGCAATCGAGAACCATGTATCTCCGCAAAGACCACGCAGAACTTCATCTCCCTACGCTCTTCAAATTCATCAAAGATAATCCCCTTGGAATCCTCACCACCGCAATCTCATCACCAAACTACCCGCTAATACAAACTTCACACATCCCATGGGTTTTCGACGCACCATCAAACCCTCCAGATTTCACTACAAAAGAGCCCAATGAAGACCTGGGAATTGTCCGTGGTCATATGGCTCGAGCGAACCCGCATTCAAAGGCGCTCATAGAATCCGTGACTACTGAAAACGATCAGGGAGTAAGAGTGGGGAAGCAAGAAGGTCCGAATAAATTAGATCTGGAAGTCATGATCTTGTTTAATGGACCGGCGAATCATTATGTTACGCCCAAATTCTATACCACCACCAAACCAGCGACGGGAAAGGTGGTGAGTACGTGGAATTACTCGGCTGTGCAGATCTACGGAACTGCGTCTATTATGTTCGACACCAAACACCCTTCCACCAACGAGTTTCTCACTAAGCAGTTGGATGATCTTGCTATTCTGACTGAGGAGGTGGTGATGGGTTTTGATGGGAAGGAGGGGAGGAAGAAAGCGTGGTCCGTGAATGACGCGCCGGATAATTATATCAATTTGTTGAAGAAGGCGATTATTGGGATTGAGATTAAGGTTGAGAGGATAGAGGGGAAGTTCAAGATGAGTCAGGAACTTGGGGACGGGGATAGAGAGGGTACGATTAATGGGTTTAGAGCGCTGGGAACGGAGATGGCGGATAAGATTGCGGATACAATTGAGCAGAGACAGAAAATTAAGGAGGCGAGAAAGAATGGGTGTCCAGTATAAGAATTGGAGGTCTTTGGGATGGATTGGAATTCGCGCTGTTGATATTGTCATGGGTTCTGCGGGCGTTTAAGGAGAAATTCTGTGCTGGTATGGGTGAAGCAATCATTTTGGGAAAGGAGTTGTAGGCTATAGGGTCAGCATTCAACAGCCATTGCCCCTGAGAGTCGAGGGAAGTAGGATGGTTGCCGGGCGCCGAAAAGAGAATTCACAACATATGAGATGCATGCAGCTGTGCGCCAAAGTCACACGAACAAAAGTTCCAAAAAGTAGCAGATGTACTGGGCCTTTTATAGTCTTCCAGTGCCACCTATCAAACAGTTTCAGACACAATCTGACACTGCCACAGCAGGTCCATGCGGTGCTCACGAGATTGTCACAATGAAGATTTTTGTGACCGTTCTGACATGTGCCTTTACAAGTATGGTCTCAGCTGTCATGGGAGCTTACAGCGGTGACACTTGTGTCTTCTGGTGGGGTCAGTCGACCAATTCTCTGGATATGAATACAGTCGATGCTGCATTTGTATGCATCTTGAACATTCTAGGACTCGGAAATGCACCTAGCGTACCACAGCAGAGCTCAAGATGTCGAGAGTCGATATGAAAAAGTAAATAGATGGTACAGCTCGAAAATTCTACTTCGTGTAACTCACGACGATAATGATTACCACTTGGCAAGAATCTTTTTGTCGAGATGTACCTGGACTCATTGAGTTGGGTGAAATAACAAACTTTGTTGATTACGAGTCGTGGCTCAGTATTCAAGTATTTGACATCTTTCCCCGAGGGTCGTACACGGCCTTGTTAACATTCTCGGACAAAACCGATTGTACAAGCCGACATATCGGAATCCGTCCTCAGGTACAATCAGCCAAATGACTATGCCTGACATGATCAATCACGTCATCGGAGAATTCGTAATTGACGTGTAGAATGCGTACAGATGTATAAAGGTTTCGCAGTGTCCGTTTGAACAGCATGAGAGATATCTCCTTACTGCTGTGTCGCAGCTCTCAGTGCAATCAAGAGACCAGTAAAGTTGCTTTCGTAGAATATAGAAACATCTCGAAAACAGAGCTTCGTTGTCTGTCAACAAAACCCCTGATACCTGGTTGATGGTGCAAGTTCCCGACGTCGTGGTCCTTGGTGGCGGGGACCGGCCTGGAAATGCAAGTGAAGAAAAGCAATGTGTATTGCCCCGTATGGATAGGACAATGCGTTTGTCTAATTATAACAATCGCAAGATCGATATCCAAGAAGGATAAGCTTCTGGCTTTTCTTTGTGTGCAATTGTGGTATTGATGGCTGAATTGTGGGGAGAAGGAAGTGGCCGTCAACCGGACGGGCGAGTTGAGCATGGACTTAAGCGAGGGGATCTGCTACAGGCCAGAGCTCAACCAAGAAGTCAGAGCCGACAAGCTTGTCCTCTTTCGTCGAAGATGGTTGCATTTCTTGTTGGCATTTCTTTTTATCCAATGATAGAGAACACACGGCCATTGATGTTGTTTGTTATCGAGCTCTTATCGTTTCTTCTCCAATGACTAAACGATTTCGGCCGTCACCTCAATTGATATCGAAACCACCACTGATTTGGGAGGAAAACAATATGCTCTTTTCTGAGGCGTTTGAGGACAGTCGCACAACGGATACTCACAGTTCTGTCAACTATCTAGGACGACTCTACGGTGCGACGGAAGCCTCAACGAAGTACAGAAGCACGTGGACATTGGCGCGTAGCTCATGACAGAATTGTTTGATTCTGACAGCGGCATTGCCATGCATAGAGAGTGTCGCGGATATAGTTCTCTAGAGCCCGTCGAAGTCGGCTAAGAGTGCACTCATTGGCCTCGTTAGTTGACTTCAGATCAGCTCGATGAGATCCAGCTCCAGGCCTCAATAGCCTTCTCAAACTCTCCTGGATTAGCGATTTTGTCACAAAGAGCATAGCATCATTGATCCTTACGATGAAGTATTCTCTGACCAGAACACAAACACTATTGAAATGCCCGTGCATATCAATATCAATGTTGGAAAGTTGCGTGCAACCCGACACGAGTATTGAGCACTGATTGCAAGACCAGCCGGGCGTGGCTTCAAGCTTGTCCAAATAAGCTTCGTTACTCAAGCTGTCATGGTATAGGTCATGCTACACGAAACTGGTGGCGTACAAGTTACAACATTTCATGGCTACTGGGACTGAAGTTGTTTCTACCTCCCAGCTGCACAGCAGGCGAGTGGAACGATATCACTGGTTCGTACCTCAAATCTTAAGTTGAGATGGCAAATCGCTTTGCCTGGGCCTCATTGTATCCAACGACTGAAGTATATAGAGAAGTTAGTCCCTCTGTGCATACGAGGTAACTTTATCTGCTGGCTTGCCCATTTCCTACCTTCTTGTATCAACCCCATTACTTTCGAGCAGCTGACGAATTGTGACAACCAACGCAAGCCACACAAGCGCCATCCAGTCAATTCTTATCTGACAATTTAGTGGCTGATAGAAGACTTCTAGGTTCTATCAAGCTTCTGGGTTAACCTGGGGTGCTTCTCGGTTCACTCCACTCGCCGACCTCATCGGTATCGTCCGCTGGCGGACCTGAACTTGCATGCAGCGGCCAGCTCGAAGCTACCCTTGTCATTCACCCCATTCAACCCATTCACCATTCACCCTTGCTTTTTATTGCCACTTAGGAGCTTGTATAAATAAAATCTTTGTCTTCAACTTCAACCCTCTCCATAGATACCTTCAACTAGAGTATAAAGTCACTGCTGGAGCAACGAACGCTAGTCGACAGGTTGTAGGACCTTTTCGCAACTCTCAGTTATAACACATTCCTTATCTATCGAAAATGGGTGTCTTTTCGAAACGACCTGTCGGGGATATCGAGGCTTTGCCAGAGAAGAGATCGACATCTGAAAATGATAGCGCGGCATCACATCGAGATGATGGCGCCGTTGCGGCAGAAACATTTGTTGTTGGCGATAGCTTCTATGCTAAAGCACAACGAGCAGCAGGGAAATTCGGTGTCGAGCAGAGAGGTATCGAGCGCGTTCCTGAGGATGAGCGAACGGATTCTTCAATGTCTTCAGTAGGGACTTTGGTATGTTTTATGCGTACAACTCCATACATGACCAGCTAGCTAATAAGTGAATAGTGGCTCTCAGCTAATATGGTCGTCTCTTCCTTCGCTATTGGAGCTCTTGCATATCCTATTTTCTACCTCGGTTTCATTGATACCATTTTGATCATCTTCTTCGTAAATATCCTAGGTATCACTCCTGTTTGCTTCTTCTCGACATTTGGACCTCGCTTTGGCCTCAGACAAATGGTTCTGAGTCGCTTCTTCTTCGGTTGGTATGGTGTCAAAATCAGTAAGTACTACTTGAAATTTCTCTGAAAAGCTATACTAACGAAGTTTAGTTGCTGTTTTCAACATATTAGCGTGCATCGGATGGTCATCTGTCAATGTAATCGTCGGCGCCCAACTCTTCAATGCAGTGAACGGAAACATGCCTGGCTGGGCAGGAATTCTGGTCATTGCCTTCTCCACCCTCCTAATCACTTTCTTCGGCTACAAAATCGTCCACACCTACGAGCGATACTCCTGGATCCCATGCTTCATTATCTTCATGATCGTCCTCGGAGAATTCGCCAAGTCAGGCCACTTCCAAAACATCCCAATGGGCGTAGGAAAATCCGAAGCAGGAGCCGCCCTCTCCTTCGCCGCCTCCGTCTATGGCTTCGCAACTGGCTGGACATCCTTCGCAGCAGACTACACCGTCTACCAACCCGTCGGACGCTCCCGAAAAGCTATCTTCCTCTGGACATTCGCAGGTCTCTCCTTCCCCCTCCTCTTCACCCAAATGCTTGGTGCCGCAGTAGCCTCCGCCATGTCCATCAACGGCGGTGAAAACGAATACATGGACGGCTACCACAGCTCTGGCATCGGTGGTCTTCTCGCCGCAGTAATGGTGCCAACACTCGGTACATTCGGCAAATTCTGCCTCGTCATCCTCGCCCTATCAATTATCGCAAACAACTGTCCAAACATCTACTCCGTCTCCCTCACCCTCCAACTCCTCGCCCGCAAATCCCAGCAAATCCCCCGTTTTATCTGGACGTTCGTCGGGACGTGCCTATACATCGCCATTGCCATCCCAGGATACGATCATTTCGAGTCTATTCTTGAGAACTTCATGTTGGTGATTGGATACTGGCTCGCTATTTACGAAGGTATCTCGCTTAGCGAGCACATCATCTATAAGCGCGGGTTTGGAGGATACGACGTCGCGGATTACATGACTCCAAGTCGTCTTCCGCCTGGAATCGCAGCGATGACAGCTTTCTGTTTTGGTGCGATGGGCGCTGTATTGGGTATGGCCCAGGTTGTAAGTCCTCCTTTGGTTCCTCACCTACCTTCACTCACTAACATATTACAGTGGTTTACCGGTCCAATTGGCAAACTCTGCGGAGCGGCATTCGGTGGTGACGTTGGTTTCGAGCTCGCATTCACGTTTTCAGCCATCTCATATATCTTCTTACGATATTTCGAGAAGAAACATTTCGGTCGATAGATTTTTCTCAGTTACCTAGATTTCACATCTTGTTTTGAAAGCGTTGAAGTTCTCGGCGTATGTTATAGTTTTACATTTTGTGTTGATGAGGTTTAGATGCGATGGATTTAACGAGATGCTGCTTTTTGTCATTTTGGACGGTTGCGAATGTAGATATACCCGGTTGTTGCTGTAGATTTTAGGTGAGGCATAATACATCGCTGCTTTGGATGTTATTTGTGTCTGCGTGTAGCTGGGTGATGTCCTTCTGTAAAGTCAACTTACTCAAGTAATTTGAAATACCACTTCGTAAAGCACAAAATAAATGGCAGACTTCCTTGTATCAACTCAACGTATATATCGAGTGGGTAAGTAATTTTGACCATGAGATTATTTTAAAGTCTATCTAGAAAGGTGATATTAACCGAATACAATGGAGATAGTAAATATTTCCTCACCCGGTCCCAATTGAACATCGTGTTCTCGACTGCCATCATAAAGATTATTACCAGTACGATACCGCCGGGGGTAGTTCAAAAGACATATAGTGCTTTACTCACTAACAACTATTGTCATCTGCACCAAACCCCTAACCAGAAGAAGTTTAAGCGAATAGTGCAACATCAAAAGTAGATAAAAATCGTTCTTCGTTCAAGCCTATTATACTTTGTTCTAGATATTATAGAGTATTTCAGCTTAGAGTTAGAGATATAGGTAGAAAGAGGCAAATCGTCTTTTGAAACAGTAAAATAAGTATCTGATTAATTTGAATGATAGTACTTGGACTTGAAGGTTCTGCACACAGGTTCACGATGATATTCAGGAATTAGCTAAATGAATAATTAAACTAGTCAACTAAGGGATGGGCGACCTGGTGATTACACCGTGGAAAGCTAAATGTCATCAGAGACTTTATTGACATTTAGATAACATTCGCTGGCTATACATGTACGCTATCATTTAAAATGTTCCCTAGCCTCATCAACCAACTTGCTCGGCGCCAACACACTAAACACTCCTCCCTCCTCCACCCAAAGCTCCATAACTACGCCCCTCCGAACCTCCTTCCCACTACTCGGCACCTCTCCCCTAATGATCCGTTCAAACAAGCCTTTCACCCCCTCTACAATCGTCTCGGCATCGACATTGTATGTAAGATGGCTGCAGCAAGATTTCACGCGCAGAACAGGGGGGGGCGTAAGCTCTGCTTGAGATTTGAGGATTCTGTTGCGGTGCCGGATGAAAGAGAGGAGGAGGTCGAGGGTCGACATGTAAGTGATGAAGTTTCCGTCCACCGGGAAGATTATAGCGCCTGTAGCGGGTGGGACGGCGATGGATGGGGTAGGCGGGGTGGGGTGCCGGGTGTAGAAGAGGTCGCCGGTATAGAGGGTTTGGGTGTCTATGTCGTAGTAAGAGAGGGAGTCCGGGGTGTGGCCTGGGGTGTGGAGGAAGATGACTCGGAAGGGTTGGATGAGACCGGGGATTGAAAGGGTGGAGAGGTAGTCGACCCAGTTTGTGACAGTGTATTTTGGTGTCGGGATGGGAATGTATTTGCAGAGAGAGTGGGAGGGAAGGTTGTGGGTGATGAAATTTTGGCCGGCTTTAGAGGCGATGATGAGAGGTGGTGGTGTTGCGGAGAGGAATTGGGGGATGCCGAGGATGTGATCGTAGTGACAGTGAGTGCAGATGATCACGTATTGTTTCTGTGTTGGACCAGGCGAGTTGAGTGGTTTGTTGTCGTAATCTGGGAGAGGAATTGTCTCGATGTACTCGCGTAATGAGGTGAGACTAGGCTTCGAGGACCGTGGACTGTTGCAACCAGTATCGGTAACGAAAATATGATTGGGATATAACTTCACGTAAATGTATGGCTGTTCGCCGTATGAATCATCTTCGATTATGAGGAAGGTCGATGGGTTGATACGTTTGGAGATGAAACTAGTTTTTGGCAATGACCTGGCCATTTTCTGATAGACCTGACTGCAATTGTTAGCTCTAGACCCGCAGAAGTGCTCACTACCGAATGAAAGTAGCAGGAATAGTATTCTGATTATCACAAGAAGACGACTTCTGACAGAAATTAAAATTAAAAGTCTGCCTGAAAGCTAAGACAAGCTGAAACTTTATATTATCCATTAATATACTCAAGACTGGATAGATCGCAACTTGCAAGTGGTCATATAGCTCTGCAAATTTTCAGACCTCTTTAATTCTTAAGAGGTATTGACATTATGTGCAAGAATCTAAATCGATTCAAGCCAGCTAATTGCCCATAAATTGTGTATAAATATACTGACCGACCATAAATATAAAAGTCCGGCTGATATTTGGGTCACTAGCCTAAAAGAAGAAAATAAAGGACCAATAATTTCCCCTCAAAGGTGTGAGAAGGACGGTAGTATGATCTGGAGGTCATCCCACTACCGCCGACACGTCGGTACCGGCCCACTGGGCAGGACTACACAACGCACTGTGCACACGTATCAAGGGGGGATATGAGCAGACACAAGCAGGACTCAAAGGACAACCATTGATAGAATTCGTTTCGTCCAGTGTAAGGCGACAACTTTCCAATGGAGTGGAAATCGTGACATTGAGATGGAACACCAACAGATATAAGGTTTGCTTACAGCAGTTTGTGGCACGTAGATGGGGGCCCCGAAATGGCCGTTGGGATGGCAAGGTATAACGGTGCCACAAAATTAATATTTCGTTTAATGAGTATTGATACCTGACCGGGAAAATCGGAATATCAAAGGTCATCCGAAGTTTGAACTTGTATGTTGACGAAGATCGGATATAGTGAAGTCCAAATGAAGTTCGAAATAGAAACAGGTCAGCGGCACGTGACATCCATACTAGCGCATATCCTATCGGACTAGAGCTAGTCTTGTTTCTGCTTCGCTCCATTCTCCATCAATCCATAACGCTGATCGAAACAATGAAATTCTCCTTTGCCCTTTGACTTTGGGGCGAACAGACACTGGCCAGAGGGAGATAGGGCGGATGTTTATTCACGGAAATGCACCTTAGCTTCCACCTCTTTGCCGATACGTTGCGAGCCCTCCAAACTCGAAACACCTCTGGGACATCCCGCCATGGAAGCATAGACTTCTCCTCCACCATCGGCAATCGCCCATCCTAGTTGACAGTCCAGTCGGTCTGAACCGCTTCTTCGCCTCCCAAGATATTGGATGCGACCGCTTCGGGGAATATCGAGAAGAATAATGCGTCTGCAATGCACAACTCGAGCTGTGGACGTCGAACCCCGCTTGAGGTGACCACGAACGGTGCCAACCTACAACAACGTTTGAGATCGGGCAAGCACAATCACCATGACATCTGGCTCTGGCAGAAGATTGGATTGTGATCTAGTACGCGGGTGGGCTGGACACAGGAGAGTGATCTGATACAGGCCATTCTCTCCATGCCCAAGCTGCTTGCGTATTCACAGGGCGCATCCCCCGAGCTTGCACCCATGGCAGATGAATAACGGGCTCTCCTTCTTCTGCCACGACCAGAGCACGAACTCAAAAACATTCCCAGCACTGTGGTCGCGGTCGCGAGGTGTGGAAGAGAGTCTAGAGCTGTTCTAATGGCGCTTCGAGCCTATTCCTGGACCCGAAGCCATTCGCTGGCCGCGTATGTTTGCTTTTCGCGCTTCTCTTCACACTTCTGAGCCAGTCGATCCGAATCATGCATGTCCATTGGGAACTCTGGGTGGACGTGGAGCCTCATCTCTTCGCAGCGTGTGTATTTCTCGCGGTGGTCGTGCGGCGGCGGCTGCATCTCGTCTGATTCTCATCTTCGTCGATCTCGGAGCTTTGATTCGTTAGGGTTTGAGGTTGACAGAGGTGTCCGCCAAGCACACCTTAATTCGCGTCGCGTGCTGACCCCTGGGATCCCCACTGCACCCCAGACCAAAGGAACTCGAAACGGCCAAAATCTCGCTAAGACTTGGTGATAGGACGTCGAGGCTCTTGTCGTCTTCATCACCAAAAGTTTTGGTGAGTCGACAGCAAGTATGCCGGCCAGGTCCAAATGTTTCTTGAAGACTCTGGGTGGAGGTCGATTGTTTCAATGCTGGGTCGAAGGTGTCCTAATTTTCCTCTGGTCGCGCTTAGTGTTGTCTTTCATTCAGAGCTTTTCATTCATAACGTCTCTTTGTTCACCAAATTTCTTTGTCATTGTTATTGTCACCGTCCTTTCTCTCTTTCGAGATTATTCCATTGTTCTTCCAGATTGGCATGGCTCGCTAACACAATACCATTGTCTTTTCTTATTCTCTGTTCAGCAGGCCTGATTCATTGTTCTCGTTAACGGATACTTATTACTTTTAATTTCCCTTCCAACTTCTTCATACCATATCCGCTTCACACAAACTACTTTGCCCCAAAGCTTTTCGCGATCTACACGACTCAAGCCATTACACAACTTTGCTTTCTGGACAAAGCATCATACAACGCCAACACAGTTACAACACCAATTCGATTCAACATGAGAGTCTCTTTCACTTCGAAAGCTGCTCTTGCAGTCTTGACGCTGCTCAGCTCTTCGCACACCGTCGACGCACACACTTGGATGGAATCGTTACGCCGCATTTCCCCGAGCGGCAGCTTCGTAGGACCACCAGGATACCAACGAGGTTTCAAAGCAAGAGGAAGTCCCGGGTTCAATGACGATGCATTGGTCTACAGACTTACAGGGCCAACAATCCCCGATAGCGCTCCAATGTGCAAGGACACCCAAAAGTCGGGAAGTCAAGGAACCTACGCAAAGCTCGAAGCCGCACCTAAAGACTTTATCGCCTTACAGTATTTGGAGAACGGTCACGTCACTAAGCCTACCGGTCCACGACCTTTCGGAAACGGCACCGTTTATGTTTATGGCACCAAGACACCTTCCGACTCTTTCACATTCAACGCAATCCACAAGAAATGGAACATCGACGGCACCGGTGGAGACAAGAAAGGAAAGCTTATCGCAACAAGATACTACGATGACGGCCAGTGCTACCAGATGAATCCTTCCGAACCTATTTCGGTAGGCCGATCTAATAAATCTGGTGTCAAGTCGGAGGTTCCTTGCCAGACAGATGTTCAACTTCCAGAAGACGCAGGAACCAGCGGTGATTACACTCTATACTGGGTCTGGGATTACGCTCTCATGGGTGGGGACTCAGGAAAACAAGCCAACAATGAGCTCTATACTGCTTGCATGGACATTAGCATGACATCGCAACCTGCCTCGGATACTGGTGCAGCTGCAAATGACATCCTCAACCGAGCGATTCCTAAGCAGATGAAGAATCTCTTCCTCGCAAACCCTACCAGCGAAGCCTCAACCAGCCCTGCACCATTTGATGGAGCAAAGCCTGCAGTTCCCAACCAAGGAGGTGCATCGAGCGCTGCTCCACAACCAACTGGATTGCCTCAATCCTCAGCAGTGCAGCCACCTGTCCAAGGTCCAGTCACCGTACCCGTTCCTGCTAATGGGCCCGTTACCGTAACCGTCACCCAAGTACCAGTTTCTACGGTCTACGTGACCCGCGATGGTGCTGCCCCGGCCGCTTCTTCGATTGCTGGTGCGCCAGTTCCAAAAGGGCCACCAGGTGTCCCATCTGCAGCTCCATCTGTTCCAACAGGAGGCGTCTACGTCACCGGCGGTCCTGGACGCGCTTCTCCACCACCATCGACACTCCTCACCGTCGTTCAACCCACTGGTGCTCCAACTGGCCGTCCTTCAGTCATTCCATTCACGATGAACCCTGCCAATGCAGCGCCTTCTGCCGCTGCTAGACCTGCTGGGAGATTCCGTCGGGCCAACGCCTAAACCCCTTGAATACAATTTCTCTTTTCTTCTTTGCATATTTTCCCATGACTTATACTTTTTGCGCTTTTGGAGTTTGAGGGGGACTTTAGATAGATGATACCCCGCGGTTTGGTGAACACTTGCATGGATAACGAGAGGCGTTTGAGATTTTTGTGCCTACTTTTCTTCTCTTCTTGTTTTATCGATTGAGCGTGCCGAACGGGTTATGAGGAGTTTGTTTTTGTTTGGCAAAGATACCCCACTTGAGTACGATCGTTACAAGCGGCATTGCATTGCAGGATTGGGAAAATTTAAAAGAGGCATCACAGTACATATATAGATATTAAAACCTCCTGGTGGGGTGGAATATTATAAAATTTGTTAAATTTGAATTAACATATTCTTTTGACGTGAGTGATGTTTTGTTAATGTACTTAAATCGGGTTCCAATGAGCTTGACTGCGACGAGAGTGTAGTTATTAGCTTACTAGAATTATATAGTGTAAGAAATAAGTAGAGTAGAGTAGAGTAACGTCTGTCCCTGCGTGTAGAGACGCACTATGTAACGGGACAAATATATAGTATACTAGTTACAACCTTTTTCATAGCGGGGTTTACGAATTTGTACTTAAAATACTCCCTTGTTTAGCTATTTCTGTCTAAGGAAAATAGTTGTTAAGAAGAAAATAGCTATATTCTATTATACTCTCGGCCGTTTTAAATACGCTACTAATCGCCGTTTCGGCTATATCCCTATACTTATTAATTACGATTAATAGAGTTTCTTTAATCTTCGGAGTACTTAGTCTATATTAGAGGACCACTACATAAGTCCGAGTTCGCTAAATTTTACTCAGCCTCTAGATTCGGCCTGGTCATGTGCGTGGCGTAGAATATCACCTAAATGGGTAATGGACAGATCCACTGGGCGATAGGCAGGAAGAATGCTGAGATGATCGATGCGCCTACTGATGAGACAGAAGACAGCTGTTGTAGCTTTCCGAATAGAATGGAGCGGCCTCTTTCGAACCTCTGTTTCAATTGTCAAAACATATTTAGCCACTGGGAAGAAATTTCCATGGCTGCAGAAAGCCGTCTTCCACATTGCGTTGACGAGCGTGCCCTCAAAGCATCTGCGGATGCTGGTTGCGGGCTGTGTGCACAGTTCATGCTTGATAGTAGCGAAATCGTACCGTATTACTCATCTCTCTACACTGGTAGGTTTGTCGCGGAAGGCGATTATGGCGATGACGGTAACGATAGAGTTTTGAAAGGGTTTGTTTGGCTGAAAACAGGGGACAAATTCAGTTTCAGCCCTAAAGTGAGAGAAAAGTTCTGGACAATAAACCTCATATTGCCATTTTTAGGGGGGTTTGACGGAGTGTTACGAGTGTATGATGATTGGGATGAGAAAGAACCACTCTGTGTTCAATATGTAGTGAATTTAATTCCTACGCATCGTCAAGGTTGGTCATAACTGCATCTACCTGTTTTATAATCAGCTCATGGAACTCATTAACATTGTCTTATAGCTACACTATATGACTCGCAACACAGCTCATCGATTAGCACCCAAGATGCTTTACCAATAGCAAAGGTCTGGCTAGACAGGTGTTTAGCATTTCACAAGCATTGCAATCCATCTGAGAATCAGAGACTACCAACACGACTTATTTCTATACAAGAAGAATGTATAAGACTGTGCGCCTCAGAGGAAATACAAGGATTCCCTAAGTATGTTACCCTGAGTCACTGCTGGGGATCTATGCCATTTGAAACTTTGACAAAGGAAAGGATTTCAGAGCTCCAGAAACGTATCGCACTGGACACATTACCAAAGACGTTTCGAGAAGCTATAAATGCGGCAAGATACTTGGGCTTTCAGTACATATGGATCGATTCTTTGTGCATTGTACAAGACGACCCCGATGACTGGGCCGCAGAATCTTCCTTAATGAGCTCTGTGTATGGTGGTTCTAGCCTCAATCTTGCAGCATCTGATGCTCCTAATGGGGCCGCAGGATGTTTCTTCAATCGTGGTAACTTGTGGAGATGTCAGGTGCGAGTCAACGCAAACCATAAAGAGGAGTTGTACGACTGCGTTCCGAAAAATATTCGTATGTCTCTTCGGGACACACAATTAGCGAAACGATGCTGGGTAGTGCAAGAGCGTATTCTGGCCCGTCGCACTCTACATTTCACAAGGACGCAGCTCTTCTGGGAGTGTCATGAAAAAGACTTATGCGAGACGTTTCCTGAGGAAATGCCACCGAAGTTATCCCAGTACTTCCATATAGCGAAAAGACCACTGACAGAAAAGAACTGGCATCAAATAGTGTCAGCTTATTCTTCCGCGAAGTTAACCTATAGCAAAGACATGTTGATTGCAATATCAGGTATTGCTCGGCTCATACAATTGACAACGAAGGACCAGTACATTGCTGGAATGTGGAAGAAGGACCTAGAAATCCAGCTTTGTTGGTCGGTGTACAGTTCAGGCGGCGGCCAAAGGATATTACCTTATACAGCCCCATCGTGGTCATGGGCTTCAATAGACACCAAAGGGGGTCGTATCAGCCTTTGCCATGATGTACCTTATCTGACTGTCACCCTTTGTGCCCAAGTTCAAGAGATTAGCATCACCCACGCCACTACTGATCAATTTGGAGAGACGCTGAGCGCAAATCTTCGTCTCTCCTGTAAACACCTTATTCATGCACGGTTCGTATACGGCAAAGGTGGTGATTCCGTTCTAGTAGCTGGGCAGGCAATTATGGTTTACGCTGAATTTGATTCCTTCCACTTGTTTGAAGGTATGTCAGTTGACACGTATGTGGTACCTGTTATGTATGACTCGTGGAGTCGACTGTGTGGTTTGATCGTTAAGCCGACGAGCCAAAGAACTGGTCAATATTACAGGGTTGGAAAATTCAGTTTCTTCTGGCAGGATGAAACGCTGGAATTTGACAATGCAGTAAAAATCGCTGATTCTCAAATTGAGGATTCTGAGTATGTTGAGAAGCTGGTTGACGCAGAAGGGTTAAGGCACTATGTTATTGACATTATATAAATCTAATTATAAGCTAGAAATGCAGTGTTATAGCAGCGGCTCCAGGAGGATGCTGGTAGCAGTACCTTATCCTGGTGGAATTGCCTTTTTTTGCAGATCGAAAACATCTATAATTAGGTAAGTCACTTAAGTATTTCTTTCTTTTACTACTAGAGTGTAATTACTTGCTCGTTACATTATTATCGTTTTTGCGGAGTAAGATATAATTAGTACACTCGCAATCAATCAATCACAAAGGCTTATTAACTTCCCTACCCTTCCTCTCCAAGATTCGCATTCTCTAAAACAGTAATTCTACCATGTATCAGCTATCTTGAAAATTGAATGCAGCCAACATAGCACATGTATTCCTAAAGTGATAGGTGCTGGGAGGAGAAGTTGACCCCTATAGAACTTGGACTGTTGTTCGTAAACATATCGCCCCTGATGTCTTGAGGAGGATGCAAGTCCTTGAATTGGAAACCCGCCTACTACTGGTCTGCGTTTTGTGGATTTACTTTCGGAAAAATTTCTGTTGTTCCAAGATGGTCATTTTGTGACCTGGCCCACCTGGGTGCTTACTTCTCATGTATTTCGTGTAAAGAGCAGATTGTTCCTTTCTCATGTTGAACTTTCAAGACCGGTTCTTTGTAACTCACTTCTTCTAGGCTATGGATGGATGTGTATGAATTCTTGTGTAAATATTTTTGCTTTGGGAAGATTTGAAACACGTCGAATTTTACCACACGTCGTTCTATCAAATCCTTAGTAGATCCCCTCTCACACTCTCCCCCCTCACACTCACTCCCCTACATCTCACCACACCCCGCAATAACCACATCCAAATTCGGCACATCCTTTCCTCGATACCCCGTCTTCGTATTCTCCATCTTGCGCACCACATCCATCCCCTCGACCACCTTGCCGAAAACCACGTGTTTGCCGTCTAGAAATGGGGTCGGGGCTGTGGTGATGAAGAATTGAGAACCGTTGCCGTTGGGGCCGGCGTTCTGGTGATGGGATGTTAGCATGGGGAGATGGAGGAGGGAGTGATGAATGGGAGAGGGAGTGATGGGGGATATTGAAGGACTTACGGCCATGGAAAGTAAACCTGGCTCAGTATGTTTAATGACAAAGTTTTCATCCTCGAATTGCTTCATGCCGTAGATACATGTCGAGCCTGTTCCGTCGCCATTTATGAAGTCGCCGCCTTGACACATGAAATCTTTGATCTAAAACCACATCAGTACTATTCCCTTATCACATTCGTTTAGCCATACCACTCCATCCCCGATCCCAGCCCCAAAAAAAAGGCTCACGGGCGAAATTTGAAGATTTTAGCAGGATATATAAAACTTACAATCCGATGGAATTTACTCCCCTTATACCCCTGCGGCCGTCCTAGATGATTCTTACTCTCACCCGTACAGAACTGCCGGAAGTTCTCTGCTGTTCGGGGGACTACATCGGCGAACAGTTCGAACTTAACACGACCTAGTGGTTCGCCTGTTCCTATTCAGTAACTTACTTTCACAGCCTGTGTTGTTCGAGTAGGTAACACGTGATAAGAAATTGGTTGGTGGTACAAAGATGGATAGAAAATGACTGACCTCCTAGTGTAATGTCAAAGAATACACTACATGTGCTGTGTTAGCAGCTAGTCTCGTGATGGATTTGTGTAAAGTCACGGCACGTACAGGGGATTTCCCGAGGCGGGAAGTTGTGTGGGAGGCATGGCTTGGGACCCGAAAGATTATTTTCTTGTTATAAAATGTGACTGCGGAACGATGTTGATCCGAGTAGAAGCTATTTTGTGATATTACGAGTTGCGGAGGTATGGTACAATGGATACGAGTGCCGTGACGAATAGGAGGGGGAAATGGAATTATTGCGGTGATGAGGTGCGGTTAAGTGTCGGCTTGGGCATGTGCGCTGCAGTTTGAGGGTTTGAGATTGGCGATGGGGGATCGACGGTTAGCGTGGATTTGACGAACGGGTGTACAAGTGGGACCATTTTGAGATTTGGGGATGTCGGACTACAATACACGGCACCTCGTGTTTGTAGATTTGTTCTGAGAAACATAAACGACGTGGCTTTGAATGTGGCAGGAAAAAGCGTAAAGTTGTGTTTCTTTCGATCAAGAAATCAACTTTCGACCTTTCAAAGCCGAGCCTTCCCCGCCACACACACCCAACCACAATATTCATCTCTGGATGGATATTTTGGCAAGATTTGGTAGAACTGACGGATATGCAAGGCTTGATACTCAGCCTCCTTAAATCAAGATTTCTGACAGACAGAATATTGGGCTGTCTTTCGCAAATAGTAAGTGCTTACTCAAGCCGAACTGCTTACCTTCCCATCCATGGGTGTCAACAAAGGAAGCCGCAGTAATAAGTCAACACCTTCCATTTTCAGTGCAGCCATAAGAACGTTCTTTAGCTTCTTTGCCCTCGCGTAAATTTGGAATCAACTGGGATTTCTCCACATCATATGTTCCTGCAGTAGGATGAAAAGAGGACTTTATCGCAGATCCATTATTAAAAGTTGGTGGTTTGTCGTGAAGATGGCAGGCGGGTGGTTGGATCCAGATGAGCCGGAAGTACGATGTACAGTACCAAATTGCGGTTACATCTGCGGTGGAGAGAGTTATTATTCATACCATGGTTCCCCAAACATATTGAATAATTGAAATGAAGGATTCATCTGAAATGCCACATAGAACTGCAATAATATATGGTAAGATTCCTGCTTAGTCTATTGAATAGCTCGCCTCAAAAATGCGATAAGCAAGCTCGCGTAGAATCAATGACCGCTCCACTCCACATCCCCAGTACATCCGTATCTGGATCAGAATCCAAGATCAGGTCTGGCCTCCGCCAAGGCAGTGAATCTTCTGCACCACCAGCAACGTTTGCTGCGTGGCTTGGGTGCTTGGAGAGAGGAGAGAGAGCGAGTAAGAAGGCGTGTAATCAGCCTGGCTTTGTTTTGATCACACGAACATCAGTCGACCTCTTTGGACATTTGACAGCTGCATGCGATCCTGGCGTGACCGCTCTGGGCAGCCTTTGTCGAGCAAGTTGCCTCCTCTCAGCTAGGCGATAGGTGCGATGTGATAAGTGAGGAGGTCTTGGTGGTGGTCTTGGTCGGCCAGAAATCCGAACCTTTTCGGACTTGGTGGACGGCTACGACGGATTCATGGGGATTCATGACGGGGTTGGTATTGACTGTCAACCACCCTCTCCAATCTGAATGTCCTCGAACCGTTTCCCATGCTGTGACATTCAATTCCATCGCCGTCAACAATCGTATCACGAGCATTATTCACTCTGCAAATTGGAATAACTGGAATAATCGTCTTTCTTGACTCTGTTATTGTGCCCAGTTCTGATACTTGGTACCACGCCATTTATCTACGCCTCCACCCAATTCCATTCACACCAAACATCAACCGTAACAGCGTCATCCTCTGTGTCGTCTTGTTCTACCATCTCCATTCCTACAAGAACAATTAAAGAAGCCATCCGGAGTTTTCATCATCCACGGCTTCGCATTTGACTGTCCTCGCCCTCGCTTTCGCTGCACGAACTGCGCTCTTACTCTGCTGCTGCTTCCTTTCGGGCTCACCTTCCAGCTAGACCCGCCCTAAAACGCCCTGTATCTCCATCACCACTCGCCCACACCCGCCACATCCTCGCGCAACCTCCTTCCGCTCGACACGAAACAAGCTCTCCTTTGTCGTGCACTCCCCAATTCCGACGGCGGCCACGAGTGAAAAGCACCACCCAACGCAACCGGATGTCGTCGACGACACTGGCCCATCAAGTATCGTGAGGAGGTTTTCGGTCGCTTTAGGAAGTTGAAGCCGCAACCGTCTGCGAGGAGGAGAGTCGTCTCGTGCAATTATCCTTCCTTTCGCTACGCCGCGAACCGAAATCGACACAACCGTCGTACGTACGAGCCCGTTCACGCCCATCACAGAGTGTCACCGGCAAGATGGTCGTCAATGAACTTATGGTCGAGGTGCTTCATGTCCTACAACGAGATTTGAGCGCGAGAAATCTGGGCGGTACCCAAACCACACCCAGTCCAACTGCAGCGCAGTCGCAGACCGTCTCGACGACGGTTCCCGCTCCCACACCAACCATGACGAGCTCTGGCGGTGGAGGACCGACCAGTTCGCCATTACTCTTCTTTGTAGCATTAGGTTTTGGTGTTGTATTTACGAATTTATGGTCAGTAGTAATCGTCCATCATAGTTTGCCACCTCCGAGACTGTCCGTTTGCTGACTGGAGCTGAAGGATTATCGTCGGTGTCAAATACTGCTTTCGCTATAATGCGAGAAATCGGGCTTTACGAAACGGAGAAGACGGTGATCCGATCAATCTCGAGAATATGCCAACCCGACCGCATCGCAGACGGAGGGAAAAGAAATTGATGACGATGGATGAGGTTAATGATCGATTTCCATTGACAAAGTATAAGAATTGGGTCGCGGCAAGGGCCAGAGAGGGTCTATCTACGAGCGGAGGTGTCAATGCGCCATCAAGTCGACCTGGAAGTTTACGAGATGTTGACGGCGTTGTTCCTTCTTCACCTGTCGATACTAAGCACTCTGTAAATACCCGACCTGCTACCGCTTCGTCCGAAATCGAGCCAACACCTGCCATAATTACCACGGACCGCAAGAGTATGGATGTGAAGGCTGTCGAGAAGGATAATGCCGTAACCACTGTCGAAGAGCAAAACAATTTGGAGCAGGTCAAGACTACCGCAAGCACTGTTGATAAACAGCCTACAGCGGTCAGTGAATTAGATGATGACGACGAGGATGACCATATTCACACAGCTGTACCACCGGAACTCCTCACTAACCCTGGAGATTCGTGTGCGATTTGTATTGATACCCTGGAGGACGACGATGATATCCGTGGCTTAACATGTGGTCACGCATTCCATGCTGGTTGTTTAGATCCATGGTTGACTAGCCGTCGGGCATGCTGTCCACTCTGCAAAGCAGATTACTACACTCCCAAGCCCCGACCTGAAGGCGAAGCAGCCGAGCCTGAGCGTTCTGGTCGTTCTAATAGACGGAGAACAGAACAGGCAAACATGGTACAACAACCTCCTTCAGCGTGGACTGGCATTCGAGGACACCCACGCTTTGGCGCTATCGGAGGCCGCTTTGGAATTATGCAGGAAACTACGGGGGATCAATCGCGCAATGCTAGGAGAGCGAGGAGAGCACAGGCGAATGTACAGCCGGAAGTTGGAACGGGGGATAACGCTACGGCATCGAGAAGATGGAACCCATTTAGAAGGAATCGTCCCGCGGCTGCGACACCGGTGGAAGCTGCTCCTGAGACGGCGACGCCTTCGCAGTTGGAGGCGGGGGTGGTGCGTTGAGATGATTAATACGAAATGATATCTGTGTATTTTTTTGCGGCGTGCTTTTTATTAGCTATTTATCTAGCTTTTTTACAAATTATGAATGAAGGGGATGGAGTTGCGAGATGATATCTGTGTTTCTGAGTTTGATATGTGAGATTGTAAGGGGAGTATGCTTCTGGCTTTTGGTGATACCCCTGATGCTCTCACGTTTATAAGGCTGCGCTTCTAAAGTGGTTATATATGTTCTTGAATGGAATGAATATAAGTAGCGGCAAGGATGTCACATGTTCAGACACTGGATTATATCTTGGTCTTCTGCCCCATCTAGCACCAGTCTCTACCCTTTCTCGAAACACATATATAGTAATTATGAATGTAGAATCGGTCGCGGGCTCGTAGGTAGAAAGGAAATGTGAGGGTTCCTGTAAGTGAAGAGTGTGAAGAGAGAGTGTTCAGATTGATAGAAACTTCAGAGGTTTCCTGCCAATCGCCTCAAAATAGTTTTATTTAAAGAAGAGAGCAGGTTGGATATTGGGATGTCCTAGCTTACAGTGATGTGCGAAATATAATGTGGAAAGATAGCTATTAACATGACAGGATGTGTCAATGGTAAATGTGTTTTTGAATCTTCAAGTGAGTAGGTTAGGATGGGTTTGATTGTAGATAGCGTGTATGTGTTTCTTGTATATATTCTATAGAGTACTTAAACTCATCTCCAACCAAAATCCACAACTCAATATCTCCTCTCTTAGTTAGTCCCACTCCATCACCATTCCATCACAAAAAGCTCCCTTTTTGAAACCTCTCCCCAAACTCCCCCGCCTTCCGCACCATATCCCTCTTCTCCATCCGCCCCAAGCCCCCTAACGCCATATCCTTCTCCCGATCAAAACCCCTCTGACTCGGATCATCCTCTTCCTCCTTCTGACCCCCCTCCCTCTTTCGTCTCTCTAGTAGACTCTCGCCCCTATTCTTAGCATTATACGCCGCGATCCGCTGAGCCGTCGCTCTATCCTCCGCGCTCTCTCCTTTCCCTTTACTCTTGGTCTTGGATGTAGAGTTGAGCGTTACTTCTGTACGACCTAACACTTCATCTTCCAACCTCTTTCGCTTCTCCTCGGGCGTTTCAGTCCATAGTGTACTTATCCCTCCACCCTTTTCAGTCGGAGCGCGTGATCCTTTGCCGGATGCGAATTTGCGGTTTTTTAGTTTTGTCGGGTCGGCGCGAGTGTTGTCGCTAGAGGTAGGAGGGAGAAGCATCCATTCGTCTCTTTGCGGTTTTTTGGGCATGGACGAAGACGCGGCGAGGGCTTCGCGCTCGAGGGATAGGTTGTGAAGGTATTGTGCTTCTTCGCGGGAGCCAGGCGCGGGGGGGAGAGCGGGCCCGTAGTCATCGTCGTCTGAGGAGGAGTCGTTTGCGGGGTGGGAGGGAAGTTCGGAGAGGGAGGCGGGAGGGGGCGCGGGGCCTAGGACTCTTTTGGGGGGTGGTTTGTGGGTAGGCGCGGAGGTTGGCTTGGGGATTGATGGGCCGTAGTCGTCTTCTGAGCTGTCGTTGTCGAGTGTAACTTCGTCTGGGTTGGAAGTGGGAGGTAGAGAAGGCCCCGCGACTGAAGGTGGTAAAGTTGGACCAGCAACTTTCGGCGCTGAGGATGTTTCCGATAGTTTCGCAGAAGGATTTGATAGCCCGTATTCATCTTCTGAGCTATCTCCAATGTCTACTTCATCTGGATTTGCGGACGGTGGGAGCGCTGGTCCTAGAACCTGTTTCTCTGGTGCTGTCGCAGCCTGGACTTTGCGCGGAGGTGAGTTTGGAGGTTCGTCGTCATCGCGTTTTCGTTTCGCAAGGTGAGGTGGTAATTGAGGTCCTACTGAAGACATGGCGAGTGGTTGTAATTTATAGCATCAAATGCTGCAGAGGTTGTTGTTTTGGGGCAAGTCTAGGTAGAAGATCCTAGGATTAAAATAGATAACTCGGGAAGCTCTGGCTTACAAGGTTCGGAAGCTTCCGTGATCCATCGTCGCGTCAAGTTTCCTGGGATTGGATATATGATGTTGTAGTTGTGCCACCACGTAAGGCTACCTTTTCTATTTACAACGATAATTGTGTTGTTTTCGATACGTGGTACAATACCCTGGAGTTGGTCATTGGAGTTCCTGAGAGTCTGAGAATAATCCAAGAAGCTCTTAAGTCTTCACGTCTGATCCGCCCGACTGTAAGCGAGAGCTCTATCGTACCTATCCAACCACCCAGGTAAATACACCACCATTCAGCCCATTCGAGAGCTACGGCGACGGCAAGAGGACTCGACAACTTCCATATACTTGTCAAGCTCTGCGGTTCAATGTCCATCTGAAAAGTTGACATCTTAGCAGTCCGCGTACTGCGCCGCATCGATTTCGCGCGAATCCTGGAAACATGACCGATTCTCGATGAGCGCTTCTTCTGCGGATAGTGACAGTGGAGGTGAGGAGGCTACGATCAATGGAGACACTCAGGATATAGCGCGGAATGGTTCGGGCACAGTTGATGATGGTGACAACCAGCTGGGGGTTGAAGGGAGTCGCATATCCGAGCTATTACAGGAGGAACAAGAAAGACCATCAACACCAGAGAAAGTGACCAATGGAACGAATAGATATAAGATTACCAGAGACCTGGAAAGTACGTCAGAAGATGGCTCTCTGGATGCGATACCTAGGGGTGTACAAAGCCCCATGGAATCTGTCATGTCAATACCAGACGACTCGCCGTCTGTCCAGGTACGTAATACACCAAAGGCCATGGAATGATGCTGATTCAAAATATAGGGCTCTGTACTATCGTCTCCTGGTGGCAGCAGCATCCTTCCGTCTATGGCATCTCGTCCTGGCCTCGAAAGTCCAACCCCGTCCTTCCGACCCTTTGATAGAAGATTCCAATCCCGTCTCTCTAGCTCTACCCTTTCTATCCCTCGACCAGCCTCTCCAACACCAGCATATCTCAAGAGTCATGGGCGTCAAGTTTCTGTAAGCAGCCAGATTGCCCTTGACGCGGGCGACGTAGACACTCCATCTCCACCATGGGAGGTGATTCGATGGACGAAACTCAAGAAGATGAATGGCCAGGCTTTTTCCGAAGTTGGGAAACGTAGTTTCGGCATACCAACCTGTATATCAGTATCTGCCTCGATTGTTTTGGGCACTTCGAAAGGAATAATATTAATTTTTGACTATCACCAAAATCTGAAGTCTATAATAGGACCTGGCACTAAAGGTAGGATTCCAAAAAATCGCAAATACAAGGTGGAGTGCTGACAGATTTAGCTGTCGAGTCTGGAGCTATCACGTCTGTTGCTATTTCTGCAGATCATTTGATCGTTGCTGGAGGTCATGCGAATGGCAGTATTTTCACGTGGGAGATTGCTAAAGCAGCTCGTCCGTTTCTACATATACCTAGCCTTCAAGCTCCTCAGATGGTAAACCGCACTTTGGATGGGCACATCCCAGGTGTTACGATAAGGCATCTGGGGTTTTTAGGAACGCGGCATACTGCAGTTGTCTCCGCTGACGACCGTGGAATGGCATTTTCTCATCTGGCGACAAGAGGTATGGGGTCAGTAGGACGTTCTGTGAGGACGACAAGAATCCTAGGACGGTACCCTAGTGATGTCTCAACTTCTGGCAAAGCTCGAAAACCAAGTACTGTGCTCGCGTTTGCGCCCCTTCCACTTGGAAATGTAGAGAGAGGAACCGATAATCTTGGATTAACCGCTATGTTGACTCCGTACCTGCTGGTTATTGTATCGACTACGCCTATTGCCCAAACCCAACACAAAGCCTCGCGGCCAAAAGAAGTTGCTGCTCATAGTGCTATGAGTGGATGTCTAGCATGGTTTCCAGCGGTCAAGTTGAAAGTCAAAGACCCGAAAACTGGAAGTGATATATCAAAGGTAAAGTTGGTATATTGCTGGTCGAATGTCTTGACTGTTCTTGATGTAGATGAAATAGAGTCTCCCGATAAGGATAAACCGCCAAGTCTGACTTTCAAACCTCGCAGCCGATGGAAAGCCGAGGAAGCCATTGTTGCAGTCCAGTGGTTAAGCAGATCCGTTCTTACAGTTCTCACAATCACTCAGCGGCTCATCGTTCTAGAAGATTATAGTATGCGAATGACTGAGGCCTTTGACCTAGTCCACAAGCACATCTATCATCAAGATATCTTCTCAAAACAACTTCACAATCTGGTGGAACAGTTGGACGAAGAAGACGACTCCATGCACGGAGTTGTGGCAGATGCGTTTTATATGAGTTTCCGGGCTTACAAAGGACGTATGTTCTTGCTCGGATTCAATGACGTTTCCGTGGGCTCATTATCAAATTGGGCGGACCGCTTGATATCGCTAATGGAAGACGGGGATTATATCGGTGCCATCCAGCTTGCGACATCTTACTACACAGGCGATGCTGACAAGCTCACTATTGGCTTACCAGAAGATACGACATTACGCCATACAATGGTTAGAGACAAGCTGGTTGAGATCATGACAGCTTCACTAAAGTTTGCATTTGGTCAGCAGAAACAGCGGGCCACAGCCGGAAGCCCGAACAAACTCAAAGAGCTGGCAGAAGCTTGCTTTGATGCATGTCTCAGCATAGATGATCTTGACTTTCTTTTTGAAGAGGCATACGAGTGGTACGAGGATGGCGAAGAAGAGGGCGTGTTTCTCGAAACCCTGGAACCTCATATTTTAGAGCGAAAAATCATCATTGTTCCACCTGGAGTTGTGAAAGCCATGATTACTCACTATGTGAGTAAAGGGATGGAAAGCCGGCTTGAAGAGATGATCTGCCATATGGAAACGATGACACTTGATATCGACCAAGTTACGACTCTTTGCAAACAACACAATTTATACGATGCCCTAATATACGTCTTCAATCAGGCCTTGAGGGACTACATTACGCCTCTCATCGATCTTCTAGCACTTCTTGTGCCATTAATACAGAATGGTGACTATTTCAGTAATGGCGACCTAATGGAGGATCCCATATTTGGGGTCAACGCTCTGAAGATGTTTCCATATATGTCTTATACTTTTACTGGACGAGTGTACCCAACCGGCGACGCTCTTGATGATCAGGATGCCATGAATGCAAAAGCAGAACTGTATTGGTTCATATTTTCGGGCCAAACAATCACCTGGCCGAAAGCGACAGGAAAGCCATTTTTAACACAGCCAAGCGAGGACTACGAGCCATCATTTCCATACCTAAGGATGATTCTGAAGTTCGACGCGCCAAGTTTCCTGAGCACCCTCAACGAAGCCTTCGAAGATTCATTCCTTAATGATACCCCTGAGAGAGTGGTCAATGGTGGAGCAAACCGAGATATGCCAGAGGAGTATATTTTTGGGCTATCGGTCAATCGCCAGTACATTGTCACAATCCTCTTGGAAGTCATGAATGCAAACGACTTTGCGTCTGAAGACACCATTTACCTCGATATGTTTATAGCTCGGAATCTTCCGAAATTCCCACAATACCTCCTGCTTTCGGGATCCGCTTTACACAAGGTTTTGACTGGTTTATGTAATTATCCAGGTGACGACCTGGCCGATGATGCTCAACTGAGTGCGGAATACTTGCTTTCAGTGTATCACCCACCAGATATGGCTACTCTTCTGCCGTCATTTGAAAAAGCTGGGTTCTACAGAGTGCTCAAAAGCACTTACAAAGCGGACAAACAATTCGGTAAACTGGTTCAAGCATATTTTGACGACCCTGAAAATCAAGAGGAGGTCTTCGACTGTATTGCTGATTGTTTACGACCACGCTCTGGCTTGACTAAGCGACAAATCCGAGATGTTCACGAGGTCATGGAAGCTCATGCTAGTGACCTTGTCCACCTCGATGCTGTTAGGACTGCTCAGATTATTGAATTGTATGCAGCATCATTGCATGAAAAGTTTCTTGACTCTTTGCCTGAAGATCCTGAGCTTGAATACACCTATCTGCACACTATTTTCCAACCAGGGACTGGGGAATCAGGAGTTGTAAAACCATCACCACATACCCAGTTTACAGAGCGATATGTACAGCTGATGTGTAAATTTGATCCTACGCATGTCGCTGACTATGTCGGAATCGTCCAAGCGAGCGACCTGCGACTCGAGAAAATCCTACCTTATATGGAGGATAGTGGTGTGGTCGACGCTGCAGTAGTACTGATGGCCAGGGATGGTCAGCTACAAAGCGCCATGAGTCGTCTGATCCAGCACCTCAGGAAGCTTGAATCGACCTTGCAAGGACTGTTGAGTGGCTCAGATGAAGACATGCAGTCAATACCAGTAGGAGAAGCCGCTCAAGATCTTCTGGACGCTCTGCAAAAATACACAGGCGTTGGAATATGGCTTTGTCGAGGGCAAGAGAAGCTTAAGCTTCTTCAACCTCCTACGCCGACCAGAAGGAAGGCAAGCCCTCATGATGAACTCCTTCCAGATGAAACTTTGTGGTTAGACCTTATCGATGTCGCCGTTCAGATTACTCGCAAAATCTCAGCAAGTTTATCGGACGTCAAAACATCCGGTTCTGCTGAGATAGATAGTGAAAAGTTGATATTCCAGTCACGAACTCTGGTTCAGCAATGCTTCACAGCTTTACTTTCTTCAACATCATCGCCAACGCCCTCTGGAGCCAACTTGTCGTTTCTACGAATATTACGAGCATTCTTAACTCGAGCCTCCATATCATCACCCAATCTCAGTGACCTTCGAGCAGTCCTAGCCTCAATATTTTCAGCCTACGCTTACGAAGAAAGTATTCTCAGCCTCTCAAACCGTCTTCTTGAAAAGGACCTCTTCGTCAACGTCAAATCCGCCACAGAACTCCGCCAACGGGGTTGGCGGCCTAGAGGATCCACCTGCGAAGGATGCGGTCGCCGAGTCTGGGGTCCTGGCGTCTCAGGCGACGTGTTCTCCAAATGGGAAGATAAACAAGCAGCAGACCTCAAGCGTCGGAAAGAACGAACGGCAGAATTGGCGGGTAGTCAGGCGGAGCGCGGAAAGGGGAAAGCACATACTAGGACTACTAGTAAGAGTAGCATCGTTGACGGAATGCGCATGAAGGGGAAGGTTCCTGCGATTGACGGACAGAGTGAGGGTGAGGATTTGGGACCGCTGGTTGTGTTGGCTTGTAGACATATTTATCATCAGGCATGTCTTGAGGCGGTGCAGGTTGATGAGGGGGAGTTGGTGGTTGATGGGAGGGAATTTAGGTGTCCCATTGATGGGTGAGAGGGGGTTTATACCAATTATTATGATGTTTATTCTTCTATGATGATAGTCTTTGATGCTTCCTGAAATGTGTTATAATTAGTCCGAGGTGAAGGGTACAGAACTTCACAACAACATAAATCAGCCCTCAATCACACAGACTCATTGTGCACCACCTGTTGTCCTCTTCTGAAGCAGCAAAGTAAGCGAACATCTTCAAATCACATGATCCACCCCCCTTCCCCACTCTCTTCCCTCTCACCACCACCTTACACCAACCTCACATATAACCCCACCAACGAAACAAACCCAAGAATCCTCACGTCTTATCCAACTCGTCGTATGTTTGAATACTCCAGAATCCGTGTGGCCCTATAGCATTGAAACCACAAATAGATACGTCTCTGAAACCCCGGCGGTTTTACCTTGAGTATTCCCCGAGATGCGTACAGTTTTCTTCCAGCACCACCACTTCTGCTTTTTTTTCTTTTAATTTTTTGGTTTTTGTGTTGGGAAGATAGGGTAAGGTAGTGCTGGTCGCTTATTGGGTTCTTGTATTTACTTCTTTTTCGTGTATTTTTGGTTATTGATTTTTTTGGGTATTATGGATTCGTTAACCCCACCGGCCACTACTCCAGAGGAGCTATCGAATGGTTCGGTATCGGTGCAAGAGGATAATGGGAATCCTAAGAATCATAGGAGGAACCATCGAGCAGGTACGAAAGAGAGAGCGAGGAGAGAGAGAAAGGTTGCTGGCGAGGGGAGTACATGTGGTTCACCGAATGGGACTGAGATGTCTTTTTCGATGGGGCCGAGGAAGAAAGGGAGGGCGGGGGTTAAGGTCCGGGAGAGGAGGGAAAGGAGGAGTGCTGGAAGTACTTTTGGGGAGGAAGATGTGGGAGGAGATTCGGTCTTGGACGAGTCTATCTTGGAAGACTCGATTTTGGAAGACTCCATCTTAGAAGAAACCGATCACAGTATCCTAAGCACTGGACAAGACAAAAACGACCTCGCAAAAAACCATAACGAACAACAAGAAGAGCCAGAAGACCCACCATCCCTAACCTACGACTCCGACTCCTCACCCTCCGACCACGAAACCGAAATAGATGAGCCACACACCCTCACCCCAACTCTGTCATCCCTCAACCTCATCAACGACGAGATATCAGTCCGAACACGCGCAGATACCGGTTCCTTCGAGGCAACGGTAGAAGCAGAGATCCAGACCTTTACTCCAGAGGTCATAAAACCGGAACTTGTTCAACCCGCACAACCACAACTCACACAAACTCTCCCTACCACACCAAAAAGTCAACTAGTAGACGAGCCGAAATCAGCAGACAAACCACGCGTAAAGCACGAAGTAAAATTACTAGGGCTGAAGCGTCCAGAGGTGCTAAAGGGAGGAGAGATCAAACCGTTGGTTCCGCGAGTGAAACATGAGGTGAAATTACTGTCGTTGATGGGGACGAAAAAATTGAAGCAGGGGGAAATTATCTAGTCTGTATGTAGATATGGTTGAAGAGATATATATATATACTTCAGATCGAAAAAAAACGTATACATGACGGTTGTGAAGCCAGTTCGAGCGACTGGAAGTGTTATATTTGTGTATCTAATTCCGATAAACTTACCATTCCTTAAACAGCTGTCCTAGTCGAGAATATAGCCAGCATAAAAAGAGAGTCAGATACTACACATGGTTACTAGTAATTTCTTGTAATATTCGGACTTTAGCGCTGTATCATGCTATGCCATGCTTGGGTTGTAGCTGGGCCATAAATCCGACAGCTTTTATATAAACAGTATATGAAATGTAACACCCCCCGAACCCTGATCAAGGAGATAAATTAAGTCAAAATAATTGTGTGATACCGTAAATCATACACTCCGCTTTCCAACTCCTCAAATACAACTCCTCAAATACGAAAACCGTCAGATGTAAGATTGTTTTCACCTATGCAAAGCGTGGTGCTTTGCCTCCCTTCTTCTTCTCGGCTTCGATTTGTTGAGAGCGTAGTGGAAGTTGACGATCCAGGGTGTTGAATGCCAGAGTTCGTGGGGTGAATGGTACAGCATTCGTCCTGACGTTCATTTCGAATTTAGAATCGGAGTTGTTGTCAGAATTGTTGCCTCCTTTCATTTGCATGTCGTCGATATCAATTCCATCGGCTGCTCGTTGGGCAGAAGTGGGGATCAAGCACCAGATTGACAAGATCATGTTGGCGAGGAATAGAGCCCTGAAAACGTTAGATTTAGGATAGGAACAGAGCAGGAATACCAAACATACGTCATGATCACGGTAACTGCGAATGCACCTTTGGCCTGCAGACAATAGCCACGAGCTCCAACCTTGCTCGCAAAGTCACAGCTCTGGGTGATATACCAGGCACTGCTAGATGGGTGCTTTGGATCGGTATTGTCTGGCCCAGCCTGGCCGTACAAGCTCGCAGCATACAATCCCGTAAGAACCGCATTGATAATGACGGACAAGAACGGGAACCATATGTGCAGAGAGAACATAACAACCTTGACGATCATGATGAACATAGAGAGGACGGAAATGGCGACATTGTAATCGGTCAGACTATCCGTCGTTAACATCTATCAACTCCATCTGCGCGGTCTCAACTTACGCTTGCGACCAAACAAATGGCGTTGTCGGTATTGGTCTATGGTTTGCGTATGCGTATAGTATCTGCTTTGGACTCGAGTTGAAGCCGTGATCTGATCCCGCTTGCCACAGTTTCGTGCGATATAAATTCGGTGAAGCGATTCCAAACAAGGCCAACGCTGCTACCGTTCCTGCCAACTCCAGGATAACCAGACCGATGAACACTCGTGGATTCTTCCATTTCTTCGATAAATGTGGCATCCGAATTCCGAACATGATTGCTGACTGCCGAGAGGTCTCGATCAACGAGGTTGCACGGGAAATCGAGCTGCGGATGAGAGAGTCGCTGGCGGTTCGGACGAGAGCTGGCGCACACAATTACAGTCGGTCGTTGATGTCGAGGAATCGACGTCGTCGTCGTCGCAAGAAAGCTTTACATGGACAGACAGCTTCGAGAGGTGAGAGAGGCTTTGCGAAGGGGCGGCCCCCATTATGAAGAGGCACATCCTTTCAGCGGGTGATGGTGTGCAGTCGTTGGTCGAGAACAACCGCCCAATGACCATTGGGGGATGATGTGAAGAGAAAGCGCTTACATGCAGCGTCGAGGTGGGCGAAGGGGAACCTGGGGGGTAGAGTGGCCAATCGCAGGCGAGATCAGCACAAAGGCATAAAGATAGCTCGAGGCCGAGAGTCATGGAAGCCTGAGGCACTCAGAGCTTTGTGCGGCAAACATCTTCCACACCCTTTTCTCTGCCGGTTCGCTTCTCCACATCCCTCGTACATGTGTATTTCAGTCCCAACATGCACATTATTGTTACCGCCGGAATATGGTTGTGGTGACTGCCCCGATCATATCTCGGCGGCTACCGTGGTACATACCGGCTCATTTTGGTCATTTAGTCCCGAGAGTTCCGCATTCTGCTATCACTTAGCGAGTGTCATATGTCGAATAAACTCTTTGGTCTATATGTTCAACGTCGTTTGGTGCAAAGCTTCATCTAATTACTGTCCTGGATGCTTCCCCTTCATTACGACCACTTCTTGTGCCAGCTCTTTCACGTCGTTAGTTGTCTCTTTTATCACAACTTGAAGTCAAGTTGCCGGCACTTCTGAACGTGTACTAGTTTTCTTTGCTTAGCTTCTGCTTTCTCTTCTTCGACTTGTAGTTCTAGCTACTCTATCTTTTTTTACTTGTTAAGCCACGGCTAGAGTCATCATAATAATCATCTGCAACAAGTACGAGGAAAGACTGGGTATTGAAGAACCGCTATTTGGAAAAATCTATGTTATTGTGTCCAATAACTCTTGTTTGGAGACCACTCCTCTAAACCTTCACTTCGATCCAGATACATCAAAGCCGAATCATCGAACATATCTAATCAATTTGCTTAAAAGACTGGCCTTGAAGCAAATACGAGTCATTGCCATCTGAAACCAAAGCATTACTCTTGTCCTTTCGGATGGTTCTAAGAAGGAACCCCGGGTGCAGAGCAGCCATTGCTACAGTAACTCCAAACATAAGCGCTGCATCAAATACATAGAGAAATATCTCCCTCTTGTGTATCGTACCATCTGGCCCTTCTGTAAACTCCACCAGACGGAAAGCACTCCTCACGAAGACCATCAAGCTTACGGCGTACAGGTTGTACATGTTCCGCCTCCATTTGATTTGTGGGCGCCTCGAAATGACAGTAGGGTCTCTGTTCAAGCGAACGTGAACTACCATCGTCATAGTCACAAAGCCAACGAACGCAGCCAGCTGAAAAGCCAATCCTCCTATGACAATGTTGTTTCCCAACTTGGCCCCTGCGGCATCTCCACTCGATTGCATTGCAGAGCCTGCCATCTGGCAAACGAAACTGCCAATGTCGATGATGACATATATTTTCGTTGTCCAACTTGGTCGTATTACAGCTTTATCTTCTGCCTCCAGACCTCGAATGAAACGGCCTAATGTCATGTATATCGTTGCGGAGAGGAGTGGTGCTGATGCAAGAATCAACATCAGTTGAATGAGGTAAGGACTGCCATTTCGGATATTTTCGTGAGACCACGCCCGGCCATAATAACCACCAGCTTCACCTGTTGGATTTGTTAGAGCAAGACCAAAACTTTACCAGGTGTCTTCACTTACCAGCACACCCTAGAATGAAAGGTACAAAGTACCATGATCGTAATGGGATCATCATCACAAAATGTGTCACTCCAGCAATTGCAAACAGCACAAGGAACGCCCATCCTGGTGCAGCTGCTGGCGTGTATGGGTAAAGGTCGAAGGGAGCTTCACCTCGGGGTTGCAAAATCTGGCTGCCCATTACTGTGGAAAGTGATGAAGTAGGCTGTCAATGTATACGAAGCTTTTTGACTATGAGGAAATGTAGTATAAATGAATGAAGGCACCAAGAGTGAAATGACAGAACTATAGCAAAAGAAGTATTGGCTAGTGGGCATCACAATGCTTAGATATATACATCTTATCGACGCTTCGTATTGCTTTCGTATCAGGCAATTTGAGCTGGGACCAGAAATCTATTTTCAACCTCCGTGCTAACAGTCTCACAGTGACGAGGACTTCCTAAAACTACCACCTCTTTTATCGACAGTGGTAGCCCAACAAAAATGATATGCTCTAAATTGCGAGGGGCTTGATTGCGAGTGGCTGGACTGGATTCCAGACCCATTTGACATTAGCGAGTACGCTGGATTTCCCAATCGGGACGAACTGTACGAGCATTAGCTATGCGATAGTGTCACGTGTGACGCTTGCTGAAAATTCCATTGGTTTTGGCGTGTGTAAAGCTGTGACGGATGTTTTATGCGCCTACTTTCCCAGATGCTCGTGCAGGTTACATTAAGTTCGCGCACCTCGAAACATTGAAACCAAGGAGAAAAAACGTCCGAATTATAGAAAACTGTTGACAGGAGGGCTCGCTTAGCACTGGTGCACCTAACGATTTCAATGGAAGCTATGAATAGGTAAGTTATCTACCTCAAGCCGACTTACCTAGTTAATTAAAGCCAATGTGATAAGAAGAATTGTTTTAACAACGCTCATTTACAAGAACATCAAGACTTCAACCACTCACAACCAACAATAACCAGTCCTTACTCCCATGGGTGGACATTCGTCTTCTCACCCTTCCCATCTCGGTAATCATCCAGAACCTTGTTCACGACATCTGCGTCCAAGCCTTTCACAACCTTATATTTGCTTGAACTGATCTTTCCATCTTTAAGCCATGCAGGGACTTCCTTCCAGAAGCCCATTGCCAGTTCTGGGTGGCCTGTTGAAACCCCCAATACCAGCCTACGCTCATAACCGGCGCTCTTCGTACCAATGTGGTCAGGATCAAAATCTCCATCAGGTCGACGAAGCGTGATGAGTGTGCCTTTCTTCGAGTTGGAAAGCGCAGCGACGCCAACCTCTTGTTTCTGACCAGGATTCACCGTATCAACAGCATAGATCAGGTCGTCCCCGGTGATAGCGCGGATTTGACCTAGTACATCGCCGGCGTGCCGGTCAATCACGTGGGAAGCCCCCCTCGTTTTTATCTCGGCCTCATTACGAATCCCGGCAACTACGATGATCTGTTTGATTCCTGCAAGCCTGGCCAGTTCAATCGTAGCCATTCCAGTATTTGAGCCACCTCCGATAACCAGAAGAGTGGTGGCAGCGAAGTCAAAAGAAGCTGCTTCAGCCGAGAACGGTGGAGGAAGACCGAGACCAGAGCTGGAGAAAAGTGCAATGAAACCCGCCAACACAATTACTGGTATGGTTGATGCTTCATCGTCGGATAGACCTGTATCCGCTACTTTGGCAACGAATCGCGCGTCCGCGAGAGCATATTGCTGAAGAGGGTTGAAGTCATTGGCATCACCATCTTTGACGAACGTATGGCCGAAGACATGATCACCAATGTTGAATATTTCAGAATGCTCCCCTTCGCCCACGCCCACGACTTCGCCAACTATGTCGCTACCAGGAACAAAAGGGAAGCTCGTGACGAAAAGACCAGCATCGCGAGTTCTCTGATCGTGAGGGTTGACTAGAGGGTAAGGATTAAGACCTCTGCGGTTTTGTAGGAACAGATATAAACTTACGACCAGCGACGAGAACCTTAAGTAGCAAATGATTTTGGCCGGGTTGTGGGATTGGACGATCTCCCGGAACCAATGGCGTGCCAATTTCGCGAAGTACAAGAGCTTTTTGAGACATTGCTTTCTGTGGTTTTAAAAGGACGTAGAAGGAAACAATGAGTGCGACAATAAAATAGATGTTCATAACATTAAAACTGGTCATAAACCTCAGATGGGAGTCCTCGGTGTTTAAATAGCGGCCCATAAAACAATAGTCTTCCAGCTATGCCAGAGAACTAAATGTTGAACTATGTAGTTTGTAAGCAAGATTGCGTCTTCAGTATTTATCAAGCACTAGCGTTAATTAACCTGTCTTTAAGTGCTTCGAAAACTCAAAATCCAATTGTCACGAGATTATTAATCGTTCGTATCATTCCGAGGTGGGTGGAAATTTGTAACGTATCCTTATATCATGGCCATGCCAATTTTTAGATCATACTTTCATTCTGCTAGCTCCTCTTTGGTTTGTCAACTCGTCTGTTAACGCCGAAATGCTAAGTATCTACTTATATAAGCAATACATACAATGCTGGAGTATACTCTGCAAGAAACAATCTTTATGTTCAGTGTTTGCAAGAAAATATCTGGCAGTAAGTAGGGATGGATGGTGATCTCTGTGTGTTGTTTTCACCTTACTCTAATGTTCAGACATAACTATCTTTTTAGGAAAACTTTACGACGCTGTTACTCTCTCGACGTTTTGAATCACTTCCACAAGTCCACTTGCTGGGTGTAACTATGAACGTTCTCATGACTGATGTTTGTTTTCAATCATCCTGAAACCCAAGTTCAGGCCTCTCGGTCGCGACTTCCCTTTGTCAAGGTTCGCGTCCATGCATCAGGGACACTTCAACATTTCTTTCCAAAGTCACAATTTCATTTTCGAGTTCGTCACTGTGCATTCTTTCGGGGCGAGAAATCTGCAGTATTATCATTACCAGCATTCTTACTTTACAATTGTCACAATGTCCATAGCCGAACAATGGTTCCGAGAAGTCCTCGATGCAATGTTTTGGACGCAGTCACACCTCGCAAAACTTCCAGAAGAGCTCATTCGCTACATCCTTCTGAACCTCGACTCCATCAGCTCACTGCAGCGACTTTGCACCGTCTACCCTACACTGACCTCATCATGCGTTTCCACCTTCGACAAAACCATCAGTGGCATATTGCGAAAAACGATGGATGAAGAGCTCCAATGTTATCTGTACGCCATTATCGCAGCTCGAGAAAGAGGAAGAATGAATGGAACTCAAATGCGATTGTTCTTGCAGGATCATGTCGAAAATGCCGACTTGAGCAAACCTCCAGCCGACGTTTCGCGGTCCTCAGAAACCATCGAGTATATGGCCTGGATTCTTGAATCGGTAGACAATTTTGTGGAGTACTGCCCCATGATATGGTCAAAGGCGTGTGGAACAACAGACGCCATCCAGCTTTTCGATGACAATGCATGTCCCCCAGACATCCTACCACTGTCGATGTGGAAAGACAAATACCGCCTCCGACGAGCACTCTTAAGATTTCAACTGTTCTCCGAGCTCTTCCACACTCCTGGTAACACTTCAGATTTCCCGAATATGACGCTAATACCCCACTGGGAGGATAACTTGGATGCCCAAGAACATTTCTGGAAGCGATACGAATGGTGGGAAGTAGAAGAGTGCAAATGCATCTACACCTTGCTATCAACTGCCGTTGTATACTCGAAGCATCTATCTTGGGAATGTAAACTTCCTAAAAGAGTTCCCAAAACCTTCCAAATGAGAGGTCTCCCTCAGCTCTCACTTTTCCTTTGTCCAGACCGAGGATGGGAGCTCACGTCTTTTGGTTCGAACTACATCGTCGTGTTCTCTTTGCTCAGCTCTCGTGGTTTCAGTCAAATTGATCGCGGCGACCACGGCTTCTTCTCCACTGCAAATATATGGCAGTCAATGACCGAGCCTATCGCCACAGCACATCGTCGGACGACCGCAGCAACCCGGCGTTGGGCACCGAGTCCATTTCCTGGGGTTACTTTGAAACAACTATGTATGTCGAGTTGGCTCACAAACGCTGTGCCGATTGAGTGTCGAAAACTCGTCACTCTTGCGGCGAGAAGAAAATGCTTGAGGTTAGTTGGGTGGGTGTTTTGGGACAAGGGAGATCTTGCGAAATGGTCGTATTGGGGGTGTGAGCTTGAGGATTTTCGTGATCAGAGTCAGGATGATGGTTGGTTCTGTTCGAAACACAATAGACCGACTGCACCACTTGCAATGGTCGAGCCGGAAAACGGTCAGTGAGAGGGGGAAACGTGTATGGTATATTTGAGAAAACTACAGCAATTATGGATAGTATTAGCGACAGTTCATTCATTGATATCCCCCGCTGTTACGTGAAATAAATTGTGACGATTAAAACAAATCGCCTTTACTTATCAATGATAGGAGTTGTTCTAGGGAAGAAAAGGGCATCTCGGAAGTGCTTGATCCTTCTATCTCCGTGCAAGAACTTTAAGAAGACCCAATCAAAATAAATTATGGATAGCTAAGGTCTAACTTAATATTCTAGAAAAATACAAGTCCATGAGGTGAAGTTGTGGCACAAAATTTTGTGTAGCCATGACGTCTTAGATTCTTCGCAAGGAAAGCACGTTTGAGCGAAGGATCAATCTAGACTAAGCGATTCTACATTACATCAAGTCAATAGTCGAGAAGCAACATCAAAACATACGAGAGCATTATCTTTAATAAACACAAGGTTTGAGGACTTAACTTGCATAGTCGTCTGTGGACTTTTTCACGAGCCGTCAACAAAACCAGCAAAACACAGAAAATCCAGCGTAAGAAACGGGAAGGTTCGAAGTGTATTCGAAGATGTATTTCCCGACTCGTACTCATCCGCTTACGTCTGCAATATTTGAGGCTCGTGTCGTCTAAATTGTCTTAAAACGGTGTGACAGCTGTCAGGTATTGAGACATGGTAAGACAGCGGAGGCGTACATTGGATCATGAAGGATCTAGCGGGAATACAGTGTACCACCGAAACGGTTGGGAATTGAAGTTCTAGAAGGTTGTGGTGTTAAAAGTTGGGTCTGGAACTTGGTTCGGTTGGAGAAGAGGTGGTGATGTGCGCCTTTTGAGAGTGAGTTGGAGGGTTTGGATGGAGTGATGTGTGGAATTTGATCGGAGGATTGATACTTGTAGGGAGGTTTACATGGAGGGATTTGATAATAATTGGCTTTGGATTAAGATTTATGTACTGCTCCGCTGATGCTTGGATAATCAAATACACAGAACAGAGTACATTCTGTGTAGACCGTATACTTTGAACGCCAATAACGACGATGACTCTCAGCTACGAACACCCACACAAATGACAATTCTCGGCTATTATATGAACCAAGACGCGAGGTCGTTGATAAGGCGTAGGCAATTGGCTGGTAACGTGCCGGGGATAGTATCGACAGTTTTGCTCCCGATGCGGAAGTAGAACCCAAGCTCTCCAACATGATTCCTAGACACCACCCACATCCGAACTCCAAACGCTCAACCCAAAAATTTATACGCCCAACAATCAACAACACCATGAAAATCACCAAATCCAAAGCCTCGAAGTCGACCCAGAGCATTTATTAAATCAAACTCTGATTCGGATCCCTCTCTCCGCTAACCGGCGGCCCCTGTATCTCGCCTCTCTGCCGTCTCGATTGTTCCTCCATCGGTGGAATCATAGCTGGCGTCGTTGATGTCTTCATAAAAGATGATGCTGCGTGCGTTGGTATGTGATGATATCTATTTTGTTCTTGTGGCTGTGCCGTGGCTTCTGATTGTGGACGCCAACACCACCCAAATAGTCGTTCCCAATATGACTCTGCATGGGTACGCTCTGACGCATATGTTGCTTCGGGTTTCGAGGTGAGGCCTCTCATTGTGAATGTGATTTGGATTTGGAGAGTGTTGAAGAAAGAATTCGAAGGATTTCTGGTGGTTCAGCTAGACAAATCTATGACGATGGCTTGTGTCAAATAAGGTTTGTTGATGGATAGATGGTGGTTGAAGTTGTGGAAGGAAGTACTGATATACAATATCAAAGAATAGTAGGGTATAGTAAGATAGAGCGTAACGTAGATGACTTTATGTACAATTATATAAACATACAAAGAATGCAGAAATTTTCATCAAGAGTGCGGGACAACCAGAACGTATATGTACCAAAGCCATGGCTCGTTTTCAGCCATATGGGTTGGCCGAGTTGTCTCAGAGCCTCACACCTCTAAGCAGGTGGGATTTGCATGGCCACGAGCTGATGTGTACCAGATCACCAACAACAAAGCGCTGGCATTCGTTGGAAGGTCTTCCAGAAATTGAAAGATGGCGTGCATGGCTTACCCAGCTGAGCCACGAGATGTCCACCATTCCAACATTGGGACGGTTTGGGGCCGCTTATGGCACAGTCAGGATATGCTTTTTCATCGCTAATTCTCCATGTGCGGTCAGCGCCATGTCACTCCGCTTGTGGTTATGCGTACGACGGGAAGCTGTTGATTGATCATTGGGGAGATTGGATCCCGTGTGTGATTGTGGTGTGGTGGGCGTTTCTTCATCTGGATAGGATATTCAAGAAATACCGTATGATTTGGACCGTCTCTCGACAGTCCAGATCTCCTATCATTGCTGAAAAGTGCCTCTTTTCAGCCAGCGCAGCGGGGTAGTATTTCAGATGTGGTCGTGGTGACTGGGTAGAAATTTTGAGGGCTGAATTGAATGGCGTAAAGGGCGCAGTATGATAGGGCTGGAGTAGGATCGCATTGTGTTTTCAGCCACCCAATGGAGATCACCAAACTGATATTACGGGAGAGGTGATTTGTGCATGGATGAGAGAAAGCTTCGCGAAGTATTTTTAGATTGCAAAAGTGCCAATATTCGGCTCTCGGATCTCGGAGTGTTAGTCGGGAGACTCGGAATGGCTGGCGGAGCTCCGACCACCAAAGGGAATTCAATCAGAGCTCTTCGAAAGAGAGATCTAAATTCCTACGTACGATGGCTGTAACTTACATTGGCCCGGTAGTGAAATAGGAATTTACTGCCGCATCTAACTATATAAATGTTAATAACCAAAACCTAAGTGAAGAAGTTCTACAACCTGGCAGTTAGCGAAGGAGTCAAAGCAACCACTGGCGGATGAAAAAGAAAGTTGTAGATTGGCATAATAATTGGTATCGATTCAATTTCCCAGATCATAACATGGACGCTTGAATTGACAGAAGTAGCTGGTGAACTCCGTAGAGGTTGGTGATACTTCGTACACGTACGCTTTTGTCATTCCACATTTTCAAGGTCCTAAGCTCGAAGCGTTGGCAAATCCGCGAGATCCATTTAGTTGAAGGTGTGCCTTACGCGAAGTTATACCTACGTCGCGTCGCTTCGCCGCATCACGTTTTTTACCAGACACGAGTGTACGAGGTACATGACAAAAAAGCTCAAGCTTCACAAACTCGAGTCAGAAGACCATCTTCTGATTACAAAATCGGGACTTGATTCAAATGCCATGTACTACCGAGATCTGCATCAGGATTCTCCCAGCCGGAGATATACCCTTTAAAGGGCTTCGGCCCGTGGAGGGGCCGCGTCCGTTGCAGACTTGCCATGTCAAAATGCAGCTATCCGGAGAACGGATTGGACCTCGGCTACTCACATAGATACCATTTCTTCATTCCTCAACGCCATCTTCGGACGCACTTCAACCACCTCCAATTATGTTTACAAATACGCAAGCCCTCGACATGCGAACCATAACAAACTTCGGACATCGACCCTAATGCCCTGCGTTTAGTGGGCTGCGGTCTTGGTCATCGAAGAGTCTAGGTGAAATCCACCTATGACGCGGGCGTTTTAAATTTTATATTTAAGACTTTGCCATCACTGCTACTAAGACCTGACATTTCCATTTACGTTTCCCTTAACAAGCAATAACAAACGCAATACCTCACACTTCATATTTCATTTAGATACCCGAAACAACAGCAAAAATGGTTCAAAATAAGTCTCTCGTCTACAAGCAGATCCCACAAGGGTTTCCTGTAGCTGGAAAGGATCTTGCTGTCGAGACCCGCGAATTTGATATTGATCAAGCACCTCCAGCTGGCGGAGTCACCACAAAGAACTTCTATGCCTCATTCGATCCATATCAGCGAGCCAAGATGCGGCCGACGGACAAGAAATCCTACACACCACCATACAACCCAGGGGAGCCATTTTACAACAGTGGTGTTGGAAAGATTATTAAATCGGACAACGACAAATACAAGCCAGGAGATTTGGTCACTGGAATGATCAACACCGAGGAGTATTCCGTCGTTCAAAAGCAGATTGCAGATACCATGATGAGAAAGATTGACAACCCATACAACCTCGATCTCCAGGTTTTCCTTGGAGCGATGGGTATGCCAGGACTCACTGCATATTCCTCTTTCTACGATATCGGCAAGCCAAAGAAGGGCGAGACGATTTTCATCTCTTCCGCTGCCGGAGCTGTCGGCCAAGTTGTCGGTCAATTGGCAAAGCACGAAGGTCTGAAAGTTATTGGATCTGTCGGCTCGGCCGAGAAGCTCGACTTCATCACCAAAGAACTAGGTTTCGATGCGGGGTTCAACTACAAGGACGAGAAGACAGCAGATGCACTTGCCCGTCTCGCTCCCGACGGAATCGACATCTACTACGAGAACGTCGGCGGAGAGCAACTGGAGGCCGCTCTCAACGCATTCAACGAGCACGGCCGAATCGTCGCTTGCGGCATGATTTCCGACTACAACAAGTCCGATACCGAGAAATACGGTATCAAGAACTTGTTCCAGTTTATTGCCAAGCGATTGACAATGCGCGGATTCATCGTGGGTGATAAGGATATGGGACCAAAGTATATGGAGGAGCGTAACAAGAATGTCGCGAAATGGCTTTCGGAGGGCACGTTCAAGGCTAAGACACATGTCACGGAGGGAATGGATAATGCTGCTGAGGGATTCATTGGGATGCTTCAGGGTAAGAATTTTGGAAAGGCAGTGTTGAAGATTGCTGAGCAAGAGGTTTGAAATCCCGTCCTCGTCTATCTATGATGTGCTAATTGGATGTCTAGTAAATCACAAGTTGTGCCGCCGAAATGCGCAGATCAGTTTTATAAGATAAAAAACAAAAAAAACAATTGATACCATTACCATCTACCCGTCTTTTAGTGAGGCATATAAGCCGTACCTTACTCGAGGTATTGATACGGCCAATCGCAACAAAGCCCTCTTCTGTAATCCAGCCTGTGTACTCGAAGTCACCTCGTACCTTATCAAACTTCCATAACCGCGTGTCAAGTTTGCACAATGAAGTACAAAGAACACGATGATGGTGGTCCAACCCGACCTCCTCAATCGTGTACCCTTATCCCCCTACCCTCTCACTCGCCTTCCTCTGACATACTCAAACATACGATACTCGGTCACCACCCCTCCTCCTCCTCCTCTTCCATCAAACATCAAATCCTATGACAAACTTACCCTCCCACTCCCTTTGCAGCACGACACACCATCATCTCACCCCCATACACCCCGCCTCTCCTGGCTAGACCAATTCTTCAACAGCCCGCGTAAGCGAGAATCGACATCTCACATTCAAGGTTACACAAGAAGGAATTCCGCACGGGAAGTTCCCGAGACAACTTACTAGACAGGAAGTTCCAGTAGATGAGGGGCTGGATCATCTGATGTAAGACCTATGTTATTCTATCGTTTTTGGGCGTTTTGTGATGTCTATGATTAGTGGTTGATTCTGGAATATGGGAACAAGACTTCAAGGAACTCTCGTGTTTATTCTGGGTGGCTGAAGCTTTCTGTGGTGGTTTAAATGGTTGGCATCACTGGCATGTTCACAAAACATTGACATAGTTGTGGTTGTTTACGTACAGCGGGCTGAGTTTGCTGCATATCCATGATCACTAATGTCCTTGATTGTTTATCATATAACTTTTATTTCGTGGCGCTTATAGTTCATTAAATCTTTTTCTCATCTAAATATCCTCCCGTAATATGATTGTTATGTTCAACTGATGATGCGTAAAACCTCCCCCGCTTATTTACGCGATGAAATGTATGAAGTTGATACCGCCTCTAAACGATTTAGCCTCGAGATCGTCGTGTCGAGGTCAAGAGATTGTTCAAGATATGGGCAGTGTAACTCTCTTCAACTGAAGCAGAAATCTACAGCTGGCACCGAGGACGGGGCAAGTTGTATGCTGTAATTGATCCGAATGTCAAAACGCAAGTGTTGCTCTGAAGCGATTATAAATCTGCATCGGATAAACAATGTTTATGATGAAATGATCTCGAAGTCCCAGCTGCGATATGGCAAAACCATCGGTTTCAACCATCCAGAGCACGCATCTTGATGCAATTTCGTGTAGATTGTTACAGAAAGGTAATCTGAAGACAATTAGCATAACTAGCGAGAAACTTCAACAACTGTTCCTACCAGGCTCACCAGTCACTCTCGTTTTCATTCCAAGGCATCACCGAATCTGGGATATCGTAGCAGAGGAAGTAATCTCGGAATCTGCCTTCGCCAGATTGTGCACCAGACCCGTCCAATGTAAGGCAATTCTTCAAAACCGGCCCCAAAATCCGCTTGACTGCAGAATTCAACTCCTCATTTGCATGATCTATAGTACACAGTTTTCGAAACCAAGCTGGATAATAAATCACTCTCGTTTGTGTGGATGCCACTAAGACATGAGATCCTTTCAAATGGTGGCGCCAGACTGTTTCGAACTGGGCAGAGGCTTTACCTTCGAGAATAAGCCCAAGAAGGTCTCTTTGAACATTACAGAGATATGCTCTGAACTGCTGGTCAATCACTCTTGCGATTGAGAATATGGTCGGATTCTCAACTTTTAGATATCGGGGGTTATGGAAGGGCCCAAGGAGATGGATAAGACACTCTCGGAAAAGATAGGGGTGTCGAAGCTTAAGTGCCCACTCAATCAACTCTAACGGAGTCTTCTGGATACTGGCATATAAGTTCGGATTTTTGATGAGTGTCTGAAAAAGCGAGTTTTTAACGACTGGAAGGCAGCAAGTGAAATCGGCCAATATGGTTAAGCGACAAAGGTCTGTAGCATCTTCAATTACCGCTTGCTGGGAGAAAACTGCTCGAAGAAGGTTGTGGAAAGCCTTTTCTTCTCGTTCACTGTCTCCAATATAGGCAGTCATATCACTAACACGATCCTAATTGAAGATTAGCAATGTCTCAATGACTGAAGATAGCGTTCATGGGTACCTCAGGTGCGCTTGAAATACACCAACCACCATCAGCTTCGACCTTTGTATACCACTGGTATTTAAATTTGGATGAATATTTCTTGTTGGTAGAGCCGTTAGAAGGATCCAAGAACTTTTGGAAGTACATCGTATTTGCTTTTAGACCCACAGAGCTAACACGAAACTCCTGGTTAAAGACGATGATGCTGGTATCGACCGCTTGTCCGGGGGATATAAACATGATAGGACTTTGTTTGACGATCTTTGTCTTCTTTGCAGAAGGTTCTTGAAGCTGATCATCATGGCTGGTAACGGTCAACGAGGTCGAGGAATCTACTTGTGGAGGTGACGATAGGCTCGAAGAGGTTTCTGAACTGGATCTCTTCATGGGTGCCATGTTCGCAACCACGAAATTGAGGAAAGATGTCAAGGTTGTGGTATGTGGTGTTGAATAACGGTGTTAAAAATTGTGAGGTTGTTGATGTTGAGAAGGTTAGCATGTGGCTTACACGAGTGGAATAAATACTCGCTAGAGGCACTGAGCAATGATGAGAGAACTAGCGTGAAAGTGAGGTCAAATTGACTTATTGAAGTTCAAGATCCGAGGTTGTGATGTACCCGCTAGGAAGTAGGAGATATCTAACGGAATATTGTGGTATTAAATCGTCAATTGTGTTCTTGAACCCGGTGTTGATCGGAATGCGAAGGAGAAGTATAGACTCGAGCAAGAATTCTTGGATCAGAGAGGTATTCGTCTATGTAGCTGAAATTGTTCGTGCGCAGTAGAAGGTCTTGTGTTGCGGTGTTGTTGAAGTGAAAAGAAGGTTGAAAGATTGTGTAGCCGAAGAAGAAGAACTTGAAAAGTGGCGTGCAACATAAGGACTCTATGAAAAGAAACCTCTGCAGTTACCATAGATCTGGTATTGAAAACCGACGGCCGAGTCTGAGGTCTTACTAGCCGTGGAAGATAAAATGCAAATTGCAGAAACGATTACTATTGCGTGGTCAAGAATGAAGTTTATGACTTGTCTGAGGACGGTAATGTGTTATGGTCTCTGGGTTGATAAAATTATACTTTTAGCGTATAAATTTTGGCCAATTTAGGAAGTGACGACTTTCGCGTCGGTGCCGAAGCTTCGACTACTTGCTTGAATTTTGAAATTTCAGCGCTTCTAGGCAAGGAAAGATAGAATTTCGATTGGTAAATCGAATACTCAAATCTTACAACATGTGGACGTCCACCTAGTAGCTTTCTGTTACAATATTTGACGACCGAGCATGAGCGTCAACAACAATCAAATTCAACCACATGCTATCACTTTTCCCATTGAATTCGTATGTTTGAAACAGCCTATATTATGTTTAAAACTTGCTTCAAACTCGAGTACTTGATCTCAGAAGTGTGCTACATCATGTCACCAGTGACCAATAGAAGTTCCATGAGCACCTCTGGACACTTTTCCGGTACGGTAAGCAAATACTTGAACGCAGAGTTATACAGTTCCATTGGATCTTGAAATGTACATCACAGTTGCTATGAAAATTACGACTATACCCTCCGCTATCCTATATCAAAACACGACTGAAGCCTCTCCTAACTTAATCAAACACAAAAATGACGACTGTAGGCTTCAAAGAAGCAGAATCAATCCAGCGTTGAAACGGACTTTTGGAGCAACCGGACTTTTTACTTTTGTTATTGCATAGCCGTCTTCAACTCAAGAGGAGCCACACAAGGATCCTTAGAAAATGTCGTCTGCAGTCCTTCCCAAGTCGAAGCAGACTGACCACTGGCCAGACCCCTCCCAGCAGCCATATCATCCAACTTCTCCTTGACAATCATAGCCGACTCTACATCGGCAAAAACAATCGTTGCATTGCCCCCATTATACAACCATATCAACTGTATGTTCTCCTTCCCAACCAACTTCTCACACAGAGCTCGGAGGTTCTTCTCACCAAACATGAAGAAGAACCTGGACTTGACGATTGTTAAACGGCGGCTTGCGAATGTGGGAGGTCCCATAGCTCTCAGGATATCGTCTTGTTGAAATGGATCGCCGCGAACGGCTTCGACTATGCACTTGAAACGTTCTGGTTTTCCTTCGCTTCTTTCGCGTGACAGCACTTGCCAGAATGTCTCTGCTTCGCTGGCATGTTGGAATACTATGCCAGCCCAACGACTTCCGTTTTCTGCATCTATGCCAAAGCGAATGGCGCGAAGTGCTCCCTCTTTTACTGCGTTTGAGATATCTTGGAGATTGAGATTGTTCGGTATACCCAGGAGATGAACCACTCGGATGGTCTGGACGTGAGATTCTCCTCCGCGAGGAGCTGATATACTTGGAATTCGACCGACAGGTTTTAGCCGTGGGCCACCGGGGCCTCTGGAAGCAAGTGCAATGTTGATGACTTGATGACTTGGGTTTGCAGTTCCTGCAATATTGGCCCATGAAGAAGCTTGAGTAACGAAGCCTTCGGGAGGTGTCGTGACAACAGTAGGAAGATCTGGATCTTCCGAGTCTTTCTTTGTAGATTCTTCTTGGGCATCTACTTCCCAATAGTCCGGATCATAACCCTCCTCGTATTGTTCCTCAGACCTGTCCGAACCCTCTCTATTGCTTGACACGTCTGCCTCCTGAGATTCTGCATTGTCCTGCGGTTGAGTCGGTTGTTTGACCCTAGCAATCACAGGAGAAGGATGACGATGAGTATTGTCTTCCTGGTTCTCATCATCTCCCAGTAGACCTCTCCCCTCATCTTCCGAGATTCTCTTCCCGACCCCTCCCTTCCCATCAATCCTAACATGCCCATCCGGCCCAACAGCCTCACAACACCTCAGCACAAAGACCCTCCTCTCACCCCCCTCCCACTCCCTAAATGCCACGCCATGAGCGCCTTTGAGCACCCTCTTACTCTCGTCTTGTGACCCCATAACTACCCAGCGAAACGAGACCTCGGATTTCAGATCAACAACCACGATACACTTATCCACGTTCCCAAACTGCGCGAAGAAAGTGCGCATTGCTGGCGGCGCGACATCTGAGGGGATACCTGTGACATAGATGACGCGCTTGTCGAGAAATTCGCGTCGGTATTGGGGTGGAATCGCGGGGATGAATTCAGTGGGTTTGAGGCCGTTGAAGGAAATCCAGCCGTCTTCGAAACCTGGGGGCGCGGTGGAGGGGTTGATCCCGAGAGCATCAAAGACCCAGAGAAGTTCTGGGTAGGGTGCCATTATATTATGCGTGCTACTGTGTGGTGCTAGAGCTGGCACACGGCGTTGTGACGGTAATATCTTTGGTAAACCGTAGTGTTGTCTTGGGGAAATCATTCATGTAAACGCGTATAGTCGCGAGCCAATTATGAGGCGTGGGAATGTGGTGAGCAAGAGGATCAAAGCAACGTAATCCACCTTCAGATGAAATCTAAACAGTCTTTGGAGTGTCGTGATTTCGATCGAAGGTGAAGTGATGGTGGTATGTTTGGTTCCTCGCTAAAAACATTGCGATATGATTCACCTCGTGCATTCACCTCATTTCAAACTGATGCCAGAATTAGAACTTGCACAAGAGTTGCGGTGCTATGCCAGAGCTGAAACGCCAAAATTGAATATTCAATTAGCTTCTTGATACGCGTTTATCCGACCTAGTAGTCATGTATACATGGAAATGTGTTTGTGTTACTAAAAATGATTAGCATCAGTGTACGTGATAGGTGTAATGGATCAATGAAATTCCTTTTACCCAGAAGTAGACCAAATTAAGGAAGAAATATTTAAATTTTGACAAAGTCTAAGTAATCTATGCAAGCGAAAAGTATGCTTTTGAAGCAACGAGCCATAGTGATACATACACAGACGGGGTATACCATTACATGACGCGTCAAGTTAACTACTATGTCAACTTCAACATCCATTTTTTCTTGACAAGTCCAAAAAAATCTGAAACAGGTAGCAAGACCAATCCTCGCAAGATTATCAACTACCATTCTTTTTCCTCGCGAAGCTGATCCAGCGAGCCAGATTACCCTGCACCTTAGCAGCGGCCTCGCCCTCTATCTCCTCGACATACCAGAGTGCTGGCACTAATAACCTATAAGGCATTGTGATTCCTGCTGGGTCCTTCGGACTAACCTCAACGTTGAGGCATATGTCTAGCCCGTTTTCAAGATTGACCTGAACATTCCCAGCCTTGCGCTGCTTTTGTGATAGTCCAGTAGGAGTTCGATGGAATTGCCGTTTATTGAAACCTTTCTGTGGTGTTGCACCTGCGATAGATGTCGAAGCTCTTTGGACCGGATTCTCAGGATCCCGACCGGACGGCTGATCCATTCGTGGAAAATAACTGTCTTGATCAGGGCTTCCGGCACCACCACGTAGACCAACCCGGCGTGGTTCACTAGGTTCGTCGTCATATTCATCGTCGTAAGAGTCACTGTCTGAGCCGTAACCATTGATACCTCCACTGTCGGGTTTCCGTTTACTGTTCCTGCGGAATAAACTGCTTCCTCTAGTGAGCGAGAGTGTTCTTGACAACATGCCTGGTCGTTGAGAGTCCGTGGAACCACGACGGGCTATCGAAGGACGTCGATTAAAGAAGCCCGGACTAGAAAGTGGCGGAGCGGAGGCATCTGGTCGATACCTTGGACCGAGATCGCGATTCTTCGAAGTAGATAATCGCCGCAATAGGCCACCTCGAGGTGGTGGAGGCGTGCCGCTTCCATCTGTTTGAGGAGTGGGAGGTGGTGATAACTCAGGATCATACATCTTGATTGAGCACCAATTTCTGCGATTTAAGAGGCATTTGTTATTCCTTGGCTTACCAGTAACATCGTGTGTAAATATCGGAATCATGTCTTCATCAGTATCTGCATCTAGATGGTGAACTTTGTTGCGTTTGTTGAGAACATCGGCGAGTGTGTCCGGTGGCGGGGCATTGACAATTGCTGAAGATATAATGTTTGGCATGTAGCGATGATCTTTGTCCTTAGCAAGTCCGTACTTTGGATTTGAATAAAACTGTCCAATGGCGCCAAGATGCACATCACCACTACCCACGTTAGCTTTCATTACAACAAAGACGAGTCAGTACGAACCCTAGGATGGTTACTCTGACTGATTTTTCAGCAGCGAGATCTTGTAATTCTTGAATAAAAAAGTTACGCTCCTCCTTGTGATGTTTAGCAGTCCAATGGTCATCCAAGTCATCTAAGATCTCTACACCACCGTCAAGATGATTGAGAAGGTTCTTGCCCAGCAGACCAGCTCTTCCTAAAGCTTTGATGGGGTTCATAGCTTTTGAGGTCAGTATATTCTCCAGCCAGACCATTCTCGGATAGGCAACAGGTACTCCAAGCAATACAATTAGATGTTGTGTCTCGCCCTTGATTATGTCTCTCTCTAGACGATCAAAGACTTTATGGTAAGTTTCTGCGCTGACAATCTCGTCATCCATTCGTTCGGTACGACAATCAAGCCCCAGGAACGCAATACTCCGGCCAAGTTGGGTAAAAATGCTCCTGCTGACTTCGCCCATATATGGTCCCGGTGATTCACCCAAGATCCATTGGGGTTCAGTCTCTTCGCCTTCATCAATGCTACTCTGGTGCTGGAATAGCATGTAATATTTGAAAGCAATAGCACCCAAACCTCGCATGACTGGAGACCTCATGTACCTATCTGGGTATGATCCGTACCCATCGATAATGTCGTGGTCATCATAGATATTTATCATAGGAATCTGAGATATTGCAAGACCGAATAGGCCCTGGGAGAACCACATACAGTATCGATTCATATAAAAGGACTCGATTTCTTGTTGAAGTTCAGGCGTGAAAGGGACCTGTTCCTTGTGATGTGGATCCTTGATCCGAGTCCATTCTTTGAAAAGTACTGTTTCTTCCATAATTGCATCATTGTAAATCTGATCACCCCCTCCAAGCATGACATGGAATGGCTGGGTTTGGTGATTATTAAGCACATCTCGCCAGAGCGGGTCTGGGCCGTTGAAGGGATTTGGATCTGTGCCATAGCTAAAGCCGTTGCAGCTATGGAACATGATGTTCATGGCCTCGCCACGAGCTGGAACCCAGAAACCAGTAGCAGGTCCACGGTTGATACGGTATGCAATTCTCTGTTGTTTGTTTCGAAGCTCGATCTCAAGGTTAAACCTCCAGAAAGTGGCACCGTGTTCAGTATGAAGCCGGAAACCTCTTACCTCCTTGTATTTGCCGGCCTTTTCACCATCGTAATGTGGCTTCGAGCATTTGCGTTCAGAAGCCCCATCGAAATTGCTTCTCTCCGCCTCGAACAGACCTTCATTAGACTCCAGCTTGGACAGATCCTTGCCTTCCTCGAGGTCTTCCACAGGTCGAACAAATAGAGTCCTCCCATCTCTGCCCACTTTTGGAAGGCCAGCAAGCGGATCGACATATTCTGGTGCCAGTCCCTCCCCATCAACTTGTGATGGTGGCGGTGGCAGGAGATCCATGGGCTGTAGAAAGAGTCGCAAAGTCGGCGCCAGCTCGTAAGACGAGTGCTCATCTTGTGTTACAATCATAACACTACCTCTCCATATTTCTCGCTCATTTCTGATACCAGTCAATGCCTGGACCGAACGGGAAGGTGCAGGCTCCCGCCGAAGTCCACAATATCGCAATGAAGGGCCGGCTTTCAAGAACAAAGGGGGTTTGAATCTAGTTGGAGCTATATCAGGGCGCACGCGGATGGCCCGCGTTGGACAGGTTAGCGAATGCTCTATATGATGAGAAGAAGGGACATGTTTAAGAGAAAAATCCGGATTGGACTTAGAAGCTGGTAGTTGAGATGGGACTTGAAGCAGGTTAGCAGCCTCAGGGTTGGGAACATTCAGAGCTTCGCTGCTAGCAGCGCCCTGCATGTTCTTCCCCTTTCTGTCATACCCAAGATAATGACGCGATCGTGGATTGATCAGTGTCATCACCTTCCGCATGCTTCCGTGACCTCTAGCTTCAGCCGCACACCCCTCGCAACCGTTTTCGAGAATTGGAGATTGAAATTCCGTACCACTACTGTCGTCGTACTCTCCATCGTATGCTTCTGCCCTACGCTGTTTAGTTGTCGTACTGCGCCGGCGTTTCGTTGTATTGCCAGCCTCCCACCAAGCCTTATCCTTTTCTAACTCCATTTGCTCGTCGGCCTCTAGATTCAACAGAGAGCCAGAAAGTTGCGCAACGGCACCTTTCTTCCATTCATCCAGACGCCTTGAAGGTACATACACCCCTTGTCCAGGTACATCTTCGTGCCTGTGAGGAACGAGATTATGAATATGATGACCCCCTTCTTGTGATGCTACGTTGCGACTATTGTTCTCCGATTTTGTGAAGGGAAGACCATACTTGGTTCCATTTACCTTGACTGTTTCAGTTGCTTGTACATTTTGAGGCTGCGGTCTCAAGACTTCCGATGGTAACCTTTGCCCGGTAAGCCGTTCTATCTTGCTCAATCTGCGTGCTGGCTTAGCATTCGTATCTTCCTCGGAGTCATAATTGATCTCCCTGCTCTGCTCGACTGGTGATACAGGTGACACATCCACATCTCTGTCTACCGAATTCTGGCGATTTTTACGCTCGGTAACATCCCTGGAAATTCCTCGGTCCTGCTGATTTGACACTGAAGGCCGAGGTTGGGCAATATCCTGGTACTTTGCTTCAGCATCAACTCGTCGGTGCAACCACGGGTCTCCTGGAGGATCTTTCTTTAGTTTATTACTTGGACTCCTGCCGAGTTTAGTGGCGGCTGCGGCACCAGCGGCGCCAACTGGTATAGAGGATCGATCGCGTGTACTTTGTCCCCAGTCGGGAACAACATTCCTGTCTCGACGGGAAAAGTATTCTGCCTCATCCGGATCCTGATAGTCGAATACTTGAACCGGGCCTTTGGGTAGATTTGATGGAGCTGGGCGCTGCTTCTCCAAAGTATTCCTTCGCTGGACCAATGCGGTATCCTTTTGCCTTGTCCCCAAATCTCGTGCAGGAGAACCACCCCCCATTTCTTCTGGTTCGCGTTTAGTGGTCGTCTCGGTGCCCTTTGCAACCGGACGATTTCGAAATCGAACAGAGTTCTGTTTTGGCTTTTCCCCGTTCCGAGCAGCTTTGGCTAGTCGTTCAGCTTCCTCAACTCTTGCTCTTTTCTCCTCCTTGGTAATACTATCCAGTGTTATTTCCAGTCTCTGTAAAGGTGATCTATCTGGAGCCCATTCTCTGCGTTGTTTGGTGTCTCCTTCTGCGCCTAAAGAACCTTGCCTGTTTCGATGATGCGAAGCATCAATTCGTTCTGGTATCTGAGGGTCCCATTCCAGATCATCTGGTCGCGAATGGCTTTTCCCGTTACCGACGCTTCCTCTCCGTGCATAGTATTCAGCAGCAACGCCCTGACTGGAACTGATGGGGCCTTCGGACCGTCGATTCGACCTCGTTCGATTGGGAGGACCACTACTATACGGCTGCTTGTAACTCACTGGGGGAGCTCGAGGTACGTCTGGAGCTGCAGGCGGTGGTGCAGCGCTTCCGTTGCCCTCGTAGGGTTGGTCTTTATTCCTGCTCTCTCTCCTCCTTCTTTTTTCCGAAAACTCGTTGCTGGCCGGCTCTGTCGCCTCGTATGGGAAGGAGGGTGGTCTTGGAGCCAATCCACCTCTTCCAAAGCTCGAATCCGTCGGCGATGCAAACGGACTTTGGGTAGAGACCGTGGGCGCTTCGGTTTGGATTGAGTCTCTGTATCGACTGCGGCGGTGAGAGGAAGGAAATTGACTTTGGCTGGAAGATCGATCACCCCTATTGCCAGCTTCAACCTGCTGGTCATTCCTGCCCACTGGAGAAATCGCGTCCAAGTCCTGTTTTGGAGGTCTATTTTGTTTGATTGGAGCTCCCCGAGGGTCGTTCCTTCCTTCTGGAACAGCCATCTCACGTTCGCGTCGAAGGGAATCACCTCGAACAATTTTCGGGGGAGGAAGATTCCCCCAGTACGTGCCAGACATGCGACTCCTTTTCTAGAAAGCGCGTGTGGGTTAGATGCGCTCGCCGATGGGCGCTTGTGGTGCAATTGACGATAACTGCAAATCGGCAGCAGAAGTGATTTTCTGTAGGTTCCCGAAATCAATTAGGATGCTAGGAGAGCTTCGAATGGTAACACAAGGTTGCTTCAAGTCTCGTTGGGCGTCAGTAGCGTAAGATTGGGTTCCGGTCACAGATGAGCGAACTTGTTGATATCAATTTTGCTTTGCGCCGGAGAGCATTGCTGGCCATTCATAGCGATTAGAACGAAGCTGGAACTTGGAGGTGCATGATTAGCTGCGGGAGAATATAGGCTAGTGAAGCAAATGATGCGGAGATGTTAGAAGATTTCACAACTAGAGCCTCCTCGATTTCGTTGAGCGCGAATGAGGAGGTTGGGACAGCGCATCGAGAAGTTGGACAGCGAAACTATATTATTCCGTGGCTGATTCCAAGGATGATGATGGAGTGAAGCTTGGCGGGAGTGTCGAGTCCACAGGTGCTGTCGGGGTCCAGTCCCGGTGGCCTGAGGTGCCAAGGCCATAATGCTACGAACCATGCTCGCATCGTCCCGATGCCGTGCAAAGTGGTTCTTGAGCAGGCCATTCTCGATTAGGAAAACATGAGGTTATATTTGAGAAGTTTACGGTAAGTGGATAAATGTTTCCTGTTCTCATTTATTGCTCTATTTCTCAAAAAGGGATCACGCAGTGCTCGAATCGTGGACAATAATCCGAGTCGGGCTCTTCAGACTCATCTTGGTCAGAAGGACTGAGTTCTCTGTAAATCGTTAGCCGGGTATTCATAGTGTAAACGGAATCGTAAGCCTCCAGCAACAAAACCACCTAGATGTTAAAATACAAAATTCACCTGAAACATATTTGATGTTGAAACGTAAAGAGACCCTCCATCCAGCTTCCTACCTGACCTAATAAGTACGAAATAGCACACTAACTAACTGACCTCTTCAAGTGCCGGCACGTGTTGAAGGAGCGTTTGGGCTGCGCAGGGACGTCGGAAGCGGATTCAGTGGGGAAGAAACAGTGGCTTTGACAGCGCGGCAGGGCTCCTGATTGGGGCGTGGAAACTTCGCTCGATCCCTGAGCTGCGCTTTGTCGAGCGACCGTCGTGCTTGAAACTCCCAAGGCCACATCTCTCCGGTTGAACAGAAATCCAGTCCATATACATCGAAGCTTTCACTCGTGCGCGGCTCTTCAACCTTTTCGTTATTTGTTCTCGAGTACGATTCACCCTATCGACTCACAACACTCTTTATACCCATTCGATTCTTACGGACGATGCGACTTCGCGGAAGATAATTACGCAACTCAACTTTACGGCTACTTTTCTGTACCTTCCACACCTTCCACATCCCCATTGATGCGCAACTCCTAATCCGAACCGCTTCTAAAGACTTGGAGAGGAGAAGGCGCCCGACAGCAGGACTGAGGAATTCAAGGGGAGATCCGTGTCGCCACAGCTAGTTATGAGATTACACGCGCTGGCAAGCCTGCTGGGCTTATGTTCATTCGCAACAGCCTCACAGCTTCGGCCTCGAGACTACCAGTCTCAGGACTACTATGTTCTGCAACTTGATTCGAACATCGCTCCATCACAAGTAGCACTTTCCTTGGGTCTGACACATGAAGGGCAGCTCGGAGAACTGGCAGATCACCATATATTCTCATGCGAGAAACAGGAGGATGATATCGTACACACAGCATTGAAAGAACGGAGGAGGCGGAAACGAGAAATCGGTGGGTCAGATATTCTCGATAATGTCAGACTCGCCCGAAAGCAAAAGTTGAAGCCTCGAATGGAGAAGAGAGGTGTCCTACCCCCTCCACCAGCAGGATATGCCAGTCCTGTTCAACGGCAAGCACCTCCGCCGGAAGATGCTGCAGTCGCGAAGCAGAAAGAGGTCATGAAGGCCTTGGAAATCTCAGATCCAATCTTCAACGAACAATGGCATTTGTACAATCCAGTGCAAGTTGGCCATGATGTCAATGTGACCGATGTATGGATGCAGGGTATCACTGGTCACAATGCAACCGTGGCCATTGTGGATGATGGGCTGGATATGTATAGCGACGATTTGAAGGATAACTATTTTCAAGAGGGCTCCTACGATTTCAACGACCATACTGAGGAACCAAAGCCGAGATTGTCAGACGATCGACATGGCACACGATGTGCCGGAGAAGTGTCAGCAGTGAAGAACAATGTCTGCGGTGTTGGAGTTGCATGGGACTCGAAGATTGCTGGAATCCGAATCCTATCCAAATTGATTACAGATGCGGATGAAGCGATTGCCATGAATTACGCATACCAACGCAACCAAATATACTCATGTTCATGGGGTCCGCCAGATGACGGACGATCCATGGATGCCCCTGGTATTCTGATTAAGCGTGCAATGTTGAATGCGGTGCAGAATGGCAGACAGGGTTTGGGCTCAATTTATGTTTTCGCTTCTGGAAATGGAGCTGCAAATGAAGACAACTGCAACTTTGATGGATACACCAACAGTATTTATAGTATTACCGTGGGTGCGATTGATCGAAAAGGACTTCATCCATATTATTCCGAGCACTGCTCTGCGCAACTGGTGGTCACATATAGTAGTGGAAGCGGAGACGCGATTGTAAGTTTTATGATGTAGTCCCAAATAAAACGGAGGACTAACAACCATCCTAGCACACTACTGATGTGGGAACCAACCAATGTTATTCTGGCCACGGTGGTACATCAGCTGCAGCGCCGCTTGCAGCAGGTATCTTTGCACTTGTTCTACAAATTCGACCAGACCTATCGTGGAGAGATATGCAATACTTGGTTTTGATGACAGCTTTGCCGATTGATTTGGATACTGGAGAGTGGCAGACAACTACTATTGGAAGAAAATTCAGTCACACTTTTGGATATGGAAAGATAGATACGTGGGCGACGATTGAAGCAGCCAAGACATTTAAGAACGTCAAGCCACAGGCCTGGTATTATTCGCCATGGATCCACGTCAACCAGACCATTCCTCAAGGCGATGAAGGGTTATCCGTGTCTTTCGAAGTTACAAAGCAAATGCTACAAGAAGCCAATCTTGAACGTCTTGAGCATGTAACAGTCACCATGAATGTTGAGCACGGTAGAAGAGGTGACATTAGTGTCGACTTGATTAGCCCAGATAACCTCGTCAGCCACCTTTCAGTTACTCGTCGACTAGATAACGCGCCGGAGGGCTATGTCGACTGGACCTTCATGTCTGTTGTTCACTGGTAAGCATTCTTGTTACTGAGTTGCACGTTTTTTGGTATTAACAAGAACTAGGGGCGAAGCTGGTATTGGTAAATGGACAATAGTGGTCAAGGACACCATGGTCAACGAATTTAACGGTACTTTCACCGACTGGCATCTCAAGCTCTGGGGCGAAAGTATCGATGCTTCGAAAGCCGTTCAGCTCCCACTTCCATCTGATGAAGACGATGATGATCACGACGCAATCGCTAGCAGTACCACAACTATCATGGCAAGCACCACACCTGTGGCTCCTGCGCCGTCTAAAACTAGCATCCTCGTCAACCCTACTGACCATCCCGACCGCCCAACAAAGCCCACCGCTCCAGTCGAAGAAGAGGAAACCGCCGCGCCAACAGTAGAGCCTAGCCCAACCGGCTCCCCTGCAGCAGCAACATCTTCTCCATCAACCTGGATCCCCTCTTTCGTTCCAACCTTCGGCATCGGTCACAAAGCACGAGTCTGGATCCTTGGTGCAGTCGGACTAATCCTCGCATTCTGCATCGGTCTTGGTATCTACCTCTTCATGGCCCGCCGCAAACGTCTCCGCAACAATCCCCGCGACGAGTGGGAATTCGATCTTCTCGAAGAAGACGAAGCCGACGGTCTCAACGGCGCCGGCAAAACCACTCGTGGTGGAAAAGGCGGCAAGAGAAGAGCCGGAGAGCTCTACGATGCATTTGCCGCTGGCAGTGAAGATGAATCCGACGGCGATTTCGACGATGAGGGCGGCGATGAGCAGGAAAAGAAGTTATATGAGGATGATGAGAGTGAGGGCAGTGGAAGCGCTCTGAGAAGTCCTAGTCATCACGTCATTGGGGATTTGGATAGCGATGACGAGGACTCTATTGTTGGCGAGAAGGCGCGCAAATAGGTACATAGAAATTTGTTTATAGTGTCACTCTTGGGAACTAGGTGAAATGGTGCTTGGGGTTTTATTTTGTGCCATTGGGAAGGAATAGAAATGCTTTATCATCAAGATAGTTTGGGATTGCGGAAGCGTGAATAAGTACATAACTTATATATCCTAAACGGCGTTTTCAGATTTGTATATTTTCAGAAATTCATCTTATTCAGCCGTAAACCATATCGTATCGTATCTATCGAAGCTGCACAAATTTCGGTTTCCAAAACTCACCTCAATTTCTCAATAGCTACCCAAACATAGAAAACCAGACTAGCTTGCTTGTTGTCTATCCCCGGCATTCCCAAATCCATCTCAAAACACCCAGGTAAACGACTCCTTAACCTCGAACGAAATCTTTTCTCTGGTCACATTATTAGCAAAATACTCAGAAACAAAGAAACAAATTACATACTTAATATCCCGACTCGACGCTCCGATCAAAACATCAAAGACTCCCTCCTCAGCAATCCACGCGCTCAAGTCCGTATCGTAGTACCCAACCGAATATCTGTCTAGCGCTAGCACCGCATCTTTCGTCTCGCCCGGCTGTAAAAACACTTTATCAAACGCCTTCAACTCCTTTTCTGGGCGCGGCAGCCGCGATTTCGGGTCGTGGATGTAGGCTTGCACACTTTCTGCGCCTTCGACGGCGCCGGTGTTGGTTATGGGAATGGTGAGTGTGAGGTTTGCGCCGTCGACAAGGGTGGTGGCGGAGATGGAGGGCGTGCCGTAGGAGAAGGTTGTATAGGAGAGGCCGTGGCCGAAGGGAAACAGCGGGGTGATGTTGAGGCGGTCGTAGTGTCTGTAGCCGATGTAGAGACCCTCGCCGTATAGGACTTTGAGATTTTCGCCGGGCCAGTTGTGGTAGGTTGGGTTGTCTTCGAGACGTTTGGGGAAGGTGGTCTGGGATGTTAGTAACTCCGTGAAGAGGAGCTTGGGTTGCTTACTGGAAGTTTACCGCTTGGGTTTCGGAGTCCGAAAAGGACATCTGCGAGGGCGTTTCCGGCTTCTTGTCCTTGATACCATGCTTGTAGAATTGCAGGTACTCGATCGGCCCAGGGCATAGTCACAGGCGACCCAGATTGGTTGACGACGATTGTGTTTGGATTTGCTGCGAGAACAGCATCGATTAGTCGGTCTTGACTTCCATCTTTTGGTAGATCCATTGTTTGGCGGTCATATCCTTCAGACTCCCATTCTTCGTCAAGTCCAACAATCACAACCGCAACATCAGCCTCTTTGGCCGCATTTACAGCTTCTTGGAGATAATCTTGTTTATCCTCTTCCTTGTAGCCAATTCGACACCCACCATTATGATGCGTCAATTTGGCATGCTTCTGCCGTGCAACCGGACGGACTTCATTGTTGATTTCAGCGACAACTTCAGCAGGCACGCCGGCTTCAAGATCGATATCGATGAGAATATCCTTGGATCCGTCGAACATAGCTTCTCCTTCTTCAGTCCAATCCCACAAGTCTATCACGACTTTACCGTTTACATATAAACGTCCTGGACCGACACTCGAAAAACTGATGGTGTGTCGACCAGTAGTCGTAGGCGTAATTTTAGTTCTACAGTAACACGACCACTCTTTTCCAACTTCTAAAGGTACGGAGTCCCATAAGAAAAGATCCGTATTCGTCCTGTGCTGGGTGACTTTCGGTTGACCTTCAAATTTATCTCCCACGAAGAATTCCAGACTTACTCCTTGCTCGCCGGTCGCAGTTGTACAGTAGTCAGCAGCTAAAGGTAACCATTTCCAAGTATGGCATCCGAGAGAGTACGTGACCTCTCTGTCAGGCACAGCCTTGATGCTATCCAATGGAAGCGTGTTGTAGTATGGGTTGAGACTGGCACTTCCACCCCCTCCAGCAATAGCTCGATTAGCATTTGGTCCAATTACAGCAATCTTCTTTTGTGATGGTATAATCGGGAGTACGTTGCCGTCATTTTTCAGCAGAGTGAGACCTTCGACGCCTGCGTCTCGAATTAATTTTCGAGTTTCTTCCCGGTTATCTTCTCGTTCCGCAGTTTCGGCGGACATGTCCGTTCCCTTGGTACGTTCAACAAGGTACAAAACACTGGCGGCAGCCTTTTCTACGGCTTCTTTGCTTAACGAACCATTCTTGACAGCCTCGATAGCCTTTTCTCCACGCCATTTCAACGACTGTGGCATTTCAATATCGCAGCCAGCTTCAATAGATTCTTCAATTGAGTTTACTCCTCCCCAATCGGACATGACCATACTATACGAGTCAGCAATGAAACCGCATTTTCGGTATTGAAGTACCCTTCATATTGCCATTCGCCTCTTAAAATGTCCTTTAGAGTGTGCTGATTAGAGTCCGCATGAACGCCATTGACGAGATTATATGAGGACATAATTGCCCAAGGGTTCGCATCTCGAACCGCCATCTCGAACGGTCGAAGATACAATTCTCGAAGAGCGCGTTCCTGGATGATAGAATCGATCTTCATCCGTTCTGTTTCTTGCTCATTGCCAACGAAATCTATTTGATGTTAGTACGTAAACCCTCGGAGACTTTACTAGGGCTGTACGCTTGATTGTCGCCGCGATTCCTTTTTTTTGCAATCCATTAATGTATTGTGCGGCAAGTCGGCCTGTCAAGAATGGGTCTTCTGAGAACGACTCGAAATTCCGGCCACCCAAAGGACCACGGTGTAGGCATACAGTGGGTGCTAAAAGAACCTGTGCTGATCTTGCTTTTGTCTCATCGGCAAGATGCTGTCCGACTTGATAGAGTAACTTCGCATTGAACGTCGAAGCTAGAGAAACACCACAAGGAAAAAGTGCAGCCTGAAGTAAGAGTAAGCTACCGTATGGTACTTCCTCATGGATACCTGTCTCCGTACCTTGGTTCCAGCTTTGAAAATCGCCCCACGAGCGCCATTTGGGCCATCGCTAGTTTTGAAGGCTGGAACGTTCTTTTCAGGAATAGCTTTCGACCTCCAGAAATCCGCGCCAACCAAGAGAGAGACCTTCAGACAGTTAGTGTTGTCTGATACTGACTGACTTACAACATTTCTTACCTGTTCTTCTAAAGAAAGCGATGATGCTAACTTTCGAGAATTAGATCTCGCATCAGTCTTGTTTAATTCGGCATGCTCGGTCGTCGGACTATCTGGTGGTGAGAGCTCCGAGTTCGGTGTGGTGTTGGTATTTGCGGTGGACTGGCCTTCGGAGTCTTCAGTAAACTTGCCATCAAAGATTGGATCCATGTTCTGGCTATCTGGCGACTCCGCCATGGAATTGTGAAGGAATGTGCTATCAAGTGCCAGCTCCCAATGTTCTATCGAAGCTGATTATGGGTGGCAAGGTTTGCAAGGTGGGTGAAGCAAAGCAGTGGTCCAGTTAGCTGACGGCGATTGACTGCTCGGGAACAACACAAATGATACTATGTGCGCTCAGCTAACGGCACAAGAAATTCTGTGAAGACAGCTCTATATAGCTAAGACACTTCGTACACATGAAAAAAAGCCAAGCATATCAGCTGCCTTGCAACAATGGAAGTCCACCTTTCTTACGGATAAACAAGCCATATTCCGCCGTAGGCATTTAGAGGCTCCAATAACGGCAGAGAACTTTGGTAAAGATCCTTGTTCTTTTACGGGCATAATGGCTGAATGAACGAAAGAGAAGACATGATTGGGAAATACAATTGAGGCGTTGAGCCAGACGGCCGCCGGACTAGGAGAGGAGGCAATAATACGTACCTTGCACCAGTAAGTGGGAAGTACAGACACCCGAATTGGCCGATGGAACAGACTCATGTAAGTCATGGCTATTGGAAGCAGAAGCAGCAGACATGCTTGAGTGGTATTCTCCCGTCTGTCTCACGGTACTGGGGTTGTGGGGATTCTCGGGGGTATGGGAGGACAGAGTATGTCGAAGACACGATGGAGGGGGAACATGAGAGTGGAGAGGCTTAAGGAACACAACGGTATTGGCGGACCGTCCTCGCGAGGCTCTTGATATCCTGGTTTACAGACGACGACCCAGGCGAAGTACCAGCAGTTAATGTACCTTTTCTCCGTGATAACCAGGGCACCGGAATGGCGAGGTAGATCGTTGGCAACAAGGCGGGCTTTCAATGACCGGATATGTGTTGCAGAAAGCCTTCTTGAATTGTTTCGAGGCGAGCTTTGTGCTGCAAAGGGCCATTGGCCGTGGGCCGAAACCATGACCTGACTGTCAATCATTCCTTCTTCACAGCAAAGTCTGGAGGCGAACATGCACGCCGCCCGTCCAGTCAATAGCAGCTTTAAGTATGCATATGCACACATGCGTGCCAGCGAAGGTGTCGATTCAGTTCGAAGAGTTGAAGCAACAATGGTCTCAGGAAACGGCTTGTACAAAAGTCCAGAACGAGCGAAGAGCAGGTCAGAGGGCGATCGCCCGGAAACCGGTCCGGCGCTCCGAGGCGGGTTCCGATATGTTGCAATTGCAGTTCATAAGACTCGTGAGCTGCTGACGGAGCGATAGGAGGACTACTTATAAAATCAACAGTTCAAGAAGCCGAGACCTGACATGGACGAGCCAAACAAACAAAGCTTGTCGAGTGACAACGAGAGATGACCCTGGCGCTGTCCTCCCTTGTATTCCACGTTACCGGCACCCAACCGTCGAGTATCGTGAGGGGAGTGGGGTCGCTGCTGAAATCCACCTCTCGACATCGTCCTTGGGTACGTGTCGACCTCACCTCACCTGGCAGGAAACGGTCGCCGTGAACCGAGCATCACCGACGCAATGCAGAGTCGCATTCATATGATCGTGCTAGATGGGCCACTAAATGTCAGCGATCTAATCTTATCTCGACGACATGAATGAGTAACCGCATCAACACCTTCATTTCTCCGTTTTCCAGATTCAGCCAGAATCGCCCGAGTAGCCGTCACATCGATCTTTGAGGTACACCATATTGCACCAACATTTCGGATCCATGTCACTAGCATAGACACATGTCAATTCAATCGTCCTGAAATGGCGGCAGAAGGAGAGAACTCAGCCTCCCGCAGCGATTTCGAATCGCTGGATCCAACGCATGAAGATGAGCGAGGAAATACGGAACTGGCCCGGCTGAGACGCAATTACTCTCGTGCTTCCACAGCACATGCAACTGATATACTTAGCGATGATCCAACTCGTGCAGAAAAAGTTACATCTTTACCAGGAAAGTTCACCGCTGCTTGCAGGAGCTTCTGGCGACATCAAATCAGCGTCACCGTAGACCATCGTACTTGCAGAGATCATTTGGGTATGTTTTATATTGAAGCTTGTTCCTGCAGTTATATCCATCTTCGTCTTCTTTCGTTCAAGCATTTTTTCTGTGGAGACTTTGAAACAATATTTTATTGAAAGTCCTCCTTCCGTCCTTTCCTTTCGACCATCTGCATTCTGGAGCATCATTCGAGCATCTTGTCTCATGATTTTTAGGTAACTCCCGGGATATTACAAGACTGTCAAACGTGGTTTCATCTTCGTTAAATAATACTATATATCGTAATCGAGCTTGACCGTTTCACCCTCTGGTTATATTTGGTTATACTTTATTTTATACGATCTCAGAAGCAACATTAATTGAGAGTCGCTAACATTAATTTTTACAGCGCTAGAGAGGACCTTCTTGGGATATCTCAGGACATCACTTGCACTGTCGATGATGGGTATAGTGGTTGCCCAATTATTGTATGTATGCTGCTCAACCTTTCCTAGACTTGACTGACGGTCTGAAAAGCCGACTCCAGCATGCGCCGAAACCTCATCCAACCATTGGTTTCTATGTTCTTGGAAAACCACTTTCGTGCATCTGTCAAGGAGCTGCCATTTATACGTTACTGATTGGAGCCTTCAGAACTTGGAGAACTCAAAATGCAGTCGTGAGAGGCAAGGCTATCACTGGCGGGTTTGAGATCGTTGCACTTGCTTTTGGTATATTTCTTGTAAGTTTATGTTGAAGGGAGGACTTTGTTCTTAGGGCTGACGATATGCTTAGCTGCTTCTGATATTCTTGGTCCTTCTTGTGACCGTCAACATCTTGAAAGAGGATCTTACCTCATCTAAACACATAATTTAGTCAGTTGAATTGAGCTATTATCCTCACTGCTGCAGGTAAACCTCGCAGCATTTTCAAGGAAGATGGAAAGTCTGAGAGATTTTAGCAACCTGTCTTCATCAAGAATCCTTGCCGTAACCGGGAGCCGAAGATACTGCTTTAAAGAACACGGGTTCTTTCCGTTTGCTATCTGGATGACCCAATCTTTTTGATGAACATTCAATGGCATTCATGCGCTTAAGCTCTTTACGGCGCTGCTAGCCGCCTCGAAATACCCGAAGTACATAGGCTGAGGGCTTGCAATCAGATCTTGGAGACCCAAGATAGTGGATATCTCTTTACTGCACCCGGCAGCATTCATACGGAAGCGAGAGTTGGATTGGGTTCCTGCATATTGGCAAATATAGGCTGCTGAAGAGTTGATGAAGAGACAAGGATACATGGAGAAGGTCAGTGGGTTTTGGCGAGCTTACACAATGTTTAATATTGCCTTGTGCTTTTTGAACAAATATATACTTTCAGATATTCAAGGCTAGAATTAATATTTTTAAAGTATTTCTGAAGTCTGTTGTACCAACAAGTCTCAACCTGTGGCGAATCCAATTTCCAAGCAAGCTTCCACTTGGAACATTAGTTTGTTTTACACTCAATTCCGTCGCTATGTACGATTGAGCATACAAAGGTTTTTTTCTCTACTTCGTATACAATGGAACGTTAGGTGTCATGGAAACAACAACTTCATGTGATGTCTTCAATAGCCAGGTATGACTAATCGTGCTACTGTAATTCATGTGCTATTCGCCCCGTCCCTTTAGACTTCGGCAGCCGGCAAGCCACAGCCCGTTTTTTGCGCCAGGATGACGGATTGACCTCCTCGGCTTGCTATCAAAACAACGACAACAAATATCGCCGCAAGCCTTATCGTCGAGTCCATACAAATACTTTATTCCTACATATTCTATCGGGAACCTCCACATCACTTCAATTTCCTGCGAACACAAGAAAAAGCAAAAACACAAAGCGCGGGCGCATCTCGTATTCTGAACGTCCAACTCGACAATAATCGTCCGATTACGGAATCAAGTGGAGGCGAATCGTCAACTGGTGGATTACTGCAGAAACACGATAATTAAAGTCGACGATAACTACGCGCACCTAACATTGGGTCTTGTCTTCGCCAGCAGGTTCAGGCGGGCTGCCTCGACGGGAGAAAAGTGAACATATCTCTCTTGGCGCAGAACTCGAAGCCCCCCATCTACGTCGAGCACATTGTCCATCCAGCAGTCTTTTCACGAGATATTCATCCGCCATGGGGTTCTCAAAGTCAACGCGGATTAGCATTATGCTGGGGATTGATGCCGCATTCTTTGTACTCGAACTCGGTGTAGGGTTAGCAGTTGGTTCTTTGGCGTTGATGGCAGATGCTTTTCACATGGTATGGAAATCACGCAGCAATTTAGCGATCAAGGCTAATTACATAAAAGCTGAACGATATAATCTCGCTGGCCGTGGGTTTGTGGGCTGTAAAGGCTGCCCAGAGACCTTCAACTGATAAGTTTTCATTCGGGGTGAGGGTTCCCAGTGCCAGAGCCTTCCTTGCCTTGTCGATAACTAACTATTTCTAGTGGTTAAGAGCTGAGCTTCTCGGTGCATTCTTCAATGCTGTCTTTTTGATAGCGCTCTGTATATCGATCCTACTCGAAGCCATTCCACGTCTTGTATCACCCCCGGAAATTGGCAACCCTCTTCTCATATTGATTGTTGGATCATTGGGTCTATTGTCAAACGGTGTTGGATTCCTTGTTTTGGGAGGGCATGGCCATTCTCATGGACCTGGGGAGAATCACGGTCACTCTCACGGGGACGACCTTAGCGCAGCTGAGGAAGGCCATAGCCATGCACACGAAGGCCATGATCACTCGCACGAGGACCATGCCCATAGCCACGAAAATGGTGCCGAAAATTCTCATGTTCAGGAGGCCCAATCTTACGCAGATGCTGTGAAAGCCAAGACTGGATCAAGCCATATTCGATTTTCTGGGGAGCATGGTAGCGGGTCGAACTCCTCAAACACATATAGGTCACCAAACAAGAATAAGCACCGAAGAAGAACAAGTGGACGATTTACGAGCATTGAGGATTTTAGTATTCATCCAGCAAGTTTCAGACAAGAAATCATCGAGGCCAGTAGACCTCACGATTCGAGTGACAGCGAAACGAACGAGGAGGAGGAGGCTGTCGCTGATGACGATGAGGAGGAAGCAACGGAAGAATCGAGACTAATCAATGGCTCAAACGGCAAATCTAATGGGACGATGAGCCACAGCCATACTCACAAGCACAATCATTCTCGCACTCGAGGAACGAGAAGCGATTCATTACACGCCAACCACAATCACAAGAAACCTAAGAAAGCTAGCAAAGGAGGCCATGGCCATAATCATGCTGATATGGGTATGAATGCCATGATTCTTCACGTCATTGGAGATGCTCTTGGAAACGTCGGTGTAATTGTCTCGGCCCTCGTTATCATGTTTACCGAATGGTCTGGGAAATACTATGCTGATCCTATCGTCTCGCTTTTCATTACTTTGATCATCCTCAAATCAACAATTCCACTCACAGCCGCTAGCGCTCGGATCCTTCTTCAGGCAACTCCAGATCATATCGACGTTAATGAGGTAAAGGAAGATATCCAAGATATTCCTGGAGTTGTGAGCTGCCATCATGTTCACATCTGGCAGCTCAGTGATACCCAACTCGTAGCATCCATGCACATTCAAATATCCTTCCCCATCAGCGAGGCGGGAGGTGAAAAGTACATGGAGCTTGCAAGAGCTGCGAGAAAATGTCTCCACGAGTTCGGAATCCACAGCGCAACTATACAACCAGAATTCTGCACCGACAAAGACCACGACCATAACTCCCTCGATGGAGCCACCGGAATGGGTCTCGATGGTATAGTCGGCCAGCCAAGATGTCGTATGGATGACGACTGCCTACTAGAATGCGTCGACGACTGCAAAAGCAAGGGATGCTGCTCAAATGCAGCGGTAGACCCTGAGCACGACCACTCAGAACACGATGGTCACACACACTAAACCCTTTTTCTTTTGTGAATAGACAGCTCTCTTTTTCATTTTTCATCTGCACCAAAAAACTTTGTCATGTACATCATACGTTCGATCCTGGGAAATTCAATTGCGGCGGGAGTTTGGGAGCTAAGCTAGGTTCTCGTTGTACACATATCAGACGTCAAGAGTAACTTGCGTGAAAGTCAGACATAGCCATTTTAGGCTGGAGCTGTTGGGTTGCTTTTCGCGTCTTTGGGTTGTTGGGCGGCCGATAGCTAATATTGGGACGGAATAGGAGAGTGAAGATTTAGTGCACCTGGGGCTGGAGATGGTATGAATAATAAGATTATGATGGGTGTCGAATATCTTCCACGCTGAAATGCGATGTGAGTTTTCTTGCTGCTTGATTGTGACTATGTCTATACCTGTTACAGATTACATTTACACCTGATATTGAACACATGTCCCCTCTGAAACTATATAGATACGAGCAAATTTTACTAGAGATTTGTCCTATCCTCGTAGTAAGAGCTGAAGGAAATCACAGGTTCACAGATTCTTTTACTCCTTCAGACAAACAGGTAATTGTAAAACAAACCCATCTTGTCTAGCCATCACATGCATGCAAGCAAAGCATAAAAACCGAACAGCTGTCAAGTTTATACAATTTAAACATCCCGAAATCTATCTATCACCCCAATCTATCTCTGCCACACCGCCATGTTGCTACCATCTCTGCTCCACCACCTCGTCAATCCGATCCGATCCCAAAATCTATCCGCGCCACAGAAAAACCCCCGCTAGCAATCATCACATCTCAAAACTTTATTTTGAAACCTCAACATCTCAGCCATCATGCTGAACAGCAAAACATCGAATTCATCGCTCATCTATCTATTAGCACGTACAGACGCGCCGTATTCATATCCCCTTGGAAACATCCACCGCGTCGACATATGGGCACTCTCTGAGTCGTGTTAACATCATTGTAGGAAGGAGTCATCTACCAATCATCATCATCGTCCTTGCCCTTCTGCATTGCGCTCTGTCTCGCTCTTAATGCCTCAGCCAAACCACCCGCGAGACTAGGTGTAGGAGTGCTCCTCCCACTATCAGTACCGCTCGCATTGAGACTCATCCCCGAATCTCTCGGTGCCGGCGGTGGTGCTGGTTTACGTCCGGCAGCTGGACGCTTGGCGGGGGGTGCTGGTGGTGTTGGTTTGCCACGAACACCGTTTGCACCGTTTGTCTTTGCCGCTGGTGGAGGTGGTGGAGGAGGAGTTGGTCGGATGGTAGGAGGTGGGGGAGGTGGTGCTACTTCTTCGAGATATGCTGATGGTGCCCAGCCTTCTCCTGCAGGTGTTTTGACAAGCCACCAGCCTGGGGATGTTAGCTAATGTAGTATAAGAAAAGACGAAGTGCTTACCATTGGTCTCTTTTTTCTGGACAGTGACCATATCGCCTGGTCTGATTGTGATCTCGTTCTCACTCTGCCCGGCAAACTCGTAAAGAACCTTATATTGGGGCTGAGTTGGAGCAGCTTTGGCAGTGGCCGGTGGAGCAGGGGGTGGAGGAGGAGGTACGGATCGGCCAGATGAAACGGATGAAGTATTTCTTGTATGCATAGGGATGTTCGCTGTTGCTGCTTGAGGAACGCTTCGTCCAGCTGCAGGTGTTCCGTAAGACTGTGCCGGTTGAGGAGCAGGCGGAACATTTCTTGCAACTGAAGGAGTACCGTATGATTGCGTCGGTTGAGCAACAGGTTTTGTGTTTCTAGTAGTGTTGGTATGTTTCGAGGGACGTCCTCCTGGTCCTCCTGGCTTAATGAGCCTTCCTTTCGTGAAGGGCTTCGCAGGTATTGGTTTACCCTTAGGTAATGGCCTTGATACAGAGTTTGGTGGTTCCCCTTGGGTCGTATGAACAGCACCGGACTTGTAAAAGTCTTCTCTCATAGTTGAATCTTTTATGACCTTTACCAACTGCATCTTGTTGGGCTTTTTCGCATACTCAATCGCATCAGAAATCTTTAACGTAAACCCTCCACCAGGCATCACGCTCTGCATGTGTGTGAAGAGTTCGGTTTTCAAGACACAGGTTAAAAGAGGATCAGCTTCTTGCGGAGAACTAATGCCCAATGAGAACCAATCGTCTCTACAGGTAGACACACTGACGAATTTGATAGCCCCAAGAGGCACGGCTCGTTCGATAGCTACCTGCACTTGCTTGTTCACAAGATGCTGAGCGATAATGTAAAACTTGGCTCTTGTAAGGACTAATATGCGAGGGCTTAGCTTACTCGAACGGCCAAATTTGGTTTCCAAAAGCTCCCCTCGACATGAGAAAATTGCCTGCTCATTCGAAGGGAGGTTAGCGGCATTGCGAATTCGCGATCCTTGCCCAGCAGAGGCATTGACCCCTAGGTAGTCACCCATAAAACGACGGGAGCCGAGAAGACTGAATCTTCGTCTCTCCTTTCGACCTTGAAGAACCTTGTGGCCACGTTCTCTGAGCAAGAGAAATTCTGCACCAATTCTCTTCTTCCTCCAGACTCTCTGAATCCTGGTGGCCGCCTCAATCCGAATACGTAAGAACGCGCGCCACACTCTCTGGATACGAATTGCCATGTTATGCCAATATCGATCTCGCATGTGCTCCAGCGCAAACAGCGTTTCTGGCGCTTTAATGAACGCCTTGGTCACACCCATTTGGAATTCCTCTGCTGGAATACTGGTATCCTTCAAAATTTGCTTGGCACCAGACTTTGAGTCTCCGGTCCAGGTGTAGTCTCCAGCATAAGAAGTTTGCGGCGATAAGAGGTAGAATCTTTCCACAAATTTGTCAAAAGTTTGGCGGTAAGCAAATCCTGCTCGACGGATACGGACGTTCTCCTGCAGACCAAGATACTTGATCTGATGCATAACATTCGGGACATTATACTCGGACCACGATTTGTTTTCGTTCGGTTTGATTGTTCGAATGTAAGATGGTTGTGCCTTCATCAGAGTTGAGACTAGCTCGTTCGCAGATGTCTTGATCTTGTCACCAGCTGAAGGCGGCTGTTTCCTATTGTCCTGATCCACCTCGTGTGGGAATAAGTCGTGGACAAACTTATTACTACTCCTGCCAAACAAATTCAGGATACCTTTGAGAAGTTGATCCTTATTCTTGTCGGTGATTCCATCTACAGAATAACTAACATCACCAGCATAATGCTTAATGATAAAATTGCCTTGACGAGGGGTCAAGTGAGGATTTGACATGCTGTTAATTGCGGTCATGAACGTCCGATCGCAGGCTGCTGGGTCTGCGTTTGCTGTTTTAGTCGCATCTTTCATTACCGAGAACACTCCTGGAGGGCGCACGGATTCAATGAGATCGCAAACGATTTTGTTGTCGAAGTACTTGATAGGTGTCCACTGAATCTGTTCCCGTGCATACTCCTCTTGCTCCGCCTTCAATGTCAATTGGATGAAAATCTGCTGAAGTTTCTCATTGACGTAATTAATACACAGCTGTTCGAAACTGTTCTTTTCGAAAATTTCGAACCCATAGATATCAAGAATGCCTATTGAGTGTGCTGTAGTCCCACGAGCCTTCAGTGAGCGGTTAATGCGTTCTACGATCCAGTCGAAAAGGCTGTTGTAGATTGCTTTCGCAAGACCATCTCGTGTTGCCAAAGCCTGAGAGGGGTTTGCGAGAGACTCGATAATTTCACCACTTCTCGGTGTAAGGATCCGAATAGTAATGGCTTTTATTACCTCCTGGGGATCAACCTCCAAAAGATAAGCAACAAAATCAACCACCGATTGATCCGTAACTTGGGCATATCCATCTTTATCCTCCTGAAATTGAATGTTTCCGATCCACAAAACAGCAGCCAACATCCTGAATATTTCATCTTGCTCTGGTTGAGTCAGACCGATAGTCTTCATCGCATTGAGTGTATCTTGGTACTCTGCCAAGTCATCAATTCCCTCCACATCCAAACATTTCGACCGGCTTGTGTACAGGTACGTATCTGGCGTTTGGATTCCCAGATTTGTTCGATACGTCTGGGATGCTCCTTTCGTAAATTGGTAAAAGATATGGAAATTCCGCTCATTAACAATCTGTCCCGTTACTCGTGTCTTTTCCAAAAGGTAGTTGGTAATATCAGCTCCGACCGGTTCTCCCTGAGCGTTGAACTGTAATTGAAGATACTTTCCGAAACGAGACGAATTGTTGTTCCGAAGTGTCTTCGCATTTCCGAATGATTCCAAAAGCGGATTTGTCGCAAGCACCATATCCTTCGTCTCCTGAATCGAAGAGTTCCCACCTCCTGACACGCTGGCAATGTATTGCATCAATCGCTTTGCTGCCTCCGTCTTTCCGGCACCAGATTCCCCAGAAATAATAACACATTGGTTCTCCTTATAGGCATTCATATTGTAGTATGCGGACTCGGCGACCGCAAAAACGTGAGGCGGCATCTGTTTTTGTTAGTGTCTTCTCATGAGTTCAGTCTGCCGGCATACTGACTTCCAACCGATTCTTGCCTTTGTAGCCATCCAGCACCTGTTCCGTGTAGATTCCCACTGTACCTTGTTAGCAATTGACTTAATTTTATGAAAGAATCGTCTTACGATCCCGGAACGGATTGACAGAAACGAGCACATGGCCAATATATGTCTAAATTATGTCAGATTGCTGAATTTCGTTCTGGACAAACGTCTCGTCTCCCAAAGGGCATCCTCACGTATATCTCTCCCGCCTCAAAGCGCTTCTTCAAATTATCATTGATCGCTTCAGGAGTGACCTTGCTAATCAGAGTAAGATCAGAAACCCCTATCTCCTTTTTCTTCGTGGTATCGAAAGCGGCCTTCTTAATATTCGGCTTCCCCCCAGAAGCTGCGCCCTTGCCTCCATCTTGCGCCTTTGCGGTTTTATCTCTCCTCCGAGTGATAGCCTATCGCACCATAACCGTTAGACATGTCTGAAGTGCACAATACCAGTTCCTGGGCTCAATGAAACTCACCATTGTGAATGCCCCTCGCTGACTGTAGCCCTGGATGCGCCCGGGCTCTAAGGCGGTCGCGGAAGTTCGTTTACTCTTTTGGTGAGATAGGGAAGGGCGGAAGTTGGGCGGTGTGAGGAATTTCTAGCAAGAGGACATTGCCCTAGTAGAATAGTTTGTGGTAAAGAGAAAGAATTACCAAATGTTAGAGAAGTTGTGTTATTGAGTTAGAACGTCACAGCACCTGTGACGGTCGCTTCAAGGTTATTCCGGCCCGCGATTCTCACTGGAACAATCACCACATTATTTTTCAACTCCACAGCCTCGTTGACCGCGTCACGTACTGACTGTACACACTTGCCACCTACCGAGCGATTATGTTAATCACGTCTTGGCTAACGCATAGTTGCGCACCAGAGAAGCCCCAGAGAAGCCGACTAATGAAAAGCATCTGTGGAATCTCTAGTGTGTGAAGTCTAATAGACAGATGCATTCCTCCAGCATTTCTACCACCTTTACACAAATTTCATCCGTACTCCGTTCTAAATATGTTTGAATTCCGGTGAATCCTCACTTGCTTGTCTACTTGGGGCTCGTCAACTGGTTAGCTTTCATTTCATCATTCACAGATGCTTTCCCAATTTTGTTGTTCTCTGAGAATGAAATTGCCTAAGTAGCTACGAATACCTTCACCATGTACGGGGGTGTAAATTTGATTTTTTAAAAGAAACGTACTAAATGTATGCGAAGAATACCTGCAACTTTCTATGTCTTCAAAGCCACAGTACAACAAGTGTTGACTGGAGGGCAGTCAGAGGGACTCAGTTACCTGCGCAGCTACATCGACATCGTATGCTGCTAAGCGTTCTCGCTGCATGCATCTTATCTTGATCAGTATCCGAACATAACTTTTCCTTCAAACACCGTTCAAAATTCTGTAGCGGTTTGCAATATGCCCATCTGCGAAAAGACAGTCAGTATATGCGCACTGTCATCCCCAGTCTTCAGCCGTTCTTATTCTACATGGTATCGTGTGCTATCCTGCCCCGCTATCAAGGAACGTAAAATGGTTAGAAGTAGATGAAAAGTATGCAGTTCTCCGAACTCTCTATATTTTCATCAAATAATATCCGCTGCTTGTGGTTTTCGTTTGCTGCTTCGTAATGCACCTAGCTGAGAAAGCAGTTGGAGAAGATCAGTTCACCTGTAGTATCCCGTATGGTTACACAAGTATGAGAAGTTCGGTGGCTATAACGGGAGCGTATCCCAGGTTGAGAGTTATTTTCCAATGGGCTGTTTAAAACTTCAAAACATCATTGATACTCGATAGCTCTCGCAGCAAATCATAAAATTACTCCTTCTCAGCATGGGTATCGATGCTGGATTTGATATGGTTCCATGTCTCTCCGCGGGGTCATTCGATAGAAAGACCTGGCGATCATTCATCGACTTGATAAAAGAAATTTATCAAAATGATAATTTGGTCGAGGTTGAACCCAACCGCATTCGCTTCAAAGTTGGCGAGCATCCGACCCTCCCTTTCGCAGGCCACAAGTTTCTGCGCTTTAGCTCAAAGATCTCAGGCAGTCATGGCCAAAGTGTAGAGAACTATCTCAACAGAGTTGCAAGTGTCGCAAGAGACTTTTTTTGGCTCTCGTGTCCAAAGATGGAATGAAATGTTTGACAAATGGGGATTTTACAGCTGGGAAGAGGTCAATATGAGTTTCAGCTATCTCGGACAGGTCTATCGTATCTTATCTGCTCTAGCTCCGCTTCTGACGAATTCGGGTTGACGCTGGGAACCCCTCCTTAGTTTCCTCCCCAGACGAACCAGGAATCGATTCTACGCGCGAACTACAATTGCCCCTCTTCGAAATCAAAGAGATGCCGACCAAAGGAAAGGGGTTGGTCGCTCGTCGCAATATCAGTAAAGGCGAGCGGATTCTTTCTGAAAAGCCTCTTCTCATAAGTCCAAACTTGTCGTCCATGAGCGTAATGGAAAGTGCCATTGCAGCAAAACTGAAGACACTCTCACGAACTGATCAGCGGCAGTTTCTTTCCCTTAACAACAATTTTCCTGGAAAGTACCCATTCAGCGGTATTATGAGAACCAATGCTTTCCCTTGTGGATCGGGTGCTGTCATTGGTGGCGTGTACCCTACCATTTGTCTCATCAACCACAGCTGCCTTCCCAATGCTCATAACAACTGGAATAACGAATTGCAGTGGGAGACCATCCATTCAGTTGACTTTATCAAAGCTGGGGAGGAAATTACCATTACTTATGACCACGGCGGCCCCTCCAACTCCCGACAGGCTCAGTTGAAAGGGGCATTTGGATTCGACTGCAGCTGCCACCAGTGCCTTCTTCCACCTGCCGAACTTCATGACAGCGACCTTCGCCGTGAGCAGATTCAGAGTCTGGATGATTTGATCGGCGAGCCAACGAGAATCATGGCCACACCGGATTGCAGCCTGAAAGCATGCTTTCTCATGCTCCAACTGCTGGAGGCAGAATTCAAAGGAAATGCTGTTACTTTGATCGGGAGAGTCTACTATGATGCCTTTCAGATCTGCATTATTCATGGCGATCAGGCTCGGGCTAGCATATTCGCGCAAAGAGCCACTAAATACCGTGTCATTTGCGAAGGGGAGGACAGCCCAGAGACGATAAACATAAAGTCCTTGATGAAGACTCCGACCCAGCATGCAAGCTATGGAGCATCAACCAAGTGGAGGACTGCGAAAGGACTCGTGCCTAAAGGATTGGACCCTGACGACTTTGAGAATTGGTTGTGGAGAGAACAGAACTCGATGTGATTGTGTTACTGATGTTTTTGAGTATCTGATTCAAGTTGATGAGCTGGCTTGATTTACACAACCTCTGCGAGACAGATGTAAGCTTCTGTTGAGAATCAAGTGAAAGGTGGCTTATGCTATTGAGTACATGAATATTTTGAAATCCACATGGCTGCCGAATCTGTAGCACCTGCTAGCTGAGCAATTCAGCACTCTGAATTGAAAGGCCCTACACAATAAATGGATCAAAGGACAGTATCCGCCATACCAGTTCGTATGAAGGACGTTAGCGAGTTACCTCATGTCAATTTCATTGCCCTCTTCCAGCCTGCGTTTCATAAGTCTTTCATTATTGCTACTGTAGCATTTGCTACGCAGGAGAATTATCTGACCGGAAGACAAAGTTCCAATCAAATCAAACGAAGATGATAATAGACCTTGCAGAATTGTTCTGGTGACCGTTCAAGGTTCCTGGCGGTGGTATCCTCTCCGGTGCTACTGTACCCCCACTTGTACTGAGACGAGGGCTCAGATGTCCCACGATAACGGAATTTCCAAAGCTGGAGAACATCCGAGAAATCGAACTGACATGTGTATCGTCTGTTCGATTCCAAGCCGTGCACCTGTCAACGGGCTATTGAATATGTTCCCAATTCGGCAAGTTCTTCCTGGCCATCCTTACTAATTTGTCACACCTGAATCGTTTGCGCCAGTGAGACTCAGCAAGTCTGGAGCGTCGTTCCAAATTTGAAGACGTGTCACGTGGAAATTCATGCAGGTACGATTGAAGAGCGGATGATCTACGTGTATAGATGCTTTCTGATACAGCATCCACACCACCATTGTTTTACCACCTTCAGACAAGCGATGACGGTCATGGACGTCATTGAAGAAGCGGCAGAGGCAAAGAGACTTTGAATGATCGTCGAAGTCACAGAAAGTCGGGATTCTTTCTCACCGACCGGAGAGTTGTTTCCCAATTGGCATTGGATGCCGCTACTCAGCGATCACAGGCGGCAGAAACACATTGAGCTGTAAATAATCTCAAGGGATCTTGCCTTTCCGGTTCTGCGGGCCAACTAAACTGCAGCCTGCACGCAAGTCACCAATACTTCCGTGTGACAATTCTTCAGCAATTGCAATTGGCTGCAAAGAGCGATTTTTGGTTTGCATGGTTAGTGTGTTCTTGAGAGAGCGAATGATATCGTTGAACTCATAAGCGCCCGTCAAACGTCAAGACCCAAGTGTCTGGTGTTTCCCAAAATAGTTCCAAACAGGACCATGATTGGTTCACAAATGTTCTTCAGCAAACGGCTTGAAGAGGAGCAGAGTTCGAGGTGGGGAGAACTGGGGTACCTTTTACGAATACGGAATGTATGAGGTTATTGACAACTTACGGAAATGTTCAACAAGAGACGTTGCAAGATGACGGCTCGCCGTACCCCGTGGATTCGACCTTCCTGTTTGCACTGATATTGCTGACTGGATCGAGCGGCTGACTGGCACAGCAGGAGGAAGAGGCAGAGGTCGACAAAGAAGGGTCGAAGGATGCCAAGCTGAAACGTCTCGATTTGTGCGACCGACCACGATCGTTCCTTGCTGAAGAATCCAGTCCATCTGGGGTTTTGCCGCTTGAGGCTCTCTTTGCTGTGCCTCGCTCTCGAGCCAGAGGTTTGTCGACTTCTCAATGCTCCAGGTCGTAAATCCGAGAATTGTCGTATCGAGTATTCCCTTCCAGTGTTTTGCTCGGCTGCCAGCTCCAATACTTCACTGTGCTTCCCATTCTCTCCGTCTCGCCTCGCTGCGCTCATGCACCCCTTTCGCTCTCCTTGGAATTGGCTTGGGGTTTGGTTGTCGTGGCCATGTAGTCGTGTTACTGGCCGACCGGTCGCAAAGCGGGGCCTCTGCCGGTCTCAATGGGCGAATCCCTTGTCGCATTCGAAGCGCCGGGAGCTTTGACAGAGAGACGGCGCCCGCTGCTGTCAAGTGCCTTCGTGGGTCTGGCTGGTCTCTCCGTTCCTCAAATGCACTCGTTCGACCTCGAGATGGGGTGTGTACTTTCCTCGTCCTTCCTGCAACCTTCTGCGCGACTGAAAGGAGAATCGCATGTCTTTATATCCAACATTCGATTGCCTTTCATCATAATCGTACGATTCTGTGAAGTGCTCTCGTCGCTGCTGCTTGGCGCATCTCCATCCAAAGACGCATCTCTGCCTTTCTTCCCTCAGGAGCGGTCCGAGACTCACTCGCCTACCAATGCGTTGGAGGCTTTGCAACGACCTGCGTTTCAAGAAGTCGAGCTGCCCCCATTGATCACGGCCAAGCTTTTTGACACTCCACAAAACCCTACCGGAATTGCCAGGAACATTGCTCGCCTGCAGTACAAAGTACATTTAATCCCAGGAGTTATCTGAGATCGGATCGTCCTGACACCGCTGGCCCCTCGTCCGAAACCCTCTGCAACGTCTGATCTTCGACACAACCGTCGAATCCGAACAATCCCACCTCCTGAAGTTTGGATGGCAAGCTGCAGAAAGACTCGCTCCTCACAGAAACCTCGCCTGGCTGGGACGACCTGCTGCCCCACCACTCACGTCGCCGGCACAAGTTTCATGGAACGTTGAGATCCGACCTTGCACCGTCCGTATCGCAGTTTATTTGCGATTGCACGAGCGTCAATTCAGGCCGGCAGTTACACAGGGGTGTACATCCGAAGAATCTTCCACTCGACCAGCGTAGAAAGAGTCCAAGATCCCCAAAACCCCCTGATCCTGATCCACCTTCTCTGGAGACAGCCGCACACAAAGCTGCTAAGCTTTCTTCCTCAACCCATATCTATACCCTCATCCCGCTGCTGGCTCAGACTGTCCCTTTTCTTGGTGTTCGTTCATTCTTTCTCAGGTCCGGTACGGGATTTTAATATACAGCGCGAACAGTAGAGGGGCCGTCTTTCGTTAACCGACTTCCTCTCCTTCAACTTACGACTGCGCTTCACCGTCGGTACCGTCGCTGGTCGACTTTTAATTAATTACTTTGGGCTTTTCGAGGGGAATATATACGCAATAGAAGGTCAAGATGGGTTTAGGAGCATTCTTCAAGTCGCAGGTGCGGGGGTCGAAGCTGTTGTTCAATTTTCTGTTTCATGGCTTTCATATTGGCATGTTTGCGTTGGGATGGTAAGGAACCTGGTGGACTGAGTGTGTAGAGCAATACTAACAACCCCACTAGGATAAAGCAGATGAATGACCCGAAATTGGCGGGTCTCAATACATTAACGTTCTCGGTCTGGTTATCACGAGGAGCAGGTCTGGTCTTGTCCATAGATGGCGCTATCATTCTGTTACCGATGTGCCGCAATTTGCTCAAATATATCCGCCCAAAGATCAAGTTTATTCCTCTGGACGAGTCTCAATGGTTCCATCGACAAGTTGCCTACTCGATGGCATTCTGGACATCTGTTCACGTTCTTGCTCATTATGTCAAGTAAGTAGACGCTTTACCAATAAAACAGCTGTATAGGTTACTAACACGCAACAGTTTCTTCAACGTTGAGCGAACTCAGATCCGACCTCTCACTGCTGTCCAGATTCATTACGCCGATGCTGGTGGAATTACTGGACACATCATGCTCTTATGTATGGTCTTGATGTACACGACCGCCCACGCTAAGATTCGCCAACAATCCTTCGAAACATTTTGGTACACTCACCACCTGTTCATTCCGTTTATGCTCGGTCTTTACACTCACGCCACTGGCTGCTTCGTTCGTGATACCACCGTGCCTTTCTCGCCATTCGATGAGACCAACTTCTGGAAGCATTGCATTGGATACCAAGGATGGAGATGGGAACTCTGGGGAGGTGGTCTCTACTTCCTCGAGCGAGTCTATCGTGAGATCAGATCCCGAAGAGAAACCAAGATTGTCCGTGTCGTTCGTCATCCATATGGTAAGCAACTCTGATGAAAACCTTTCATATCTTGAAACTAACAGTATGTCAGATGCTATGGAGATCCAGTTCAAGAAGCCTTCCATGAAGTACAAGGCCGGCCAATGGTTGTTCCTTAACGTTCCCTCCGTTTCCCGCGAACAATGGCATCCTTTTACCATTACTTCCTGCCCATACGATGAATACATTTCCGTCCACGTTCGTCAAGTAGGAGACTTCACTCGTGCATTGGGTGATGCTCTAGGAGCTGGAGCAGCTCAATCCAAACTCTACGACGGCGAGCCAGGTGCCATGTACGAAGTCGCTCTACAAAACGGTCAACAAATGCCTGCCCTTCGTATCGATGGTCCATATGGAGCCCCAGCTGAAGATGTCTTCAACAACGAAATCGCCGTCCTCATTGGAACAGGTATTGGAGTCACCCCATGGGCTGCTATCCTCAAGAACATCTGGCATATGCGCAACGGACCAAACCCACCAACCCGTCTCCGTCGTGTCGAATTCATCTGGGTCTGCAAAGACACCACCTCCTTCGAATGGTTCCAAGTCCTTCTCTCTTCTCTCGAGGCCCAATCTCAGGAAGCCGCATCCCGACCAGGATCCTCCGGCAATGAGTTCTTGAAGATCCACACCTACCTCACCCAGAAGCTCAACGAAGATGATACCAACAACATCATCCTCAACTCCGTCGGTTCAAATGTCGATCCCCTAACTGAGCTCAAATCAAGAACCAACTTTGGTCGCCCAGATTTCGGGAGACTGTTTGCAGGCATGAGAGATGGAATCTTAGATCGTACATACTTGAACGGTCTAGAAGGAGATATGAGAACAAACGTCGGTGTTTACTTCTGTGGTAAGTTTCAAGCCCCTCACTCCCTTTTACCACATACTGACACAATCTCTCCAGGACCCAACGTAGCAGCCCGAGAAATCAAGAAAGCCTGCAAGAAAGCCACAGTCCGCGAAGTCAACTTCTCGTTCTGGAAAGAGCATTTCTAAAACACCCACTCCTTCAAGCTAGCTTTTTGCAAAATGTAAATTTTTTTCTGGCGCATGCTACCTTATACCTTTTAAATATATCCCCCGAGAGAAAGAAAAATCTTAGGCACAATCCCATCGTTAATCAACTTATATATATCAAAATTTTATGTTTTTCGTGGGATCATAGTCACTTTGTTTTTGGTTTCTCGCATGCTGGGTGGGATACGGCGAGCATTTATGTTGATGAACCTGAATTTTGGTTTGTGGTGTTTTGTTTTTGCTAAGAATTTTGGAATTTTTTGATGACGATCGATGATGAGATAGAAGATTGAGAGAAAGAAAGGGATGGAAGAAGGACTCTTGTGTATGTATGTATGGGATGGTATATATATAAAGTATTTATGCTTAACCTATATACTCTTCTATTCATGCTTGGGGCGCTGTGAATTTTCAATGCTAACCCTAATGTGGTGTAGAATGATGTCATTGTATTAGTGAAATGATTAAGTATCGAGTTTTTGACTTCTCACCAACCTTTGGCGTAATTCGTTGTTTACTGCACAACCGATGCTTAGCTCATATAGGATCGTGAGAGTCTTTTGATGTCAGTTCTTGAAAGTCCCTTCGAAGGTGTGTTCGTTCAACGATGTCTCGGATATAAACCGAAGACCATGCTTGTTATCAGTGTACAAGATTCCTATAGCTAAAAAGGATGATGGATTTGGTATACCACACATCCTCTCAGGAGGTCGATTTGAAGGTTGCATGACAAAAGAAGGGTATAACTCTCTAAAGAATCATGTAAGATCTTAGGTTAGGTATCATAGATGATGGGTAGGTTGGTCACAAACTACCCAGCCAATATATCAGGACTAGTCTAGCGCTTCTATCTTAAAAGGTATATTTAGCCTTTTCAAGTAAGACTGTCCCGTCAGACTTGCAATGCACTATCGATCTACACCACGTACCACAACTCACACTCACAAATCACTTAATACTGAACCCAAACACATGACGCTTTAAAAAAAGTATATCATTTCATTAACCTCCCATTTCATACACAGCAACCTCGCACCAACGCCACAGACACGAGAACGTTTCCTATGTAATCTTCCCCACGTCTGGCTGCAAGACATTCCAGAGCTAAAATAATTCATGAATCTGTGTCATCATCATTCCATGCAATGCCATTAATGAGAATCATCATCCGCTTTCTTGCTTCCTGGCCGTTCGTCTTAAGTTGCAAACACTCGCTTGCTCATGAAGATCACGTATGAGAGAGCAGTTTTATCGACAAGAGTCCAGCCGTACTCTAAGATAGAAATTGCGCTTATGAGAGGAGTTGCTCGATCGCACCTTGCACACTTCCACCACTCCGTCTCAATGCCGCTACGTTTCGGTCGAAATCGAAAAATCCCATATCGTTCAACTGTCGCAGTTGATCTGCGTATTGCTCCTCAGGTGGTCTAGTATCCGCTGGAGGTGGCGGACTCGCGGCTCCTCCAAGGTTTCCGAATAAGTTTCCACCAGGTCCTCCAGCACCTCCCATACCCATCATCTGCAGAGCTTGTTGCATCTGTTCTGGTGTTGGTGGTGGCATACCGGCAAACGGGTTACCACCTGCACCTCCGCCTCCAAACATGCTACCAAATGGATTTGGAGCCGCTCCGCCTTCAGCAGAAGGAGTGCCCTGTCCCCCCGCTGAGCCAGGCGCAGGTGGTGTCTGCGCCGGGGTACGACCGAAAGCTCCACCGCCGCCCATGAGAGCAGCAAATGGGTTTCCACCAGCAGCTCCAGCTCCAGCACCGGGAGCACCGAACATAGCAAAGGGATTTGGTGGTTGTGAATTTGGGGTAGCGTTCGTTCCGGCATTATTTGCGCCTGGTGTTGTGTCTGTCACTCCAGGAGCTGGAAAACCACCAGCTGCCCCACCCATACCTCCGCCTTGCATCACCCTCTGCATTCTCGCTGCTTGTCGTAGCGTTTCTGGGTTTGTCATCATCTGTCTGAATTCCGGCGATTCTAACATTTGTCGAGCTTGTGGGTTATCACGAAGACCTGGAACAGACTGTATCATCATATCGATCATGGCGGGGTTGTTCAGAGCCTCGTTAAGGCTTTGTTGGACGTTAGGATCGTCTAGCATCTGTGCCATTTGGTCTTCATTAGGAGGTGCTCCCATCTGGTTCCTGTTAGCATACTGTAATCAAACGTGATATTGATATCACTTACACCACCATCTGCGCCGAACATCTCTGCACCGGGTAGAGCCATATGTCCGGCGTATCGAGCACCTGTCAAACCGGCAAGTGGGTTGTTCGCCGTACCCGCTGCCATGTTCGTTGGTACACCAGCAGCAGCTCGAGGGACACCTCCAGTCGCAGCAGCGCCTGAACTAGGTGTTTGTGCAGGATTACTTGCGGCGCTCTTGACCATATGTATTGTATTGCCTGTCTTAATATTGTATTTACTCAATGGATCTTCGTTCTTCATTACCCGCCCTGAGTAGATGAGCCGCTGTCGCTCAGCAGGCACCTTCTCGTAATCATCGCCGGAAAGTTTGTTCTTCAGATCTAGCACTGAGGCGGCCGCAGACATAGTAATGCTGTGGTTTCCATCGCTCGACGTCTTGACCTTGAAGGAGAGTTGCGGTTCGGTCTCCGTCGCCGTCGTATCTTCTGAAGCCATAATCGGAGATTTGATTCTGTCGCCGATTACTGTGTGGAATGGGTATACGAAACAGAAAGGAGAGGAAGAGTTGTAGAGAATGAGGTTCAGCGTTGATCTGTTTGCGATCTGGTGGCACTGCTGGGCTGGATAATGTCGAAGTTGAGGCGGCGATCGCGATACGTCAACAGCGAGTGACCCTTGTCGGTTGGGGTTGCAAGGGTCAACTTCAGATTCTTGTGGGCTGGAACTGGAATGGAAGGAGACCTTCAACTTATTGTAGTATTTTTGATGTGAGATAGAAACTCGTAAACTGGATACTAACAATCGAAGATGTAAACAAGAAAAGAAAAGATCCTCTTCAAAAACGTAGTGATTCAGAAGTGCATGGCTGAATTTACACTCAGTGAGCGTCTTCCATCTCCATCTATGACTTTCTCAGAAATCTTGCTAGTACCTTTGACCAACTCCACTTTTGCTACGAGAACGTGTTTTCTAATCACTTGTTTGATTGAACGATTCTATAGCTTATTGCCGCTAACGATACGAAACTGTCATTATTGATTGCATTATTCTGCCTTGAATCTCACTCTCGTCTTGATCTGGCAAACAGCGAGGGGCACTTTTGTGGCACGTGATTGCTTCTGGACCCTTGATGTCTCGGCTCGGATCGTGGAGCCTCGGCTCCCCGCGATTAACGATTGACCTCGAGCTTGAAGCTCTCCAGAATTACTTGTATTCGTTGTCTAAGTGACTTCATAATATTCTTACCAGCAATTCTCATCAGGTGCGGGAAATACCTACAATCAATTCCTTCATCGCCCAGAACACGGTTCACGATGCGTGGAATTCAGATCAAGGAGTACGTCAAAGTAAGCATAATTCCCAGGCATCTTTGGACTTATGTTACTATCACAACAGCAATACAATCTCGTAGTTTCTTGACAAATTATTCCCAATGATTTATCAGACACTTCAAGATAACCTTTCATATGCTCAATGTTCTCTTTCCAGTTCTCAATATGCTAACGCTATCGCCAGGGTCCTCAAGACCTAACAGTCACGAACCTCCCAGACCCCGTACCCTCCTCAAGTCAATACCTAATCGCCATCCACGCCTCCGCAACCAACTTTTTCGACCTCCTCCAAATCCGCGGGAAATACCAGCATCAACCCCCACTACCATGGGTCTCCGGCTCCGAATTCGCAGGCACAATTCTCTCCGTCCCTTCAGCTCTCAAATCCCCCAAGTACAAAGTAGGAGACCGGGTATTCGGTGCTTCACAAGGAGGATACGCTACTAAAGTCTGCGCGCCAGAACCAGCGTTATATCCTGTACCAGATGGATGGAGCTTTTTCGAGGCGGCAGGCTTATTCGTTACGGCGCCTACGAGCTACGGAGCTTTGGTGACTAGAGCGGGAGTGAAGGAGGGCGATGTGGTACTAGTCCACGCAGCGGCTGGAGGTGTAGGCTTAGCTGCAGTACAAATCGCGAAAGCATTCGGGGCTACTGTAATAGCTACGGCTGGAACGGCTCATAAATTAGAGGTTGCCAAGTCATTCGGTGCGGATCATGGCATCAATTACAACGAGAAAGACTGGCCGCAACAAGTCAAGAAACTCACCCCAAAGGGCAGGGGTGTAGATATAGTTTTCGACCCTGTAGGTCTCATCGACCTAAGCACAAAATGTATCCGCTGGAACGGACGACTCCTAGTCATCGGCTTCGCAGCCGGCAACATTGAAAAGCTCGCCCTCAACAAGGTTCTCCTTAAAAACATCAGTATCGTAGGATTACACTGGGGAGCATATGCCACGAACGAGCCAGAAACGATCCAGCCGGTCTGGGACGGCATATTCAAACTTATCGCCGAGAAGAAGTTCCGGGGCACGGTATTTACGGATAAAGAGTTTGTCGGGTTGGAGAGCGTAGGAGAAGCGTTGCAAAGTCTAGGGAGTAGAGGGACGTGGGGAAAGGTGGTTGTCAAGGTTCCCCAGGAGAAGGAGAGTAAGTTGTAGATGTAGAAAGCGGAGATTTAGGTTGAATATATCCAAAAGGTCATCAAATACAAATTATTTCTCTACCGTTTCCTTAAAATGCTTGTTTTTAATACAGAAACATAGATCGATTAACCAACAGATGATACAATTCTTAATTCCTCTGCCGTCGTGCTAAGCTGGGAAAGAGAACGGGACTACTGAATCCTAACTATGGCCTCTGTCAAAGGTTTTAAGGTTATTAAGCGTGTAACATGGAATTCACAATATGCCACAGGACGCAACTTAGGTCTCATGCATTTAAATTCTAAAATGATCTTTTGGAAATTGAAAGACTGCATTCAAATCCTGACATTTCTAATTATTTGGTGACCTCTATGATTTGATTCAGCAAATTGTGCTGTTCATTAGAAGAGCATACCGACAGGAGCTCGCTTATCTCCTCCTTCGCCCCTGGATAAGAAGCGAGGTATTTCTCAGTCACAAAATCAACTTCCACAAGATGAGCAGTTTCATTAAATTTCGAGTCATTGCAGCACTCTACTATCCGTACTATGCCAGTGTTATAAATATTCAAAGACTTGTTTCTGTCATGGTCGGTAGATTACTACACTGACAGACAAGATTGCATAACGATATAGTATCGTATTTCTATCCTATGTACAAGGCCTGCTTGCAATCATCAATAGAAACTAAAAAGAAAGCTCTTTGCCCAAAGACCAGGAATGACTACGCCCCAAACAATTACTCCTCTACCTCATGAATCCAATTTACCTTACGTCAACCTTTCCTCAAGGTACGTGCAAGCCAGAAAGCGGCCACTAGAATCAGAGCGCGTCTTACATAAGACTTGAAATTGTTCTTCTCAGTATTCTTATCTGGGTCTGCTTGCTGGCAGATTAGCCATGAATATTTCGTAGACCTCATCACCCATGATTCGCTTGATTTGACTTCGTTTGGCTTGCCAGTCCATTTGACTTTGCGGCGCACTTTTTGCTGGCTGCATGTATACCACACTCGCCCGCTCATCAGTGGTGGGCGGTGTGACGATTCCAACGTGGTGGACTTCAGCTGGAGGGGTTATGTTTTCATCAAATCTGGTCTCTGGTGATGGGGTCACTTGTACCTGGGTGTTTGCAGACTCGTGTGTATTTGCTGGCGGAGTAGAGATTTGACGACTTCTTGGCCTGCGGTCCAAACTCTCTTCCCTGCTGATTTTGATTTCGAGTATCTTTCTTGACTGTAATGCTTTCAGAACTTTGGCTTCTCCACTGGTAGGGTGACCACTGAGGTATGTTTGTGTCTGTTTCATGTAGTTCTTGCCATCTTCTACCAAATATGCAAATGGGAATACAAGTGAGACGTTATCTTCGATGTTCAGAGGCGCCGAAATAGTCAGTGTTCGGTTGTCGAAGTTGAGGACGTAACGCCACTGATGGGGCTTGACATAGTGTTTGCCATACATTCCTGATTATAACGATTAGCTTCGCTCGTCTTGAAAACACTGACAACAAGGATGTATGTATAACGTGGCACGAAGCGATATATTCATAGTACGTACTCATGTCAACAAATCGTCTGGATTTCCCTTCATAAATATCCATCAACGACTTTTCCAAGGATGGTGCCTTCGCTCCACGCGGTGAACGAGGTTTATATCCATCCGGTGTCAAATCCACCGCGCATAGATTCTCGGGAAGTTTCCTTTGCTCTTCCAGCGTAAACCCATCAAGAGCCCATCGCCACTACACATGTGTTAGTAAGTCTCGATGTATCCAACCCTTCCATTTCTCCAACTCTTGACGTCGACAATAAAGAGATGCACAAATTCAAACTGACCGTAATGTTCTTAACTCTCTTGGTCATAATCTTGTAGTCTCTCTTGGTCGCCAGCCTTCTAAGAAACTTGATGATCTCAAAACCAGCATCTCGAGGACCGCCATCAAACCCTGGACGTTGAAACAAAATGATCGGATCCCATATCGAAGGATGAAAGGACAATTGTGCGGCAGCTTGACCGACATTCCACTGTTCCAATCTATTTGGTGATCTTCCCCGATACTGCGACATTTGGTAATTTTGATGTACAAACAAGAGATGTGTTTAATTCTACAGTAAACAAGGAATGCTTTTCCAAAAATGCGAATCTGCAAATAAAGAGAAAAGAACTTATGTCGTGTACAGAAGAATCATGAAGAAAAAGATGGGAGAGGAGGGAAACGCAAAGGCAACAGAGCATAGTGAGTACCTGGGTAGGAGACTTGCTCGATCAACGACATCGATGCTCGAGGAAAGAGCGAACTGGTCTTCTATCTTTTTATGAAGCTTAGACATTACCAGAGCCGCCGAGCCATCACATGGAAATTAGAAGACCTACTAGGTAAGAGAGTCAATATTTCCATCTATTTATCACTAGCCCTCCAACGCTTAAACTCCACGCTTTCCATGTCCTTGAAATGCACCAAAATTTACAACTCCTTTTGACTCCAAAGAGTTTTGCATGCGGCGCAAAATAGCCGCCAGAGACATCCTTTGTCCAAACATAAACCACTACAACACCGGCCCAGACGCCAGAAATACCTAATGTGACATATCCACACTCTGCTAAACACGTAGAGTAGAGAAAAAAGTCGTTAAAAGAACTGAGATTCGCCGTATGGGGCCGGCCAGCCATAGTACGACCGATCCGACACCGACGTCTCAAACGTACCCAAGAATGGCATTGTCACCTCTCCGTACAACTCAGGAGGAGCAGGACTGTGACTGCAACCATCATGGTTATGATCCAGGTCATGCCTATAGGCATGGGTCCTGGGAGCCGCGGCTGGACGGTATCTTGAGTTGTGGAAGTGTGTGAGGTTTGCTTTCATATTGCAAAGACTGAGGTAGTCCCCTCCAACCCATTTGTTGATACATTTGTTGATAATATAAGCAATGTCGTGCCAGCCTCGGGTGTGGCCACCTTCATTTCTAGCCTTGAAGCCACAACGTATAAATAGGTAGCAATGTATGAGTTCGTGGATGAAAGCAGAGAGCAGTAGGCGTCGATCGTACAGTGAGGACGTTAAGATTGGTTCCGAGAGAATAATCAAAGTTTCGTAACCCTCTCTATCGCTACATTTCCTCAAAGCGGTCGTTCCTATCAGTTCGGAATGATACCGTTCCTGCGAAGACCATTCCCACTGAACCCGCCCGGCAAGAGCGCCGCCGAAGAATATCGTATCGCATGTAGTGACAATACTCGAAAGCGACTTGTCGTCGATTTCCCCCACGTCCTTGGGATCTTCAAGCTTGATGATTTTGCGGAGGATATCCTCATGTTTGCCTCTTCTGTGCTTACGAGCCTTGAAGTGTTCCGCAACTCTCGAAGCAGCTCTTTCATCAGTATCAAGCGATTCATTGAAGTACTGGTTCTCGATAGGAGTATCAGAGTATATGGAATTCCCGGACCTCGTCCGCTCCATAGTGATACCTCCGACTTGCTCCTTCGGCATCGAATTTGTCGTTGGGCCATTGGAGTTGACGAGGTGTGCCGACGGATGATACGGTGACGGCGAGTACAGTTGGCTCGAGAATGCGGAGTGACTTGAAAAGGAGGAGGGCTGTGGAATAACAGGCCGCCGCTGGTAATGCATTTCGTTTTTTCTGTAGTTCCAAGGAGTAGTACTAAGCAAGACTTGGTGGTTTGCTATACAAAACGGTCTTGTGTACAGATGATAACATAAATAGATATAGGTAAAGGTGCGTAGGCAAATTGCTACCTGCATTAATCGCAAACACGGAATAAGAACATAAAGACATAGGGCAAGAAGGAGTTGATAGGGATGGTTAGAAGCGAAAAACAGATACTTCGGGAGTCGGTGATTTTCTTTGATAGACAGATACTCAAGACCAGTTACCCATGTGCAGAGTGGAGAAAAGTGAGGCTGTCAAACGAACAACCGCAGGGTTCTGGAACTGGCCAGATAGACGCTCTGCACATTGATAAATTGATTTGTGTAGGATTCAAAGACAAGACTGGAGAGGGCTTCTGCAATAACATGCGGGCTCTGTTGTTAGAATCGCCTGCGGGTCCTTGTCACAACGAGGCTGACCTACATTTTCTGGACCCTGCCTCCTGACTTCTTGTCAAAGGAGTTGTCCACCACGGGCTGAATGCTCGAATTGACCCCAGCGGTGTACATCAGAGTCAAAGCAGCCATTGCAGCGTTCAAGTGTGTAGTGCTCTCTGACCACGACAGACCTGTTCCCAACGGGTAAGGAACTGTCAAACAATCGAGTGCCGGTCATGTCGTGGTGCCGGCGTCTATGAGCACCAGGACAGGGAGATGGATTAAAATTTGGTCTGAACTGGAAATGAACCGAGAAGTGTGTGCACCACAACAACCCGGGCCATACCGCTGCCGCGTTACAGCAGTGGCGTAAGCGAGCGTACTTGGACGAAGCGGTGTGAGGCAAAGGAGGCAAATTCGCTAACGGGAACTTTATTTTGGTGGTGTCGCTCGGTTTTGGTGCTGCAGTCCGCCTCGCTTTTTCTGATTGGCATAGATTCTCCTATGCATCACAACTTGACGTCTTCAATTCTTCGGACGACACGATGCTCTTCTTCGTGCGCCCACCCTGGTTCCACTTGTTGGCAGACGATAGGATCAATTGACATTGATATGTCCGTAACGTGATCCCGTTTCGAGGCTGCAGTATGTGTGGAAATATGGTTTGTATATATAAGCTGGTGATCTTGCCGGAAAACGTTTAACTTTTCCCCCACTTGCTCACCTCAGGGGCTCCGGACCCGGCTGGTGTCCCTGGTGAAGGTGGTGTATTACCAACAACCACTTATCACAATACTCGAAAGGAAGAGAAAGCACCACGCCCATCACATTCAGGCAAACAGAGAGTGCCCAGTATGCAATATTGCTTCGACTGCAACAGGCTAACGGTTGCTGCCCCATCTCTCAGCATCATCAGCCGAATGAACAAACGACTGACGACCTTCTTCTAGGGCGATCCTGTTCGCAGGGACGCCTACCTTGAAAATATTGCTTGCCAGAATCTGTATCCGACATGACTTCGAAATCCGAGGCCATCTCCTCATCGGTTTCTATAGCTAGCTGCAAATAACTTGGCAGTTCAAGAATGGGTTGCGCACGGCACGGCTCAGCCGCTGGGATATAGTGAGGAGCATGAGAGCGCACCTGTCTTTCGTGCTCAAGATTGGCTTCCCCTAATTCCGAGGCCTAGCCCTCTCATGAACCTCACCTCATCAGCATTCTTCTCCAATGCCTGCCGCATTGTTTGAGAGTATGTCTGTTCCTCACGCTCGATTCGGGCCTCTTCCTGTGTCCGAGGTGCCTTCTCTTCGAAGCTTTCCGAATTGAATCCTGGTTTGCTAGAGAAATTCAGCAGCCCAATTTTCTCACCAGTCCACAGAAGCAAATTATCCTCGTTAACCGGCCTGTCGCTCTGTCCACTTTGTAATGTGTTAGACATTTTAATAACAATATCTCCGGAGCCAGAATTCATGTAGGAATCGCCAACGGTGCCGAATATACCTTGGGGAGCTTCCACGGAATCGTGTGCAATATTCCACTTCCGTGCTTCGGTGAAACCATCTCTCTCGAGCCACTTTAGATTACCACTTCCATCTGATATCACAATTCGAGTCCCATGATTGGAGACTGACAAAAGCTTGGAGCTCGAAGATGTCTGCCGATTTTTCATCACGGAGTTTTGGAGGCCGCCTGCCTTGACGTCGGAAGATACAGTCGTCAAATGTGGGATGGGCGATAACCCGTACATCTCAAGTGAGCCTTTGCTGTTATACTCGCCACATGCAATCAAGGTTTTGCCGGGTCTTGTCTTGGCCTCCCAGAGTTGCTCGATTGATAGTTCCCCTCGACGAGCTAGATCCTTCTCCATAGAGGCAAATGGATAAGGCAAGGATGTCATGCTACAGAGCCTTGCTCCAGAGTGGATGGTGCCTCTTAACTTGGGAAAGTATCTCCGATCATAATTAAGTATGCTTGAAAACCGCCCGGCAACATATATCTCACCGTTTCCATCCCACTCATTGCCTGAACTAGGTAAATGTAAAATACTCAAAGGACCTGTTTCGGAAAGATGTGCATAAACAGGACTCGGTTCTGGATTAAGGAGATTCCGGAAACTTGACGACTTTGTACTTTTAGTAGAAGGAAATGTTGCAGCATATGAATCGAGACGATCGTTGTCGCTTGCTAGATGGCCTGATGATGTCCTTGTGCGAGGGTCATGAAGATAAAGTGCAAGATTAGTGCCGACTGTTAGCGGGACAGGATACTTTGCCTCTGATAAAGCGGTTATTGCAAAAGGGAATGTCTCGCGACCAACGGATGACAGTGTCTGGAGATCAACCTCAACCAGATCTGAGGTCGTTAGCTGGTGGATCATGTGGAATGCCAATTTCAAATTGCAGCGATGGATGTGTCAGCTCCGCACGGAGTACACAAATGGTACTCTGTTAGGGCCATTCCTCAATAATCCTTAGGACAGGAACACCAATCTTAAGTCCAGCACAAACAACTGTAATCGTGGAATATGCATGGCTAATGTTGAGATGGAAAGAAGTTCCACTTACCATTTTGAACAGCGATATATGCTATTTTTCGAATGCTGTCAACGCTTACGCATTCGGTAACGCCTGGTGTTATCAATTTCGGAGCTTGAGTTTGTTTCTGAGAAATTTCGGACGAGAAAAGGATTCCCGGTCTGCTTCTGGCGATGATGCTTCCTTTTCGACCCCTCGGATCTACAAGGCTCCAGAGACATACACTCCCATCGTCCAATGGCGAAACCACCAGACTGGATTCTGAGTCCCCTGGCTCTGTATAGAGCCCCATGCCTCTGATTTCAAGATGTTCACGTTGCGAACTCTCGAGATTGCGAGGCTGCTGAAGCCAATTTGTGGTGATGGGCGCATGCCTAGCTATAAACTCATCGTACCAGCGAACTTTCTCGTCAGGATAACTAGGGTCCCAATTTGCCAATATACGGATTCTCTCGTTTGATTGTTCCTTTAAATCTCGGGCCACTTGACGTGGCTCAGTCAGCCTCGAATCTCCAGAGTCCAAACCATTTCCACTTGCCAACGCTCGGGCAAGGTTCTGAAAGCGAGGCTCCTGAAAGGAATCATCGGCAAGAATTTCTCTTCTTCGGCGTAGACGTTCAACAAATGATGATTTTTCGAAGCATTGCTGACGCCATAACGCGTCGTCGCGGGCGATAAGGAGAAACTTCCTGCAGACGTGCTGAAGTGTAACGATTTCATGCGGCTCTAGAACTTTAATCAGAGCGAATTAGTTATTCAGTATTACGCCAGACGGGCGGGACTCTTACATTTGCAACAATAGAGAATGATCTCAGCGGGTAAGTTTTCCATTTCGAACAGAAGATGCTCTGTAGAAGTACGATGTACGAGATGATGCTGATTGCTGGAACAAACGGGTTCGGAGCCGAGGTTTCCAAAGCTCGGGCCGCCCCACTTATATATCTTTGGTGCGCCGCAAACCTAACGACATCTGATTGAGGAAGATGTAAAATTGTTGATATGCAGCAATATCTCATAGTATAATTCGTGGGATCATTTCAGTTAGTAATGAGACTAATAGGGCTGATGAGATAGGGTGAGCTAAATCATGGAGCCGCCCACAGCCTTCATATTCGCATTCTTATGAGGTCAAGATTCCAGATGTTTTTTCTTGGTAGATTGTTGTACATTAAAATACCGGACGGTACTTAAAATATTTCTACTGAAAGGCTATTGAGTACGGCAAAAATGACGTATACGGTATGCCTACGTTGGTGTTTTAAGTAAGGAATTTCATGTACTCCCATCTTAAAATAGTTAGATTCTAATCCTCATAGTAGTCGAATCTGCACTCCACATCCACGGAATGAAAGTGCTCTTCCGCTCATCTATTCTAGTTTGGTATCTTCTGTTGAGATCATATATGTAATAAAAGGTAGGTAGATGATGCTACGGCGAAGTCAAAAGCTATATTACTCAAGTCTGCATCAATTACTATCTCTGACATTCTCCACAATAAAGAATTAAAGATCAAGTATTGCGTTGAGCTTCTATAGTACTGCAGTTATGGCATGTAAATTAATCATGAGATCGACGTGTACAATTCATTTTGTTTTGCTAATCCATGTAGGAGCCTCCCTACCTGATGGTTCCTTGAAAATGTCAATTTCATTCACGTCAAGCATAAACATTTTCAGCCTCATTCTCTAAATCAGCATTAGACTAATACGAAGATCAGAATTTGAACACTGGCAGATGGATATCTACATACCTCACCAAATACTTGCTCCCCTTCACCTTCACTTCGTGTTGCTATATTGAAATTACGCGAAGAATCACAACCTGGAACCGTCACGTCTTCACTATCAACAAACAACTGATGGACTCCAGACCCTGTAAACTCCGATGGAACCAAAATACCAGTCGCTATTCTCCAATTTTGCTAAAAGCCGCACCTGTCAACCTTTTCTCGCGACGTGTGCGTCACGATACTTCACAATCACATCGTAGATCTCGGTCCGCTCTTTCGCAGACCACATTTCATTCAGAAGGAGGGTTTAGGGCTTCCCTCATGGGTACAATACTAGATCCATTCTCTTTTCACGGAGAGGGCGACAAGATCTCGAACGCGAACGCTCAGAATGACCAGGACGGAGCGAAAATGGAATGGCCCAAGCCTGCAGCCCAACAAAACAACATCCTACGCGTTGAGCGAGAAGTAACAAAGAAAATAGCAATGTTGTCGACTCATTCCAGCTGCCAATCGCTATTTCAAGAAGCAGAGCGACCGCCGACAGCGGGTAAAAAACCTCGCGCCGTCTTTGCCGATTTGCATACTGCCCATATTTCCATAACAGGCTCCGCGAAGTCTCGCTATCAAGGTCTCTCGCAAAACGCTCCTGCCCACAATGAGGACGATAGTTCAATTCCGCTCAATGACCTATCGGCATTCGACGACTCCTCGACTAATTTGCTGCCAGTGCTTCCGCGTCCGGCTGCAGTTTCCGGCTTGCGACGTAGTCGAACCTCGGACAATGAGATCCTTCCTGAACCCAAACGACGATCGAGGCGAGCTTCTTTTTTAGGTAAACTCTCTAGTAGCGGTGCCTCGTCCGCTGCGCAGAATGTGAGTCGAATCAATGATCTGTCAAAATAAGATACTCCAATCTGACGATTTAATAGTCTTCAAGAGATTTAAGCTCGAAGTCCACCTTTTGCACGTTGAAGAATGCAATCGCATCTATAACAGGATCCGCATCGGGAAATGACTACTCTGTTCCAAAGACAGCCCCTCGCTGGCACAGAGGCAGTGCAGACAACATTCCGGAAGAGTTGAGCAACAGAGGAGAGATCTTGAAATCCTCGAGTACACTTTTATCTGTCAGGTCATCGAGATCGGCTTCTGATTCGGATCTTTATCGAAGATTTATGGATTCCCGGGATTTGAGACCAACTGTGGAGTCAAATGAGTCCTCGAATTATCACTCAGGTCTTGGTGGCCCTCCATCAGACACCTTGCCACACGGGCTGGGTCGATACATTGGCCCTGATGGCTATGGATATCATCATTTCGTTCGGAACGACAACTCTCCCGTACGGGACGGAAGTACAGTTGGAAACATATACGCACATTACCTGAGTGGTGAAGACACCGATAGTTTGATAGACGAGGAGGAATCGCTTCGGTCTGAGTCGAGGGACAAGATAAATCGACGAGCCTCAATTCATGGTTTTCCATCAAGTCCCCCAATTACCAAGTCGAAGACCCATTCCCGAATCAACACACCTAGCAAAGCACCACCAAATTTTTCATTGCCACAAAGACCTCCAAATCGATATCTAGGTGTCCAGAATCTCGCACCAAGCAGCTCTCAAGCTATTAGCCATTCTTCGTCGTATGGAGATACTGGGGTTCTTCTTGATGCAGCCAAAGAGCTGCGGGTCATACCTCCAGTACCGCCTAGACTCGCGGCAAACAACCCATTTATTCATCAAAAGGTTAGAAGCTCCTGCTCCTTAGTCATGACTGTAGCTGGATCCCATTTGCTTTTTTTGCTTTGGATGTCGACCAGAGGTCCGCTATGGTTTCAATGCTAACGAAGAATTGATTAGGAGTTTAATGCTGTTAGCGGCCCCCAAGTAGTAGTGTCTCCTGCAGAAAGTTCTCCCTCGCCACCCCAACCCTCACATGCTACCAAGGACCATAATAGACTGCCGTTAGAGAAAGAAGTCAGTAGAGCGCTCAGGCGAGCAAGTGGATATAGTAATTTCAGTATCGGCAGCATGTCAGAAGCTCCTCAGGATCGTCACGAAGACCCACCTAGCGAAACGTCGACATACCGTGCTATAAAGTCTCTCCTGAGACGAAACATTGAAATTAATCCCTCGTCCATGACTGATGATTCAAGAGATGTTACAGGTCAGCAAGCGGCTTCAACACAATCATTCTATGATAAACATTCATTGCCCTCGAGATTTATTTCGACTCAGCAGCAAACAGTAGTCCGAGTTCCCATTACTCATCTACCACTTGTATCGCTTCCAGACTCGCCCCCAGACTCGCCACCTGGAGATCTCGTCACCCCGTTCGGACGTAGACAGGTAAGCAGGAGTTGATGTATTGTAGATAATATAATTATTGCCTTCGTATCTCGAAGTTCTTGCGGTGCTGATACTAGGTTGTTCTTGTTGACACTTGAGAGCTGTGCTGTATAAATCTGATCTAAACTAACTTCTTTTCAATAGCTTACCTCGGATGACCCTAACGATTGGGAAACGGTTGGAGAGAGCGCAATCGGAAGACCACTCGCGAACGACTTCTTGGGTGGGACGATAGGTCGAGCTGGAAGTAGTATTGCGAATCTTTCAGACGAGGCTTCTGTTCGAGAGCTGGATTCGTTCAACTCATTTGATAGAGTCACTCACCACCCTGGTAACAATCAATACTTTGGTGGCTACAGGCAAAGGGATCTCAAAAAAGTTCACATTCCTGTGCTCCTCCCAGTGTTCGGAGAGCACAAAGTAAATGGTCAGTATATCCACAGTAAACCCACAGCCGTGGCCCTGTAGACTTTCACCCATCCGCTCTTCTTTTTTGCCGATATTCCTCCAATTCCAAATATGTTTCAGCTTCGCGCCCATACTGACCTTAAAGCAGGCTATTTATCAGACTCCACCAGAACTCGACCGCCTCCGAACCCATTTTACCAGACACCTCCACCTCTTTCGAGAATTCACGATAATCCTTTCAAATCCCCCGCTCCTTTGGTATCTCCAAGTGCTAAAAAGCGACGCCATCCTCGCTTCCCACCATCGCGTGGAAATGAAGATGGGCGAGACAATAACTCAGAAACTGATACCGAATGGATGAACGATTTTCGTGACCCTGGTCCAGTTACAATGACAGAAGAAGTTCCAAGAACTGCTGCCTTTCGTAATGCTATTCCACATGACGGCGCCGTCCACCAACTAGACCGTTCTTCCTCGAAAAGTGGCTCGGCCATTATGCGATGGAGAAATGAAAGTAGAGAAGACGGATTTGTCGAGATGCAAACGTTTGGCGGAAAAGTTGCAGTTGAAAAGAAGAAAAGTCGCAATCCAATCACCAAAAGGCCACCGGGAGCATTTTATTTTGGATTGCGTACGGTTTCGGTAGGTCTTTCTTGATGAAAATTATTAGTCGATCTATGACCTCCACTTGTGAACCTCACAAATGCTAAGAACTCCTCTAGAAATCAAAAGGCAAGGGCACGAGTGGTTTATATCAACAAGATAGAAAGACCAGGGCGCCATTACGCACTGGCACTGTCAAGGACCAGCCAACCAACGTCCTTCGCCCATTGTCTCTGCTAGCTGATCGACGGCCGACAACGCCTACTGCTCAAATAACGAGAGATCCAAATGAGCCATTCGGTAACGATTTCGTCTATCGTTCCCCACTTGCACCACCGAGAAGCAAAAGTTGGTAGCAGCTCTACAGCGAAGATGAGATGAAGAACATCCGCGATGCTGCAAAGGCTGACGGGTGGATCGGCTCTGATTCCTACAATCCCACGAATCTGAGACAATCTATGAGACATCTGAGCTCCCAAATACATCTATTTGAGGCTCCACGGCTGACGATATTCTCTCGCGATGCTTCAAACCAGACCGTTCTCGCCAAGCATACGAGAAGATTCTCTGCATTCGTCCTGTTTTTCTGCTTCCTATTTCCGCCCTTCCTAATACTCTACACAATTGGAGCATTAGATGGACTAGTCAGCTGGTGGACCCGCGGTCAGTGTTTGACTTTCTGTAAAGGCCATAAGCGGGTAGCCTTTATTCTAGCCTATACCTGGGGCCTATCCGCATTGTTGGCTCTGGTTGCTTTTCTCGTAGCATGGTTTGTCGTTATTCATCCCAACGCTATGGGGTGATATACGTATGTTTCAAAATACCCATTGTTTTGAGGGGAACGAGATTTTGGAGAAGGATGCTGGAGATTTAAATTTCGGACTTGTAAATCTTCTGATGTGATTAAAATCCAAGTTTGGAAATGAGTGGAAAGATAATTGAGGGATGTAGGTCTTGCTTTGTACGATAAAAACGGAGCTGGTTGATCATAGCTGATGAAAAGTTCATGCGTTTCAAAGAATTGCCAGAATCTACTGCAAGTAATGTGGCATAATTAGCCATATGTAGCCTAGATTTCAAATACGTACAGTACAGTGTCTATAATCTGTTAAATTTCTAGTCCAAGTCCCTTAGCTTCTCGTTCACAAGTCTATTGTTTCTCGCACTGCATCATGCAGTGACTCGAGAAGGCAAGACGGGAGTAAGCGCCACCTGCTTGAATATTGCTCTGGAGTGAAGCCCCCTTCATCGTGAATAACAATGATGAACCCAAACTATTCATCGTTATCTACCTAGCTAGGTTGGTACTGGGAAAGTTGTCATATGAGCAAGTTAGGCCAGTCCCTAGGATGCAAATTGATGAGGCTGATCAGCCTACACGTGATTAGGATGAAGTGGGTCAGAGGTTAAAGAGATGTTCCGCTTTCGAGCTCGCAACACCAAGCATCCCACAACCCAATCCTCTGCTAACATACGCTCTCTTTACTCCACGGACGAGACATGTTCTCGTCATCTGTTAGGAGGGTTGCTTCTACAGCTCCATCGATACCAGTCTCGTCATCGCTTGCCACGTCGGTAGGCCGAGCGACAGCAGCGCAAGCGCTTTCATACCGATCCCACCAGAGACGATACTCCTCCTCAAAACCCTCAAGTCCGGCAGACGGCTCCAAGCGAGTAACTCAGGGCGTGCATGCGGCCCCCTCACAGGCGCGGGCAGAAGGGAACAAGAAAGGCTCAAGGGCGAGCAGAAAAAAGACTAAGGTTGGGGTTTCTGATTCGGCAGAGGATGAGATCATACAAAACCTTCCTAGTGTGCCCAGTACACAGCACATAGCTCCCCTTCGTATGTTGCTCACTGTTGAGTCTAGTGGCCTTCTGCTAACGTTTTGGTAGACATATCGGCTTCCGATTTCTTCTCGCTCCACCGCCCCATCTCCCTCACAAATAGCTTTCCTGTACCAATAACAAATGATGCGTTTGCAGCCATCTTCACACCACGCACGACAAGGAAATCCAAGCCAACGGATGTTATGGTAACACTGTCGCGTACTATCAACAACATAGATGCTGTGACAGGTAAAATGAAGAATCTTAAGGTGAACACCCAGGAGGATCAAGACAATGAAGACGTGGACGAGCTCCGAAGTGCGATACTCGCCCACACTAACCAGAACTCTGAAACACAACATCTCGACTCGGTACCAGAAAGACCTAGCATGATGTTTCCTCGGCATATTTTGTCAGGCAAATACATGGCGTTTAATCCGCCTCCAGCGCCAGTACCTATGAACACGGTAGATTCTTTGGCAGCCGGAGCTGAAGCTGCAGAGCAAGGCAAAGAGTCTCAGCTTCGAACATATACTACTACGCTTACAATCAATGAATCAACCGATGAAAATGGGGATGTCACATATATAACGCATAGTGGGCCCTTGATTGCGGAACAGCCATACCCACCCGCGGATGGGTCGTTCTTGCAACGCATGCGAATACGCCAGGAACGTTACTGGATGCAACAGGCCGCCGAGGAAGAAAACGGAATGTACGCCATTAGTGTGAAGAGGCAGAGGAAATTGAAGATGAAGAAGCACAAGTATAAGAAGCTTATGAGGCGTACACGGAATTTGAGAAGAAGGTTGGATCGTAACTAGAGACTGGCTGCATTGCTTTGCATTGTTTCTTCATTCGGCGGTGTCTTGGGGTTTTGTCATTGGGGTTCACGGGGCTGAGGCTGTCTCCGGGAGCCTTCGAGCATAGTATCGCCTCCTAATGAGAGGCTCATTTATTCGATCCCGCACCATATGTTATCGAAATCCCGTGAGAGAGCATGTTGTAAGAGTCTTATCGGCAGAGATACTGGCATAATAAATATCTAGGTGGTCACGTCTTTACCGTTGAATTATTGGCTTTTTATTCAGTCGAACTCGCCCAGCCGAAGCTTTCGTTCAGGAACTCAGCCACCATGTCTTCGGACGGAAAGCCTGGCGGATGGACTTTTCTGATTACATTTGCCCCGTACTGGCCTGCTTCGAAAATGGCAAATTACATACTCATGCTAATCTGCTCGATAAGTCCAGCAAAGAGGAGTCCTTGGAAAGAGCATTTCCATGTAATTGAGGCCCGTCTTCGCATCTGATTTATCATCACTTCTCAACACCCTCGTACAGTATTAGTTATTACCCTGTCTTCACACTTTCTAGGTCTCGGGTCTATTTCGTAGATCTTCTCCATTTTCTTAGGACCGTATCTAGGCAGTTTACACAAACTGCACCTTCCCACTTTGTATTTCACATTGGTGTGCCTTCCTCAACGCGAATACTCGTCACGGCATTTGTCGAATGCATCACAGCATAACGTCGTTTCTGTGACATTGTTACCTACAACCACTTCATCCCCTCTCTTGTAAGGCCTCTCTTCGTTCCCACTTCCAGTTTCCTTTCTCGTCTTCCCTCTCCACCTGAGGGCACCCATCCCATCCTAACACCTACACTCGTTACCAATTCCATATCATATAGGAACTTCCACAATCGTTACAATGTTGACGTCGGCGTCACTCATGCTGCTCTTTGAGCTTGGCTATCTATTTCTAGGTGTTCAGGCTCGAGCTATCGAATCTCGAAATTCTATTCCAACAACCGAACATGTGTTTCCGCTCATGAGAAGATCTGTTGCGCCAGGTAGCAAAATCAGCCAGCTCCCTGGGATTGCAAATCTTACGCGTGTTGGCGGTGGTGTTTCGTTCAGTACTAAAGTATCTCTTGGTCAAGAAGTATGTTTGGCTCTTTTTATGTTGGATTTGCATTAGGTACTGACCAAGGAATCTAGACATATGACATGATTGTTGACACTGGATCTTCTGATACTTGGGTTGCGTCAAAGACATTGCAATGTACTTACTTTGGCATTGAAGTCAGTCAAGCGTTCTGCAAATTTGGACCTCTTTATGATCGCCAGACGTTTAAGAAAATCCAAGGTCAAAATTTCCGGATTCAATACGGAGATGGAACTGAAGCTACGGGAGATATGGGGTACGATAGTGTCACCCTAGGTGGGATCAATGTTCCAAGCCAAGAGATTGCGGTTGTGGAGAGAGCTTTCTGGCAGGGTGATTCTGTGACTTCGGGACTTTTAGGTTTTTCTTATCCTTCTATGTGAGTCTAGTCTGTTACTTTGGCGCACATAGCCATTTCCTTGAAGGCGAGTATTCTAATTGATCTTTCAGTACCTCCGCTTACAATGGAACGGATCCATCAAAAGACCAGCATCGCAAAAACCAACTCCCCTACGACCCGCTCCTAACGACAATGTACAAACAAGGCTCCATAAATCCCGTCTTCAGTCTCGCCATCAACCGCGGTGCCAACAACGAACCAGCCGGCGTCCTCGCACTCGGCGGCATCCCTTCAGAATTCCAAAGTCTAACTTACGCTCGCACACCCATCGCGCGAACCAACTTCCTAAACGAAGACGAACCCTCCGCAGCAATCCCCTCAAAATACGAATTCTACGCCCTCTACCCCGAAGCCTTCCTCTACGGCCCCCCATCCTCCAAAAACACCTCCACAATGCCCGACCCTACCACCCTAACAAACGACACCCGCCGCCTCATCCACATCGTCGACTCCGGCACAACCCTCAACATCCTCCCGCAACCCCTCGCCGCCAACATCGCCGCCGCGTACACCCCACCGGCCATCTCCCCCAGCGGCGGCATCTACGTCGTGAATTGTCGCGCCACCCCGCCGATCTTCGGTGTCCAGATCGGCGGACAGGTTTTCTATGTTAATCCGACCGATATGATTATGCAGCAGGGCGGCACGTGCTATGCGACGGTTGCAAATGGGGGCATGGAAGCGCCGTTTATACTTGGGGATCCGTTTTTTAAAAGTACGGTTGTGGTGTTTGATTTGGAAAGGAATGAGGTGAGGGTTGGCGGGAGGGAGTTTTATTGAGTGAAATACCTGATGGAGGGTGAAAGGGTTTGGTCCGCTGGGCAACATGTTTTGTAAATGTTGGTCTGTAAGGGGGGGGTAGATGGGATTGGGGACTTGTCTTTTCTGTATAGACGCGAAGGCTAGTCAGATTGTGAATGAAGTCCTTTTACCTATGGATGTTTTTGGGTCGAGATTCGCTAGTGAGTTCCTAGAGCTTGAAGGTAGTGATACCGCTATGAAGTCGCTCTTTGGGCAAAGTAGGGAAGTCATGTGGCGTGCGGTGGACAATATAAATGACAGTCAAATCCAATATGTATTCGATCTGTTTAATGCTATGTTATTTTCTTCCTCAATTACAATGATAACATATCCTGTATTTCACTATGATTTGCAGTTACTTATCGCCGTTTAGAATTGTATTGCACAGTGGCACTTACGGGCAACGCATCCACTATCTGATTAAAACTGAATGGGCACTTGTCATCATACACTCGCTTTTCTATCATCCAGCATCGCCCTTGTCCACACAGAAATTGCTACCTGATTTCCCATCCGAATCTGCCTTTGCGAGGAAAGCTTGAAACAACAGTTAGATGGTCTACTAGATCTACGGGCAACGGATTACGAGTACTTATACTCTCTAGTAACATTAATATTGATAACGAAGTCAAATCACGCCACAGGAATCAACAGCAAAATATGTGAAATGGTAATAGATATTTATTCCTCTGAATTCTCCTTCCTCTCGGGTATTTCTGACATCCTCTCATCAACCCCCATCCAACAAATTGCTTTCTAAAAAGGCGTAGGCATAATTTCGTTTTTATTTCAATCTTTCCCAGGGACACCTTTCATAATAGAAAGCCAGAGTCTTTGTGTCCTAGAAAAACGCTCACCACCAACGCCAGAAGTGAAAATTTCATATTAGAATATGTGCAACAATAGGTCTTGAGCTCCTGAGAGGAGCTGGGCCGGTTGTGATAGTAATACAAATATGGAAGGTGTATTAAATAGTTGGGATTGATGGGGATTAGATCATGAAGGCGGTGCAGCCTACGAGGGCGACCATGATGAGGTAGCCTGAGGAGCTGAGGAGGGTGGCTGCTGAGGTGGAGGTGATGGCGTCTTCGGTTCCTCCGCTGGCGGTGGTGCCGTTTGGAAGAGTGCCGTTGAGGATGATGGTTGAGGTGCCGTTGATGTCTGCGACTGTTACGACGCTCTGGTTCAAGTTGGCGTAAGTGCCGTCACCGATCAAGCTATCAAGGAACGTGTTGTCTCCTGGGTCATCACATCCACAGACCAAGTATGGGTCGCAAAGACATTGGACTGGTTTCGATTCTTGCGCTCCCTCTTCTTGTCGTTGGTAAAGTTGGAATGAGCGGCCTACTACTGTTGGGGTGGCTGTTGCGGATGAGGAGGTAGATGTCGCTGTCCGGTTTCTGCGTCCTGTGCGGTTGTAGAATCCATATGGATGTGCGTACGGGTAGTTGTAGAATCCATAAGGCCAGTGTCCTGGGTAGGCCGCGATGGCAGCTACTCCAAGAGCTCCACCGACTCCGACTCCCACTGCGAGAGGGAGGATCTTTGACCCAGGTGATCTTTGACCTGCGGTATATGGTGCGGCTGCTCCACCGCCGTAAAATCTACCACCACCGAAACTTCGCGCGGGTCCAGATCCTGTTTTTGTGGTGCCTCCAGCGTTGGAACTTGATGAACCTCTGCCAGTGGAACTAGATTTTGTGTTAGTATTGGTTCCAGATTTACTACCACTGCCTTTTGAACCCGAAATCATCGAAGCACTGCTGAACAATAAAGAGAATGGAACTAATATTCTCGCCACCAGTCCATTGGTCTCCTTCTCGTGCGGTGCGAACCTAGGCGCGCCGATTGCAGCGCCCGTCATACTCTCATCAGTGCCTGCTGCCCCAGCGCCCTCTGATGAACCATATGACGTTCGCGACGAAGTACTACTTCCAACTCCAACCGCCACTCCACGACAACTCTCCTCGGAACCATATCCACTTCTTTCAGAAAGTGAAGATACGTACGTTGAACCAGAGCCACCTCTGCTTCCAGAACTACTTCCAGAACTGCCTGAACTGCCCGAGCTGGAACCTCCGCTGGACCCGGACGACGAACTTCCACCACCTTTACCGCCGCCACCTCCTCCTCCTTTACGCTTGTACAGCTCATGTGCCTCCTCGTCGATGAATTCCTCAAATGTGCGCTCGTCGAACTGATCGCGTTCGAGGACTAAATCATCAGGAATCGGTTGTGGATGCGCGAGCGCCGACGCCTGCGAAATGAGGAACAGCGCCGCTAACGTATTTGCGAACTTCATGATGAAAGAAGATCTATATGTGATGTGATGCGCAAAGTAAATCCAAGTAGCTTTTGATCGAATGCAAAACTGTGGGTGTACGATGACTCCCAGAAAATCGACTGCTGAAATAGGTGATTGTTCAACAAAGAAATGCAAATTGTGGTGGGATTATGTTTCAAGTGTAGGAAATCCCGAAGGCGCACGTCTCTAGTTATATCAAGATGGCGATTTGGCTTGGCATCGACGAAGAAAGCTTCAGACGATCTCGTCCACGCCTAACAGAGTGCCTCTCCAAACATCCGTCCCATCCCAAGACCCCCCGGTTCCGCGGTAGAACCGTAGAAACAAGCTACGAAGGTAAGAAAACCGCCAGTTTGACCGTCAGCATCATACACTTGCGACAAGCAAAGGCATGATCAGCCTTTTCTGCCGGCGCCGTTTGCACCTCTGCTCCTGTAATTCGTGGCGTCGGACCAATCGTGGAATTGTATTTGCTGCGCCAATGACTGCGCCTTTGCTGTTTGTTCTTGGCGTTGGCGATGTCATCATAAATCTGACCTGTGCGAACTGAGGTGCCAGCGGACAAACGAGCAGCCATCATCACCCAGGGGATTTGGAATACGGTGACCGATCGATACCTTACGCTTGAGCGAATGGGAGCGGCGGGGAAAACTGTCCGATTTAACTTCTCGTGTCACCTTCCTCGTCGACGAAACCGAGAGTGCCCTGATGCAGGGTCTTCTCTCAGGCCGCCAACATTAATCTCGACGGCGTTAGGCGATCTCATGGCAGTGCTTAAATTCGAAGTTGCAAAAGGGAAGTGAGATTCGTTACTAAGCCAATGAAAATACATTCGGATCAAGTGCCGAGGTTGATCATGTGACGCTAGAGGACCGACGGAGGGCTGAGGAGGGGCATGGCCACCGGATCGCGGGGCAGATTGGAAGTTCTAGATGATTGCGGTTTGTGGTTAGGATGATCATGGGGAGGAATTAGGTTGATACTGAGGCTTAGAATTGTGGTAGAAAAGGCACGTGGATTTTTAGTCAACAGTTAGTATTTCAGTAGTTAGTTTGACGCAGGATATATGTATGTAGCTAGGATATGTGGAAGTGATACCTTGAGAAGATAACAGAGTGATGGTAAGCCAAGGCTTGCTATAGTTCTGGACAAGTCACTTGAACGTTAACGAAGAACTTCTTCGAAATAGTGTGTCGGTAGTTGAAGCATTTCGTTGATATCAGACGATGAAGGAAGTATCGTTCCTCAGTACCAACTTATCATATCTCTAACCAACGGCTAGACTGGTCGAATGTATCAGATCACTGGCAACAATTGTGAGTAGATATTCTAGACCGAATGTGCTCAAAATCAACGCTTTTGCCTGTCGTCATTCATGGTCTAGGTAAGGTTCATAACAATCGTTCAATATTTAGCTTCATCTAATCCGACATAATTTCAAGAACCGCAGGTGCCGTGATAGTTTCCCCCTTCAAGTCCTTCAGGCCTTCTCCACCCTAAACTAGTATTAGTACAAACGTCTTAATTGGGCAGATGATCTGAACTTACGTAGCTGTACAATGGGGAGACTTCAACACCTTCTCCTTTACCTGTGCTGACAACTGTAGCACCAACAGCCTCTACCCATCGCTGTCCTTGGTTCATAATATCCCTCTTACTGGTATCTGGATCATCCTCGCCAGTTCCCTTAGCATTCTTGAGAGGAGAGAACTCATCCTCACGTTTGACTTCCATGCATGCGAACTTATTGAGCTCCAACATTGGGAAGACATCAAAGACGAATTGCTCAAGTTTGATTCCGTTTGGCTTATCTGGCTTGACTGTGTTACCCTTTTCGGTATCAACATAAGGAATCTTCTTTCTGGCGACGTGATGAGGAAGCTTGTCAGCCCAGTCTGGAATTGACTCTAGAAATCTGAAGGAATAGTAGTGATTGACGATGTTCGCGGCTCTGAACTTCAGGACATCTGGTTGCTTAGCATCCTTCGCCTCTGCAGTCTCTTTGTCAATCTCCGAGTATTCAACAACGTCCGGCTTGCCGTTCTTCAACAAAATCAGGCCGACAGATTCGGTAGCATTTCGCTTTCGAACGACCTTGGTAGCAATATCAACATCCTTGGACGCTGCGAATCCGATAAAGACTGGGTCCGCGACCTTTACTAAACAGTTGTCGACGCAGTATGCGTGGATGTGCTGAATCCCTCTCTTTCTCATGTCTGCAATGACGTTGGATGTAATAAGTGCCTGGTAGATGCCACCATTTCCATCAGGAGCCACCGCTACCTTGCCCTTACTCTCTAACAAGATCTTTCCATCATTCGATATGCAAGGCAACACTCCTTGCTCGAAAATAATCACATTCTCTTTTTCTAAACCAAAATATTTGTTTTCCTCAAAGTACTTCTCGGTGGGTCCTCTGGTTGGTCCACTGGTCATGACATACCACGGTACGACTGCCTTCTCACCGTCCTTCTTGCCTGCTTTGTGGGTTGCTATGCTTTGCACCTTTCGTATCCGCTGAGCCTGGATCTTAAACAGGGATTTTGACGATGGCAGACCGATGTCGAAACAGCCCTTCGGGTCAGAACTACCCAGCCTCGTTCCTTGACCTCCAGCCATAAGCACCACACCAACTTTATTCTCTGCGATCAACTCTAACCCAGATTGGTACCACTTTTCAATATCTTCGGGCTTCGAATCGAGAATGCTAGCTGTTGCGCTTTCCGGTAACGGCTCTAATCCGGACTCTTTGTCTGCGTCTTCATTCTTTGGAGGATTGAGAGCTTTATCGGTGATTTTGTTGATATGTTCTGGGTCAAAACCGCTAAGCTGCTCAAACAAAGTTCCTTTCTCTGCGGAACTGAGGTCTTCGTAGAAAGCGAATACCTGTTCTTGATTTGCCTTTTCGTATTTGTCCTTCAGCTCCTTGAGCTCATCTGCGGATGGTTCTCGTGGTGCAGCTGGTGCGGTTGCGGCATTTCCAATACCAGCTTTACTGAGAGCCTCTTTGATGGCGTCCATAACGTCGAGCTTGTTCAGGAAAACTTTGAGAAAATAGTAGAGTTTAATTGAGAAATGTTGGTAAATGTTGTTGTTGTGTTCGCGGGGCAATAGCTTTTGTAGCTGCGTTGTGCTTAAAATAGATCTGCCCCGCCAACGTGTGGCACTCGCTCACCCAGGCAGTCTGGGGCAACTATACGACGAGATGAGCCACCTCCCTATTTACGCAAGAGAACGCATTTTTTCACTGTATGAGATTGCGCTTCGGTTTCCCTGTTGTGACCGAGTATCGTTTTGGGATAACATGGTCTTTCTAGACGCCGACGGGCTACTTTTCTGGACATCAAAATAACCTCGCTTGAAAATCACAAGAGCCGAATTAGTAAATGAGTGTTCACATCATGTCAGCCTGCACTCATTCCGGTTCAATACCTTTCCTGCAAGACAAAATGTCAATTACAGATCTTGACACCCCGTCCAGACCAAGAGATGAATTCACAAGTCAGTTTGCATAAGAATAAATTGGGAGAACATCTGAATTCCGTGATCCAAGATTGCCGAACTCAGCCTCCTATGCAATGATGGACTAAAATATTACAATGCCCATAGTACTCCTTCCTCCCCGCTGTGCTCCATGCATGCTGTGTGACGAGTTTGTCTCGACACTAAACGACGGAATGGCCATCAATCGTATATGCACATTCCTCGTATCACGAACGCCAGAAAACCCAATGGTATCGATAAACCTAGAGAACTAGTAATTGTGTCAGACCGAGTACAATGCAGAGAACTAGATAGACAGAGGCACAATCGATAATTTTATCAGAAAGCATTGGTGAAAGTTGGTCTCATTGCTTGGTCTCCCAAGCTCTGAAGTAGCAAATACTTTTGGTTGCAAAGCATCATGTAAATTTGGGATAGTTTTAGGGATTTGGCATATTTCTTGCGTACCTTTTATTTACTCGTCATCAACATCTTGATGTCGCCCAAGGACCTTCCGCTTAAACTCCTCGGGGTCTTTGTCCCATAATTCCGCTGCCTCTCCATTCAAGGGCGATGCACTAGATATGGTTAGTGATAAAACTTTGGAGAGCAATTTAAGCGTACTTGTTTGGTTCTCCGAGAAGACTTTGCAAACTTAAGAGAACCGTCTGGATATTATACGCAGCAGTCCATTTATCCTTGAGAATATCTAGACAAATTCTCCCAGAAAAGTCGACATTTGGGTGGTATATGGGTGTCTTGAAAAGAACCGTGGGTGGTGCGTATGGATAATTTGGTGGGAAAGCAAACGAGAGCTTGAAGGTGAGATCTGCGTAAGGGGTCTCATCTGGCCCTTCTATCGTAGCCGTCCAAGAAAGGAGATTGCCATCCGCTGATGGAAACGCTGAAATGCCAGGAGCAGAAGAGGTCATGAGTTGCATCAGCTCAGTCTGTAAGCTAGTTCAATATTAGTGTCAAAATCTAGATCTGGATCCGGTAAACTTACCGTTTAGTGGTACTTTGTGCATCTGGTCCCTTTCGAGGAGCTGCAAGTTTTGAAGCTTGAGCAGATGGCAAGCTACCTGGTGCAGAGTTTTGGGTATCCTCCATATCGTAGTTCATGGTGAAGAGAGGATAGGAGTGGCTGAATGATGCTGCAAGGATTTTGTATGGCCCAAGGAATTCGACAATAAAGACTGTGAGTTGTGAAATGGGATACTGAAGCTCAAAGCGATTGTGGCAGACAAAGCAAGATTTGGTTGATTTTGTAGGTTCAAGGAATTGGAGGATGTTTACTTGATTGCTTTCGGTCGCTTTGACAACGCGACGCTGGGGCCACAAGGCTGACGAATTGGCAGACTTCGAGCTTCCAAGCCTCGTCCTTGGCCAATCAGGGACGCGACGGGTTCATCTCTCGAAACTTGCACGCGACAATAACAAAAAGTATTGGACAAGAATAGCTATTTCGCTTTTGCTGGAAGCTTTGCTTTTGGATATGGTAAGTGGGTGTTCTGCTCTTCATATATGTTTGGTTACTATCCTCGAGTAATCATGTGTTATTCGAGCCATTCTAATAACAATGTTGATGCAGAGTCAACTCGACCCTTTACCCCGCGACTTGCCTTTTCGCATCGTGTCGGAGACTATTGGGAGAGGAGCTTATGCATCGTATGTGGGAGCTTTCAAGTATTTGAGTTGGGAAGTTTAAATTGCTAACGACTTCAACTAGAATCAAAAAAGCTATCCCTCCCAAGGCAACCAATCCTGTGTTCGCCGTAAAGTTCATCCATAAAGCATACGCAGTTAAACATGGCCGCATATCGGCAAAACAACTTGCTATGGAGGTGTCGCTACATTCCCATATTGGACAGCATCCAAATATCATAGAGTGGTTTGCTACTGGCGAAGATCAGATTTGGAAATGGATTGCAATGGAGTATGCAGAAGGCGGAGATCTTTTCGACAAGATTGAAGCAGATGTTGGCGTGAGCGAGGATATAGCACACTTTTACTTTTCACAAATGATAAGTGCTGTGAGCTACATGCACTCCAAGGGGGTTGGACATCGAGACATAAAGCCCGAAAATATACTGCTGTCAGACACCGGCAATTTGAAGATTGCGGATTTTGGCCTTGCGACACTCTTTGAATATAATGGGAAGACTAAGCTCAGCACCACAATGTGTGGCAGTCCTCCGTATATCGCCCCGGAAGTTATCACATGTTCAAGGAGCACACAGTCGAGGAATGCGCCAAAGTCACCAGGCTACTCTGCGAATCTGGCCGATATTTGGTCTTGCGGTGTGGTCTTGTTCGTTTTACTTGTTGGAAATACGCCGTGGGACGAGCCTACAGCTGCCAGCTGGGAATTCGAAGAATACAATGGCAAAAGGGGCCATAGTACAGATGATCTCTGGCAAAGGCTACCAAAATCGGTGCTTTCCTTGCTACGTGGAATGATGAACACAGAGACAAGCCAACGATTTAGCTTCCAGCAAATCAAGGCGCACCCATGGTACACGAGGAAGAATGCTCTTTTGACACCAGATGGAAAGATCACAGACCAGCTGTCTCTGGCCACACGAATGCTTGAAGGTTTACACATCGATTTCAGCCAGCAGCCTGTTGCTTCACAAAGATTGAGCCAAAATCAAGATGCGATGGACGTGGATTCTAACCAGCCGCCTCGGTTTTCGTTTACGCAACCTGAAGCACCTATACATGATGTCACTTTCGATTTTGAACGCCCACCACGGGCGAATCTTGCGAGTTTCAGCGCAAGCCAGCCAATCAACAGTAAAACTGCACGACCTTTATCAGGTAACGCATTCGATTCGCTCGCGGACGAGCCATCGATGAGCCAATTCGCGCCCACCCCATCAGTACCCTTCAGCCTGACACAACACGCTCGTCGCTTTCGAGATATCGTACCTAATTATTCTCTCACTCGTTTCTTCTCACATCTCTCCTCGAATCTACTTCTGCAACTTATCAGCGATGCACTACACCAACTTAATGTTCCTGTTCCGCCGGTAACTCAAATGCAGCTTCAAAATCATGCCGGATGGATCAAAGTGAAGACAATCGACGGAAGGCATTGTAGTTTACATGGCGACATTGTGGTAGATACTTACGTCACAGGGGAAGTTGAGCTATTCGAGGTGCGGTTTGTAAAGATCAAGGGCGATCCGTTGGAGTGGAGAAGATTCTTTAAGGATGTAGTCATTCTATGTAAGGATGGCGTCTATATTCCTGGTGGCTCTTGAAATGTCTGAATAGAATGGCCAGGCTGCGTAGGCATATCAATGGAGTTCAGCATTTAATGGCGTTGGGGGGGCAGGTGGGATAATGTGCACAGCTTGTAATGACTAATATGCAAGCCGTGTGTTGGACTTAATTGAATAAATTAAACCGAAACACGAACTTACCAGGATGTGTATTGAACACGAATGTGACATTCTATTGAAATTAAATGGAGGATGTACCCAGCCGTACCAGGCGAGCCAGGCACCTACTTATAAGTCTTGAGGTTGAGAGGGACTCGCTTAGAAAAGATCATTTCTATGAACTAGCAGCCACATGAGCGACCAAATGCAACCAGATATCAAATCGACACACCACAGCTCGATAAACAGATCTGTACATCGAAGTTATATGTTACTTAATCTTTTGACACCTCAAAATCTGGAAATAGCAACCTGGTGCCTGAATAATAAGGGGTTACACTGAGTCATCCCTATAAAACTACGGCAGAAAGTACCACGATACGACAACCTTTAGATCAACAACATTATATAATAAAACCGTGAGATTCACACATCTTTGATCTTTGATAGAGTAGTGCTAGGCTCTAGAGATGTAATATGTACTCGTCTATAAGATCCAGAAATGATTTGGAGGGGAGACCCGGAAAAGACCCTTCATCTTCCCTTTCGCCACCAACGTTCCGAGGTCGTCTCGATCTGAATTCATATATGCATTCAACTCCACCTCCGCACAAGACCGCATCCCCTCGGGTTGAAGGGGAAATTATTATGTCTCAAAAACCCAAGAATAGGACTCAAAATCTTGTAGCTAAGGGCTCGAAGACAGAGATTCAAGAGGTTGAAGCTCAGGCGCCGCCACGACGAAGTCCGAGAAAATTGCTTAGTCGGAGTCCAGCACCTATCGGTCTGACATCAATATCTGATGAGGAAAATTCAGATGCTTTCGATTCGTCATCAGAAGCTCATGCCGTACAAAAAAGCTCTTCACGAAAACGTCAGTCTGGTAATATCGGACAGTCCACGCCCAAAAAAAGGAAGCCATCAACGCCTTCAAAGAGGTCAAAATCAAACACACCAACTACACCATCTCAAAATCCAGAATACGATGATGCGGCCTTCTCTACTGTCAAAAAGAGACAAGTCGGCTATGAGCCACCATCAGTGTATGCCCATCTTGCTCCTTTAACCGACATTATTGGTCCCAATCTCCTCCTTCTATTTATTGGCACAAATCCTGGGATATCGACGGCAACAGCAGGACATGCATATGCATACCCACAGAACAAATTCTGGAAGATTGTTCATGAATCTGGGATTACACCTTACCAATTCAAGCCTCAAGAGGATAGGAAATTGCTCGATTATAGTTGCGGGAATACTAATTTGGTGGACAGGCCGACTCCTAGTGTAGCGCAGCTGAGTGCCAAGGAACTTACTGCTGGGGTTCCAGGGCTGGATGAGAAGGTTAGGGTTTGGAGACCAGAGGTCGTTTGCATTGTCGGGAAGATGATTTGGGATTCTATCAGAAAAGTCAAGTATGGAAAACCCGGGAAAGGTGAAGTCTTCAAATATGGATGGCAAGAAGGTATGAGAATGGGTGAAGTAAAAGGTAAAGATGGATGGGAGGGAGCAAAAGTCTTCGTCGCATATAGTACTAGTTGCATTAGTGCATTACCACTATATCCTGTCAAGTTGGAGCTGTTGACGCAGATTGGGGATTGGATCAAGGCTAGGAGGCGAGAGATTGCTCAAGACACTGTTGCCGAGGATGGCACTTCATCTTAAGACACAAGGACGGAATCTTTGGAAGTAAAGGCCTATTCGTAGAATACGAATCATGAGTCTCTGGAATGCGACCTAAAAATCAATTAGTCAGGATTGAACGATGCTACGTAGGTTATCATAAAGGGGGATAACGAGTTAGGTGATTGAACTGTACCTCAAGCTGTAGTCTACTTCAATGCTTTCTTGGCTGCGTTCTTTCTTGTTTACTTGCGCCAAATATGTCTAGATTAACTGCACTTGTCACTTAAGTCTTTTGTCACATCCAAACGTGTGGATTATTTGCGGTTAAAGCCTAGGTCTAACATCATTGGGGTTCATCACCTCCAGATATCAAGCACGTCTTGATCATATTACTTTCAATTACTCATCTCTTTCTTGTATACAATAAAGTGTATATTCCAACCACCCTGTTAATCACATCATCTCCAATCATTCATCTCATTCAGAGTAACAGTAAAATTTATTCCCAACCCCCATGATAAAAATAATAACGCCAGTTTCCCTTACATACCCCTATCCGAGCTTAGGCCAAACTTAATAGCTAAAGCATTCCAAGCAATTGACTGTATAATGTCGGCAAGCGTTACTAAAGCGTGTTTGTTTCGTGCACCAGACTGAGTCGGTCGAGTTCTCCTTTCCACACTTGCAACAGATCCATTGGGTACATTCGGCGTTGTCTGAAGTGGTTTGGGTTGAGGTACCGCTGGTAGGCTTTTTTTGGCACATGTTGTAATAGTGACTTGTGTTTGAGGTGCTCTTAAGAAGATTTGGGTCGGCTGGGAGGGTAGAGTGGTCAAGTCGTTGGAGATCGCCTGGATGTGGGAGCTGGTGAGAATCCTCGAGTAGATTGGCTGATGGAAGAACAGCTCATCTCGATGTTGATATGGACATTTCTGCAGTGCTGTTTTCACCAGTAATGCCTTTCGGGGACTCGATGGTTGTGAATAATCGCCAGGGTCCTGACTGTGAATCCGAAATGACTTGGACATTGTCTTGTTTCTATTAAAGAAAAGTCCTCGAAAGATGGCCCAAATTATTTTGGTTATGAAAGAGGCTCATGTCTAGCTCCTTAAAGTCTTGCCTTTCCGTAGGCTTGAACTTCTTTGTTGTGTTATTTGGCGGTATGTCTGTACAAATCTAACGAGAATGGATGTCTGGAGGCAGACAAAGAAACTTGAAATCTGTAAAAATTGCCAACGACCCTCACGTTGGACAAAGAAGATAATCGCTATTCCTTATCTCATCTAGATGCTAGACCTTTGAAAGGGTCGCAAATAATCTTCCCTACTCAAAACACACACCATAAGGTACCTAAGGTCAAATTGACAATATATTCAACGAAGGATACAGTATCAAGTCTCTTCGCGTCTATTGAAACTTCAGATAGGTCATATTTGTTGAAATTAGTAGACGAAATATGCGCTATCTTATTAATCTAATGGAGTAAAAATCGTGTTTCGCCCACAACTAATTTGTCCAAAATAGTAGACGAAGTATGCGATATTTTGTCAACCTAGTCGAAAGAATATATCGTGTTCGAGTACAACTCAATTTTCCATCACGATAGAATTCGAGAGAATTTCAGTGTTGAAGAATCTCGACACTACAAGATCCAACTAGAGTCATCTTACGGCACTTCAGACATAGCGTATTGGACATCGCCGATGTCTGAACTCGTTGAGCTACTAGATCTTGATCAACTAGCTATGCGTGAAAAATTCCAAAGGTCAATGCTCTACAATGGTTGAAACGTTCTGAGTGCTGATTAGTGAAGTTTTATATAGTCAATCGTGAAAGAATATACCTAGAGATAATTTAGTGGAGATTTCGAAGAAGAACCGAAAAACATGTCTTCAACTGGCCTGGGTGTTGTTCGCACGGCCATTGTTCTTCTGGCCCACTGGAAACTATGATAAGAAAATTCTGAAGCCCTTTGAACTGTTGGATCAAGAGTGACGCGAGGAGAAACTGTAAAATCCACTGTGAGAGGCACAGGCACGCAGATGAATTGTAGTCGAAATAAAGATTTCTTCTTTGCATTTGACACAACATCGTATATTTCGTCAATTGTTCTCAGTAATTAACACATTTTGGACACCGTTTGAAAGCAGTTGAAAGGAAACTACCTGCTTTGGGCTATAATTTTAAGTTGACATAATAGGCGGAATTAGCATCACATACTTTGTCTGCCGCAAGGCACCGGAGCCAGAAATTTCCACAGAGGCATGATGAGGTAGCTGAAAATCTTAAATGGTGTAATCACATCATCCATCACAAGTAAGACCTGCAAAATCCTTCAAGCTTCCAGTATTTGTGAGTTCCATATGGACGTAGACTCGAGCTTCCAGAGGGGATCGACATAACTGTGAAGATGGGCGAATCGATCGGGGGCTTGCATTGATATCGAAAGGCTGCTAGAGAAGGTCCGTCGCTTGGTAAACTGAATTTAGGTTTGGTACATTCGTTTAAGGTAATATTGACCTTTTCATTCATAAGCTAGCCAGCGGAATGCAAATCAACTCCAACCATCCCATGCAAGTCGTTCAAGAAAAATCAGGTATTTATTCCTCAACCACCGCAGTCTGCAAACCCTTTGCGTTCTTAACATTGACGGCCTGAACATAGCTGTACAACTTTTCTTTAGCACCTTCCTCGTCATTTCGCTTTCTTGAAATGCGGACACGAAGTCTGTATGGAACACCCTTGATACCAGCTTCCCAGACCTTCTTGTTCAATTGGGGATCGAGACGAACATCGGAGGTACCCTATGAAGTCGCATTAGTCCCAGCACCCTGGATGACACCTTCGGTCCGTTCTGTATCATGTTGTGTTCGTACCATTGACTTTGTTGCGAATGCCTTAATCTCCTTGATGGCCTTTGGTGCGCGCTTCTTGAATGTGACACCGTGAAGCTGGATTACAATTAGTTCCGCCCATATTCAAATTCCCAACCATCTCATAACGTTTTCGGATCGAAACGACGTACTCTCTTGTGAAGGTGGATGGTGTACTCTATTTAGCAATTAGCATTCCGGCTTTACGGTACGCAAGCTAGCGATATGTAGGTTGCAATTTTACCTCTGGCGACAACATCAGCAATGGCAGATCGCTGGGTCTTGCCCGCTGGCTTCTTGGTTTTCGAGGACATCGTGCGTACTGGAGGTGGATGTCGCGGGGTTTGTCGAAAGTTCGTTGATGTTAATTTCGTGGTGTTTTCGCCAAAATCTTTGAGTGTGCCGCGGCCGCTTAGTGTGGCTTTAGCGACAGATATGGTTGGTGCCTGAGGATGCTAGTCTCGTATTGGTTCCATCGCAAACCCCAGCCTTGGAAATTGCGTGGAGAGGATCAACGACAACCATACCTCCGTACCATCAACTCTGCGCCGGACGCGTCAACACGGCAGCAAATCTGTCGGTCTTGGAATATATCGACTGTACGCAGGTCGCGACAATAACAAACTCTCTCAGAAATTTCTTAACTACTCAATAGCTCGATTGGTGACGGATTACACTCATTTCTTCTCCCTCATCCCTCGATCTGCGCCCCCTTCACGCCCACCTTACCCCTTCGCTCTTTCCCCAACCACCCAACTACTCTGGGAAATATATCTCAAAACAATACCAGCTGTATCTCAAGATGAACAGGTCACCTTCACCTTTGCCGGACATGGACCGAAATAGGCTACCAACCCTCTTCGAGGTTCTTAGCAGGAGGACAGCACCCCCCGTGGATCTCTTCTCTTTCTATATTTATATGAGGGATCAACAGAGATCGGTCGACTCTTTAGACTTCTGGTATGGAATTGATTCAAGGAGAACCTATAATCACGTTTAGCTAACATATTGACAGGCTTGATGTCGCCCAACATATGTCATTATGTCGACACTACGTACGAGAGCTTCGCCGATCCGTAATGATTGGGACCCCAGAAGGAGATAAATCGGGCTCGAAACGGTCATCACAGATACTGGATAACTTAGGAGAGATGAATCATCCAGCCTCCGGACCCTCCATGCTATTATCTGAGAAGGAGAAGAACGTTGATGCGCAAATGTCGGCCTACCTTAGAGAAGAATCCGAAAATGGTCTAAATAACGGTCTAAATACTCAGCATTCACCATCCAATAGTTTTGGATCTCAAAATCCTCGTAATACGACCTCAAATGATAGACCACGACCGAGTTTTATGAGCAGCCCCATGGACTTGACCTCGGACTCGAACTCCCCCGCTCATACTGTTGCGCGAGCAGACATCAAAGCTTCAGCGGAAAAGATTCTTTACACCTACCTGCTTCCTGGAGCTGAACGGGAAATACATCTTCCTCCCACAATCACCCAGCAGATCACAGTCTCCATCGAAGAACGAAATCGAGATGACCCTGAAGTTTTCGATGCAGCAAAAGATTGGGTTTTCCAAGCCATGGAGCGTGATGCATTCCCAGGATTTCTAAGAACGAAGGCACTGGGTAATCTCATTCCACCTTCTTTAATCCTAAGACTGATCATTGGACTACTTGCTATTTTCGCCGCATTTTGGGCGGGATTCATCTTCATCTTCTTGAATTATGACCGTGTTACCAGACTTTGGGTAGGTGAATTCCCTAATTTATGGAGATTACTCGCTGACAAAAGGATAGCTAATATTACCGTTTACTATCGGAGTTTATGCACTCTGCTCACACCAATACGCTCTAGATCCGCTTCTTGAATTGATAGGATACAGCGAGTATACGTTTATGAGCTTCCAAAGAATCAAGGAGCCGTATGTGCGTAGGCTCCTCAATAAGCGTGCCCTGATGGTCCTTGCCGTCACGATATTAATAGACGCTGCCTTGGTCATACTTTTTGTATTTGTCCCTGGGAAAAGATTGTAAAATATGGACATTATATGACACCCTAGATTGGGCAATAATGAAATACGGAGTGGAAGGAGTTTACGGTTATCAAAGCAGCGGCCATGTATAAAGCATCGAAACATTTTTGGCCTCTTTGTGGAACGGGATTTTGCTAGTCAGAGCTGAGCAGCGCGGAGGGGTTTTATGAGTACTTTTTGATTTTAATTTTTAGTTAATGGTAATACCCTTTCATATATGCAACGATCGGGATATCAATGATCAAGTAAAGTATTGCCGTTTACTAACTCCCGGCTGTCACTGCACACCTTTTACGTGATTCTCCTAATGCCTCGTATGATTGTTTGTCAAATGCTACACAGTATAATGTTGTTTATTTGCCGCCTCCCAACCCACCAAACCCTCTCTTCTTCGCAGCTCTGGTGTTTCGGTGTGGAATATCATCATCCTCTTCATCCAAGTCCATATCGTCTTCCCATGCATCCCCATCTGCCATACCCCTCTTGCCTTGACCGCCACCAAGTTTCCTGCCCATACCCAGACCACCAGTAATGCTACTCATGAAGTTATTCAGAGGGCCTTTCGCAGCATCCCCCTTAATCTTATCATCAGTGATCTTCTCTACCTCAGCACTCCACTCGGCTTCCTCCTTATGACGTCTCGCAGCTTCGGCTTTGATACCGGCAATTTGTCGCTCTAGATCTGCAAGTGTGCTGGTGCAACGTGATGACCATTCTGATAAGGTGTCGAGCATGCTGGGAATCGAATTTGGCTCGAGATCTCGAAGGGGCGATACAGATGAGACTAGCACGTTCTGGTGGTATGGATCTAGAGTTGCGGATACTAGACCTGCGTAGATTGCTGAAATCACCAAGTCCTCCAACTCTCGCGGCGTGCTCATTCCTAGGCTTGTGAGAAGGTTGCTGTAGCTCAAATCTGCCGAGTTTCGTGCCAATGTAAGGAATGAAAGCTGTCGTAGCTTGAGAAGTTGGGCATCGTTCAAGGTGGGGAGACCCGGGGTTGAGGTGTAGGATGTGTAGGTTCCATAGCTGAAGATCTGGAGGAGGGTGAGGTGGTTTACATATTCGGTTGATGAGCTCAGAGATTGGATTTGTGGTGTACTGAGCAGTTCGCTGAAGATGAATGTGTTGGGGGAGGATGTTGCTCGGATTACTAGATCAGCGGCGGCGCGGGGAGAGGTTGCTGATTTGGAGAGGGCGAGGAAGGGCTGTAGACTGTCAGTGATTGACTGAATAACTGAATGTGTATTCTATTACCTCTAGAGCGTTCAGGGCCTTGGTTTGCTCCATTTTACAAGTTGTGGAGGTTATGTAAAGTTGCTGTGGAGGTTGGTGTAAGTTTAGAGAAGGCTACGGCAGCGAGGCTCGTGGTGTTGCCTGGAAGCGTCTTCTAGGCTCATCATAGGCTCATAGCTGGAGCTTTAAGCGACGTAGCGGCTTTCCCTACACTTTTGAAGTCGATTCGGTGCACTTTGCAATTTGCACTTCCATAGCAGAAGCTTTATAAAGCCATATCATTATTCAATACCTAGGTATGCATTTGAATATGTTAATTTGGTATGAATCTATCTTTCTTTGCTTAGATCTTGATTACCATTGACGATTCATTTTCCCACTCAGAGCTGCTGAAGCCCCGCCGTAGCACGTGCTGAGGTATCCAAATGTTGACCAAACGCATGCATCTTCAACGCCATATCATGACAACCACCTGGGCACTGTTGAACCACAACTTCACACGATAGAGGCGTATTCAATCAGTCCATTCTCGGCATGTGATCTTCGATAAAAAAGCTTGTCTTTCCTTGGTGTCGAAACATCATCAAACAACCAGCTCCAGAACTGTATGAGGTTCGCGGACTCCTGTTACAGCTAACTTTAGCGAGTCTCCTGACCACTCGGAGCTGGACCCTCGTGCCAAAGTCCCCCCAATTGAGCTTTCATGATATCAGGCTTTCGAGTCGACGCTCGGGTTGTCCAAGAGGCCAAGAAGGTCCATGATCAGGTTTCTCGTTCTTGGAATTCATCACAATCTAGAAACGAGTATCTGTTGGCTATTTAGAAGGAGTATTTGACTGATTGCGCATCGGTCCGTTGGTTTAGCCACCGAGCGAGGGAGGAACAAAGTGGACACAAACAAACCCATGTTCAATGGCAATTATTGCAAGTAACAAAGCACAGGGACCAAAACAATTCATTTGAAGCTTCCCCATGTTCGAAAAGAAAACCCCTGCGCTACGCTGGATATGTTAAGCGGGTTACTGAAATTTCTTATCAATCCGAAAGTCTTGTCCAGTACTTAGGTGTTCGTACAAAGTCGTTACACGCCCACGACAGACTGTTCACCAACCTTTGTCCGCCGCGCGACTCTTTTGCCCGACTCCTGCTTCCTACGTTCTTTTCTTGAATCCTAGTATTTCAGCATTCTCTTAAAATTAATTGTGGTCATTTACATTCGATTATTTTCTGCCGAAAGTGACTTGACCTGCACAAGAACTACCGAGCGAGCAAGTCTGCGCTTCCGATTCTGGCCAGCTTACATATCGAATTCAGCCGGATCACGAACAACCACGATCAGCGACCACATAAGAATCAGTCTTGACGGCCTTCAGAAGCTGGCCTTCTGCTATTGTGTGCGACGTCAGTTACGATTGCCCCTACTCTACGTGCTCTTTTGATTCTTAAGCATTGAGCTGACAGCTGGGGTACAGGCTGACCTCGTCGGGAATCCGAGAAAGGTTACGAGCCGTAAGGTTCATGATCACGCCGCTGTTCGAATTTCAGTCACCAACCTGCGCTGAGCAGTAGCCAGCAAGCACATTCACGATGGTTCCATCGCATCTGAAGGTCTCGTCGGGAGGCAACGCTGGATCATCGTTAAACACTCCGGCGCACATGGCGACAACTACATTGAAAGTGGGCGGGATGACTTGCGGTGCTTGCACTTCAGCAGTAGAATCTGGATTCGCTGGGGTTGATGGCGTTGGAAACGTATCAGTGAGCTTGGTCATGGAAAGAGCAGTGGTTATGCACGATCCTCAGAAGATTTCCGCAGAAAAGATACAGGAAACGATAGAAGACCGCGGATTCGATGCCGAAGTTCTCGCCACCGACCTTCCGTCGCCCATGTTCAAGCGGGATGAGTATTCTTATGATGAAGAAGAGGATGGAACCGAGTTGGATCAACCTGCGACGACCACTACTACGCTTTCTGTCGAGGGAATGACTTGCGGGGCTTGTACCTCTGCGATAGAAGGTGGCTTCAAGGACGTCTCGGGTATCAAGAGCTTCAGTATCTCGTTGCTGTCAGAAAGAGCGGTAATTGAACACGACGCGACTATCATAAGTGCGGAACAAATCGCAGAGACTATCGAAGATCGGGGATTTGGCGCCATTATTCTCGAATCACAGAAATCAGAGGGAGCCAAAGGCAAAAGGGCGAGACGAGATAGTTCCTCTCAAGCTAAGGTAGCAACGACAACTGTTGCTATCGAAGGCATGACATGTGGTGCTTGCACGTCCGCAGTGGAGGGAGGTTTCAAAGATCTAGAAGGCTTGATACAGTTCAACATCAGTCTATTAGCAGAACGCGCGATTATCATACATGATCCATCAAAACTAACACCCAAGAAGATTGCGGAGATCATTGATGATCGCGGATTTGACGCAACAATTCTCTCCACTCAGTTTGGTACTACGAATCAGTCATCATCAAATTCGACAGCTCAATTCAAGGTGTTTGGCGTAAGAGATGCGGCTGCAGCCACATCGCTCGAAGACACACTTAAAGCTGTAAAAGGAGTTAAATCGGCCCAAGTCAGTCTTAGCACTTCCAGGTTAACGATTACTTATCAACCTACTTTAACTGGCCTGCGAGCTTTGGTCGAAATTGTGGAGGGTCTGGGGTATAATGCACTTGTCGCAGATAGCGACGACAATAACGCCCAACTCGAATCTCTTGCCAAAACCAAGGAGATCACAGAGTGGCGGAATGCATTCAGGACCTCGCTTGCCTTTGCTATTCCAGTTATGCTCATAAGCATGATCATTCCTATGGCTTTACCCATAGTCGATTTTGGAAGTTTAATTGTTTTCTTCCCTGGTTTGTACCTCGGAGATATTGTCTGTCTAGTCTTGACGATACCCGTCCAATTCGGCATTGGCAAGCGATTCTACATTTCCGCCTACAAGTCCATGAAGCACGGTTCCCCAACAATGGACGTCCTAGTCATCCTAGGAACTTCTACAGCATTCTTCTTCAGTGTTGCAGCAATGGTGGTCTCCATTCTTGCACCACCGCATTCGAGGCCTAGCACCATTTTTGAGACCAGCACCATGCTCATCACCTTCATCACACTCGGTCGATTTCTCGAAAACCGAGCCAAAGGACAAACATCCAAGGCTCTATCACGATTGATGTCCCTGGCGCCCTCCATGGCAACTATATATGCCGATCCAATTGCCGCCGAAAAAGCCGCAGAAGGGTGGGAACTCGCTACAACCTCAGGCGTTGAGCAAAAGGATTCTATTCAAGAAGGAAACGCTGCGGAAGAAAGGATCATCCCCACTGAACTCATCCAAGTTGGTGATATCGTGATCCTAAGACCTGGCGATAAAATTCCAGCAGATGGTACCGTTACTAAAGGAGAAACCTACGTGGATGAAAGCATGGTGACCGGAGAAGCTATGCCTGTTCAGAAACGGAAGGGCAGTCTCCTTATCGGTGGCACTGTGAATGGAGCCGGCCGCGTTGACTTCCGCGTTACCAGAGCCGGAAGAGATACACAGCTGAGCCAAATCGTGAAGCTCGTCCAAGAGGCTCAAACAACAAGAGCACCGATTCAGCGTCTTGCGGACCTGATTGCCGGATATTTCGTCCCAGTCATCCTTTTGCTCGGCTTTCTTACTTTCTCTACTTGGATGATTCTCAGCCATGTTCTTGCAAACCCACCCAAGATATTCATCGATGAGGAAAGTGGTGGGAAATTCATGGTTTGCGTTCAACTTTGTATCTCCGTCATAGTATTGGCCTGCCCTTGTGCTCTTGGACTTGCTACACCCACAGCTGTCATGGTCGGTACAGGTGTTGGTGCTGAGAATGGTATTCTCGTCAAAGGTGGAGCTGCATTGGAAACGGCTACGAAGATTACTCAAGTCGTCCTTGACAAGACTGGCACTCTGACACTTGGAAAGATGAGTGTTGCTGAGTCCAAGATCGTATCAAGCTGGGCTAGCACTGCATTCCAAAAGAAATTATGGTGGACTATCGTTGGACTTGCCGAAATGGGTAGTGAACACCCTATTGGTAAGGCTATCTTGCTGGGTGCAAAGGAGGAACTTGCTCTCGGGCCGGATGGCACAATCGATGGTAGCGTTGGAGATTTCGGTGCCGCTGTCGGCAAAGGTGTCAACGCAATCGTTGAGCCTGCTACAAGCTCTGAGAGAGCTCGCTATAACGTCCTGATCGGAAGCGTCAAATACCTCCGCGACAACAAGATTCCGATCCCTGAAGATGCTATTAATTCATCTGAGGAGGCAAACCGTAAAGCGGCAGGGTCATCAAAAACCACATCTGCTGGAACTACCAACATCTTCATTGCAATCAACGGCACCTTTGCTGGTCATCTTTGCCTGGCCGACACTGTGAAGGACAGTGCCCGTGCAGCCGTTGCCGCACTTCATCGGATGGGTATTAAGACTGCGATCGTTACCGGTGATCAAAAGCCAACAGCCCTAGCTGTTGCAAAAATGGTTGGCATATCCCCTGAAGACGTGCATGCCGGCGTTTCCCCCGACGAAAAACAAGAAATCATTCGCCAACTTCAGTCTCAAGGCGAATGCGTCGCGATGGTCGGCGATGGAATCAACGACTCTCCCGCCCTTGCCACCGCAGACGTTGGTATTGCAATGGCAGGTGGCACTGATGTCGCCATGGAAGCAGCAGATGTAGTCCTTATGCGCCCCAACGACCTCATGGACATCCCTGCCTCTATCCAACTCGCCCGCTCCATTTTCAACCGTATCAAGCTCAACTTGGTATGGGCTTGCGCCTACAATGTCGTCGGTCTTCCATTCGCCATGGGCGTCTTCTTACCCTTTGGTTATCATTTGCACCCAATGGCAGCTGGCGCTGCAATGGCCACTAGTTCCGTCTCCGTGGTTTGCAGTTCTCTCCTCCTCAAACTCTGGAAACGACCACGCTGGATGGATGATGCGCTTATCGAAGAGAAGGGCCAACTCCGCAGACGTGGAACAGGCTGGGGTCTTGGTGGGCTGGTTGGAAAAGCATCAGACGCACTTTCGTGGGTTAGAGGCGCGAAGAAGAATGAAGAGGCGGGATACGTTCCTTTGGATAACTTGGAACACGTATGAGAGTAATTAGATTCCCTTTTGTTTTCTTTTGTTGATATCTTGGGTACGGCATTGGGTGTTAGGCGCTTTAGCGGCATGGGATATGATCGTTGACTCCTCTTTGCGAAGGGAGGGCTTGATGTGTTGGAAATGAGTGAGACGATAGACGTACCTGATCGAGTGTGTGGAGAGGGTTGTACATAATAAAATAGTCGGATTTCAAGGACGAAGAATGTTCGAGCATCATATCATCTCTTTAAATACAAAAATGTGAATAGTCAAGCATGAATGAACTCAATTGTATACGACAAGGACAACAATGTGCCCATATCTGATAGCCGCCCTAGTAGGCTCCCATCAAGGAAACGCCCCAACGACCACGCGCTATGCAAAGCCCAGCCCATATTGACAACACTAGATGCAAATTTATACAAGTTCTTCCCCTCCTTATGTCTAGAACTCCCCATTCCTCTCTGGCACGATCCCAGCTCCACAAATCGCTCTCAACTGCACACCATCAAAATCCTTGCTCGAAAAATTACGTCCCTGCAATTCCATCCCCTCCGCCCACTGCACGCCGGCTCCGGTATTCCCTCGATCATTTTTACCCTTCTCTAATATAGCGAAACGCAAACCTACTTCAGTGACTGTTACGGCGATGGAAATGACGATTAGTATGATGATGATCCAGGTGATGGTGCTCATCTTGGTGTCTGCGACGCTGTCTGAGAGGATTTCAGCGAGGTCGAGGAAGACGCGACAGCGTTCGTTCAGGACTTTAATACGGGGTCCGATTTCGAGGTATTCGCGGATGGCGAAGTAGAGGGGGTGGAGTGTGGGTTCTGAGTCCCAGAAGAAGTTGGGGACGTCGAGGATGTTGCTTGCTGGGTGAGGATTAGTTAAGGGATTTGGGAGGGGGGACGGGAATACTTACAGAGATTCACATCTACGCGGGATTTGAAGAGTCGACCTAAGATCTTGACGATTTCCTTCCTTGACATTCCCAGTTTACCAGTGAGTGCTAACTGTTTCGGAACATGCTGGGCATCCAACATCGTTTGAGACATTTTCTCTTCGAAAAACGAGAGTTTGGTGCTTTGTGCTATTGCGTGGGACATAGCTAGTTTGATCATATGATCTCCTGATCTGAGGGTTATCATGTCGTTAAACACACGCGGGCGCTCAACCAGAGGTGAGTATTCGAAATGGAGTTCCTCTGTTTCGAAATCATCTTCTTCCAACGGCCTCGAGACAAGAGATACGCCGAGCTGGTGCTCTGAAAACGTCAGATCCGCGAGGATATCCTTCTCTTGTCTCTCAGTGAAATTCCAGAATACAACCACACCATACGAGAAGACGAACATTTCCGCAAAGGTAGTCGCATCGGGTGCTATACGATTCGGGCTGTCACCTCGGCGTCCTTGCTGAAGGACACGAATTCGCTCACGACTCCGACGTGCGGCTTCTTCTCGACGATCCCTATCTTCTTCACTCTCGTTCTGCGGGCTTTCCTCGCCGCCTCGTACGCCGTACGTATCTGTGTCTTCGAAATAACCTTCATGGTAGTCCCGCTGTTCACTGCGTTCAATCTCTTCGTCCAGCACCGCCTTTCCACCGGGACTTTTTAATACGGGACTGCTTCTTATTCGGAATCCTTCTGATCCTGGTAAAAGTGGTAGGTGGTAGACGGTGTATAGACAATCATCGTAAAGCTTGGTCTTAGCACCATGCCTTTCTTTAACAAATGTAGCTGTGACCTTTGCTTTGTAGCCCTGAGCTGTACAATAGGCAGTGACTCTTGCAACCTTATCCGTCCGTTTTGCCTTGGGTAATCTTTCTGCATAACTTTTTCCACGAATCCCTCCCCTTTTCTTAAGCACATCCATTTCAGCATTACTCAGTGGTCCATCCTCACGAATAGCGGAGCTGATTTCAAAGATATCGTCGTCGGATTCATCCTTCTCATTTACAGTTTCGGGAATGAGGACCAGTTTCTCGCTGACTTTTGTACTTCGTCCGGGCATGCTCTGTTGGGTTATCCGTGGAGTTCCTCCGCTTGTTCGTCGTTGTTGCTGAAGGACTGGTCTACGTCCTGGCGGACCACGCGCCTGGCCAGAGGGGATCTGAGAGGCATATTGTAATACGTTATCGACCGATATCAGTCGAGTAGGAGCGCGGCCCGGAGCTCCAGGGTTAAGGTTGGGTCGTTGATTCGCAGCTCGAGGTGGTTGTCCGCGTTCTCGGGAATCCGTAACCTGATACTCAGTCAGCGACAAATCCGGGCATACTATTAACTACTTTGGGAAAAGCCGCAAAACATCATGTTCACACAAAACAAATTGGAGGTTAGAATACGTACCAATACAGAGGCCCGCTTGCCAGCCGGCGGTGTCGACATTGTGAAGAGTTGGACTCTGATTATCAGAGCACTACAAGCGTGATAGCCAATTGATGCATCTGCAAGAAATTGCGGAATGCTACCTTCTTAGCATGAGAGTGAGTCGCCGTTAGTAGCTTGAGCTCCTGGTTATCGATGTTTGCGGCTGGCGCACGTCATTGACAACACCGCCAAAACTTTTGTTGAAGCGAGACATGCCAAGACATGGGGTACTTTCTTTCTTTCTTTGCGAGACAACATGTACGCCACGTTTTCAACCTCTCACGATCTGGAAGATGTGCAACGTGTTACGTATGGAATGAAATCAAATACTATCTTGTGCCAACCGCAGAAAGTTCCTCTTGTAAACAAAATACAAGTAAAGCAGTAGATTTTCTAAACTTGTCCTGTCAACATTTTGTAAAACTCATCCCTCTGATAAAGACGAAAGTTGGTTCCTACACTTTTACAATAGTAACACTGTTCATCAAATACATAAAAATGTAGTCGTGGCGAAGACTTTCGATTCTCGACTCGACGCGACAGGTATACTTGAATTTTTAAAATTCATCATCCTATGTAGTACTGCCATTGCGAATGGTTTTCATAATACTATAACTTTTTAGTCCCAGTAATCCTATATCCGTGTAGTGTAAGTAAGAACGAATTATGATCCAGCTTGCTTTTAAGGATGCGGCGGAATAGGACTATATTAGTTGCAACTCTAATTTATTAATGAAATCTCCGAAATAGCCCAGAAATATCTTTCAGGACTTTAATGTATTTGAACATTACTTACAGTTTAATGTGCTCACTAATTACTATTCTGTAGACCATTTTACTCTATCGTCGCCCACAAGCTCGCCTTTGCGAGCCAAAACCGATCTTGGAAAACAAAAAAACAAAATATCTCCAAGAACAAAGAAGCAAAAAAAGATGCTCTGATGAGCTGTGATCCCTCAGGGGAGAGTCGAACCCCCGACTATTCGATGTGTTAGCACATCGCCTGAGTTGATTTCTTTTTGAATAAACATACCATTCCGGTGAGACTGAAACAATTACAGCCGGACGCCATAAACCAACTAGACCTAACAGATATTAGCTCGTGTGGTTATCAGAGAGTTCGAGAGAACTTACGACCGAGGGATGGTTTGTCAATTCATAAGAATCGATTTGATTGGTCGAAAATTCGCCATTTAATATTATATACTCTTTAATTCAGAAGGTGGGTCGTTGTTGCTCGTTTAGCGAAAAGGAGGGGGCAGATCGCAGGTGAGTAGTTGGACTTCACACTAACAGGCTCAACTAGAATACAAATCAATGGAACAATATACAAAGTTTCTCGGAATTGAATCAAATGCAGATGCTGCCTTGCTAAAGTCAGTTTTTACAGGCCATGGACGAAGGATAGTTTTGAATCTTAAGAATATTCTAGGTATTGAGAGATCTGGTTTCAGGTGAATTTCAAGCTCGATTGGCAACAGAGACAGCAAATCATCGCTTTCTAGATTTGAGATACCTATATTGAAGTGGTTCACGGCGACAAAAAGACCTCACGATGACTGTGTTCGCCGAAATTATGAATAGGAAATGCGTCCGGAAGTTTGATATAGATATGGTTATCTATATGATTCTATTCCTGGTAATGAAATTTTTTAACGGTATCACGTTACTCATTAAAGTCTCAGTTGTTTTCCACCTGTGTTGCCACTGAATAGAAAATCTTGTCTAGATTGTGGTTTCCATTCAGGTAACGTTGAACTGATGGGTCTCACCGCGGTACAATCTTCTTCTACACGTGTATTAACATGCCAACCCTATCATTATTAATCATTAACCAATATCTTAGACACAGTTGAGCGATTTGATATTCATAATCAGTCAGATCAAAGCTCTTTGTTGACAAAAGTTCGGAATATACAATTACTTTAAAGCACAAGCAGGAATCAGGGCCATAGAGCAAAATTTTAATAACACCTCAGCACGCTTACCATTTACATTTACGAATCGAAAACAGATTTTTTCTCAAATACTATAAACTATCACTGTTTGCTTTCTTTCACATTCTTTACACCTCCATCACGCCATCCAAGTTCAATTACCGTCATCATATCCAACCACAACACAGACACAACACTCAGCATCCACACAAAACTCAAAATGATCAGCATATACCCACATTCACACCATTTCTCTCAAGACCACTCGAGTACCCGACACAGCTGTCCCTTCTGCAAAAGCATTTTATGTGTTTGCAAACACCACGCTCGATACTGCAGCTCCCAGCCTTGCTCATTGTGCGGTGCAGAGTATTGTACATGTCGAAACATGTTCAAAAACAGATGCATGGTCTGTGGGGAGACGCAGTGTATTTGCAATTCTAGAGTTCCGGTCATAATAGACAGGATCGAGATGATTCTGTGACGTTCGGTAAGGAGCATAGGAAGGATAGGACGGTTGGAGAACGCTGGGTTGCTTTTGGTGGGATAGAAAAAGAAGAAGAAGTCCGGGCGTCAAGAAGTATTGAGGTATATCAGATTAGCAAAAAGCGAGATGTTCATGACATGAAAAAAGCGTGTCAGTATTCGAAAGAGATTAGGCAAATACGGAAAATTATAAAACATATGCATTTTTGATTCCAGGGTAATTGTGAGTTGTTTTCTCCCAAAATGAGTTGGAAATTTCAATCGTGCTCCACGGCCGTCTTTCTTTCCTTCCATTGCACCATCAATCCGACATACCTAGTCGAGAATGTACATTGTATCTTCTTTTCGGGAGTTGAATCACGAAATCTCCATTCGAAATGATCGAAGAGCATAGGAATTGCCTTCAGATAGATAGCCTGTGCGAGATCTATATTGCGTTAGCCACGAGCTCTATCTCTAACAATCTCTCTGAAAACATCAGTCTGTTAAACTCTACGGGACCAAAAATTTCAAAGCGAGGGAGATCCTACGTTTTCCTGGACATGAACGTGCGCCGGCGCCGAAAGAGAAATTGTAAGATTCTACAAACTGTCAGTGATAAACACTTAATAAAAAGAAACATTATGTTACCAAGTTGCTTGAGCTTTTCGGACGAATACTCAAGCCATCTCTCAGGTCTCCATTCCTCGGCATCTTCACTGTAGAGTGACTTGTCCCTTCCCAGAACCCAAGAATTTATACCAACAGTTGTCTAGGGTATTTGGCATCAGTATTTGCTTCAAGAAGGGGGATGTTAAAGCTTACTCCTGCGGGTATCATATATCCTTCCAATGTCACTCCTCCTTCAGGAACAGCTCTAGGAAGAGGCATCCCTACGACGCTGTGCAATCTCATGCTCTCCTTAAGACAAGCATTGAGGTAAGGAAGATGATCCTGAATATCTCGTACTTTAAGCACTTTACCGGCAGGAAGCTCGCCGTCTCGATGAGCCTGATCAATTTCAGCGTGGACCTTTTGTTGACATCCTGGATGACTGATAATGTTATCGATCAGAAAGCCTATGGTAATGGCAGTAGTTTCCACTCCTGCGCCAAAATTGGTAAGAGCCATTGATTGTATCCAGTGATCTTTATCCTTCAAAGTAGGACGGGTCAGCTGGAGATGTAGCAATTTGTCCAGAACATCTTTCGGCGGCTTCAGTGACGATTCTGTTGGTTTGTTCGACAATCGGTTGGAAATTAAATCCATCTGAAACTATGTTTCAATCAGTGAGAAACACATGAAACAACAGAAGGCTGGAGGATTTACTTTGTAAGGATTTGGGTTCCCCTGTTCATCATCAACACGACGTAATATCGCTGGAATACAGGCTCTGACACACTTTTGAAAAGAAATTATTGTTGGAGAAGTCATGAGTACTTTAAAAGCCGTGTTTGCTCTGTGGATGAGTGGAAAGAATCCCACAACATGCATGTACATCCATGCGTGGTGGATACCGCCAATTGTACCATCATCTACTTGAGATTTGAGCAAACTCTTGCTCGTTCCTAATGTTAAGCCAGACAAGCAATCTTATGGAGTTAGTCACAATAAACAGGTCATTTGAAAAGACTGACCGGATGTGAAGAAGTTGAGAAAGTTATCTAGATCATAAGCTGTTCCGCTCTGCTCTCGCATGGTGTTGATGTTCTGCTCAAGAATGCTGTCAAGATTCTCCTCGTAGTCTTTAACAGCATCAACAGTATAAGCAGGCCCTAGATTCCTCCTTTGAAGACGATACTTCTCCATGTTCTTCTCTCCAAGAAGGCTAAGTCGATCTGGACCACCCCAGCCGCAATCGGTGACTGCGATGTACCAATCGGCCTTTTTAAAAGCGCTTCCAGCACCTATCATAGTCAGATTATGAGTTCTGGTTTTGAGATAATCTACCGTAGATAGTCTTAAGAGAACTTGGACTTGAAACCATGACCTCTTTTGGTCCAATGCGCACAATTGGCCCATATCTTTTGTGTAGTTCCATATCAATTAGAGGACGTTGGAAAGTTTTCGTCTGCCGAAACAGCCATATGTTGCTAAGACTTGCGAGAAATGGTCCAGGGACATTGCGTAACGGCGTTAACTCTCGCGTGAAAACAACAAAGCAGATGATAGTCGCTAGACATAACGTTATAGCAAGAGCGGTTGAGTTGGATGTTGGCAGGTACTGCCAAAATAAATCCACGTTATTAGGCATGGCTTCAATTGAATGATAGGGGATAATTTGTGGCTATTCCGAAGATCACCAAGGTTGATATATCGCCTAGCTTAAATCATATGTTTCTGTAGCAGTTGGACGTATTGAGCATTTATATTGATGTCTCTTTCATAGAAATCAAAACAAATTACCTCTAGTGCTGACGTGAGAAGATAGGTTGTCATCTCAGACTCTGTTGGCTATTCTGTTGGAAAAGGCAGGCGGATAGCATCGCATTCGTGGCGGTTCTCGTCGGGGACAACAATAGAAGCAAAATGAGAAAAATTGGAATTAATTGAACAATTACCTTTTTTAGATTCGCAAAGTTGTGCGCAAGATACCGCAAATTTACTCGTCAAAATCAAACCAACATCATTCTGAAGGGTTGTAATGGAGGAAACCAACAATGTTCAAACAAATGGAACGTTGCCGAACGAGAAAAATAAGAAAATGGTAAGCTCGGTGAGGTAGTGAGAGAGTACCCGTCAACGAGGTTTCAGCCGCTGCGCTAGACTCTGTACCTGCGTAGGGCAACTCGTGTAAGCTCCGCGGACTTAAGCTCTTTTGACTGTGAGACTTTTATTCGCCATCTATAATGTGTTGAGCTATGCAAAGAAGAGAATATACCACCAGCAAAGATTGAAACCCCATTCTGATTCGCTTGACTGGATCTTCCAATATAGTCTGCTTTTGAGAGATAGCTTCAACGGAAATAACATGGACGATGATGGGAAGCGAGAGTGTCAACAATCTTTGCTTCTCGAAGCTATGTATAACAAAGAAGAAACCTTGGGCGAACGAAAGACTACCTAGGACACTAAATGCTGTATGCTATAGGATTTTTCTCATTTACCACAAGAACAACAAGACAATGTCTTGAAGCGGGTGGTGTTATTCCATCGGTCCGATTTTGCAACGGCTCAGAAATCCTGAGTTGTGGAATACCTTTCGGAAGTTTGTTACTGTAATGCTTGACATAAGCCGGCTTAACAGCCCAATCTAGACACTAGTAGATGCCCTTAAAACATAGAGCTCTTTTTTATACGAATCTATCATCCATGGATGGCGATATCCTCACTGTAATTTACAACAAGATTATGATTTGAAGACATCTCAGAACGGATATCGACGCAGCAAGCTGCCTTGGATAGGTAGAATGCACTTCTCCTCAAATGATTACCACTGGAGATAATGGAACTGGAGATAACACTTCAGCCATGAAGTTCTGCAATGCTGAAAGAATTGTAGCGATAACCGGCTTCATGCTTTAGAGCTCAATATGGAAACTCCGAGTGGCCATCCTTCCAAGAATGCTCGAAACAACTTCAACGGATTGACAAGAGATAGAAAACCATCCACACACCATTGAACTTTTCTGCTAGGGGTGTGCGATGTCCAGAAGTGAAGACTGTAATCCAGAGGTTACTAGCCGTCCAAGTTAGGTGCCACTCTCTTGTCAGTTCAGGTCCAATCATATTCAACTTGGAGGCTCCACCTATCTTAGAGCTAGCATGTTGTACAAAAGCACCAGCTAATTCAGTAGCGTCTGGAAAAATCAACAAGGTATGTTAGCAATGTGAGTGAGTTGATTGCCTTGTATCGAGAGATTGGGCTCGAAATCTGCTTGAGAGTGTGTTGGACATTCTCATACATGTACTGACATATTTTGTTGCCATTGAATTCTAGTCTATGGCTTTGGTCCAAAACCACTTAAACTAAAATAAGGAGCCAGTCTCCGGGTGGTGTGTGGAAAAAAAGATCAGGTAATCAATTAAGTCTTTCTTCTATGGTATTTCTCGTCCATGATCTTTCATTGGGTGCTTTTGTTTCCCTTTTCACCTTCGTATTGCAAGTGCATTCTTCTGCTGTCTAGTTCTGCTCTAAGATCGTATGCTACTCTCGAGAAACACCAAACTGATGTCTTCCACCAATTAACCACTTGATTTCTCACCTAGGCGAATTGCATCCAATTTGCAGTCACCAGATTCCCAAAACACGATATACAACACCATGCTTTTGCTCATGCAAGTAAATATTAATTGCTTTGAGCGGGGTATAATCCACCCTGGAACGAGTGTAAGATTTGTTCATCCACAAACTTCATTGGCCGAACCGAGCATGCCCAGACCGAATGTAAAAATTGTGGCTTCGGATCACAGGAGTGAAGAAGCATTTACACACTACACGAATGCAAGGCTACGACTACCTGAACGCCATGCTGGGTTGTAAGATCCCGACACTAGCTATTATCGTCAAGAAGTTAATATAAAGTTCTTAGTACTGACTACGAGAAGCCTCATGTGCATGAGATGGACTTTCTTTTCGCCGGTCTTACACCCTGAATACCTGTTTGTTCTGGCACCAAATCCCCAAACTTAACAAAAACATGGGAAGTTGCAGAACACCGCCCACCATGCGGTGTGTCAAGGCAACCAGAAGCTGAAGAATGGCTATTTAAACAGCAGCTAAGTCCCTCGATTGCGTGCTCGAAGGTCTTGTTAACTGTTAACGACTTCAACTACTAGTAATCAATACTACTTCATCCCAAGCATTACACCATTCCAAAACCATCACTATGCAGTACCTATATCTCCTCACACTCTTCCCACTTGCCACAAACGCCGCACTCAACGGCCGCTGCACCGGCAGCGCAACTGGGAATTACAGAGAAAGCGGTATCTGCATCACGACCGGTACCTGCAATAGCTACAGCGGTTCCTACATTAGCGGTGGTTGTCCTTCGGATCCCAATAATGTTAAGTGTTGTGTGGTTGGGCTCGAGGGTTCGAGTTCTGTGAATCCTTGCGGTGGTCTGTCGTATTGCGATTGGACTTTTAACTCTTGCTCTGGTACTCGTCGCACTGGTAAGTTGTTGTTTTACGATTCGATAGCTATGAATGGGGCTAATGTCTTGTTATCGCAGGCTTTTGCCCAGGAGGGGATAACTATAAGTGTTGCAGAGCGTGATTGAGTAGAGTGTGAGAGGATGTGGCAGCTCCAGCAAAAGAAAATAAATGGATACTGCGGCGATTGAAAAATATGTCAAAAGGAGTCCCTCATTCGTTTCATGTAATTTCCTTTGATATGAGTCAGCCATTGGTGTTTCAAATGGCTGAGTGTATTACACTTTGGTAACATCGCAGCGAGTGTGCAATTCTGAATACCATCAACATTGAAAAGAGAGTCCAGAACTGAGTAGAATAATGAAACTTGACGCTGGATTTGCTCAAATTATAAGAGAACTAAAGCTACCAAGTCGGTAAAATAAGCTAGTGCGCTGTATTTTCTAATCCGCGAGCTGTTGAATCCAGACAGGCCTTCACGGTAATGTGGCAGGGAATCAGAGCTGTGACGACACACTTCATCAGAGCTCAGCTGGTAGGAAGCAAGGCTTTAAACATCGAGCCAGGTTGAACTAAGAGACATGTCAGTATGTTTGTACAAGCGAAGTTCCAACAACTATTGTGCCAGTTTCAGTACGTTTGAACTCACCTGGGCAGTAATACTCGACTCTAAAATCAATGGATCCTCCTTGCCTTCGCTCTGCCCCGACTATTAAGCCCTCGGCTCGACATAAAAGAAGATAATTTCCTTGTGCCTACATCGTATTTTTGTAGGACGTTAAACAAGCCCCAAGTTCCTGGTCGATAAAGGCGTAAATTTGTCCATTAATAGGTTGACCCTCAACTGTTCAGTGGTTATTTTGAAGTTGCAACGCCAGCCGATGTTTCTTTTCCCTGGTGGAGATTGGGTTATCAATCTGATGCGCGGAAAAAAAGTCCACCGTCTTGACACAATAGGGTCACGCTTCAGCAACTCCTCGAACTTATATTCAAAGAGCCAGCCTCCAAGACTAGCATTTTCTGAGGCAAGCTTGACGAGAATTTCCATTGCGGGCTCCGAACCTTGTCTTGCAGCTTGAAACGCGAGTTTATATAGATTAAACTGTAAAGATGGTATTAACGCCTTCTGCAAATTTAATAAACAAAGGTTCGAGGACTTACATATTGCTCACCCCAAGTAGTTTCAACTCCTGTAAGTGGCTCGGGACAACGAATCGGCCAAAAATCGACAACGTCTTCGCCCGAAGCCTCACATCTGAAGTTGCACATCTTGTAGTCGATCTCCACAAATTCCTAGAAAATCCCGAATGCTGGGTCATATTACACGTAAGAGTTATTATGCTTGGAGTTACATTGAATTGAAAATCCATCTCGCAGGCCGAATTCCGGGTGAAGCGATTCACAGAACTCTTTGTAAGCGTCAAAAAGCTCCAGTGAGAGCCCCGAAACCTCAAGAACCGCATTATTAGCAGCTCTCTTGGTCTCAATGTTCTTCTCAGCAATCTGAAGATATAATTCTGCTTCCGGAATTTGGAGCTCGATTTCTCGCAGCCCTTCTCGAAGTTCAGTGACTCGCGAATAGAGACGGTCTCGACACTCTTTTTGCTCCTTCATGTGTAAATCTGCCTTACAAAGCTCGTGCAAGGTGGTGGGCACCGGGGAAGAACATTTTCCAGGAGTTATTTCGCTCTCTGGTGTATCATCGTCGGCGAAGCTTGATCCATCGTCTGATGAAGGCATGGTGCCATTTTCCCCAGCTTCTTCTGGTTCGTAATCTTCATCTTCTAGCTGTTCATCATTGGAGTCGACTTTACTTGGCCACTTCACATGTTCTCTGACGACTACGATATAATTTGCAGCGTCAAAATCCATCAACTCCTCGTAGTTGGAACTTAGACCGCTGTCGGTGGACTCATCCTCAGAAAGGCCTTCGTCAAACACATGACGCTCATCATTGACATCATAATCCACGTCGACAGGAAATGCAAAGCTAATTGCTTCCCCCATGTCACCACTACTTAGCACATGACGGTCACTAATAGGTATCTCGTTGTTGGACTCCCAGTGTCTGTCGGTGTCCTAGGACTCGTGCGAGTCGTATGAATAGTCTGTCAGGACCGTGTCATCAGCATCTTTTTCTTCATCCATTACGATATCGACAAAAGATCCTGATTGTTTGTCAATAAATGCTTATGTATGGGAGAATGCTAGTTACCTTTGGCCACTTCCGCATTTTCAGCTAAAATCTGATTTAGCAAAAAGGATACCGTCGAAGGCCCCTCTCTTTTCTGACACTAGTTAAATTGAAGATAGACGATGATTACAAAATGAAAAAGCAGCCTCACCTCCGCCATGGTGCAATTTCAATTGGATTTTGAAGAAATAAAGCGTCTGAGAATTGAATTGATCTTGGAAAGTAACCGATCTTGGAAAGTAATCGATCTTGGAAAGTTGGGCAGCAACGACTTAGCAAATTAGTAGAGCAAAGGAATCGAATGCTGTATTCAAGATAAGACAAGTTGAATCGTGAAGGTGATAGTGACATCCAACTTATATGTGGGGTCGGGGTCGTTCTTCGAGGCTGATCACGTGTGATACAAGGATCCACCGTACCATGTGCCGGCCCGCCAGAACAACCGCGCTTGTCAAGCTTCTTTATCAGAATGTTATTCAAATAATAGTTGTATCGTTCATTACTTCATGGAGGAATTTTGATCCCTTTGCCAACTCCACAGTCCATCAGCGGCTGCGAAGTTGGCATGTACCAAATTATCCTACGATAAACTTCAATTGAGTGACACGAGCCGACGCGTCTCTGCCTTTGAAGCTCTTCGATTGCGTTTGCATTCTGTTTGCAGTTCAATTCTCGTTTGCGCTTTTTAAAAAAGGTGTAGGAAGGCATCACAGACAACATTCGAGTATCGAATGCTGGTTGAAGTCGAGCTGCTTTCCACTTGCTTATATGTTGATTAGCAAGTTTCGATAGAGTCAAGTTGAGCACGGTACTTATCTTGCCTGAAACAAGTTTATTTTTCGGATCTTAGTTGGTCATTTGTGTTACCATTTGCAGTGGTAAGAAATGGACCCAATTGCGTTGCTTGAGGAGAAGGAAGTGTGGTCATTGCTACACTTCAGTCACCTAGTGACGGGTCAGACCGAGCTAGGTTTTTAACCAGCAAGGCTTCATCTCCCTCGGATGATCTTTGGCATTTTACTGCTGCTAATCTCGCATCCTTTCCGCAATCCCTTGCATTGGAAATGCTGCATACCGCATGTTTCAGACCGGTGTTTCCTAGATCTTCGATTTTCTTCTCAATTCAGTCTTCTATGTTCAATCATTTATCCTCGAAAAACACCAAAGTTTGGCAAGATCTTACAAACGAAGACGGCTTCTCATTGGAGAGGAGAGCTTTGTTGGCCTATCTAGACTCAAAATCGCCAATGCAAATTGCTGCATTTCGTTGGATACGAAGTTCTGCCACTTGGACGGAAGCCCGCTACCCACGTCTCAGTCGATGTTGTTCGGCAGTGGGCGACTTCCATGCAACTTCCTTGAAAGTGGATTGCCCAACCCCAAACGCAGCGCAAATGAAAATAGGATATTTGGCAGCAGTCATGATGAATACAAGATGACATCTTCCTCAAGGAATGATCTCACGACATTACCTGCATGTGTGTCACTATCTGACCCCTTTTGCGGGGGTTCGGTAAACCCGATGACTGCGATCTTCTTCAGGGTGTCGGGATGTTGGTGACGGGACAGGGCTGAAGAATGGTGAAATGGAAGAACAGGTGGCTTCCAGAAGGCACATGGAAGAAGGCAATCTGAGCAATCTCACACATTTAATGCAATGTTGGCCCAGGGGTCCGCTATTGGGTGACGAGCCGGGTGCCGCAAACACGCCAAACGAAGGACAAAGTGTGATAAGCATCATTAGCATGATATCGGTAGTTGAGGAAGATAGAAATGCATGAAAAGGAGGGGAGGGAATGGATGGATTGGGGGCAAGAGAGATGACAAGAGACAAGTTGAGAGAGGCTGCGTCTAGGCCTACAGGCCCTGATGCGTTTGGCGCAGTGGACTATCAAAAATACCATGTCTTGTCTAGGCAATGAATGGTAATACGAGCCGCTGCGACCGTGGTTATAACTATCTATTGACGATGCTTTGCTCGCTCACATCCTCAGACATGCTCCTCTTTATCGGGTCCTTCGCGAAATTATAACTTCACGCAGAACTCTGAGTTTCGTACCGTACGGCACTTTGCGAGTCCCTTATTTCTTAAGCATCAATAATTCCCCGCTGGCACAGCGCGAAAACTGTCGTCATTCGCGGTCCCACCACCATTCTTGCACCACCCACCGCCAGTCCACCACAGAACAAGCTCCCAGCTTCTCCACAGCGGTTTCGTTTCGCACGCGAGCTCGCCAGAGCACTTGCGCTGCACCATCGTCGGGACCCAATTATTGCCTCGTGCGTTTAGGGGCACTTGGGAGGTCCAAGGCGCCCAGGTGGTGCTCCGTGCTTGACAAACCCACACTACCGGAGCAAGCAGAGGTCGGGTGTCAGTGCCCACGGCCCTGAGCCAGCTCGAGCAGGTGCAAGTCATATTGTTGTCGCTGGATCCAGCGAGAGCTTGCAGCTACACCGTTGTCGTCCATGCTGAAGCATCTACGTTGTGCAACGCCATCTCGACCTTTTGGTTCTGCTGTCGCCCAGGAATGTAAGTGGTGTTGTGCAACCCTGTGCTGACGTACCGAGCAAATCGAAGCGATCAATGACTTGCTGAAGAAAGATTATCAACTGACAATTATCTCACCAGAGCACGTCCCTTGAACACAACACGTTGAAACCCGACGAACAAAGGAAGTGGTTTGGCAGTGTTTCTTCGGTACACATTGCTCGAATAGCTCAACTGGAGACCGCCTGTGTCTTTCTCTCATACCCGCCGAACCTTGATCGAATATCATCTCTCACGTACACACAATTGTTGGCGCAATAAAACCATCTTCACGTTCGCTCCGCAGATCTGGCATTCCGTTTGGCAGGCCCCACGGCACGACGGCCGTAGGCCGTACAATATCATTAATACACGGGAGATTAATCTTTGGGACAAACAGACAGCATGAGACGCAGTCGAGGAGGGCCCAGCTCTCCATTCAGATCAAATGGAGCACCCATACCAGATTCGTTGTCCTTGATTCGATCGTTCAATGTCGAGACCAACCCTTCCCGCCCAGTGCGGCCGTCCCCTCTCACAGCATCAACCATTCCCGACATGCCACTAGACCTGGTTGATCGCATACGATCTTTCCCACTCTTCGTCTCAGCACCAGACTCGTTCCTCGCGGCAATTGGAAAGCATCTGCGGCCCCAAGTACATACTGCACACGACCATGTTCTGACGGAGGGAGATGATGCCAAAGCGATGTACTGGCTGGTGCGGGGTGCTGTGGCGGTCACGTCGCGCGATGGCGAGGCAACATACGCTGAATTAAAACCAGGGGCTTTCTTTGGGGAGATTGGTATCCTAATGGACGTGCCAAGAACTGCGACTATAATAGCAAGAACAAAATGTTTGTTGGTTGTGTTGAAGAAGGAGGATCTGCGCGCAGAGCTGCCAAACTTCCCCGAGATGGAGCAAGCGATTATGGAAGAGGCCCAGGAACGACTTACCATTCTAAATAAGAAAAGAAAAGAAGGTGGATATGGTCCGAAGCTTGTTTCTACATCATTACCCTCACGAGGCGGTAAAGTTGCTCGTGAAGCAGCTCCCGGGGAAGTTTCCCAGGGTGACCAAGGAATTATTGAGAGGGGTATCGTGATTAACAAAAAGAAAAGAAAGTCACCAAGTCCGCAGGGGATAGAAGATCCCGCAGCAGGAAGTGCGCTCGGCAGTGGTTTCGTAAACGTGAGAAAGACTTTGAAAGAGTTGCCACTCTTTTCAACACTTCCTCCAGAGATACTTCATTTTCTGGGATTGAGCGCCACACCCAAGACCTATCCGCCGTTTACGGATATCATTGTTCAAGGTTCTCCAGGAAATGAGATTTACTTTATCGTCCGAGGCGAAGCCGAAGTAATTCATGAGACCACACCTGAGCACGATGCAGAGCAGGCAAAAAGAGGCTCGTATCTTTATCCCCGACTAAAGCAAGGTCAGTATTTTGGCGAAATTGCAAGTCTAGCTTTGGCGCCTAGAAGGACAGCCACGGTGCGAGCAATCACCACCGTGGAATGCCTGATGATTAGCGGCGAGATATTGGAAGAACTTTGGAGAAGATGTTCTCCAGATATCAGGCGGCAAGTTGAAGTAACAGCCAAAGAACGAATACCGAGACCAGAATCGGAAGATACGCTGATGACTGACGGAGATGGAGACGAGTCTCCTATTAGTCGACTAGAGATCGATGTTTCATTGCGAACTCCACGTCGTGGGTCACTACCACAAGTTACCTTCACACCCTCCAAACCCGCTAGCCCTCATAAGCCAAGCCGAGTTGAAGATAAAGACATCATGGAACCTTTGGATCCCGATCCATTTCTCAGCGTGGATATGGATAAGATGAGGACTAGGAATGCAAGAAGGGGATCATTAGCTCCTCCCACACCAGAAACTCCTCCATCCGAGGAAAAAGCTACCCCTCCAGGCCCCAGAACCAGATCGAGAACTCAAACACCTACTCCGGCTAGACCTGCGCCTCATTCCATGACACCGCCAGACTCCAATCGCCCTAAACGGCCAAAGACCGTTCAGCGACGACCCAGTCAGTACAACAGAGGCGTACTACCAGACGCGCTGCTTATCTCTATCTTCTCATATTTGGACATATATCAGCTTATGCGTCTGAGGACTGTGTCCCTGCATTGGTCGAAGTTGCTGACCACATCACCTGATGTTTGCCACTATCTCGATCTATCACTATACAATCGCAAGGTTACAAACCGGGCTTTGATCGATGTTATTTGCCCATTTGTGGGAAGACGAGCAAAAACCATCGATATTAGCAATTGTTTCCACTTGACCGACGAAGGATTTTCTTATCTGTCAAACAACTGCGGGACCTACTCCCAGTCATGGAAGATGAAAAGCGTCTGGGACATTTCCGCGAATGCGGTCCTCGAAATGGCCAACAACGCCAAGGAACTTCAAGAGATAGATCTGTCGAATTGCCGGAAAGTTAGCGATAACTTGCTTGCCCGGATTGTGGGTTGGGTTGTCACGGAACCAAACACACCGCAGAATAACGCGGCTCGTCAGAAAGCAGGACAAGCTCAAACTAACCAAGTTATACCTCCTGTGGGGACTGTTGTCGGCTGTCCGAAGCTGAAGCGGCTCATATTGAGCTACTGCAAGCATGTTACAGACCGATCCATGGCACATCTAGCTGTTCATGCTCATAGTCGACTCGAGTCTATCGACCTTACCCGCTGTACCACAATCACCGATGGTGGCTTTCAGCATTGGAGTATTTACAAATTCACGAATCTCCGGAGGTTGATCCTAGCGGATTGTACATATTTGACTGACAACGCAATTGTTTATCTCACTAACGCCGCAAAGGGCCTCCGTGAACTAGACTTGGTAAGCCTTCAATCTGGAATTCAAATTCAAATTTGACTAACCTATTTCAGTCTTTTTGCTGCGCTCTCTCTGACACTGCAACGGAAGTCCTCTCATTAGGCTGTCCCCATCTCTCCTCCCTCAAACTATCATTCTGCGGTTCTGCAGTTTCAGATTCTTCTCTCCGCTCCATTGGTCTACATCTCCTGGAGCTTAAGGAACTATCTGTACGCGGATGTGTCCGTGTGACGGGCGTTGGTGTCGAGGCCGTCGTCGAAGGCTGCACCATCCTAGAAAAATTCGATGTGAGTCAGTGTAAGAATTTGGGACGATGGCTTGAAAGTGGTGGCGTGGAGAGAAGTAGAAAGACGTATGGGCGACGAGGGCGGAAGCCTCTGGTCTTTGAGATTAGCAAGAAAGGCGGCATTGGAAGCACATTGAGGTGACGAAGCAGGAATTCAAGTGCCCATATCTAGATGATCGAATCAGGAATGGATAGTTGGTTATCAAACGGGCATCATGACGGTGCGAGAGGCGGAGCACTCATCTCTCTGGATTTAGCGGGGCGTTATTTACGGATTTGAAAGAGGAGGATTATTCTTTACCCAAGCAATCGGGTTTCATGCTGCGCTTAAATGCGAGTTCTTAAGCTGGAAGGGCTGTATTTGGATCGAACTACGGATACTTTGGTAGGGGTGGTTCATATAGAAGTGGATGGATACCAGTAAAACTAGGATATGTATGAGCCGCAATCTGGCTTTAGAGAATTGGATGGTCGTGGGATATTGGTAGAGGTACTTTAGATCTGCATGATAGGATATGAATGATATGATATTTATGGTCTTTTGTTGGGGTTTTGATGTGATGGGAATGACCTTTTGCGATTATGGTCAGTGAAATTCGTCTTTGGCAGAAAGTAGTCAGATATCGTGATGAATATGTCAATTGGACATTCTTTGGGTGTGAAAATAAGAGAGCAGTGGTGGAGTTGTAATCTTGACTAGCTATTATACTTCTATGTAGACAACCTTTTCTTGTTCAAAGCTTTTTCTTACAATTTCTTTCCACGTTCAAGTATGTATGTACACTTTATCACTTTAGAATCTCGACAGTCGCGCGATAACTCTGAAATATCAATGCTTTTTATGTAGCGTACAACCTTTAAGATATCTGCGAGTAAATGGACAGGGTGTTTCGTGGTTATTTGTGTGCAAGATTCTACTGGATATGTTGTCAAATGCCGTTGGATTACTTGGCTTTTTGAAGTAACGGTTCGCGCATGTCAGCGTTCTGGGGGTTACATCTGATGGGAATGATGATGGATAAGTCGATAGGCGATGATTCGTATTTATAGCGAGAATTATTGTAAGGAAATGAAGAATATAGATAGTGGGGTATCTCAAAAGTTAGTTCCATCCTTTTCCCACTACCCCCCATAACCCCAACTCCTGTCCCAATTTCCCTCCCAGATAAATCAATCATCAGTCAAATCAATCACCACACCGGATCCTAACACACTATTTCTTTTTCGCGGACGGGACTCCAGGATTTGAAGCTCGTCGTCATCTGGTATCTCACGTTTTACAGCCCGGTTTCGGACGTGAGATTTTTCTTCGGCTTTGATGTGGGATATTTCGCGCTTGGTGGGGTGTTAGTTTGGAGAGTGATGATGGGTAAAGTATGAGGTGGGGAGGGGAGGAAGGGTGGAAGGCTTTAAAAAGATAGGGCAATGGGAAGGTAGGGGAGAAGGAATGAAAATGTAGAGAGTCATGAGTGCGAGGAAAGGTTATGTTGAAGGGGTAGTAAGGGATGGGTTAAAAGGAAGGATTTCTCGATACCTTTAGACGTGTTAAACGTTCTTGATTTGTCTCTGCTGCTGGAGTGACAGAGCGAGATGGCGAGCGTGGGATGATTAGTTCTTGTTGAAGGGCTTCTACTAAGGTGTTAGAGGTCTGTTCTCGTAATGAAGGGGGAACCCGAACCTCGGGAACGATATTTGAATCTAAAAATTGCTAGCGGTGTGTAATACCCATCTGGGTATGTTCTTTTGTAATGCGGTCGCTCTGGCGGTTCTCGTACTTCGCCGCCAAAGCTATGAAAAGATTAGCAATGTATACTTATAATTTCGTAGCAGCTAACACGTGTTGAATTAGAGGAGATTATAACTTACACAACACCATGCGAGATAGCTTGGCCTTTTAAAGCCTTTTCCGACATCTCGGTTACTGATTCCAAAGGTCTCTGGACGAAGCGTTCGTCGATTATGGTCGTTTGGTAAGAGCGGTAGACGCAGACTAGAATTTCCCCGAGGCCGTCGAGAGACTTTCTGTCGTTGTTCAAGCGGTCGACGGAGACATTGTCTACTATGATGGCTTTAGTTGGAGTTATAATTGCGAAATGAGACTACAATGAAGGCAAAGAACTAAGAAAAAAAAGATAAAATGGAGATAAAATCATGGAACTGAGAGAAGAGAGGCATAGGTGTGCGAGCCTATAGCTAGATATCCGGTTGATGCAAGTATGATGAGGTATAAATCAAGAAACAACTCACACTTCTCCAAACTACTAAACTTCAACGTCTGATACGCCATATCCACCTCATTCGGTCTCGTGATCGCCTCCGAAAAGCACTTTTTCCATCCATATCTCACACCTCCAGACCAAGAACCTCCAATGCTTTGGCCATTCACATCTGCCCAGAACGACACCTCGTTATGGCGACGCTCCAGCTCGAAGCCGGGTTTCACTTCATAATTTATCTGGAATTCAGTGTCCGATTCGCATTCTACATATACACTTGAAACAGATTCCGGGGGACCCCAAAAGGTTTTGTGAACGAAAGGTGACGGGTCCGGGTATTCTGGGAGGGTGCGGTTGTTGGACGTTATGGTTACGCTGAGTTTGGGGTGAGCGGGGAGGATTGCCATGACGGAGGGGATTTGATTTGACGCCCTGGCAACTGCTTTTGGTTTCTGGACCCGAGATAAACTTGATGAAGTTGGTGGGACTTGAGTTGATCAAAGAGGGCTGTGAGTGTACATGAGTGAGAGGAGAGGAAGTGAGGCTGGATGGCGAAAGCCCGAAGGTTGCTGCCGCCTCACCTAAGGTCATGCGTTGATTGGCCGAATGCCAAAAAAGTGGATCAGTGGACCATCTGCCTGTTTGCCTTTACACAACTCATTCACTTAAGCAACAAAGTTACGACCTTAATGTACTCTCTGATTGGAGAATCGTCAATTGAAAAGTCAGTGAGTCTGCTTTGAAGAAAAGTCGTGTTGCCTTCTGTGAAACTTCAGACTGATTGTACAGTGCAGTTCCGCTCCCGCCATTCGCTTGACAGTACTCGAGTATATGGACCAAGGTGGTGTTCAACCTCGAGGTAATGAGCTTTGGAACACTGAAGGTCAGCTTGTATTTCTCAAATATCATTAGATTTACTCGGTAAGATTACCCGGTTATCCATCAACATCTATATATACTGTCGAGTTCTTGGGGTTTTCGCTTGCATGACTGAACTGCTACCTGTGATACTAGCAAGTCTCCCAAACCACAACCACAAGAGAGGTGTAGTAGTTATGATATTCCAAAAGGTATCCTAAATTAAGCAAAGTAATCATAATATATGTGAATGTAGTAGTAATTGGCTTTCACTAGAACAGCTCCTGTACTAACCTCTATTTCCATTCAGGAAAGTTATGTACTTGAGAATTACATGTGTAATATTTCTTGGAAATTTTACTACTCTTGTAGCTACCATAACCTGCCGATTTACTGCCGTATAATAATAAGTCATGCTTATTACATCGCGACGTTTCCTTCCGAAACGATTGCAAAAAATAGAAGCAACCATATTTGTAGTCTGGCCAAGAAGTCGAAATGAAACACAAGTGTTTATTTATTATTAACTTCTAACATCATTGTTTTGACAGTCACTCACTGTCTAGCGAAGGAGGACCGCGTGAAGTCGAGTCCAGACTGAAAGTCCATGCGGTGCGTTGATTGGCTACGTGATAATTATTATGGGTCCAGGTACCCCGTCCGTCGCGGTCAACTTCAAATAATTCCTTCGCGACATGCAACTCCCTCACGAACCTACACCTCCGCCAGATTTGCGCTGAATTATATCAACCATGGATCCAGGAAGAAGAGCTATGATTAGCGGAAGAGCGTCTCCTAGAAAAGATATTACTGCCCCTCGCCACGATCCAAATGCTCGAATATCCAAACCAACGAGAGGCGGACTAGGAAACAGAGCTCCTGATCTCCGGCAACATAAAAAAACGGAAACACTGGATGATGAACAAACTAGGTTGTGGGTGTCGCAAGAAGACAGTTTTGTGTTGAAGCAGGCCAAAAAGAAGGCTGAGATACGCGTGCGCGAAGGGAGAGCAAAGCCTATCGACTGGCTTGCAGTCATTCTACGTGTCATAGACCCCGATCGAGATCTCTTGGATGACGATGAGGAAGAGGCCCAGGTGGATGTGGTTGACCCCGAAGGAGTCTTTGAAGGACTTAATGATGCTCAGCTTGGAGAATTGGACACCGATATTAGTTCATACGTCGCCTTGGAAACCAACAAGAAGAACCAAGACTACTGGAGAACCATGCAAATCATCTGCAATGAACGCCGGCTGGCGCTAAAACCACAAGGTCGAGAAGGGCGCGCAGTCGGTTCAGTTGCTGCGGATGTTGACAAGCTTCTGGGACCCAAGACCTACGAGCAACTTGAGGCGCTCGAGAAACAAATTAGGACGAAATTGAAATCAAACGAGCCTATTGATGTTGATTACTGGGAACAGCTCTTACGCAGCCTCCTTGTCTGGAAAGCAAAGGCCAAGCTCAAGAAAGTATATCAGTCTGTGCTCGACAGTCGACTGGAAACTCTACGCAAGCAACAAGAAGAAGACGCTGCTGAAGTTCGAGCGAAGATGCAGCAGACTCTGGTCAATGTTGTCTCGAAAGAACCTGTAGGACCGCAGTCAGATGAGCTCAATGTTTCAAATCACGAGAGAGGACAACCACCCTTCGAGTACAACAAAATTCACGATCCGGAACCTCTTTTGAGACTCAACGCTGAAGACAAATCGACAGAGATCATGGACGAGTCCACATTTCTACAAAAGGTAGTTGCTGATCGACGCAGAATTGTAAAACTGGGTTACATACCCGCTCGGCATGATAATTCACACAAGTCCCTTCCTGGCTCCACCAGCAAAGCACCCACAACTACTGTCCATGAGGCTGCCCCTCCAGGAACTCAGCGATTCTCAAATGTTGTACAAGAAGATTTCTCGCGGGCCACCACGGCATTGTATGAGCGGGAAGTTGCTCGTGGGGTCAACGAGGATGAGGAAATTTTTACTGGGGAAGAGTCAGTTGACACAACCGCGAAACCCCAATGGGCAGACAAATATAGACCCAGGAAGCCTCGATACTTTAATCGTGTTCAGATGGGCTATGAATGGAACAAGTATAACCAAACACATTATGATCATGACAACCCTCCTCCCAAAGTTGTTCAGGGTTACAAGTTCAACATTTTCTATCCAGATCTAATCGATAAAGCTAAGGCACCAACGTTCAAAATCATCAGGGAACATGGAAGACGGCGCGGCGAATCATTCGCTCCGGCGGGTGAGGAAGATACGTGTCTGATACGCTTCATTGCTGGACCGCCATATGAAGATATCGCTTTCAGAATTGTCGATAAGGAATGGGATTATAGTGCCAAAGGCGACCGGGGGTTTAAAAGCAGCTTTGATAAGGTACGTACGACTTGTCTCTTTTTCTCAATATGGGTACATGGTGTGCGCGCAGCGCCAAAAGCTCTACCGCCAATTTGCCGCGCGTTCCAGTATCCTATGGCACCCCTAGTTCTTGCAGCTGATTCTTCCACACAGGGCATTCTACAACTCCATTTTCAGTACAAAAAGGTACAGCTACATGTTCTATTCCATCTTATTGATACAATCTGACCTGTCGTAGGTTTACTATAGAAAATGATTGCATCATGGTGCTTGCTATTGTATTTGCTTTCCGGAAGCAGATGTAAGACGCTTCCGCAAAAATCAAAAATGCAATTTTTTAGTAAGCAGGCTGGCAAACTTGCCATTGTTGTACAAACATTCTTCACCTTTTGTGCCACCCGCAGAGATCCCTATCGCTGGCGTCCACCGTCATCCGATTAATGCGTGGGTCGAGCAGCGGGAGGCGGAAAGCCTAGATGAAAATGGAAGTTTCCATTGACACTTTCACGTTTTTCGTGGGTCCTATGAATTACCAGAATAAGGAGACAAAGCACGGTGTGGCTTCTTTGGTGACTACCTGCGGCTCCAGGAGATGCACTCCATGAGACAGCATATCTACCAGGCATCAGTGCGTCTCACTAAGTTGAAAGAGCAGTGCTTGGTGACAAGCCATTCCATCCTTACATTGGATCTCCTCCACGGTCACCCACGAAACTACTTCTAGCGTTATTCCAGAATTCTGCACCCAGGGACAGCGGTCCACCCATTATCTGCGCGCTCCTAGCCCTGTTCGAGGCTTCCGGTGCAACGTCTATCAGCTCGCGACTCCTTAAAACGGAATGTTGATAAATTGCAGCTAAGCGCATGCGTGCACCCTAGCGTGGTAGCACATTGGTTGAAGCCTTGAGTGCCTGTTTCCTTGTTGCAGGCTTTGCGATTGACATGAAGCGATTGCTGTTAGATCGCCTGTAAATATGGTTGACCCTTCTCAAAGGCCATTTGCCGTCGGGGACAAACGAAATCTGCGTCACGCAGAAGGGCTTGTACCCATGCGTTGGCAGCGCCATCCTGCATGGATAGATGGTGTTACTTTTCTATTCATCTTCCCGGACTCAGATGCACTAGTCGATATCTACATTCGATTCCCTTTTTGCTATTCCCAATTCTTCGAAACTTCCGACTCCGCTGTCCGTTAAAGTGTAGTACAATAGCTCGACCCCCCCGGACTTACCAGTGCACCTTGTATTCACTTCATAAGCGGTGAGGATACTTACCTTACCTACGAATAATGCTCACTATGAATTTGGGGCAACACCGCGGCCGACCTCAGAGTCATAGCTTGTCAATGGGGTTTCAGTATGGGGAAAATCCGGTCATGTCACGACAATCAGGGCAACAGATGATCTCACTTGATGGTTATTCTCGGGATCAATCTGATCAACATTTCGTGGCTACGAATTCGGATTTCCAGCTACCAACACCAAACTACAGTCTCACCGGTCCAATAACGGGTCTGCCACAGTCCCCCAGTTTTTGGAGCAACCAAGCCGTAACCTCGTTCAACTACGGCGATCAAACCTCAAACGGCTACTACGCAAGCTCATCAACAGTAACAAGGAATACTAGCAGTAGTAATTGCCTGCACAGGAATCATGTTTCTGATATTCCTCGCACCTGGGATCCTTATGACCCGCGGATAATCAACAACAGCAGCATGGTTATGGATCAGGTTGATTCCTTCTACCCAACGGAAGAAGATCACAGCGATGTATCGATGTCCCCAGCAATGTCTACACCAGAACTTGGCGATCGCAGCGACCACCAACGGTATTCACACACAAGTCTCAGTCAAAGTCCTAAAATGGAAGAAGAAAGTTTACCAGCTGGGGAGCTTGATGGTTTTAACCAACCGACGCAATTCTGCCTCCCAGGCAAGGACGACTCTGATGATGGAGGCACCATGTCCCGTGAGATGACTGCCGTCGAAATTGATGAACATGCAGCCGATGAACCATACGCAAAACTAATTCATCGAGCCCTCATGAGCGTTCCAAACCATTCCATGATACTTCAAGAGATATATCAATGGTTTCGAGAAAATACTACAAAAGGCACCCCTGACAATAAAGGGTGGATGAACTCCATTCGCCACAATCTTTCCATGAATGCGGTATGCTACTCCTGTTTTGTACCATAACAAAGCTTACAGCTAACATTCTTAGGCATTTCGAAAGACGGAACGGAAGATCTTTGGTGATGAGACGAAGAAGTCTACCGAATGGGTTTTAGCGGACTTTGCTGTGAGGGATGGAGTCCAGTCTACCACGCGATATCGAAAAGGTACAGGAGCGAAGAAGGGTGCAAGATCGAACAGTCACATTCGCTCTCGTCAAGACTCTGGCCGGAGAGGAGGTCTGTCGGCAAGTAAAAACAAGTTCACGAGGCAACGATTTCGGGAGCAGCGTACAGACACGCGTCGGGCTTTGCAAAGCTATGACTTCTTACAATCTCAATATCAGTCTTCTGCGACATCCAACATGGGCGCACGGCACAATTCGCCATCAACACCGCCAAGTCATGAACAGATGGGTTTGGCCAGTCCGTACTTCAATACCCACATGAAATTGGAGCCTTACGAGAGACCAATGGACCTAATCTCCCTTGAGGATGTGCAAGGGGCTTATTTGAATGGTGAACCTGTGTTTACTGATCAGCAAGATGGTTCTGGCTATTTTGATGGACTCCCTCGCTACTAAGGGTGCTACTGCACTTAGCAGTTCCTGGGAGGCTGTCTTGATTGAGTACTGTACAGTGGAGGATCAATTTTGCCATAGGGTATGCAGTCGCATAGCTTGCTCTCTTTTCCTACAAGGTTGTCATTTGAAGGCTGGGTGGAGCGTGTTTGTTACTTCGATCAAAGTATCGAAATCGTATGGTGGAACAATCTCTTATTGCATATTCAGCAGTCGAGGTGTGTATTTGACCTTCCGTGGTCAAGGGTTGGGTTCTGCAGACGTTGCTGGATGCGTTCAAATGGGTTTGGTCTGCACGCCGTGTATCAATGTCCGTGTATTGTAAGTGAAAGTTAATTATAAGATAAATTCTTATCAATTTTGTGATCTGTCGGATTTTTGTGTGTGAATGAAGAAAGGACGACTTGGAGGGTCGGGGGACTGGCGACCTTGTTCTATTTCATTGAACTTCGAGCCTAGGGGCTGTTGTGCGCTAACCTGCAATGCTGCTGGTCCTGGACTGCCTGCCCAGATGTTCTGGTTAGAGCAGCTCTCTTCTAGAACTTGGTATGCTTAAGGGCAGGATCGTGTACGGATTCGAAATGGAATGTAGCAAACGGGAGGGCATGGAGTCTTGAGAACCGCAACACCGGCCGGGGGTACGGGTCAGAATCTGCAGACGGGCAGGCGGGGCAGGTAGCTGCTCATCCGTCTCGTGGGGTCAAAGTCCAATCTTCTTCTCACTCATGGCAGATTTGGTTATGGGATATGTAGTTTTTCAACTCATCTTGTGAAACGCTGGCTGTCTGACTGATGGGTCGGAAGTTTTCCGTTATGTCACCAGAAATGCTCCTGACACTGTTTTTAGTGAAGGCGTCTACTCTATGGGAGGTTTTACGTTTTTCTGGTTGGCATTCCAGGGTACCCGAGGGCGAAGCCTCCAGCGGATCAATGTTTTCTGCGCTGTGGCAGACTGCTCTCTCTTCTGATATATAATATGGCCGAATGTAACCTCGCACGGGGGAGCAAGGCTTTTCTCAGCGCATTGCAGACACAAGTATGCAGTATCTCCTCTTTCATAACGATAATTCTCCAATTGCTGACTCCACGACCAGGGAATGGAAATCCGGACCACAAATCCCAACAATCGCAGTGCCTTCTCGGCTCAATGTAACGCTGGTCCCAAAAATCGAAAGTTCCCCATGGTAGAGTCAGATTTGATCTCCAGATCCTCCCGACGAGATCTCGATATGCTTGCGTGACATTACCAGCTGGTCGGTATCATTAGAAGCGCACTTAAAGCAACGAACCATTTCTCAACGGTTTTCGCATGGCGTCTGTGGTCTTCTCGAATACGCCTGTACCGAGAAGACGGTATCAACCAAACGTCCCACTAACGCTCAGGCGTAAGCCAGTGGCTGGCGGTTTGCTCCAAGTCCCGCTACCACCCCTTTCAAGGTCGTCCGATCGTAGAACCTTCGTCCATATCCGCCACTGTTCCTCTGGCGATCGGCCTAGGCCCGCAAGCTCTCATAGAAGAGCCTCTCTTTTCCCGGCCGTTGGGGCGAGGAACCAGGATTCCATGCAAACAAACACCCTGGCTCAACGACTTCCCGGGCCATCGTCGTCGATGAATGGCGAACTAAGACATACCTGCGTCTGCCAGAGGGGCCGTTCCGGCGCTCACCGGAGTATATCACATTCCTTCCCAAGCCAAGGTGGGCAGAAGGAACCTGGCTATTCGGTTAAGGGTGTGAAGAAGTGGTCATACATGAGCTGTATGATTAAGCAGTCGACCCAACGGGTTACACATGGGGGCTTGAAGATAGCTTTCAACCACATGGAAGACCAACTGCATGGCCGATCCGTCATGGCGTCAATCTTCATATTGCAAAGTCGGGTCTCTGTAATATTGAGAAAGTGATTCGACGCCGCTGCATGTAGCTTATTTTGCGGTGAGGATGTTTTCGAAGACGTGCAGTCATTTTTGACCATTGTGGGGGTCAAGAGACCAAATAAATCACCTCTGTCGAGTGGTAGTCACGACCTCGTCATAAAGCCAGCTTTTGCTGAGACTAATTAGTCTCTATAGCGAAAGGTTTCTGTACTGTGCGATCGTCGCAGAACCTCTGTGTCACACAATTGATATTCCAATCTACTGACATTTTGATATCAGCTTTCCTTCGCACAAATGGATAGTTTGGGAATCTGTCAGGGTTTCTTGCCCATGTTGAAGATCAAGATGCTGCTTGTTATGCATGCCACGTCTGCCCACCTTTCCACCGTACAGGAAAGTCGTCCAATAGGCAACCTCGTCACTGACTTCTAGAGATGACTTCGTTGAGCTTTTAATTTCTTTGATTATCTTAAAGAACTGTATAGTTATTCCTGTATTATCTAGTGCGAATATTTCCGATATGTTTCTCTACTCTATTACAACTTGACGTTGGTTTCTCAGCTGGAGAAAATCGCCTTCTGTTCGTGTTCTTCCACCAATTAGCAGCTTTAATCACCGAAAAGCATGGGAGCTCCTTCGCCTATGTGGACTTTCATCCCCACCGGCAAATCAGACGGTCCGGGGAGAGACGCTGTAAGTGGGGTTAATAACGCGGGGTGTGTGGAGTTTCTCCACAGTCCACAAAAGAACAATTTTACTTGGGATTCGGGGAAGAAGACGCCTCCCCTTTCTTGGGAAAAGCTTGAACATCATTGGCCTTGCAATCGCGGGATTGACTGAGAAGAATATATCGTCGTCAGCATACCAGGTTGAACTATCGATAATCCGGAAAAATTATGGACGATTTGCCTAGCTTTGCCAGTTCGTTGGCGTTGCTTAATCTCAATTGACAGGTTTATAAGCCTTGAATATTCCCTCGGCGAAAGCTTGAGCAAAGAGTTTATTGTTCCCAAAAGATTCTTCGCCACCGACTAGGAACTTTCGAGCACTTTCAAGATGTTACTTCGTCTCTCCACCATCTGCGTGTTGCTCTCGGCCACATTGTCGATTGCTCATCCTTCCTCAGAGAATGTCCAATTGGTAGGGAGATCGTATCCTGAATATCCGTCAAAACGACCATCTGTGTCGTGCCACCCAAAATCGCCGGGAAAACACCATCCGACTTCTCCAAGCCGTTCGAAGATTTGTTATATTAAATCTCACAATGACGGGAAGACAGACGATTCGTCATATGTTTTGAGCGCGCTTCGGTCGTGTAACAATGGTGGTCATGTAGTGTTCAAAAAGGGGGTCAATTACCTGATTGGGAAAGCTTTGGACCTAACTTTCTTGAACCACATCGATATTGGTCAGTTTTATAATTTTCCTTAAGCAAAAACATTGACAATGTTGAAGTGCAAAAACTGACAGAGACGCAGATATTCAAAGTAAAATTCTTTTCACCAATGACACCACCTATTGGCAAGCCAATTCATTCCGATTTGGTTTCCAGAACGTCACTTCATTCTTCAAACTTGGAGGTAACGATGTTAATATCTACGGTGGTGGTACCGTTGATGGAAACGGACAGGCTTGGTAAGCTCCTCCATTGAAGAGCATTATCTGTGTGGATATAGATTAATAGTTGATTTAGGTACGACCTTTATGCAAAGGATATTTACACTTTGAGGCCTGTTCTTTTCGGAATTGACGGTCTCAAGAACTCAATCATTAGTGATTTGGTTCTCCGATACTCACCACAATACTACTTCTTCATGGCCAACTCCACGAATGTCATTTATGATAACATCGATATTGCTGGTGGTAGCACGAGCGTTAACATCGCCAAGAACACGGACGGTTGGGATACTTACCGCAGCTCAGGCGTCGTGATACAGAACTCGCATGTCGTCAACGGAGATGGTATGACAAAATCGTCGGAATTTAAGCTGTGGTGCTGACAGGTTTCAAACAGATTGCGTGTCGTTCAAGCCAAATAGTACCGATATGGTCGTACAGAATATGTTCTGTGACGGGTCGCACGGCATTAGCGTTGGATCATTGGGGCAGTATCCCGGAGAATTTGACATCGTGGAGAATGTCTATGTTTACAATATCTCCATGAACAATGCTAGCGTAAGTGGCACCTCCAGTAGGTACTATTCCCGATCAGGATCTAATTCTCATGCAGGACGGAGCACGTATCAAGGTCTGGCCCAATGCTCCAAGCGCCCTTTCAGGCGACTTGCAAGGTGGCGGTGGCTCTGGTAGAGTAAGAAATATCACTTACGATACTTGGTACATCAACAATGTCGACTACGCTATCGAACTTTACCAGTGCTACGGACAAAAGAACCTCACCCTCTGCTTGGAATACCCATCTCGTCTGACCATCAGCGACGTGGTGTTCAAGAACTTCAAGGGCACGACGAGTTCCAAATATGCTCCAGCAATTGCTGCTTTTGCATGTTCAAGCGAATCAGTTTGCAGCGGGATAAGCGCCACGAACATTGATGTTAAGAACCCAACTGGAACGAAGGATGCATACTGTCTAAATGTCAATAACTCGACTCTCGATGTAACATGCGGAGCTCCGCTCAAGGGCTTCAATTGAGGAAAGTTAGAGAATGTACATATTATAATGTCGAAATGAAATAAATGCCAATGAGCCACCGAATCCGCCCCATTTACCCCCCTTTTTTGTGCACCAAATCATGATCATACACTCTCGCTAAACCCCCATAGAAACCATGCGGAAGCACCTCAACCGAAAAGAGAGACATTCGGTAAAGGGGCCTCCCATTTCGTGACCACAGGACATTACCCGCTGTTTAACTTCCGATTCCCGATATTGACATGGGCTTCAGAGTCAAGTGATTTTGGTCGTCCCGCTTCGCAATCCGACATAGTTCCAACATATCTCCAACAATAAGGCGAAGATCGCGAAACCTTATTTTGTCGTACCTCCATCTACTAGTAGGGCCGTGGCATATTAATCGATGTCGTATAAAGCCCAAGCCGTGTTGTACAGGTTTTTTATATTTCGTTTGAGGAGGTGCTGATGATAGTTTGCTCAGCATCCTTCGACATAGCGTTCGTTGCAGTTTGATGCCAGAGAGGCCTTAGCCGAGTTATTGACGTCTTTTCTGTCGAGGGGACTAAGAGGATCTAGGCGATATTTTATCAGCATAACTCAGGCGCAAATTCATTCACAATAATAGCTGATGGCTTCTCTGAATTGTTTGCGATTCTCCAAGCGTGGGAAAGAGGGAAGACCAAACTCACTGGATGACGGGACCGATATGGGTAAAGCAACTGCAACAGCCATCATTGCGCACAAGATGCTAGAGATAGTGAAAAACTTCATTTTGCAAGAAAGGGATGGAGATAAGGTTGACTATTTTCACGAGCCAAATGGTTGTGATGGGCTCCTCAGTACTTTTAAAGATCCGACCAGATGAACACAATAACGGAGGCTCGCAACCGCTATTATTTCTTGGTGCCAAAAAGCAAGCTATTGCTTTTCCCATTCTTCGCACATTTCAACTGAACAGTGTAGGATCTAGCCGCTCCATTTCCACAATCCGCGCGTTTTTTACTTCCAAGAACACTCGTCCTCAGCTTATATTCCGCTTTTGGTTCCACATTCGGTCGCGTGGTGATTGCTTCTACCAAGTACACCTCAACGGAGTCTCGCCTCTCGGATTTTGTGATACCGAAGACCTTGGCTTGCTTGATATGTGATATGGCGGCGAAGCATAAGTAAGAAATGAGTTGAGGGAAATGTGGCGATTGGATAGGGCTAATCGTGGTGGTGCGGGGTTGGGTAAATTTTGTTCTGTTCTGGTGCAGTGAGGCATGGCTGATTCCGGAGTGGTTCCTTCGTACCATTTTCTTACACCTACATTGATGTGCTGAAAAGCCAATGTCCACAAGGTAAAGTCCAGAAGTTTTCATCCGGGCCGCTAATATACTTGCAAGCTTAGGAGAGTTAAACGAGGTGCAGGTACGCTGACTACCGATACCCTGCAGGTCTAAAAAGATACAAGACAAATCTTGCAACCTTGACGAAGCTTGTGATAATTATCTCTAATTATCACATGTACTGTGGTATTGTGCTGGTTTGGCCGTTCGATCATCAGAAATCGAAATGCCGTTCTGATACTCAGATCCTTCAACAACGATGAAGTCGAGCGCAAAGCAGATTGGGTCCCTACTATGCAAAGGAAGACAAAAAGAAAAACAGACAGTCCACGCATATTCATCTAACATGTCAGCTTGCTATTTGAAGGAATTAAGCTACAATCGTAAATTAGCATCTATTTTTATACTAGCAAAAAATTCAAAAGTGGCTTACCAGAAGTTTGGGTCGTCAGGGGAAGGATCCTAGTGGAGGAAAGGCATGATTACGCTTAGGGGTAAGATGTGGTTCATTCCCTGTAGCTGAGGCTTATTGAAAAGTGTGTAACACTGTTAAGGTTGGTGTCATTTTTGTCAGCTATTAATGGCCCGACCCGAACGGATGGTTCAATTGACCAAGAACATTTGTGTTGTTGTAATGCGCCCGACGGAAAACGCTTTCACATCCCAATTTTTCCTGATATCAAACCCATTCTACACCAATACCATGTGTGTATCTAAAAGCGATGTATTGCAGCTTCCTGTAGATTCCCTACACAGTGAGTACATTTCCATGTGGAGAGAATCGAAGCCGTGTTGCTGATTCATTCTTCTAGACGTACTTTATCAAAGACTCGTAGAACGAGAAAACGTATACACTCCTCGAAATGCTCATGGGCTCGTCTAGGGAGAAGATCGATTCCGCTTATCTTTGGAGCTCGTGGACTTCAACAGGGCAAATTTGGATAGTCCAATTAGACCTGCTCCTGACAGCCTTGGATGTGATTGCATAACCAAAACCTTGTCAGGATTTGCGAGCCGTCCATTGAATCTCGATTCAAAACGCCATTATGGAGGAGCTCCTCGCATGCATAGCAGTGATGGTGTCACCACTTAAACTGGTGCGAGATTTGGCTAAGTGCAAAAAGTGTCGAGGATGCTGGCAGGAGGAAGAGGAAAAGGCTTGGATGGTGACTGCCCCTGAGACCTCGGTACTGGTAGCCCCTCACGTGTTCTCGTGTTTGGTTCGTGTTCACATCAAATCTTGAGATTTCGTGAACATTCTAACTAGAACTCTGGTGATATACGCCACGAAATTTCTGTCTACTTAGTGTTCTTACATTATTACAGTTGGTAGGCTGAGACTGATAGCGGGGCGGGGTGGGGGTCACATGACATTGGCATATCTGACCCAAATTGAGTTTGAATGAGTGGTGTTTCTCGAAATGGGAATCAGCTTATTAATACCTGTTTTATAGTTAAGTGTTAAAGAAGTTCTTTACAGAAAGATCTACCTCGGAACGGTTAGGCTAACACTTGAGACTTGTCACATTATAATTAGATGATGGATGGTTTAGTTCCAAGCATTTCGACTTCGTATTCTTGAAGCTCTCCGTGTGTAGTAACTACCTAGGTAGTTAGTTTCTCAATACAAACACAAAACACAATATACACAAATACAGTTGTGATATCTGACACTGTCCTTCCAATGAACAGGAACTTGAAATCTACCTCTCATGATGTGGATTTATGGCATATTCAAGTTTCAAAATGTAATGATAGGGATAAGAAATTTCACAACCAACATTAATAGAATTGGCTGCTATTAAGCCTGTAACCCAACCAGATAATTGATCACTGGTTAAAAGAGATACACACGTCACGTGATTCCTGAATCTGAAATGCGCGTTTAATCGCGTCTGACAAAACCCCCGCATCTCAATGTTCTTGAGCAAGCTTACAGACCTGGAACACATTGTGCAGCCAGCCGTCAACCTCGCTCTATTAGGCGAAGTCTCATACCTGTGCTTTGCCGCTACATGGGTTGCACCATTTTAGATGCCTCCAACTTGCAGTCCTGCGGCGCCTAGAATCATTCGGGGATCACACAGGTTTCCGGCTCGATCACAACACTACTTACGACGACGCCGGTATGGCAGGATGGAAGCCCCTTAGCTTGTCGGCCTCTGCGAGCGCGCATCTACCGCCGCTTCTTTTTTCGGTATCTTTCGATCACGGCTCCTCTTATACAGTTTATCTCACTGATCTTACACACATCTGGAGCGAATCATTATCTCGAAGGCAAATCATTCGTCGAAGCCAGGAAGAGAAGACAAGTATTGATCCTAGTGACGACGAGGATAACCTACGCAAACTACTAGAGAAGATTAAGTCGGCCTTAGAAGGAGCAAGGAACACAACAGCTGCATTGACGATCAATGCCGATGATGAACGGCCTTCCCTTACACTGAGCCTCGCGGTGAAGCTGCCGGCTGGTATTGCCCCCCTGGAATGGCCACTCCGACTATCTGCAGTACCGCAAACGACGCTCACGCAACAGTTGATACTGCCACTTATGGAAGCACAGCATATGCGGTTGCAGGAGACGGCTAGCCTGATTGAGGTGCTAAAAGAGAAAGATCATGTTATACAGAAGCTGCTTGACAAGTTAGAAGGGCAAGGCACGGAGCTTGGCGAACTATTTCCTCAAGCGGCAGGAAAGGCGGGTCGGAAAATTGATCGGAGGAAAGCAGAAGAACGTGTACGAGGTTTGGCATTATTCGACATAGACGCTTGGAGGTCCGAGAATCAAATAGGCGCATTCCATGATACGCAGACTCTTCTGTCAAAGGTCTTTCAGGGTGATGCCAATCAAGTTCCAGAGGTTGGGACCGAGAAAGCTGCGGATGTTGATGGGACTTGGTGGGAGGATATCAAAGGTCTCACAGTATTTCTGGACTCTGGAAAAATCAAGACAGCCCTCGGGAAAGCAAAGCCTCCAGGTCTGGGCCTTGAAATGAGCTCACATGATAAAAGCTCTTCCAACACACCAGTAGTCGTGGAAAAGCACACTGAGGATTCTGACAGTGGCGACTTCCAGGTTCAATCTACTCCTCCGCATCTAAAGCCAAATATTATCTTACCATCTGAATCGCGCGTTGAGAGTTCCACCGACTCCGACGACGATGACCTTGACGCGCCCTCTCAACGCTCTAAGCTATCTGCAAGCCAGCCCGTCTCACAGCAAACTTCAGGCATATCTCTAGCCTCAGAACCGAAAGATGGTAAGAAATTGGGTGCACTAGCTGTGAAAAGCCGAGCCCGAGTTGTACGTAGATCATTTGTGCAGCCACCAGATGTAATAAACGATGAAAGCAGCACTGAAGACGAAGATGAAGATGAAGACGAGATATCTGCGCGCAAGCCCTACCAAAACGTATCAACAGCCTCGTTAGGGGAAGATGCGCCATCACCTGCAAAATCGCGGAGGGCAGTATCGCCAGACGAGTCATCGCCAGAGGCCACGCCCAAACGTAAAGGCCGAGGCATAGGCAAGCTTGGGGGAAAGCAGCGTCCAGTGGAAGCTTCACCAAGCCCCCCACCAAAAGCAACACCAGAACCAAGCAAGAAAAGAGGCAAGCTCGGGAAGATCGGCGGCAAGAAGGCAATATTACCAGATGGTGATGAAACTGAAGATCCCGCTACTGAAACGACGCCAAAAAAGAAGAAGCTAGGAGCAATTGGTGGCCGGAAAAGAGAGTCTTCCTCTCCAGGTAGCCGGGTTCCTGATGCTAACGAAGAGGTTGTGATTCGAGGGAGGAGTGAGGTAGCAAAAGTAGAAAGAAACCCAACACCAGAGGTTCGCGAAACAAGTCAGGAAAGAGCGGACAAGAAACGAGCTGCATTGAAGAGGGAATTGGAGGCTAAAGCGAAAGCTCCACCTGTGAAAAAGAAGAGGAAATTTTGAAATCATCTAGCGAGTAGGCACATTTAAGTTCGAAGATACCCACCAATCAGTCATTGTTTAATTTTGTAGATCTCAGCAGTTATATAAAACAAAGTCTTCGATTATCAGAAACTAGTATCTATCTTCTTCTCTTAGTCATCTCCTACGATCCCCTGTTTTTGACCTCCTCAACGCGTCCCTTGATAATTATCTTTCCTTGAAAACGCATGCCCCGATATCATATCTCTCGTAACTGTTTCCTTATCCTAGCGACTCTTCTTACTGTTATCCTGCATGGGCTCTCGAATTGAACCTTACACGAAACCCAATTCGTCCTGCACCTAAACTAATTTGTGATCGACTCATCCTTCCTTGGGTAAGTCGAGTTTCTCTTGTAGAGGTAGAGGATGAATAGATTCTTTCTCGATATCTCTATGGATCTGAGTTTTGAACTCAGACTTTTCCGAAGTATTTGAGCTCTGTTCGGAAGTTGATCCGTTCGGTACCTCAGCTTTCTTCGAGAGTATTGGAGATAGACTACACTTGTTAATGTCCGTAAACGCAGAATTTTAGCATAGAAATTCACTTACAGAGTTGCCCGTTCTTTTGGAGATTGCCATCCTCTGATGATCTTCTGACGTTGCTCTTCAGCTGCCATACCTGTGTGGCCCATTTTGATATGTTGATACGAAACGGTGAGGTTACTCGCTTGATATTTGAGTATCGTATTCGACTGATGAAAATCTGCTGATCTGGTAGAGATTTGTTGTAGTCTACTGGAAGTCTAGTTGAGATACTTCAGAGTAGACGGCTTCAGCTTTATGGACGTTCCGCACGAGGCTGGAGTGATTGAGAGAAGGATACTCACAGAAACAACATATTTCGCCATTTTTTCGAGCACCCGGATGGTTATGTATTCATAATGGTACGAGCATGAAGTGAATAACTCCAAGAATGGCAAGGTAGAGTTGAGCTGATGAGCAGTGGTTCGAGTTGAGATCACGTTTGGGTTTGTCACTACCGTCCCCGAAAAGTACTCATTCAGATAAATACAGAGGATCGGTTAAGACTTGCAAAGAAAGACAGGCGAAGCTTGATCTGAAGTAGCCATTACTCTTTACATCACGGCTGTTCATTCTCATCCGGGTTTAGTATCTGAAGGTGAATGTTCTACATCACACACTTAAGTCGCATGATTTATCACTTATATTTCTTAAGCGAGCATCTTATACTTATAGACTAAATGGGCTTCCTGTGCGTCAAATTTCCCATCATAGTTTGATAATTCAAAGATTTACCGACTTCCACCAACAAGATAGTTTTAGAGGCTCCTTCTGAAAGTGAGCGCGGCAGAATTAAGGAGCCGTTTCTGGTACGCCACCTTTATTCTCCATGTTAATTTTGAGAATTCGCTGCCGCCCCTGCGAGCCGAATCACAAGAGTTGGACTGTTCTCCCGTTTATAAGACAATAAAAAAGAGAAGACAAAACTGACATCGTCAAAAATTGCGAGTTTTGAAAATCTCCAACACTAACCCACGGCCACAGTAACTTTCTAAATTCAACAGTACCTTCCTTTCCGGTACGTCGCTATCACATCAAAGGTTGAAAGGACTCAGTTACCTGTGTCAAAGTATTCACTTGATATCGACACGACCTATTCATACTATGCTACAGAGCAGCTTCATGAATTCACATGTGCGACAGCACTGGACGACAATACATGAGTTGCAATTAAAACATGCTCATCATAATCTGCTATCTATATAAGAAAACATACTAAGGGTATCGCTAAATCCATCTAAACCAAAAAATCAAACGCCTAGACCCCGAGGTATAACAACACTCAAGGACTAACCCATCACAGCCCGTGTGTGACAAAAAATATATACATTACATGTGCCTCATATCGTCAAAGATTATACGCCCTCCTCCCCAGGAGCAACCAACTTAACACTCTTCTTTCTTTCCAAACCCCGCTCCCCAGCTGCCATACCCAACGCAACGCGAACGCCCTCAACAGCCTTACTCTGGGCGACTTCTCTTCCATCCCGCCGAACACCTCTCCCCATGGCTGCGGCACCCCTCGACCCCATCCTTGAGTTCTCGCGTACGAGGTTGGCCATCTCTCGATCTTTCAGCGTCTTTTTCTCTTCAGCACGTTGTGTGCGCCATTCGCCCGGCAGACACGGGTGCAGACAACCTTCCAGCGGGCAACATCCCTTGGAGTGCTCAGATGGAGTGGAAATACCGTGCCATGCAGACATGCATGCTGTATGCCCACCATGACCACATCCAGGACAATACCACCATGTAGAGGTAGGAACAGGGACGTCTAGTGTCTCGAAATCTAGCGAAGAGTCCAGCTCGCGATGATGACAGATTGCACAAGGTTCAGTGGCTCTTTCACATCGGGTGCATCGCCACACAGAGTTTGGTATCAGGGGGTCATTCTCAATAGGCTTCTGACAGCTCGTGCAAAAGAACCCGCAGTTAATATTTTCTTGGGCTACAGAAAATACTGAAGGGTAGACAGGCGTGGAGAGATTTCGGAGAAGTGCAGCCTCAAGGTGAAGTTGAAAAGTGGTAAGCCGATAATGATATTGACCAATGATTGCATTCGCACGTGTAGAGTCGATTGCTGAAGCTGGGAGAAGAGACCGAAACAACAAAACCATTATTGACGCGTGCAGCGAACCACTTTGCGTTTCAAAATCGATCGACCGCTGCACGAGAGTGGCAGCATCAATTGGGCTTATGGTAAAACTGGGATCGCCGGCTTGAGGTAGGAAGTCCCTTTCAATGATGTTGGGGTTCTCGATGGGTTTATCTGTTGCAGTCGGGCTTTGCGCTGTCTCTTCGATTGGCCCCAGCGCAAGAGTGTGCGTGTTTGACTGCATAGAAGGTTCTTGTACTCGAATTTTTGGACGTGTCAGTGATTCATAAGGGAAGGCACTCTGCTCAACACTACTGTTGGCTCCAGAACTGCCTTCCACCGGTTCAACTGAGCTATCCGTAAGTGCTTCTGAATTTAAGCGAACTCTTGGGTGGTTTGGTAGACTACTCTCCCAACTATGAACACGATCTCTGAGAGAGGTATCCCTATCGCTGACGGAGGAGCTCAAAAATTTCGTCTGCTGTGATTCGTTGGACGTAGAAAACATTTGAAAGCTTTCTCCCGAATCATGACGCTGGAGGCCAGGTTGGATAATCTGCTGAGTATCATTTGCATAATCGAGTCTGAGAGGCTGCTTTCGTTGAGGCACGTGGAAGTCTACCACCGGGGAAAGCGAGTCAATCCCGTAGAAGTCATATCCATCGATACTAGGTGAAACGCTTGACTCCTTGCTAAACGCTCCAGGAACTGGAATGGGGCTAGGCGTCGCCGCGGAAGTTTTACCGGCCAAATCTAACTTGTCGTCATCTATGTTGATTGGAGTATGCATAGCTTCTCTAATAGGAGCTGCTACGTGGTCCCGAACAGGACGTACAAGTGGTGTAGCAACATTCGAGGTACTTTCCATCTCGTCATGGATGATTGTCGTTGCTTTATGATGTCGAGGGCTATGATTGCGGCTATAACTCCGTGGACTACGATTCCGCGGGCTATCAAGGGGAGTTGAAGCATGATCCTGCCTGCGAGGAGTGCGATCTCCTCTCTGACGCCGGCGAGGCGTCTCGGAGCCGTGTCTAGTAGAATTCCTGGCATCAAAAGCAGCAAGCTGCTCCTTCCACATGTCCTTCTTCGGGGTAGGCTCCGGTGGTTTTAACCTGTTTTGTCGATGATGTTCAGCACGTCTCGTGAGAAGGAGATTCATTGTGTATCCTAGAATGCGCCATGTTTGAGCCAGACGGTAATGACCAATCATCTCGGCTGTCTTGGCAAATTCCTCGGTGACAATCTTTATCTTTTCATTTGTTGCTACGACTCCCGTTTCCATTGCGGAAAACCTCCAAAGCTGTGTCAAATACTTGTTAGTGAAGTATTGGTGCGTTGCTCGTTTCGCTGTCGAAGGAGCGCGACCTATAGCTATGACCTGTTGTGGTTTGTAGACTCCAGTAACTTTGACGCCATCATCTAGCGGCATGATTTCGGGTTTGTTTGTCGCCCCAGTGGATGTAGGAGGAGTTGAACTGAATGATTGGTTTGACTGCCCACTACGGCGCCTTCGATGTCTCCTTGCCTTTGTAGGGCCGAGAAAGCTTCCAACAACGTCCTCTTCCGAATCACTCCTACTAACACTCAACAAAGGGCCATTATTGCTGTGCTGGAAAGAAGGTAATACATCTGGAGACGGGAGCAAGGGACGCGATCGCCGTCGATAAACTTGTCGTTCCTCGAGGAACATCAAGGTATCTCCTGTTGGGGAGAATGCAAAGGTGGAGAGACTCTTTCTCTCAATCACTTTAGGGCTGAATGCAACATCTGTCTGAGAAAATCGTCCTTCCCGATCAACGGCCCAAAGAAGATCACGCGTGTTCCACACCACGCCAGTAGGAGCGGTATCCCATTGCTCAATCTCCTTGAATGGCATAGATGGCCTAGCAAGATCCCAGATATGAACTCGAGAATTTTGGGTTTTGCTTATAGTAGTATCATCATAGGAAACTGTTATTTGGGCAGCTCGGAGACCTTGCGCAGTGGCTGACCATGTTGCGGGCCTCCAGGAAACGGTGGAAACTGGAGCTGGAGTGGCAAAGCTGTATCTCGGCTTTTGGTTCCTATCTGCAGATTTGGACAAATCCCATACGTGACAGAACTGATCATTGCCTCCGCTGACGAGATGCTTCCCGTCCGGATGCCAGTCAATAGAGGAGCACTTCTGATGCGCCGCAATCTTCAATACTGGTGCCCCAGGCTTTCGAATATCCCATTTCTGAACTTGCCCGGCTTCCGTACAGCAAGCGAATTCAAAGCCATCAGTCGGTGACCATTTGACGTCTCGAACCGATTCTGCATTGCACTTGAACATATGCCATGTTCGAAAGAAAGAAGCGCCATTGCCACCCCTCGTACCCCGAGGTGTCCTCAAGTCATATACCCTGACAGTTCCGTCCTGGCTTGCTGAAAGAAGCCAATTCTCCTTGTATGGACTGATATCCAATTTGTGAACCTGCCGGTTGTGTTCGTTTATCCTCCCAATTTCAAATCCATCTCCGCCATGATTAAGATCGTATACGGTCATGCGTCCATTTCCGCAAGCTGTGACGATGGTTGAATCTAGGGCACTATGCGACCACTTTACCGCTTTTATGGTCAGTTGTTCTGGGGTCGCGGCGGATGGATCGTGGTTATTCGCATATGAGGAGATGATAGCTCTGAGGTCTAATTCTTCCTTGATCGTGGCGCCATCCACCTTGAGAATCTTGAAGAGTTTTGAGCCAGCGATTACCGCTCGCTGCCCGTCTGGCGACCTATCGAGACAGGCAATTGATGCTCCGGCAGAGTGAACACTGGTTTGCGATGCGCTCGGTCGCAATTGAGGTGATTCTATGCTGTTGTTTTCGGTAGACCGGTCGACAGTGGTTTGACCTAGCAACTTTCGCATAATCTGCTTTCCCCCTTTGTTCATATTTGCAGACCTTGTGCTGCCACTCAAGGTGGCATCTCTGGCGGTTTGGACATGCTGTTGATGAGGTAGCTTCGACGAGCTCATTACCCCAGACACGAGTTCTGCCAGGGCGGTCTGGACTCTGGCAATGCTGGTGTTTCATTGGCTCGCTGGAAAACCTATTTTGGTCTCGGTCAGTCGTCATGGCATAGCTTCCCTCTGTCCTCGGATTTGGCCAAAGAACGATCAAGATGCAAAACAGTTGAGCATAAAAACGTTTCTCATTATCGTTTGTTTGCTTGGCGGCTTTTGCGCTTGTCAATAAATGCGGCAGAACATGCGCGCTTTTCAGCCGTTGGAACCCGGATTTCCACCTTCAGACGACGGTCACACGTGGTGTTCTATTTTGGTCGCCGGAGCCGTAACTCACATCCTGTCGGGGAAGTATTATCAAGATAAGTTGAATGGCATCATTACCTGTTCAGGGTTCGAAGAATTGTCGTCAAACACTTACAACCAACGCTGGGTGCGGAAACGATTCGAAACTTCTCATGTGAACCCACCTTTGGAAGAAGCACGGCTATATCAGAGAATGCTTTAGGAAACGGAAGAGCAACAAATATGTGTGTCAATTTGCGCTTGTCCTGACGCTCTGATACCAGAGGCTTCGACTTGAGTCCCCCTCTAGGGAAACGGGATTCCTTACTGAGCTCTTCTCATCTAAAAAGGTTGTACAGAAAGTATAATCGGTAAGCTGGCAGACGCGTGACCGGACTCAACTATTATTATCATGGAAAGTGCTATTTGTACCACCTAATCATACTACTACCGAGTACTCAGAACAAAGTCCGCGTACCTCGAAGCTCAAAGTGTTGTTGTTAGAGCGAAACGATATTCAAGCGTGTTTCTCAAACAGTCACTTAGGCCCATCTGTGGCGAGGACTCTGCTCTTAAAGTCATTCATGAAACCAACCTCGACAAAATCTGGTTTATGTCTCCCATCTGTCTGTTGTTCAACATGTTACTCCCGACACATACCTCAGGTGGATTTCGGCCTATTATCACGTCACGATGATGACAGCTACAACAAACAAACTGATTACTTTACACACTTGATTTTGTTTCACCTGCCAATTACGAACATCATCATCAGAATCCAGTAAACTCAGTCCTGTTATATGTTGGAAATTAGCGAACTTAAGAGTGTGGCTGACTTCAGATTCCTCTGTCAACTCCCGCTAGATTACCTACGAGACGTTTGAGACTTATATTCTTGAGGATATTCAGTTACACCTGGACATATCAGCATCGCATCCGACAGGAGTTACAGGCTTCGGAGACTCTGTACGACTTACATGTGCAGCCCCGCCTAGTGTGAAGTATGTGAATGAGGTAGTGGAACCTCACGCAGTTCGAGATACAAGACGTAACTGCTAAGACTGTATTTCAGTAAACAAACCGATTCTCAGTATCTCTTACTTTCAAGCTCGTATTGTATCTGTGTTGACCTGAATGAGCAGATATTTGCCTCAATGACAACAAATCTTTGTTGGGGGAAAGCATATGATACTTGATGCGGTTCCTTTCTCAGCGGTGGTCCGTATCACTTACCAATTTTACGAGTCTTCGGTACATAAGTCATATCCTAATTTTTATCAGCTTGATAGCTGGACGACTAGGTCACATAGAGCCCGTGTACTGTTTTGCGATGCAATAGATGTCCGGCCTTCTCGAATTTTCCAGCACTCTTGCAATTTTCTCCCTATGTTTCAGTTTGGTAGTCGTTCTACTACTACGAAACTGCACAAACCAATGGCAACTTTGAACACTGATGACTGTTGTACGCAAAGGCGACGTGGAGGCATACAAAACCTGGTTAAGAGGACTATTTCACCATCTCAGCATCTCTAAATTCCATCAACAAAACATCCCATGAGACAGGCATTCAAACAGAAACCATTTACGTTTACAACAGCGATATACATGGAACAACTCTTAAGTCTACAGCACATGAGGTACCGACGGTGTGCCGCTCGTCAGTGTCTCACGGAGCTGTGTCTTCAAGGAGACACACCCTGCCACGCACCATCCACTGGCAGAGCATGATCTCGCTACTTTTGCAGATGCTTCGAGACCAAGACTCTTGAAATATTGAACGACACACGGTTTATTCCGCTTCTCCACAAGATCTTAATGCCTTCTAATTAAGTGATGGTTCAGACTAGTGGTGGGCAGTTCTAGGGGTAATGTGCAGATATCACTTTACCCCTTGAGATGGCGGCCGAAATCTGCCTTACCCACTGCCAGTTGAAATCTCCACTCAAACAATTTGAACCGTCGGACGCGTCGTCGCTTGGTTTAAGACAAGACTAGTACTCCTTGCTGTTCCGCTGCCATCGTGGATACATCCAATTGGTTTCAAAAGTGGACGTTCTAGAATCTCGCAATAATTTCCTTGGTTTTCAATCAGCTTGCAAGCAATAGACCGGCACAGTCTCCTTGGAAACTGAAGATCAATATCGAAGGTTTGATGATTCTCAATTTTCAGCTGATAAATATACGAAGGTATGAGTGCGGCACTTTGGTACCTGCCATTATGCTACAAAGTCCGTGAAGTTAGAGTATAATATCCGACCGTCCGAAAGAATTCGATACTGCTCAAAGGACACCCTGTTAGCGTAAAAATTAGGGCGATTACCAACTTAATCCAACAAACGCAATCGGCCAGCTGGCTGACCTCGAACCCCTCACTCGTCGTTTCCAGAACAAACCCCAGTTTTCCCTTTCTCAGAGGCCATCCAGGGCTATCGCCACTTGAAGAATATCGGTTGGCATCTACGGCTGAGTTGATGATATTTTCCTTCCCAGACGCGATGGCTCAACGGCTTAATTCGGCATCACATTCGATCTCCTCCTGCTGCTCTAAGTTTTCAAGGGCTCCGCAAACCAAGCTATGATCAACTAGGAAAGGAAAGTCCTCACACCGGATCATCCAATCTTCTCAATTCGAATATATCCATCCCGTTACGTTTGGAGATCGGAATATTTTGACTGGCCGTACCACTGCCGTCAAACTTCATCGCGCCTACCCCCACATCCACTTGATATCAGGAGATTAATCTCAACGGTTTTCTCACTCCCTTCAATAACCCTACTAGTGTATGAATCAGACTAGTCAACCACGCTGCGCATAGTCTCTAACTGAAAGCGCCTGTTGGTGCTACCATCATGCATGCGAGAAGGATTCTCATCACTTCCTCATTCCTGGTCGAAACCCCTCAACCCAGAGCTCGCGAGACTTATATCCATTAGTCTATCTGCATCGATTGAAACAATCACAGCCATTCAAGCCACTTCGTTGATCGCCGACGCGGAATCGGGCTCCACAGATCACTTCCCCTGATATTAACCGAGGATTAGTTGAAAGCAGTTCACGAAATCATCACATCAGCTGCAGTGTGGACGGGACTGATGCAAGGATGAGAACTTTAATTCTGCCCTGAAATAATATTCAGAAGGTGGTTCTGATTAATTCATGAAATGGCATTCAGAAGCTAAAATTTCATCGTGCACTTTGCCGCCAACGCACGTTTCGCTCACGAGGAACAAGGTCGAATTCTACCACCTCATTATCAAATGGCTCCCATGTAGACCGCTCCGAAGCCTGTCTGCCACGCAAGATCAGGGATTGGGATTTATATTGGGCTTTGAAGGTCGTCAAGATCCGGCCGAAATGCGCAGTCGTCAACCATGATCCCATGACAGGAATTTCATGCTGAGCTGGCAGCAGCAGACATCCGGCATTCACGTGAAAATCTCATGGAATTAAAGTTCGAATCAGCCGCTACAAGATACGATGGGAGAACCTGTCGCTTTAGTCACGATGACAACATACATTGCCGCCCGCGTTTCGGTGAAGCCTACAACAGCTTTTTCCCGCTTCTCCACATCTCTTCCTCATCAACCAAGAAAGAGTTTCGTTAAGCGCTGTTATTTCAATCCACGACTCGTTGTTTCGTAGGGCTGAAAACTCCTGAGATGATACACGCATGCACTCCTAAATACGTGGTCGCGTCTGACGCCCTACATTTCCACACCGAGTAGCCCCTCGATCCACTTTTCTTTTTCTGGCGACAATTCTCCGAAGAAAAGATCGGATCTGAGAGTGTCAATTCGGCGAATCATCGTATAGCCGTGCGGGATATTAGGGTTCTGAGATGGCTGTGAAGTGTGAAGGGAAGGTGGACGTGTGGAAGGGGCACGGAGCGAGGAGAGGGCCAAATGGGGACTTGACGATGCTGAGACTGCCGAGAGTTCGAGATGAGATGGGCGTGGGAATAGCGGTGGGAGATGTTTTGGTGAGGATAACCTGGAAGATCTGGGTTGACCAATCGAGGAGTTTTTGTGTTGGGATTTTGTTGGTACCATCACTTACACCTCATCATCAACACAATCCAAATTCCTCACCAAAACTCTCTAAACCTTTCCTCTATCTATTCATCAAGTCCTCCAACACCTCCTACGAACCGCCCCTAAATCGTTACTTCAAGCCTTCGTTTCATCCTCTGCCTCAACCCTATATGGTAAAGGTCGTTAGCGAGGGCGTCGTTCCTTGGACGAATCAGGAGGACGCTGGAGTCGTAAACGCGGTGTGGCATCACGTTGCAGTGGTATTTAATGTGACTTGTGAGTGGACATGGAGTGGTGTATGACTTGCATGAGGAGAGCAAGGGAGGCAGTATTTGAGTTGCGGAGGAATTGTCTGCCGATGGTCTATTTTGAGAGGGTTCGAATAATTGAGATTTTGTATTTGATATTGGGATTTAATGAAGTGTGATGATGTTGAAGTTATGTAAGAAGTATACATCCAGTAAGTCGGGTAGATTATTCTTTCAGTGATATCCTGTATGGTAAGTTTGTCGAATGGTAATCAAAAGGCCGGACTCAATGCTCACACCACTAAACGACAATTCACGAAAACCATTTTCACACAAATAATTGCACTCCCAATTCCATCCTCATCACTCCCGTCCATCTTCACTTCTGATTCCCCATCTTCACCAAATTCAACCTCATCCAAAGCCTTCCGGTACCTCCGGCGTCTAATCCGAGATTAAAAGTCAATGCCATTGCATAAGCATAAGAACATTGAAATTGAACTTCTGGAAGACCCGACTTTCAAAATACACGTGGTAGCAACCACCGGCGGTTGCACAAATCGGCGAGGTATTGGACGAGGGTTTGTCATGTGTTTTTCACGCGAGTGATTGTGAGTGGTAAAATGAAGTGAGTGACGAGAAGGGGTGTAGAGTTTACTGTAAAAGTCGAGGGATGAAAGTGATATTCTCGGTTTAATTTCAAAAATCTGAAAGGCAGTTCATAAATCATGTTATCAATTGATGTAGTTTACGTGCTATTCAAAGTTTACTCTCATACTCGACCAGACCAATTGCCGATGATTAATCTCAAATGATAGATTTCTCGTAACATGCGAGATATCATAGAAAAAATCAGTCTCAATCATCACATCCCCACGTGGCTGAGAAAGATGAATCCCTCAAAAACTCTCTCAACCACAACATTTCCTATTTTTACTCAAAACTCACAAGCCACATACCCGTCCACGCTTGCACGTCCCATTCTCCAAGCGTCCATATCAAACCTCACAACAAGATATCTCCCAACAACCAACCAAGCGCGCGGCACCAACGCAAAAAGCCCAATTCTCGGCCTCCTCACGTAACCACCACTTTCAATTCCCCCGTCCCTTCCCTCCTCTGAAATCCTCGGAATACACACATCAACCCCCAGAATCATCCGCGCATAACACACTCGCCGAGTACATCTAATCGGGAAATCTCGCATCCGCATTTAACGCATTCAAGTTTGGCCCCCAATTTTTTAACTACCGAGCTCACATCCCCTTCCTCTTCCCCCTGTTCTCTAATCGTCAGCTCCATCTACGTAATCAGCACAACCTCACATTACAAAACCCAGCGCAAGCTTACATATCACTCTACCAGTATCGTAAAGTTATACGACTCGGGGGCGGAGAGATTCATGGTTTCCGCGCCCGGGACATCGCTTCAATCCACAAGGCAGGATGATAAAGGTGCACGGTGCAAACAATGAAGCTTTTGCGGCGGCCGCCGAGGCGTAGGAATTACCTTATTTGGGGGGAGGGGGTAAGCGAGACAAGGGGGAAGCGAATGGGAGGGGGGGTGTCGTATTTTAGCGCGGATTGGGGTCTGAGGGGGCTTGAGGGACAGGGGAGTGGGGACGCCGAGTATGGCGCAGGGGGAAGGTAGGGGGGGATGGTTGAAGAATTTGTGCTGAGGGAGATGGGTGAGGGGAGGTTTGGTGAGGTGGTGAAGAGGGGATTTAGTGATGAGGGATGTGGATTGAGGGAAGTGGATTTGGATTTGGAATCGTCATGGTGGATGTGATTTGGTTAGGTTTGGGTGCTGAAGAAAATGGTGTACTTCAATTTAGCTATGTGTTAAAAACTCTGAGAACTCAATTCAAGAAACAAAATGTAATGATTCAGTATACAACATACCCACCAACCAAGATCTCAAACTCAAACATCTCTATCTCAATTAACCTTTGACCAACCCAACCCAACTTCTACAATTCCAACTTCAACACAAGTTGTGCTGTACAACATCGATCTCCAACCCAACTACCACAAACTTTATTTCAGAAACTCTGTCTCACAACTACACAACATCTAGCCCTACCCTCTCCTCCTTACGAAACATCAACAAACCACAGAATCTCGAAAAGCACTAACTAGGAAGCTTTCCTTGACATAAACACACTCACACCGTCCTTCCCCCAAACAAGCCACACATCCCAAGAACCAGCCCAGACAAAGCAGTGGAACCTCTGATTCCCACTTCCCCGATCCCAGTATCATTCATCCCAGCATCCTCGCTCTTCTAGAACTACGTGAATGAGCTCGTAACACACTTCGTCGTACAATCGACCAATCGACTCGGACCCGGGTAGGGAGGGTTGTAGTACGACAGCTACGAAAGTCCGAGCTGCAGATGTGGTATGTTGCCACGTGGAAGGGGAACGTGGGAGCCTAAATCAAACGACAGTGAAGATGGGAGATGGGGGGGGGGGGAATGTAGCTCTTTGTGGAAGTAAAAGTAAGCTTCACTTGAATGCCGTTTGTGTTCTAGGGTTTCAATCATAACGGTTTACTGATATAGGATTTACGTATAAGGGTGGTACACGGTACACTTCGTTTTGAGATTGGAAGCCGCAGGTGTAATATCTTAGCACGTGGGAGCTGAGATGAATAATCCACATGAATTGTTAGTAGATGTAGATGGAGGAGAAATGGGGTAGCATATAATGGGAGATGTTGAAGACGGAGATACACCTCAAGGTTTACTTTGAGAAGCACGAGTTGAGGGTTTTCCTTCCCATCCTCGTATGTAAATACTATGTGGTCAAAGAAAGAATCGAGTAAGTCTGATCGTAGCACGACATGGCAATCCCACGCCGCAGCCTACTCACCCCTTCCCTTTCCAGAAAGTATGAAGTTCTATATGTACAGAAGTAATGTACAGAGAGATATTAAAAATCTGAATGGATAATTGGTCTAAGTAAACTAGCTCATCCCTCTACACGTCCTTTTACCTCTCAAACTCAAGCACGAGACAGAGTGGTCAGGAAATAAGGCGACTCGGTACTTCGCTCATTCTACCGAACGAAAGATTTTCAGAATTACCTAGATCAAGCCTGCGGATTAGAATCAGCAACTTAGCTTTCAATTTTCTGGGCGAGAACTTAGAAGTTGGAGATAGGGATGGGGAAGGGGAGAGGGAATTTGTTTGGGGTTGGTGAGTTGGATTGGAAGGAGGGGAAGTGAGAGGTGAGAGTATAGAAGTTTAAAGGATGTTTCAAAAGAAGGGGTGTAGGAGTCTGGTTTTCAATATGTAAATCGTGGACGGAGAGATATGTGATTACTATATAATCCAACAACAAAAACGACACTTCTTCAAGCCTACACACCTAGGTCTAGTTTTTCGCGAAATCCAAGAATCATGCTGTACTTCCAGTTCCAGGAGAAACAAAGTTATATGTACTTGCCACCCAGCCATTTCTATTCCAGCCGGATGGAAGTATATTGGAAGTCGCACACCCAACAGCCGAATTTCATTTTTGTGACTTGCATGCAAACACAACATATATTCCCGTCACAACAAAGGCAACATCCTCCTCATCTAGAGGAAATAAACTTCGTTGGGTTTCCGACTTCCATCTCCCACTTTGTCAGACAGAACGGGCTACACACATCATATCCTCATCCCAACCACCAGAACCACAAATTTAGATTTAGAGTTTTGACTTTGGTTGGGTTTTGATTTGTCTCCAACACTTCGTCAAACAGAACGGTTGGAAAAGGGCTATGCACACCCATTCCCCCCTTCTCATGCAACTTCCAAAACACAAAATTAGATTTAGACTTTAACCTCATGTTGGCTTCCATTCATACATAGAAACACCAACATGACTCCAAAGCAAGGCTATGCACATCCATACCTCCCCATCCCCACATCCATCCACCTAGATCATAGATTTAACCTCCTACGTTGTTACCCAGCATGACTTGCTTGCACATCAGCCTTCCCACCCCAAACCCACACGAACATATTTAGATTTAAACTTTGGATCCCATGTAGCGCTTGTGACTTGCATACCAACACACCATTGGTAACAAAAAGAAGACCAACAGAACATTTCCCTGAAATGCTGGCTATGCACATCATACCCTTCCCCCCCCCTCTTTCTCATCCCACCCTCCATCCAATTCCCAAGTCCATTATTAGATTTAAACCTCATGTTGACACTTCCAACGTGCACCGTCATCGTCCACACATCTGTGTCTGGCCATGTAAACACAACATATTCCCGTCATAAAGAACCATCAAGACAGAAGGTGTAAGGAATGGGCTCTGTCAGCAGCTCCCACCCTCCCTCCATGTCATCGATGGCGTAAAATTATGTTGGTCTTGTCAGCCACCCTTTCTCCAACTCCCGTAAACATCAACCAGGGATGGCAACGGCTTAGCCAGACCCCCTGCCCAAATACCAACAGCGACCTCAAACTGCCGCCAGCCGTAGTCCGCGATGACCAAAGCCCATCTTTTCCTGAAATGATGATACTGTCTTGAATCTTCAAAAACGTGATATTACATGAAAGATGAAGAACTGATCTTCACTGAGATTTGTACTCGTTCATGTTGATTCAACAAACATCTAGATATAAATATATATATATAAAACCTCCCTCTCATTCTTCCAATCCAATATTAACACACCTAAAACAAAACGTATTTATATCTACCCCACGACTCCCATCTCATCTTATCCAAAGAAAACAACAAAAACAAAGAGGTATAATAAAACTCCAAAATCGCCAATCACCCATATCTCAAAATCAATCACAACACAAATTATATACCCAATTCACCCACCATCCTACTCCCTCCCCTCCCTCTGACTCTGCGCATAAACCTGACTTGGCAACGGCGTCCCCGTCGCGGCTCTCTGCCCCCCAACCTCCAGCAACGCCCTCATGCGCCCCTCCTCCCGTCTCTTCTGCTCCTCAAACATCATCTGCGCCTGTTTCTGATGCATGGCCATCTGCTGACTCGCATCGCTCCCCGCTCTCGAGCGTACTTCATCCATGCTGACCGTGGGTGGAGAGGTATTCTGGTGGCGGAACGGCGGGAGGAGGTTCATCAGGTCCGGAGAAGCTGGGCGTAAGGGGGGGAGACCGAGAGCGACTTGTTGAACGGCGTGGAGAGGGTGTGAGGGAGGCAGTTTATGGGTTTCTGGTGGGCCGGAGTAGGAGTGGTGGCGTTGATGGAGGGGCATGCCGTGATAGCCGCCCATTGGCGTCTGCGGACTATACGGCATGCCAGGTCGTTGATACTGGACGCGATTTCCGAGCTCATATTCCCCCGGAGACGCGTATTCAACCAACGGAGAGCCATTAGGATGCATCTCGTACCACTTCCGCTGCACCGCTTCCTTGGTCCATTTCTCAGTAGAGCCATGTTTGAGCATGTCCCGGGCGATAGTCTCCCATCTCTGCTTGTCGTAGTCTTCCATAGCCATAGTCAACGCTCGCTCCTACGGCGGGGATTAGCGTTGGGCGTAGTGGTAGGAGTAGGAGGGGGAGGAATGGGGGTAACAACGGGCGGATGAATGAAGTTTCACTACCTCAGTGTCGTTCCATACCCTTAGCCGTTCCAAAAGGCGCTTCTTGCGCATCTGTAATGCCGGAACTTTCATCGATTTTCCCGTCTCGTCGTTGAAACGTGCCATGACATCTTTCCAAGGTAGATTGAGTTGGTCGGTGAGGCGAAGGAGGAGCTGTTCTTCTCCCGTCATCTGTTGATTGCCATTGGCATACTCATGATCGAGACCACTGTCTGGAGATTTACGCTTCTTTGATCCTGATGAGGGAAGCATGTGACTATCATGATGTTGTGGAGAGTAATGCATCTGAGGAAGTCCATGAGAGTGAGAACCTGAACCGTGTGAGTGGTTTGACTGAATTGAGTTTTGTCGGTACACACCACTATCTTTACGTAAACTCGCTGGGTTTGGTGCGATGAGAATAGGTGTTTGGTTGTGGCTTCTATAAGCTTGTCCAGGCGTTGGTTGACGCGAATTTCTACTATCATTGCTCAACCCTCCCGCAGAATGGAGACTTGGACTCTGATGAGGATGTAATGGTGGTGAAGGTGCTGGGTTCCGAGTCGTTGGGGCTGACACACCAAAGTTGCCAAAGAAGGGTTCAGGATATGGTGAAGCTGGGAAAGTACTTTCTGGGGTAGAAACATAAAGTGCATTCGGTGGATCTTTGTATTTCATCGGTTCGTTGTGAAATCTTGTTGCACCAAATCCATCTTCTTCTTGGAAGCCAAGATAGGTAGGTGATACGGGAGACATCTTGATTGGTTTCTCTTTGCTCGAATTCGGCGAAGAGGTCGTCCTCGGTACATGAGGGGATGCCGACATGGAGACTGGTGTAACGAGAGACGAGTCGTAAGTGACTGGTAAGTTAAATGACGAGACCTGGTAGGTTATTAGAGGAGTTCTGATGTGACGCTGGATATCGAGGCATTCGAAATCAAAACTTACGGCACTATATGGCGTCTCGGGGTTGTTATTGGCGTGATGAAGGGTTCGTGCGGGTTGAATACTGGTGTATGTATTTTCTCCCGTAAAAGACATTGATACCGGACCAGCTTACGAAAGAACGCAAGACGACCGATCAGCCTGGGAGCGTTGATGATATCTGTGTAATGTCTGTGGCCAGCTCGTAACGGTCGACGTCAAACGGAGAGTGGATGAGGATATGAGTTTCACACTGCGATACGAACGGTTGGGTGATGGTGGTCGAGTATCAGATCAGATGGAGGTTGGACAAGAATCTCGAGTCCAAGTCTGGGGAAGTGATTCGTATTAAAAGTAAATTCTCAACGAGCATCTCAATCTGCCTGGACGAGGTTTGCGGTTCCAGAATGATATGATATGCGAACTGAGGAGGGACCCTGCGTGTCACCCTGGTCATATAGGGCAGAGGAGGGAAAGGAAGCTAGACCGTTTATCGTATTAGACGCCACGATGAACCAAAGTGACCAGACCTATTCGGGAAGGACTGGGCGAACTACCGATGGGGGGAGGTGGAGCAGCGTAGACGCAGAGGGGAGGTAGCAGAAAGAGTGGTGAATGGAGAGCGCGACATGTTTACCCAGGATGTGTAGGTCGATCCCAGTCATGGATTGCCTAAGCCTAGGAGGGGGGAGGGGAGGGGAGGAGCTGTCACTGTCACAGCAGTGTCGGTCGGGGATTCGGTTGAGGGTGAGGTCGAGGTCTTGGGAAGGGTCTGAGTGAGTGGCAGTGTGAGAGGAGCAGACAGGACTAGAGCAGGTCGGTCGTAGGCGTAGAGATTCGGATCAGTCACGCAGAGTAGCTCCAGGTCCAGCAGGTCCAGTCTAGGAGGGTGTGATTAGAAGGAAGAGGGGGTGTGGAGGGGAGCGAGTAGCGAGACGTGTAGGTGGACGATGGACGAGGGAGAGCAGAAAGGGGACAGGGGAGATTCGTGCCCCTGCCTCTTTCTACTAGGGGGTGAGTGAGCCTTTGGCCTCGAACCAGGCCTCACGGTGCATCGTGTAACCGCCCAGTTCGACTGCTGGAAAGGCTTTTGATACGGCCATCAACGAGACACCAAGCAGAGCAGTTCAAAAAACCATGCCGGGCAATAACGCGGCAACCTGGATCGGAAGCTCCTGATGTTCTCCTTTTCTGATAGTCACACAGTGGATACAGTTACCTACCTACTGACCATATTCCATCAATTCACCGCATACTCCACTCCTCCCATCTACCACTCGATGAGCTACACCATCTCCCCTCTACCAGGGCATTGAGATCGGCTGGTGGAATCCATCCGGTGAGCCCGTGCTCTGCTATCGTCTGTCCGCTCCCGTGTGATGTGAGCAAAAGAGCCGGAGGAGATCCCAGACGGACGAGTGCTTGTTTCCTCACTCTGGCCGTCGAGCGCGGCACTCTGGCGGCTTCTCCTCATCCTCCCAGGTCCATCCCTCACCGTGTCATCTCATCTCCCACCTCCGCACACGCGCAACCGGCGCCTACCAATGCGTTTGCGTTTGTGTTGTTGTTGACATCGGCTATCCGTCCACGATGCGATGCGATGGACGGTTGGTTTGTCTCCTCCTCCCTCGCATTGGTGGTAAAAAAGGGACGGTGCGGTGCGCAGTGCAGCCTGTTCTCTTCCCTTGACCAGTGCGTGCTCCAGCCGCTTCTCAACCAGGACAGCCAGGACAGCACCCGCTCAAGCCAGCACCAAAACAGAAGCCGCAAGCAGTGCAAGCAGCGCAAGCACAAACCAGCACAGCAACCAAGCTCGACCGAAACCAGCACGCTGCTCCGCTCAGTCCGGCCTGTGACGCTACGGACCGACGGGTGCACTGCCGGATGCTGAACCGTCGCTGATTCCGTTTGCCATGCCCTGTCCTGCCCTGCTCTGTGCTGCCCTGCGCGCGCTTGACATTTGCGTTGCGTTTGCAATCGCGACAAACACCCACCCACCTTACCACCAACTCCTCAACTCCACACAACACAACAACACATCGTGCACATCAGATTTACGAGCGGGACGTTTTGGATGTTTGTTTGTTTTACTCCGTCCCTCCCGTCGCGGTTACTGAACCACTCATTATCACGGCTGAGAGGCAGCCACGTCGCGAGCTGAGGATGCACACACATACCTACCTCTTTCAGGTTCGCGACATCACATCATAGTCGCGGTAGCAACAGGAATCGCAATGTCACTCATCCCTCTATCAACCTGACACTCCAGTCCAATCCCATGATCACATTCCCACTGCACGCATCTCAGCCTCGACAACTAGTCACTCGGTGTGCTCTCCATCTCAAGGTACCTACCTACCTACCTACGCTACCCACCATGCAGCAAATGTACTGCGTCCATCACCGGCCCAAAATCCGGCCCATACCTCATATATTCCCATCGCCCCCGCCGACGAGGTAGGCAGGTGAGTGGTGCCGTCAACGATGAAAAGGTAAACTAGCCAGTCACCTCTCAACGGTAACTGGCCCCTCAACGATCAGCGTGCAATGTCACAATATAGTGTGGGCAAATGCATTCTAGCCTGAGAAAGATTCGCAATCATGAACCCCCCCCCTCTCATGCAGCGCGGGCACAACTGCGCTCGGCAGTAGTTGACCATGATAAGTGATTTGATAAGAGAAATATACCACCCACTGTGTAGCGTACGACACGCGCATTGGTCCATAAAACATGTCCACGATCAGGAGTAATGACCCAATCCAGCCCAAACGCTGCACATAACGATCGAGTGTGCTGCACCACTCACCGACCCCACAGGGGCCAAACAAGAGCAAACGTGCATGTAACGTGACCAGCGCGCACGACGAAGAGAGAGACGCCACCGAACCCGACAGACTGGTTCTCGGATCGCAACCGCTTAGCGAGCAAGTCAGCATCACGCCTTGCGCCAGGATAACCTCCTCTCCCTGGGGTCTTGAGCAGCGCACAACCAATCAATACTAGCCGCGCGCCTTTCGCACCCCACTTCCCTCCAGCCCTACGCTCTGACAGGTCAGCACCCTACTTCCGCCCGCATCGGCGTTAACCCTTTCCAGTCTCGCACATCGCACCCCAGCAGATATCGCGACCAGGGCCCTCGACACCGAGTACGTTCTCAAAGCGGACGCCCTCGCAGACTCTGCAACGCAACAACGAGTTATTTCAAGCGCGTCGAGTCAGGGTGGGGGCCTGGCCATGCAGCGGGGAGTGCAGAGCCATCCATACCATACCCCGGAAAAAAAAACCAGAGCATGCTGCGTTGCGTGCGTGCGCCGTCAATCGTGGAAATACGATGACACAGTATAAAAGGACAAAGAAATCAACCACACCGACCCAAACGCTCGGGAATCGCATGGCTGCGTGTGTCGCCAATCAACCAGAGAACCGCTCCCACCGCTCGCTCTCTCTCTCGCGCGCAGGAAAATAGCTCAGAGGGCCCCGTTACAAAGGGCGGACTTGCCCATTCCATCCCCATCCCAAACCACACCTGGAAATGCCATGTCCCATTCGGCCAGCACCGTACTCGGCGACGTGGGTTGAGGCGCCTGGATTTCGCTCTTTCGTTCACAGCTATAGACTACCTAGACAACGAGCTGCATGCACGGAAGAGGGACTTCTCTCTCAAAGGGTTTTTGATGGTGAGGAGGAATAGAGGGAGGGTAGTTTTAAGCGGCAGGCATGTCAGGTCAGGTCGCCGAGGAAGGAAACGTCGTTGTGGAAATCCTGCTTTTTCCAGTAAAGTCATGCGAATGCCATAGGTAGGGTATGCGTCACCGCGAAAGTAACGTTGAGAGTTCATTGCGACCTGATGGCGCATCCATTCACGCTCCCCCCATTCTCAGCCCGGCACTTGTTACCTCTTGTCGTCTATCCGCCCATCATCCAACTCACGCGCAACGGTGAAGACATGTTAGCATCAGTCGCGGTAATTACTTCAGATCGTGTTGGCCGTCTTCAAACCCCGTCGTAGACCATCTCCAAAAAAATGTTGTTTACGATGAAATCGTGAAGCAAGCGCCGCTGACAGCCAAAGCGGCTCTCCATCTTCTCCCTGCTTCACACGTGGCAAAACACATACACCATCTCCCAGCGTGCGACAATCTACGTACAAAGGTGGTATACCAGTACAGTGGTTGAGCTGCGTTCATCCACTGCATCTGAAAAGTAAGCTTACATTTGGGGGTCCCTCGGATCTAGATCTTGTGTATGCTGTGTATCAGATTAGCCATAGCAATTAGTTGTTTCCATCGCGATGCTATTTCCTCGTTACCATTGAGAACTGCAAATCTGCTACTACAGTCACTATGACCCCCTCCAAATAACCGCCCTCATACCTGTACCTGACGGATTGCATGCATAGCCTTCATCTCAACAGCCGAGGTGATGAGAATCGAGCAAGAGATAGACATCCCGCTACAGACGGGAAGGGGTGTGACGGTTGGTGTTCATCATGAGCTCCTTGTTGGCCCGTCACCGTCACCCCCTGAGGAAAACACACCCCGAATCCATGAAGGAAAAAGCGCGCTTGCTAACGGTGCGCGCGAAAGACCCCCATACCTAGTCTGGAGTAAGTAAGTGATAGTGCACTGGGCATGCTGCGAACTCACTACCCGCGTCGTCTTCCGATTTGCCTGACGGGAGCAGTGATTAAGTGATCTGCTCAAGCTCGTCTTTTTTGCAGGCCTGGAGTGGAATTCGGTCCGAGGGGGCTCAAGATATGAAAGAGATGGGAGGTGTTCCCTCTATGCATATCAACCGTTTGGAACATTGGCTGCCTTTGTGTCACCGTCTGGATGATGGTAAACGGAGTTTGGCGATGATCGCTTGCTGCAAGCTGGAGGAACCTCGCCACTGCGCGCCCGTCGTTTCAGTGATGCAGCCAGTTAATATCGTAGATGGGAACTGTCATTGGCCAGATAATCAAGAGAGCACGACACTTGCAAATTCCAAAGAAAGGAGACAGCTGCAACTCCTCATTTTACCCGCTTCAGGTAGTTCAAGTTGCTCAACACGAGGGTATAACACTCTAGCTTGTGTCCTACACG